TGCTAAGTTGTTGCTTTTTTTTCTAATCCGCACTGGTAAAAAATCCGCAGGGTGCTGATTTCAAGTTGGAAAGTTATCAAAAAGCTGCGAAGTTGTTGCTCTTTTTTCTAATCAGCACCGGCAACAAGTCCCAGGCTGCTGCTTTCAAGTTACAAAGTCGCCAGAAGCTGAATAGGGTTGCCTTTACTCCTTATCTCTGTTCGATGTTGATCCGAGCCCTCCCAAACCAGACCCGCGCCAAACTCTCGCGAGGGAGAAGGGCCGGCTTTTTTCCCGTGGGCCGCTATAGCGGCCATTATAGCCCTGGCGGGAAAGGGAAGGCATGGGGGGGCCCTTTTCTTGTTTGGTGCCCTTCACTTCGGAGGCGGTCGGGTAGCCCGCGACCAGAAAAGAAACAGGCAGGGGCGCCCGTAAACGATCGCGCGGCCCCCGAGACGCGGGGCCGCACACCGGCAAGAACAAGCGAGGAAAGGGAAGAGAGCACGCGGAGGGGGAAGCGCCCCGGCTTTTGCGACGCTTTGGCCCGCCCTCGCAAGAATATCGAGAGACCCGGAGGCCTCTGAGGGTTCTTACAATTCTCGAGGCGCAAGGCCGCACACCAGCAAGAAAACCGAGGGGACGGGGGCGCCGCCTATGTCGGGAGCAGGTTTCGACCCTGAGGCCAAGGCCATCCAACAGCGCATCGGCCTCTCGTGGTTGGATTTTTGGCCGTATGCTCCAAGCCGCAAGCCGGCGCGACCTGGTAGAAGCCCCGGGCCAAAAACCGGGCCACCGCGTGCCGGCGGTTTGCCCTGCTATGCTCCACGCCGCAGGCCGCCGCGGTCTCGTTGGGGCACGCGGCCAAAAATGAGGCCCGCGTGTGCTTGCTTTTGGCCCTTTCAGGCCGCAAGCCGTCGCGTGAATGTCGGCAGCCCTCTTCCCTTCAGCCCTGCCTTTCTCCGAGGCGTGTTTACTCATCTGCAACACGCCCGACGCGGCTGTCGAGCTCGAGTGTGTCAAGTCCGCACTTCTCTCGATACACGAGAACAGAGTGCTAAGAGTAGGCGTCAGTCACGAATGGACTTGCGTGTGCCTCGTAGTTAGTATGGTTTTCATTTCTACAGCTTGGCGCGCAGAGTGTAACTTGGTGTCTTGACGGTTCCATTGTGCCGAAAAGTTGTGGAGACGAGGACGAAGAACACAAGCGGCACTTGTTGGCGTTCCGAGATCGAAGTACCCACTTTTTCCTTTAATACAGGAAGCAATGGTAAATAATTCACGCCATGTACAGGGGCCTCCCGCTGTGTACTCTTCTAACCCGCCAAGAAGCCTTTCAGAAAAACCATGCGATCTCGGTGATTATGTCATTTGCTTTTGCCTACGCAGTTTGTAGAATTCTACAGCTCTACTAGTAAACACATCTAAGTGTGGGCGCGCTCGCTCTACACGTGTTCGCTGCTACTTGATGCTGCTCCATGTTCTTCGGGACTGTGGACACGAAATGCGTACTTTCTCCCGTAGATCTGCGGTTCCACCAAATATCTGCACACAGGATTTTTGTGTTGGACTCAGCAACACATACATTTTTGTGCGTTGATTGTTTCGCCAGTAGCATCATAGGAAATATGTCGAGCGTCGTTTTCTATTTTGGACTTTCTGTGAGTTTGCTGATATACAATTTTCATCTTGGCTTGATGGAAATGCGTCTACACAAAAAGATGGCGTCGCGATCTGTCCTTGCAGTCTTACTCTGCTGTGCCTGGTCTTTCAGTGCTCTGCGGGTCCGAACGCAACAGGATATGGCGACGCTTTTATTCAAAGATGATGCCGCTGCGACTGAGCTAGCGGTGCTGCAAGGCGAACTCAAAAGTAAACTCGATAATCAGCTGCGTAAAACTAGCAGTAGTCCTCGCGTGCGTTTTGGTGACACGCAGTATGTGGAAAATAGAGCAATTTATCACACGTCAGATGAGAGCGATAGCTCCACAGACAGTGAGTGCAGCCACAGTTCTTCCGAAGACAGAAAGATAGCCGACGATATATTATTTTTTGATCAAGACAATATAGCCGAAGGCCGTTCTGCAGAAGCAAGGAACGGGGACGCCGATACTCTTCAATTTTTGCGGCGATTGCAACTGAGTGATCGCCTGAGCAACCGCCAGGATCAAGACGCGGATGTGTTTTTTTTATGGCGATAAGAAATTGATACCCGGTATGTGAAGACAAAACTCACGAACTGGGGCGTTTGAACTACCAAAAAAGGCTCGAGCCTTTCCTCGGATGCTTTATTTCTTGTGGCTCTAAGTTTTCGTAGTATGGCGCATGCAGAGGATACACTGTCGACCGCGCTGGATATCGTCACGGCTCGTGCCTCTGCCCTGAGTAACCGCGTACTCCTCCTCGCAGATGTCGCTGCGGCAATAAGGAAACACCAGTCTTCATCCTGCGCAGCTGTCAAACAAGCAAGCAAGCGAAGCTACGATGCCCGACTCGCCGACGACGCAAAATCTCTGCTCAGTTGTGAAAAGCAACAAGAACCTCGAGGTGACTCAGAAGGGGATATGCAAGATCATAGCGAACAATCACAGGCCTCTTGCACAAATCAGCAGACTGTCGCGACCGATTGCGAGGAGGTGACGACGGCAGAGCAGCTTATCGATTGTCTGGAAGAAAGGCCGTGCACTGTCGGAGGCAGCATCTCGACCAAAGCGAATTCTCAAGACCCGGATGACGTGGCATTGCTCGCAGCAGCCTTAAAATCTATGGAACTCCGAGACGTCCACAAAGACGAGCGACGACGGGGAGCATCCCGGTATTCATGGATGGGTCGGACACCGAATTTCTAGTTTGTTTGACTTTTTTATAACATATGTCGCACTAATATCTAAAGATTCAGAAAAGTCAATCCCTGAGACTTCATTCTCTTCCCTCTAGCCGACGTCCCTTTGACTCGCAGACAAAGTTTAAAAAGTGTACCGACTAACAGGAAATAAATTGTTCTTCTGCATTCTTAGATCCTTACCTTTGACATTAGGCGCCGTGGCAAAATTGCCATGAAGGACGAGCAGAGAAAGAAGAGGGAAAAGAGGAAGGCGACGAAGGCTTCCGCTCATCCGTCTAGTGGAGTGGCAAGTTCCGGGATAAGTCTTTTTGGGAAAGCCGGTAGAATTTCCATCGCGAGTCTCCGGAAACGCCGAGCCAGGGTCGCACGCTTTCTAGCTTCAGGAGGAAGTCACGCCTGGGAGATACTGGCTTGTGGCACGGAGTCAGTGCGCGATGCCTCGCGAGCAGTGTCCCGGCTATGTTGTCCCCCGAAGATCGATCCGAGAGCTTTGTTGAATGAGCTGCGGGAGCTCGCGCGCTTGAGTCGAACCTTCTGTTGCGATTCGGCGCGCTCGTTTAGGCGCAGTTGTAAATGGTTGTACGAGGAATCGCACGCGCTTGCGGCTGGCCTGGAAGCGGAAGCAGAACGCGCGCAGACAGGGAAAGAGCGCCGCGCTGCACGCAAGCGCGCAACGAAGCTCCCAAGCACACGAGCAGGGAAAGGGCACGAGACTATCGTTAGCGGGCGAAGTAGTACACATAACCCGGATGAAGCAACAGAACTTACGTCATCCCAGCGTTCTGCGATAAATGTAGTGTGGTTCGGAACCAACTTAGGTCGCTTTCTCTTCTGCTCAGCACTCGTTCTGTGGATAGATGCTCTTGGATTTAAGTCGGGGAACAGGAATCACGAATGGTTGGCAAAGCAGACCGCAGCAAATCGCGCGCGAGACGCACAGACGCACAAGCGAATCCGGAGACTTTCTTCTCGCAATCGCTTCACAGAGCTGCTGACAAGATGTGGTTAGATGTACAAGAAGTGCATGAAAATAAGAACTGGATGAAGATGCAGGAGCTGGTGCAGGAGCAAACATCACATTTAAGCCGGAGCAGCAGTAGTGCTGCTACGGGCGAGAATCTTACTGCAACACCAACAGCGGAGCAATATCGCGGAGCGGATCTTGTGACTTGGTGCCAGGCTTGTGTCCGCCTTTTTGTAGCGCGTGAGGCGGCCAAGCTCCTGAGCCGGTCGTTTTGTGCACTACCTAGCCAGGAGCGTCCTCGCGGCACGGGAACCGTGGAAACGGGCGCAACAAATGGAGAAAAAACTTCCGCGACATATGCATCCGCGGAAGCCTATCTAGACGAGGCCGGGCGACTTGATGTTCTTCGTGAAAAGAGTGAATATGACGCCGGACTCTCCACGTTGCCGAGTGATGAAACATTTAGCGCGTCCCTTGCTGTAAAGGAGCTTGTGGAGCTTGCCGGGGGAGTGTTAGCACTGTGGGGAACAAATGGAAATATAGGGGAAGAATTTGCATATCGAGACGTCCAGCATCAATATTCCACGTTTTCAGAGGTAGTAGCACCTGATCGCCACTCTAGTAGAGCACTGTCATCTCCTACGAAAAGAACCGATAAGAATGTGGATATAGAAAAACCTGATGAAGAACGAGGGCACTCAGAGAAAGACGAATGCGCATTGATGATGCATGACGTACGAGGGAGCGTTCCCAGCGCGGATTCGTTAGAGTCGGATCTGCGACACGTTGCGGCAGCCGCGGCCGAAGCTGCGTCATGTAGTACGGTATTTGAGTGCCGACTGCGAAGCGCGTTGCTGGCTGTGTGTTGCGATCACTGACGCATGAAGCCTTTATCAATGACTTGAAGACATATGTCAAATAGGCTGTTGTTTTGGCTGAAGAAGGCACTGTCGTTTTTAATTTGCGTTTCTCTTTTGCGTTTCGGAGTTCATAACGGAGTTTGTGCATACTTAATAGCTGTTCGCTCTGCAGCCGGCGTCATGCTTATTTTCAGTCAAGCCGCTAATAGTGAAATTACTAGCATACTGGAAGATATTATTTAACGAAAATGTATTAGAACGTATCGTCAATGAAATCTTAGGCACGCTGCCGAATAGATTCGAGGCGTCATATTCGTCCGCTACGCGCTTACTCTGATAAAATAATGGTCCGGGTAAAATGCGGCCGACGCTCCTAAGTTGGGCGTCACGCGTCGTTTCAATATTTCTTCTAAATTTTCCTACGCTCGCAGGATTTGATCCCTGGTTCAATGTGCAAGTGAGTCTTAAGTTTCAGGTCAGCAGAGCACATGTCAAAAATAGCAATCGACTGCAATCGAGAGGTAGACAACAAATACACGTTTTAGTTGTTGAAAAGAAAATAGGAGAGCTGCATCGCTGCGCATCCGGACAGAGCACTACTTTGCAATTCGAATGAAAATTGAAGTTGCTTCTAGTACGAAAAATACTCCGATAACCAGCACAGTGGAGGTAGTCAAAACGTAGCTTCTCTTATAGAAAAAGCTGCTGATAACGATCCACTTTGCTGCTTTACTGTGTCTTTGCGCAACTGCTGCTTTGCAACCTAAAAGTACAGAGAGAAGAGAAAAAATAGGCCAATGTGACTCTCAAGCCAAGTTAGCTGTTGCGCATGAAAACCAAATTGATTATTGATTTTGTTGAGTGAAGATACCTCGGACGACGACCAGCTGATCGAAGAGCGAATCCAAATTCATCATGCATTGATCCTCCAAGGAAAGTGCTGTTAGGCAGAGAAGGCTTCACTGTCATCAGGCTTGTTAACATCTATTCCGCCCTGTGGTGCTAATGAAGAAGCATAGTTTTTTCTTTTGCTATATAGTTTCGATTTTTAGAACAACCTTTCACACTCCCACCCTTTCACACTCCCACCTTCTCCAGTACGCAACTGGGTATAGCTGGTAATAATTCATCATCCGTTGTACGCCCGTTGACCTTGTGATTGAGTACAACATCCTGGAAGACGAAAGACTTGCTCATGAATACTCCGTACCTACGATGACAAATATTGTCGAAATGCAACGTATGATATATCTGATCATGCCAAATTGTTTCTCGTCTTTATTCTACCTAGCGAAAAATCTTCGTCTTGGTTCGTGCATCAAGATTATTTTGGAACGAAAATTCAACAATGATTGAAGATTCTCTCAGTTCGTATTTTTTAAAGTCTGATGAAGAGATCCCGCAGGAACCAACCTGTCTGGCGTACGATCGAAAAAGCACTAGAAGCTTTTATCATGGGGACAACGAGTGACAGCGGATGAAGCATTCCTCATGATTCTCGAAGCCGCGCTGTGCTGTGAGGAGTCAGTACAGCCCTGGGGAGAAGAAATTGCGTGACCGCGGAGGAAAAAGTGCGTGTTCATTATCGGCTACATCAAAGTTATGCCGTGCAGAATTCTTCTTGTGTCTTGACCGGAATCATAGGTTTTTCTTATCTCGGCCACAGTGCTAATACACGTATCTCTTGAATGCGTCGGCTGGTGCACAAAAAGTTTTTCAATGCGCTGCTTCGTCCGGCGACCCTCAGCCGCACTGGGGTGTACTTTGCTCTGATATGACGAGCATCTTTGACCATTTGATGCAGAACATGAAAGGCCATCATCATGAAGATGGCTGGGACACAGCACAAGCCGCTTCTGACTGCCTATGGTGACCTATGGACATCCTAATTCACATGAAAATGAAAATCTAATTCTCTGAAGGATCAGGTTCAAGAATGAAACGCATACGATTTCGTACGTGAAGATGAAAATCATTCAGGTATTTCCGCTTGATAAATTGAATATTGAATAGAAAGACATCCATATTAAAAAGAACTCTTTGCATCTGATGAGGATGATGATCGTCTCCCCGTTGTGCCGGCGGTTGCTTCTTTGCTGTTAAGAGGAAGGAGCGGCGGCGGGCAGGCATGTCGATGAAGCCCGCCAGGAGGCCTGACACCGATAGAGATGAAGCGAAGTACCGACTTCGGGTCGAGTCTCTCAGCTGCTCTGCTGTTGCCGGTTGGTTCATTGATGCTACGGCACCACGGTCATACTGAGTGCGTCCACATCCGTGGCCGACGCAGCAAGCTCTTGAGCCATTGACTCTTTCCGGCAACGAGCTACAAACAATATTTGATTTGCATTTTCCTCATCTCAAATCTCATCAACGAATATTTGATGTGTATTTCAGGCGAGCCGGATATGAGCTTTATTGACCTCGATGAATAAAAACGATAATCCTGTGAATTTTAGGGGAGCGACTAGACACGTGAAGGAGAGTTGTACGTTGACGCCACGTACTGTGATAATCTCATGCACGGATCAGTTTTAGAAAAGCATTTCCACTAGATTAAGCATGCAATCCGTTTCTCTGTTTTTAATTACGATTTCTATAAGAAAATTAGAAAGATGACGTTGGGTTCTAGCAGAACCACTTTTCACAAAGAGCCAGAACCCCTGGCTGTGGGCAAATGCGAAGACTTCTGGACAGAGAATCGAACCCAGCACGTTGGTGCGCTTGCGGGATGGCACAGCGACGAACTCTTCCACGCGGATGACGGCGGGAGGTATATTCATTTTCATGCTTAATGCCGTTGCACTTGCCGAGACGTGCTGCAAGTAAGCAAAAACATCTTCATCTTCGTGGCTATCAAAAGCAGATGATATGATCTTGATCTCATTTCAAGGATATTGTATTTGACGTGTTGGTGGTTTTGTGAGATAGGCATTAGATTCTGGGACTCTCTACAGTGGAAACGGGAAGACTCCCTATTTTTTGAGACTAGAGAACCGTCTCTTTGCTCTGCCTCGCGTACTCTACTTTGACCCGTCCACAAAGACGAGCCCCTATCATGTAGTCACCTGAAGCAGACGTTGTGTGGTCTCACTCTCTCGTTTGTCGTCTGAAAATGGAACCAGAAGAACACACACTCATTACCACAGCGGGAAAGCGTACCCGGCAAATGAGACGAAAGCTGTAGCCACAGCAGAGGAGACGCAAGCTGTAGCCCGAGCAGAGGAGACGCAACCTGAGAGTGAGACGGAAGCCGAAATTTCGACCGCGCAGACCAAGAAAACGAAAAAGAAAAGCAAGAAAAAGCCGGTGGCGCCGTGTATTAGATTAAAATCCTTCTTGTGAATATTTACTGGTTCTGTTCTTAACGTTTCGCTGAATTATTCTGAATTTACGCTGATAGAAAATTTCGCTAAGAAGTTGACCTTTGCACGTTCTTATATCAACATCTAACTTTTCTTCATCAATTTTCAAATCCACGTTCTTCTCCACTTTTACCTCGACAGCCAATGGGAGCAGCGTATTGATGGATCCTTCAGCAATGTTGCGTTTGGGCTCTGCTCCAGAGCAGTTGACGAAAAACGAGGAGGCTAGCGGAGACGGAAACTCTACATTTGTCGTAGGAGACGAAACCACTTCGACTGTCATGGAGCAGGATCCAAGCGGACATTCCAAGGCAGCCAATGATTCTCTTTTGCTTGAGGAGAACAAGAAATCATCATCGCTGGACGAAACTGCATGCAGGTCCAAAGATACAACAACCTTAAGGCTTTTCTGTGCCATCGATTACGTTTTTCGTGAGTCAAATGACATAGTAATGACGTGCTCTCCTCTGAGTTGTAGACTTCATTCTTGTGTACCTAGGTTTTTATGCACAATAATTACTACAACATCCCATGCTGCATGTCATGTAATCATGTCAATCATCCTCTTTTCTGGACTATCTTTCTGTTGATTTTTTTTTGAAATATAGAATATCTAACAGCGGGAGCATCGGAGCGAGGTGAGGTTGGTGCTGTCATCGAAAAAAGCGCTACGGTGTTGTCGTCGACTTGCGAATCGAGCGACAGCATTACTTTACTAGAAGCGCTACCTGCAGAAAAAGCGAATGAACAAGCGGACGAGAAAAAATAAGAGACAACATTTTGTGTTTCAACAACTTCACTCTTTCTTTCTCTTCCACATTTTGAGAATCTCCTGAAAAGCTAGATTGCCTCGTTTAGATAGACTTGTTTGCTTGCAAAAAAAGACCCTTTTGCGGAAGTATTCACTCGAAAAGCCCAATATAAAGAACAAGCTGCAAAGGGCTCGGTGACCCTTCTCGCTGTTGTATCGACCCTTGTAGTCGAAAGAGCCGCCCAACCTCGTCCAAGAGAAAAAAATGGACTGGCTCGCAAAGAGGTATAATATCCTCTAAGAAAACAATCAGCACGTTCGGCAGCCCAGAACAAATACTACGAATCAGACTGAGGAGTCGGATGAGGAGGATTATCCTAGCGGGCCACAGAATGCAGCGGATGCAGATGACGCCGAGATGGAATACAATCCCTATGTCTGGTTTCAGTCTTTTAACGTCATAATTTCATGATCATCAGTATCTTGATACTTTCTAAACTCGATTCTGAGATTAATTGATCCGCTGATATGCCTCAACATCCATAAGTATCTTTTGTTGTGATGTGTCGTGAACTATCGGTGTCTTCTCAACTTGTTCAGACTCATTCTCCTGAGAGCCAAGTGAAGTGAGGGAAGATGCGACGCCTCAATAGGCAAATAATGATGATGAACACAAACTATCTCTAAAACACTGCGAATGGTTCGTCCTTGGCGCGCGTGGGTCGTCGTGGCCATGTTCCCAAGTCCTCACCGAAATCCTCGCCACCGCGTTCGTCTTCGAAGTCTTCGTCACTCACGCATAGTAGAGGCAGTAACAGCACGACTAAGCCATCGGGTAAGAAGCGGGCTGACAGCACAAAGCTGCCGAACGCGCCCTCATCGGCAACTCGCGAGTCGCGCCAGCGGACGCGCTCCGCTTGGACAGGGATGCAGCCTTCGTTTGGGGCGACGGATCGTTCGAACGCCGGCGATGCGGCGGGCTTGCGTGCGCGCGGCGCGAGCGCGGCAGCGGCGCTCTCGGGGGGAAGCGGCACTTCGCAACTCGAACCGCCAGAACCGCCGCCAGCAGTGACGCATCGGGCATCGCTTGCGGCGCAACAGCAACACCACATGTATATTTAAGGCTTGAGAATATTCATCTCCCTCAACATCTTGGTGCCGTTCTGAAATTCGAATGCGCCCCACGATGCCAACCGGGATGGAACTAGCTAACGTCTAATCTGTGCCGACTGCAGCGTCCAATGCAGTGCAGGCACAACAGGCCTATCAGGCGCTGCAGTTGCTGAAGCTGCAACACCTGCAAGCGGCACAACATCACACGCAGCAGCCGTCACAGGATATGCAACCACAGCAAGTATTGACTCAAGCGCACCAGCTGCAACAACAGCAGATTCAACAGCAAATGCAGATGAATCACGAATACCAGCAGCAGCAGCTTCAGCAGCAGCAAGCACAAAGGGTGCACGAATACCAGCAGATGCAACAGCAAGTGCAGATGAATCACGAATACCAGCAGCAGGCTCAGCAGCAGCAAGCGCAAAGGGTGCACGAATACCAGCAGATGCAACAGCAGCACCAAGCAGTAAATCACGCGCACCAGCAACATTCGCAGGTGAACCAAGCTTCATCTACTCCTGAGCAGTTGATGTACGCGCAGAGCGAAACGCAGCAAACTGGAATGGTCCAGCCTTCCCTAGCTGCGCAGCCGCCAGTGCCGCCGTACCTTCCATCATCCGTCCCCGGGTGTGAACTGCAGCTAGCCCCACAGTTGGGGATGCAGTACTCAGCCCAGCAGTTAACGATGCACAATCAGGAGGTAACTCAGCAGCACATGGCACCTATTACTGCAAACACTGTCGTTGGCGCTTCGTTTGCTACCGGCAACTGTGTTGCTCAAATGCAAAACGACTACACGACAAACGCAAATGCACCACAGTCTAGCTACGGCGGATGTGGCGCAGTCAATGGGCATGAAGCTGCGTGCGCAGCCTATAATCCCTGGCCGCAACAGGAACAGCAGCAGCAATACCAGGTAGGAGCCTCGCAGGAGCAATCTACTAACAACGGGCAAGCGGACCAACAACAGTGCGCACAGGGGTGGCCTAGTACAAGTGCGCATCAGCAACAAGCTCACACTTTCCACTGCGCTGGAGTGTCTTCCCACCAAGAGCAGGAAGCAGCGTCTTCCCATCAAGTACAAGGCAACGCATCTTCTTACCAAGAGGGCCAGTCTTATGCGACAGAGTTTGCTGGGGGCGGCGGGTGTGGCGTCGCAGAAGAATCTAACAGTGGCAAATCGCAGCACGCGACGACGTCGGGGGAGCACGATCGCAAGAGCAAGAAAGGCAAAAAAGCAGCAGAGAATGATGCCGAGGAATATGAAGATCGCACGCACCCACTTTTCGGCAAGATTCTGCGAGGAAAAGTCACAAGCGTTCATGAGCGCGAAACGTAAACTACTAACATTTTAATAGATAGTAGAAAGTAATGATGTGGTATGTAATTGGCTGATGCCAGTTTTTTGAGCAATCGGCACTCACAACTGCTTCTTCATAAGCCACACCCATATCGGACTTTCTTAGTCCAAACTTCAACATTTGCTACTTATCCAAAAATGAGAACCAACGTGGCCGCGAGGTTTTCGGACGAAAATTCTCTATCAAAAAAAGGGAACGCACGTCGTCTTCTATGACCATTTAATATGCAACAAAACCAGGTCCTTTTATGGCTTCATGAAGTTCGACGGTTCCGAGAAATTTCCCAAAGACGCACACTTCCGAAGCCAGGACTTTCGGCCACGGCTGGATAGTGTCCGGGAACTTATTCCATTCTATACGGGTACTTTGGTTGTAAACATGAGTTTTGAGGGTGATTGTCACTGCTTCATTTTTTTTGGGGATAAGGTGACACACCGTTTCGTCTAGCCGGCTAGAATTATCTACACTAGTTATAGATGCACTGGAATGGAATGGCTCTAGGAAAATAATCCTCTTCAGTGGCTTCAGCATTTGAGACTTTCAGCTGTCAGAAGAAGGTAATGAAGATATTGGAGTAGCGTCGTTCCGAAAACATCTGTACAGCAGTGTTGGCTTTTCATCACAGTATTGCCTCTCTCAACGCCTATTTCAGATGTAGAATTCGAAGCCCGAGTTGTCTGGAAGCAGAAGAATCAGAAGCGTGAGCGTCGAATGACAGCGCGTACTTGCAGAATCGTTGGTGGTATCGCTGACAAGAACAGCGCACAGGCCGGTCGCGGTGGGAATGTGGTCTCCTCCACTAGTGGGATGAAAATGGAGCAAGAAGCCCCTGCTTCCGAGCCCGATGCAGTCGACCGCCTGTTAGCGCGAAAGAGAACGGCCGCGCTTGCCTACGACTCACCCAAAAAGGGGAGCGCATCTCAGGAACAATGCGGCTCAGCAGGTGGTGAACCAATCAAGGGTGACGATACAGCGGCAAATGCAAACGACGCGGCCGGGAAGGATGAGGCTTTTTCTAGTTGTGCATCCTCTTCGGCTTCTCCACCTTCTCTTCCCCTTATTGTAGCTGATTCCACGTCGGGCGGAACACAGAAGCGCGACGACTGGTCTCCGGACTTCAGCGAGGAAAGCGAGCCTTGCGCCAGGAGAGAGCCGAAGTACAGGGACGGAGCCGAAATACAGGGAAAATTCAGTTTGAGGGAGTTCGAGCGAGCCGCCTCTATTCTGTCCGTGAAGTTGCGCGAGACTTTTTCCATGCACAAGCGAGCCCGGCAGATGATCTGTCCCAGGGCGCAGCAACAACCCAGCAGTGCCGTAACCGACGCGGATGAACCACAAAGGAACGCGGAGAGCGACGGAAGAGTGGAGTTGTACGACAAGCAATTCGTCTCCATTAACAAGTTGGTCAACGAGTTCGACTTGACGCCGGAGCAGACGGCGCGTTTCATGCGGTGGATGCAAGAAGCGATCAAGTGCCGAGCAAAGCTTTCCGAGAGCGAGGAGTCGGACACATCAGCAAAGCACACTGCACCGCCGTCCGAGGAAAGCTGGAAAGAGTACAACCAGGCCATGGACGTATTCGAGCAACGCTTTCAAGAGGAGACAGCAGAAATCGACAGGGCGGTGCTTCTTGCTAACTCCTACCCGTCTCCGAGCTCGTGAGCCCAACACAAAAGGGCTTCCTGAGATTGTCTTCACTAAGTAAGCACTTGATCATTTTCGGTCCAAAAAGTATATGAGAGGGTGCAAGTCTTCGCGCTGCCCCGATCACCCTCAATTCCCTACCTACCGACATAACCCGCCCCCAAGAACTCAGAATTTTCCATCTATATCTTGCTTGTCTAAAAAACAAAAACACAAGGTTTCGTCTTCCCTGTAGCATTTTCCCACAGAAATGAACTTGTGTTCGTGATTGTGTTCGTCTGTGAGATAGTGAAAAGATGAACGCTTTAAGACTTTTTGCATCGAGGAGACCGTTCGCGAACCAGTGATGCACCCAAACGAAAGACACTGGGCGCACGAGAGACAGATTCAGATTCGAATCACAAGGAATAGGAGTGATGTAAGATAATATTCCTGTGGTGTCAATATCAAGAAACCCTCATATATTATGGAATCGAGCTGCGTGTGGATCTTAGTCCGTCGCTCAAAGATATTGTGAGAACATTGCGAGACAACTTCTACGCGCTAGTTCATTCACGAACATCTTTGCTGCGAAGTATGGTCTGGAGGACAGCCGCAATACGATAATGAGCGGTAGTGCGACGAGTACTATTATTAGAAGAAGAACAAAGTACAAGTAGAATGCATCGTACGACGTCAAAATTTAGATATTAGGCTTTACGCAGACCGCCTTCGTGGTGTTGCCTGCAAAGTCATTTCGTGAAATAAAGCTATCGTTGTTTATATAGAAGTCATCATCATCTTCGTGGAAAAAGGCACCAGCAATGATGTTCTTGCGTTGCTTTCTCGTTCAATATCTGGCGTCGTCTACTGTGCTTGCGGGGTCGCTTACCCTTGACGCGGATGACATTCAGTTGCGCGAAGGCGAAGACGTCAACGCGGCGGTGGAGCGCGTAATGCAGAAAATAATGACGGACTCCGAGCAAAATCGGCACAAGAAATTGCATGCGCGGGTTCAACAACAGAAAGCGGCAGACCGCTACAAAGACCCGCTCTCGCCGGAAGAGAGCGAATACTTCGTCAATTACGAGGCTACGGGAGTACATCGCGACATGATCCTCGACCGCCACCGCACGGGTCAGTACAAGCTCGCCATAGAGGCTGCCGTAGCTGCCCGTCGCAGAGAACAAGGCCTTGCGGCCCTTGTATCCTCTACAACCGATGTTGAACTGGAAGACTCTACCAATAAGAAAGCAAAGGATGCCACTGTTACCGAAATGCCGGACGTTCCGATGCGAAAGACTACGAGCACTTATGGTAAGCTCATATTCGTCTCTCTCCGCACCTTTTCGGTATCCTTTTGTTCCTATATAGATACATACAAAGAAAAAAGTACCGAAGTGAGTGGACCGGGAGGACTTTCACCACACTCTAAGTCACAGAGTCTAGCTCAGAAGATCAGATGGAAGAAGAGGAGGATGGAAGCGAAGACGAGGACACGATGAGCAGTGAAGATGCTAGTACGGCAATCGTAAATGGACCCATCGTGGTAGATTTCGGCTGCGGAACAGGAATACTCAGTATCTTTGCAGCACGCGCCGGGGCAGGGCGCGTTTACTGTGTGGAAAAAAGTAGAATGCGTGCGAAGGCTAAGCGCGTGATTCGGAAGAATGGGTACATCAAAAATTGAATCATGTTCATTACATCCGTGTTAGTGTTTTCTAGGCGCACTGGCGGAGCCGTTTCGCATTGCCGGTAGTTCAGGAAAACTTTGAGAGATGGGATAATGATGATTTATCCTAAGTCTACCACCATGTTATTGCTATCTACTTGTCGATGATTTAGTGTTGGGGGCTTGCTCCTTGCTGCTGCAAAGTAACAAAAATCCGTCCCTTTAATAAAAGGCTCGCTGACCGGATCAAAGTAGTGTCGTCTATGGAGAAGGTGCCTGCTGGTGTCGCTGACATATTGGTTTCGGAGTTTATGGGATTCATGATCCTTGCTGAGGACATGCTGGGCGATTTTCTCACCGCAAGGGACCGCGTACTCAAGGATGAAGGAACGCTTATCCCGTCTCGCGGAGCCGTGTGGGCCCAGCCGGCAGCAGATCCCGTCTGGTGGCAACAAAACGTAAACTGGCCAGCTAGTATGAGAGCTGCATAATATGTTTAACTGATAGCAATGTAGATGAAAGAATCTTTCATCTTGTCGCGTTTGACTTAAATATCTTTTTCTGTGCGTTTCGCGTATAAGCCCTGCTCAGGATTTACTTTTCTTCATCGTCGACAACGAGTATGGTATCGATTTTTCACCGGTGGTGGAGGACCGCAGAAATGATACAAGTCCCGCACGGTTCGGCCATTTTGGAATATTTCAAAACCAGAAACTTCTCGGCGAAAGAAAAGCGGTATCGTATTACACTAGTGCCGTCGTCCACACTTGTTGTGAAAGTGGCTACCTTGATGTTAAAAAAACTTTATGATTCAACGAATTGCATAGAGTAAGGTATTAGCTGATTGTTTTTGGTCCGCACAGGGAGATCTCACTTATGTGTCAACAACTCTCTTTCCGTTCTGCGAATTTCAGAAAGAGTCACTTTTGAGACGACGACACTGAATCATATCAGATTTGCGACCTTGACTTTGAGTCGGACAAGTACGACGAAGACTGGCAATGCGGACATTCGTCGAAACGGCCTCACCGGTGGCAGGAAATAGCAGACAACTGGCATGGATTCCTTATCAGCTGGTATGTGCATTTGTACGACGATATCTACCTAAGCACGCATCCGCAGGGCGGTGTCTCTGACGACTACTCTGTGGACGACTCTCGGGGAGATGCAACACAGATTAAGGCTCAGAAAATTTTCAGTTTTTCCATCAAGGGAACGGGAGCGTCTCTAGCAACAACCTTCACTATTCGACTAAAAAAATGACCAGCGATGCGAAGAAGTCTGGGCTTGGACAAGCTCTAATGTAGAAATGAGTGCAAGCGGAAGAGCAAAGGCATCACCTTCGAAAAAGGGGGTGAGCGCGGAGTCAGCTGCGTGGAGTCATTGGGGGCACTTATTTTGGCCGCGCCCCCTAGACTCCCACGTCGGAAGCGGGAGCGTTGCGCACAAGTTGGAGCTGGGCGCATTTTTAACGCGCGCCAAGGTGTACAAGCACGATTTCACATATGGCACGAAATTCATCAGTACTCATCGTACTCAAGAACCAAAGATGAAGGCTTCCGTGATGATGGGGCATGACGATCTAAGGAGCACACGATTTCCGCAGAATGCACTCGTCACTCAGCTCACTTAGATTTATCCCCTGAAGATCATGTAGGATTCTTTATTACCACCTCTGCAAAGACAAAGTATGAGTAAGGAAAATTGTCTCTTCATATCGTCCTGCGCTATCGCTACGCCGGGGAGTCGGGGGTCGGCGAACGCGTTCTCAGGGAGCCAGAGCTAACCGCAGACCTGTTGTCCATGGAGGACGCAACTCAGACGAAGCGTCTCTACACGGCGATGCTCGCTTCAAAACAAAAACAAGCGCAGCACGAGCGCCACAAACAAAAACGCCATACAAAGGGGACCTCGAAGAACAGGAAAACCACATCTTCTACCTCTAAAAATGAGAATAGTAGGTCCAACAAGCGGTCTGGCGGCACGACAGCCACCGGTGAACTCTGAGAAGTGCGATGAATTCTTCTCGCTCTGGTTGGGTGTGACTACTTCAACCTCCGCTACTTCAATTTCCAGCAATTTCGACATGATACGAATCTTTGATTTTGGTATGCTTTATAGGAATGATCCCCTTTCTGATAATGATACTCGAGTTGACAAGAGTTTCCGGATGCAAAAGTGAAAAATGCTGGTTTAGAAACTAAGTACAGAGATACGTTTAAAACGTTGCAGTATGCGAGATTTAGAACAAACGGGCGTTCGTAATCCATGCAAAGAATGTTCGGCGAGCGGAAAGGGAACTTTCACTCTCGTGAGAGAGCCCATAAAGATTAGTCCGAGAGTCTCTGTGGGTGCCGCATCAGGACACATTGAGGATATGAGTCACAAGATCGGTGAAGATGATGCGTGGGTTTTCGGGTCAATCCGTAATATAAATTGTAGAGTAGAGGTTCTAAACTGTCTCATTGAAGAAAAAATAGAAAGCCAGTCATAAACAGATAAAGAGTACTCTCTTCCTTGTGGTGCAGTGTGCATTCAAGTTAATCTGCGCAAAATTGTGAAAAATCTGTTGAGTGACACGATCTGCAACCGAGAGCTGCAGGTTTGTAGAGAATCTGCACGTACTGAGAGAGACTCACTTCGGGTATGTGAAGAGTGAAAAGAGCACCGCTTTCATTGCCGAGAGCACAACTGACCAGATCCGCACTTTTCTTCGGTACAGATGAGGTTTTTCCCTGGCTATATTGCCTATCTGTTTCTGTTTTGAGATGCTTTTCGCCTTCTACTGGGCGAGTTCTATGTTCCTACATCTACTTCAAAAGCAAAACGCCTGTTTGAAAAATTACAATGGTGTCTAGTTCAAAAGATCAGTGACTCAACCAATTACCAAGATTTTGATTTTTTTCCCAGTCTGTGAGTATTTGCCAGACTTCCCGTTTTGGATGTATTTAGTGGGGCAACTAATGAATTTTTCGCAGTAGAGTGATTGGGACACATCGTTCTGAACAACTACATGATTTATCAGATGTTGAATAACGCGTACACGAAACTGACAGTCGAAGCTGCATAACATACAACACCCATTGTTCCTTCATCGTGATATTAAGACTCTAAATACGACGCATCAAGACTCTCGTAGTACACTGAGTCTGCTTTGTATACTTGTAGAGCAAATACTAGCAGCTTTAGTCCCGTTGCGTCCACCAGACGATCAATCAAAATGGCGTCGTTGGGTAAGAGACAGACAGTGACGATCTCGCAGGAAGCCCGCAACCGTATTGCCAAGGAAGGGATCCGACCGGCAGAATGGCTGGAGCAGACGAAGAGCCAGAGGCGTGTGGGCCTGTGGCAGGATTTGGTGTTGGACTACCGCGTGCTGGACACCGTGTTGGTGTTTAAGAAGTTGCTGGACCCGGGACGCTTGGCCGAGTCCTTGTCCGCGACACTGGCGTGGTATCCCTGGCTTGCCGGACGGCTGAATAATGGCGTCGATTCGCCCATCGAGGGCTTGACGAAGAAGGAGCGCCAACAGGCAGAGACCCTGGCGGCAAACGCAAAGACAGGCAAGTGGGTAGACCACAACAACAAGGGCGTTTCCTTTGTCCTGGCCACGATGGAGAACGTCGGTTGGCCCGATTTGGTCGATTCCGCGACGATCCAGTACTCCACAGGCGGCGGGGCGGGCCACCGGGACAATTTGATGAATTTTAAGGACTACTGCGATCTGGAGCCAGAGATGGCCAAGCGAATGCTCTCGGGCATAGCGCCATTGGTCACGGTTCAATTGACGAAGCTGCAGCGGGGAGGCTGCGCCCTTGGAGTGGCCATGTCGCAAGCCGTCGCGGATGCGGAATCCTTTAGAATGTTTTTGCAAGACTGGAGTTTGGTATTAACTTAACTCTTCTCGGCTTTACTCCCTTCGTTCAAAGGTGATTGGTCTCTAACTAATGAAACACGATTCTCATTTCCACCTTATTGAGCTTATACCGAAACGACAAGTGTGAGCATCCCGGAACTACATGCCCTTCTTTATTTAATACTTCCTTCTGCAACGTTAAAGTTCAACAAGTATGATCTCATGACGGTTTGTTGTCCCGTGCTCATTTCAGGTCTACCAAGAGGGAGGGCGATTGCTGGAACCGGTGGCATTTTTGCCAGACTCGATGGTTCTACCGCAAAGGCTCTCGTCTCAATTGATGAGGGAAGCGATGCAGCGACTGGGCCTGATGAAGCTAGAGCCCGGGCTTTCGCAGCAGTTGATCAAGGAGAGCAAGGCCGCCCTGGCGGCAGCTGCAGCCCATAGTGGGAAGCGCGTGGAACGCCCACCGCATGTGAGATTGACGCTATCGCGTTTCCACCGGGACACGCTGCAGCACGGAGCGCAGCAAGAACTGGGCAAGAGGGGAACGCGCGAAGTGACGATTCAGGAAGCAGTAATTGTTCACATCTGGAGGCTTCTACTGGATACATGCGATTTCTCCCGCTCCGAGCGAAAACACCTCTCGCTTCTCCTCAAAGTGGATCCCCGCCAATTTTTGGACCCACGACAATTTGACGTGCGGGTACATTTTCTATCTTCTCAGGAGCTCGTGAATGAAAAGAAACTGCCCTAGCATGGAAATACTCACATGGTTTGGTCAAATAGAACATGGGAATGTATCCTAGGGGTATGGCTTCATCTGCGTCAAATGATGATTTAGATTTCCTCCTTTTTATGGAAATCTCACACATGATTATTGTCATCGCCATCATCATCTCCACGCTCTTCTGAAGCTTCGAAGCATGTTTCTATTGAATCTCGTCACTCACCATTTTCAGACTTTCGGCTCGGCGACTCTGGGTGTGCCCATGGCCGTGGACATGAGCGGTGAGAACATAGGTGTGATGGATGCCTTCCATCATGCGTGCGATGCCGTTCTGACAAATGAGTACGTAGCTGCGGTGCTGCAACTGGATCCGCACATGTTTCCGGACGATCAGGCTAGCGGACGCGTGTTGTTCAACCCGATGGTTTCCACCGAGCAGCCCGGTTGCCTCCCAGAGGTGTGGATGTGCAGCGTGCCATTAGGCACGGACGCAGTGGCCACGGAAAGAGCTCAAGAGGCCTATGCACAGAGTGGCCAAGTCAACGCGTTCCAACCGTCACTTTTGACCTTCGGCGTGGACCTCGTGCGAAGCGAAACCTGCTATAACGGCGAAGCGATGAAGATATGTGAGCGAGTGGACGGTGGCGTTGACATCTACCTCTCGGCGGTTCCCAAAGCCTTCTTCAACGCGTGGCCGCAGGTCACAAAGAAATTCCCAGGACCCGGTTCGTTCATCGCGGAGGTCCTTAAGCGACACAACGAATGGCGCGATCGACTCCAGCCACCCCGCCGCAGTGCCTTCAACTTTGCCATGGGCCACCACGGATGAGTGCTAATCGCTAGTTGAAAGTAGATGAGGGTTTACTTTACTCTAAAAGTAAGCAAAAATGTTTGTGAAATATGATTTCGAGTTTGGGTAGGTAGCAAGATGGGAAGAACACCCTGTACCTTACGGCTTTTGATTTCGTTAGCAGATAGGAGGAGGGAGGTGCCATAAAATGAAAAAAGATAAAGACATGAATGCTTAGAAAAGCCAGCGTGGTGATTAGTTAGCACCATGGACTAGTGTCGAAAAATGAATACTTCGTGTGACATGAATAGAATAGAAATTTTCTTTTTGCTGCTTTATTCTCGGACGGACGGCCCGAAACTTGAACGTTGTGATTGTACAGATTGTTGAATTGTTTTTGAGTTGGCGCGGATTTCCGTAGACATATTTTTAATGTAAAGTCAGTGTAATATCGCCGCCCTTTGCTTTTATTTAAATGGATGTTGCCTGGCGGTAGGTCTGATCGTACTGTTGACTAGATGGTATTCTAAACGTATAATACGGTAAGTTGTTTTCACTTCATTACAACCGGGGTGGCCTACTTCGTTAATGAATTCTTCCGATGGTTAGCGCTGCGCTTGTCGCTGTGGAAAGTAAGACAAGAAGCGAAAATGCATATAGAAAGTGCATTTTGTCGACTACGCCCGGCGACGGGGAGATGGAGTCACGTCCCAACGAATGAATGAATGAATGAGTGAATGAATGAAGGAAGAAAGGATAAGTATGCAACAACGAAGTGCCGTTTAGGCGCATGGCGGAGGACTGCACGAACGCGATGGAGCGTTCGTTCCCTCTACCAACGGACTTTGCACTATCGAGTATGTGGCACAAGAGGAACAAAGGGAGGGAGAGAGAGAGAATGAAAACAACGCGTAGAGTACGTAGTGAATGACCATACAAGGGGCTGGTGCTCACCCGTGCTTTAGTGAAAATCTTCGAACGTCTGCTGAAGTGCGCATCTTTTTCTGCGAACAAGCAAATCGAAACAGAAAATCTCACAATCACAGTATGACTAATTCCTAGACGGCACGTGTATTCAGCAGGCTGCTCTGGCTGTTTGTTGTTCTGCTTGTTGCTGCTGTTGCTGCTGCTCTTCGTGTTGTCTACTAACTGTACTAGAAGGTCCCCAACGCGGGACATCGACTCCTGCATTTTCTGGTTGCGGTCCTAGCGCTAGCGGTACCATCAACATTAAAACCGTACAGGAATGAACAGAAACTATCCAGGACAGACAAAGACGAGCGCTGCTTTCAGGCTCAGGGAATTCATCTTTGAATATTTACCTTCCACTCAACATAGTCATAGACCAGCTGCATTATCGTTTTTTTATTGTATGTAAGAATCTCGTAAAAATCGCGCCAACAGGTTATACTCATCATCATCTTCATACTGACTAAAAAATCTGAAACGAATCGGCAAGCCAAAACAAGTTCCAAAATGGACGACGACATGAATGGTGACGTCCGCGCATTTGATGTTGGCCGCAACCTCAACCGTCGCGCAGCATTTTTTCTCGGACTTCTCTCGTCGGCTTTGTTCATGCTGCTTACGCTTTTACTTTATGCTATGCACCACATGATGGCGGTCGGTTTCCTCGTCTATCCGGCTCCGAAATCGTGCTCGTGCGCCAAGCCAGCTGCTGAGTGGCTCTTTGCTGGAGGAGTGCTGTCCGTGATTTTTGCGAATCTGGGTGCAGCAGCGGCGCCGATTGCGCGGATGTTGTTGTTCTTGGACGTGTTGTGCGATGCCATGTTCACCAATGTCGATGCTGGAGCAGATTTGCAAGACAATGCTCGAGCTGATTTGCAAGACAACGCTGTAGCTGATTTGCAACACTTGCGAGGGGAATTTGGACGCTTTCGCCGCCTAGCTCGCGCGGAGGAGCAGCGGCGTGTGATGCGTGGTCCCAGGAAGACGGTCGAACAGATGGAGGAGGAAACAGGATGCATTGTTTGCCGCAAATGGCTACGCAAGGGATACTGCCTAGAGGGCTGCAAATGTGAAAACTGGCATCCAGAAGAAAAGGACTTCTATCCCATGATGCTGCCCCTTCCGGTCGATCCGACTCGTGCCCCACAAGTGCCGTTGCGGTTCCGCTGAAGCCGGTGATTAAAAAACAAAAAGTGGAGAAGATTACAAGAAAGCTCAAAAATGTTATCATGAACGATAAAGTTGTGGAGCGACTCTGAAAAAGTGGCGTGTAAGGGGGTGGTCTCTGGACGTCGCTCATCTTCAAAGCCGTGTGGAGGTGGAGGCTTATGAGGATTTATTGATGGTGCATTTGTAATTTCAAAACTGAGTCAATGAGTGTCTTTGTTCTTGTTGGCCGTGTAATAAATCAAATAGGTTGCACGATGATCATGTGATTGTGAAGTAGATGATTTGAATGTTGTATCAATCGAAGTTGAAGAAGATTTCTTCTCGATCATGGAAGACGCGTGAGGTTGCGTTCACGCACAGCTTTGCTTGTTCTCTTCATATCGTGGAGATACAAATAAGTAATGAAAATGAACGTCGATCTACTTGTTGATGTTGAAGAAGATTATGGTCTTACTTGTCGATGCTTGAGTTGTTGAAGATCGACCTAATAAATGTATTTCGCATGTGATGGGAATGTAGTTCCTGAAGAACGCTTTCCCATTCATGTTTTTGTAACGTGTCTTTGCTCGTAATCTATGTTGATGTTATTTGATTTGTATTTTGATTTGTATTTGTTCTTTGTTCTCTCTGTATTTAACATTTATGTAGGTCGATTTGTTCTTTGGTCTTGGTCTGGTCTTCTTGTTGTGACTGCTTGTGTACTTATTAAAAAATTGTTGATGAACGTAGTTTAATTTAGATTTTTCTATTAGTTACCCCTATGCTTACCGCAGGTGGCGGCTCTGGACTTGAGGGAGCTTCTGAGGTGAAACCACACGTCTAGAAAGACAAAATGAAAATGATGCGTCTTGCACTCTTGACAAATTATATCTTAATGTCGGTATTTTTTGGATGCAAACCGAGGACATCCTGACTATGAAGATGACGGGTATTAAGCAACATATTTGAAGATGATGTACTTCTTGTGGGGTCCTCACGAGTAAGCCGCGCTACCTTGATCGGAGATGATGATGGTTCGAAGAAGTGCTAAGGATGTAATCACGCAAATCGCGAGATGGTAGACCTAGAGATATACATAATTAAAGGGGTGAAATGAATTACGAATCTAAGACTAAGTCAGATCAGGCAACACGAACGGACAACAAGTCGTTCGGCATACAGTAGCACATAGAATTGAGGACACGACGAGATGATATGACAGATTCTACCACTTCTCGACGCGTTCCCTCAAGGCTGAGCTTCAAAAAGACATAAAAGCTGACGACGCTGCTTTCTATTTTCTCTAGGCTTTCTTCGATGTGCTGCTTCGTCTCCTGCTGACGAGCTGCCTGGCGGTGATGGCTTTCTTGGTTAACTCGAAACTTCCGGCGGTACCGCTTGCATTTCGTCTATCCTGGTGTACTGGTCTTCCTCTTCCCTTTTCTTCGCGTAGCATCATGGTAGCATATGCGCTGGCAACTCTCTCTGAGGTGCTTTGCCTTGGTAGCTATGCAACAGACAAGCGCTTCCGGCGGCGTGAGGCTCTCGGGAACAATGGCCCAGTCGATGAAGGTCAAGCATTGATGTGTAAGTTGAATGCGGATTGAGTGAATCTCCACGGTTTCCTTGCTAGATCTTTGCTTTTCTTCGTTTCTTGCTGTATCATCTTTCTCTCTCGTCTCTCGTCGGCGGACCTTCTTTCATTTTTGACTGATCTCTCTCGCTCTGTTAACTTGTCCGAGCACTATTTAGTGACCTAGCGTCTTACTTTATGATTGACTTCGCGCCTATGTACTATTAACTGACTTCGCGTCTTTTCACTAAGTACTGACTTCGCGTCAGTCTATTCACTAGCTGACTTCGCGTCTTCCCCCTATTATCGACTTCGCGTCTCCTATTCCCTTCGCCTGTTATTTGTGATTTCGTATAAATCTAGAGATCCTCATCTTGCACTAGTGCACTGGCGCCGTCTCGGGTAAGTATATGCCGGGCCGGCGCATCGTCCGCGAAAGGTAAGACTTCTCTGCGCCCACCCCAGCTGATGCGCTGTGCCTCTGGCCGAAGACTTTGAAATTGAAAAAGTACGTAGCGAAAGTGGGAAGCCCCAGAAAAAAACGCTAGTGATTGCCTACTGCTCTGCAGTTGCCCCTGGCCATGGGTGCTGCTTTTCTAGAAACAGAGAAGTTACATGCTTGTGTGGCTGGCTAGAACATGGCATCATCGTCGGACCCTACATTGATTTCTGATTAGTTGTAGACTGAGCCAGTACAACTATCTTCAGTACAAGTAGTTGCGAATGTACAGGATCAGCGTACTTAGACTTACCTACCATGAGGATACACATCTTCAAAGAGAAATACTTGTAGTTGTACGAGAGGAACAACAGAAGCAGGAAGATGAATTCAGCTCGTCTCAGCGAACAAAACATCCGAATATGCTGTCGGATTCGTCCAGTCATGATCGGCCCAGAGGAGAAGGGGGCGGGCGTCGTGGTAGAAAAAGAAGACGACAAGCACCTTGCGCTTTACGATCCGCGACACAAAGGTACACGCCTAGATTCAGCTCTGTAGCTGATAACAACACTATCGTCCTCTTGTCGATTAACAGGGCATTGCCTATCAAAGAGGAACCAAGATGACCAAGATCTTTAGTCTTTCGTGGACGCGGTTTCTTCACCATATTTCTATACGTTCTAGTGTTTTCACGTTTTCATATAGGTACGGATCGACGATTCCAGTTCGACCGAGTGTATATGCAAGAGGATACGTTGGAGATTTTCGAGGCGGAAATTGGGTCTCATGTCAGTCGGCTTTTCGACGGCCACTGTTTGACCGTTTTTGCGCATGGAGCTTCCGGCAGCGGAAAGACTTTCACGATGGAAGGCGCTGGAGCTGAAAACTCACCGGACAACTGTGCGTTGGGACTCACTCCTCTGAGCGTGGAAATGATCTTCCGCTGTATGGATGGAGACCTGCCAGGCACTGAGAAAACCAAGAGGCGCGAGGACTACGAAGTGAGATTCTCACTGTATTGTACTCATTTTTAAAACGCTGGAGTTGAGGGAGAAAATTGGGTGGCCTCACTTCACTACGCGTACGTCTTCCTCTCAAGAGTAGAAAAGGTGAACCATGATTGAAGTTGTCTCGCACTACAGCTGCACCATCGATTATCCAGCATCGATTATGATGGAAGTGAATGTCGCAAACTAGACGCGCGCTGAATTTTGACTCACTCCAGAGAAACCGGATATCTCTGTTGATTCTCAGTCACAACTTTGAATTCTATCACCAATTTCTAGGTATGAGATTTATTGCGAGAAAGTTCGTGATCTGCTTCGAGACACAAAGGATGGAGACGATCGCAAGTACGACGTGGGAGACCTGCCGATCCAGAAGGATTTGGCTGGGTTTGAGATGATCCCGGATCTCGTAGAAGTTCCGATTTCAAGTGTGGATGAGTTTTGGGAGTTATACCAACGCCGCATTCTTTTGCGCAAGAAGGGCCGGACGCTGCTGAACGAAGAGAGTTCTCGCTCGCACGCATTTTGCGTCGTGAAAGTGGTGAAAAAAGGGACCGGAGGTGGAGATGAAAACTTTGCGAAACTCGGACGAAATGCGCGGGGCGGAAGCTCGATGACCTTCCACGAGCGGCCGAGGCCACCACAAACGGGACGGCTTTTTCTAGTGGATTTGGCGGGATGCGAAGACAACCGCATGAGCGGCAACTCGGGTGTGCGGATGCTGGAATCACAAGCGATCAATGACACCTACTTGGCCCTGGTCAAGGTATTTCACGCGTTGAAGCGGAGACAAGCACTCTCGGCATTTTGTCGCGACGCGAAACTCACAAGGCTGCTACGCGGCGCGCTGGAGTGCAAAAGCAGTCCCTGTCTCGTCATGATCACGGTTCAATTATACAACGAGTTTTTTTCGCTGGTGTTGACTAGTCAACCCGCAAAGAAGACAAACAAAGTAACCCTTTTCCGAGGTACAGCCATCAGTAACAAGAATTACTTAAAATATTACAGCCAAATGCTAATAGTTTTAGTAAATTGTTAGCCTTAATAAATTCCTCTCGTCAAGTTGTGAACACGTTTTCTGCTTCACTTCTATGAAGTTCAGGTTTCTCCTTCACGCTTCCGTTTTCAAGCAACGTTGAACACGTTTTCTTATCTGCAGTTGAATGGTGTTCCACTCGACGGCGATAGTGTGTGCAACGTGTCCGCGGAGGTGGAGAGCAGTGAGCCAGCAGATCGCAGAGGGGCGCTGAAGCGCAACATTAGTTTTGCAAACCCAACGACGGCCCAGCGACGATTGCTGGAGCTACCGGTCGGCAACGGAGGTGGGAGTGGAGGAGGTGGTGGATCGGCAAGTGCGCGCAACACTCCGAGACGGCTTAAGCCACCCGGCGCAGCTGTAGAAGGCGTCAAGACCAGACCAAGACCAGCGTCGAGCTGCGGCGACGCGAGCTCGCGGCACCGAAGCGGCGCAGTGGCTGCTTTCGGCGCAGGACCCAATGGAGGTGTCGGAGAGCCTCATGGCACGAACGTCGCACGGCCAAAGACAAGTGGGGCGGCGCTTAGCAGCACGAACCTGGGACGCATGCGCGGTGGGAGGAGCGAGAATATGCCTCGAATGCGCTCTCCGCGACCGCGCAGTCATCGGGCGCCCCCAGGCAGACCTCCGGACCTTCCCTCTTCCAAAAAGAACGGCAATAGTGCAGCGCCCAGAGCAGCAGGAACACGAGTTAGGGGCGCAGGAGGTGGTGGAACAGCAGAAGATGGAAATAAGGTTGACCAAGACGCTTCGTTCTCGTACAGCCAAGGGGGGGACGACTCTTTTCACTGGGGCCATGGCGACGAATCTTTTCATAGTAACGAAGGTGCGGGAAAGGCGACCGCCTCGAACGACGTCTCGCGGGACGAAGAGAACCCCGCAGAGTTGGACGAGGACTGGACGACGGCCCAGGCGTTGCAGGTGGATGAGTACGAGGCTTTCAATTGCATCGGCGACGAGGCCCCGGACGAGGATCCGAAGTCGAGGGCGAAGGCTGCGGCAGCCCCGACTACAGTTGGAGGCGTTACTTCAGGAGGGGGCGCAGCGTCTTCTTCAGCAGGGCGAAAGCCTGATGCTCATACTAGACACGAGAGCGAGCGACGAAAAGAATTGAATAGTGATTCAAAAGTGGCGGCTGGAACGCCTGGCTTTGGGGTGAACGACTTGGCGGTGGGAGCATCTCTTTCTTCGTCACCGCTCGTTGACATAGAACCGCCATCGCAAAAAGTCGCGCTCGCGCCACCAGAAAATCTACTGCAGCAAAGAGATGAAAATGTCGATGAGAACGTCGAAGTGAGACGAAGTTCAGCGTCGGCATCCTTTAGTAAGAGCAAGCACCAAGAGCCACCAAGCTTTGCTCCCGGTGGCGATGGTGCATTTCTGGATGGCGATCCTGACACCCCAGGAGGTGAGAGCAACTCTGCGTGGCAGAACACACAGAACTGGTCGATGGTGAATCTAGTCTCCTCGCGGCCATCCACAAGGGGGTCCGACTACTTTGCCGCAATACCGCCAGGCGAAATTCTCCCGGCTCCAAATAGTCCAGTCCGAGAGTTTCGTGATTTTGTAGAGGAACAGGAACATTTTGGCGGGAACACCTCATCATCGACAGCTGAGGAAAAGAAACACGATCCACTATCCGCGCAAGGAGGCTCTACTAGGTCCGGGACCAGTTCGGACGGAAGAAGCCGCGATCTAGCTAGTGCGCCTGCAGAGGCAGCAGCACAGGCATCGGAAATAGCTCTTGGCAAAGAGGGTACTGCTGCAAAACCTATTCGAAGCGGGCGTGACGAGCGAAAGAAAGTCGCGCCGCAGTCGCCTCGTGTCCAAAAATTTTTGGAGCAGCCCGACGCCCGCAGCGCAGATTTCGCCACCCGAGTACGAGCTGAGGAATCACTGGCGCAACCATCCGCCCATGTCGAGGATCCAGACACGATCGACAACAATAGCTCGGTCCGAAGCTCGGAAGCATATTCAGATAGATACGGCACTCGTGGTTTAATGGTTCAAATCTTGTATGATCATGCAATGATTCACCAGCTTAAATGTTTAATGGGAAATACGACTGTGCGCTTTTTGCAAGGAGACTTTTATGTACTATGTAGCATTAGACTTCTGCGAAACGAGGAGATCTTCTTTCTTCATTTATGAGAAGCCGATGCGGGCTACAGCGTTTGTCGGCAGGAAGATACATCGAAGGAGACGTGCGCAACAGATGTCGGCGCGGACGGAACATCATCGTCCGCGGAAATGGCAGAGCCTGACTGGCGCAAGCAGGTGGCGCAGGTGGAACAGAACGTCTCTGAGATCAGGAAGCAGCTAGAAAGTCGCGATCAAGAATCGAGGAGGGTGGAACCGGACGACCCGCATGAGTCGGTCAGAGATTCGCGACTAAAGCAGATTCGACATCGGCTCGAACAAAACACAAAAATACGACCACCGAAGCAGCAATATAAAGCCTCGCAGGAGGTACTAGTGGTCATTGACTCGCTTTAATCTATGATGGTCTTTATTTTTCAATGGAGTAACGGAAGTAGCGAATTGAACTCTTGAAGATGTTCATTTTTTGGGTGAATAAATATATAAATATCATTTCTTCACCAGCACGTTCATATCGACTCCAGAAAAATTGACCATTGTGATTATGTAACTCGCTATCACTAGATTTTGAATGGCATGAAGAGCTGTCTGCGGCCGCCGACGACCGTGCGACGAGCAGCGGGTGGTAGCGATCTGAGCACAACGAAAATTGTGCGTGATTATTTTCAATCCCAGGAACAGATGGACCCTAGCAAGACTTGAATTTAGTACTGGGACCGGACATGACCTCCCGGACAAAGCATGAGGGGATAGAGGCTAAATGTAAATGATTTTTTGTTATAAATACTCAAAACCTGCGAATTATAAAGTAGATTGCTAGGGTGAATATTTACGATAGCTGCAGATGTTACTTGATGGTCCTTTATGTAGACAAAGCTCCGTCATCTAGATACTGCTGCTCGATATCACGGTTGACAAAGCTCATTATAATCTGAAAGAAAAAGGCAAGTTTTCCATTCTATTTTGATTTGGTTAGCACCCTTGTTACGAAGTTTCATATGTTATCGAGATGTGATCGTCATCGACGACACTGTTTTCGCATTCGTTATATTCAAGAGCAAACTTAGCTACTTACTTGTCTTGCTATCAGACAAGCGGGATACATGGATATTTGTCGTAGCTGAAAGTCACTGGCGTTGCTGCTCGTGGGCAGCTTCCAAAAGGGAGGCTGCCTTCCTCCTTCGCAGCTTGCACCACGGGAGAAGAAATGAATACGAATGTGCACCCTAGGGGCGCTCCAGCTGAAATAGGTATCTGCATTTCTCTTTCTGAGTTGTGCTTCCAGTCCGTTCCGAAGTGCGTCAGATCTGAAGCCAACGCTAGGTATTGAAGCGGCGTCGCTGATGAAATGAGAGACCCCACATGTCGTCGAGAAAGAAATGAAACTGAAATGAAATCTGTATTCACGAGATGAACAAAGATCAACCTGCATCTGTCGCGAGAGAAGGGTGTCCAGACTGTTAAGGAAAGTTTCTGATTCGGTGAGTAGAGTGAATGCAACGCCAACGTGTAGTTGATATGCCATATAGTTTCAAGATTATCGGAGATCTGTCGTCATAGAGCGCTGATGACAACTGTCGCGATTCCAACCTCTGTACGCGCAGAATAGAGCATGCTTTTGCATCTAGATGTATCTGTTTGTGGAGGACGCAATTTTTGTATGATTAAGTCCAAGTTTGATATTCACTTGTTTTTCGGTTCATAGCATTAAAGAAGTTATTGTCAGTGATTTTTTTTGTTCCTGACCCTTCACACTCGTGTACGTCTTTACAGGTTCGCAGCTTAGTGCTATCTAGAGATAATTAATGATAATATTGTGGTGTAGCCGCGTGGCGTCCTGGTTCCTGCTAACTTTTCAACCCTGCCAAAAATTTTTCATTTATTTGATCAACCGACCGCGGTACAGGTTGTGCTAATTATTGTGGATATATCAGTGTTGTGTGATTCTCAGAAGTGAGTGATCGTGGTACGCAAATTGGTCTCGTTCATTTATTGAATTGTTGTCTTGTCTCCATAATTTGTGTTTCGACGAGGTGCCTACATGCATCGAGTTTTCAAGCACCGCTGTTACGTCGCAGCCTGACATAAGCTAACCTTGAAAGGAAGCGGCGAAAAAATGTTACACGATCCAACCAGCAGCCGAGCTGGCTCCAAGGATAGCGCTCAGGTGCCAACGCAGAAGGTGCATCCTTACGTTTCTAGTGTGGTTGCATTGGAGCGACAGCTGTGCGCGGCGAAGCAGTTCGGTCTTGGTTTGAACGACCGGTCAAACGTGAGGCTCTACGCTTTCAATAGGGTGGCGCGGGGCCGATTCCGTGTCGCCGTATCGTTGTCGCACGAAGAGCACCCTCAAGACCTGGTGGTGGATTACGGCTTGGACGGTGCGCCGGTAGCTACATTTCTTAGACGCTTCAAGGAGCACTGCGCGGAGACCGCGAACTCCCAGCGTGTTTTGCGTATGCAGCGCAGCAAGTATTTGCACTGCGGTTCAGCGGCCACGTATGATCCCGTGGTGGAGAGTCAGATGGTATTCCACGAGCGCATGTGCACTGTGGGTGTGGAAGATATGACGCTCGTGAATGTAGACGCAGAGGACGAGCGCTTTTCTGAGGTTGTTCCCTCGACGATGAACCTGGCATTGTACTGCGCACGAGTCGCGCGACCGGGTCAATCGGCAGCGCTCGCTTCGCGTCTAAAACTGTTGCTTTTTCTCGATCGGGATTGCGGAGACCTTCTGCACGCGCGACAGGACTACGTGCTCTCGAACCGTTTGGATACAGGCGTGGAGCACGTGGATCCCGCGCACAATCGGGCACTGAGGCAGCGGCACGGAAATCATAGCCGCCAAGGTGCCCGTCCGGACTCAACCGGAGCAGAGCAAGCCGCCGACGAGGAGGGAGACGCGATGGGAACTGACGGTGAGCGTGCACAGACGGCGGAACATCCGCCGAGCGCGGCTCCGCGGGACGTACCGGAGGAGGAATCGGACATGGGGATGGAACCAGGTCAGGAAACCGTGCCGCAAGGGAAGATGGGTTCGCGCGCGCATCCGTACTTTGTGCGGACTGCGGGCGAGCATGCAGTGCGCGACGCGGCACAGCGGATGGCGCTCCGTGAGGGCAGTGCCGCGTTGCAAGCTGTGGAGACGCAGTGGCGCCATCACGGTGTCGCTCCGGGCGGTGTGATGAAGGCTCTAAAAGGAAACGCTTTGCGTTACAATGACGTGCGAAAGTACAACGGGGAACCTCTGGTTCGTGAGCAGTGGGATCTATTACGGGATTTAACGGCCAACCCCCTCCGAGACACGCTGTGGGACTCCGTACGGACTGGAGGGCCCGAAGACTGGGATGCGGCAGACTTCTACGAGCCGTACGAGCGCGCATACTACGCGGCGATCGAGGCGAAGCGGCTTGCGGAAGAAGAGAAAGAACAGGCGCGGTTGGCTTTACTTAATGGAGGGGACCCAAAACCGAAGGGAAAAAAGAAGGGCAAAAGCAAGAGTGCAGCGACGGAGGAAGCCCCGGCAGAAGAGGCGCCGCCGCCATCCGCCGCACCTCTAGATCTGGGAATGGAGCCCACGGATGTTGCCCCTGCGAATGCCGATCAAAAAGGAGGCTTAGAGCAGTTCTAAATAAGAATTGCATCAGAACCGTCAACATTTACATCAGAACCGTCAAGATTGACATCAGAACACAACAGGAGAACATATTCAAAGGAATTTTTAGACTAGCTAGGATGGGGTTCGGGTTGTCTTGCTCACGTTTGGATGGCGCATAACCGATAGACCATGATTCTCAATGTGTGCATATATAGGCAAGTAGATACTCATCATTGTAATTGTTACACGTGGGAGAACAAAAGCGAGACTCTGCTTCACTGAATACTTCTAGACTATGTAAGTAGTAAGCGGCGCTGTCATGGTCGTGTAGGTTTCTCTGGAGGGATTAGGATTTCATTGAATGGAAGACATCAATGGGAGATGCGTTATGAGCAAATGTAACACGAGAAAGATTCAAACTATGTTGAAGAAGGATGTGCTTGTGCCCAACAGTGCATCTTCACTTTCCGCGCCATCGTCTGCAAAATGTCGATAATCCTGAGCGGTCTCCAGAGATACCTTTGAGTGATCTAGTACTTACATGAGCCAAGATAGTCAACATGCAATTCGAGAGTTCCTTCAGGCAAGAAGACACTGCCTCGTAAAGATGTACAGATATCTTGTTGAATTCGGTGCATTTCTGTATTTCCATGTGTCAGTTACGTGCAAAAATATGATTGAGCAATCTCTTCCACCCACCGCCGGAATACGACCCTAAGAGGCTGTTGAGATACGAACTCGTTGCTCTAGAGGTACGGGATGCAGGAAGGCCGGTGATCATAGAGATGGAGGATGATAAATATGAGGATCGGCCGCCGCAACTCCCTATAGAAGACGCGCGTCAGCTACTGGCCTTGGAGAATGGAAGCGTGCACAATCAAGTAGCACCATTTCCTCCGATGAGCACCCCTTTTTGGGATCTTCAACCTAGTGTAGCCAACATACGGAATGCAGGCCCCGCATCCTCCTCTTCCGCACTCAGCTTCAATACAGGATTAACAGGACAACAGCAATTCTACAACACCTTCAGGACACCTGCAACATCATCGCACTTTCCCAGCATCCTGGGATGGAACGGCGCTGCATCTCAAGCAACTAGTGTATTCTCTCATCCAGTGGCTTTATCTGGGTATTCCGAGATGAATAGTCTTGCACATCGGAGCAACATCATGACACTGACACAGCAACATCGATCAGCCAGCCAGAGCGACTTCGAAGGCAGGAAACGCAGGAAGGGCAAGAAACAGCGTAGCACGAAAGTAGATACCTCGGATAGCGAATCAAGCAGCTCAGCAGGATCGAACAGTAGCGACGAAAGAGAGCAAATCAGGAAGACGAAATTGCTGCTCAGAAAGCTCGAGAAAGATCGGAAAAAGCGCAAACATCGATGAAGATGAGCTTGCGAGGAGAGACATGATGGCGCAAGGGACGACACTTTGTATCATTCCAAGAAATTAAAAACCTCATAATTTAAAGACTAAAAATATGAACATTACCAAGGAAAGAGAGTATGTAGATGCATGATAGAATAGAGCAAAGTTATTGGTCTGCACAGGTTGTCCATTTGCCATCACCGCACATTCGTTCCCATGAGAGCAACGGGCATTTCAAAATTTCTTACACCTCAGTAGTATTGATAAATCTGAGTCGACGAAGAAATACAAGAAGAGACGAGGTCATAATGACGAAGCGAATTCATCGTGAAATAAAGTACACGCAGCGAACACGGTCATATGGGCAGAGCATGAGGAACTACGACGTCGAGGAGGATGCACTGAAGATCGCTCGAGAAGGTAGCATGAAGGACAAGAACAAAGTCAGTGAGTGAATTAGAAAAAGGAGCGAGAGAGAACCAAAAACATACTCCTCTAAGGGGATTGTCTATTCCCTTCCCTCTTGAATTGTCTATTCCCTTTCCTCTTGAAGAAGGGCCAAATCGAACTTCAATTGGAACAACCCTTATCAACTGGATTCAACTGGATTAAAGAGGCACTACACGGAAAATGTGTCTCAGATGAGTAGGAAGAGAGGCATGTAATCGCAGCACTCTGCTATGCAGCGGCTCACTGGCACGATGTGCGTGTGGATATGTGGCAGCTATTACCTGTACGAGCAGAGGCGGGCAAGACACAGCGCAAGTGTGATACCGCTCTACGAATGGACGCGTGTCTGGTTAAGAGTAGTACGGAAACGTGTATTAACAGCATGGCATGAGTTTCAAGGGATAGCAGTTGATAATTTCGTAAAATGGCAAGTATACGACCGCAGTAGCGCAATCTGGATTTTACTCTTCAATCTATTCTGCGAGATAGAGGCCCGTGCAATGACACGGGATTTTTGGCAAAAAATTATGAGTGGAGCAGGTCAACACTTCGTGACATCACGTACAGGGGAATGCCGCTGGGGATTTGACATGTACGTGGATGATACGACCAGCACAACGTTTTCCCCTTGGAGCACCCTCATCACGAAGCAGGTGCAGCAGAGTGTACTTCGAGCGATTAGGAGCAACTACCGTTCCTTGACCGCGAGGATAGCACCTCGGGAGAGCGTGCGAGAGCCTGCGCATGGACAAGCCGGGACTGACCGGACTATCACGCATGACACTCCAATGGAAGGCAGGTTGAGAACGCACAATAGAACGGCGAATCGATTTGCAGTAAGCAGGGACAACAGAGAGCGCAACTTCGCAAGGGGGATCGGTAGATGTACAAGGTTGGCAAACCCTTAGTGAAATGAAAGGAGAAAACATTATATGAAAGAAATCTTACCAAGGTAAACCAAGCATGAGGAAGGAACACACAAATAATACGCCATTCGCGACAGATCCATCTACAATCCTGAGGAATCAAAACAAGAAGAAAAACATGTGTTGCAACACCAACGGTTGAAGTTGGATCCATCTCTCCGAGACAAATTCCTATGTTATAGGGAGTGAGCGTCGATGGCTAAAAGGAGTCAACTTGCACTGCAATGCTGCTTGTATGACCGTGATCGGGGTGTGCGTGTCGCGATGCTGTTTCGTAATAAAGGGACCCTAAAACAGGATTGCGACCCGCAGCAAAATGGTTAGGTATTCAAAAAAACAGGATTTTTAACAGCTTCAATGAAAACCTGAACGAAGTAAAGGAATAAGCAGCAGTATTAGAAGGATTCTTCATTGTGGTTGAATCGAATAAAGCGCGGCCGAATCAACAAAATGGACCCCCAGCGAGCTGAAACGCAATCGTGATGGACTGGAAGGAGCGACTACGGAAGGTAAACCTGCGGAGGAAAGGTGTGCTAGAAAAGGACGAGCACGAACCTCATGCAGGAAGAAGAATCAGGCCGAAAGCGGTAGCTTCTCGCGCAAGGACGGAAATCCGAAATGATTCGAGTGATCCCGTGCAGCTAAGCGAGGACAAAGCCATAGCGCCATCGACAGCAGCTGGACCGAAGGACGGAAAAGTCGAGGAGGCACAAGAAGAGGCGGCTGACCCAAAAGGGAAACAAGGATATGGCTCTGACAAGTATGCCATGGACTTCATTAGGAAAAAGCATCCAGATGTCGATGAGTGGAAAAAGGAAGCTAGGGACGAAGTAGTACGGCAAGTCATAGGACTGTCAAAGCAAAAGAAGATGGAGCCAGGACCGGCATTTGACAGAGAGATGGTGAAAACAGCTCACAGAGGAAGACCAGAGACGTGGGATCCCAACGGAGTCAAGTATACGCCAGGAATGTTCCGGAACATAGAAATAGACAATCACATCATTCAGAAACAGATAGACGCACTGAAAGCAGAAGTAACGGATAAAAATTCCAAAGAAGGTGAAAGTGGTAGATAATGAGCACATGGATATCTGTGAAAGCAGGTCACTAGTAATGAAAAGAAGAACGAATAGATAAACACGTGTGAAGGACAGCTGGATACGAAGAGAAGGAGCACTAAAGTGTGATTGTCTTAAAAGGCCAGCCCTGTTACATCAAACTTCTCATTGCCTTGGGAAGCACGATCTGGAATGATAATTCTTGGATGAACAATCGAAAAGAAGTAGCCCTTAGGAAGGTAAAGAAAGGAGGCGGTAATAGATCATCAAATCGAAAAAATCGCAAAGATCATTAGGAGATGAGCTTCCACGGTAGCGAAAATGATCCGAACAAGCAGAGCTGGGTCGAGGACTAGATTAAAGGCGCAGACGCTCCAATGAACATCAAATAAAATCGAACCGATTGAGAAGTATTGAAATAAGGAGACCAGGAGTGGTGAAGCAGAGGGTAGATGCAGAATAGGGCGGAACTAGATGAGTGAAGAAAAGATCTGAATTGCAGGTAGGTAAGACAGATAGGTAGGTAGAAAAAGAAAAAACATGATGGATCTCGTGACACCGGTGAGTGGTGCGGAACGAAGAGCAAAGGAACAGGGGAGCAACAGCGGAGATAGCTACGGGCAAACGTATGGAATAACAAACCCCTGCAAGTGTGCAAGACACGATCGCAAAAGGACGTAGTGTATACGCATGCTCGAGGGTAAGCAGCACGCAAAAAGAAGTCGAAGAGCAGAAATCGGTTCAGAGAGAAAAACTTATCACCAGTAAAAATAAAACCCAAAAATCAGCAAGTACCGCAGCATTGGGCCGTCTAGGACATTGGTCGTGTCGAAAGTATGGGCGATGGTGACTTAAGAAGATTAGCATAGTTAGACAAGAGTACTAATAACATTGGAAAGGAAAGATGGGTGCCCAAGATCTTGCTAGTTGAATGTTGCAAGTAACTTGGTGGTAGATAGAGTATATAGATAGCAGCGCCCCAGCTCCTTTTGTCACTGTCACTCGCGCTTTGGCTCGTGGATCGGTGTTCTGGACGTAAAAGCACGCGTGCCAGCACGGATACCCACACGCTCCAGTGATGCCTCAAGTCGGACCTTTCTCGGAAGAATAAGAGATCGGGGGCTGTTGGTGTCAGACTCGGTTCCACATGGTAGATTCGTCTACCTGGTGTGCCGTTTTTTGTGGCTCTAGTCGACTACGCCCAGTGATGGGGAGATGGAGTCGCGCCAATGAATTGAATTGAAAAGTTTCTCAAGAATCGGTAAAGGCACGAGCTTGGAGATGTTGTAAGTATATGTCTGTTTGTTATCCTGAAGTTAGCTTGTAGTTCCTACTGAAATGCTGACAGGAGAGCAGGGCCCCACACGGGAGCCACCTGGTATGGAATTGCTCACAACGCTGGCACAACTTGCAGTCACTCCCGACATCTCGTTAAACGGCCCGCATGAATCTACAGCACATTGCTCCTCGCGTGCGCAGGCTCTTTACGCGAACCTCGCGGTTGTTTTCGAGGGTCTGCAGGTGCCAGAGCTCGCGGAACACTTCTATGCTTTGTCCAGAGTAGGCCCGGCGAACCATGATGGAGATCCAGATAGACGAAAGATGCTGTTGCGCAGGTATCGCGGGCAGCTGCACTCGTGGGGCGAAAACGACAGCGAATCATTGGGCCACAGCTCTCCAGAGCCACCAGGTCTTGCTGCAGCACTACTCTTGCTGTCTTTCATTTACAAAAAATAGGTTACTCTGGTAGAAATGAATAAGTTCTTTAGGAACTGCGGGGCCGTCCACCATTGCCTAGTAGGTATAAGTTGCATTTCTTCATATCCGTTTGAAAACATAGACACAAAAAATTGAACATCTTTAGGCACCGTTGGAAACGGTCGCACGACGCTTCGCGGCTCTGTGCCGCGTCCGAAGGTTGTGGAGTGGATGAAGGATTTTATTTTCGAAGACATCGCTTGCGGCGTGAGCCACTGTGCGGCTGTCACAGCAGCTGGAGACGTAATCGGCTGGGGAAGCAATGTTTCGTATCAGCTAGGTTTTCCACGTTACGATGACGAAACGACGCAGCGCGTCGTGCCTGTACCTCGTGGCATTCTTCTGGGTCACAGGATAGTGGCTGTCGCATGTGGCGCAGGACATACACTGTGCGTCAGTGCTGACGGCCAAGCTTATGTTGGGACAAGACTACTGAGCTGCTGAGTTTTAGTTTAGCTATCATCAGACATCGTCCCTTCGTCATATAATTTTGTTTGAAGTAGAAGTTTGGGATCATTTATTGTGACGATGTGAGAAGTATCTCTACAATTCAATGTTTTCTCATAAGGTAAGCCGGACGTGTCTTCAGCACATTTCTGATTGAAACGATAATAACAGAGTAACTAATACTTGTGCTCATTCATTTTCCCTCCTGGTGTCTCTTTCATGTGCTGCTGTGGCTTGGCGAAAAACGGGCAGCTCGGGACCGGCAGTGTAGACGTCGCTACGATCTCTCAGTTCCGCGCAATTCCTCATCCAAGTGGATTGCAGCAACAGGCGCAACATGAGAGGTCGCCGGTTGCACCACAGCAGGCATCTCTGCTTCGCAATGCCCCACCTTTCACCGGTGTTGCCTGTGGATTTGCGCATTCATTCTTTCTTGACGAAGATGCCGCACTGTTTGGTTGTGGTTGGAATGCGCACGGGCAATTGGGCACTCGCACAGGCGAGATGCGTACCGGTGCCGGGGCGGTGGTGCCGTCGCTGCAACCCGTAGCCACAGATGTTCGCTTTGTCGCGTGCGGTGGCGCCCACTCCCTGGTCGTCACGCGAGAAGCGGAAGTCTTCGCTTGTGGTTGCAACTCCTGCCTGCAGCTCGGCTGGTGGGATACGGAACAGTTTCGCAATTGTACCGAGGATTCCGGAGAGAGCTCTTCAGGACAGGTCCACGTGGATCAGTATTTGCTTCTGCGTGATTTTAACGCAGGCTTGCGACCGGTGCAGCTGAGCGACGGCGGCGACGGCGTGCGCGTGCGCGCTTCGCTAGTCACTTGTGGGGAGGAGTACAGTTTCGCAGTGACGGAAAGTCGCGGGGTGCACGGGTGGGGCCTCAACAACGTGGGTCAATTGTGCCTCGACCGTTCGGCGAGCAGCCAGCATGGTTTCAAGAATATCCTGCTGGAAAGGCAGGGGCTGAACGGGCACCGAGAGCGACAACCAGTGGCGGACGCGGAGGGCATCGTTTTGCCGACACTCATCCCTGCTTTAACTGCGCGGCGAGTGGAGTGGATTTCGTCCACACAAGGTCGCTCAGTTGCTTTGACTGGCGACGGCGTTGTTGTGGAATGGGGGATGGATGAGCAGGAAGTACTTACTGCTAAATAGAAAACGTTACTTTCGATCGTTCCTCTCGTCTTACTATAGGTAGAATGTTTTTTCTGCTATGTAAAATGTGGGTGAGGATGAGAGTGAAGATGGCGGTCCTTTTTAATCTCTGTAAGCGCTCACTATAAGTAACTGTCTGCATGGTTCTTGCAACGCAATGGATTTCTTCTCGGATTTTCAGCAACGGCGTGTAAGTATGGCCAAACTATTGAATTCTCGTGGGTTGGCTAGCTTTCCGGATGAAACCGCGCGTGAAATGCAGCGAAGCGACTATCGAGGCTGTGTGCATCACTGTCAGCCCGATGGCAGTGGAGACTCTCCGGACAGCTTGCGCCGAGTAATGAAGAACGCGCGCATGTCGTCGAGCGAGATTCGCGAGCAGTTTGGTGTGGACGCTTCATCCCTCGTTTACCCGTTAGGGAACATGAATATTTCAAGTGAACAAGAACAACAATCCGGACCGTCGGGAAGTGGTCTTAATACGGAACATCAGGTGAACCACCTGAAACCCGTTCCTGGGTGCTCCTCGGTCGCGCGCGTTGTGAGCGGCCGGAAATTTTTCTGCAGTCTGAATGCTGCACCACATCCGACGCAGGTGCGGATGGAGGTGCACTTCGCTGACAATCTTCAGAGTCTGTCCGAGGCGGCTCTGGCAGTGTACTATGCCATGTCGTCTCCAGAGGAGGAGACCGTCTTGCAGTTCTCATCTCTAAATAAGACTGCTGGTAACCGTGAAACCCCAAGCAAGGCTTTGCCGGATCGACATGCGCCAGCTCAAATTACTGTCGCGGCCGGGCAGACAAACCTTGCTTTCAAGCCTAAGCGACGCATCAAATTGCGTTTGGTGCTCGATGAAAATGAGCCGCTGGCTGTCGAGCAAGGAACCGCTTTGCCAGGGAGCAGTCGTGCTTTCTCGAGCGCTACACCCAGCAAGAGAAACTCGATAGGAAACGCAGGTCGTGGAGGCGGGCAACAGGACATGACTTATGGAAACGTCCGGTTGATCATAGATACACGAGAAGCTTTCTTTCTAATCCTGTGCCAATAAAAACAGACAGCGCCGACCATGCTGGAACTTCGGTTATTAGACATTTCCTCGGACTCGGTGAGGACGCAGTACATCTGCCCCAGTTTTATGTGACCACGCACCTCTGAAAACAACATCTAAGAGGTAGCAAATGCTGGGACATCAAACTCCAAGATCTCTCTCGCGGGGCAACCGTTGCACGTTTTTCTGATAGACGGCGAACACAATGCAGTACCTGGGAGTCAGTATGAGGTGTGGGAGAACGAGATTATGTTTCGACCGCCCGACGCGGGTGTTTTTGATCTTCATGTCTGGTTGGGTGGTTTGCCAATTGCAAACTCGCCCCTTCACTTACATGTCGCCATTGGAGACGTCCACGTCGCCCACTGCTCTTGCACGCTTCGTCCTTACTCTCGTCTACCAGTCAGGAGTTGGGCGGCGTCTTCCGCAGGTGGCAATATTGTTGTCACATGTCGCGATGAGTGCGGGAATCTGGCTGAGCTGGCAAACGTCTTTGCGGGTAGTTGCTTAAAATATCAACCTCGCGCACGTTCGGTAGTCCGGCCTGTCGCTGATTAGCGAATCTAGATGGCGGCTAGGTAGGGTAAAAATTTATCGTCTCTGAGTAACCTACTTTGTAGCGTTGAATTTCGAAGCAAAAACTACACAGGTTCATCTGTTGGTCGCAACCGCGATGAGGGGCCTGGCCTGCGCATTGTGGAAGAAGTGGCGGGCGCAAACCGGCGCGAGATCGACTTGGCTCAACTGGCAGCACATAGGGACGCTCTTGTGGAGGAAGAAGTTCATGACGCGCGCACAGACGCAGATTATAGAAGCGGTCGCAGTATGACATCACCAGCAGCGTCCGAAGATTGTTTCGTAGTTTCACCGATAGGACTGGGTGTGTACAGAGTTTCTTTGCTTTTTCGCACGCAAGGTCGGCGAAAGGTTCGCGTACTGCTTAGTGCTGCAGTGGGACAACCATTTTCTGTTCTGGCCGAGGCATGCGTAGACGTCACAGCAGGAGTGCCGCACGGCCCCGCCTGCGAGTTGAGCTTGACGATGCCAGCGGCTAGGCCCTTCGTTGGTGTCCCGTTTTCGGCCTCGCTCATATTGCGAGATGTCAGTGTCAGCTGGACAGATGTATACGTCGATCGTGAGTCACCAGCGCGTGTCATATTGCGGGGACCGATTTATTTGCAAGAAGCAGAAGAGGACGCCGCAGAGCACCAAAAAGTGAAGAAAGTTGTCCCCCAACTTTACATGGCGCAGATAACTCGCCACCCAGCCGTTATTGGAGGAAATAATTACGGGCTGGAGCGGCGAAGATCCACTGCAAGTGGGAGAAGTGTGGTTCCCGCAGCTCTTAGTAGTACGAGTAGTAGCCGCTACGCCAGCTATTACCGTCTCCCCGAGAAAGAAAACGCGACGCTCGAAGTTTGTTTCCCGGAGTTGCAACACGCAGGTGAATACGAAGTTCTTCTATTGTTATGACTTCCGGAAATCGACCATCTCCAGGATCATATAAACTTGAAGTCCTCCCGCATGGGGAAAACGTGGAAAGTATGACTTTCAAGATGGTTGATTATTCAGGGAAAGTCTAATGCTGGCTCCAGATGATTTTGGAACTACTGCGAAGGAAACCGCTTTGCTCGAGTTCGACCTTGCTGGCAATGACCGCTTCTTGGGCAAAGTTTGCGATGTGGCAGTGGCAGCGGGTCCCCCAGATCCAATGCGATGTAGTCTCATGGGCCATGAGAGCGGTATTTTCAGTGTGGGTATATCACGGACACTGTGCTTACAGCTGCGCGATGCTTTCGACAATCCGTGCATTCTCGGGGCGTCCACGGCCGAGGTGATCGTGGAGCTGTATCCGGAGATAAGGCTTGTCCGTATTTGCGCAATTATATCACGTTTTTACATTTAAGATAGCGATAAAAATATATCGGACACACAATATAGTGAAAGCAGAATACCACTACCAGCAAGCTTTCTGCTCAATCGGAACAAGGCTTTTGGAAGATGCAGCTTTGGCCTCTCTGTAAGGGATTTTCGTATAGTTAGTTAGATACAGCATCAAGGTCTTTTTACGCTTGTTCTAGGAGATGATCTTCACGGTGCATTTACAGGCTTCGTTCTCTCACTACTTCTCCACTTCTTGCCATAGCAAACATCAATCATAAAGTCCCTAGTTCATTGTTGATGGTTACGCTCTGCCTCGGCCGGGAAGCAACGATGGAGTTTTCGGAAGACACGGGGGAATATATTTTGAGGACGGGTGAATTGCCCCGTGCCGGTGTGTATCACGTCCTTTGTGCTGTCGATGGCCAGCGTGTTCTTGGATCTCCCTTCGTAATGCAACTGGACGAGGAACCGAGCGTCCAGGTTGCGTCGGCGGACGAGGGAGGAACCAGAGAGAGACCGGCAGTGGACGAGGGTGTAGCAGCGAGTCCACCTCAGGAAGACGTGGTGCCACTGCAGCCTTCTGCTGTTATGCCGGATTATAGTCGTCGTTTCGACTTGTTCGATTTAGTATTCACACAAAATTGGGATTCTTACTTGTTTACATCTGCCTTTTGCAATCCTCTTGAGGAATCGTTGGCAAATATCTTCGATCTTGTTGTAATCTGGCAAAACAATATTATGAGAAATCTAATTCGCAAGAACCGCCACGGCCCAGCGCAGAGAAGGTGGCCATTGTCCGTGCACGAGCACTTGAGCGACTGCGCAAGACGCAAAATGAACTACGACAAAGGATCAAGCGTGAAAAAACGAAGAAGGAGAAGCGTGTAGGCGGAGGATTCTTGGTGCAGTTCGATACTCGCAAGTAGCACCGAGACCGGATGATGATCTGCACTCTCCCCACTAGCGTTTGAATCAAGGGCGATTTGATTCAAAAATGAGGGACTCAAGATCTGTGCTGGAAAGAGAGGCCCTGCGATTCCACTTTTCCTACAGCGAGTGGCTTTTTGAAGGTGGAGGAAAGAACAAACTGTACTACACAGTAGAGGCTTGTACTACACTGTGTTTTCATCGGATGGCCTTCATCTATTGACTTTATTAATACTTTTGCTGTGTTGTACGCAGTCGCAATAATGCACTTGAATGATTATAGTGAAGGGTCTTCTGACTCCATTTTGAAGTACTATGCTCCTCGAGCACTTGTGGAATTCCTTGTTGAACTCGCTCGATCCGTTCCGGCGTTTGCCATCGAATGTTGCTTTTGCGAGAAACAAAGAGGAGAAGAATGAGAATCTTTGCTGATACTGTAGTCGAAATGCGAGTGGTAATTATAGAGCTATTATGGGAGTGAGAAGTCGTGAGACATATCGCTAGTCAGATTGAAAATTTGCCCTTTTTTTGCGGAGAAAAAGTCGCAGGCAGCAACATGCTGTGAAGAGAAGAACATTGAAAAATATAAGTGAAAAGACGCTTGTCCATTGTACTAGATGCGATTATTTTGCCAAGTTGTGTTAAAGTTCCTTGTAGTTGTTCTATTTTAATTTCCGTGTAACTATAGATGTTCCCCGGGCCCCCTTTGAAGGCGCCTGCCGCGGGTCGAAGGCTTCCAAAGGGGTCCAAGGGACCTCCTCCTCCCCGTTCCAGCTGCCTGCGTGTACCCTACAGACTGCCGACTTGCTTCGCCGCCGCGGCAGAGCGCCGGGTGTGGAAGGCCTCCGAAGGCGGCAAAAGGCGCAAGGCTGGACCCCCTGAGCCGTGTGGCCTGTGCCCACCGGGCCCTTGGTCATCGGCCTGCTTGCTCTTGAGACCGTGGCCGCCTTCGGCGGCCTTCCACCCCGGAGACCTCCAGCCTGCGAGGGTCAGCAGAGGCCAGGAGGTCCCTGCTGAACATGCAGAGAGGCGCATGGGGACGCCCGCGCCCAGTTTTGACGACTTCCGCCCCGAGAATCCGCGAAAAGCAGCGCGGAAAAGAGCGCGCAAGCGCCACCACAGGGCCAGCCACCGGGAGGGTCGTGCGTCCCTGTATCATAGATAGGGCGGCTTTCCCTTTTTTTATCTTTCCATTCCTTAATCGCCTTGCTTGGCACGTATAACTATAGATAGTGTGGCTTTCCATTCTTTTATCTTTCCATTCCTTAATCGCCTTGCTTGGCATATTGTTGCCTTACCGTCTATTCGATTTTCATCGTAATATTGTGATTTATGAGTTAGTCTGTTATCATCATCCACAGGTGGCTATGGTAGAGCTGCATCCTACTCGCAATCGTCTTCGTCTACTTCTCGTCCCGCCCTCGACCTCGGACCGACAAGAAACAACGAACACAGCCTGCGCTCAGCGCTTACGGTGCTCGACTGCACGGAGCCTGCGGCGTCCCTCGAGGATCAGTCTGTAGGTGTCGGTGAAGAGGCACGATTGATTTTTGCTTCTTTGGCGGGGGGGCATGCACTTCCTTTTTCGATCGGAAACCCCATCAGACGGGACATGAAAATGCGTGCGGCACTAACAGCACTTCAGGATAAGGGCTTCTGCTTTCGTCGTGCCATTACATTGCGCTTCTCTCCGTCGGTTTTTACTGCAGCGCTGCCTTTGCGCGCACAGTGGCAAGAAAGCGAACAATCTAGGCCACCAACTCGCACCGACAGCGGTGGAGACGAGAACGCAGTAGCTATGGTGGAAATGGAGGAGATGGGAACAGGTGCGGGGCGCTTGTATGAAAGTTTGTCAGCGCCGTTGACACTGCCTTCTCCTTGTGATGATCCTGCTCCGACACCGTGGGCGACTGATATAGATGCTTTCTGTCAGCAGCTGAATGTGAGTCCCATGGTGTTGTAGATCTTTGAGTGCTGGCTGTCGCTCCGCATCAAATCGCCGTTGCAACTACTGCCACATGGGTCAGCGGGTATGGAGGCGCAGCGAAAATTCCTTCCGTCCACCGATTTGCTCTCGAAAATCTCGTGGAGTCTCCAGGGCCGCTACGAACTCACATCCGAAAACTTTGTGACATTTCAGGTCTACAGGCTGGTTGCTAGAAATGGTGGTCACCCACAAGAAGCAGTGAGGGAAGAGAGGTCTTGTGCTTCTAGCTAGGCTCGCACTCGTATGTCTACTTCTGTGGACGTCTGTCTTTGTGTCTGTCTCTCCCTTTTCTCTTTCAAGTTGAAGTTTTAGACTCACCGAGTTCCTTTGTTTAGAGAAATATCGGGTCTTTGGTCTTCCTCGGTTCATCAACACTATTGAAGTTTTAGAGCTTTGCTACACGAAAAAGTAAGAAACTGCGAACGCTACACGAGTTTGCAATCGGACGTGACCGCCGACGGGAACTTAATTACACAGTTGGTGACGACTGACACGATCGTTAGGCCGAAAGGGACGCTGTAGTACTAGAAACTTCCAGCCCTATCTTGGCGGTTGGTCTTGTTTATGTGGCATGGGGAGTCCCGATTTAAAAGCGACTTCCTATGAAGTCTTCTTATTTGAAGGGCGACTCAGGGGGAGGAAAAGCCACTCACTCAACAAGTCACGTAGATGAAATAGAAACAACACTGTAATAAAGTACTGATGAATTATGGCCAACGCTTGAACAGATGTCATGCTCATCATCCATATGGGCATTACATGTTCTACCTTTACTAGCGCCGCAGGTCAAGGTGTCCCAGCGATTCCCTTCCAGTGGGTTGGGCACCTTGTTACTACCATTCACTCCCAATTTAGCTTTTGTATCGTACCTCACGATCAAGTTAACTGCTACTCATCATGCTTTTCTACGGCAAAGGAGCAGCATAATTAGTAGTCGTAGTAGTATTGGTAGCATTGTTGCTGCTGCGAGGGTGGCTGACTCACTGGACACGAGTCGGGCACCGTCGTCCTAAGGGGCATTCTGGGTCGCCTGCTCGTTCCTATGATTTTTGTAAGTTGAGATGGTTTTACAAAGAGCGTGGTTGAGCGCTCCATGATTTTGAATCTTGTAGCTAGTCGTGCCTGCGGGCTTACTTAGTCGTAGAGTGTGCTCTTGGGTTGCAAAAGTATATGATTTAGGCCGTTCTACCTCGTTTTCCGAATTTTGATGGAGTAAAGTGATTTCGGTAAAGGCCACGCCTCCTCTAGAGCCATACCCCACTATTTGGAGAACCACAGCATTGCTGCCAAAAAAAACAACGCAAGGCCGATTCTGAAGCTGGTGCCGATTTTGTGGCAATTTTTTTATCAGCTGCTCATAATATTTGATTGAGAGCGGTCGATTAAGATTATTTTAATAGTCTCGACTTAGTTCCCTAGGGTCTGGTCTCAAGGTTGATTTGGCAGGTCAAATCGGAGACAAATGGCATGACATTTTAGTAGTAGCTGCTCCTGCTACACCCACTGCGACTCGGTGCGAGAGAGAGAGAGAGATGACGGGGAGCTGGCATTATGAGAAGATAAGGGAATGAATTTGGTCTATGACTACAACCAACACATCTACTTGGTAACTACAGAACGCACTAGAGGATATGTATGGTACTACAGTGGATCGTCCCGATGCTCGTAGTCTCACACATTATTCCACTGGTATCGTCGCAACACTCCAAGGGTCGCCCAGTGCTGTCTGCTGTCTGTCAAAGATTTTTTAAAGCCACTCAATGAAATAGCCCTTTTTCCTGAAGAAAAGATACTCGTCCGTTGACTGGCCTCAGTATTGGATCAAGTGAAGTGCGCGTCAGGGGCTCCAGTAGATGAAGTAAGTAGCCGCAGTGTGGTACCTTTTTGATAGTCGCAAACCATTTATCTATGAGAAATTGCTCCACGTATGCCATTTTAGCATTTCTCAGAACTAAGGCCGGAGTCCATTTTCACATTATGAGTTTTCCCTCCCAAGTGGTTTTTTCTTGGCTTGATGCTACTGAATTGACGTATTTTTCAACGAAGATCAAAGAGGTAATAAAACTAGAAGCATTTAAGATCATCGTTTAGATATAAACCCCACTAATTTCACCTCAGAAAGCACTTCAGATTGTTGCGTGTCAGTCTGCGTAGTTTCTTCTAATATCTCAACTAGAGCATGCTATTCTACTATTTCCTCCGACCACCTTCATGAACTTCATTTAGTGTTGAACAAACGCCACGAACACGATGAGTGTGCTGTAGCAGAGATAGGCATCAGCACAAGTAGGTGGGAAAAAGTTGTTGAACAGTAGAATTGACCACTCTCAAGGAAACTTGTGAAAAGAAAGATCGAAAAATCAAATGGGCAGTGTTGTAAAGAGCCAGCGGTGGTAGAACTACAACTTACTAGATCAATTGAATAAGAAGGACTACCTACAAGAGGGACAGGTAAGCTTTTTATTGATGAAGTCCCGATGGCAATGTTGTAAAAATGCTAATACATGATTGTGATGCGTTGGCCCTTTGGCCGAAGACTTTCAATTAAAATGAAATGTTTGTATAGTTCTAAGGTCGTGAGATGCTGTAGACATTCGCTGCCCAGTGATTGGAAGGTGTGGAAGAGGATTTGGTTGGAAAGTCGTCTACAGAACTGCACCGACCCTTGTTTTCAATTTGTTGACCCACGCCACCAATCTACATTCCTCACTTTCGCAATGTTCTACATCCTCATGATGTGATCCTGAAGCCAATCTTCATTTTCAACAACGCCGCCACTGGCAAACTCGACAAAACAGGAACATCATCAATTATAAGGCTCACAGGTATTTATACTACAGTGTACTAGCCGCGTATGCGTCTTCTTCAACTTCAAGTGGCTTGACGAGAAACTACCAGATCTCGACATTCTGGATGGTATCTTTAACGCCGATAATATTGGGTATAACTGCGCGTAAGATCCAACCAAGCACGCAAACGCATTCGCAATCTTTTTGTAGCGTAAGTGAAGATCACGAAGAGTCCGGGAGGACCTCTTGATTTGCTTCTATTTGATTTATGAACTCGGTCAAGTTGATTCGGCTTATTTGAGAGATGAATTCTGAGTCACAAAGAGGTCCTCATGTCCGAAATTTTCCAGACCCAAGCCTTATAGGCGAGATCGAAAGAGAGAAGTCAAAAACGCCTAACCTGTTGTTAGGTTATTGCGTCGATCACGCGTTCGGTCCTAGGACCTGTTGACCGATGTGTGCGATGATCTCTCGGTGGATGACTTGTGCTGACACTGTCAGCCCGCGCTGGTATTTGCTGTGGTTCCACTCATCTGTGTGACTACTTCTGCATGCCTTATTACTTGTCTTAGAGAATCTTGATCGTCACGTGAAAGGCGAGCCTTGGTTCGCAGATCGTAGTGATTTCTGTATACTGAAGTCGGCGAAGTATTGTGTCCGGTGCGTGAGAGATACGACGAAATGATCAAAGATCAAGTCATGACATTGCAAAAGAAAACCGTCTGTACGAGTGGATGAGAGTCCCATCTTGTTATTGTAGAGTGAAAAAGTGTTCTCGGTAGACAAATCTTGCTTCATCTTTTACTTGTTTTTTCATGCTTGTTATATTTTTTTGATTTTTGTCAACCGAGCCAACTTTCTTAGGTTGTTTCTTTTGGATTTCTGAAAAATGTTGCTTACTATTGGTAGAAAAGGGTCATCCTTGACTCTGATTAATGGAAATTGACTCTGAAAGTGCAAGCAATAGGTATTCTTCGATATTTGAGAACAGGACACCCATATAGAATTGACTGATAAAAACTTTGCGAATACCTCAAACCCAGCCCCACAAGCAAATACTATTTAATGTTTTGATTGTACTATTCAATGAATTATGGAAACGAAGAGCTGTTTGCCTGATGCTGACAAAACAAAGTGTTTACCCTAGATTGTTGTGAAGTCATTTCCTTCTTAGGTGTTATATAATGGCTCACTTGGATGATCAACAAAGTCGCGGATGAATGTCGAGCCTAATCTGCTATTCCCAGATAGTTGTCTCTTGTCTTAATGGTTTAGGCAGATGTCGTGAAGGTTCTTGTTTCTTTTCATTCTTTCAGAATATGATGATATAAGCAGTTTATTCTGTTGTAGCCTTGTAAGTATCAAGAAGATGCGCTGTTGTGCTCCGTGTCGTCATTCTTTGCTACTGTGGAGTCAGGTTTTTCCACAAGATGCGCGTTGATGATGCGAGTGGAGGGTCTGATCTATGTGCGACCGGAGCGTGCCAACGTCTTTGGCGGCCGATGGGGGCAGGCGCTTCTGCGATCTTTGACGGCTGCTTCACTGATAATTGGCCCACAACCGGAGGCTAGCGCGCACATTCTCGGCTTTTTCGGTGGTGATCTGCGCTTCGACAGCTACACGGGCAGATATGGCGACGATCGTAGTCCTGCGCGCGGCGCTGTGGTCGAGCCACCGGGCATCTCGAGTGAGGCTCTTGCTGTGCACACGGAGCACGAAAAGGTGGCTGCCGTCTCCGAATCAACTGCTCTTACCGTGGTCCGTAGCTCACCGGATCTTCCGAACCTCGGAGGCCGTGGAGAGGTAGAAAGGGCAGTAGGCACGCAACAACGAGGCAAAGCTGCACGAGCATCGGCTGCTGCTACGAGGCTAGACGGAGTGGACATACCACCAGGTCAACAGCTCCACAGTCACGGCACAACTCGGTGGTCTGATGGTACTGCAAAGAGAAGGCTCCAGACGGCTGGTGGAGAGTTGCCAACTGCTTACATTCCACCGGAAACAGTGGATTACTCTAGCGCATCGCAGTTTCGGGATGTAACGAGGCTTACGACATGCGAAGAGGGGGAGGAGCTGCAGTGCCTTTACCGAGGCGGCCCGAAGCAATTTGCGACTCGTGTTGTCCGCAATGCCGACTCCGCGGGACTCATAGAGGTACTTTACACCACTTGCATACGAGGACTTTGTTCAGCAAGTAGAATACGCAGCACTATTAGCCTGAATCAGATTGAGAGGGACATCCGCACTGACCGTATTCAGGTTTTACTGACGGGTGTGACTTTTGGCGACGAAAAAACTATTTAGCTGAAGATCGAAAATTGTCGTGCCCTGTTTTTGCACTCCTACTTTTGTCCGCAAGCTTTAATTTGTAGTTACTCGAGAATGAAAAATCGTGTGGCCTATCCCAAATTGAAACCAACATACCAAAACCGTAACCTTGCAGGTGCGCTGGCTTTTCAACGAACGGCTATGCGACGATGCAGCGCGAGTCCTGTGGTGCCGCATCGACATCAAATCCTGCGACAAGCAAATAGGATTTCGCTACTATCAATGTACCGACTTCATGCCCAGTTCGGCGACAGAGACTACAACAATCGACCCTAAAACGGAAGCTCTCCTCGGCATTCAGCCGAGTTTGAGTAGCCCCTCGTGGAATCAGGCGCCGACCGATGATGATGAATGGGTACTTCTGCTCCTTAGCACATCTTCAGTCCTTGTCGTATTAGACTTTTTTGCAACCAAGCGCGATAGCCGTCCATCACTCCATAATTTACTCCGATTTTATTAGGAAGCATGGTAGAAGTTGCTGGTTCTCTCCGGTGTGCTCTGAGTATGATGATGAAGATGGGTGAGGGAACTCGTAAATACAGATCTGTATAAGGAACCCGATAAACAAAATATCAGTCTAACTCCGAACTGATTGGGACGCTCGTTGGGCTTGTGAGTTTGTCTCTCAGCATATTTGCGATTTGGCTCTTCTATCGGCGATACCGACATTTTGGCAACTTTGCTAAGAATCCTCCGGATGCAGAAGAGCCAGCGGCCGGGTTCATGTTCAACGACCCGCGCAACAACATTGACGTGGATAAGAACCGCACGTGGCTGCGCAACTTCTTCTCCGACCGTGCCGCCAAGGAGTGGAATATAATCGACCATGCTGCTGTGAAAGCACACCGAGAGAAAAGCAATGAGGAAGAGGAGCTCGGGCCCGTTGAAGGCAAGTATCTTCTCTACTGCCTCTCGTTTTGGTGCTGCTGCTTGATGAAGTATAAGGACCGCAAGAAGCGCACGGGACCCAGCGGTACAGTGGAAGACACAGAAGCAGAGTTCATCGCTAAGCTTGAAATAGAGCGTCGACAGCGATATCTGGCCGAGAAGGCCGCGCAGGAGGAGCGCGTACGACGGGAACGCGAGCGGCGACGTGCAATTGCGAGTGAAGACCGTGCAGACGCGTTTGGCATGGAGAGTAATAGCTCGTGGAACGGAATACGAAGTGCTTCGCGACGATGGATGCATGAGCTCTACGCGCGCTCGAACGCGAAGTGGTTCTACAAAACGCGCGACTGGTCGAAAGCAGCGAGGCCCTACCGGATGGACCCGCTGAAAAATCGGCGTCAACTTCGGGGCAAGGTGGCGCGATTCATCCCAAAGAAACCGAATTTAGGTGCGGTGCGCGTGGTCAAGGGCATGTTCGGTCCGTCTTCGAAGGGACAGCGTGGGGTCTCGCCTCGACTCCGCGAGGAGCCAGATGAGGAACCAGACTACCTGTCAAACGAGGACGCGAGTCCCTACTACAGTAGAGTAGACATGCACTCCCCAGGGGGGAGGAGTAGTTTCTCTCCGTCTGGAGCGCGCGCTGGCGCCAGTATCCGCTCACCTGGACAGTCGCCAACGGCGCAGCGGGTCGCAGAATCGGACTGGGTGGTGGAGGCAATGATGGGAGATCACGAGGAGGATGGCAAGCGCAGGAACTACTACAGCTTTGAGCGGGCCGATATGGATAAGCTTGACGCCAAAGCACGTGGCCGCATGAAAGACCGCAAAGAGCACGCGAAGGGATTTTCTAAACACGGCATTGACGTTGGGTTCCATCGCCAACAGGTTCTGCGAAGTGCCGTAGGTGGGGATGCGGAAGCGGACTGGGCTGGTGAGCACGACCGAATGCAGGATACGTTCGTCTCGAGTGATCTCTCCTTTGACTCTCGGGGCGGATGGCGCACGCCACCGAAGGAGGACGGCGTCGACTCCCCGAAGAGCGGCACCTTCAACAAGCGCAACAGCTACCGCGTCGAGAAGATCCGCAGGCAGTTGGAAGATCGGCAAATGCGAAAAGCAGAAAAGCGGCTGGCCTACGAATCGGAGGTAGAGCGGCAAAGATACATGGATGAAGAAATTCAGCAGAACAGAATCAATGACAATCGAGAACGGCGGGATATGGCGGCCCAGCAAGCAAAGGGTAGTTACATGGAGCAAACGTTCGGTGGATCCTTTCGAAGACGGCCTGCGACCACAGTCTCCCGCCTGAATGCGAATGAGGCGGGGCCGAACCCGTTTCTGCCCAGTCTGCTGGAGTCAGAGGACCCTCCGCTGAGCCCCGCTGAACAGAGCCGAGGCCACCGCGGCAGCCGCCGCGCCAGTAAGGGCAGCAGCATCGCGTCGCCGAAGGGCAGCCCGCCACAGCTCGATATGCGTGCAAACGAAATGAGTCCCGCGTCCTCCGCTTCGCCCGCGAGAAACCTGAAGGCGATCAGTCTAGTTGCAGGTGATTCACCTGTAAACGGTGGGAAGGTGCTCGCGCAGGTTTACGGCGAAGCCGGACGCGACTTTGATTACGGCATTGCCGAATCTCGTGCAGACAGCAAACGGTCATTACCGCGGATCCCGATGATTCCCCGTTTAAGCACGAGTGACGACGAGTACGTAGGTTTGGCGCGCGAGAGAGACCGGATTGTGGAGGACCCGCAGCGTGTGATCGCTCAGGCCCTGAGAGCCAGCGGCGTCCCGAGAGGGGAGCGGCATATAGTCGAACAAGAAGTTCTCGACGTGGACCCGCGCACCGGCAAGCTAGTCCTTTCTCCCGGCGGAGCGTATCCGGAAGTCAATCGCGGAGGACGCGCCTTGTGGGAAATCCCAAGATTAGCGGCGAGTGTTCCAGCAAAGAAGATGGAGGTCGGTTCTGCAATTCGTGATGTGATGGCGGCAGGCGCGACCCTTGCGGGTGTGCCGATCCCCGGACTCAACGCGGACATTAGCAGAGGAAGGAAGCCGAAGGGCCGTCTCAAACGCAGCGATGAGGACGAGGACTTCGCCTATGAACCCGAGAATTACGAAAGTGCACGGAACTTGCAGCTCGTCCAGGAAACGCTAGCGCAGCTAGAAGAACGCAAAGCCAGACGGCAGAAAAGAAGTGGCAGTAAGAATGTGCCTGTCGGAGTGAAGGACTACCAGGAATCGCGTGGCGGGCGCATGGCGCGGGTGTACCAGCACGTTTTTCGAAGCGCGAACGCGTTTAACCAGCGCGACACGCGGCCCGACACAAGTCCCGGCGTAGAGCGGCGCATGGCCGCACGCAGCCTGCTGCGGCACCAGGAAGAGACGATGGGACGCGCCGCGCGCCGCGAGGGCAGCATGAGCCCGACGCAAATTGCAGAGCAGGAAGCGCTGAAACGCCAGGCGTCACGCTACTACGGCGCACAGTCGCTGAAAATTCCCTTTTCACCTCAATATGGGATGAACGACACTGGATCTTCTGCTGACTATGCGGAAGAACGGATAGCACGACGATGGAACCGACTGCGTGACGAGGTACAACGGCATCTAGGCAAACAGGCTGCTCGCGGTGACGCGGGTCGGGGCCGATTGAAGCAAGTAGCACATTTGGAGAGAGACTTTGGAAACGACGCAAAACAGCGACCGGTGCGAGGATTTCTCCATGAAAAACAGGTTCCGGAACTCGAAGAATATGTGGTCGCAGACGAAAGCATGTTCTCCCCCGTCAGCGAGAACAACCTCACCTTGGCCGCTGCCCCTTCGCGATCTAGGCGACCCAAACTTGCGACCGACCTGAACTACGATGTGCTTTCTCCACGCGTTGAAGAGCACCATCACATTTACTACTGAGGACGCATATACATAGTTCCCCAAACGTGATTAAAAATGCGTGCTCGCACGCAGTCACCGCTTCATTCCCTTCCATGTGATTTTATATGATAATATGTGTGATAACACATTCGACCCCCTCATTCCTTTACTTCGCTTCCCCCGATTCCTAAATATGATAGGCAGTAGATTGGCGACTTCTTTCCCTGTCGTCACTCCATAACGAATGAACATGAATGTGTAGGATTTGGATTGCGAAAGGCGCATGTTGCAGATTACAAAATAGCGCAAACCTGAACTCTAAGAACGGCTGCACTCAAAAGCAGCTGAATAGAGCTGTACTCACGTCGTTTTCCTCTGTGTATTGTGTTGCAAAGTCCATAATTATTGCGGATGAAAATTGAAAAAGACGGAACGGCTGTCGTGAGAGGCTTGTTATTGCAGTCCTTTGAATCTGTTCAGTCAAAAAAGAAGTTCTGGATGAGGACCTCCTGAGAAATATTAAAAGTGATTCATTGATGTCGGCTTCGTCTTGAGTACGACCTTTCAAGGTGAGGTCAGAAAATTTGGAATCTGTCAAGCAAAAAAACAATATCACAGCATCACTGCAAAATGGTCGAGGCGACTGAGGAAACAAGAATGGTCAACGGAACGTGAAGCGATCGGTTCTAGGCATAATGAGTAGTCAGTTGTATCGGTCGAAAATTATGTAATAAATTGGCAATGGAAATGAGTTGGACTCACACTCTTGGAGGTATGATTGCAGCGAGGTAGGGTAGGCCCAGAGTCAAACTGAGCCGTTTTTGCGTTATTTCGAAATCTGTTCACTAATCTGGGCTAAAATGGATCCAGAATAAGTACCTATAAATGATCCAGCGCTTACCATGTACCTATTGAGCAGCGATGACAAGAGAAAGTTTGTTGAGGAAGAAACTCGCTTATGAAACTACACGCTGTCGCATGCAAACGGTGCGGACTTGAAGTTTGAAATTACGATGATTCATTTGCTTCCCATCATCCTGCAAGAACATCAAAGGAAAGATTGAAGGCGAGCATGGCTTCCTCATCGTTGGGCTCCGGGTTGCGGGGCGGCTACAACACCGGGCAATGGGGCAATTGGCGTTCGCATTCGGTTCTATTACATGAAGCAATAGCAGAGTTGGGGTGGACTGATCGCGCAACCGCTCTGGTCGAGGTGTTTCGAAAGCACTGTAAACGCAAGGGTCCGAACTACTTGAGTCGCGAAGAGTTTCACGAAATTTTAAGGCGGTACCCATGTTGCGATGCGGGGTACTTTGACATTTTCTTCGAACTCTTCGACCGAAATCAGGACGAATACCTGAACGAAAGCGACTTCCTTGCAGGGATGCTAGCGTGCTCGCCCAACACGCCGCACAAGGTAGCGCCGCACAGCGCGTCGCTGAATCGATCGTCTGTTGGAGAGAAACCGTCCGAAAACGGTTCACCAAGTGGCCGTATGACTGAGAGCGCTTTGCAATCACTTTACTTAGCTTTAATGCATAGCAGAAAATGAGTGACGGCATGCTGTGGGTGAAGCATTATCGAGCTTTAGTCTCGCCTTTTACTCAACTCGAGCTCTAGTCAGCGTTCGTTTCTGATCCTTTTTCTATGCTACATAGTGGTTCTATGCTCCTTCAAGCATCGCTGTTGGCCCAAAACCGAGCTGTCCTCTCATATCGTAGTTGCGGATGCAGTTCGTTTTTCTGTACTACGACTACAATCGTAATGGCCGACTGGAGGTCGATGAAATAGCGCGGCTAATCACACACTTGCTGAAGATTCGTGGACAGGCGCACACTCGGGACGCTGTCGATCGCGATGCCGCTGCACTTCACGCCATCGGGGAAAGGGAGAAGCAATACGGCCACGTCTTTGGTTTCCACGCTTTTTTTGATTGCTCCGCACAGAAGATGCTCAACGGAACTTCGCAGCTGCTTCGAACACAGCAATGTCTTGCAGAAGTGATCTTGCACTGCTCTCCCTCTCCTTCTGCTGGACCAAGCGGCGGCGGACTTTTAGGACTCGAAAGTAGAGACATGCCAGGTGGCGGAGACCGAGAAAGTGGTAATAAAGGTCCGCCATCTGGTGCGGGGTTGCCCGGGAGCCTCCTAGGTGCGGGAATTTCTTCCTCTTCGACTAGCGCTTCGCGGAACGCTTCAGTGGCTGCTGCGTCGAGATATGTCGCTCCTGGAAGCGCGGAGAACGGAAGCGCGGTGGCTTCAGCGGCGGCGCACTTCGGTGGAACAAGCAGCAGCAGCGGAAATTTTCTCACACCGCAAGCATCCATGGGCCAGAGTGCATCACGGACAGTCAGTGATTGGAGCGTCCTAGCTTCTAGCTCGCCTCCACCAGGATACGGGCCAGCGGGGGCATCGTCGGGGATCGGTGCAACGGCAGCGCCACCACCCGTTCGCAGTACTAAGCTAATCACTCACCCTTCTTTCCCGCAGTCGTCGCCTGCCGCATCCTCTGGATGTCCGCTTGGTGGGCGCTTTTTCGTACCGCAAACCTCGAGCAAGAGTTCTCACCGAACTGCCTCGCCGCCGGCGACCGTGCCGGGTCCAGGACAATTATTCAGCGGCGGCCCAAACGGATTCCTTTCTTGGTCCGGCGAACAGGGGAATAGCGTGTCATCGGCTTCACCCCTGGGAGCAAATCCAGGCAGCTTGCCTACGGACGCGCAAAGGCACAGCAACTTGTACGGCAATGCTAGTGCAGCTCCAGGTGCGTTACTCTCGACAGCCGGCGGCGCAGCTGTGTCATACAGTGACGGAAGCGGCAGCAGCGCACTTCCCGCGGGATCGCCAATTCGCATGATGGGTGCAAGCGGTCTGCAGCAGCCCATATTGAACATGCCGCAGGGGCCCGCACTAAGAGGTCGCGGCGGCATGGCGACGTCGGTGCTTCCGGTTGAGGAGCAATTTCCTCTTGGATCATCAGACAGAAGAGGCGGAAGCTTTAAATTTTGTTCTGCGAACCTAGGGTCCCTGCCTGATGCGACTCGAGCACCTGGAAGTTCTCCCCCTGCAGGCTCACCGAATGCATATGGATCTCCTTTTGGAACCGTGATGCAATATCCAGGGCACAGTAGCACTAGTCCCGGGACCACTGCAAACACTGGACAAAATCGGAGTAGTCCGAGTAGTGCCTCGCCTCCGATGCGAGAGAACCATTTTTGCACCTCAAGAGGACTGAACGCTGTTCCAAGCAGTGCTCTTCCCGGAAGGGGAGGAGGCAGTCTGATTCTCGCAGATCCGCCGATGCTGCACGCAGCGGCTGAGACTTACGGCGGCAGCGCCAGCAGCTCCCCTGGTGTGTCGTGCAGTAGTGCTTCGTCTGCTAATTCCACGACCGCCGAAACAGCTTCCTGTAGTGCTAGTGCGGTCCGCAGAAACTTCTACGCGCAGAAGATGGAGCAACAGAAGTTAGAAGCAAGCAGCGCAGGATTTGGCGGCCCACCGGGAATTAATTTCAGTGCTAGCAACTTCAGTTCGGTGTTGAGTGCGGCCGCGCAGAACGGCGCCGCGATCTCGGATTCTGTTGTCCGTGCGAGCGCCGTTGTTCCTCCGGGTCAGGCAAGCCCACACGAGGACATGTATCCAGCGTCCGCGAGACGAGCAGCTTCGCCACCAAGACAAAGCGCACCTCCTGGCGGCCACCGTCCGCGCGTCCCCGGATCACGCAGCGGGAATGCAAGTCCTCACCGAGGGTCGCAGCAGCCATTCAATTGTTCTCTCGAGCAGTACAACCAGAAGGTGATGCGGCAAAGCACTGACCCAACCCAAAGGCACCAATACGCGGTGCGCGGCGCACCACCGACGCAACAAGCGCAGCAAGAGCCCGAGCAGACTGGAGCGGAGTACTCAAATAAGATACTGGACCTTTTAAAAATTACTCAAGAATACACATAAACAGAAACTGTGATGGAAACAGAAGCTCAATCGCCTATAGCTAAGCCAATCGTTCCAATCCAGGGCTGTCGCATTGCGGATAGTACGAAAAGTGATGGAGTTATCTAACGATCCTTGTTTCGACTGGAGTTGCCGCCCACCACTGGTGACAGCAAGCGAGATGTTCGAACTTTGCGACCAAGTATTCGAGACGGTCCGTCATGAGAACAGCCTCATTGACGTGCAGCTACCATGTATCAATCAGTGCCTCTGGTCTAGGGTGACTTTACATTCCGCTTGATTTGCTACTTCAGTTCTTCAAATCGAAATTTTGCAGCAGTATCATATGCGAATGTACATGAGCTTCCTATGAAATTTTAACCTTTCCCTCAGGTCGCGTGTATGGTGATATTCACGGGCAACTTCCAGACTTGTTGCATTTCTTTAATGCGTTTAGCTGGCCAGACAAGCGCCGAGGTGATATTTTTGCGATGAACTATATTTTTCTCGGCGATTTCGTGGACCGTGGAAATTATTCAGCGGATGTGGTTACCCTTTTGTTATGTTTGGCGCTTTTCGTGTCGAAGGACTCTTCCCTACTCAGTTGCCTTCCCTACTCATTTTCATCGCGAAGGTACAAACACGGGAAAAGAATGGGTTGATTATTCAAATTGGCAAGGATCATAGAGACGGCATTGTTGCAGTAGGTCATATAGCTTCTAATTTTGTTTGCGCTGAAGGTGCTTTACCCGAATAAGATCTATCTTGTCCGAGGAAATCACGAGGACCGGCTCATGAACCAAAACTACGGCTTTCTCCACGACTGCGGATTTCGTTTTCCAGACGCAGAACCCTGTGAACAGGAAGAGCAGACGCTTGGGTACATCTGTTCAGAAGGACGAATGATTCGCACTACTAGTCCCACTGAGAAGATGTTGATGTCGCATAGAATTACAAGCAACCGATGTGGTTGTTGAAATCCATCTGTACTCCTAGTACCAACATCATGATCATCCACTTTTATCTTAGGCTGCACTGTCTAAGTTCTTCACGCCAAAGGTACCAAGTGTGGGATCGTGTGAACGACACATTTGAGTTTCTGCCCATTTCGGCACTAGTGGAGGGTGTTATCCTTTGCATTCATGGCGGAATTGGTGACTCGATTTTCTCGCTTGACGACCTTCGAGATATTCCAAAACCCATACGCATTTCCGCAGAGATCAACGAGGAGACCACGCGCCAGGATCGGGTGCTGATATATCAGTTTGCAGGGCATCCATCTCTGTCTTGATCATGATCTATCAGCCTCGTTGACGCTGTCAGTGCAAGCGTGGAGTGGTCCGACGGCGAAGGTGGCTTCGGTTTGAATAATATCGATAAGAATTATCTATCTGCACAACTCTATCCACCACAACCTATAGGTCGTCCTTGACGCACTTTGGAGTGATCCAACTGATAACGACGCAGTTTTGGGCGTGCACTTGTCTCCGCGAGGACAGAACACTTGTCGTTTTGGTCCAGATCGCGTGCAGGAATTCAACAAACGAAATGGCCTCAAAATGATCATTCGGGCACATGAATGCGTGCAATACGGGTACTAATGATTCATCAATTATATTGTGATATTAGAGCAGGAGCAGCACCTGTTCCAATAGATACTTGTGGAACAAATACTTCTCACTTTCTTTCGGATAGATTGAAATAGAGATTTCCTGCATTTGAGAACCGGTTTCGTGACTGGCAAAACTTGAGTTACAAAGCTTGTTCAGCAGGTACGAGTACTTTGCTAACGGGCAGCTGCTGACAGTTTTCTCGGCGACGAATTATTGCAATCAGTACAACAACGACGGAGCTATGGTCGTCCTAGTTCGGAATCCTGATGGGTCAGTGGTGGAACATGCGCAAGTCATACGGTCCGGCACTGGTGAGCAGCCATGGCCCACAGAGCAGTTCCGCGATCCTTCACCCATGCGCGGCGGCCAACGGTGAACATGCTATACTACTGTTTAACAGAGGAGCTGCATCGATGTCGAGATTGATACCGGATAATTGATTGTCGCTGCGCCAGCACCTCGAAAATACGACGCAAGTACTAGCTGAAGTTGAATTGATTTACATTACTCAAAAGGCATCATGATATCATCTCCGAATATGACTGAACTGTGGACTGCAATATGATTCTTTAACAGCACTCGGGAACCGACCGCTATCCATTGTGGCTTTGAAGATTTTCGCAGGTACCGTCTCCTTGAAAACTTCTATAGTAACAACAGTACTCCTGTTGATATTGTCGAAATTTAAGTTGAAAATGCTGAACAAAGAATCAAGAAGGAAAATGCTAGGTAAACAAAAATGCCAAGAGAAACTGGAAATGTTATTGGTGTGATCTAAAAACGAGCGACTGATGTCTGTGTGCACGGTTAAAATCTGTTCTGGTAGCACTCCGAATGTTCAGTGTTGGCAGCGATGTTCGCTTTGTGTGGGAAGAAAGGTCTTCCCTGATAAATGGCGGACAATCTTCGCGAGCTCGCAACTCACAAATCTGTTTTCCGAGCAAGCACGACGTAGGGCTCTGTCGATGATTGAATGTTGACTGGTGAGAGCAAATCTTGTGAACAATAACTTGTTGCATCTGTTCCTAAGTACTAGTTACGCCCACTTCTAGTTATTCGTTACGTTATGTTTAAGCCGCACAGCTTCAACATCAGCGAAATTCGTAGAACTCGAAGAAGATTCAGGGAAGTCGTAGGTCCAATCCGAACCGACTAGCATCATCATCGCGGTTACGATCTCTCTGCAGGCGGTCTGAGCTCCAACTTTCAATTTTTACCTGTCTCGAAGTCGAATTATACTTGCGATTTGGCCACAATATACGTACATTAAATCCGTCAGTTATCATACAGCGATCTTTGACTTTGATCTCCACATCTGCGTTACGGCAGCGATGCATTTGTTTTGAATGAAAATTGCATTCGAAAACTTTCAGTGATTTTTTCATCCGTATCTGTAATGCCTGCTTTACAGTAGGAAGCATCAATTCCTGGTGGGTCGAACTAGAGACAGGATAGAAACAAGTTAGTCCTGGGTTAGTACGAAATTCGGGTGCAGATAATCGAATAGTAATCCTGTTGTTTTTTTGAGTAGAAGGGAAAGAACACCATTTCCCATTTCCTGTAGAATCTAGGTAATTTATTCATTGATAATAAAACGTTTTGAGAATAACTTCTTTGTAGTCTACTCACAAAAATATGACTTCCTTTGTTTTTCCGGCAACATTGACGGCATTGTTTACCATGCGTGCTTTACCGATCTTTTTCGCTGCTTGAGACCCCATATTGCGACGATGTCCAGCGTTCCGTCAAAGCGTGCCAGTCGACACGACGTAGAGCATGGACCTGCGCCAACTCAACTCTGGGGCTCGTCTGAAGAAGAGGAAATAGACATCCCGTCAGCGCGAGGAGAACACGCCCATCATCATGAAAAACAAGCAGCAGGTAGAGGTACTTCTTCGTCCGCCCCCTCTGATGGTAAAAACAGCACCGGTAACACCGGTCGACGGCGTTCCTACCGTGAGCACGAAAAGCAAGTGAAGCGAGAGGAATCCGCTGCTCTGAGGATACAGGCAATTCACCGAGGGCGTGTCGCCAGACAAGAGGCCGAAATGCGTCGAGCGTTCCTGCACGACGGACAGGACGATGGCGCTTCATCTGTGGGAGGTCAAAGTTGGCACCCGGTGCATGACCTAACGCCGATGGAGCGGCAAGAAGTGGATGAAATGGCCGCTCAAGCAGAGAAAGATGAGACATCACAAAAGCAGAGTGCTGCAGATGGAGGAAGCAAAGCGCTTTGCCCCAACCCGGCGTATCTGTTTTTCCCTGAGCGATTAGAGGAGTCAGACGAGACGGGCGCACCGATGAATCATAATGCTGGTCTTTTTGTCGATGGCAGAGCTTGGAAACAACAGCGAGAGCTGTCGCAACATAGAGAAAAAGCTGCGTGCAGAAGACAATTTCATCATAAAAGTGGGTCGTCTGAGCTACAACATGCGCACGCCCTGCTTCTGGGCAGCTGTATCGAAGGCGGCAGCAGTAGCAGCACAGGTTCTTACTCTATGACGCCATCGTGGGGATCGTCACCGCGGTTCGTGCGTCACACGGAGAACCTGCATGCTGCGCCTTTGCTGAGACAAACAGGCGGGAATGGCTGGAACGTGATGCTCGAGGGACGGCATCGCACTCTACCGCCCGAGATAACGGGGCTCAATACCCCTAATGTGTTTGGAAATACACAGAGTGCGCGCAATGAGAATCCACCGAACCCGCCCGTAGGTACCAGCGACGAAGAACATAACGGAGAAGTCGTGGATGAACATAATCGAGTCTTCAACCGACAAACTTCTTTGTACGAGGACTCGCCGGAGGGAGTCCTCGGCAACATTGCACCACAACGAGAGAGCAGGGGCAGCACGAGCGCTATTGCCGGCGAAGTTGGTCTCGGGACAAATGCACTACTAGGTCGACGCTCCGGCGGAGGACCACAACAGCTGCGATTTCCCAAAACGGGCAACACAAAGTTGGCGGGGGTGTATAACAACTCGGTAGAAGACTCTTCGCCACGGCAACATTCAGATGGGGGCCTTGTAGAGTTTCCCCCGCTTCTGCATCTGCCGAACCCCAACAAGCGAAACTCCGGAGTTGCAGATGTGAAGGCATCGGACAGAGTTGCATCGCGCGATCGACACTTCGAGAGCTCAACCAACGCACCCCGCGTTGACGCGGACGATGAGGCAGACGATATTGCTTTGAACATGCGACCCGGAAGCTATTATCGTGACTTAGATGAGACGCCCGATCGTCGAAATGCTAGTCATGACTCTCGGCATATAGAAAAAGGACTACATCAGGACTCGCCGTTGATCGCCCCAGGGAGGGATCAAAGCAGTGCTGGTTTGAGAATCGCTACACAGGCTGTTCTCGCCGATGTGGGTGGCAAACGCGAGAAGAGTGATGTCATGGCCCAGACGATCGAAGACTCCATCGATGAAGAGGCGGCGCGGCAGCGGCGAATAGCGGAGTGGGAAGTGCTGAGGCGTGTTCGATTTACAACGGGCTTTCAGACGCCCATTTTTCTGCGCGGTTCTGCGCAAAGCCGCGCTGCGCTGGGTCGCGTGCCACCGCAGATGCGGCAGCTGACGAACGCTTGTCGGTCTGTGACCGAGCCGCACTTCGCACCAGCGCGGGATTATCAGGACCGAGACGGCAACCGCCCCCTCGTCATCTACAGAACGAGGTTCATGAACTTCTTTTGGACTGTTGGACGTCTTGTCAGCAACGTTTCTAAACCGACCGTTTGGCGCTTGATGTGGCGCTTTTTCCGTCGCTTGGCGGAACTACCAAACGAGGATCTGCATCACCTCTCTGAAACCAGTGATGATATTTTCTCGCGGAATGTGGTGATCCCCGGACGGGAGGAGGGCACGTATCTCGACTACTACGCGCCACCGGAGTACGAGCAGAATCTTGGGGCGCCGCCGACAACAACTACCGATGGACCAACCATCTCCGAGGAGCTTTCGGGGCCATCAAATAGGCGGTTGCAAGGCATGGACGGACCAGCTACAACATCGCGTAGTGCGCATACAACACCAGTCAGAGACGCGGGACCTGCTAGCAGTACAGGATCATCGCTTTCGCTTTCGGTTTCGCCGATGGGGAGACATGCTCTCCCCAGAGCGGCCCACGACGGCTTCGGACTACTTGCGGGTGTGCGTGGAGGTAATCCTACAAATGTCATACAGGGGCACCGCACCTCGTCGCCTACGATCACAGAGGCTCGCGCAGCTGCCGAACCGTACGCATCGCAGCAGGGCCTCATCCATCAGCTCAGTGAGATGCCCTGGAAGTACTGCTTAGCCGTTGATATCGGCGCCGCACGAACGAAGTTCAAATTTGTGGATAACAACACAGAAGAGGTGTGTCACGTACCCAAAGTGAACTCACAAGACATCTGGGAGACACGGGAGCCCGCCATAGGGCTTCGAGAGTATCTCACGCAGCGCATTCCAGGCGAACAGCTAGCGGGGATCGACCGGATCATCTTTTCAGTGCCAGGGACCATTGACATCCAGCAGGCAGTGCACGCCGAGGAGCTCACAGTGGTCAAAAACATGCCATCTTTTCAAAGCAACTTCCGTGGTTTCGACTTCAAGGCGCGCTTTCGACCATTCTTCCCTGGCACCAAAGTCTCTGCGTGCTGCGACAACCTCGCAGCGGCCATTGGCTGTGCGGCAAAGTATAACTGACTTAGTAGAGACGTGCTAGACTTAAACGCCCGGTAGCACTTCTCTCACTAGAATCTTCCACCCTCTGCACGCACTTCCCCCGCCATGGCGTGCCCCCGCTTCTCCGCTTCCCCGGCTCCTTCCCCGCGCGACAGCCGTCCGGCGGAGTTGATCGGTGGGACAAGCGCCGGGCTTGGGGCGGCGTGCGGCCATTGAATTGGAAGAGGCACGCCGCGAAATCGCAGGCCCAGGAGTTTGCCTTTCTTTTGTTAGGTTTGGCTATCTTTACGCGAAAGCTGCAGCTTTCCAGTTTCAAACTTTTACAATCTGTCTCCTTTGAATACTAAAAACTTAGCATTTAACTTTTTTTGAAGTTTATTCTTCTTCGATAAAATCGAAGATTTTGCTATTTTCAAAAGTCGCAAAATTTTTGATTTTATCAGCAAAAGAAATAGATTTAAAGTCCACGGCGGGGCGTTGTAGGCTTCAAGCTGAAGACTTGAAGCCTCAAGGCCGTAGCTCCTGAGTTCCGGCGCTGTCTACAAGTATGCCATGTCATGCCCATGGGTTCATAGGTTGCCTATACGTTGTTCTTGGGTTGAGAGATCCGGGGGCTGAGAGATCAGGGGTTGAGAGATCAGGGGCTGAGAGCTCAGGGGCTGAGAGCTCAGGCGTTGAGAGATCAGGCGTTGAGAGATCAGGGGCTGAGAGATCAGGGGTCGAAAGCTCAGGGGTCGAGAGATCCGGGCTTGGAGAGATCCGGGCTTGGAGAGATCCGGGGTTCCTGGGTTCATTTGTTCATGTGTTGCTTTTGTTGGTTCGTTGGTTGATTGGAAAAGAGAGCGGAAAATTTTTTTATGGGGGTCGCGTGTTTTTGGTTCGGGTGTGTTTGGTTGAGAGATTGGCGGGGACGTTGTTGATTTTTTATTTAGCTCGTTAATATTTCTAATCTTTCTCACCTCGAATATTATCTTCAGTGACAAAAGCTAAAATCTGAACAAACTTTCATAATCTCTCATGGATACGCAACCACGACTTCGTCCAGGTATCCGAACGTTTCGCAAGGACTTGTGGTAGTTTTGGGAACTGCACCTGCAGTATCCACTTTCAATCGCAAGGGGAACGACGGGCTTGAGACAGGCATTTGGCAGTCATGGGTATGGTTTACCAAAATTGCCTTGAAGGACCGTTACGGTTATGCAGGCGGCGTAAAAGTACTGGACAACGGGAAGCGCATCGTTACGAATCCGCCAGACTTTGTGAAGATGCCGCACAAACAGAGTAGAATTCGGTTCGCGCTGGACAATCGCACGTGGCTTAGGTTTCAGGGCAAGGAACCGACGCTGCCCGCTGCGCAACAAGGGACGCTGACGGCACAGGAAGCGACTAAAGTTTGGGTCGAGCGGTTGCGGGCGGCGTTGCGCGCTTTGGCGATCAAATTCCATCAATATTATGGGCCACCTGATGCCATTTTCGTCCTTGGTGGAAATTCGCTGCAGGTGCACGGCCTGATTGAGGAGGTCAAATACGACAATCCTGAAAATTTCGACATGCACGACACGCCAGAGAACAAGAAAACGTACGTTCCGGTATTTACGTGCGGCACGGATGCAGAACAGCAGGACACCACCATGATAGGCTTGCTGCAAAGCTCGAGATTCAAGGTGAAACAGGTGTACTCAGCAGGTAGCGACCCCTTGGATCGCGGCTGGACACGAGGCGGCGAGATCTACCACTGGGTTTTGCGGAGCCGTGCTGCGGGAAAGGATGTCAAGCAACCCTCACCCGGGGGCTCAGTCGGTAGTCTCTTGAGTCTTATGGGCGCAGGCGGCAGTGCGACTCGAAATTACAATGGTGAAGGCGAGTCTGCAACGAGCGGGTCGACCAGAAATAATTCCAAGACCAAAGAGCACGTAGATGGTTCCAGTTCTTCCGCTGTGCGGCGTCAACACTCCCACTGACGAGGTCGAGAATAAGGCGTTGCCTTCAACATGAGAGGTAAGAATTAGAGCCTACGTGATATCGCTACCCTGTGAGATACCGAATGTAAGCCTTCTCCGCTGAGACGCCGTCGCGCCATTGGCGCAATCTCCGCATTGCTTGGGGATAGCATCCCTGGCATGTCAATTTTCCTGGCGTTAATATCAGAGGATGTCCCCTGTTGTTTTATATTCTGAATTTTTGAATCTTAAGCTTCGTCCCTCGATCTCTATGGCGCTCAGACGGATCCCCAGACGCGTATGTTTTTCTGGTACCACCAGCCTATAATTATATTTAAATTCTTCTACTTAGCCGGAATCGTATTTAAGCCACCACAAAATTCGGCTCGCAAACAGACATAACATTGTGAGTGGTGGTATGTCCTCTGTCAGAGTTGCATCAATTTGTCTCCGTGCAGCTGTGTTCTTCGTGATCTAGCAGTTGCTTGCTTCTCCACCTCTCGTTCATCGGTTGCGTAGTGAAAAATCCGTTGCCAAGGAGTGTGAAAGCCATCAGTCGGATAATGCTGGGACAACTCCCCTCACATGGAAAAGTAACGTGATAATTACAACAGGGTAAAGAACAAAAGATCTTCATCTTGCGTAATTTTATTAGTATCGGTTTTCGAGCGATGCTCTTTGGAGGTGTACTCCCCAACACGAAGTTGTGCATGCTTTTACCTGTGTCCGATGCAAATCGGTGCTGCGCGGCTCCGTTGCACAGTCGGTTGTCGTGAAATCTCAGGAGCCCATTCCTCAAAAACCACTATGATAGCGATGACCGTACGAGACCCCAAGCATGCGTGCTCACGCAGCACTCACCTTCAAGTACAACTAGCTAAGTAATTTATTTCGCACAAGCATCTTCTTGTAAAGCGTGTAAGCATCCGACATACATCACTGTTCGCTTGACTCATGTTAACATCATAATTATTGACTCTTAACGACATGTTGTTTCTTTTCTATCCTAAATAAAAAAGGTAATCGTCATACCCGGGGCAGCGTTGTTGCGCTTCTACCTCTGGTCCGTTCCAAACTTTGAATACTGCACAGAGATAAAAGGGGTAAGCATCGTGGCAACATGATGGACTCAACTTCGAGGACAACTGCTCGCCAGAGTAATGCAAAAGGGTTGATGACCCCTATTCCTGTTAAGATGCTGGAGGAGCCGGAGACGGAAGAACTGTGGGGTGCTTGGCGCGAAATGGGCGACCGGGACATCGTACAAGAAAATGTAGATGCCATTGCGTATCAATGTGGTAGATTGCCGCGCAGTCGTCCGAGTTCAGCCGGATCACGGCGTGGTACATCCGCAGCTCATGGGAGTCCCACTCGACCCAAATCTGCGTTGGCTTCGTTAGGAGGCACTCCTGTGTCGTCAAGCAAAAGGGCTGTTGCAGAATCTGGAGGACCGTTTAATTTCGTCAATGTTGCAACAGGGAGGCGCGGCCCAACTTTTGATGGTGAGCAGGTTTTCGGCGATGGTGCGACGGGAGAAGCTGCACAAAAGGCGGATAGTACAACTAACGGAGCAGTTGGAGGTTTGACAGGCAGCTTTACAGTTGGAGGATCCGCGTCGAGTTCATCGCGACCAAAATCAGTGAATGCTTTAGAACGCCAACTGCGAAGTGATCCACGTTTTTCGGTGAACACGAAACTTCTCAATTTGTCGAAAAAGGGACTCTCACCGGCGATACAAGCGGTTGGGGTGGCGCGCAGGCCACGTAATCGCAACGGGGCCGCCTCGCGCCCGGCTACTGTTTCGGCGTCAATTTCAGGAGGATCAGTAGGAGAAGCTCGTAACAACAATGTTGATTTATTCATTGGACGAGAAGAGCTAGTACGAGGTCCAGATGTTGTGCCGAACTCTAGCGCAAGGGCGGATTCCTCGTACCATTTTGATACGGGGCAGACAGTGACTTTCGATCCGGAGGTTCATCGGGTTGATGCATTGATTGATTCTCACCGCGAGCGCCCGGCTACTGCGCCCGCTAAATCTGGTGGTAACGTTTTGCCGCCGGTAAGGGAGCCGGCAAAAACTCCGACCGGTCAAAGCGCAGGACCATCTCTTCGAGCACCGCCGCCAACGCCTGAGAAAGCGGTGCAGCTACTGGGACCCGATCAAGCAGGACAAATGGCGACAATCGCGGAAGAACACCATAGCACCAACCTAGCGCCGGCTGCTACTGGTGAATCTGGTCTTGTGACTCCAAAGACCAAAATAGTGGGCGACGGAGAAGCTGGTGCACAAGGTGGATTTCCAGAGGAAGACTTCACTGAGGGCGAGCGCAATTTTCTGATGAAAAAGCAGGAGATGCTGCGTAGAAGCCCAAGCAAGAGCATTTTTTCTTTGCTGAATGCTTCGCCGGCGATATCTTTGGCCTCTGATGTCTCGCCATCGAAGAGCTTCTGTCTTGGTACTCCGTCGCCGACTAAAGCGAAGACGCAGGACCGTCCACATCCACCGACGCCCTCGCCGAGCAAGCGGAGTCGCATGTCAGCAGATCATAGTCCATCCGCAGGCAACACGCCACGCAAGAGGTCGCCGACGGGAGACGGGACTGAGTCGCCGCAACAAATCATGGACCGATTACAGAAGCGATGGCGCGAATACCTAGCTAGCATTGCAGCAGTACAGATTTTGCTTTCCTTATTGAATATGGTTCATGAACACGTCAAAGGCGAGGCAACATGTGAACGAAGGTCTATGCTTCGTTTTAGAAGGAGAAAAATTTCGCACTGTTGATGAACTCTGAAGGTTTTCATTTTTGTAATAACTCCTTTTAGGGCGAAGAACAAGCAGCACGGTGGCAGCGTTGGAAAACGAAAATGGCGGAAATCGAAGCAAACCAACTCGACGCGGAAGAACGAGGGAAATTTTTCAACGAGATTCGCTACAGACAGCTTGACGCGAATTTCAACGGACAATTCCTATTCCAGCAAGTCACCGAGATGATCTTCGAGGACAAACAACATCCCCTTGTTATGATTCCGTTTTGATCTTGCACTCATTGGTTCAGAACACAAAACTCTTATGTGTGTAGAGAATGGTGACACGGAAGCTGTTTTTTGTCTTCAAAGAAATCTTCCATATAAATGCCTCTAACTTCCATCCTAGCGGCCGCTATCGATTACAGTCTCTTCTCGAGAAAACGATTCAAGCCACGAACGGCGAGAGCGTAGCGGCAATGGCAGCCTTAGCGGAGCTAGAAGAGACGGAAGGCCAGTTTGCACGCGCTCGCGAGTTGTACTCGATTATTGTCGACAAGGCCAGAGAAGGCAACGAGGTAGCGCTCACTTGTTTGGTAGACGTGGCTGAATTTCGGGAGCGCCAGATGGCTCGAGATGCGGAGGAGCGGCGGAAACGAAAGTCGAGGAACAAATTTAAAGTGGTACTAGGTGTGACTTGTCAACACAATGATCTTGAAGATCGATTGAGTTTCCGATTGGGTGAGCGAGAATATGAGAAGCGCACATGTGTTTTGAAGAAAAGCAGCTTGATAACTATTCATTTTCGATGAAGAACTACTCTCGAACCCACTTCTACCACGATCAGGGCAAGAATAAGGCACTCATCGACAAGGGGATCAAGAAGGACAGCAAAGCCGCCGATTTTATGTTGAAGGTGGTGCGGGAGCGGGAGAACATCGAGCGCCCTTTGCTTCGGCAGAGTCTGAAAGAAGGCTTTCTGGATCCGATGCGCGACGCGCTGGAGCGCATCATCCGCAACCATCCGCAGGACAAGCGACATTTGTCGGGCTACAAACGGCAAGTGCACCGGGAGAGGCAGCGCGAGCGCGAAATTCATGAAGAGTGCCTTGCTTCTCTGAAAATGATGGCAGCCGAAAAGCAGAAAGTAGCCAAACCAGTTACCTCTCCAATCGCAAGCAGTCGGAATGCCGCGCCAGCAGGCCTCGTGGAGGGCAAGCCGGGCACCTTGGGCTTTTCTGCGCGGCGTGCGAGTGCGACAGCAGCTCCCGCGGCTGCAGCAGCGCCTGCCGCAGGAGGTGGACTGGGAGGGCTGTTCGGCAAGAAGTCACGTGGATCATCGCAGAGTGTTGCTGCGTCCAGCCCCGCGTCTACTGCGGCACCCGGATCTCCGCAAGCCGAAACGCCGGGTGGTGCTGCGGCCTTGTTAGGAGGTGGGGGAGCCAAGGGGGCTGGTCTCAAAGGTATGGGCGGTGGAGGTCTGCTCGCTGGCCTAGCGGGTGCAGGAGGAGCATCTGGTAGTGCTACTGCTACTATAACTCCAGTGTCTGTAGCCACACCCGCAGCAAAACCTGGAAATCTCTCGGGTGCAGCAGCGGCACAGAGGCCACAGACGACACCTAGTGGCGCGGCACCTAAAGCCGCCTGCGGTCCACCTCAAAAGTCCGGTTCGAAGGAGGACGTGGGAAAAAAGAGCGCAGGCTCAAAAGCGCCACAGAAATCAGGATCAAAAGCACTCCACAAAGGTGCATCCACTCCCGGGTCTAAGTCTGGTGAGCGAACATCAGCGCAGATGTTTGACAATCTCGAGAATCGACTGATGAAACAGCAAAAGGACGCTGAACGGGAAGTCGAAGCGGAGGAAGCTCGTAAGCGCCCAGCTGAACTGACAGAGGAAAACGTAGTGGAGTGGGTACCAAAGAAATACCAAAAAGAAATAGCACCAGAATACAAATCGCAGGTGGAGCGGGGATATGCATCAGAGTACCCCTTAACAGACCTAGCGCTCTGGTTTCAACGGTTGCTTTCTCATCCGTCAAGATTCGATGGACGAATGTTCTGTAGATTCATACAAGTTGGATCTGCATTTCAATAATACAGAATAGGTTTGCAGCTTTGAATGTACTACCACGAAGATTTTTCGTCTTAGTTACCTCACATTTCTTCAGCTTTGATCGAGAAGTGACGTGTAATCACGCCGGCGTGCTCACATTTCATACGCGCATGGCTCGCGCGAAATTCGGACAGCAAGTGAGGCGGACACAGAAGAAGACGCGCGGTGGCAAACTTCTAAAGAAGGCGTTTCTGCAAAGAGAATTCGAATCGGCCAAGTACTTCTATCTATGTACAAACATGCTATTCTGAAACCCTAACACCAGCAAATTGAATTGTTCAGTTGTGGTTGATATTTTTTGCGCTTGACCAGTGAACCGGTACCCTAGAGTGGTCAAGAGGGAGCACAAAATTTGGGAACAGAGCACTTCTCCGAGGCACGCACAGGCTCACGCCGCCTTCGACGCGGAGACCTCTAGGGCAGTACAGGACTCCGGCGCGGCGCCTATTAAAAACGGATCCTAATGAGCTCCTAAGATTTCTGAAGAATAGAATACTTTCCTAGCAACATCCTCTAAAAACCTAAACACCACCTCAGGTTCTCAGGTTCTATGAGTTGGAGGTTGTAGAACTGATTTTGCTCCTTGTGTTGAACGAGACTTCATGAACTAAAGGGTCAGTAGTACCCCTATCCCTATTTACCCTTCCACATTCAGTCTTACGGGTAGCCCACAACAGAAAATAGAAGAGAATGAAGAGGAGGAGAATTCCCACGAAGATGGACGCTTGCATATCAACACGCCCCCGCGCAAGCATAGACCAGGAACGGCCCCTTTTCTGCGTAACATTGACGTTTGGGACGAAAGCAAGAATTTTGATCTTCTTGGCATGCTGCACCAAAAAAGCGAGAAGTATTACGATGCGGCGCTGTCGTGTCGCATGCTAGTACAACGGCGCGCTCAGAAGCAGAAGCAGGAAGAGGAAGCACGGAAACAGAAGGAGCAAAAGGCCAGAGAAGCGGTGGGGCTTGAAGCAGCGGAGGCGGAGAAGGCTCGGCTAGAAAAAGAAAAAAGGCCTGGTCCGCCGTTCACTGTGCGATGTGATACTGATGTACGCCCGAACACTGCTGGAATCGGAAAGGGCATTGCAGGTGGGCGAAAAGGTACTGAAGATACCTAAGTACCTCAAGAAAAGAGCAGAGCTATATCCATTTCGGAGCTCTTCTTATTCGTCGCTTTTCTGCAGATATTTGTTTATTGTTGCATCACTCTGCGAGCACAGTGATTGAATTTCAGTGTTCTTTTACCCACGACCAGGTAGTAAGCGATCTCCACGTCGTGATTTGCGATTGCTGCGGCCTATGATGTCGTCTACGAGACTGAATGGTGGTAGCAAGACACGCTCCTCTGGAGCCCCTGCAGCGCAATCACAAGGCGGTGCTGGCAGTGGAACAGGCGCGCACTCTGCGTCAGGTGGAGGAGGCTCACCGACACGAGGCAAAAACGTGATGAAGAAAAAGGTGCCAACGCCACCAAAGGATCCTGATGAGGTCAATGCCTACCCTGACTTGGACGTTGTGACCGAGTTCAACATTCACTCGGGTGTACAGCGGTTCGATCCACGAAGGACGCGGCGAACTTATGGCCTCGTTCCAATGCCGACACCGGCTCCACCTGACGATCGGTACACACTACGAGCATTGCCGCCAGATGTTCCGCCGAAAATTCTCTGAGTAGAAACGACAAAAAGAGCATAGCGACACGCGGACGGTCTCTGCATGAATTGTATATGGAGCATCACACGAACACGATATGAGCATGATCTTTTCAATACCTTTAAAGTACACCACCCATCATTCATTCTGCAAAGGCATATCTGGCTAGATAGTATGGACCAGATTTCTCCGTTTTTCCGGAATCTTGCTACGGACCTATTTTTTAGGTCAGGTAACGTGTCAATGTCATACATTTCCTCAATATTGCAACTTACATCATCTACACATGCTTGTTTGGGCGCATTTTTTCTTTCATCGACATTATTAAACTAGTGAAAAGCTAACGGGACGCCACTCTTCGTATAGTATGTTGCTTTGTGTCGAATTTGTTCAGGTAGTTTGCAGAGCAGAAGCTTTGAGGTGATTGCACCAGTTTATTCATGAAGTTTTTCCTTCTTGCAGTGAACAAGGTACCCATTTCTCCATTGCTTGCTTTTTAAGGCCACGAAACAATCAAACTGGGTATCATGCGAGCGTAATGTCATGTGTGGAACCGAATGCCGTCACTGCTAGTCCTACAGCTTAGGACGGAGCAAAGAAACAGTCCGTTGCGACGAAACGTTGCTACCGCGGGGATGTGTTGAGATACAGCGATGCTTCTATAACAAGCTAATAGTCCGCCTGGGACTACTGTGTAGACGAGGCTTTTGTATACCACTGACATGAAAGGATAATGAAAGAACTGGTGGTGGCATGTTGTGAGGAACAAGAAGACGAAAGGGCCCCGCAAAAATTGAGGCCGACCGAGTAATTCATCTACTCTTTACCTTGCAATGCCGAACTTAGCTGTGTTTCATTCCAAAATCGGGAGAAAAGGACGCCTTGGGCATTTTTTTTGTCATTGTTGCATAGTGTAGCCGACAGTAAATTTGTTTTTCGTCAGTAGTTTTTTAGCATCGAAAGTAATCCGCATTTTGCAAGAGTAAATGCATCGTAGAATACCGAACTTCTTTTCCCCTCCTCGAAGATCCGAATTTTTTAAATGTGATTGTCTTCACAAATCAACAATTTACACCTGCCATTTTGCAGACCGTTCGCTGATGTGCCTGGCCTCCCGCGTGATGCATCGTCGTGTATGAGTGCGTCTTTAGATCGGCTGCCGTCTAGTCTATGGGATAACCTCCTTACATGCCTGTTGAGTGCGGTCTTGGTCGCGCTGCGCACAGTCGTACTTTGGGTCTTTGTGTTCGGAAATAACGACGCCAGCGACATGGGTTGCGCATCGAGCAAGAGCTCGGGAGGCACGAAAGCCGGACGTGCTTATGTGCAAAGTGGTGGATTGCAAAGTCCCGTAGCAGGTGAGGAGGGACAACTCGACCGACGTTGTGTCGTAGTTGAGCCGCCACGTGCGGAAGACATTTTGACGCATGTGTCATGTCTTCCTGGCGATAGTCAAAGATTCGTTTGCGCGGGGATGAGCGGCAGCTGTTATGTGTACGATCTGGACGCGATACGCCAGGAAAAAGCTGGCAAAGCAAATACGGGTCCTCCGGCAGTACCGGCGCAGAGCTGGCGCGTGAGCAATCGCGCGGTGAGTCGCGTCTCCCCATTCGGCCTTTCACATTCAAAATATGCGCGCGATGGCGACCTTGCTTTTTTAACCTGCGCGGGCGACGGAGCCGTCGTTCTCTGGGACTCTAGCAAAAGTAGTGCGTCGCGGCGTTGTACAGTGGCGCAGCACAAACTCGCAGTCACTGCGGCAGCCTGGAGTGGGAGCCGCGTTCTCTCCGGAAGCCGGGATTACACGCTCAAGCTGACAGACTTGGAACAACCAGGAGTGTCATTGACAGAAAAAAAGATTCCGCGCAACGTGGTGACGGGTATTGTTCACGCGCCAGTGCAAGACGTTTTTGTGCAACTCTCAGAGGACCTTCAAATCAGAATTTGGGACAAGAATTTGGAGCTGGTGCAAACAATTGCCGGCGGCGACAATCAGCTGATATCCGCATGTCTAAACGGAGGAGGAACGGAAGTTCTGTGCGGAACAAAGGGTACGTACAGGACATATTTATGCAAGCTGAAGGTTTTTAGAAAGGCTTGTGTGATGCTGATGCTGACCTGGAAACACGTTTCTTTTTGCTATTGATTTTTTGGTGTGCGTTGGGAGAAGGTGTATTTCCAAATTAATGCGCTTAACAGGTTTCTCTGAGGATACTGTCGAGCTTCTAGCCTTGGATTTGAGGACAATGACAATACGCAATCGCCGGAAAAGCATAGCAACGCAGAACATCGAAGCGCTGTCACCTTACGGCGATGACCACACTCTGTTGGGATCTAAAGATGGTATTATACTTACATTATACCAAGAGGTACGTTTTTTGGATGTCCTCACCTCCTTCGTTTCTCGTTTTTGCTTGGAGCAAAAAAGACTTCGTCTCCGTCTGGCACGCTACGGATTTAGATGCAATTTAGACACTGTTGATTTGGATGCAAGCGAAACTTCTCATATCTACTGGGATGATGAAAATCATGCAAGGCATTTCGGTGAACTCAAGTTCAAATATAGCCAAATGCAATCTGCCTCAGGTTCGCTGAAGCTGGTTGATCACGACTTCTGTGTAGCGAAAGAATTCACTTTAGATCACGTCGCACCAGTAACGTCGTGTGCTGTGATGGGAGACTTTCTTGTCGCGACAACTTTTGGGCCAAGAATAACAGCCTTTAATATAGAAAGTGGAGATGTAGTCGCTGTATCCCCTCCAGATGGGGGCGGGTAGCAGTTTGTTACAGAATGGAAATGTCGGGTATTTGGAGCAGAGTCGTGAATCGAATCCAGTAGGATCCCAATGCAAAATCAGACCTCAGCTAGACCTGCCTCGCTTCGTCATCACACGTGTTCAAATCCCAAGGTGGAGATCGGAAAATCACGCCTTTTAGATCGAATTTGATCTCTAATTTCAAATGAAATTTATTTTAGTTTTCGGCATCGTTGAAATCATTGTGATCTTTAGAAAACGCGACCCACGATCCTGCCCTCATTTCTGGTCAAAATTGAAAATTTGATACGTTTCTAAATAGTGAAAATGCTGCGCTCTAGGATGTCGGTCAAAACCGAAGATCCGTCAACCGAAATTAAATGTAAGAACTGTGGATTTGGGTCTTCATGAGAAGCACATCATCCGGTAGAATAAGAACAACCCATTGTGCAAGAGATCAAAAGTCGAGCGGAGATCCTATATCGCTCCGATGGCCTTCTGATGCTGATCTTGCGTGGGACGAAAGAGGTCTCCACTTCGTCAGAAATTCACCAGATCTAAAAAGAAACTGATTCTCTTTTCGTCTCTTTCCATTCTTCGTTTTTGTTTATTTTGGGATTTCAATGTTTTTCGCAATATTTTTACGCATTTTCTCTTCTATCTAATTCGAAACAGGGAAACGAGACGCCTCTTCTTATTAATAGTAGAGACGCGAATCCGACAAAATGCCGGCTGTTCAGTTTCAGTCCCAGAACTTTCAGCACATCTTGCGTATGTGCAACACCAACGTCGATGGTCGGCAGAAGGTCATGTACGCCCTGACCTCCATCAAGGGTACTTCTAAATTTCCTTTGTAGAGAAAAAAAAGCCGCTTGAAAACATGATGTATGTATCGCACGTGGCGAGAATCACGCATCACCCGATTCGAGACGACCTTGCGATATATCAAATGACGCGCACAGAGATGTCAAGATAAAACTAAAGAATGACTAGCTTTACCATCTCCTAGAAAACCTAAGAAGACTTAATCAACAAATCCTTTTTTTATCTAGGTATCGGCCGTCGCATGGCAAACTTGATTTGCAAGAAGTGCGATATCGACCTGAACAAGCGTGCCGGTGAATTGACGACCGATGACGTCAACAAGATCGTCGCTGTGATGACCAACCCGCTTCAGTTTAAGGTTCCGTCTTGGTTCTTGAACAGACGTAAGGATATCAAGGACGGAAAGTCGGTCCACCACTCCACAAACAACTTGGATGGTGCCCTCCGTATGGATCTCGAGCGGATGAAGCGCTGCCGTCACCACAGAGGTCTCCGTCACTTCTGGGGCCTCAAGGTAACGTTTTTATACGTCTCAAGAAACCTTCGTTCATATGCAAGTACGGAATTGAACGTTCAGCCTAGAACCATCTGCTTTGTACTTCTGACAGAAAATCGTGAAAACCTTCGTTCAGCACCTCTTCAAAAGAACAAGCACCGCGTCCTTTGAAGAACGAATCATACAGTCTTCTTAACACTCATCCTTGTTCTTTCAAATCCATATTGCAGGTGCGTGGTCAGCACACCAAGACTACTGGTCGTGGTCGTTACTTTGCCATGATGGCTAAGATGTCAAAGGGCGGCATGAGCATGGGCGGCGGCGGCGGCGGCAAGGGCAAGAAGTAAACAGCCACCGGCTTTCTAGTTGTCTGTGGATTTTTTACTGGCTGACGGTCGTTGCTGGATGCGAAGGAAAATATTGCTGTGAGCTCTTTTTGGCGATTCGAGCACCGGTCGTCCGCAGGCTGAGCCTTTCAGCTGACGTCAAAATGTGCGCGTAGCTGCAGACGAAGCTTTGTTTTTTGACTTGATTGGGTTGCCAAAGCTATGAGTGGGTTTTCCCTTGAGATGTCGCGCATGACTAATTGCAGTGATGGGAAGCCTCATCTTTTAAGTGGGCATCCACTGAAACATGAAGTCGGGCTTTAGATCTGATCAGTATCGTGCATGTCATTCGTGGGTTCGCAAAAAAAAAACTTGTGCTAGATGGAGGGGAGTGCCAGGGCAAGATGCAGAATGGACGGTGTTCGATGCTCTCTACCTGTCCATATGCAATGTCAGAATCTGTCATATCGACGTCTCTGTCACAGGCACTGCGAGGACTGTTATTATTGCTTGGCAAATAACATGCAACTAATGTTGTCCACACAAAACATTTTCAGTAAAGTCTGATTCGGATCGCGAGAGAACGACGTTCGGATGTCATTGCAACGACAATTAGTAGAGTACGGAAATCTGATCTTCATAAAAAGTCCGAGTAGGTTTATGAGAATGTGGAATGTCAAAAGTGAAAATATTATGGTTCAAAATTTTACATGTAGGCCAGCGTCGTTGCCACATTGTGACAGGGGAGCATCAATCAGAGAAGAACATGACCTCTCGAGGAGCCGCGAGTTGAGAAAATCTTGTGCTAGCCAACGGGCGTTTACATGTCGCGCGCGTCCTCGTCCATGTGCAGCAGTAGGACAGTGCTCTCACAATTGAACGAAATACTAATTGTGGCGAACGACACCATGCTCATATCAAGAGATGTGTCAGATTGTATGCGTGTCAGTGTTGTTCTTTTCTGCCTCCTGCACTATGGAACACGGATATTAGAGTTCGGAGCCGAACCTGTGATTCCTCCGGTGTTCACGGTAGCACTCTTATACCAGCGGGTCATTGGGAAGGCAAAAACGTTAGAGTCCGCACTCATTTACCGTCACTGAAATTGGAAACGTGCGCGGTCTGGCCTCGGTTAGATGTAAGTGAAAATTGCTGTAAAACAATGTGAGTCTGTCTCACGCAGAATTAGAGAACATCACTGAACATTGTTAGAGTGGTTATCTTGGTCGAATAGCGAGGTGTAAGTTCGGGAGAAGATCGTCGCATCTCGTGAGATACAGAATGGCGCTGAAAAGCTTCACCGAGTCGGATGATTGTAGTAGGAGCCGGCGGTCGAAGGTAGCCTACGGCTCCACGTGTGTAGCTTTCGACCAGTCGCTATTACCACAGCGTCGACAGCTGATGAGAAGAAATATCTTCGTTTGAACTTTTTCCGGTCGGATTTCCATCTTTTCACGAGACGGTGGTTGTAGCTGTTTGAGCCGCTCGCGAATCGTCTCAGCAAAGATCACTTCCGTGCGCAGCGCTCCATGAGACACTGGCATTATGGGGATCGACGACGAGCAGTTGCCTGCAGTTATGCAGGGAGATAAGATGAACAACTACCATCTGTATGAGGAGATCGGGAGTGGGAAATTTTCCGTGGTTTACAAGGGACGCAAGCGGCACACAATACACTACGTAGCCATCAAGTCGGTGGAGAAATGCAGACGGGCGAAGGTGAGAAGTACCTGTCATCGTATTGGAGGGAGCCCTTTTTTTGACTCATGGACGATCGGAGGTCACAATTTCAGAATGGAGATATTAAGTCTCGACATGCTTGGTCGTGAGTATGAAAATTGGTGAGGATTCATTGTATTATGTGGTGACTCTCTGTCTCTCCTGTCATCCTCGAAGAATGAAAACAGGTAATGACGGAAGTGAACATGTTATCCCGGCTACAAACGCATCCCAATGTGCTCGAGTTCTACTTCTGGAATGAGACGCGGAATCATCTTTGGGTCATCTCCGAGTATTGCTGCGGAGGCGATTTGATGCGACTGCTGAAGCAAGATCAGAAATTGGATGAAGAGCAAAGCCTGTGTTTTGCAAACGACATCTGTGAGGGGCTGTTCTTCGTTCATTCAAGAGGTGTCATTTACACGGATCTGAAGCCTTCGAACGTGCTGTTCGACGAAACCGGACGCTTGAAACTGTCGGATTTCGGGATGAGCATTTTGCTTACAGACTTGGAGAAAGAAGATGGTGGCGCTGTCCCACGACGCGGGACACCGTACTACATGGCACCAGAGCTCTTCCTCGAAGACGGGATCCACAGCTTCGCAAGCGACCTGTGGAGTCTCGGTAATTCTTTGAAATACAACATTCTATCGACGCAACAGCATCCTCGTCCATTCTTTATTTGTGGGAGGACAGGTTGATAGTGTCAAGATCGTAAGTTGATGACGATACATGATCTTCATACATTTCACACCCCATGAGATTAACAACCTAGGTATCGTCTTGCACGAATTCGTCACCGGGAAGCCGCCATTCCAGCCAGCGTCATTTAAGGAGTTACACAGCATGATCATGGAGAAACCGCCACCGCCACTGGCTAGTCCTGGCGTGACAACGAAAGAGTATGAAAACTTAGTGCACACATTGCTTGCAAAGGACCCTGTGTCGCGTGCAGACTGGTTTTTTCTGCATCGGCATCCTGTGTGGGGACGGAAGCGACTGCCAAGTGCAAGTAAAAAACTGTGATTGATCGAATGCTGGTCTGAAACCTCTGTCGTGTAAGGAGTAGAGAAGCTTCCACTGACTTCTGCATTGAAGTAGCTCGAAAAACAGTTTAGTTTCGGTAGACACACAAAAAAGAGTGAAATTATATCAACTAGGATGTTATTCATTGCGTATCAACGTTAGTTTGTGACTCCAAGGGCTTTTCTGCTCTCGCAGGTAAGACCACGACATTGCCCGTGCAGGAGCATTTTGAGCGCTGGAAAAGACGGGAAAAAGCGCGACAGGCAAGTCAGGCGAGTACGTGTAGCACGAGTGCGCCAAGCGTGGCTAGCTCCGTGATGACGCCGATGACCGCAGCTAGCCAGCGACAGGACCGTGCCGACCAGGGTGGCACGCCCGGAGTGACACCAGGGAGCGTTGCGAGTAATCGTATGCTACTAGAGAATATAACCGGAGGATCCAGCGGCAAAACGCACTCATTACACCACTATCAAGCAATGGCAATGCAGCAGATGCAAGAGCAGGAGCAAAAGAGTTCGGCGCGAAAAGCTGCGGCGAGTGGGCAGAACCACGCGTCTGTGGGTGCTGCCTCCTCCAGCGGCGCAAGCAGTAGTGGTTCCGCGTCCTCCTCTTCAGCTTCTCGAGGCGGCGAGCAGCAGAGTGGTGATGGTCCGATGCCTCGAGGCAACGATCCAGGTAGTATTCCAGTGATGTCTCGGAATCCAAGCGTGAGTAGCAACCAGACTCCCGGACGCCGAGATCAGCCAGAGCAGGCACGATCCAATCACCAGAGTGGTGATAGTTTAGCCAGAGCCGACGACGGCAGGAGCAGCGCTCCAAACAGGACGCCGGCTGCTCCACAAGGACGACAAGGCGCACCATCGTCAGCAACAGATCAAAGGCCGCTCCGTGACGGCACCGCTCCCTCGCGCACGCCAACGAATTCTGCGCAGGAATATACTGCCGAGAAGAGAACACCTGCTCAGAATGAGGCAGCACCAGAGCAGCGAGAGGCGCGTCGTGGTCCTGACAAAAGCAGCTTGTCCTCTCAACCTGGTGGAGCGGAAAGTAGTAGGAGTAGGGCGACGCGCCCAAGTCATACCGAATCATCTGTGTCGGGAAAATCCTCGCCCAGCGATTTTGGTTCTGCGGTCACACCCACAGAATTTCCTGGTGGGAACCACGGGGCCCGAAGCGACTCCACCGCGGGCACGCAGCACGGCGGAAGTTCTAGTAGTCGCGCAACTACGAGTTCAGGACGAAGCACTGGAGGCACAAACACAACGGCGCATCCTGCCGCTGCAAGTGATGGCCAAGGAGGCAGCAGGGGGAATAATCGAGAAACAAGTACTAGTACTGTAACCGCAAGCATGGATGGTCTTGGTGGTGACGGAGCACCCATAGCGCGAGCACCTCAACAGAATAAACGGCTCGATCCACTAAGGCTGTCGGCTATTGCGCAGAAAAATCTCATACAGGAGGACCCAAGTCGCGAACCTTGGGATCCGCAGGACCTGAAACTCCAAGGTTTTGATCAAGAACTCAATTTCTCCGAAGTGCAGCCAGCACACGTGGTGGATCGAGGAGGCCCGCTTATGGCAACACGGCTAGCGAGCGACTCCCGTCACAAACCGATACCTTCACCAGAGCTGGTTTCACGCGGCGTCAAGACAATGTACCACACGCATTTTCTAGACGTTAGAGTTGTGTTTTCGTGCCGAAGTAGTTGATGCTATCTTCATTGTGCATTAGGCAATTCGGAAGCATGTAGTCGACAGTCCAAAGTGTTGCGACAGCTTTGTATCAATCCACACGCGTTGACATCATTGATCATCAAATTCTTCAGGCCACGGCAGATGCATATGGTGAACAATTTAGTGGCAGCTGGGGCTGCAGCTACACCGCCACTTGCTGGAAATCGAACACAAGTGCCAGGCTCGACTGGGTTCGGTACACCAGGAGCAGTTTCCGGCAAAGGTGGGAAACAAGTTCCGGCAACGTCTTCGAACAATCCAGGTACCGTAGACCAGCAATCTCGCGGGTTGTCACGGCAGCCGAGCACAGGCAGCCAGGTCACCGGCACAAACCTTGCGCAAGACTGCGACCGGCCTGAGAAAGAAGCGTCGGCACACGGAGGAGCCGCGAGTGCAGCTGCTGGTGGGAGCGCAGAGAGCGCATCGAGCAGTATTGGACGGTCGCAGGCGGGTAAACAGACCGATGCTAGTCCCGGTCTGAGCCCACAGCAGGGCCGCCCGTCATCGGCGGCACCACTAGGACTCGCGGGCGGTCCGGCGTCAGGTGCAGGAGGGCGCACGACCGGGATGCGTGCGCCGGGCGGTGACGCGCAGCATGGCAGCACTGTGCGCGGACCAGACACAGAGCGTTCTGAGCAACAAGGCGCATCTTCAGGAAGCACCGGCATGAGAAAAACGAACTCAAGCTCTTCTGCCATCACTCCAGGAGCATCTCGCGGGGAATCTGTAGTGCAGCCAGGAGCCTCAGCAAGTCAGATTAGCAGCAGTGGTGCTCCCCTCAGTCCACAGCGCAGACAAGCATCCTCAGCGGGGGGGATTCGGCGTTTGAGTACAGAAGTGTTGCAAAAATGCCGCTCGATTCTTAGTCATGTCGAAACGTCTGTGAAACCGATTAGCAACAATCCTTGCATCGAAACCACCACACCTCCGCAAGTCACGAATCTTGCCCTTTTACCATTCAAGCCGCTTGCTCTTGAAGATGTTTTCGTATGCAGCAACCAGGAATTAGAAGTTTTTCTGACGAAAGTTTACAAATGCATCGCGCAAGGGAGTATAGAGACCAAGATAATGACGCTCATATATCTCGAAAACCTCTGCGGGCATATGCAGGTACTACGACTACACACTATGTTGATAGCTCGGCACATAAAGAAAATAACTGCTGAGTTTTCTCTCGTCTTAGGCTAGTCCCTTCAACCAATGCCTATGAAGCAGAAGTCATTACTTGGAATCATTTTGGGTTGTTGAACAGTTGATTGCGCTTCCGAAAATTCATTTAAACGACATGAAGAAATATCTCCACAGGTAGCGGACCTGGTGGTGAACTCGTCACTGCTGAAGCTGGTACTTAAGATGGTCCGAGTTCGCAGCGTCGAATTGCGTATGCGTCTGTGGACATTGATAGGGCAGTTGTTGAGGCATGCGACGTTCTTAGAGCCGAGCATCGTCGACTTGGGAATTTTTGAAGCACTAACAGAGGCGGTAAAGGACAAAGCAGTACAGCGAAAAGCAGCAGCTGCTCTGGGCGAGCTTCTCTTTTACGTCGCAACGCAACCACCAACGCAGCCAGTTGCAGACAAAGCAGGAGTGCAGCAGAGTACTCTTGTCCATTCAAAGGTTGTGGTGTAGGAGGTAGCTCGCACCTGCAGTTGGTGCAACGGTGCACGCGTTGTATTCAAGAGACCTTGAAGTCATATTTACAGTAAATGGGTATGTCAAATGGAAAGAACCTCGCGGAGGCTTTTATTGAAGTGTTCTCTCCCAAATAAAACAGCAGCGCAGCCGTCACGTTGGCGCGTGCCCAGTAGTACGCTTGCTGAGGTCATTGAACTCATTCTTGGCCAGGGTGGCGATGAGGTCGTGGCTCATTATGCTGTAAAGACTTTAGAGAACATCAGCACGCAGGCGCCGCTGGTCGCTCAAAAGTGGTTTCTGACTTCACACGGCACCGCACTGGCAGAGGCCTTACACTCTTACGTGGTCGACGATGGCCGTGACGAAAACTTTCGATTGACTTGTCTCGGTGCGCTAGCAATGCTGGCGCGAATTGCACCTGGGATAGCAGTCAAAGCCTTGACTACAAAAGAGCCCGCGGACATCCCTGCCGCAAACGGTTCTGGTGAGTCAAATAAGCAATTTGATTCCGGCGGAAGCCTGTCTTCAACCTCTGTGTCAGTGCAAGGAACACCAGATTCGAGTGGAGCAGTAGCATTAAGTAGCACTACCTTAGGAGATTCTTCGTCCTCGAGTAAGAGTTCTTCTGCTTCAACATCATCTTCTTCAAGAATAGACTTCAGCGCAGTCTTTGCGGCGCTGTCGGGACCTCTTGCGCCACGCGGAATTTCCTCGGCATTTCATCTGCTCTTAGCCCTATTGCTACAGAAAGATCTGTTGCAGAGCGTGAGAGGGCAAGATGCCCAACTAGAGCAAATTACACTCCACTTGCTGCATCTGACAGCCCAGACGCGCGGAAATTCCGTTTTCCGGGGCAAAGCCATGCTCCTTTTGGCGCTGTTGGCGTTTGTGGACGTGCACTTCTTGCTCCTGGCCTTCGAAAACCACTTGGGCAGCTACATCGAGAAAACTTGCGCGCGGGAACTTGGGAAGGACGGCGCACAGCCGTCCTCGGCCTCAGGAGGTCAGGGAAACAGCGCTGCCTCAATGAAGGATCGGTACGTCACGCAGTGCGTGCACATGACCACTCTTGTGCTGACGAATCTGATGTGTACTTTTCTCGCGAATTTGGGCAGCGAGATGAAACGCGCATCCTTGAGCACGAAAAACGGCAACGCGAATAGCAGCCTCGTCCAGCACTACACGCGTCGGCTCCATCTACCTAGTTACTTTTTGAGTTGTGCTCCTTTGCGCGGTTGCGCTCTGAATTCGCGCACGCTGCCATACCTCACCCTTCTGGTGAGCCTAGCGAATCTACCCCAGTGGCGGGCAACGACCGCACATCGCGCGACGCTGCTGATGTGCGAGAACGTGTCGGCACAGGTGCCGGTACTCCTAGACTGCATCGCCCCGACGCTGCAGTTCCTCAACGCCATCGCCGCACTCCTTTCTGCCCAAAGCAACGAGGAAAGCATGTTCTTAGCGCTGCGGTGCTTCGGTGATATTGCCATCGCGTTGCTAAACGAAGACAGAAATAATCCAGCGAAAACGGGTTCTCAAACGGGGCGCACAAGCAAGGGGTCAACCGGCAGTGGCACGTCAGTCACCTCTAAGGATTCGCCTGCTTCAACTAGCAAAGACTCTGCTTCGAATAGCAAGGACTCTTCAACGTCGGGGTCGAACAAACATGACTCTTCAACACTGTCAAGCAAGGATGCAAAAGAGACCGAGGGCTACGCAGAACAATTGTATCAGTTGCTTGCGCAGAAATTCTTTCCAAAAGTACCGGTGCTCATAGCCTGCGCCGATCCTGTCCCGACGCTGGCAGTTCGCCTTCTCTCGTGCATTCTAGACGCAGAACACGTGCTGTCGCATCCAGCTGGTTTTCAGATACTAGCACCAGCAATTCGACCGGTGAAGGAAACGATCGTTTCGGTGCTCGCTGCACAGGTACTGCGTGTTTACTTTTGATTCTGAGTACTCGTAACTACAGATAGGTATTGATGTATAACGGCTACGAATTGAAATTTCGTGAAGATAGATCCTGTTCCGGGTACAACTCCATAGGAGCGTACAACTAGTCGCGATTGACTTTCATGAAAATCAGCTTACAGTTATGTATAACCCTTCTCGGTATCTTGATCGTCTCATGGACCTTCAGGTCACAATGTCCGTTCACGGTGCGAACCTTGCGTGCTCGTTGTTGAGGCTAAAAGAGGTGTCTCCAGTGCAATTGGCAGAGGTAATTTTTCAAATTGTTTTTGGAGCCAGTTCGTTTCTTTTCGTTTTGACCTTTATTACAAGTTGAACATCTCCACGGTCCGCGATTTTCCGTTGGCTTCTGCATGAAAGACGAGAAAGAAATCCTAGGCACGTGATCCTTTTTTTCGTTTTGTGGGACCAACAGGTTTACATCCGCATTTGCGATTTGATATCCTCGAAAACACGGAGTTCGCGCGGAGATGGTGCGCCTCTCGATGCTGGACATCTGGATTCGCTATTGTGTTTACTGGATGTTGCTGCGCGCGAGTCCAACGCGGAACAAGCGCACGCTATTAAACTCGCTGGAATCGTGATGCCGCTTCTGGCAGTGGTCTCAACATCAAATGGCCCCCTCGGTTCATCACTTCTAGAACGACTCATTCGGGTTTGCGAGCAACTTGCAGGCCTCTACAGCAGCAACGGTACTTCCACTGTCGTCTCGACTGGGTCGCCGCCTTCTTCAAGTAAAGCAACCGCAAATGGCAGCACTAGCGCGCAAGGTTAAGATGGATCTCGATCATTCATTCTCGTTCGGATACTTCTACGCCTCCATTCCGGAATGGAATGGGGAGAAAACCCCTAAAGACAATGAATCATCGAAAGCTTCTCTAAGAAAAATCGCCTGTGCAAGTGTCGGCCCGAAGCGTAGTGTTCAGAGGCCCGTGTACTAAGAACGCCGTTCGGAGTTTGCTTCATCTCGCGGAGCGCACTGCTCGAGTTCTGCCATTGGCACGCTGGGTGCTCGATCGTTCGGATGCCGCTTTAGCTCCTGAGTTACGCCAGCTCTTGCACAACAAAATGGCGCAAGCTACGCCACAACCTTCGTCCTCGAGTGTTTAGTCCAAAAACTACGTTTTGAGATTAGAATTACGTCGGAAAAGCTTATTGAGGACGTCATCAGTTGCGGGCACACTATTGACCCCATCAATTTTTGAAGAGCTTCCAAACGAGGTATGCGCACTTCGTATGTGATGCTGTGAAAGCATAAATTGCCTGCCTTTCACAGAGTACGATATCCCTAGTCTTTTATTTTCTGCGCAGTTAAAAGTTGGAGTGACAAGACTAAGTCTTCACGTCACCGACAGTCAATTTTTTTGAATTTTCTTTGCTGGGAGATTCCTGTACGTAGTAGTCTTTGAATTTCTTATTCTCTTTTTTGTTTTCGATACTCAATAGGTTCTGCAAGTTACTCGTCTTCTTTTCTCATGGTTTATGGTTGGAAAGATAGCAATTTTCCAATCGCTTGTCCCAACGAGGCAAGAGTTAGACTTCTACTTAAATGCTCAAAGAAAATAGATAATCTCAGGACAATTCACTATCTTTGCTAACATTAAGTGACAAGATTATGGGGGAAAAATTCCGTATTTCAAACATTCTTAGTTTTCAGATATTCGTATTACTACTTGAAAAAGGGGAGTAGAAACACTTAATAGATTTTCGATTTTTCATCCTTTTCACTCATTTTTACGCAGTTATCGGGGGTTGGTGAGATTTAGAGGCCCCCAAGCCCAAGTGTTACCGCTGTGATTGATATCACCCTGGCAGAGATAACAACTGAATGTACCCAATACTTATGATTCCCTATTACTAGCTTATCGGGATTTCGGTCATCGCATTGTATTACCAAAATGAACCCACTTTTCTATTACAAGAACCATTTCAGCATATAATGTACTAATTCTTTCATAAATCTTTCAAGGCAGGGTTTTGCAGAGAAAACTGTAGTACCATGCGCACCTCTTCAAAGCAGGGGGTCGTATGGATGGGGGTCTAACTCTGATCAAAATGTAACAAAGTATCTACATCACATGCGCGTAAGAAAGAGTAGAATCTGCAATAGAGAAAAACGACTGCAATGATGTCGGAGCACCGCAACCCACTAGTTTTGTCCGAAAAGGTGACTAGGCGAATCCCTATCGGTGCTGTGCGTTTGAGGAACGAAAAATGCGAAATGGAGAAAAAAGAATTGTTATCAAAAATGACTTATCACTAGTCGCAAAGAAAATATTATAGAAGTTTGCGAGTCGCTGTAGAGTGAGTAATTGAAGCGGCGGGGCCAAGAGTAGACTTCGACAAATATGGAAGAGCATGGTGGAAGTGGAAAATTCTCTTCACCTGAACAAGGAGAAAATTGAAATGTTTATTCGACCGAAACAAGTGACTGCTTGATGTGGCACAGGTGTCCTCAAAAGGAAAACAAAATTATAACCAACCGACTCATCGACCGGAAACGGACATAATACGATCGAAATCCGAGGACATGCAGCGCAGCTCCTCGTCTTCGTCGTCGGCTAAGCGCCTGTCAGCGGCGGAACGAAAGGGCGCGGCTGAAAGGTGGATTGGACTGCTAAAAAATGGAACGCAACTCGATGCGTGGGGCCAAGTCCTAGAAGCGGGAGAGGAGTACACGGAGCTCGCCAGCGATATTGGATCCATGTATAGTCGCCTCGATAGTCGCGAAAAAGACATTCTCCACAGGATAGTCCTATGTCTGTCGGCACGAGTACAAGCGATTCAGTCACCTGCAATCGGGACCGCGCAAACCCAGGTGACTAGCCAAGATCTCGTGCAGTTGGAGACGACGATAGTTAATACAAAAATGTTTCCCATCATTTGCTTAACAGTAATTTCTGCCGGTGCTTCAGGCGTAGGGCTGAGGCGGGAGCCCATCTAAATCTAAAAAACAAGCATTTGCCATTCCATTTTTCACCAAAATTCAAGGCCCGTCAAACGCCAGCTTTAATATTGAAACGCTGATGACGACAGCGCCCCTTCCAGCCTACGCGACCGCAGCTTCAGCGTGCGGCGCGCCGCCGGATACCTTTGGCAACAGCCCGTTGAATCGAGGGAGCTTCTCGGCGTCATCGTCGCTCAATCCAGCCAACTGGTTCGGAGGTGGTAAACTGTCTAGTACTTGTTTTGTAGGTGCTAGTGTTAGAAAGTAAAAGTCTAGAGCTAGATACATATGCTGCATTACCTTGAGAATCTTTCTGGCTGCTATCTTTCTAACGGTTAACATCATTCTGACTTATTCTTGTAATACTCAGGTGGCACCGGCAGTCTGGTCTCCGGCGCTTGGTCTTCAGCCTCTTCACGCGCACCGAATCCCCCTCAAGGCCCGGTCCTCGTAGATGCGGAGCCCGCCATTATGTTTCCGATACCAAATTTCAAGTGGCAGCACGCAAACCCCATAGTCCCGCAGCCAGCAGAGATATGCGAGGGTGCAGACGCACAGACTGAAATACAAACAACACATGCGGCACTAACAAGTGTGAAAGGCACAGTTGTCGTGCTGAAAGTCGACAAGATCGGCCTCAAGGACGCAGAGACCTACATCGATCCCTTCTTGACGGTGTCAAAAAATTGTTCTTTCATTTTTGTTCGTGCGAATCGTCACCATGATTTTTGGCAGTGCAACTACAGCGATAGTTGATAATAGAAGTTGTCACTGCAATCACAAATGTGTTGAGTGCACTTATTTCACTCTTGCAGGTGCTTGTCGCGGATGCACGTGGCGCAGTAGTGGACTCGCATGATACGCCACTGAATATCGCGGAGAAGAGAGCGACACACGTTCATTTCGGAAATCACGCGGTTTTTCTTCGCATGAGTTTCGAGGACATGCAGAGGAACGGCTGCTCTATCTTCTTCGAATTCAAGCACTACAAACCAAAGAAAAAGAAAATATCGACAAGGTAATTATTGCCTTTGTACTTGATCATGTCGCTCGAGTTTCTTTTCGCTGTTTGGGTGTTGTACTCCGTTGGCATATTCTTTTCAAGGAACGGTCTCATAAACGAGAAAGGTTGTGCTTGGTCGACATTTCATCTCCTCAACAGTAGAGTAAAGGATATTCAATCAACGCGTTGACAGGTGTTGGTGCTTTATGGAACTGGGGGAACTACGCAAAGACGAGGAGAGCGTTTTGGAGCTTTATCATAAGCCGACAGACCTAAAGAAAAAGAAAATCAACCTGCATTCAGTAAAGCCGCTTTATTTTCACGTGCGCCCAAGTTTCATGAATTAGTCCATATTCTGGTCACTTTAGCTTTATAACAACTATCTTGCTGACTTGATCGTCACTTGTTCTCCATTCCAATTTTTTACAAATCGCTAGTTTGCTGGAGGAGCTGGTCTGCCATCGCGCTCAGGCAGCACGAGGTATCATGTTGAAAGATACTTCAAATTCTTATTTAGCACGAGCAATTTCTTGTTGCGCGGACATGAAGGCTCGTTTCGTGTAAAGTAAGAAAGACGCACTTGGTTTTGTGCCCGTTTGTTCAAGGTACGGTGGGAATAGAAATCAATTTGGCGGTCGAGGATGTTCTGGCTGTCACTTGCAGCTCTTCGAAGCATCCCTCTATGTGTTCTGAACATCACGATTGGAAGACAATAGTACTAGTATGTAATTGTGTTTCCTTACCATTCCAATACTGAATCTGTTACGTCAAGTGTCACTCGAAGTCTTTGTAAGCCTGTTGTGGACGATGCTATACTGATCCTTTGTTGCTGTGTTATGTCAGATACGGACTTTTTAAGGATCTGACTTTCTCATCGCGGTGGCGAGAGCTGAAAATGATCAAACTCGCAACTGGTGGTACAACTTTGGTATGGTGAGGTCTGTAGAACTATGATCCTCGATGGAATCCTGGATTGATTTACAGGTGTGTGTCGGTATGCGTCATGTAAAGTGTGTAGATGACCTTGCTTTGTTGTCCTTGGCTGCATTTTTGATAATTCATTATGAGTATTTGACGGGACTCTTATGATCCTTCCATCTATCTGTCTTCAATAGAAAAGCACGATTGACGGAAGGAGTTCGTTGCAACGAAATTCATTTAGGAGTAGATCCTCTTCCTGCCTCGTCTAGCTCATACTACTGTATTTATTCGACAAAACCTTTGACAAACAAGATGCTGTCAAAGTTTGCGCGACCCTTTGTCGGCACGTCTAGCCGACGTGCTCTATCTACATCTAGGCCCGCACGTGCGTCTGGCCATGTTATCGGTATCGATTTGGGAACGACGAATTCGTGCGTCGCGGTCATGGAAGGGTCAACAGCCAAGGTACCACAGCCTGGCTGTTAACAGTTACATTCAAGAATCATCGCCTCTTCGGTGATATTTCCGTTTGTGAACGATGCTTTTGACCCACCTAAATCTACTGCCACAGTTTGCAACTCCCTTCTACTTCTTCCCAGGTGATTGAGAACAGCGAGGGTATGCGGACAACACCTTCGGTGGTTGCCTTCACTGACGGCGGCGACCGCTTGGTTGGTGTGCCGGCAAAGCGACAGGCCGTTACAAATCCGGAAAACACGCTTTTTGCGTGCAAGCGACTTATTGGTCGACGATACGACGATCCTGCAACGAAAAAAGATATGAAAAACCTACCCTACAAGATTGTGCAGGGAAATAACGGAGATGCGTGGGTGCAAGCAAGAGGCGAAAAGTACCAGACATGACTCAAATGATTTTCCTGATGGTTCTGCAATGAAATAGGATTTGAGACTTGCTAGCGCAACATGATTTGCTACGTTCGGGTCTGATCCCCATTCAGATGTAAATGTTGTTGCACTACTCCACTCCCACATTTTTCCCGAAAAGGTACTCTCCGTCGCAAGTGGGAGCGTTTGTATTGACGAAGATGCGAGAGACCGCGGAGTCTTATCTCGGTGGTCAAGTCAAGAATGCGGTTGTTACAGTGCCAGCATACTTCAATGACGCACAGCGACAGGCAACAAAGGATGCCGGTAAAATTGCAGGACTCGATGTCCAACGAATTATTAACGAACCTACGGCAGCAGCACTTGCTTTTGGTATGGAGAAAAACGACGGAAAGACGATTGCAGTCTATGATTTAGGTGGCGGAACTTTCGACATCTCCATCCTAGAAATCTCCGGCGGAGTGTTCGAGGTAATAGTCATTGTTGGTTCACGTGACATAGTAGTTGGCAAGAATAACACCGGTTTAAAACAGATAGTGTGCCTCGTGTCGGTCAGATTGTTTAAGATTCCTCAAATTGACATATATAACCAAACGTCGCGCCTACTCTCTGCAAAAGAACAAAAAACTTTTTACAGGTGAAAGCGACAAATGGAGACACTTCTTTGGGTGGCGAGGATATGGATCATGTTATTCTCAACTTTTTGGTTGATGAGTTTAAGAAAACGAACGGAATCGATCTGTCAAAGGACACGTTAGCAGTGCAGCGTCTGCGAGAGGCAGCCGAAACAGCGAAGATTGAATTGAGTAGTTCGCAGCAGACAGACATCAATCTTCCATTTATTACGGCGGATGCTAGTGGCCCCAAGCACTTTCAAATCAAACTTTCGCGTTCCAAGCTCGAGGGCCTCGCAGATCCCCTGCTCACAAAGACACGTACACCGTGCCTCAACTGTCTCAAGGACGCCGGTCTCAAGAAGGAGGAAGTCGATGAAGTCCTCTTGGTACTTTTTTTCCGCTTGATTTTGTTGTATTACCGCTTCGCTGCAGCTTAAATGATAATGCGTCTATGCTGTGCCTCTTGATCTTTTCATACGCGGTTTGTGTATTCACTCGAGTTATACACTGACGTGCGCGAGATCATTTTCGTAAGCTGCGTCGAGGCATTTGGCATCAAAGATAGGCTGAAAGTTACTGCTTCGCTAGCCTTGGAACACTTAGGAAATATTGTGTATGGTGCAGCCCAAGGTCGGGGCGAGCAACTAGCGCCCTCTGCATAGAGGTTCACGCTGCTCGATTCTCTGCCCGAAAATTCCCCTCAATCTGCTTCATCAGGTTGGCGGCATGACTCGTATGCCTGTCGTATCGAAGATCGTGAAAGAAATCTACGGAAAGGATGCGTGCAAGGGGGTCAATCCGGACGAGGCTGTGGCCGTCGGCGCCGCTATTCAGGCAGGCGTTCTTAAAGGAGATGTAAAGGACATTCTTCTGCTCGATGTTACTCCTCTGTCGCTTGGTATTGAAACGCTTGGTGGCGTCATGACCAAGCTGATTCCGCGAAACACCACCATCCCGACAAAGAAGCAACAGACGTTCTCAACGGCAGCCGATAACCAGACACAGGTCGGAATCAAGGTGTTCCAGGGTGAGCGTGAATTTGCGGCTGACAACAAGCTGTTGGGTCAATTTGATCTCGTGGGCATCCCACCAGCACCGCGTGGCGTGCCGCAGATCGAAGTCACATTCGACATCGATGCCAACGGTTGCGTCAACGTCGGAGCAGCGGATAAGAGCACTGGTACCTAGAGAACACTTCTTCACCGAAATAATGATATAATCGAGTAGTTGAACGAGTTCAAAGTTGAAACAATGCTCCTTAGATTGCAATTCTGCAAAGTCGACGACACGAACAATTCACCACATTGATTTTGATTCGCCACGGAACCCCTATGCACTTTCTTTCGTACCAATCAAATATGTCGCTCAAAAATTCATATAGGTAAGAAGCAGACCATCACGATCCAGTCGAGTGGTGGTCTGTCCGATGGCGAGATCGAACGCATGGTAAACGACGCTGAAAACATGAGGGAAGCGGACGAAAAGAAGAAGCAAGCAGTAGAGGCTCGCAACCAGGCGGAATCCTTCATCAACACCGTTGAAAAGCAGATGGAAGACATGAAGGACAAGATCTCCGATGCCGATAAGGTTATGAAGAGGAGACATGCTAGAGTTTTAACAGAAGTGCATATGTCCAGTATATGTCTATCATGAGGCTACTAGTGGCAATTGTTTTCCCACTCAACTAATCCAGTAGTTTTATACTGTTGCCATTTTGTCGGCTGGGTGTGGGAGCAAGGCAATCATATACTTAAGATGTAGTCGTAGATTACGTCGGCCCCTTGCCCCAGACGCCAGTTCCTATTCCTCTTTCATACAGAAAGACCTGAAAAAGAAGATCGAGGCCACGCGACAGGCTCTTGCCGGCGACGACGGCGAGAAGATTGCTGAGGCCAAAAAGGAGCTCGAACAGGCCTCATGGAAGGTGAGTCAGGCCGCTTACCAGGGTGGTGGTTCCGGGGAGAGCAGCGAAAACTCCGACTCGTCAAGCGGTGCGAAGGAGGAGGAGAAAAAGTAAATGCAGCTTGTTGCAGTCGAAAAGAATCATGTGAAGGGCGATGAGGATCGAAGGAGAATCATGTGAAGGGAAGAATCGTTGCACACAAGTGGAACTTGCGTACTGAGTAGTTCTCGGACTTGGAATTTCAATTTGGAAGAAGCCGTCGGAAAAGCTGGGATTGCCTTCCGATCTGTCCGTTGGGGCCAGGTTGCAACTACTGTTGACGCGATTACGTAGCGAAAAGGGTACATACTGCATAGCTCATGTGAGTCGTTTCATACATAGTTTTAGTTATCTGGCTGAATGATTGTTCTACTGAAAGGAATCAGAAAGGATACTTCTGTAATGTGGAAATGATTCATACTAACTTGGGACACGCACGCGTAGTTACAGAGCATATTAACAAATCCTTGTCCATATCAGGCTTGAAAATATAGATACTCCACTCAATTAGGCAGGCCGCACAAGTACACGGTAGGCACATGAATTTTCCTCAGTTCTTCTTGGTCTCTCAGGGTGTCGATAATTAATGATTTCTTCATCTGCTCATCAAAACACACGACATCTACTTTTAGTAAGAATATACAAGTATCGCAATTTGCTCATGATCAGTCGAATAGATTTTTAGCTATCTACTACTTCGTAAATTGTACCATGAATCGATTGGGTTCAGGTCCTCCAATAATAGATTTGGAATGTTATTTTTTCGAAGATATTTCATTTTACCCATTTCTTATGTTCGAGTTTCTAGCACCTCTTGTGACGTTGGCTCACAAAAAAGCAATAAGTTTATCTGTATCAGCCTCCCGTTTATGATAGGATCGCATGCGTGGAGCACCTGCACCTTTTCCATGCCCTGGGCGGGCGCGATCCCCTTCGTGCCGCCGCTGGGAGCAAAAACCAGTGCCTCTCTCTCTCTCTTGATATGGTAGTGAAAGAAGACAATCGCTGAAAGATGTCATAGCTTTGTGGAAGTAGAATGTGGCACAAACGATCTGATGTCATTTGACTGTGATAGGCGTACATCAAAAAATAGATTTTTTAGATATTTAGTCTATACAGGGCTTCACTCACCATACCAGTGGCGTTGGTGTCTGATTCGTACGAAGTGTGGAGGCCTTCCCGATTCAAGTTCGGTGCTGGGCGCGAAAAAGAATCGCTTGCTCTCTTTCTCTCTTTCCCGCTTTCGGTTGCTGCTATGTCTGTGAGCGGCAAGCTTGCTTGCGATGAATCACCGATTCTTGTCGACTGAAGTGATGACGGCATGAATCTCTCCACTCTATTTCGGTCCATTGCGAGGGAAAATACGAGTAAAGACGAGATCACCATATTTTTGAATACGGGTCTGCGGTCGCTTAGGTTTCCAGATATATCTGTGTCCCAGTACTGAACGCACTCCCCTCCTGAAAATTACCATATTTTACGGAAAAGAGCTAGACGAAATTCTGCTTGATGTTTGTCACGTTGATGGTACGTTGTGGGCTATGGTTTTCAGACGGTGCAATTAGCTGCGTCACCTAGAAACCATGATACACTAGGCAATTTTCAACAGGTGAGCGCATAAGCTTTTTCAGAAAAGTTGGGTAGTTGACGAACCGCGTTTGCAAAACGCGCAGAACAATTTGTCTCAACGCGTGTCCTTCATTTTCTTTGTAGAATCGTTTCAATCATACAACATGAAATTTCAACTGCTTATTTACCAAGTAGGAACATAGTCGCTGACTATTCCACAGGATGGAGGATTTTGTCCGTGCCCAGCTTTCTCTTTGGTCCTCCGAACTTAGCTCCGATGCTTCGGGTGCTTCTCCTGGTGCTACGAGCATCGTAGACATCGACATTTGGACCCAGCTTCTGACGTCTGCGGACGGCGTGCGATCGTGCGTGTTAGACATGTTGTTACCGCATCTACACGAAGCAGAGTCCGCTAGTAAGTCAAGGAGAGTGGACGCAGACCAGTGTTGTAAGTTACTGTTGGCTAGGTTGGAGCCGCATTGTGATGGAGAGCGATGGAATGGCGAAGTGGCAAGCGCGGAGCGACCCCAGTGGTGGACACATGCGAGGTAGTATGGGTCCACTTTGATGTTCCATTTTTTACTGACGCCAGAAAATTTATGCAATCACAACGCTGACACACTTTAAATCATGAGGTTCTGGTGTAGCTGTGCAGATTTGTGACAATAGCTACTAAAAACGTCTACAGGTATTTTGAAACACCTCTAAAAGCCCAGAGAGACGGATCTTTCGGTCTGGATTTAGACGTTGTAGACGGTGTGGGATTTCGCGTGAGCGCGAATGAAGGGTCGACTGCCCTTTCTGCTGGAGATCACATCATCGGAGTGGGCGATGTCACACTTTATTGCCGCTCTGAAGATGACATCGAGGAGCTCGACTTGCCTCTGGGTGACGGCGTCTGCCTCTGCGTGTTGCGTCCAACACGAGATGTGGGAAGCGATTTATTCGTACCGGACTCAGATCCAGTTGTAGGGTATCCTGTAGTCGGAACGTCACCCTCATCGTCATCGACACGGGCGCCTGGAGCGTCACTACCAGAACGATCCGACGGTCTTCTGCAACAGTATCTAGAGGCAGAAGCGTACGCAGACGCTATTTCAGAGCTGACGTCCGGTATACAGTCAAATATGGAGGTAGGCACTCGGGATCCACCTTCATCGACATTCGAGATTCAGCCACGAGCTCAGCGAGGGAGACGAAAGCGGCGATCAGATCCGAAACAGGTTGAATCGGCCAACGCGGAGAGCCGTGGGCTAGCGGAAGCGAGAGGCGTTCCTACGGAAGAGCAGCTTGCGCGGATGGAGACGATATTCTCGGTATTGCAATCCATGATGAAGTATGTGATGGTATTCGATGGCAAAATTAACATTTGCGCAAGTCGATTAAACCAAAAATCAAAAACAATTCAAGCTGTGATTGGCGCAATAGATTTCATCGCCGTAATATTCAACAGGGCACAGTCCCGCAATACGAGTACAAGAACCACACTGCCGATATCATTTTCCACGCTTGGGGTAACTCCTTAAAAGCAGCTTTCGAGCAAGTGGCAGTTTGCATGTTTTCCTACATGACGGACTTGAATCGCGTCGAAGCTTCCGAGTACGTCGAGTTATCCGCGGAAGGGCACAGTCTCGAGAACCTGCTTTATCATTTTCTAGACGAGCTGCTCTTTCATTTTCTGACCACTATGCATGTCTGCAAGTACGTAGAAGTCATTGTCCCGCTACTGGAGGGGGAGAATTCGAGTACATTGGAACCCGACATCCGCGCCGACCCAACAGCGGCGATCAGTCCTTGGACGGTTCGAATGCGATGTTATGGTGAACCCTTTCAATCAGAAGCAGAGGGCGGCCGGCATACGCAAGGGACAGAAATCAAAGCAATCACAATGCACGAGATGAGAATTAATGACAATAGGTGTAAGCCACAAGAAGGAGTCGACAAACCCGAAGATCCTTTTCAACCTACAGAAGAAACAAGTGATGAATCCATGGCCTCAGATTTTGTTGATTTGTACGTTTTGGTAGACATCTAACGAAAAGCAGAATCCCGGCAAGTCTAAAGGTTTTATTGTGCTCAAACGCTTTGTCTCGTGCCTGGCTGACGAATCGGGAGCTTTTTTTCTGGTACATAATCACGAATGTACTGATGTCGTTGCGTCGGTCGAATACAATCGCAACCTAGAGTGGAAGAGATAGATGGAGAGAATCATCCATGTCAAAGCCTTAGTAAGTATCAGACAGAAAATGAACTATACTGGAAAGAATCCGTATTTTTGAACTTTCAGTATTTCCTTCTCACTTTTGTTCCGCCAGAAAGAGAGCATCATGGCATCCTCTGCATGAAAGTTTTTTGGTAGATCCTCATCGTTTTTTTTTGCTCTTCGAATAAGATATGGCGTGACAGGAACATCTGCAAATAGGGACGGAGGAAATGACTTCATGCATTCCTGCACTACATTATTACGAGCGCAAGAAATCGTGAACCTTATCGAACGGTAGAACCAAAGAATATTTTTTCAGCGGTTTTTCTACTCTCCACGATCCCTTCTTTCGCCTGTGAACAAGCATATAGATTAATATTGCTTCCTGTAATTTTTGCCAGATTCTCAGAGGAAAAAATATTCTCATCGCGATCAAGAAGACAGAAGAAATCTTTTTTTCTCGAAGCTTATTACAATTGCCTTGAGTGCTATATCCCAAGATTGTATACGAACCTCGCACTGACAAGACACCGCACCCCAAAAGAAAACAAAAAAATGACTTCATATGATCGTCGTGCCCTACTCAACAAAGGTGCACTAGAACTGTATCATGCGACTAGCGGTAGTGCTGCTCGCCAGATCCTCGACACTGAGAAATTCGAACCCGGCACAGACGGACTAATCGGCGCGGGGATTTATTTTTCTCGCAAGGAGAAGTCTGCGGTGTTTCGCAGACGCCATGGTGATCGTGGTGATGTTGTTGTCCTGACAGCGCTCGTAGATCTCGCATGGGTAGGCGTTTTTCCGGAGGGGACCAACGTTTCCGCAGATAGTCTCGCTTCCCAGGGCATTCATGCCGCAAAAGTCTCCAAGAAAGACATCTTCATGGTTTTGGACAACAAGCACATTCATAACATTAGATATGTTAAAGGAGAGCTCCCAGCGTCGTCGTCTTCCGATGAAGACAGCAGCACGGGCTCGGAACCATCTGCGAAGCGTCGACGCGTCGGCTAAGTAATATCATCATCTGACATAGTAGAGGATAGTCAAATCACAATGTGGAAGAAAGAAACTACCATCGGGTAGACAAGAGGAGGACGATGATACCTCATGATCATTGGCATTCAACTTCTAGTGGAAAGTCGTAGTTCTACAACAGCAAGCAAACAACCGCAGTGACAGAAATTTCAGACCAGAATCTAGTTGTACCACCGCATCACCGACAGCAGTAGCAACGATCAGGTTAGCGCACAGTTAGACGGACTCCACGCGCAGAACTGGAGCAGTAGCAGTTGATAGTAGCCAGAGAAGAATGTAAACAAACATCACTGCCTCAGACCAGAGACGAACGAACTATCCCCGTCACGGATTCGGCAAAGAAAGCGAGTCAGCACTTCCACCGGTCACAAGAGTCACATTCGCCAGTCAAGAGGGCTTCCGCCTTATATGTAGAAGGTGGTCGCTCTCCGTCTTTTCGAGAGTGAGAGGCAAGTGCCTTTGAAGTGTCACCTAAATGTTCCTGGTGTCATCTAATACCCCGCGGTCAGTGAATATTTTTTCACCTGTGATGACTGTTGATTCTAGGGGTATTCACACTCGTTTTGACATCATTTCAGTTTGATCCTTGCCGGTTGTGGAGTAGGTATTTTTTCCTCACTTTGATAGGGTAGCCATACATGATAGTTTGTCAGTAACCAATCAATGTCTCATGTCGCTGTAATCATCAGTCGTATGTAGATATGCAAAGAAATGCGTAGATGCTCTTTTTGTGCATGGGTTTCAGTCATATTCTAGAAACACCACCGGCAAAAACTAATTACGAGTTAGTGAGTAAGTAGGTTCGGGCTTCGCATAGATATTGAGCTTCACATCAGTTTACATAGTCGTAGTACAAGGAAGATGGCACTTATAGTAGAGACAATGGAGACAGCAACAACAAGCACGTATTAGTGCTCGTAGTAGTGCACCGTGGCAACCAGAACTAGAACATCAGACCAAAAACTCGAAGCCATTTGGTGGCTCATCGAGTCGTTAGGACGCTCGAAACGTTCGAGTCGTCAGTAGAAATGACCCGTTGGTCATCGGCCTCCTGCTTTCGTAGTTTCACGGACTCGGAGCGGATTGGCACACGAACGATGTGAAGAACAAGATGAAAGAACCACTTTTGCATGATTTCCTTTTCCACTTTGCTGAACGTCGATCCTCAGGTGACACGCGGCATGCAGTATGCGGGAGTTTGTTTGTGGCTTTGGTTTTTGCAAAAACGCGCTATGACGGTTGTTAAACAATGGCACAACGACGTGGGATAACAACAAATATGGAGTGGAAGTGATGTGTGCTGCTTTGCTCATAGTCTTCTACCGTGAAATGTCTTGCTATTTTGATAATCCATTTCGTTCTTTCTAAGTACTTATTCAAATTTAGTTCCAGTTAAAAGAATCAGTAAGTATGTACCAAGTCAATTTTTGTCGTGCGATAGCAACAAATCGCAGCAGTTTGTGACTATTCATTGAATCAGGCATCGCAATATTCTTCTGTGTGTCTAACGGTTTACGAGGTTTTCTTCAAATACAGTCTGCAGTTTTTTGAAGTAGAATACAAAACGCTGTCAACTACATCAATATTGCGTTAAGTATGTTTAACCCAGTAAATACAGTCGTCCCCATTCCTTGATTTCGTGATGGTTCACATTCCCAACAAGTACGTCTCCGAAAACCATTGTGATCCGATGAAACTTGTAGTCGTCTTTTTTCATTTTGAACTTATAGATAGAAACTCAGAAACCGCTTATGATAAACCAATTTCACTTGTCCAGAGGTTTGCGGTCTCCTCGGTGGTAGGTCAAGTGTTCCCCTCAGTAGCTGGTGTCGTAAAGCATGAAAAATGGAAAGAGGAAAGTACCAAAAGAGATGTACCCTATCAGATAGGTGCTGTCTGAGTCTACGATCAGGCACTGGGTCCTGCAAGACGTGCTAGGACAGTGTCTATACTTGAATAAAGTAGATTTGTATCTGACAAAGGTAACGCTAACACATAATGACGTGAGCCAGCGTCAACGCTGTGGAACGTTATTCTCATGAAAAAACAACACTGTAAAGAACCGAGCATAGTGCGTAGCTACGCGGTTTTTGGCTGAACTCTAATGTCTGTAGGCAATGCAGCATTTATTGTCAGTCTATCACAACAGTAGGTAATTCGTCAGTGCGATCATAGTCATACGCGTCTGCTTACAAGATTTACTAGCGAACAAGAACACTTTTCACACATCATCAAAATGGAGGACGACGACTTTTTGTTCCGAGATGATTTTAGCGAACCGGAAGACTTCCCTCCTCCTTTTCTTGATGAGGAGCCTTTCCCAGATGAGCTGTTTGAAGGCGACGGAGGCGGATTCTCGAAAAAATATGCAGCTGCGTCCAAAAAGGATGCTGTTGCAGCACAGCAGACGTCCGCTGCACCGGGTCCCAATGGAGCAGCTGATATCGGTAAGGATGCGCCAGGAGCTGGCCCTGATGACCCGTCAGGTGACAAAAAGGACGCAGCAGACGGCGACGGCGACGGTGATGATCAAAAAGAAAGCGAGTGGCAGCCGTTCCAATACGACGGTAGCGAAGACGCTGTACTGCCAGGAGATAGGGATTTGTTATTTGGGCCAGTACGCGACGATAAGGACCTGGATCGGCTGCGGAAGCTAGAAATGAAGAATCTAGACCGCGATGCAACACTCTTGCACGAGCGCCCAGCCAACCTCGTGGATCTATGTCCGAAGACGCGTGCGATGTGCTACGGTCAAACTGCAGCCTCTTTCTGCTTCGCAAAGGCCAATGACGTGGAGACCATGCTCGATGCCGTACCGAAGTACTTGATCACAAAACAAAGTAGACGTGATACTCAATCTTGTTCATGTTTTATATATAATAAATTGTACCTTCAAGCCCGATGAAGCAAAACAAAGTATAGGTTCGCACTAGTGACTTCTGACTTTCTAGCAAGTTGAATCTTCAGTTATGGAGACCTTTACGTTTACGTCTCGGACATAAAGAAATGAAACAAACACACAGTGATGCTGATGAGATAGAGACTGCAAGCGTGCCCGTCGCTGTCGGAAACGAGCAATCTGGCGACTCTAGTTCCTCGTCTGCGTTTCACGGAAAACTTGTGGGAAACTTCCTTGCGAATCTGGACGACTTTGAGGCGAAGCGGGAAAGACGGCACGCCGCTCTAGAGGCTACGCAGAAGAAGCGAGCTGCCGATCGGCGCCAGGTCGCAAGAGCAAAAAGTGCACAACACCAATCCCGAGGTCTTTGGGTAGACCGCTATGCGCCACGCGGGTACCTTGATCTCATTTCTGATGAAAATACGAACCGCATCGTCCTCGAGTGGATATCGGCGATCGAGAAAATAAACTACGGCCAGAAACTTGCTGGTACTACTTATGATTTATCATAATATCGATACAGCATCGAAAGAAAGACATTGACATTCTTGATGGCCCCCGGCGTAACTGATTTATTTACAGTAACAATAAGGTGTGAAAAGGAAAGCAATCTCATCATGCTCATCATGATCATGTTCTCCTCGACAGCAAGTACGGGTGAAAAGCTCGTGTGGAAGCCTTGGGGATATCAGAAAGTAGCCCTGGAGAACAAAGATGAAAATGCCGACCACGATGTGCCTCGAATATTGCTGCTTGGCGGGCCTCCCGGTGTCGGGAAAACGACACTTGCTAAGGTAAACTTGCATCTTAATGTCTTTCTTCGGACTACGCTAATCTTATCTAAACACATAGTTATGTGTAAGTAATTGGCTTCATTGAAAGAAATTGAATGATATAACGAACTAGGGAGGCATTGATTATTTGCAGACAAAATCTTTTGAAGTCCTAACTTCTGCTTAGGTACTCGGGCGTCTGAAGGGGTATCGAGTCGAGGACACGAATTGTTCCGAGCTTCGCAATGCAGGCGAGATGGTCGAGCGTGTGAAGAAGGTGTGCTCCATCGGTGAACAATACGACGAAGCCAAATCTCGCAAGAGGCAACGCGGGGACGCGGCACCGGTCTTCGAAAATGGCGTACTCCTTTCCGAAAAGGAGATCTGGATGCGCGAAAACAAAGCTCCGCTTCTCATTTTGGACGAGATCGATGGTATCTCGAAGTCGACCCAGGGTGACGGCTCGAACAAAACTATTGCGGGTTTGCTGAAACTCATCGAGCAGGACCGTAAAGAACCGGATTGCACACGTTGGCAGATCCGTTCGCCCATCATTGCGATCTGCAACGACATGAAGAGTTTATGGAAACAAGGAAATACCTGATTTCAGCGCCCGATAGCTCGCCCTCCACTAGAATCCTCCACCTCCTTCGAGGATTTCCTTCGCCAAGACGCGCCTCCCCCGCTCCTCTTCCGCCAGCTCGCGGCGCTTTCCTGGCGAAGTGGTCCGCGCCAGAGGAGTCGGAACAGAGGCGCCGCGGGATTTAAAAGAGGGGGCCGCTTCTGTCTCTGAGGTTTTTGAGATGTCTCAGGGTGTGCCTGCTTTTGAATTTAGTGCAGGGCTTTGCTTGGGAGTCTTGAGCGCGAAGCTTCGCGCGTAAGTCTTTGAGGTGGAGACTTGGGGCGAGATTGATGGAAGCTTTTGGCTTGCTGCTTGAAGCTCGCGACCGCTTGCAGTGTGAAGATTTGAGCTTCGGCAAAGCTCGAGGCGTAGAGCCTTTGACTTTGAAGCTTTGGACTTGCAAGCTGAAGCTTTGGACTCGAACGAAGTGCCGGGCTTGAGGGGTTCTGCCTGAAGTCTTGGATCTGAGACCTTTGGTCTGAATTCCTCAAATTCAAAAACTTTTGACTTTAGCAAGCTTGCCCGAAGCCCAGTTTATTGGATTTGAAAAGTTTCCGACTTTGGCGAGCTTTTCTGAAACAGATCCAATCTCTTGGATTTGAATCCCTCAAATCCAAAAGCCTTCGGCTTTAAAGAGTCGCGCCGGGATTCAACTTCTTGGATTTCAATATGCCAAATCCCAAAACTTTTGGACTCTATTCACATTCAGCAAGCTTTCCCAGAGTTCAACTCCTGGGATTTCAATCGCCCAAATCCGAAAACTTTTGACTTTGCCAAGCTTTCGCGCGATTCAATTTCTTGGGTTTCAATTTCTAAAATCCAAAAACTTCGACTTTAGCAAGCTGGGCCGAAGGTTCAACCGCTACCCGGGGCCTGAATTCCTCAAGTCCGAAAATTTTTGACTTACACAAGGTTCGCCGAGATTCAATCTCCTGGCTTTTAGTTTATCAAACAAATCCAAAAACTCTCGACTTTGCCAGGCTTTTCTGAGATTCAAGCTCCTGGACTTGATTCGCGAGCTTTGGCAAATTCATAAACTCACAAACCCACAAATTCCAAAACTCATAAAGTCGGAAACTCAGAGACCCCGACACTCGTAAACTCATAAACGCACAAACTCACAAACTCAGAAACTCAGAAACTCGCAAACTCGCAAACTCGCAAATTCGTAAACTCGCAAACTCGCAAATTCGCAAACTCGTAAGTTCCTAAATTCAGTGCCCGGCGACGCTGCTACTTCGACACTGGGATGCAACCGCTGCTCCGCCTGGAGAGCTTCGCTGCTCTGACTTCAGCCTAGGCACTGCTTTGCGCAGATGCCACACCTATGCGCCTAAGCTCGCGCCTGAGACTCACCCTGGCCCCTACCTTGGTCGCAAGTGCGCACGATGCTGGGTCGCCGATGCCTTACACACCTTAAAGCAAGCCCAATGGAAAGCTGAGGAGTTAGAGACGCTCCGCGAGTTTCGTTCTGGAAGAACGGAATTCGCCAAGCTCTGCTTTCACTATGAAGACGCCGACGATCCTGAGGAGCTCAGTACGGTGATGGCAACCGCCGTGGAGTTTGGGTATGCGGCAGCTACTGACGGCACTGACGCCGCGGCGGCCTCTGTATACTTTCAGGGTGGAAAAGGATACCTCGCCGCCACTGCGTGGCGCGGAGACGTCTCGGCATATGACGTCGAAAGGGTAGCACTCTACCAAGCCCTCCAGCACGTGGCAAAGCATGCCACTCCCCCGCCTGGTGGCCCCGGTGCTGCACATGCGGAACCACTTCGCCTATTCCTCGGCGCGCTTTCCCTCGTCGAGTATGTGCATCGCCTTAAACGCACTGGGGGACATATCGGGCTTGCTGATCGACAGGCGCTGGCAGCGCTCGCCGGCTTATGCGAGTTGTTTCCTGCGGTGCACGTCTATCATGTGCGCAGTCACGTGGGCTACGTACTGAGCGAGCTTGTCGATGGCGCCGCCAACATCGCCTGCACCACTCACGCGCCCACCGCGGGGGAGTGGAGACCACCTATGCCAGATGAAGAGGTAAAAAGCCGCGTCATGCGCCTCCTCGAGATGCAAGAGCTCGACCTTCTGACAGCATTAGGGGGCAACGTTGCTGGCCCAAGTGAGAGTGGCCTCATCGTCGGGAGCTTCCTCCAGTGGACGCGAGCCGAGGCGCGCAAGCTCTGGACAGAGTTCAGCCGCAACGGGGACGACCGGCCGGCCCAGGTACTCGCTGCCTCCATCTTGGGCGCAACGAGATTCAAGCAAGCAACTGGGGACGGACTCCCCCCAGTACGCTGCTGCCGATGCTTCGCTGAGCATGACACGATAGAGCATCTGCTAGAGTGTCACGCAGTGGAAAACGTCCAGCGCTTGCGCACTCCGCAGCCCGCTGCAGACCTCTACCGCTACCTTGCTCTAGAACACGACTGCCCCGATGTCCACGCGTAAGCTCTTGGCAACGCTGCGGCCTTCATCCAGCGCTCTCCCTACCTCCACAATGGACGCACGTCGAACAACCTGCCCGCGGCCTCCTCCCCGGGATGCATTCCACCCGGGGAGGCAGGTGAAAACATCAGTCGCACTCCGCTGATGACCGGAGCACAGGCAGCGCCGTGTGGTGGCGCTCCGGCTTGGAGAAGTAAACTGCCCCGCGGGCACATTCCCTCCTCCGAGTCTCTTGACGAGACTTACGACCCAGCGGACGACGCTGCAACAAGTGGGCCCTTGGTTGTAGTACTTGGCCGCTACGCAACTTGCTTCGTGGACGCGCCTCCGTAGATCGTGGGCACGGTAGAAGCTAGCGCCTCGTCCTTGTCAAAATGCTCGCTGGCTCCGCCCCGAGTGTGCAGACAGCCTCAGGGAGCGCCTGCGCGCTCATGGAGGTCAAACAGTATCACCCTGTTGGTCGGCTCGGCGCCGAGGGTGGCAGACTCTGGCTCGCCTGCAAGCCACGGGAACCCCACCCCCAGGAGGGTCCGCAAGTTTAGCCTTAGCGCGACTGTCTGGCGAACCCCCTCAATAATGATAATAATAATAAACTTGTAAGTTCTTAAATTCATAAACTCCATCGTAAATTCCTAAAAAAATTCCTAAACTCTTAAACTCTTAGCCTCCTTAAATTCGTAAATTCATTCATAAATTCCGAAATAAATTCACAAACTCCTAAATTAGTAAAGTCATAAACCCTTAAATTCATAAACTCAGAAATTCACAAATTCATAAGTTCGTAAACTCATAAGTTTCTAAATTCGTAAGTTCATAAGTTCCCTAAGTTCATAAGTTCAAAGGTGAAAGCGTGAGAGTTTGGGGCTTGGGGTTTGGAAGCGGGAGAGTGAGAGTTTGGAGGGGGTCGCTGTTGTTTTTTAATTTAGCTCTTTAGTATTAGCATCGCACACACCTAGCAAACGCAAATTGTGTGCGCTTTACAGTTTCATCAAAAGCAGCAAAACCTTAATGAAGACATTCCTGCTAAAGTGTGTCTCTTGTTTGTGAACACTCGGACTGGTTATTTTTACCCTCAAGGTGATGCGTTTTTTTAGATAATTCCCGGCTTGTTTCAGTTGTGCAAATCGTGACGGTTTTGCATGTTTCTCGTGCGGTTGTAAAGTTGTCAAATGTGTGGGCCTTCTTGCTCATCAGTAACACCATAAGGATCCACATCATTGGCGTGGTATTTCAGTGCTGTGACCTTTGTCACCATGGGACTGCAATGAATTCCATCGCGTCCATGTTCTTGATGATCCTCATATTCATGACATTACTAGGCTCGCCATCTTCATCTTTTTCGTCTTCTTATTTCTATCATTTGCAGAACAGGGGAACTGGGTCACCCCTCACTTTCTAGTAGAAGTGCACTCTTTCCCTCTTTCATAAGCGAAAGCTTTGGTAGACTTGAAAAAGTACGCCCAAGTTGTGGAAATTGAGGGTAGTGCGAATGCCAAGTTGCGAAATCGATTGCGCGAGATCATGAAACGGGAGCATGTGAAGATTCAAGAGGGGGCCTTGGTCGATTTGGTCCGTGAGTGCGGAGCGGACATTCGAGCGTGTCTCAATGCCCTTCAACTCTTGTCCGCGAGTCACAGTTTCATCGACAATTCGATCGTCCGAGATTATCTTAGCCAGGGCACACTGAAGGAAGAACATCTACAAATCATAGATCTCTATCGAACAGTGCTAAAGCCGCATAGCGCACGAAAAACGCGCGTGGTGCCAAAGCTACTGCAACAGGCACGCGACTTCGATTTTCGACCTGTGGCCACGGTACCTACTCCTTAAAACAAATATTCTGAATGCAGCACCATCCCTGTATGCTTCATGTTGTTGTGTACTCCGTTGATAGCTAATTAGAATTTTGTGCCAGGAGCGTGGGCTATGTAAGATTCTTACCATTTCCTTGTGTTCACGCTTAGGATTTTCTGCGGCATGCCTTTGGCGTTGTCTTCCGAAATCGTGCGGAAAAAACGCGAGGTGCGCTGGAGAGATTTTCTTTCTGTGAAGCGACCGATTCCCTTGGCTTCCGACGAAACGCGTGGGAATTGAAGACCTATTCCCTCTCTGGACCACTGCTCTATGCGTCACAACACTGTGCGCCCGAAAGCAACGATCGGCGATTTCGATTGCGCCAGCGATGGCAGGACAAACGCTTCGACACGTTGGAGAGGCGTCGAGTATTCGAAGGGCTCTTAGAACGTGTCCGAAAGCCCCCGAAGGAAATCAAGACGGTAGCTGAACTAATGGGGCCATCAGCAGCTGCAAGCTTCGAGCAGGCGATGCTCGCGCGTGGAGATAACGATGTGGCGCTCACTGGACTCCACATCGTGCGCAAGTCGAGCTCGGCCGCAGACGCAAATGCAAAAGCCAGTGGAGGGAAAGATCCAGCATTGTTTGCCGGTCCAGGTGGGCGACTATCCACCGCGATTGCGCAACAAATCACGCAACAGAATCAGCCACGCCATGCTCAGAAGATCGCTGCCGCAACGAAAAAAGGAGCTGCTGGGGGAGCAAAGCCGACGGGCGGGCAACTAGCGTCGGACCATCGACTCTCGTTTGCTACCTACACGAAGATCATGGCTGTACGCAACTACCGACTGGCACACTCGACGCTTTCGTTCCGCTCTCGGGACCTCGCGTTCATGGCACTCTGCGTAAAGCCAGAAGAAACTTTTGAGTGGCATAGGAAAGAGCGCTCAGTGGAGAGCCGCTTTCCGGACTCCACGCATCAGCTACAACCGTTGGAAACCTCGGTGCGGCTCATGTGCGACTCGTTCTGCAAGTGGCAACACGACGAATGGGCGGACAAAACCTATCTTCAGCCTTGCCTAACGCAGCTTGCCTATCCTTACATTATGCTTTCTGTCTGGGTGTTGGTCAATGAATAACTACAATTAGTGATGACTGAGACACACGATATTGTTTCTAGCGACTGCTATCAGGTACGGCGAGAGAGGTTTATGTGAATGCTGTCGATCTTCGTTTCACTGATGATTCCCCTGTCCCCTACAAGTAGCAATGCGATCCTGCAAATATCCCACCTTCATTCTTTACAACGTTTATGATGAGGATCTCAGCACCATTCTGGAGGAGAAAGTTCAGGCTTCTAGACGGCGGAAGATGGACATCCGAAACGCAATATTTCAGAAGGAAAGTGAGAACGAATGCAAGATGCGGCTGCAAATTGCAGTGGAGGACCTCAATGCGAAAGGGCGCATTCGCAAGGAGATGCAGAGGAAACGCGCATCACGAGAAGCGTTGATAAAAGAGAGAGGTAAGACTAAGACATAGATAAGTTTTGGGTGTTTATCTTTCAATTATTCAGGATGCAGCTCGTATTTTCGTGACTAGGAAACTAAGATTTCATTCTCATTTATAGCAACGAACGAAGAAACGCAAGTATTGCAAATTATCGTCTTTCTCCAGCTTCGTTACTGCAAGCGGGTGCGCCTGCGGAGCTGCTGCAGTTGAAACGGAAGACTAAAAACAATAACGATCCAGAGAAGCCGGAAAAAGAAGTGTGGGCGATGTTTGCAAAGGCGGACAAGGGCAAAAAAGAAGGCGCAACAGGCGCAAAAAGGCCGAAAGTCAACAAAGCTCCTGTGTGGCTACAGTATCTCGATGGACACACAAAAGCTGTCTATCGGCCGATAAAAATGGCGAGATTTTTGTCCGACTAGAATACTGATGCTCTTTCTGTTTATCCTTCTCAAACTACTTCACAAGCAAGACTGTTGCCTCTCTTCTTCTTGTACTTTCCTTGTCATCTTCTCTTCGCAAATTTTCAACTGCGCTCCAGTATTCCGTGTATTCTCAGACTTTTCCGTTTTCGCGCGGTTGGGCAACAGTGCGCCGAAGGAAGTTGCGAGGTGTTCGCAACAGTATTGTCTGAGCGGAGTTGCATTAAATAAAAATAAGGTGGAAAGACCATACTTTATAGCTCATAGATATGATTCACGAGCGAGTTGGCTATGGTTATTCCTGCTAGGTTAGACCAAGGTTATGATAAAATCTTTGTGCGAATGCCAAAGTAAAAAAAAAGGATTAGATTCAAGGCACAACAATATTCGCATAGACAGGGAAAAATGGCGTGTGTACTTCCGCTTTTCCTTTTTGCTACAGAGGAAGCGGACACAATGTCACCTCCTCAGCGGCAGAGCATCGGCTCATCAGTGATCATCGTTGCGCAGTGTGCGGTCAACCTTTGGATTTGGTCTGTCTGGACCTGGAGGTAAGGACCCATTTTGTTCGCATCAGGTGTATGGTCAGCAAGGAAGCGCAGGCTAGATGTTGTATTTTGCGATTTTCATCTCTTCGTAGAACTGTAAGGTAGACACTATTAAAAAATTACTTATGTACGTTCCAGGGCTCAGGGCTGAAGGCCCCCCCCCGATCTAACTTTTTGAGGGGGGGGCCTCCCAGCCCCGGACCCTCTTTTCGAGGGGCTGCCGGGCGGGAAGGCCTCAAAGCACCCACTTCGGACCCCTTCCCGCTCGTTGCATGTACCCTACAGACCTGGCAAAGGTGGCAAAGGCTGGGCCCTCTTGTCGTGTTGCCTGTGCCCTACAGACCTGGCAAAGATGGCAAGGCTGGCGCCCTCTGGCGTGTTGCAGGTACCCGACAGAGCTGGCAGAGGAGGCAAGGCGGGACCCACCCCCTTGGCGTGCTGCATGTACCCAACAGACCTGGCAAAGGTGGACCCCTCTGGCGTGGTCCACCGAAGATCCATCCCCACAGGGGGGGGCCTCCCTCCCTGGTACATATATAAGTAAGTTGTACGCTAAATGATCATAGAGACGCGATCTCTAGTATGCAGTACCACCTTCAGCCCCATCTCAGGTTTTCGATGGCAACGTCATTTCGAGGACGGGGGTCTACATCACTGCTCGGAGAATTCGACGCATACGGGTATTCATTGGACACTATGAAGGCAGTCGGCTTGGTCAAGCTCTCATGCGCGACGTTGCTTTTATGAAATTTTGTTGGTGAAGTTGCTTCACTAAAATGATGTCCGAAAGCTAAGTAATGCCTTATTCATCTTTATTTATATAGCGACTTCGTAACAGAACCACCTGCGCATGTACCAGCGGCAACGTGTAGGCTTTTGCTCTAATCCATGCAGTGGCAATGATGCTTCCAGAGATTCCTTACTTGGTGTATGTGAGCAGCGGTGGTCTCCTAGTGCTGATGCTTGTTGCTATCGTCAGCCATATTCGAGTGGGTGATCCGTGGACGCGAAACATTCCGGCGGTTTGCATGGCACTACTCAGTCTATTAACGCTCATGGGTAGTGCAGCAGGGTGCGTGACTGAAGCGCCTGATTCGAGTGCGTTTGACCTACCACCAGTGTTTGGGGCACTGGCAGGCGAACACGGCCGCCTACTAGTGGGTGTATTCATTCTCGTGTGCGACTTTCTAATGTGGTACCAAGCGAAAAATTCAGGCACATACAAGCAGGTGCCTGCCTCCCCGGACAACCCCTTCTTCGCGCTAGTGGAGGGAAAGTGACCTACTGATAATTTTCGGCAGGGGACTAGCAAAGGAGTACAGAATTGCTTTGAGTTGCTCATGTTGAGGTTCAATCTAATCTGAATGTGTAGTTTTTCTCGTCGCAGTGAAGATGCGCTTACCATCCGTCTTTAGGGTTCACATGGTTACTTTATGCAGCAGAGGTGAGTAGAAGCTCTACTGCCATCTAACTACCTAACCCATACTACGCTCGCTACGCAGCCTTCAGTGGGAGCTTCTTCTCTTAGCTCACCTGGAAGAAGGTGCCTCGTTTTAGAAGGTTTTGCGCCTCTCCTTAGCGTAAATTTGTCCTGCTTCTCAGTGACAGCCAAGATATTTTTGGATTGAAGCCCCCAAAGCAACCTGAGCCTGATCCTTGTAAGCAGATGGATCCTGTATTGACTGTCTGGATGGATCACGACCGACAAAGCCATAACGCGCCATTCTATTCGTGGTCTGTCTCTACGGAGCTCCACTACCTGTTTATGAGCATCCTCATCTTGCGTCGTTGGCCACTTCAGCCCTGGACACCCTTTTTAATTTTTCTGTGAAGTAAGAGGTCAAGAGAACACTTTCAGCCGGTGCCTTTGACTCACTGCGAGAAACCCACATGAAAGATATGAGTTACGCATGAACTGAGACTAGAAAAAAAAACGGAAAGAATTAAGTCAGAGGTCCTTTTGCGCACGAGCCTCTCCTGTGTGGGCATATTCGCGGTGTTGTGTTTCCAAGGTTGAGAGTGTGATGACGAGACAGCATAGAGATGTAAAATTTTCTGAGAAAGCCGATGATTTCGATGAAGCACACACAGAGAAGACGATAATTAGTTGTCGTAGTGTTGAGTGGACCAGTAAATGCGTATAGCTCATCCATCTATGACATCGTTGCTTTTTTCTCAACGGCAGGCACACAGAAAGACAAGTGTGAGGGCTTTTTTCAGAGAGTTTGCAACCTTTCTCCAGTCACCACCTGTTTTTAACCTATTGCCCGCACCTACTACCACCTATTTCGAAGCTCTCCCACCTTTTTTTCTATCGCTATTTTGCTTTTCGTTTTTTCCGTGCTACAAGTATACATCAAACATAAAATAATGATGCGACAGCATCGCCCGGTTTCGCGAGGCTTGATGACTGAATTTATTTCATGATGAGCCGCTAGTATGTAATGACAATGCGCTAATCCACATTCTCGCAGTCCGAGATGTTGACAAAAGAAGATGGACAGGGTGATGCAATTTCCTGTGGAAAAACTGAGTCATGGACTGTCAGCACCTTCCGTCGTCAGCTCAGATGTAGTAGTTGAGGGAGCTGATGAGCTCGCTTCCTTAGCGGTACTTATTCAAAGTGGTATCGCTTTGTGGATCGTCTCTGTGTGGACATGGCGGTATGGATTACAAACTGGGTATCGCGGAGGCAACGCAAAGAATCGGGAAATGGAGTTCGAAAACTACGGCTTGCCCCGTTGGATGCTCGCCTTGGTCGGTGGACTGGAACTTTGCTCAGCGTTGTGCCTCACGCTGGGCATACTATGGCCGCGCTGCGGGTTTCTGCTACTAGGCTCAGTACTGCAGATGGCACTCATGTGCGGCGCGGTAATGGCACATGTTCAAGTTAGTGATCCGCTTGCGCGCTCGGTGCCGGCGATACTGCTGTTTCTCTTGTCCGCAGTCGTTTTCGCTGTCTCTTGCTTCTTTGCCAGAAAAATCAATGGTCAAAAATTGTTGGCAGCGACATCGGAGTCGAGATTAGACCAGAAAAGGACGGAAGATACTGATCAACAAGAAGAGCAAGGTGATGGCTGGTCTTTCCTGGTGTTCTATTTGGGTCTCCTATGGCAGCTGATGTTCGACTGTGATTGCGCGCCTGACGGCACCGAGCGCAATTTTTTCGAATGCTTTGGTCCTTCTGCCGCGACCTCCACCAGGCTAGCATCTGACAAAAACGCGGGAGGATTCACGCAATTATTCGAGCTATTGACCTGTTCACTGCCGTCCGAACCTGGTCGCATTTCCTTCACGCTGTGTGTGCTGGTATCGAGCTTGTATATGGGTTACAAAGCTTATCGAAGCGGAGTGTATAATTTTAAGCGTGTGGTCACAAAGGAACGACTGCAAACCTCGTCTGTCTTTGAGGCTCCGACACTACTTCCGCTGGCCGAACGCCTTTTGACAGAAGACTTTACAGGGAACGAACGCTCAACCTCCTCTGCTTTGACTGGGAACTTATGGCTAAGCAGTTAGACAACAATTCTAGAACACTACCGGAAAGAAAGCACTGACTTGCTCTTTCGCATCAATGTGTTTGCCAGATTCCAGGAAAACGGTGAGTGCCACAGGCTCGTTCTTCATCTATCCAAGTATTTACACCTGCCTATGTGACTATGCTACTCAATAAGAAATCGTGGTTTAGTACTATTTTTGAATTAAAACTATTTTTTGTTTCTAATGTAGGACTCCGGGATCGCTGAGCTTCCGATGGGCACTCCTTTAATATCACGCGGCACATCAAGCAACTTTGTGGCCCTTTCTCCGGCAGCCCAATACCAACCAAATCGCATTGTCAGAGGGGACTCACCATCGCTTGCGCGGGAGCTCAGCCCAATACCACCACGGCCGGAAATGCGAACGCGCGTACCTGTAGAACCGGAGTGAGACCAGGCGCTCTTGGTTGCCTTCTCACATAGTTATCATCGCGTTTCAGATCGGGTAGACATGACAATGCCATCCCATCCACCACCCCCCGCGTTTGTGAGTCGACCCTCCGCAATGCAAACTTCTGCAATGTCATCATGAAAATATTTGTGGAGGCTTTCCTTTCTGGAGCTGACGCTGAGCTCACAACGAACACTACACTTGCTCATCTGTTATCTGGAATCCGCATGCTTCGTATTCCCTGACTGTGTTGGGACGTCAGGCTTCCTATCGCATATTCGAGCAAAAGAGTGTGCGTGAATCAATTAGTTGGTAGTATAATTGTGGCGCTTTCCACCATCCCGGTAAAATGTATGTTTACATGCAAGAGGGATATTGTCACCTCATTAAAGTACATCATGTATCTGTAAGTAGTCGTATCAAATTGATATAGATCTGCGGAGCCCATCCATCTGGAGCCACGGTTGTTTGTGTACCAGGCGTTGCGTCGCTCCCAAATGGATCTGGCTCACCACAAGAAACAAACTTTAGTCGAAGTGTAAAATCTAGGTGTCGTCTTAACAGGTTGAAACATATTTATAGCACGGTTGGATATCGGCCTCTTTTCAGCGGAAACTAACACGCTTGATCAACAAAAAATGCAGCAAGGGTTCTATGTCCCTATTTCATGATATTTTCAATCGATCTCGCGGTCACGATACAGATGCACATGCACTTTCTGAGAACTTGAATGATGACAATCGTCTGCGCAGGCATTCATTCCAAGAAATGAAAATAGGAATGACCACCGTACTGACCGCGCGCTATCTATTCCTTCGAACTGCAGGGCGTGTTTTCCTTCGTACCACATAAGTGTCTTTTCCGTTTCCCTCTTCTGCGACGCGAGAAGTTTCGTCGAGTGTCCTGACGGTAGCTCCAACAAGATCGGCAGAAAAACCACACTCCATGACGTTTCTGCTGACGGGGATCAAGCTCCGTCCGCCAAGAGAGCACGCGGAGATAACCGTCTGTACGTACATTTGATTAACTGCGGAGTAACAGTTCGTTGAGTTCTCCTCCTGCAGCGAGAACTTGTTACTTGCATTGATTCATGGCAATGTTCATGTTGATTTTATGTTTTGCTTCATCGACCACCGTTTTCTCCAGGGACGATACACTCTGTGAGATGATTTGTTAGGCATGTGGACCTCCAGCTCGAAGAGACAACTTCGTAGTTAAGAACTTTATTTCCGAGTTGTAATCACCGTGACTGCTTGCATCACACCGGGACGATCACTAAAATGGCTTCGTTTTCCCAAAATGCTACGGTCACTATGGTCCTCTCTCAGGCTGCAGAACAAACGCTCCGCGAGAGTCGTCGGTTTCTGAAGGAAGACGTGCCTGAAATTTTGGGCTTGACCGCAAAAGCGGTGCAAAAAAACAAACTCTTCCCTGTTTCGTGGCGTGAGGCAACCAGCTATTCTCAATCGGATTGGCTTGACATCATACCCATCTTTATGGCTAGTTCGACCGTTCGTAACTGTACATGATTCAGAAAGACAAAGGGCTTAGAAGTTGACGCCATTCTGGTGTCTACTTCAAGCCTATAGAATTGAAAAGTTTTTTCCTTTGTCTAAGACTTGGTGTGGTGTGCTGGTTGCTGTGAGCTACTTGTTTTTGCCGGTGGTCGCTAGCGGGGGGGGAGGTAGCATCGGACGCGTGTTGTTTGGAAATACGCGCAAACCTGTGAAATACGACCTTACGCGGTCGGTGCTGCTGCGCGCACAAGTTTTGTGCTATGGCTGTGGCTTCTTAACTTCGGCATTTCAACATCGCACATTGTGGGGTGAGCACGGGCTCGTGCCAGCGAACCCTCGGAGTCAGCGGCCGACGCCCATTTTCGACTATGTGCTCGGCTACGGAGACCTGCAACTCGAGCTCCTTTCTTTCTTGGGCTTTTATCTGTGCTTTCTGCTCGTCAGATATGAATCCACACTGGTGGCGGGTCTGTTGTGGCTCTGTTATCTGACCATTGTGAACATGCAAGCACCGTTTACCTACGGCTATGGCTGGGAGTGGCTCACGTGCGAAGCTGGGTTTTTGGCCATTTTCTTGTGCAGTCCACCAAAATTGCTATCCCTACCGAAAAAAAGCGTCTTTCATTCGTTCTTCGTGGGCAGGGGAGGGGGAGCTGGTAAAGCTGGCAGTAGTATTACAACTAGTAGATGTACAGAGCCTGCACCAGTTTTGGTGATTATGCTGTATCGGTGGATGGCTTTCCGTCTGCTGATTGGAGCGGGCATGAGCAAGGTCGGCCGCAATAGCTCTGCGTGCTGGCGCGAACTTACTTGTACCACAACGCACTATTTCACCCAGCCGATTCCGAACCCCTTGAGCTGGTACTGTTAAATCTCTCTTTGCATTACTGATACGGTTTGAACTAGCACTAAAAGAGAAGGGTGGAGGATGACCTCAACTTACAAAAGAGGCCCATTCAAGCATCCTTCGCATCTATGATACAAACCCATGCTGCGTTCTCAATTGCCTTTTGATCGCGCTATGGCTTCAATACAAAATGCATAGGTATTTCCACTTTCTGCCAGAGGTGGTGCACAAAGTGGAGGTTGCAATGACGTTCTTCGAGCAACTTGCGGTTCCGTACATGATGTTGACGCCTATCCGGTCTCTGCGCATACTTGCAGGTCTAGTAGAGATATTTTTTCAGCTGTGTATAGTGGGCACTGGCAATTACGCATGGATCAATTTCATCGGAATAACACCATGCCTCGCCCTGTTCGATGATGAATTCCTGCTCTACGTTTGGAGTTGGCTCTGCTGGTTGGTTAATACCTTTATCTGCTTTCTTTTCTTTTCGAAAAGTGGTTCAACATCAGAGGGAAAAAGTGGTGCTGCAACATTGGCAGAGAGCAGCAGTGCGTTCTTCTCCATGCCTGCTGATAGTCTAGAAGATGATGAAAATGCGTCTCTCGACGACACTGACGGCGACGATGAAGAAGCCTTTTCTTCTTGTTACAGTTTCGTCTGCAGTCTACCTTTTCGACTGGTCATTTTCCTGCTGCGTTTACCTGGTCTCATTTACCGGTGCCTTTACCACACTGCAATCGTGATACTAGTGTTCTTCATGGTGTACAAATCCAAAGAGCCTATCCGAGAACTCTTCTCCGCAGCGCCGTGGATCAATAACTACGACGACTACTTCTTCATCACGTCTCAAGGTGTTTTTGGCTTCATTAATGCGCTAAGAGTGCAACTCGTTTTGGAGTACAGACACGATGGTGGAAAGGCGAGTTCAGGGTCTGGTTCTGGTGGACAAGTTGTAGATCTAAATGCCTGGAAGCCTCTGGATTTCAAATGCATTCCGGGATCAGTTGACCGACGTCCTTGCTTCCTGTCACCGTATCACAGCCGACTGGACTGGGAAACGTGGATCCGCACAACGGCGAGCTTTGAGCACGTCGTCGGTCAATTTGGGCCGCAGGCAGGCCAGGCCATGCAGCACAACATGCCAGAGTTCATCGGCACTCTGGTGAGCCGGATTCTCGACGGTGACGAAAACGCCGCGCGCCTAATGGGAACAAGTCTCGAAGATTTGTACTATCCGAGGAGCAAGTATGCAGAATTCTCCGCATCGGAATCGGACAGCAAGAAGACAAAGAGGAAGAAGGAACTCCCAGCGGAGATTCGAGCGAGCTTTTACTTGTACGAATTTCAAGAACTGGGCGGCAGTGCGCCGTGGTTCGCTTCAGCATCGGCATTACAGACGAGTTTGACACCGTCAGGTGCCTCACCATGGTGGAAGCGAACCGCATTAACAGCCCCTGGCATGGAGCACGTTTACCGAAAAGAGGGACCGCAAAAGACGAATAAGAAGAAGAAAATTCCCTATGGCAATAGTCACGAGTGGAGATTGCCGACGTGCATGTTGTCTCTAGCCTTGGCAGGCTTCATGTGCTTTTCTGGACAACCGGCTCGGAGGCAAAATCCTTTGGTGCCGAGGAAAAGAAAACGATCGCTTGAGCGCAACAAGGAATTAGACACCAAAGCGAAAACGTTATTGGCGGAAACCGACAAATCTCAAGAAATTGAGATGCAGAAGATATATGGCGAAAGCACAGGTGACACTGCTGAAGGAAAGGCAGTATGTGCTAAGACTAATAAGGCAAAATCGAACTGCTCATCTAGTACCGAGTCCTCGGAATCAGACGAAGCAATGGTGTCAGAAGCGGAGCCAGAAAAGGTTGGACCGCCGCCGCAGTTAGGTTTGACTCGAATGCTGGCCATAATGATGATTCAGTGTCTGTGCTTTAGCATCTTCGCCTTGTGCCTAGTGTCAGATTATCAAGGCTCTTGGGTCAAGGTTGCGGATATGCGCGGTCGCATCGTTGGACGGAGTTTGTTGTCGCTTTATCGCCGAGCACTTGCCACTTACATCTGGGCCGCGCCAAGTTTTGACTTCCTCTCCACAGCGACCAGCGCGCCTGAGGTGAGCATTCGCGGAGGCCTCGTTCCTACCGTAGTTGCGCCTGCCGTATCGCAGCAGTGGGCGCAGGCGGTACAGCTGTTTCAGAAGGCGGATTCGACGTCGGTGAAAACCTATGCGGAAAGCGTTCAGAATATAGCTGGCTCCCTTCTCATCCTCATGCTCTTCACGGGGAACAGCGGCACGGGGAGGCGCGCATTACTCGATTTCGCTTCACTTGATGTAGTCAAGACTGTGCAGCTGGCGTCCGCGACAGCGCTTTTCTTCTCCGCCTACCGGCTCTCGGATTGATGAAATTGCATCATCTGCTCATTAGCAAACAGCCTGTCTTATGTATTCCAAAAGTTGTGTAACGCGAGGACGACGAATTTTCAACACCACGTTGTCGCAGTTGTACACTGGACAGCTAAATTGACGATTACAAACGTGAGCACCAACAGATGTACTTGAATAACTTTTCCAAATCTGAGCATTTTATTCCGAGTCTATCCATTGGACGAGAAGGCTGCAATGGCGAAAGCTTATTTCCGTGCGTGGCCCGCGCAAAACATGCTATAATAAGTTCTACTTTTTCCAACTCTGAGTCGGTCAAATCTTCTGTGAAAAACCTTTGGTCCAACTTAGAAGGAGATCTTGTAATTAGACAAGAAGATGCGACGAAGTTCCATCGAGAGATTTTAGAAGTAGACGAACCTCTCTTCACAGGAAAAGACAGGGCTCTGTAGTAAATTTGCGCCCGGTTGATCCGCTTGTCATATGTAAAGCAGAGGAACAAAAGTTGTTTATTGGGCTTCTGAAATTACCTCTGTCATGAAGAGGTAGGAAGTGTGCTAGTGCAATAATCCGTACTGAACGCATCCCAAAATTTGAAACTCATTCATCGGTTTCAATATTGTAGCGTGCTTCTATTCAAATTTAGTTTTGGTGTTACTCTCGTCTTTTAGTGAGAATGAATCCCCTTTTTCTCCGACTATGGGACGTACCGTAGGTCAGCTGAAGGTACCTAAATTCGATGATTATATATCATGCATGTGCTATCATTAGTTTTCCTTCCGACAAGATTCATGAGGGGCATCTTTCTACAAACACCCTATATGAAAGTACAGTAAAAAGAAGTAAGATCTAGTACAACTATGATGTTACATTAGATAATTACGAGGATGTATGGTCGCATGGATCATCCGTATCCCTACCCGACGGAACAAGATTCATGGTCTCCCTGGGCAGTTCCCGGTGAATTTGGAGAAGAAGAAAGCGAATCTCCGGACCACTTGCTTTATCCCGTCCTCGCTTTGCTGGTTATATCTTATGAACAGACACGCATGTTGTAAATACGCGGGAGACTATTTCCGAAAAGAACATCTTGTAGTTAGGAGTTTGAGTTTCTTCACTCCGCAAAGGAAACCTGACTTACTTTGCTAAGATCGTTTTCCGTTTAGCAAGGTCAGTCTATTACTTACTGCAGAGATTCTGCCTAGCCGGATGCATGGCCTCTAAGATTCACATAGCTTGTTGCATGGCCTCTAAGATTCACATAGCCGGTTGCATGGCCTCTAAGATTCGCACGTCTCGATGTATTTTTTACTGAAGCAGGTCATGGCTTGCTTTCCGACAAAGGACCAGCAGGGGCCCATCTACGCGAGCACTGTCCTAGATGCAGAGCGGAAAGATCAGTGATTGGGCTGCAACGCAGCCGGATCCGAGAAACGCTGAATCGAAGGTTACGCGCGATAGTACACACTAAGCATGGAAAGCTCACCTTCTTCTTTCGCACGCGCCTACAAGAATTAACGCATGCTGCAGTAGTCTAGCGTCTACAGGCACGGCAGGAAGAGAAAACAGGCTGATTTTCAATCCGGGATGGGAAATGTGCAGGGGCACGATCGCTAGCATCCGCAGTGCTGACCCACGAGCGGTGGAGGCCCTGGTCAGAAAGCGCTAGATTTGCGATCTTCGTGACAGAAGTCCACTTTTGCGGTACCAGCAGCGGGGCGCACACGCAGGGCTTTATCTGTTCCCAGATTGGTGCCTTATCGTACGGAGATCTTCAACTTCAAGTGCAACTACTGGCTCAAGTCGTAGTTGGAATTGTCAGTCTACTTTGCAAAGCTGTGACTTCTTTCTTCTACTTTCTGGAAAGCTGGTGAGGAGGACGGAGGATGGGCAACCAGTTTTTTTGTCCTACGGATCAGCTTCCGTACGAGGAGCAAAGTTTCGCATCAAAGTTCGAGGTGGACGAGTCAGCGGCAATAGGTAGTGGCAAATTCTCGCAAGTTTACCTTTGCTGGGACAAGAAAAGGCCTGACAAGAGGTATGCCGTGAAAGAAATCAATATCAAAATCCTCGGGAACGAGTACAATGCCTCAGTGAATAGAATATACGAGGAAATCCGAATCATGCAGCACTTGGGAACACATCCTGGGCTAGTGCAGCTGATAGACTTCGACGATAGCTCGTCCACTTCCACGATACGTGTTGTGCTCGAATTATGCGAGGGTGGCGAATTGTAAGGCTCTGCTTATTGGAAGTTCTAGTCTGCGTACTGTCGTGTCTAATATGCATGAGCTTTCCTTGAATGTAATGTCAGAGACATTTGCGGTAAAGATCTCATCGTCATCACTCACGTTCCTAGTGCTTAAGTACGTTCTCCTTTCAAGAATTACTTTCGCAACAGATACGACCGAATCCAGCAGCGAGTCTTTTACCCCGAGCAGGAGGCCATACAGTTGATAACAAATCTCCTAGAAGCAGTCGCCTATATCCATTCAAAGGGCATCATGCACAGAGATTTGAAGCCGGAAAATATACTGTTAGTGTCCAAATCTTCGCATACAGACATAAAGATTTCGGACTTCGGACTAGCGAAAATGAGTACTTACTAACAACACGGTGGCTTCTACATAGCTGTTTTGTTTACATTGGAAGCAGCAATGGCAACGCCAATGTGAAGATTCTACAATGACTACCTTGAATGCCTCCCATAATAGGGGTAGCAAGCCGACCTCTGTCAGCCATACAATAAGAATCTTTCCTTATTCAGTGGAATGCTGTCGCCATTTTTGTAATTTTCCTGTAGGTCGCGACTTTCCCCGGAAGCTGCCGAGATCAAACAGCATATGTGGGAGTGACTTTTACCTCGCGCCTGAAGTCATTCGGCAGGAGGAATACGGCCGAGAAATAGACGTTTGGAGTGTCGGCATTGTCGCCTACGTTTTACTCTCTGGCTCCTTGCCGTTCTTCCACAGCGTGCTGCACAAACTGTAATGAATATGGAAAATACTTTACGGATAAGAAAAAACTACTTACGATGGGATCATCACTGTGTAAAAGTATAGAGTTCTTTTGTTCTCACACTCGATGTGTCTTGCACCTTTAGACAGATAGAGGTAAGATATGTGTCCTGGTTTCATCTACACTTTCAATGATTAACACTACGACAGGTATCGGCAAATAGTAGAGCGTGATATCAGTTTCCCGGACTCAACGTGGTCAAATGTTTCCAAGGGAGCACAGGACTTTATTCTCCGCCTGTTGCAGGTTCGACCTGGAGATCGAATGACAGCAGAAACCGCCCTAAATCACCCGTGGCTTCGACGCGTGGCACAAAGTTTTTGCCATGCTTCGCAGCAACAGCGCATCGGGATCTTCCACAGTATTAGTTACTTCTGATTAAGTGAATAACTTGTTGGAAATGCATGTGTATGAGTAAGTACTCTCAAAACCAAGATGCATCACACCCATACTACTGAATGTAAGGCACGCGCGCTCTGAATTTCTCGCCTGTGTGTTTTCTTTCTCAGGTATGTGAGGCCCTTCGGAAGCGTTCAACGAGTTCCTTGCGTTTTCCTTTCCAGGAGCGCTTCGTTGGCGCCGCTCGGATCCTGTGGCTGATACCCAGCGAAGAGAAAGACATCATTCAACGTCATACTCGCGCACATCCCCATCGAATTGCTCTTAACACTGGCATCTCCTCCTAGTTTTACTTCTCCTTTTTTCGGGCAAGCGCTCTAGAACCTGCTATGACGCCACAACACTATTTTCATGATCATGGTAAGGCACCATCCACAAGCTTCTTGGGCTTGAGCGCGAAGCCAATCAATTTCGGGATGGAGCTTAACGTTCTGGTGCGCCCCGCTATGAACGTACTTGTTCTCCTCAGAAGCTCCAGGACTAAAAAGTGTACTTTTTTGCAAATGGAAATTCCCATTTTTAGCGCTGTCTAATCGCTCTGGGAAAACAGAGTGAGAGAAATACATACTCAATGACATAGTTGTCTAAAAAATAATGGCCGAAGACGATCAAATTCAAAAGGATAGTACTAGTTTGGCACTCTCCGCTGTCGTGGAGAGCGAGAGATGTGGTGTCGTGAGTGTACAGAAACTAATTGTTGAAGGTGGCCGCCCGTCCTGGTAGGTGGAAGGACCATGACGTTGGTTTATCGAAGACGGCCTAGCTGTCTGGCGTTTGCCACTTGCTCTGTGGCGGCGTTGGCCAGAACACCTTTCTTGGAGCAGAATCCTTCTAGATCTGCGACGTCGTCGACCAAAAAGAGCTGTAAGCATCAACATGATGCTCGTAGTTCTCGAATCCGGATGCTCAAGGCTCCACCGGTCGTCGTGGACGATGAGGACTATGCCGCGGATAGTCGCGGCTCATCAAAGAAAGCCTATGATGCGATGCGCGGGGCCGACGATCACATGGTCGAATCTCCTCTAGAAGAAACTACGAAGAACGCAGAGGAGAGCGGCACTTCGACAGCCAATGGCGATTGGACAGACGATCTTGGCACTGTGTCAACAGCGCCGGGAGATGATGCGGACACATTATGTCCTGGAATTCAGATTGATTGGAGAGATTTACATGACTAGTTGCAACTACGAAGCGTCAAACTTAGTACCAGCAGGTGATCGAAGATATTAACACGACTAGCTTATCAAATTTCTATTTCTAACCCGAGACGCATCTTTTCACCCACCTGAACGTGGGTACAATCCGTATAGCAAAGACTACGAGCACGACTATGAGGACGGAAACGAGAACCCACATTACGGGCCAGCGCACGCATCACAGCATGATGCGGACGCCTTTGCGCGCACCGACCGGCACGTTTCTCCCGAAATCGCACCTCCGAAACCGTACATTGGAGCATCGTGTACGCAGATCTGCCGGTCTGAGTGTCTGCCGAAGACGTTGGGAGAGGAATTTGCGGAGCTCGGCGCTGCAGTTGGCGAGCAGCTGGGAGATGTGATTCCCGACGCTATCGAAGACGGAGCGCAGGCAGCCAGCGGCTACGTTGCTGGTGTGGGCCGCGCGTTAGCAGGGCAAGGCGATGCTTTTCTGCAGCACGAATCTAAAACCTCCAGGTTCAGTACACGAAGGAACAAGAGTGGCCGAAAAGAGCTTCTGAAACGCAAACTCTTTCGAACAAAGTCCAACAGGAAGCAACAGACCAGTATGACAGACTCAGAGTGCCAAACAGAGTGTGAGACCATGGTCGAGGAGTGCTCAAACCACCTGGATGCATCTGACCGTCGTACTACTTCTTCTGTAGACCCTTTCGTTTTGCATTTAGTGGCCAAAAACAAATTGCTTCTCTTTTGCTGCTGCGAGGATAATACTTCAATTGAAATGATTAAAAACCTCCACTGCAACAGTTTCCGAGCACGCCGAGGACTATCTCGTTGATCCGTCGATTGTGAAGTGTCACGACATGGTAAAACTCAAGTTTATCGCGGAAAGCGGGAATATTCAGTACAGCAGCAAGTTTGGAGTGCCGCCAACTTTCGAGCAACTGGCCAGTCTTGCAGAACCTATGGACTTGATCACGGACGCAGACTTAGAAGTCCTTTCGCGATGTGCTCCTGGCGGCGATGACGCAGGGCTCAATTTGGGTGGCGCCAAAAGGCTTCTCCAGTGCATGTCCGAGAAGACGTTGAACTATGCCAACACGATCCAGACTGCCCTTAGAGAACACAATTTTCGGGAAGTGGCACAAGAAGCGATGGAGCCTGGTAAGTACTTACACACATAAGTAGTAGTTTTTGAGAGAAGGTAGATTCATACGAGGGACTAGTACGAGTTTGCTCGATGATTTTCCCTCTGCTATTTTCAACGAAATATCACAATCTCATTTTATTTGGGAGATGATCATGGTTTCTAACGAACACATTCATAAGTTTCTGATCAACATGATTAGCTCCGTCGACGATTTCGGAGGACGTTTTTTTCGTCAACGACGTGCGATGTTTCGAGGGCTGCGGGATAGCGTATCAGCACTCTGCTGTTGCGGCTTGCGAAGGAAAAGGCACTTGCGCGACCGATTTCGGGCAACTGCTCTTCCAGTTAGGACTCCTGCATACCGAGACGCCACTCGCACAGAGTATCAAGAATATGATCTCCGGTCATATGGATGCGGACCGAGATCGCGGTGAAGAATTGCACGATGCAATGGCTGCTGCGAATCCAAGCGATGTGCCTTCCGGACCTGCTGCTCACCGCCGAGGAGGCGGCACGACATCAGCGGAAAAATGGAGCATTCGCAGCGGGAATACTGAAGCCGCGGCTGGACCGCCTGTCGAACTGATGCTGATGTCCTCTATCGAGGCGACCCACAAGGAAAGGCAGGGAGATAAAGATCATGGAAACAATACGCCTCCGTTCTGCCGAGCACAGATGTGCCCGCCGTTCCCGCTGAGCACACTCACACCTGCAGGCGTTGCCAAGCTATTCGAAGCAGAACCGAAAGAGCAATGTCGACGAATCGAACACATCGCCGACACCCACCCGCATGATCTCTTCGATGGTGCCGTTCCGGAACCGGAGGGCAGCATCAAGGAGGTAATGGAACCAGAGGACCCGTTGTTAGCATCTGGTGGCAGGGAACAGCTTGGAGCGCTGGGAGATGGCGCTTCTGCATCTCCATCTTCCGCCACGTCCCTATCCATCTTCAACTCACCTGCAGTAATGGGCCTAGCAGCGGGAAAGACTCGCCGCGCACGCGCAGACCGAAACTTGTGGAACGCCATCCGGATTCGAGTAAACGACCTCCAGACACCAGGTACATCATCCGCACTTGCGCGCAGTGGCAGCCGGCCACGAGAAGGATTTCCTTCTGCAAGAAGTACCAAAAAACAAGAAGAGAGCGAGATCACGAAGAAAGACAAGGAATCACATCCAACAATTTCTAGAACATCAAGTGGCGAACAAAACGATATCGACAAGCAGTCGCCAACACAGGCTCCAGAATCAGAACTGCCACAAAAAGAGAAGGACCAGGAGAAATCACCATCAACAGAAGCAGACGCGTCGATGCCGCAGGCCGACTTCTCCGCGGATGAAGAGGATCAAGAAGTCACAACAAGTGAGGGCGCAGAGACAGATCAGAATGAGGAAGCCAAGAACCTGCAGGAGGCGATGGAAGCCGCAGGGGGCTTGTCCGCCACGGATATGCGCGAGCTGTACAACGATCAAAAAGACTCTACACCAATGGCAGTGATGAACAACGCCTTGGAGAGTGCGGAAGCCTTGCGTGGCTCATCGTAGAACAGTTTTTTCCACCACAGCGAAGATGCACAGGAGGTGAATGCTGCTATTCATATGGGGTCGTAAGATAGACCAAGGGTTATTTCTATTATGCGAACGAATTTTTTCTTTTCACGCTGTGTCAGCCATAATGGTGGGAATAATGTCAGTCGTGGCGCCACAAAAACTCACTCGAACCAGATCTTCGGCGTGTACAGAGATTGAAATAGGTCTGAAAAGATGAGGATCACAGGAAAATGGCTGACCAACAGTCACTGAAATTACACTGTCTTCAAAACGAACGAAGATTTGACGACATAATTGGTGTCAACTGTGTTCGTACAGTACGAGCTTGCTGAGTTGATATTTCTTGCATTAGAAAATACAACGAGTCTAGAACGTCCTCTTAGTAACGTGTCTATAGTCATTCAGAAAAGAAACGCGCTGAAGCATGACGTAAGCTTAGTCTGAGAAGAAGTGAGATTGAGTCGTGTTCGTGGTTCCCGAGGAACACAACGAGTCGGTAATTCTTGACGCAATTTGTTATAAGTACTTCTTCTTAATTCTTGAAGCAACAAAAAAGACACCTTATTAGAGAAGTCGTAAACCTGAACATGAAGATGAATCCCTAACAAGTCATCTTCAAGAATCTGTCATAAACTAAGACCTGGAATCCTCGAAGTAGACACAAATCAGCGGACCGTCCACCTCTGGCAAGTACAATGCGTAATGCAATTAAGTTGAAATTTTACAGGCTACCACAGGTCAGTCGTCTCTTTTCCCTTTTGTTCAGTAATTTTGTAGCTCCTGTTGTCGTTTGCTCGAGTGGTCCCCAATAACGAAGGACATCTATCCATCCAAAGTTATATTTATTCCGCCTCTTTTCTCGTTCTCGCTCCCGAGGATGAAAAATAGTTATTGTCATCATTCATAGTCGATCTTTCAACATCGCTAAGAAATTCGAAATTCGGTTGAGCATGTGACCTGATAATACGACTCGGACTTTCTCGTGTACAGTAGAAATGTTTTTCAATCTTGCAAGATGCTCTAACGACCTTGATCGAAAATTGTAGCTTGCTTGTGTTTTAATTGAGACTTTCGATCGCAACGAACACGCATTGTGATAGATAAAGAAGTCTTGCAGGTATTAAGGTTAGTAAGTCGCTGATTTCGTGGAAATTCCGAACAGACACGGAGTATCGTACCTGCTATCCAAAGGACCTGTACTTGTAACACGTTTCATACATGTTGCATCGTGTAAGAGTCGTCCAGTCTAATTTTTCGAAGAAGTTTCGTTGTATCTATCAGTTTTGGATCGTTTTTAACAAGCTTAAATTATCTACTTATGGTTTCTCCTGATTCGTGATTCTTTATGATATAGATATTAAATATGCTGTCTGATGACCACCTCTTTAGGAATTACTATGCTCAAGAAGTGGTTTAAAACTTAATAACCTAAAACTACTTAGTGACTCCCTCTATCCGAGGCAAAGTGCGCATTGACTGTGAGGGAAACATGAAGGCATGCAACATGAGAGAGTGAGTTTCTGTTTGTGTCTCTCACATGTGTCAGTTTTCCAGTAGGATGTGTTGGGCTGCCTCCTGTTGTCGAAGTCTGTGACGTCCGAGTGGAGAGTCTCGGTTTTGCGAACTGTGCTCCTCGCAGGCTTTCCGGCCGCGCACGTTTTTGGCGTGCAAAGTGCGGCTCTTTGGTAATCTGCTTCTCACTGACCTGGCGGACAGCGATACTGATAGCACGCGCGACGTTACAACACACTGCAATATCCGACTTCGTGCTTGCTTCGTGCGGACTGTCATTGCGATTGCCTGACTAGCATAGATTGATACCATAATATTTACAGTTTCGGTGACCGTGTAAGACGTAAGGAGCGACACACATTCTTGATGGTGATGGGGCGTAGCCAGGGGTGTCAAGCAGAAGGAACGGGACGACGACTTCTATTTGCGGACGATTTTCACATTAAGGGTGCTATCGGCAAGAATTGAATTCTGAGAAGGATGAGATCCCTTGTCGTAGTCGGTTTTTCGAACTTCAGAAAAATTACGAAGGGAATTCCATATCGATGTTTGTGTTTGTTCACGCAATCACCCTTGGTACTTCGCGCTCTAATATTTCAACCGAAGAACAAGTGGACGCACGACAAGTAGGTTTCGGAAAGTCCTCGTCGACGTCAAGAACATCTTCTAGAAGAACTGCTAGACCTGGATCTACGGCTGCCACCTTTCTTTCGTCTTCATATTTGTTCATGTTGCCTTCCCCCACGGCCCTGGGAGAATGGGCGGCTGCTGCGTAAGTGGTGCGAAACCAGGAGTCCAGCGGCCTTACGAAGCGAGGCCCGATATCGATGACCTCCAGCACTCTTTGGCGGCAAGTTTTGGTGAACAGCTCGCTCCACAGAACAATTTCAACGCACACCAAGAAGTAAATCTGGAGCTACCGAGCCTAGAAAGTACTACTTTACCTTTGCTCCACGGTTATTTGTCCAGCATACATACAACATACATGTACACTTGAATAAAAGTACTCTTGCCTTGATAATTCTATCTTGAATGATGGCGATGTGAACTATAATTTGATTCCGTTCTGGCTCATCTTGATCGATTCCATTTCCTTCTACGACGCCATAAGGAAACCTTTGAGGTCCTACTTGCACCTAAGAGATCTTCATCTCAAAGGGCGTACTTGTTGCCCATTCAAGGAAAAATCTTAGTGCCAAATAGATTCACCTGGGCTCGATATCCGATACGATCAGGATGAACAAGAATACGCACAAATCCTATCTATAACCTGTACCTGAATTAGACAAGGACTTGCGTCAGCGTCACCCACTACCATCTGAGAAAACACAAGTACTAGCCTCGTCAATAATGTCGCTAAATACTCGCACATAGTGTTGGATTTAATCATCTTGGTAATGGAATAAATAGTTGTACAAAGCTAAACAGTAGATCACAGCTGTAGTGTAAGAAAGAGATGATCGTTAATCCTTTTGCCCGTACCTCCAGGCTGGATTTTGGAGACCTATGTATAGTACACTGGTGTTTCCTTTATAAGAATGCGTACGAAAGTGAAAGTTTTTCAAAATGAAGGACGAGTACTAATGGCTTGCATTTTCGCCCAGAGTGTTATTAGTTGGTTTCTTTGCCTATTTTATGCTAAGTAATCTGTGTCATGCTAGGTAGGTAGCCACTTTTGTTGACTTACGAAACTAATGATGTTTGTATTGTCGCAGGTGAGGACGTTGGTGGTGGCAGCGGCGACTCGAGCGAAGATATGATCCGTCAAGGGCAGACGCAAAATGGGGGTCAGCTACCTCGTTTCGGATCCTCTTCGTCGTCAGGCGGTGGGGCCTTTGGCGTGGCGCACACCCTCGAGCAGAACGCCGGTGGCAGCCTCTCCGTGAACCCCAGCTCACACCTAGTGCACCAGGGACAGGATGGCTCTTCAAGGAGTTCTGGAGATGGAGGTGGAACCACTAAGCCTTCTTCCGCCTCCTCAAGTAACTACAACTATGGCGGTGGTAGCGAGCAGACCGCTTCGACGGCAGACGGATCCTCAACAAGGCGAGGTAGCGGAACCAGTTCAAGCTCGAGCTCTGCCGCTGCGCGCGCGGCGAAAGAAGAGCGTAGAAAAAAATCAACAGTGTTGGAACAAAAGCTCCGAGAACAGTACTCACAAATCCGAGACATACCTTTCTGGAGACCGAAGGTATCTTTATTATCCTAGTTGCAATATGCTTTCATCACGACCTGAATTTATCTTGAGAATCTTCCGTAGTACTTACTAGAGATTTCTCTTCCGTGGTCTAATGATTTTCATTTTTTCGAATTCTGTCACTGAGGAATTATCTCCCTCGGGTTAGTTTTTTTGGTCTTCTTCGGTCTCAATCAGTATATTTTCAGTCTCTCTCTCGCCAATGTCACCCGTATCATGTTGAGGTGCTGCAAACAGCGAAGGAGGGTGACAAAAATGCTGGGAAAAAAGTCATAGGCCTCACTCTGAGCAAGAGGCAGCTGAATAAATTCTACAAGTGGCAACCCGTATGCGGGAATCGCGTTCAAGATGACCAGGAGAAGCGGTCAAACTCGTCTGACGGTGACGGCACTACTGCGGACAAGGATCGAGATCCCAAGCAAATGCAGCTGGAGACCAACGTAAATGGCGGAGCTGAGCGGCCTGAGGTCGAGAGTACGGATCGGAGCAAGCGATTCTCGATACTAAAAGCGTCCTCCAGCCGGAAACCGCTAAAACCAGAACATCAAACGGATAAATTCGGGTTTTTGTTGCGGAAAGCGTTATCGAGTCGGAGAGTGAAGCAAGGCGCGGTCGGTGACTGCAGTTTTCTCGCAATTTTGAACTGCCTCGTTGATTTCGACGCCGAGTTTAATCACAACTACGAAAATTCCCCAACCAACCGGAAAGGCGGCTCCTCCAATGCCTTTCTCCGGTCCCTTTTCGTCGCCTTCATCCCCGAAAAGAATGTCATCCTCATCAAACTCTACGTAGACTGCGAGTACCGGCTAGTGCCGGTCACGCCCACAGTCCCAATATCACGCGAGGGAAAGATCCTGTGTGCTCACAGCACGACAGCGACAGAGGTGTGGATTTGTTTGCTCGAAAAAGCCTACGTCACCATCTCCGGCGGAAACTACGACTTTTTCGGAAAGGGTATTTTTTCGTCTCCTTTTCGAGTTGAAGATTGATGATACTAGAATGATCCGGCACCAGCAGTTCCCCAGTGAAACCTTCGTGGCTGAGAAATAATGGTAGATATGCACGGAAAGTGAAAGTTGTTGATGACGATCATTACGAAATTGATTATCGTTGGAATTTTTTACAACAACAACACTGCAGGTTCCAACCCAAATACGGATGGGTATCACCTAACGGGATGGGTTCCAGAGACACTGCCCATCAATTTTCTGATGCAGCAAATACAGATCGGGCAATACGACAGCGAAGCCCTACGAATTTGGGACGCAATGCACGAAGGGTTAAACACTGGCCGGTGCGTCGTGTGTCTTGGAACAGGAAGAATAAAGGTACTCTTCCTTGGATTAATTAAATCTTCACTTTCGGAAGATGATTCAAGGTTGGCCCTTTAAACTAAATGTTAGGAAACCACCAAGACTGGATATGCTGGAACTATTTTTCGATGATTTCTTTTGTTCGTGCGTCGTCCAGCATATCCAGTGGCTACCACAAACACCATATCTTCCCTTTCTCATGATTGACAGGACGCTGTCGTTGAGCGAGGATCGGATGACCCTGAAGGCGTGTCCGTGAAATATGGGATTGTGCAAAACCACGCTTACTCAGTTCTACGGTCACACTCTTTTGACCGAAATGGCAGTCGTGTCAGACTCCTCTACCTGAAAAATCCATGGGGCCGCTGCCAATGGAAAGGTATTAATTGGCTTCTTCTAATTCCATCAAGTGAATCCTTGTGTTTTGTTTGCTCACAATTATCTCCTTTTAAGCATCTTTACGACATGACATGATGTTGAAGAAAATGACTAGATCGATACTACATTTGTGTCGATCACGTACAAAAAACTTCCAGGTCGCTACGGCCCGAAAGACCCTGTCTGGGAAACGAGCCTCAGTGAAGATTTTCGTCGAGAGGGACTCCCACCAGGACGAGAGAACGCAGACGGCGGCTATTTCTACATGCAGTGGAGCGACATTCTGCACACGCAGACTTTTTCGCACATCTACATCTTGTGGAATAAAGACCGACTCTTACGAAAACGCAAGTACAGCAAGCTGACGTACGAGATCAAGTACGACGATGCCTATAATTGCCTTGGCGGCAACCCTCAGTTCCTGTTGACAGCGAAGCGTGGTCGGCGATACTATTTCGTGGTATCGCGAGTGAAAAACTCCACGCTTTCTAACAGCTACATTGCCGCGCACGCGTACAAACTGCGACAGCCTCAGCGATCCACAGTGCTCAATGCAACGCGCAATTCCCCAGGCAACAAGCTGCCGAGAATAATGAATACCACGGCGAGGTACAACGGGGGACAACACCAGTACGAAGCTTTGAGCTCAGCGTCAGTGAGTAAGGAGACGCACGTGAGCGGAGACGAACTGAACCACCTTGGTAGCGCGACTGCAGTGCTCGACGACGCTAACAATCACAAGCGACGGCGAACGCAGGATGACGAAGGGCAGCACTCCAAAACAGCAGCCTCGTCGCCTGCGGACCCAGACAGAATAGCCGAAGACATCAGCGGTACAAAAGTTGTTCTCCTTGTTGTTCTCCCTTGGGAATACTTGCCGTGTCTTTGTGCTAGAATGATACGTAGTTCGTTGTACAACTTCTAGAGGAAGATTTAACATCTGGATCTGTTCGTTGTATCCAACTAAGTAACTATCATATCATTTTCATCTACAGAAACTGCAAGCTGCATGTCCTACATGGAGGGCAGTCACCGCGGAGCACGTGACGCCGTATCACCGGGGTCACCTTCCGCGCCGTCCACTGGACGACAGCTACCTATAGATCGAGAGGAGTACGAGGGGGAATCAATAATGATGAAGCTGCCACCAGGTGTTGAATCGCAATCGCGCCAGGAGCATTATGCGGGCTCATTCCCTGCTGACTTTTCCACAGGTAGTAGCTCCTGTAGCTCCTCGACCAGCTGTTCCAGTAGTGCTGGACCGTCATCCAATCTACATTCTGGTGCCAGCGGGTTAGAGGGGAGTCATCAGACGACAAGAGCGCCCGAGCTAGATAATCGCACAGGAGCCACTGGCTGGCGACACGAGTCTCCAGATGACCACAGCGGGGTGTTTAGTTCTTCGTCACCAGACTCCCGATTCAGTGGCACCTACCAAGTCGGCGGAAGTTTGCCGTCCTCCTCGATTCCCGGGTTAATGAATCAGGACAACAGCAGTAGCGCTTCGACATTTAATCTCACAGCCGGCGGCGGGACGGAAGGGCGACACGAGGAGGACTTTGCACAACTCGATGAACAGATACCAGACGAGCATAACCCAGTCGCCGACCCGAATTTGTTGCGTATTAACGGGATCGCACCCGCTGCAGGTGCTGCCACTTATCATAGACCCGGAGACTCAGGGTTTCCCGATGCCATAGCCGTAGATCCAACGCGCATGGAAGACAATTACCCTCCGAGGCCTCCCGGATGGAACACAATAGTGGATCCCGCTGTCAGTGCCAGGTCTGAGGTCCTCAAGGACGGCGTGCACCAGAGAGCAGGGACAGAGAACTGGGGCATGGACCAGCAACGTCTGAGAAGCCCTTCAGGTAAAGGGCTTGGTGACTCATCTGGAGTGTCATGGGAAGACCGGCTGTGGACGCCGTCACATGAACACGTACTTCTTTTTTAATGCTTTTTTCTAGCATATTTGTTGCATGGTTTACAGGTAGACAAGATCGCTGTAGCTGTACCTGATGCTTGCCCTTTTGTTAGCCATTATCGGTGTTGATCGTGATTGAAATCTTTTTGGTTGGCGCAATCGCGCATGCAAAGATCCACATACGTGATTTTGGTTTCTGTATTTGTTTGTTTTAATTTTCCGTCGTTCCTGATTTCTGTCTGATCTTCTCACCAGGTGACCTATTATCCGGGAGTGTACACAAATGGTGAATGTTGCTTGATGAAGATACAGCACTGTGACTCGCCCGACGACGGGTTCGATTATGACCAGTACGTGCTTCTGTTGTCGCAACACGACTCCAACGAAAAGATTAAATTCTCCGTCGAAATATTCGTCGAAGATGAGGACCCCTCAGATGCAGTAAACTTCGACATTATCCCTGATGTCCCGCGAGCCTTCTCACAGACACTCAAAAGAGAGGTACTAGAAGTTGTACAAGGGACTGATTTTTTCCTGTCCTTCATTGAGCCATTCAATTTTTCAGAGAAGTGAGAATAAGTGCCAGAATTTGACATCTCCTGGACAACTTCGACTGCAACATTAAATGCAATTTGATTTTCTTTCCCACTTCTACAGCTTTGGCCTTTGGACTGTGGATGCATGAACGATAAACAACGATATCTGGGTAACCCGAGCTTTTTGTTTCAAGCGGAGGGCGATCAGAGCACGGACATGATGTTTGTGCTCTTGTCTTTGGGCAACAGTCTCAACATCCGGATCTGGGAGGAGACACCGCAAACGGCTTACTTTTTCCGCGAGCTTTTCGAATACCATTCGCGAGGTGGAGCCTCCGGGAGCCAACGCAATAGCGGCATTGGAAGCGGAAACAGCCCTGCTGGAAGCGGTTATTCTGCCTCGCGTCAGAGCGGTAGCTCCAAGACGAAGCTGTCACCTCAGTTTTTCGACATTCTGGCGGAAAGCTGTGTCGGCAACAGCGGTCCCTACCGTCATTCCTGCTGCACCTATGGCCTGAAAAACATGAAGCCAGGCGTCAAATACCTCTGCATCGTCTCAACGTTTAAAGCGCTGCAGGCCAATGAGCAGCTAGAATATGACCTGGAGATCTGCTCCACAACTAACCCACATGTTAGTATTCGACAGTTGGCCGGCTTCTCCAAGAAGCCACGGGCCCCCATTTTCGGCGGGATAATGTCATAACCTAAGGGGACACTTTTCTGTTTGAAAGTGCTCTACTTTGAAGCGCGCATCATTCATGAATTTTTTCAACAGAGATCATTAATTTCCGTGATAAACGTCTAGTGATTGAGACATCGATTGTTAAGCAAATCAAACTACTTACGTACAAAGCTACAAAAGGATTGATATGTCAGAATTATTCGTTCTATTATTGCCACATTCACGAAGGAACAAGCAGAAGCAGAAAAAAGAGGAACCATAATCATCGTAAGAACATGTTGCGCGAGTAGTGCAAGGTCAGGGCGACGGGGATCTGGAGTCTACTCTTGTATCTAAAATGATTTGTGTTGGATTTTGTATCTATCTTAGTTTTCCTCTTCTGGAACTTGGTGGTTGATGTAATACTTCCCAGCTTACTGTATGGATCAATGTACATCGTAATTGGGTGCGATGACAACCGTAATGCAAACATGTTGTAAAAATCGTTTCTCTGTCTATTATTTCTCTTTTGGTCAGATTGGTGGAGAAGATATCGCCAACACGACATGCAACATTATGAACATCATCCTACAGTGTTAGGTCTACTATCTAACTATGGTATAATATCTTCACTAGTGCATGAAAATGAATACCAACTGATTATTTGTTTGATGCAAGAAAAAAGGAAAGGGACATGAAGTGGCGAGAACAGAACCGACAGGGCATATCTGCACAGATTTTTCGTAGTGAATCAATGACTTTGTCTGAGATGTGGTGTCCATGTCTTCATATGTGCATTGTGGTTTCTAATGTGAATGATAAACTTACGCGTAGCATAAGTGATGTCATCAAAAAACCACAGGGCTTGTGTACAAAGATTGGAAACCAGTAATCTTAGATGAGATCATTTTGGACACCTATTTAGGAAGAAATGTCATTTACTAAATAATCTTCATTTTAATCCGCCTTCTCGAGTCAGTGTAAAATAGTATCTCGACATCGTGCATAGTTAGTTCAGCCCTTGCGGCGTCGCGTACCACCTGCTTAGTGAAGCAACGCGGTGCCGAAGGTCCTGTATTAAGATTGTGCTTCTTCCCGCCCTCATCGGAATCGATCCTCGAGCCCCACGCACCCATCCCCAACAGCCCTATTGCCATGGAATTGTCTATCCTTGCACCAAAATTAATTCCAGCATCGAAAATTTACCATTAACAAGCCTCGATACGTCACACCAGCTGGCGCATTGCCCTCGCAACCTGCATCGCGGCTTCTATGCTTGATTCATGTCTGAATTATAAATGTTTGTTTAGACAGGAATTATCGACCAAAATTAAAATGAAAATACATTGACATGATGAAGACGTTTGCGATCGTCTTCGTCAGTCCATTGTACCCTTCTTCGCGTTCCCATTGATGCCTGGTACAGATGAATGTATTGAATTATTTGTCTTGATGAGTCATGGGCCATGACTCATGGTATACCTACTTGAGCTTTACGATGCATTTATATATTCGCGAATTGATGCAAATTCATGCCTATGACGGCTCAACGTCGGGCGGGTGACCTCGCCGCGACTGTCCCATGCATGGCAAAAGCAGTCCACAACTCCAAAGCAAAAGGCATTGACGAAATTCAAATCTTAATCTCTCTTAGGCTTTGGGCTTTATTCAGAAGATGTAAAGACAATACGAAAAAAGAAGAACAATTTAACTTTTACGAAGCCTACATTCTACGTATCAAACAATCTAAGTATCTAGAAAAATATTAACACCTACTAGTTAATAGTAAATAAATATGAAGAGACCGTGTGTGTTCTTTGAAAACAGCATTCCCCCGACGGCTTTGCGGTTTGAGTACATGTTTGCACTATCGGTGGTGCCAGAGGTTTAGAGAACCAGTCTGAGAAAAATTCTGAGAGATTATACTGAAAGAACAACATACGAGATGCTGCATCTTCCTACTTACAAGGCAATGTCGTTGAGTTTCTTTTACTTAACGAGTCTGTACTAGGACTTGCGATAGTGCAGTATTTCGCACTTAGGCTTTATCATCTTTAGTAAAGGATTGTGCAACGATGTCTGTGCCGTTAGAGCGATGAATGAGGTTCGTTGGTCACCATGGGATGTGGCAATTTCCTGGCCGGTGCATGCATTCTGCCTCCGCATGGGCCAGTAGTTTTTGGAACGCATACGTTTTATTTTTCCGCACATGCAGTCGTAACTGAAAGGCCACACGACGAACATCAACTTCCGATTTCTTAGAGGCTGATTCCGCTATGGTCGTGGTCAAATGACATTCACGATTCTGCTTCTGCGGAGAAACCAGATGAAAAAAACTCGCTCATTGTAGAATTCAATTCTGGCGCAGCACCAGCGAGATGTCGCTACGGTTCACCTTGTTTTGTCTGCTTCAGCTAGCATGCCTTTGGTCCGTTCTCCTCGCGCAGTTCGCTCCTCCAGTTGGAGACAGTGCGAAGATAATCGAGTCGCCGCATCTCGAATTTCCGGACTACGATTGTCTCACTGTGCCGCCATCACGGGGACTAGAAGGCCGGCGTTGGTCGGACTGGCTCATAGACTTAAGAATGGTATCTCACGAATACGCTGTTATCTAGGGAGGTAACTCGTATGCCAATTATATATAATTGTGAAATCGGGGTTGCTATTTGAAACTCTGTAGATCATATGGACCTTCACAAGATCTACAACGAAGCGGCAAAGCAACGGCAGGGCCAACATGATAAAAATGTCTACTACTAACACACGTAAAGACTCTAATACAAATCTTTGAGGGGCGACCCGCGAGAGAGTGGATTACTGCGTCCAACAAGTACCTTGCCGCGATCGACCGGTTGGACTATGAGGGTTGGCAAGAACTGCGACACGAGTGTCCCTACGGGTTCGCAACTTTTCTGAGCATCTATCTGATGCAATGTATGTTGCAGCACCGAAACCAGTTTCACGCCGTGTATGAGGCGTTGAAGACCGTGGACCTGCAAACCATGATTGTAGACCTGCCTGAGAACACCGCTCAACATTCATCACAGGAGTCACCAGAGGGAATAACTTCATCAAGATCGACCACAAAGGATGATATTCGCGCTCAGCATGCAGAGGCCTTGAACGCCGAGTACAGCTGTTATGGAAGTTTCATGACTGGAAATTTCTTCAAAGACATTTTGACGGAGCACCCGCCGCGAATTCTACTTGGCACTCGCTGGCCCGTCCTCACCGCATTGTCAGCACGCAATCTGTTCAATTCCTTGCTGGGACACAATTTTTGGGCTGATCGCAAGAAGAACTGCCTAGACCTGCCGGTGGAAGAGCAAACGGCGGACTGGCGCAAGCTTCAACGTGCATTTTGGCGTCATGACGAGGTGCATCATCCACATACTGGTGAGGTCGTCGATTATGTGCTCAGCGGCTCAGGGGGGCTGGAAAGCCGGAAGCCTGACCCCGACTGGTACCTGCCCAGTTTGCGCTTCGTTTTTCACAGCAAGCTGAAGAATGGTGCCGGCTACGAGGAGTGTCCCTTAGGCTTCTTTCTGGTCGAGGTGCTGCGCGCTTTCATCGCGATGACTACTGAGAGCCGCTTTTTCCTCTTGAACGAGCCGACCATGCTCGAACTCTTTCGCACACACGAACCCGGGGACTGGCTCTTTGCCAGGTGGCCATTCACTATGATGTTGTCGCACATCCGACAAAGCACAAGACACAAGTTCAAGTTCGATTTTAACTCGCGGGAATTTGTAGAATCGATTGATTTTGGCGCGTGGCCATCATCATCCACCGTTCGCGAAACAGATTTATACTCGGTAGACCCTCGAAAAAAGCGAAAGCCTCGAGATGTTGTAGACAGAAGTGGTCCGATGGGAATAGCTAAAACTAGTGCCCCGACGCGGTCGGTGGACTACGCGCGTTCACTCCCACCTTCATCGTTCGATGTTTCATCAGAAGCGTCTGCAGAACTCGAGAAAGCGAGAGGAGATCAAATTGAAGCAACATCAGCATCAAGAAAACTTGATGTGCCAATACGAGCACAGACTCAGACGGACAAGTACCAGGCCATAGTACCAGAAAGCTTGAGCACAACGGGTCGATTGAAATTTTTAGCGCTTCACGGCTCTGAACTGCACCGCAATGTAGCAGAGGTACTAGCGCAGATGCCTGACATTTGGCGTGGTGGCCAAAGCATCGAATTCGAACCACAAACGGGGGAGGATGAGGAACTTGGTCATGCGTCAATTCTACTTGACAACGGAGAGTTGCCGGCAAATCACCCGGGACGTCGCGGCCCCCAGGTCTTTCCTTCACCAGGATTTGCTTTCACGACCATGGTGTATGGGAAAACGTTTAGGTCGTATTTGAAGGCTTTCTTGAAACGTTGGCACACCGTGACTGGGGGTCTGCGCAACATGGTAGTGTTCACGCTTGGCGACGACGAGTGCTACACCCTTTGCCGGCGAACAGGCGCAGCGGGTTGCGTGCGCGGTGGAACGCCGGGCATCATGCAAAAGTTCACGATCCCTTGGGTACTCGCTTTACACGGCGTGGACAGCGTGTGGGTGGACTTCGACGTTTATCCGGTCCAAGATCCAACTTACTATATCTTAGAGCACCAGAATCGGCTGATGCACGCGGACCAGGAGCCGGACGCGGATGCTGTCACTGCGAGCGGTATCTTTACGCCGCGCTTCTCACAGAACCCAGGCGGCTACGAGATTCTCATCAGCGGCTCTTTCGCCTCGCATTGCATCTGCAGTGGCATCGTCTACTTCAAGGCAACGCGCAACGTGGTGGCGTGGCTCGTAGACGTCCTCAGCTGGATGTACGAGCACCCCTACGAGCACGACCAAAAGTGTTTCTCCGCATATCTGAATTTTACGGAGCCGATTACGATGAAATGGTGGCAGCTTCCGCGCAGCGGGCCGCTTCCACGGTGGAGCACGCTGGATCCGCGGGAGCATTTCATCACGGCGGCCGTGGTCGAGGGTAACGGATGGATGGCATCAAGTTGGCGCCAGATCGTCCTCTTCCATTTTCTCCACGGCGACTCGGACAAGGGCAGCGGTCTCGACTTCAGCGGGGCGTGGCTGCAGGACAGTGACGTGTACGCGAAAATGATCAACTCGACCGCGCCGGACCAACAAGTAGAGAATGCTGAACTTAATAACACAGAGAGACAACAGCCTCCATCATCTGAATCGGACACTGTAGATGAGGGACAGGAGCATGCGGATACGCCACTCGCAAAAAATGTAACCCTTATGGAACGTTTTTACGGAGCAAAAGCCAGCACGGCGACTCGCATCGATGCGTTGGAACTTTCTAGACAACTTGAGAGGAAAACGGTTCTCGACGGCCTCACCTGCGGCGTCATTGCTTATCCGCTTAACGACCTCACAGGAAAAAAAAACTCGAAAATGGATGCGAGCGCATTCCCGAGATGAACAACTAATGAAGATCAACGTCAGATAAATCACGACGCACACAAATTATGAGCAAAATTGATTTAAGAATTCCGCTATTTCATTTTTCATCGAACTGTCATGGTCATCGAAAATACATTTTTCTGTTCTTGGCCCTTGTCTACATAGCCGGACGTTTCAACTCAGATGTCATCACTCTCCTCGGTACATCAGGAGTTTTTATTTGACAAATAACGATTTGTGTTTGTTGAGCAGCTACTAACAGCTTGATCATCACATTGGAACCGATGAATCACGACGCGGCAAACAATATGCTCTGGTTGAAGCTGAGGTGTCTTTACAAGACTCTAGGGTTCACATGGCGACATCTTCATCGAAAGTTTTTCGAGAGCAGACGACTGGAAGTAGAAACTTCGACCAAAAGAGGCAGAAAACTGGTGAGAGAGGGGCCTTTCCCTACAGCAACCAATGAATTCCCCAACAGCGTATAAGCTAGTCCATACTCTGAGACAGAGACTCAGAGTCAAGCCCCCACAAGAAATCGTATCTAGAAAATACAAGCTTATATGCTGTTGAGAGGTCCATAGTACTGTATCAGCATCAGGTTGTCCCGGAGCGACAGAGTGCCCGAGTGACGCTGTCTGTAGGAGCTTCATGGGGGGAGAGAAATGGGCGTTGCTTCACGGGGTCTAATGAATGTGAGAATATCTGTTATCCACCTTCGCATGATTCAAATACTCCCTTAAAGGTTTTAATAAATGAAAGAAAACAAAATGATTTGTCTTTTGGAATCGCGTCTCTTGCAATTTTGACTTCCTTTTTTGGTCCATCTCCCAGTCTGGGATTTTAAATTTTTTCAATATCATCGAGTGTTTTTAGATCAGCAGCTGCGCTGCAACTACCGGAACTCTCGTCAAAGATAGTTTAGTAAGTAAAGTAGAAGTCATTCACGATTTTTTTTGAAGTGCACGAACACGATGCCGTCTGCGGTCGAAAAGAATTCCTATTTGATCGTCCCCTCGGACATCACTCTGCTCGAAAACAAGGCCGCGATCGGCCGGAAGTCGCTGGGGTTCTTCGAGTTTCTCGGACTTGCAAGTATTTCCTTATAAGCATCCAAATTCTTGCTCTGGCATCTAGCATCAGGATGCTGGATAATGCAGTTCTAGAAAGAAGGTAAGCCTGCTATATTACAGTCTATTTTAAAGAACAACTTCAACTTTGTTTCGGTTGAGTCAAATATATAAGGACAATCTTCCAAGCTACTAGCTATAATATGATGTCGTGCATACTGCTACTGGCATGTGATACAACATCAATCTACCAGCGACGTTTCCGATGTATCATAATTCTTATTCGAAACTGGATGCGGCCGAAAAGCGAGCTGTTCTCTCGAAAGACTACGATTTTCAATCCGCGAACCCAGAGGTCGAAGTATGCCGAGTGCGGCAAATGGCCGTCAGCAGAGAGGTAAGCAATTACTAACGTAGTAGATATGCCTAGTAAAGTTTGAGACCCTCTATGCTGAAAATCATATTGTGCCCTTGACGACTGGTTTCCTGCAAAAAATTCTACATCCTTGTTCTTGCTCATCGTTGAACAAGAAAACATCAGCGCGACGGCAGTTGTCGTGAGTTTCCCATAACAACTAACTGAAGAAGACATTGACATTGTTTTTCGCACGCGTATTAATCTGATCACAGGTAAAGTCGCACCTGGGTTGGTGGGCAGGTTGTCTTGGTTTTGGCGCCACCACTTTTTGGAGCGTGCGCAAGTACAACTGGCAGGCAAAGTGCATGTGCGTGCCTTTCATGGCCTACGCAGGTACTCTTGCACGTCCTTTGTACAGATGCCATTTTTACTAATGCTCAGCCTGAATAGCTTAGGCTCATGCATCTTGGACTTGATTTAGCATCCATGCAGCTTTTTTCATTTACATCAAAAATCGTGTAGGAACGGATAGACAAAGAGAATTGCATTGATAGGTTCATGGGTCGGTCGGTTTGCGGGTGATGTAATTACAGGCCGAAACGCAGAAACCTACAGGGATCGATTCCTCGCTAATCTTCCAGCGAAGATGTATTACACGCCTCCGTCCGAAATGTGAGGCTACAACGCGGAAAAAGCTGTATTTTTACAAGGCCGGAGCAGCAGGAGCCTTACTTTTTCAGATAATTGCGTCAACTTCAACATAGATAGACAACTTAATGAAGGAGTACTAGCTTGTGCTGGTGTCTTCGGTGGAACATCATGGAAGAAGCGTAGAGGAGATCTTCTTATTTTTGATAGTTGTTATCTCAATAAAAAACAACGCTCTTCCATCATTTTCGCGCCACCCGCATTGAATCCTCGATTTTCCGATCGTACGATGCCAGATTTCTCAATGTCGTTTGATCATTTTTACGCATAAAGATCGGCTGTCGAGTCCTACCGCTTTTTCCAGCTATCGGTCCGACTCAATGATCATATGAAAGAAGTGTTTGATAGGTTCTGTCCAGTCGTATCTTCAGAACTGGTAACCATATCCATGAAGATGCGGCTACAGATCTAAAGTGGATTGGTTCCCTTATTGTTGGTCGCAAACCTACAAATAGCATCCTCGCTCTTCATCTAGCAGAATCCATCAGTCGCTATAGCCATGTTGTTGATCGGACGACAGGACGCGAGCAAACCGAGATAACACAGAGGTTCTTAAGGAGGGGTCACATTGATGCTGCTGTCTCGAGAGCACGATCCTTAGAGTTGCATCATTTTTAAACGCTAGAAACGAAAATGACATGAGATCCGAATAGATCTTTGTGTCTCCTTAGCAACTGACAGAGTTCATGATGAAGGATCGATCATTTGTGATCAACTGAATAACTTGAAGATACACGACAGACTAGCAGGCCTATCTAATCTATCGGCCAAAAAAAGACAGCTCGATCCAAGAAACTGCGATGAAGATCATTTTTTTTTCACAATCAGAACAGACAAAGAGAAAAAGGTCTGTATCATGAATCGAGTCTTTTTATGCACGTGGGCAAATATTAAGTGAACTTGCCATTCATATATCCTATCGTACCGATCTGAGATTTTCCATTATGGTTTCTTCTTTAGTTTCTCGACGATGATCCCAGAAACAGTTGCATTGATTAAGGCGGCTTGTAAGCATTGTCTCGTCGACGATCGATCTATTGATTCAATGTTACTTTCGTACCAGTGCTAAGAGGTGTTCGTGTTGCCACTGCTAAGCGTACACTAATCGGATTTAGATATTTTTGTAGGAACAACTCCTGAATATTGATGAAGCAGAAAGGATGGCGGAAGCAATCGAGCTTGCAGCCGAAGGCTGGGTCGGAGCCCTACATGAATTGCTTGAGTGGGGCGTCTTTTCGGAGAAGGAAGTCGCAAAGATCGTGAATACTCGCAAAGATCACGAGTACAAGATGGCGTCGCTCATTCGACAAGGCAAGAAAAAGCGAACGCCTGCATTTGGCTTGGGTACTACAATTACTACTACTTCAACGACTGGTTCATCAGCATCCTCGTCCACTGCATCTGCCGGTGCGGCTGGTAACGCTGACACGTCAGCCGCGGTTGAGGGTGGAGCGGCCGTGAAGTCTTCACAAGCATCCATGTTAGATGCTTACGGACGTGCGTGCTTGACTGCCATTCAGTACGAAATCGCGCTGGACCTCCTGCGACAAGAGCGCATGACGGAGCTCCAACTCCCGGTGCAAAAGACGACGGAGAGCAGCCTCAGTGGGATGCGTCGCATTACTGTGCTGTTTCGTCGCTTGTGCAACCGCACCCCGGCTGACATAAAAGCGTGGTTGCAGTTCGCGGACTTCTTGCTACGAAGCGGACAGACGAAACAGCTGAAGGAGGTTGTGTTCCAGGCGCTGCGACACCACAGCCGTAACACTCAACTATGGCTCCTAGCCGCCCGGCGGGAAGCCGAGGAGGGCAACCGACATGCTACCCGAAACCTCTTTTTGCGCAGTCTGCGTTTTCTCCCAGCCGACCTGGGCGTGCTGCGCGAGTACTTCAAGTGGGAACTCAAGGGAGCGCGCAGTTTGATTGAGCGCAGTCTCGTCACCGAGCTGCGACCAGGTGGAAGTGCGTCGAACTGCGCATATACGACAGAAGACTTTGCGAATGCCGCAAGACTGCTGTTGCCAACGAGTGCTGTCTTGCGCGGTGGTATTCGCCGCAATCGCGCGCTCGCAGCGGCCGCGATTCCATTCTTAGAAGCCTGCGGTGAGCTCATTTGTATTCCTGCAGCGAAGAACGTCTTTGCCGAAATCACTACGGAGGATCAGGCATCTTTCGATCGTTCACAGAATGATACTGGCTCGACAAAGTCAGCTGCGCAGAACTTTGTCGACCGATGGATGGAGTGGGAACGAGAATACGATACTGCCCTAGGAGGGGCTAAGCCTGCTACAGCCGCCTCCTCTAGACAAAAAGACCTTACTTCTGATGCAACGACGGAACCCGAAACTCCATCCTGCTACTTCCCGACCGACGAGGCAGGCCCAGACGAGAAGGCACAACTTGCGAGCACGGAAACTGATCAACAAAAACTGATGGGCGAAGATGACGTTACTGATAATGACGACGAAGAAGAGGATTCAGATGAGGAAGAGGAAACAGAGGACGATGATAGTGAAGACGATGAAGACATCCAGTTGCGGCCAATCCAATTTGGGTCTACAAATGAATCCATAGCGGACAAAAAGAAATCTTTCTATGAATCAAAGGCTGACAAAAAAGAAGGGTCAAACGCGTCTGACGACGAAGAGGGTGAGATTTCTGACGAGGAGGAGGAGGAAGACTCTGTTGACGAAGGCAGCGACTTGGCAGATGAAAATGAAGGCGGTCTAAGCAACTCCGTGGAATCTAAACGACGCAAGGTAGAAGTACCATGAAGACACCTTCAAGGCCTTCGAGTTCGACGTCAAAGATTGAATTTCGTTTTTCTTATTCACACACTAATGCATCCCGAAGAACCAGACCGCTTTCGTTTTTTGTACTAGCGATTCACAATTGACTATCGATCCCAAAACGATCCGATAAATCAGTCTGACCCTTGTAGTAGCGTGTTCCCCGATGGCATTTAACGGCGATGGAGTTTGTTGCAGTCATCGTTGAAGCACATTATAATTGGTGTTCACTGCTGGTGGAGTTGAGAAAAAGTGAGTCTACTTTGTTGCCCTTGTAATTCGTAACTGCTCTGTCATCTTTCACCCGGATTCTACGACAGACCGTAACTGTATCAAGATTACCGCCGGAGAGGTTCTCATTGAAACGAGCGTAACAGAAGAGGTTGACAAAGATCTATGATACATAGATAAGAAGGACAGTCACAGGATCTACTTTCTCAACGACTGTCATCGCAGTCTACGATCATCGAAAGATCCTGTGGATGCTTACCCCCTCAACACCCTTCCCACTTTAAGATTTTTATTTTACACTCTTGTATTTTGAGGTTTGTGTTGCCGAAGCCCGGCGGATAAGATTGTGCTAAGAATAGAAAGAAATAGCTCAAGACAGCTAGATATATTGCCCTTTTTCTTTTCATCCTCATCGTCTGCTGCATTTGCAAGTAGTGCTTCGCTTTTTGAAGATTTCTGGTATGGCGGTACAGCATGATATCATCATACATAGTTCATTAATTCCAGCTTGTGGAAGAAAATAGACACAAACTCTCTCAAGTATGATCCTCCTGGACAAGATAACTGTGCTCGTTGATGAATTTGAATAGAGGAAGCAAACTAACGTATGAACAAGTAAACTTAGAAATACATAGCAGTCACAATGTCGCTGCAACAAGGTCATCAAAAGACTGACCCGAGTCCGCTAGACATGCCCAGTGGGGGCGTCGCCGTTGTCGTTGAGGACACGGGCTGCTGAAGTGATGAGCATTCCACTGAGGGCAACAGTGGAGAGGAGGAAGCGACCTCGTCTTCGGCAGCGGAAGGTGAAGGATCACCAAGAAATCCAGAAAAAGGGAGTGGAAAAAATGCGACACAAAATTTGGCAAGAACTCAACGAAGACACAAGAGAGATAAGAAGGATTTTAAGATAATGGGCCGATCGGGCACATCAATATGTGGTCATTTGTGCGCTCTGCTGAACCTCTTGATAACCTTGCCTGCGTTGGTGGGCACCTGATGCTGGCCTCTAGTCTTTGCGTGGCTACTGAGCGTTCCTTGGTACGATGTAGACGCAGGCTTGCAAGAAATCTTTTACGCCCTCGAACTTATGTGGACGGCTGTTATGGTACCTGCAACTTGGATTAGATGGAAAGTTGATGAGGTAACACAAGCTCAATAAAAGATACCGTTTTCATCCCGTTGGCTGAGAGGGGGTCCATGTAAGTAACTGATTTTTAAAATGATGAACATGCAAGGAATTTTTAGAAGCCGCTGCTACCGTATGCTCCAGATTCCTGATGTGGTTCTTGCATGCAACTTGCTTAGATGCAATGAATTATCCACCCTGCAATTACAGGTAACAAATGCCTTTCAATATTCTGTCTGGAAAACGTGGTCAAAACCAGTGGAAAAACGGGACTGGCGCGCGATGGCTGCGATTAGCGCTGCTGTGCCTTTATCTCTGGTCTTCCCCATGGCGATCGTATTTGTCTACGTGGGCAAGGTCAGCTGGCCCGAGAGTAAGTTACGGTTGGAATATCTGGATCGATTTTATCGTGAATGACCAAATAAGAACAACTCTTTTGGCAGCCAGTGGCACCGTAGAACGTAATTGTAGGTCTTGCTATTCTTGAATTAGATCATATAAATTCTTTCATTTGCGATTCACGATTCGGTCGTCTCAATCCTACATCATACAACAGGAGCATGAGTAAAAAATTCCAAACGACTAGGAGGGAACAACTACCATAGAGTTGGAACTTCTTCTTGTTTCTCTAAGAACGATGTGGGAAGATGGATCGTGGATACCCAATATCGGATGGGCTATTTTTCTGTGGGTTCTCCGCTACTTAGGCTTTATTCTCCTTGGCTGGGGAATTTTGCGAGTCACGGGCCTCGGAAAACGCATTAGTAAGAAATGGGCAGAATTGATCCGTGAGACAAGGGGTGAACAGCCTGGAGAAGATCAATATGTTGCTGATCAAGAAGGGGAGAAGGAACAAGGACGAGGAGATCTCCAGCATCAACAAGGAAGGCAGGAGGTTGAAGAACAGATTATAGCGAACGACAGATCAGACGAAGAAAATGGACCAACTAAACTTCGCAACATCGTGGAGGATTCGCATTCCGCAATACACCCCGCGCTAGTCCTTGCATAGTATTTCCTCGCCTTTTATTATAAGTACGTGTGCAGAGAGGCACATCAATTCCGCTTTCTACTGTCCTTGACGCCAGTAATAGCGATCTACATGCATGAAGCTGAAATCATCGCAGCATAAAATGAGCACGGTTAGCGGGTAACCAAATCTATTCGTGTTACTTAGTAATTAGTTCAAGTTGTTTTGGTTGAAACAAATGAGAGACAACACGACGTTCAATGAAATCCGAATTCGTAATTTCCGAGAAGCGTATTGAGCAGAGTGATTAGCGGGCTTTGCCAGCCGTGCTATGATTTTCATCCGGAGTAAAATTTCTCGACCTCAAGGTTTCGTTATTCGCGGTTAAGTAACTGTATGTCGTGTGATTGTCCTCCTTTATGCACAGGCTTGTCTAGTTTTGGACTTGGGGTCGAAGTGTACTCCATCATGACGGAACCTACGTAGGTGGATAAAGAAAACAATCCTCAGTTGTAGAATACTTAAACCGATGAAAGCCTTAATACAGAGGCCCGTCGGCTCGAAACATCTCGCGTCGATCTAAATCAAAGAAGGATGTTCTTCTATCAGTTCTGATTTTGCTTTCGTAGTCCGCCTTCCGCAGCTGCACTCACTCGCTGTAGCCCGTCGGTATCATGTTCATCGAGTTGACTCCTCATCCAAACAGAGTTGAGCGAAGTAGACTGACGAAAAGAGGAACGTAGCGTGAGAGAAAAGATCTACATTGATTTCTGTATCATCAAGAGGACACCAATAAAAAAATATTCATCCAAGCATTACTATTCCAGTCTAAGTAATGTCCTTCGGTAAATCATGCGCTTGCGCAGTCGGCTACCAGCACCTTGTGGCGACCTCAGTCGGTTGGAACCTGCAGTGTGGGCCCCTCTCTGTCTCTCCCCGTGATTGCATGAGACGGCAATTCAAAGCCAGAACACAAAACGCTATGTATTGAGTACTACAGATCGTAATCAACGAACCCCGTAGTTGCTCTATTTTCTTATGGTAGCAGGGAGCTCCAGCTTTCTGTGTAGTATCAGTCATGTAGATGTAGGAGTACTCTTATTGGATAACTTAGGTCCTTCTTGCTAAAGACAGACGCTCTAAGGATTCTTGGAGACGGTGAAGACGATTAATGATCCCAGATCCTTCTATCCATTGTCGTTGTCATTTCACGACCTTGTGCTGTTCTTCAAGTGTAGTTACAAATTGAAGATTAACGACTCGTCCGAGAACGAAAATGGTGGTGGTAACTCGGACTTCTGGCTCGCCTGGTTCTCCACCACGGAAGCTACGAGAGGGCATCAACGCACAACTGGCGGGTCTGTTGGAGCGATATGCACAGATCCGAACTGGTCTCGCGAGATCTAAGCATGGCGCGGAGATGCTGGAAAAGGTGAAGGATCCCTTCGACGTGTCCGATATACCTGTGACTCAGCTGACGCGCTTCTACGAGCACTACACAAAGTTCGGCGCGCCGGACGGTCCACCGGATTTGGACCGCCGCTACATCGAGTCAGCCATGCAGCTGTTTCGCTTGTCCACCGCTGGAGGCGAGGCCCTCGATTCTGAGCTGTTGTCCTACATGCGAGAGGACAGCAAGGAGCGAATAAAGAGCAGCAAGAGTACTGGACAAGTCAGTGGGAACGACTTGTGGGCTCGCCGCGAGCAGCTACACGGCGGAGGCACAGTGTCCCGGGAGCAGTCGGCAGATCCAGACTCACGGCGAGGAAGCAGAACCAACTCGCCTGACCCGAACGATCGTTATGCCTAGGTAGAAGTAGATTATCTACGAGGCGTGTCGTTGCCTGTCAATGATTCATTACAACGAAACTCCAGCTACTGCTTTTCTGAATAGATACTTGGAATTGAAACACAGAACTTCTAGGAGGTCTAACACGCAGTAGATACTGCGATTTCTTCGCCGACGACTCATCTGGAGGGCATTTTGGAGGAAGCAAAGCCTGGTGTGGACGTGGAGGCCTCCGACGGAGAGGGTCTATTTCAACAGCGTCAGAGCCGCGTAGCCGTCAGAGCGAGTATGCGACAGGCGGCTCGTAGCAGTAGAGGCTCAGGAGCAGCCTCGACATCGAGCTCGGGAGCAGTCGTGGCACGTCAATCAACGAACTCACCAGGATCATCCTCGGTGGGATCGCCCAAAGACGCGCTCATGAGCTCGCTGCAGCGGCAGGCCCTACAGGAGCGACGGCAAGTCTTACAGGCGAAGCAGATAGCGGTCGCGGTATCAACCAACTCACCGATAGGGCAGTCACGCGTCGGCACGTCACTGGCAGCGTCAGCCCGGCAAAAGAGCAGGCTTCTTCTCGGCGGAAAGTCGAGCAGTATCAGGCAGTCAACATCGGACGAAAAAGACTTTCGGATGCAGCCACAGAGTAAAGCACGAACGAAGAAGAAACCTATAGGCGAAGGTATAGCCAACCAATGACTCTACTTCAACAATGTAATGAATATCAGTTGTGCAGCGCCCAAAGAAGGATCACTTCGATTTTCTTATTTGTTAGGGTTCTACAACTGGTACTGGAATTATAAATCAGGTGAGTCGGCACCAGTAGAAGCCACGTCGCCCGATTCCGCTGCGGGTTCGATGGCAGCTCTGCCCTCGCCCACCGACGCAGACGCCCTGGAAATGTCAGCGAAAGAGTATTGGACAGCAATGTCTCAGGCTCTCGAACAAGCTTCCATCGCAACAAAGAAGAGCAAAGCAGTGTACTACGATTTTCAATTTATTCGGGAAGAATTTCTACGAACTTTGAGAGTGCTGTTGTATAGGAGGTGTGAGATCTAGCGAGTATAGATGCTACACATTTCAATCTGGTTCATCAGCATGACAATAAAAAGTCGTGAACACTGAAATGAAGTGTTAGGTGTAGAAGATTTATCATGCCTACGTACATGCAAACAACTGTAGGTCCGACATGGTGAACGCGTTGCAGTGCGAGTTCACCGTCGCGGATCCGGAACAACAAGAAATAAGCAGTCAATGTGATTTGCGGCCGATACAAGAGGGTCCCTTTCTGTACCTGTTCGATGTCGCGATCGATGAAGTGCAGTGGCGCGTTCTAAAAGTCGACGCAGGAACCGATGAGGACGACTCCGCCAGTGCTAGTTCCTCTGGTGGAGGCAAGCAAGTGAAGTCGAACATGGTTGCGGGCGTAAATAGTGTGCAACTGCAGCCCTTTATGGGAGACTATATGACCCAAGTACACGTGAGCGCAAAGCCTCGCACCGATGCGACTGCGGACATGCTGCGCGAACGAGACCTTCTGTTTCCAGCAAGCCCGGACGGTAGGGGCTTTGCAAAGTCGCCAGGCAGCGACTACGGTGTGCAGTTGCAAAAACACATGCCGCGATGCCAGATATTCGAGACTCACGAGTCTCACTCGCGGGCGCCATCACTCACTGTTATAGATGCGAAAACCTTCTACATCTCGCAATCCTGTTGGCTCCGCACGGAACATTTTATGAAAGGAGCGAACTACTTCTAGTCTGAGACTGGATTTACAAGTTTTAGCGAATACAAGTACCTTGTCAAAAAAGCAGCAAGAAGTAGGCGTAACGCTCTAATTGTGTTAGTTTAGTCGAAGAGTGAAGTTCAAGTTGTTCTTCGCGGAGAGAAATCAATGTCGCTTCTGGCTGTTACTTATTGATATGCCTCTTGTAGAAATAGACTCTTGATGTAGTAGTTTAACATAGGATGCAGCGAGTGCGAGTACAATGTTGATGGTCCCCTTTCATTTTTCCTGGCGGCAATGGCGGGGCTGCTGCGTCTCATGAAGACGACATGATTGGTGGCGTCCGGTTGTATTTTGAGGCATTTCCAGTGATGCAAAGGGGAGGAACAAAAACAATAAAGATTCGGCCTGCGCGCCTCTCCCTCAAGGTTTGGCGACCGGAAAGACCCAAGTCAACTACGGTCGATTTTCTGGTTGTCGTTGCCCGCATGATACGCGAGGTGGAACATATTGCAGAACTACACGACGAACTACACGATGATGTAACGGGTTAACTTCTCCTCCAAGAAATGAGTTTATCAAAAGCGCAATATGCAGCGCAAAAATCTCAATTTCGTGCTCTTGATCTCACGCTGAAACGTCATCTCACATTGGTTTGCGCATGCGCGCAACAGCGCATGTTGGCAAGCTTAGAAGAGCACGTTGATCTCCATCTACTGCTACAACTTCTGTCTTAAATACAACGTGAGTTTGGCTCGTTGACTGCTTGTTGAAGCTGAATTAGACGGCTCGGTCCTTTGAACATCTACATTCTATTTCCTTCTGAGCGCGTAGACGTACTCGACTAATGGTCGATGCATTCTATGGATTACTCTACTTGGCCAGGGAGGTTTAGAGATGAAACACTTGACCATGACGGACCATGATAAAATAGCCTCGATCTGTTCTACAGGGAAGATCTTCAATGCCCCTTCCTCCCAGAATTATCATCATGTCGCGGAGGTGCTTTATCATTTGCTTGCGGAGCTTGTTCGTAATTTTCACAGCTCCAGTTCGTTGATCGGTGAGAGTTGTTCAGAACAAAATGCATCGGGATCATTCCCGAAAACGGCAAGGCTTGTTTGAGAAGAAACAGCAAACGACGAGCTCGAGTAAGTGCTAAAAGTTGTAAATTCATTGTTTCAACAAATGAAATCGTGAAAGACGGAATTCGATCCTCCAAATAAGGGAGTAGTTCTCAAAGCCACGGGTATCTCAATCATGGAGGAAAGCCGTACGTCTACCAGTATAGGCCTTTTTGAGATCTAAATAATGTATCCCTCCCTTATTTCTCCAAATTTTTCGTGCCACTCAAAATAATAGAAGATGAGAAAAAGTGGCATCTTCAAATATAGTGAGGCCGCGAGCGATAACTAGAAGTAGCCTGCTAGTTTTTGCTACAGTTGGTGGTGAATTTTGGAAGGGAGTCCGTGACACGCAACTAGAAGCAAATATATATTTTTTGAGTTGTATCACGTGTTGACTGAGACTGTCATACAAGGAAAATCCATAAATATCATAGATTTGTAATGCAAAAGATATTAAGCACGAATGGATGATAGGATTCCGCTTGTGGTCGCGGGGTCGGAGCTAATACTTCGATTAGAGTGACTAAGATTTCTGATGACTTGATAATTTTTTTCTCCGATTGATTTCATTACTCTTGCGATGTTGTTCAGCGGCGTTGTGGTAATACCATTCCCAATATGGAGCAAGGAATTTTCCCTGTCTCGTGTATCTGGTAAATTTGAAAAAATGTCTTAGCGGTATAGAAGGAGGATGTGACCATGCGGCTACGGCCGCCCGGCGGGGCGAGCTAGCCATTCTCGTCGACGGGCCGGGTGGACACCACATGCAAAACAAGCCTCTTCTCACACGGACGACGCTAAAACATCACACAAGTTTTCACCTCTTGTCGCAGCCCCAAACATATCTCAAACCTTACACGAATCACCCAGATAACACAGCGAGTGCCGTTCTTAGCGACTCATGCTCTCTAGTAAGTCCCACGGCTGTGTTCTCGGCTTGGAGTAGTTGTGCCTGCCAGAGACGGATCGGGTGTCCACACTGGGGGTACCTTGTCGTCGAAACCATCTTCTACGACATCCACGAGGCAGACGGTCACAGACAAAAGGCATCAGAAAGAGCTGACAAGCATGAACCAGGCGACGCAGCAGGACTCGAGTCCACTGGTGCGCCCTGCACCGCTCGATTGGCGCCGAGTGCTCCAGACGAGCGGAGCTGCCAATAGCGTTGGTGCGGTTGCATGGAGCTCGCGTGACTTGCTTGCAGTCATGACGGATTACGTCGTACAAATCATCGACTTGTCCTCGTTCTTATACGGTGGAGCGCCTATTGTCAAATGTAAAATTCTTGCGGAGGACTACACAGAGCGCCGGAGAAAGAAGGTTGATTTTTATCCATTGAATAGACAGGCACTAACATTAGGTCCAGCGGCGCTCGAAGCACTAAATAAAACAACCGGTTCGTTTTTACCTCTAGCGTGTAGCCCTTCCAACAATGTATCTATAAGAATTCTCCATGAAGATTGCATGCGCATCTTGTCTTTTGATGAAATCTTCTTTTGCTATTCTGTCTTCTCTCGAAGCGTTGTAGGGATGAAATTGCACTTCCTCAGAGATAAATTGCTACTGCTTCCCCGCGACAGGTGCTTACCCACCCGCAGGCGCTACGAGCGAGCGAAGAGCTTGGCAATTGGGGAATGATTTTACATGCGCTTGGCGGTCTACAAAATAAGTCAGCATGGACAGCTGTCTCTTGGGATGAACACGCGCATTTCCCGCCTCCTCGTTCTGCGGTCCACGCATCTGATGAAGCGGACGCCGCGTCGTCTTCAAGTGACGATGATAAGACTGGAAAAAGAGCAAGTAAACAACGCAAGGTGGAACCGAAGAAGCAGTCAGGTCGCGGCGGTGGAGACGAAGGAATAAATGCGGCCGGGGCGGAAAAAAAGAGGCCGTCGACCGCAAAGCGGGCCGTGGGACGGTCGCAGTCGATGGCGCCAGTGCGCGGCGCTGGTGGGCTGAGTAAGGAGACGAGGAGGCGGTCAGCTGCTGTACGTGATAACGCTGATCTACTCCTCTCTGCGAAGAGCTCCAAAACGGTTTCGGCAGGAAAGAAGAAGCAGGACAAGCACGAAAAATTTTCGAACAGACGAACGTCGCTGAGCGAGGACCGAAGCGTGAATATGAGCCAGCGGTTGAGCCTCTGCACGAGTTGTGGCCGCATTTTGGTTTTTGCGATCGTCGAACGCTGGAGGGAAGAATACGAAGCACGGCTCCTGTACGCTGTTGAGAGTCATAAGATCCGGGTGCTGAATCCACAGCCGCAAGTCCGCAGTACCGCTCCAGATGGGACGAAGTGCGCGTTTACTGCTTCACCCACGCGACTGGTGACTTCCTACTTCCAACGAGTCTTGGTGTGGGATTTCTCGCTGCCAGACGCCGCGTCGCCACCCGTGCAGCCCGACCGAGGGCCTCCAAACACGTCGGTTGCTGCGGTCTCGCCGGGGGAAAGCGTGTCCTCGGTCTCACCGGTGACGTCGACCCCGTCAACGCGAGTTGGTGGGCGTGGTACGCCTCGAATAGGAGGAACCCCCAGTCTATCTTCGGAGATATCTATCGCAAGTAAAGAGAACGCTTTCAACCTACCAAAATCGTCGTCGGTCGCTGTGGATGGAAGACTGCGGTCCGTTTTCGCGTCTGAGGGCGACGACGATGGCAACGCTTCCGCTCTGGGTAACGAGCCTCCGCACAATCCCAACGCGGGCGCGCACGTAGCGACGGCGGGTCAGCTCTGCAGCAGTGTGCTCTTTTCTGACGCTGTCACCGCGCTGGCCTATCACGGTGGTACGATAATGATTGGTCTTGCCAACGGCCGCGTGATTTCCTGCAACGAAAACGGAGAAGAGCTTGCCCTTGTTTGGGACCCTCGAAGACAGACCGCTGAGGAGCTGCGAGAACGCGATGCAGCGATGGAGGCGCACATCTGGCAGGCTTTGAACCAGGATAGCGAACCAACGGATGAATCCATCGAGAGGGCCGTTGAGGAAGCTGCTGCACAGGCAGCATCGGAAAGTCTTTCCTTGCGCAAAGAAGCACCAGTACACAAAATTGACTTCGCGTCGCATAATCTGGTTGCTTTTGCCGTTCAGGACTCCGTGATTGTGCTCGCGAGAAAAACGACCTCCGAAATACGCAGTGCAGAGGATGATGAGCAAAAAGCAAACGCTTCGTCTTGGTCGCTGATATTGGAGTATTTGCACTCTGGGTTGATAGCGGCGGTGCACGTGACTCGATCCTTGCTTATCTCCGTGGATACGCGCGGCGCGGCGGTTTTCTTCTCGCTAGATGGGGAATCGCCGCGAAGACTGGGTGGTTTATACCCTGACATCCGAACGAGAATGGCTCCTGGGCCACGAAGCGACGACTTTGCGATGAGGAGCGCTGATCGAGGACATTTTCAGTCAACGATCACCTCAACCCTGAGTCCGATCACGATTGCTAACTCGTCACAAGCTGCGCAAAAATTCATCGAGCAATTGTATTGGCTCCCGTCTGGCTCGGTCGCTGCATCTAATCTTCGTTCGTCAGAGGAAAATAGTTATGATTTCTTCCGTAGGAGACTCTGTTTACTGGAAGCCATTGCCTTGGAAGATCCGACTAGCTTACAACAGCAACAATTTTCATACGCCAATCATGATCGACAGCGATCCCTCCCAACTACTCGTACTAGTTTATCCAGTGTGTTGCCGCCGCGCGCGATTTATCGTGCGGTACCGGAGCCAGCTGAGGCCGTGCCACAGCCCGGTCAGCCACCCTTCTTCAAGCCGAAAATCGAGATGCTTCTGCCGTGTTGTGGATTTGCGATTTCGCCTGGCGGGACGCTTCTCGCTAGTGTGACGACCTCTTCCCCAGAACTTTCGTTAAACTATCGCCGTCTCCAGAGCAGCTTTGGCACACACACGGAAGCCTGGATTGTGGGTGTGCCACCTCTCGTTCACAGTCGGCATAGCCTACCTGTTGTTTCATCCTCTCTTCCAGACGACAGTGGTGAAGGTAGTTTCTCTGTGATGAACAGCTCACTGAGCAGGAGCAACACACAATATCCTACGATGTCGCTTCTAGGTCAGACGCTGCTTCGGTACGTCGTTCGACGGTGCGTTACTAGCAGGCTAATTCAGATCCAATCTTCCTGCGGCGCGAAATCTAGTACTATTGCAGGAGAGACTTTATCTTCTCCTGGTCCACAAATACAACATCGTCAATCTCATCCCCGAGAAAGTAAAAAAAGTGCATCTTCTTCTTTGACCTCAACATCTCCAATGCACGCTCAGAGAAGCGGCCTGAGCAAGCGGCTGCTTTCGCTGTTAGAACGCAGCCAACAAGCAGATGTTTTACGACTTGAGGAGATAGCGTATAATGCGCTGAGGCATGACCTTTTGCCCTTTGGGTCTCGTACAGCGGCAACGCTTCCTCACTGGGAGCTAGCAGTGATCCGAGAGATGCACGCACTGATCACGCGTTTGGTATCGGCTGCTGCTCCTGAGACAAAAAGTAGCGTAGCTGGTGTCGAAGAAGAAGAAAATGTTTTTGGAGAGACGTGGGACGTTCTAGCTTCGCAATTGGAAAATAGCCTACGAAGCTTCCGCGATCGCGTCTTGAATCAGCGCAGCACTACAGTACGGCCGACATTGCTGCGACCTCACCTTGCGCACGAGGCTTTTTCATTCGCGAGCCAGAGCACATTGGACAAGTTCACTGCGAGTGGCAACAACAAGAAAAGTACAAGTAGTTTAGAGGAAACGCGACCCCGGTGTACCGTGTGCGCGATGCCGCTATATCCCGTGAGCTCGGGGGAAATCTGGCGCTGTGCGTGGGGCCACGAAGTGGAGAGTTGTGCACGTACGGGGGTGCCTCTGCTATCGCCTGTAAGGGTCGAGCTCTGCCTCTCGTGTGGAAACAGATGTGTGGCGGCTTCAGCGGCTCCCAGAGCGTGCTTTGTCTGTCTGGGCAGGACCATTGAAGTTACCGCTTGAATTTTTTCAACAATACTCTTTGTCAGCCCATCAACATACCCATACTAAGCATTCATTGTCCAATCTCTACAATACCACGCTTCTCTGTCTATGGCCTCTGCATCAATTTTTTGATTTCCCACTCCCATGTTCTGTGAGCAGAGTGCGCATGATCCTTGCCTTTGTCCCAAAGCTGGATTGAGGTCTAAAAACGAGTACCTATTTATTAATTTGTATGGTCGTGTACTATGCGTCTGAGCTTAATGTTCGGTGTATCATTACGGCTATGCGTTCTTGCCCTTCACTGTCTTGACTTCCCTTCCAATCCAATCTCCTTCACTACGTACTGAGTACAGACTTTTACCTGTTTTGTATGGGTTTTTATTCTGTTGGTCTTTGAAGATGAACTTTCTCCCTGCACTTTCACACGTAAATAATCGGATCCCTTAAGTAATATCCACCAATTAATTAAAAACTCTAAGAGTCCGTCATACACACACTAAAAGTGCAGCCTTTTTCCTAGAAGAAGACCGGCGCGCGGAACCAATCTGTTTGATGTGTAGCATCACATCAGTATATATGTTCCAGGGCTCAGGGTTGAAGGCCCCACCGATCTAACTTCTTGAGGAGAGGGCCTCCAGCCCCCGGCCCTTTTTCTCGAGGGACTGCCGGGCGGGAAGGCCTCCAAACGCTCACCTCCGACCCCTTCCCGCTTCTTGCCTGGACCCTACAGAACCCCCACTCCTGAGGCCGTTGAAGCACCGAAGGCCGGGGGTGGAAGGCTTCCGAAGGTGGCTAGGCTGGACCCCCTTGCTGTGTTGCGTGTACCCTACAGGCCTCCCATGCCGTGTCATGTGCCCGGCAGACCTCCCGGGTGCGGGCTCCTCACTGGGGGAGCCTCTTGGGAGGTGGAAGACCTCCGAGGGCCGCAGGTGGCAAGGCTTGGCCTGTTTCGCCGTGCTGCATGTAGCCGACACAACCCAGGTGGGCACGCCTTGCCCCGCCTCCTCCTCTCCTTTGGTCCTCATCCCCCCGGGCGTTTGGTGGCGGCTGACGCTGCCACCACTTGGGGGGATGAGCGCCAAAGGGGCCAGGCCTCGCGACCGTGGCCGCCTTCTTCCCCCGGAGGCAGTCTTCCTGATAGGGTCCAAGAGTCGGGGCGCCTGTTGGGCACACGCAGAGCACCGCCAGGGGACTCCGGCCCCGCCTTTTGAGGCCTTCGCCCCCGGAGGTCCTTACATGTCTCCACAGCGGAAAAAAGGGCGCGCGGACGCCACCCCCGCCCCATCCACAGGGGAGGCGTCCCGTGGAACCTTGCGAGCGTTCTACCCACCTGAGGAGCGTGACGCGCGAGGGAATACCAGCGTGACGCGTGACGGCGTGACGCGCTTCGGAGCGTGACGCGCGAGGGGGTATCAGCGTGACGGCGTGACGCGCTTAGGAGCGTGACGCGTGTGAGAGTCTTAGCGAAGCGCGGGAGGGTGTGACGCGCTTAGGAGCGTGACTCGCGTAAGATTATTTGCGAGGCGCGTGAGGTTGTGACGCCGGGGCGCGTGGCGTGGGACGCTGGGGCGTGTCAAATAGTGCGTGACTTAGGACGTGGCGCGCCGCCGCGGCCGCCGTTTGGCAACGTCACACGTGGGGGCGAGCGTGGCGTGGGTGTGGCGTCGTCACATGTGACGGCGTGACTTACGGCGGCGCGGCGTGTGACGGTGGGAGAGTCTGGCGGTGTGTTGTCTGTGTGGTGGGTGAGGTGTCTGCGAGGGTGTTGCGGGCATGTGCCTCGCATCCCATGGATGGGCCGCCGGGAATTGCCTTGGCGGGTGGCTTGTTTTGTTGTCGTGGTTGGGTCTATATCTCATCCCCACGCCGCCGCCATTGTCTGGCGCCTTCGTGGTCGTCGTGTCTTTGTCGTCAGGTCTCCCGCGGATGTCCCTCAGATCATCAGGCCTCCTGCGGATGTTCCTCCGATCAATCATCCGGTCTCCCCCGGATGTTCTTCAGATCATCAGGCCCCTCCGCGGATGTTCTTCAGATCTTTAGGCCCCCCAGGCATGCTCCTCAGATCGTCAGGCCTCCCCCGGATGTTCCTCAGGTCGTCAGGGCTCCCACGGATGACCCCCTGGCCATCAGGCTTCTTACGGATGTCCCTCAGGTCATCAGGCTCAGGCCTCGCTCCCGCGGATGATCCTCCGATCGTCAGGTCTCCCCCGGATGTTCTTCAGATCGATCGTCAGGCCTCCCCCGGATGTTCCTCCGATGAGATCAGCAGCGTCCCGCGGATGTTCTTCAGACCATCAGGCCGCCCACGCGCGGACGTTCCTCAGATCGTCAGGCCTCACTTGGATGCCCCTCAGATCGTCAGGGCTCCCGCGGATGTTCTTCAGGTCGTCAGGCCTCCCGCGGATGTTCTTCTTTCAGGCCATCAGGCCGCCCACGGATGTGCCCCAGATCGTCAGGTCTCTCTCTCCCGGATGTTCATCAGATCGTCAGGCCTCCCGCGGATGTTCCTCAGATCGTCAGGGCTCCCCCGGAGCCGGATGCTCCTCAGGTCGTCAGGCCTCCAGCGGATGGCGCGACCGTCAGGCGCGCGGCGTCACGCATGGGAGCAAGCATCTACTTTCCCCTCTTAGTAAGGGGGGGAGGGGGGAAGGTTTAGCTTAGGTCCGCGCTCTATAGGACGCTCGCCAGGTCTTACGGGGGCCTTCCGCACTGAAAGAGGCTACCCAAGTGAGGAACCCGCACACGGGGGGCTTGTGCGGTACATGCCGCACGGCTTGGGAGGCTTGTAGGGTACAGGCAACGCGGCAAGGGGGTCTAGGCCAGCCTTGCCACCTTTTCCGCTTTCGGAAGCCTCCCACCCCCGGCCGGCGGTGCTTGAACGGCCTCAGGGGTTTGGGTTCTGTAGGGTACAGGCAAGAGGCCGCGAAGGTGGGGGCTTTGGGGCCTTCCCGCCTGGCGGTCCCTCGAGAAACAGTGCTTGGGGGCGGGGGCTGGAGGTGTCCCCCCCTCAAGAAGTTAGATCGGGGGGGCCTTCAGCCCTGAACCCTGGGGCATATACATAAAACGAGCAGGAGAAAAACAAATCTTTCCAGAATCAGCAGATGAAGAAGCCACAAAAATGACTGGTATGAAGATTGGCGGTGTTCCATTTGACATTCTAAGAATCACACAAAGATGCCACTGACTAAATGGCAATGAAAGCCGAGCGCGAGTCTAGCTGCTCACTCTTGGAAAAGCATCGACTTGGTTGCTCCCGGGACGTCGGTGGGAGGGTAGCCCACTACACAGGCGACGCTGGGAACAAATTCTAGAACGTCCCGCCCACCGCTCCCTGGAGATTTTTGGAATGTTTAGGCAGATATCTTTGTAGGTATCGGAGTTAGCGCAAAACGATGTCGGCGCTTTGGCTATGGTTTGTTCCCGGCTTGTTTTAGACGACTTGGGCTTGCTGGTGCGCTCTGGACCTCCGCTTCGCCAACCTCGCCTAGCGTTGGAAAATCCGGCCGAGAAGGGGCAAAGTCTTTCTATCGTGACGGTGCTGGACTTGTCTCTGGCGGATGCTGTGGCGTCTTCGCGAACGTAGGACATTCAACAAGTACTACGTCGCTCACACCTGGGTGGGCCACTCTATACCTCGTGCGTGATCTTTCCCGCGCTCGCTTTCGCTGATATCTCAAAAGGTTCTAACTTTGCAAGGTCGTATCTATAGACAACGCGCTGGGCCGCGTGTCTACACTACTCGGTAGATTCCAAGAAATCAAGAATGTGAATAATAAGAGATGAGGGGAGCAGAAAATGCACTGCATCTACTTCATGTGCCATTCAGTAGTTTCCACGTGCTGATAAGGTCGAGGGGAGGTTTAAAACCAGGTATAATGTTTCTGGATCTGGACAGCGCTGCGAGTAATCTAGATCCAAGAAGGTGGTGGCAAGGCCGAGTGAAGAGAGAATAAAGTAAAAGCCATGCATGAGTTTTACGTGTTGGCGCTTGTTTATTTTGTCTGTCATGTTACAATCTGATGAAATCTCGGTGACGGTGAGCCGTCGTCACATGTTCCCCTGAGGACCCACAAATTTCAGGGAAAGTGAATGCTTTACAAAAGCGCGAAGGAATGCAGGTCTTGGTCTAGAAGCAGGATGAAAGATTATTATAATAATTCGACGTTGAAAATGAAAACCACGGAATTGGATATACTTCGTCAGGGAAATCTTAGGCAGTTTGCCGAATAGATTCGCGCAGTCAAATTTTTCTTCGTTCCGGAGGACCTGGAAATTCTTAAATGAAGACAACTACTAGCTAAGAAGTAGCAGACACCAGGCTCGTTTGTAGCAGCTCGCTCTTCCACTTGAACTGACCGCCAAGCGCGACCGATGGTAGAGACGTATATGCCTTTCTCGACGACGGTCGTCTGGCGCTCAGGAGCGACGAATCTAGAATATTCACTCTGTCGTGTGTTTTCTCACAAGCTGTCTTGCGCTTTTCACGAATTGAAGGAGGGAAGATCCGTACCTGCAAAATAGTTGCGAAGTACTGGAGTAACTACTGCTAGCGGTAGTCCGAACCTTAGCCCGCGGACGGGGAGGAAAGAGAGACTAAGCTGTTGGGGAAGATCACATTTATGAGTACTTAGAGCGAAAAAGAGGGCGACGCAGTATTTTGACAAGGAGAAGCACTTTGTGCAGCCAAAACGATGGAGGGCGGCGTTAACTTGCGGGTAATGCAGTGGAACCTGCTTGCTACAGGTCTTCACGACGACGGCTTCGTTCAGGGAAACATGTTTGTTAAGGTTACAAATTATTAAGAAGATTGAAAGGCCTTCCCCCTGACAATCAGTTTAGGAACAAAGGCGACATGACATGACATTTTCTTTGTTTATGTTGGTGGTGAATTCATGGAGTAGACCATCTGATTTTATTAATCCATCAGATTGTTCAGGACCATCATCACCCTTTTCAAGTAGACATGTATCGTTTTCGGAACAAGGCATTCTCAATCGTTTTATCAATGCTTACGCCGCGCGTCTTGAGTATTCAGAAGTACATACCTTTTATCTAGTCTAAGTTTTGCGATGGAAACACGCCAGCCTTAGTGGAGCATCTTAGGGTAACCAAGGAGTACCGTTCAAGACTGCTGGCGCCGGAAAAAGCAGATGTCCTGGCTGCACAGGCGGCTTTTCAGGGGGGCAAGGTGTCAGCGGCAGCTGGTGATGCTGACGCTGTAGCAGTTAAGTATGTGCCTCGCGCTTAGATGATGCTTCTGATAATCTTCACCTTATTTTTTTTGCTGGGTCTAACGGAAACTTACTCAGAGGTAGTAGAAGTAAGTGCTTCATCACAGGCGAAAGCTGTAGCTATTTTACCTCTGAATAATATTATTGGGGCGGGGTGTTGTTATGATATGTGAAAGTCAGTGATCTCATCACAACCACAGCAAGGAATCACAGTTCGATCAAAGGCTTGGTCTTGGCGCTTTGCTACCTATCTCCAATACCATGCATTGACGAACTGCCACGACCTATGCTAAGCTCTTGAACTAGATCTAGTAGAGATGAGAAAACTCATACTAGCAGTTGTAGGTACTACAAAACCAGGTGAAGTATAAAGTCGTAGCATAGCAAAAGCGGTGCCTCATTCCATTGAGCTTTAAGAATCTCGGAGGTGGTTCGAAATCTGGTTCGAGTAGCAGCAAGGGAGGAGTAACTGTGGTTGATTTGGATCTGGCGAAGACCATGCAGAACATGCTCAGCTTGTTAGTCTTCGGCGAGGCGGTACCTGTCAACGAGTTGCTCGACGTGCTTCAACGCGGTGCTGATCTATTTCACGAACGCTTCTCGCGCGTCCTTAAGGTGACTTATAGTTTCAGAACAATTATTCCTCTGGAGTTGAGAACTTCGTAGCAAAATCGTCAAATAGGATATGCCATGTAAGTAGGTCAAGAGTGAACACCCTGCTTATGAAGATCTTCACTCATCTGAATATTCATAGTATAGATCCAGTTGTCATTATCATCAATCTATGAGCACTCATCTCACTTAATACGTGTTGTTTGACTTGACTAGCTGCTCTAACATTGCGGAAAGTGTTTTTTACAGTTTCAAAGAACCAGGACCAAGGGCTGCGCCACGCATAGCGGAGAATCAAGAATTGTGGAATGAGTACTGGCGGCCAATGGCTGAATTCTTCCAAATCGGATTATCGTCGAACCTCGTTGAAGACAGTATATTAAGAGTTACAACTAGGTCTAGGAAGTGCTAGCCCTACATGATTATTCAGATTGCATTCTCTACCACAGCTCCATCATCCTTCAAGAACTAGTTTGTCCCTGAAAAAGACGTTGACTGTCACACGATAAGACAAAGAAGTCAAGCAAGAAATGACAGATGAAAGTCAACGATATATTTATAGATACCGATACCTGCTCAACAGGGATAGATATTAATGCGGCATTGATTGGTGTTAACTTCTTCTAAGAATCGAAACACTGTGGAAGAACAAGCTCGCGAAGAGTAGCAAGATCATACATCCCTATGCTTTTCTATCAAGAGCATGTGATTTTCTACGCGAGACGTTCTTTCTGGGCGGCTCAGCCGCTACCGATGCGGCATCTGGAACAGGGTCTAGCTAAGGCTTCAGGACTATCGTTGCATGTTGAGTAATTGAAGAATGGAAATCGTACGCAAACTCACACGTAAGTTGTAAGTTGAATTACGAAGGAAGACGACGAAGAAGAAGACAATTAATATTTCAAATTAATTCTGAGATGTAACTCTCATGGCCTGCTATTCGTGGCAGCGTCTGCTACTAGCAACAACTGCCTTCATTTGCTTGGTTCTTTTTTTGAACCGCCCAGGACGAAAGGCGATGGCAACATCAGAGGTCGAGAATTCATCGTCTAATGTACCAAGCAGGTGCGAGGCAAGCGGTCCTCGAAACAGGGTAGCAGCAGAGATGTCGGAATTATAAATATGTTGGATAATGAGCTGAGCGACATGGAGAATGCTGTGAGCAGTCCGGAGGATCAGATCTTAAAGACTGGAAGCGATTTGTTGCGGCAATATCGAAATTATGGAGTCACAACAGTACGACGTAGACGATAAATTTTGTATTTACTTACAACTAGGACAACTCCCTCATTTCCACTATTTACTTCAACTAAGCTTACTCACTAATGAGTCATTATGAAGTCTCAGATACTTCTGGTAAAGATCGTGTAGTTTTTAAGATGAAGCTTTTGTGCCGTCAATCTTTGTTGTTACCGAAGATACTGCGAGAGTGATAGTCCCTAGGCGTTGTAACACGGGTTTCTAAGACTGGGTATTTGCAACAACCTCTCTTGACACCATTGTATGACGCAGCTTGTCGTGATCTAGTGCAAGACTTTAAAAATGATTCTACGCGATCTTCACCTAGAAGATTGAATGCTGAAACTAGCAGTGATGAATGCTGACACGGGAGGGACTCTAAGACGAGGCTTTTGGGGCTCAGATGATCGACCTTGCGATTCCAGATTACGACCAGGAGCCTCCTAGAAAAACACGGCACGGACGCATGCTTAGAGTTGTGTCTGCAAACGCACCAGACCTGTTGTGCCTGGAGGAAGTTGCGCCTGATCAGTTCCTCCACATTCTCCGCATGCACGATCACTGTTTCGCGCCCACTTGGCTGACAGCGGCAGCATATCGGGATTTAGTTGCAAAGTATTTGATTTTCTTTTTCGCTTAGGTGTGGGATAGTATAAATATCCATTGTTAGCCAGAAGCATTTTTCAGATGGGGATACAGCACACGATGGATTTAGCAGGGTTAACCGAAGTTGAAGATTGTAAATACGAGGGGCTGTTGTGCTCGTTCATTAGGCAGAATCGATGATGTGTTAGTACTTGATTATACCAGCTAGTTGAATTATGGATACAACTGGTGCTCCTGCATTTATTTTGGTAATTCTCTCGAACTGGGAAGGTATACATCAGTGTCGGAGAAGGACAAGAAGAATACCGCAATTTTGAACGGAATATTCGAGAAGTGCGCGTATCGCGTTAAGAAAACCGGTCCCGCCGTGAACGGTTTGGCACTGCTTGCGCATCGAAAGCGACTATGCGTTCAGCGTTTCCGGGATGTAACCGATGAAAAGCATGGCTTAATCGGACTGGTCGGTTTAGTCGTCCCAGCAAGAAAAGAAGCCATAACTGTGGTAGTCGACGGAGACCAACGTCCTCCAACGTTGAGTCCGGTGAGCGAAAGCGAAGAGGAACCGCTGTCGCCAAAGAAAAAAGGCCCCGCCAACAAGGGAACTATCTTCCAAGTTGAGGGACCGACCTCAGCAGGGGATACTTTGCCGTTGCACGCGCCCGACGGCTTTGTCACTGGGGTAGCGCACCTGAAATCTGGAGCTGAGGCAAGTGACGCGCAAGCACGCGGGGAACAAATACGCATACTGCAGACGGAATTTGAGCGCTATGCGGCGACCTACGATCTCGTTCTCGGCATGGATGGAAATTACGACCAAGCGCTTGTCGGCTTCAACTATGCTGGAGGTACTGTCATTGTCATAGCTGTCTTTGAGGCTGGAAGAAAGCGAAGTTTGCTCTACTACAACAAGCATCACAGCGTGACTTGGTGTTTTACGGTTGTTTCATCTCGGAAATGAGAAGGTTTGAACCATTTTCGCTACACTTGCTGACCTGGCGAAGGATACACTAACATCAAAGCAAGGTGTTGAGACCAATTCCATTTTCTGTACATCAGATGCTGAAGGCACATCGGGTGGGTGGCAATCTTTGCAAAAATTCGGGATGGTCAACTACTTAGAGAGCCTCAAAAACGAGCAGCGCTACGGACGTCGACGCGAAGTGTGTGGTGACGACGGAGTCTTTTCCAAGAAAGATCAGCTCCACGCAGTAACGGTGAACAAGATGCGTGGAATGTTTTCAGCACAGTTAAGGATGAAAATACAGACAAGAGTAAGCAGGGTAAACACCTTAGTTAACAGGTGCCAGTCTTGAACTGTCCGCGGTAGAAGAGAGGTCGTACTTGCATCAAGGTTCCCTTTCTAACACTGGTGAAGAAGTGGGGTGCCTATCAATTGCGAAACATCGATTACGTGATGAGCCGGCGCGCGGGTGCGTTAACAAATACTGAAGTTAACGCTCACACGCCGTTATGATCAGGCTGTTGCGCTGGTAGCGGGGGAACGTGCTTTCTAGTAGAACATACTAGTTCTATCAACTTATTCTGGTGCAGGAGGATACGCATCTTCGTCACAAGATCAACGTAACGTAAGTAATTTGTGTAAGGTGGTATCCGCACACATAAGAGGAGTGGATAGCTTCTTTTTTGCGAAATCCATCGGGACAGTCTAAGATCAAGTGTAACTCGGCCTGCACAGATTTCGCTCGAGCCGGAAGAGGTAGTGAATGCGCAGGATTTGATGGTCTTCGAACGGGCTGAAATTCTACACAGGCTAACTGAGTTATGCGACGCGCGGATGAATGCTTGAGCTTGATGTGTTTTTACCCTTGTTGTTTGCCGATCGCGTCCTGAGATAGTTTCATTCTGGGTGTTGCTCTGCGTTGAGCATATTATCTCCATATCGTCTATGTAAGCAAATAGAAATGGTATTTCTGTATTCATCCCTGGTTCTTACTATCGAGTTTTACCCTTTTATGTGCAATATTTTTTTTTATGGTCCTGCCCAGGCCTTCCTTCGAATAGATGATACGAGCATCGAGGAGATAATGAAGCTCAACGAGACAGCGCCGCGCGAATTTGTGTCACAACTTCTTCCCAGTGATCGAATCCCATCGGACCACTTGCCAGTCGTTGTGCAGTTCAAAGTGGAGATTGCGGATACTCCTGAAATGCTCGAAGGACTCTTAGATGCGAATCCGTTGCTTTTAAGGCTAGTTTTTCACCATCGTGAGTACGTGAGTCGGATCTCTAGCTCTACTCGGGTATACAGGTCGTTCATGTATAAGGGGACGCGCTTCATAGTTAAGGGAGGTTGTAATGAGCACAAGAGAAAGGAACGAGACAGAGCAAAGTGATAATGAGAGGATACATACTGCTTCTAATGCTATCGATGAAACACCAATACGACATCGATGAGGAAAGCGACGCGTCATTCGGCGGTGGCTCGTGCTGGTGGTGTTGTCGACGGAATGGGCGACGTTGAAGCATGCAGTGGAAGACGAGGGTGTGACATAAGATGCGTTTTATCGCGGAGTGAGGGCAAGCACAACGCGCCGTCCGAAGGTGAGAGGCACATGGTGGCTGATTAGTGAAAGGTCACGGATGCGTCGAAGGCCAGTGACATAACTTTGAACAGTGTTGGTTATATTTTTCGATTGTAGGGGCTATTGACAATATCCATGGAGGCTTTCCAGTAGTTTGTAAGGTTTTCTTGGCTCATTTCAGAACCTATAAAAGGGTTGCTTTCTGATTAAAATGCCTATATTCAGGCTCTCGTAGTGTTATGACTCTAGCGAGGATTTGATGGACCTCAGCTTCTCATAGGTAAACCAGAAACAGGAATCTCGGGAGTGAGTAAATACTTACTTGGTTTTTTCGAGCCAGTTACCGTTTGTGTGTGGCGGTTGGAAAAATATTCCTTGCTCAACCTGGAGCGGCAAGTGTTGTGACGCGTTGATTTTGAGCTTTTCTTTAATTGAGGTCGAAATCGGTTTTCTCGCTCGGTTTTCGTTTGGAAGTTCTGATCCCACTTCGGTCTTTGTTCTCACTGCGAATCTCTCATGATAATTCGATGGACATGCACGTGAAACGCTTATGTGTAGACATGGAAATGGTTAGGCAAAGTGATTTGCAGTGATTCCCGTATCCTCTCGCACAGTGTGATGACGAAGACCAGCGCAGTTCTGGACCAAGGTGATTGTCAAAGCAGTAGCGGATCAGGATCAATCTCCCCAATTTTCTTTCCCACGCTTTCCTTACCGGCAATTTTGGGTTTCCGTTTTCGGCGTCCTCGCTAAGTCGTACTGAGTAGTGTACTCATTGAAGCTCTTTTCGGGTTTTAACTGGAAATGTTTTTAGCGTAGCGGGGCCTTGTTCGTTGAAGAACTATTATTACTTCCGCATCCTTGCCTGATTGTTGGAGATTGTTCTTGGACAAGTTGTGTTTGATTTCGTTGTGTTTGTCAGCAAACATTACTGCGTGGGTCGTCAAACGCTTGTGGGTGAATCTGAATCCGCGGGGGTCGCAATCGTCCGAGTAGAAATATTCGCACACCTGTTCGAGTGCAGTGGGAAAGGTTCTGCGAGGTGTGCCTCTGAGAAATGAGCCGCCTTCCTGGAGTGGCCGTTTACGATCCACCTCTGCTACTGATTTCAGCGGGGGCGGGGCCTGGAGTTGGGCGCGGCCAAGGTAGGAAGCAGGGCTACATGGCTTCAGCAAAAGGAGCGTGCCAAAGGATTCAGGACATTCAGGCCCAGGTGCGGGAGTGCATTAGTATAGGAGCCATGCTGTACAACTCTGGAGAGATACGCGCATGCTTCTGGCTATACTATGGATGTGCGCAACAGTTACAACAAATCCTGGGGCCTTTAAAGCGGCAGAATCCGCATGGAGTTGTAGCTCCTATTGGAAGTGGACACGAGGGAAGACTCACTGGGACGGTGGATGGGGAAAATGCTGCAGACTTCGGGACTCATCAGTATGCCCGAAATGCAGACGGAAGATCCAATCTGTCAAGAGAAGGCGACGACGGGCAAGCTTGGAAGCTTCGCAGTGCGGCTGAGGCACTCTGGAGCGCGACGTGCGTGGTGCAGTGGGTAGATCCAGATGCTGATGCATGGGCGCTGCGGCGTGGATTTGACGCAGTGTTGGCTCTCTCGTGTGATGTGACGAGTGGAGCCATGCAAGCAAACCTGCATGTTAATAGCCTCGCTCATGTGATTGAAGGCGGGTATGATTCGACACTAGAGGCAGAAACTGCAAGTGTTGGTGGTGTAAGGACGGCGCCACAGACAGGAGGCATGCACTTGCTGGGACCGTCTTCGCCAGAGGAAATCCGTTTGACAGTTGAAGAAGATTCGCGAAAAGGTACCAAAGAGGTCCACGCCGGTTCGGAATTCATGGGGGCATCGCTTATGGCGCTCGAATGCGAATCGGGTAGGGATAACCAACAAACCCAGGGGAGTGAGCCGGTGCGGCCTCGGGGTGCAAAGATTGACGGCACAACGGATGTACATCTATCTACTGCAAGAGTGAGAGAAGTTTGGAATTGATTTGGAAGAATGCCAGAGTTTGTGAGTTTGGAACTTGCTGCAGGTAGCGATAGCCCTATGTATAGCATGTTTTGTGTTGCTTATCTATAAGCGTTGAAGATTTGATAACTGATGTTCCTAGGTTTGGGAGCGTCTTTTGGACGGTGGATGACAAGTATGACTAGGACCGGTAGGACAGTATCTTATTCTAACATCCAGCGACAGATCTACAGCATTTGCATATTTTAACGACAGATACTAGTGAGTGCTGGGGTAATAGTTGCTAAGAGGACCATTGTTATGGCGCTCTTCATTAGGTACAACCAGTCTTCGGAAGCCACGCAGCGGTGAATTTAGTTTCGGGTGTTGGGTTTCCAGTGGAATCGCCTTTCAATAGCTTTTGGCACGGCCTGCTACAGGGGGACCGACAACGGCGGGAAAGAACTGAACCACAGGAGCCAACGCTCGCCGGCACGCAGGCACAGCATCATTACCGAGTTGGTCCAGGGAGCAAGACGAGAGCGGCAATAGATGAGGGCGACACCGATACTCTTTGCGACGATGTTGCAGCGGCCGCACGCGCAGAAAGTAGCGGAGACAGACTTCCGCGCGGTCCACTAAGTTCAGTGCAGGCGCTATCGCCGCCTCTCGTTGTTACTCGTGAGGTAGGGGTCGGGAAGGTTTTCTTATCCGCAGTTCCGAAGGTATTCGTCCCGCTGGTCGGCGCAGAAACCAGGCTGATGGTAACGCGAGACGAGCAGTCATTTTGCCGCGTGCTTCCTCGTGTCGACAACTATCGCGATGTGAATTACGTTCGCGTCTCGCGTCTGCCTAGTATGGTATTCTCTGGATGGTGTTCGCTTACTGGATATTGCCAGCTTCGAGCGGCGTCGGCAGTGCCACTTGTCTTGTCCGCGTACTATGGAATCTACATACGTGCAATTGTGGGCGACCAATTCTCGGAGGGGACGCTGAGGCTGACTGTGAATGACTCTTCGTGTGATAAGACGAGTTTCTTTTCAGTCGCAGTGCAGTTCCGACGCGATTTCGCTGGAATAGGGAAGATTGAGGGTGTCGGGACGGTCGCTGATGATGGCTCAGGTATTTTTTGTCGGCTCTTTGTTGTAATGCAAAGTAGGTCTCTCGTTATCCATCTGTTGTAGTGGTTCATAGTTAGTTTCTTCTCTTTCGAAAGCCACTTTTTTTCAGCTGATTAGAGCATCCACCTCAGTTACACACCTGATTCCGTTCGCGGGTCACGGGTGGGAGTTCCTGCGGGAGATGGAGCCTGCTGGGACTGCGCGCAGGCTCGACACAGACGCAGTGACGCAGGTGGGGCTGCTGGTCAAGGGAGCTGGGCGTGACTTCGCCATCGAGTTGCAGGAGATTGGTCTCTACCGATCCTGAAGCGCGAAGGTTCGTCGCAACGTGGAATGCTGATGTGAAGCGTTTCTCTGTGTCACACGCGCAGCTGACTAGGAACCCACACGCCGAGGACGGATCGAGGACCTCGATGGACAGGATGCGGAATACGGATTCGTAAAGCGACTGGCAGGTAGACGAATATCTTTTGTATGGTCTTTCATGAAGGTGTACAGTATACTTGTTTGTTGACTCTGTGCATCACATTTGTTCGTGATGATATTGTAGTTTGTGGCTCGTGCATGCTTCAAGAGCGAAAGTCATGAAAATCATAGCATGCTTTGTTCGCGAAGGACAAGAAAAGGACATCGTAAGCAGGTGTATAGCAGTTGTTCTTCTGTAACATGCAGCCCAGTGTGGCCTATGATAATTGACTTACAGTTGAAGAGGACGGTGTGATGCGAATCTGTAAGAATTAGGTACGAGTAGTTGAGGCATGAAGCAGAAGACATGCCTCGGAGGAGTGTTTGTGCGATTGTGTTCATAACTGGAACTGCAGCTTGGCTGTATGGCAAAGAGATATAGCGAAAAAAGCTTGTCATGAATGATTTCCTCGCACGTGCTGCATCGATGTTTTTTCCATCTTTTACTGGAGAACGTGCATCATGAGTTTGAGAAGAATGAACTATGAGTGTGTAGGGCACCACCTTCCCAGAAGTATGACGTGCAATTTTTTGTAGTGTTTCTTTTTTGTATGTTTTTTTTTGGTGTCATTGTCTACGTTGATGTTTTGGAACACTTTTTTTACATGCTGTTGCACCTTAGAATGGTCTCATCATCATTTGTCATTGTCATTGATTGCGCATCGCACAACGCCTCCATCCGGCAGCGAATGTTTCTGCATCCTGAAGAATGGGTCTTCATTCTCAATTCATCGTCAAATAAAAAAACTCTGGGGGATAGGTTACTGGGTAGGAAACGCTGTCGTTCGTTCGACTTTGTCTTACCAACTAACAAAATGAGAGAAGCCATCTGCATCCACATCGGTCAGGCCGGTGTCCAGATCGGTAATGCCTGCTGGGAGCTGTTCTGCCTCGAGCACGGTACCTTTTTTCTCTACATACAGTTTGCACCTGATATTATTTTTTAGATGTGCATTGAAGTGGTATAGAAATTAAGATAGTGTGATCTTCTGCAAAACTAGACATCTGACAAGCAGCATTTTCTACTTGAATGTATTTGCATTTCATTCTCAAACACGGACTTTCCACACCTTTCCCTTCTCCTTACAGGCATCCAGCCGGACGGTCAGATGCCGTCTGACAAGACCATCGGTGGTGGAGATGATGCCTTCAACACCTTCTTCTCGGAGACCGGTGCCGGAAAGCACGTTCCGCGTGCCGTCTTCGTCGATCTGGAGCCGACCGTGATCGATGAGGTGCGTACGGGTACCTACCGTCAGTTGTTCCACCCGGAACAGCTGATCTCCGGTAAGGAGGACGCCGCGAACAACTTCGCCCGTGGTCACTACACCATCGGTAAGGAGATCGTCGACTTGTGCTTGGATCGCATCCGTAAGCTTGCGGACAACTGCACCGGTCTTCAGGGCTTCCTGATCTACCACGCTGTCGGTGGTGGTACCGGATCCGGTTTGGGCTGCCTCATGATGGAGCGTCTGTCCGTCGACTACGGTAAGAAGTCCAAGATCTCCTTCACCGTCTGGTGCTGCCCCCAGGTCTCCACCGCCGTCGTCGAGCCGTACAACACCGTGCTGTGCGTCCACTCTCTGTTGGAGCACACCGATGTCACCAATCAGGTCGACAACGAGGCCCTGTACGATATCTGCCGTCGTAACTTGGACATCGAGCGCCCGACCTACACCAACTTGAACCGCTTGGTCGCTCAAATCATCTCGTCTCTGACCGCGTCCCTGCGATTCGATGGTAATAACGAACTCTACATCATTGTCTACGTCGTTCTGTGAGAAAATGAGGCGTTCTGGTTTTGTGATGATAGGCAACTTCGACCTTCGTTTCATCATACCATGAGAACGAGAGTTTCGAGTATTGTGACGTAGGATTCCTAGTTTGTAGTCATGCACGTGGACCTGCGAATCTACTTTCCTTCATATTTCTGAAATAACTTCAGGTGCCCTGAACGTCGATGTCACCGAGTTCCAGACCAACTTGGTGCCGTACCCGCGTATCCACTTCATGTTGACGTCCTACGCGCCGATCATCTCGGCCGAGAAGGCTTACCACGAACAGCTGTCCGTTGCGGAGTTGACCAACAGCGTGTTCGAGCCGGCGTCAATGATGGTCAAGTGTGATCCCCGTCACGGAAAGTACATGGCCTGCTGCCTCATGTACCGTGGTGATGTTGTCCCGAAGGACGTCAACGCGTCCGTCGCAACCATCAAGACCAAGCGCACGATCCAGTTCGTAGACTGGTCACCCACGGGCTTCAAGTGCGGTATCAACTACCAGCCGCCCACGGTCGTTCCGGGTGGTGACTTGGCCAAGGTCATGCGCGCTGTCTGCATGATCTCCAACTCGACCGCCATCGCCGAGGTCTTCTCCCGCATCGATCACAAGTTCGATTTGATGTATTCCAAGCGTGCCTTCGTCCACTGGTACGTCGGTGAGGGTATGGAAGAAGGTGAGTTTTCCGAGGCTCGTGAGGATCTTGCGGCCCTCGAGAAGGATTACGAGGAGGTCGGTATCGAGACCGCCGAAGGCGAAGGTGAGGAGGAGGGCTACGGTGATGAGTTCTAAGCGACTCGTCTAGTTGCCGGTGGCACCGGATGTTCATGAATTGAAATCCACGTCTTTTTGAGACTTCTGAGGTGGTTGGACTTTCTTCAGACATCCGCGTAGGTGCATAACTTCACTAGATCATATGTATCTGGGAAGGAAATAGAGAACTGGGGTTGTGGCGTTTGCTACGCTGATGATGTAGATCGTACGGTGTTCACTTTCCTGGCTTCGGTAGAGCTCGGTTCACCGCAATAGAAAGATGTCGGTATCAAGAGTGCCTAAAAATGTGACGCGAGTTGCTCAACGAATGCTAGCAGGCATCTGTAGAAGTTGAGGTGAGTACTCCTTCGCGTTATTGACTAGGCTTGTCAACATCCGTCTATACTCGGTGACAGGAAGGAGATGCAAAACCTAAAAAAAGAGGGTGTGGAAAACCTACCTCATACGCGAAATGTGTCCAGCTTTGTTTCTGGAACCTGACTTGCTTGCGTTTTGTAGTCGACTGGCACTATCTGAATATGATTTTCATATACTGAGCATGCGCCAGCCATCCATCTTGACATGATGGCTGCCTTCGGTGATGCACCGACGCCGAGCGCACCTTCCAATCCGCGGGTTCCAATACCAGCGAATGCAGACGAAGAGACCCGACAGAAGCTCTGGAGTATAACCACAGAATACGAGCATTTGCTACAGCTTCAAAATTACGATCGATTCCTGCCCCGCGAGCTCTTCTGTTGCTGTTCTTGTATCGCTGCCATTTTCGAGCAGCGTTTGCTCGCCCTTTATACACCTCTTTCTAGCTCTAATGTATTGAACACTTTGAGTCTGTCCTCGCATCGAAAACCAAAGCCATCGAGCAGCTGGAAGGCGGAAGGAGGCCGTTTGACTTTGGCGATTCAGGCGTCTTCAACGTCGCTATCGAAGAGCGTGACAGGGAACTTCGGCTTTACAAGTGCCTTCTGGAGATTCGGGATAAGCAGGTGCAGTCGCTCTTTATACCTTTGCTTTCCCTGTCTATTCCTGCCGGTCACCTCTTCCGAGTTTCCCCTAGGCGCCGCTTCTAGGCACCATTCTGGTTTGTTCTTGTTGCTTTGGCCTCTCTTTTCTATTAATCCGCACTTCGAAAGAAATCGCACATCCTCTCTCAGCTTATGGAGTTGCAGCATGTACTGGACTATGGGGGCAACAATGCGACAGAGATGTCTGAATTTGCCATGGAAAAAAATGCGCAGATACAGACATTGATGGATGAGCTACAGGTCCTGCGCGAGGAAGTTCTACAGATGGTAGAAACTAGGATGACGTCGTAATGCTGTCTACTTCAAATATCGTGTCAATCATCGCGTCTCCCTTCTAGAAAACGTTTATTGTTCGACTACAGATTTTTGCTTTTCGCTATCGCTTTCATGTGCGAACAGTAACTTTGAGAAACTCCAGTACCCCTTTTCCGCAAAGCCATGCGTTACGTTTCACAGAAAAGCAGCAGTCCGGCAACCATCGGAGGTGGAGACGCTGGGGGTGGTCCAGCGGCTGAGGCGGCAAGAGAGGAAGCGGATAAGCTGCGAAAAGAAAACTATGATGCGAAAATGTTCACAGCTAGGCTTACATGCGAGACTGAGCAGGAGATATTCAGCACCATATTCGTAATTGTCGTAAGTAGTATTTGCTTGTCTCTTCGTCTTCATACTCTAATCTGCGGAGGAGCTCGTTCGGATGCTAGTACAAAAAGAGCGACAGATAAATGCAATTAGTAGCGTTGATAGTGTAGGAACGGATATTGGGGCGTTGCAGTTGGGCGCGCGCGCAATCTCGATGTACACGGAAGCCATGAATCTGCGACAAGAAATAAAAGACCGCGAAAGCCAAATTCATGCGCAGAGCCAAGAGCTAGCGGACTACGAACTTAGGGGTATCTCATTGAGCGAGCATTTTAGCTACCGACTCATCAAAAAATTGACCCTATCTATCCCTATGTATTGCCTTCAAGTCGTGAAGGAAAACTAGGGGACAGAATGCGAGCACTAAAATGGTACGGGGACGCAAGGGCTGATACTGATTCAAGTCGTGGAATTTTACATCCAAGATTACTGGCGACTCCATGTGAACCTCTTTTTTCCTTTGTCCAGAAAGATAAACAAAATCCAGATCAGCAACGTGCACACGAGTTGGAATTAAAGCGAGCTGAAATAGCGGAATTTAGTCAGCAAATATCTGAGAAAACGCGGCGCATGGTTGACCTCGAGAACACTCTGCAGAATGCGAAAGGCGAAGTGGCGGAAAAAACACGAGAAATAGAGGGATTGTAACTTTTTCAAAGTTGTATGCGATTAACCGAATTTTTTTACGCCTGATTTCGAGATCACACGTAGAACAGTGGCACTTCGCAACAATCCTAAATAGTTGCAGTTGATGTCGTGGACTTACTTCTTCTAGTTTGATAATGAAATGCCAGTACTTAACGTTCAGTTTTTTCCCTATTCACTTATCGTTATCTCGTCACTGCCATCGATATAGATATGATCTTCTCTGAGGTGCGATGCCGTAGAGCAGGCGCGGAAGAATACACTCGCGGAGCAGGGGGCAAAAAATCGGATAATTGAGGAGCTCCGGGAGGAGCTCGCTTCCCGAGATAAGTCAGTTTTAGAGGAACGCGCGGAGCGCGTTCGCATGGAAGCGCTCAATGAAGAACTGCAAGTGAAATCAACGGAGACTCTGCTTACGGCTGATTTTTTTGTCGCGTTTCACTCGTGGTTTGTTACTTTTGATGCGCTCTGCTCCAACGACCTGTGAACTACTGACACTGATAGATGATAGGTTTAAAGATCACTACAGGTGCAGCACGTCTGACAAAGAACTATGTGCTATATTTTTGATTTTCAATTATGAGCTTGATCCTCCTAACGTGCAGCAGTTGAAGGATGCCCAGACCACGATGGATCAGATGATGGCGCACACACAATACCAGGGTCAGCTAGTCAGAGATATGACGACACAGGTAGTAGCTCTAGCCGCAATGCATCTAGAGGAATACAACAATGTAGAAGACGATCAGTGCTTTGCGATGGTCGCTTGACGCAAATTTTTTGGTCAGCAAGTGAGCATATATTATGAGCCACGATTTGGCGGCCATCAGTACTAATTAAATACTATGAGAATCTCAGTAGAGGACTAGTTCTAGTGTACTAAAGTGTTTTATAGGGACCGAAGTTCCAATAAGAACGCCAGGTCCAAGAGTCGGAGAGCAAATTGCACGAGCTACAAGTGCAGGAGATGTACGAGAAACGGAAACGCGCTTTAGAGGCGAAAATCCGGGAACAGGAAACGCAGCAGGTCATTCAGTCGAAAGAGATCATGCTGAACCAGATGAGCTTAGAGCTGAACGACACGAAGGATAGGCTAGGTACTAAGGATTTAATGTATAGGAACAGTGTAATGTTCGCTGGTCTCTTCTACTTCCACATCGAAGATAACTACTACGACGAGATGGTGAAGGATGGCATTCCTCTGTACTAGGTAACATTCGTCGTGACTTGGATGGTGGCAATGCGTTGTCGGGATTAGGAAGGTCGCGAGGTCGAATGAACCGATCTCAGATTTCTGAATTTAGTCCGAAGTCACAGTTATCGCCAAAGGGCGATGAAACAGGGCGTCAGTTAATGGATGCGCTTACATTAACAAAGACGAATGCCTCAGCGACTGCAGTGCCGCCATTGACAGGTTTCCTGCCTAGTGTGTTGGATGAACAACAAATTCTTGTTATTGTTTCGGAGGTACTCGTTAATAGATTATAGTCACTTTTCAAAAGTCATTTCATCTTCATCAACCAACAGCCCGAACCATCCAATCATCGAATCTCACGATCCTCCTCCTACAACTAAGTACATTTGCATCCTGAGTTCGTTTATCTTCTCTGCTGCAGCCATTTCCGCAGCAGTGTCTTCTAGTGGTGCAGTTACAGGAGCCACCCCATCAGCTCTGCAGCTCGCAAATGCAGCACCATTAATGCAAAGCGCACCAGGAGTGTCTTGGAACGAAAATTCAGTCACATCACTGATGTCAAACCCGGAAGGCGAGCCACCAACCTACAACGCCTACCCAGACGACTTGCTTGACGCACATCTAGCGAATTACCTGTTGGAGAATCCAAAGCATGTGCCACTCTTTTGTTAAGAACGACTGCACTAGTCGTGCCTGCTCTACATCAATGAGTGGCGGAGTTGTACTACGTTGTCAACAATTAAACTGTGATTCTACAAAAATAGTGACGATGATGAAATCCAGAAGAAGTATTGACACTTAAATGAGTGAGTAAAAGTAATTCTTCTGTCAGACCGTCTCCTGTGTCCAATCATGAAGCTTCGGGTCTAATTTTTTCGTCTCTCACACGGGCAATACCTCTATGGAACGCACCGTGTGACTATGCGCTTACTGGACCAACCAAATGGGACACGGATTATCCAGGCACAGTCCGCGCCTGGGGAATGGATTCTGCTAGAAGAGCTGCTTCGTGACAAGCTAGAACAGGCACAGCAACTCTACGCCGCGAGCGGAGCATCTTCAGTCTGATAAATAGCAGGACATGGCACGGAGATCAATCTACACCAAGGACTCATGGAAGTAGAAAATGAAAATTGGCATCTTATGGAATACCCTTATCGTTTTTATATCCTTGGGAAAGTAATTGTGCTGCTTCGTCTATTGAATAAAAACCTCTAATCACCAACATACATCAAATATCACCGTGAAAGCTAGTGCTTTCTGCAGTTGTAACATTCAGAAACAGATCAAAGTTAACGTTTTTATATCCTCCTACTGAGACTTACAAGACTAAAACAGATAATTACAAATATTGTTGAGCTTCTCGTTCTTGAAGGAGAAGAATGGATGAAACAAGCAAGCGTACTGATAGCCCTATTTATTACTAGACTGCCGACCGTCTAGCTTGCACCGATTATTACTAGACTACAGACTGGAATTGGAATAGACAGACGAGCCTTCATCTTTTTCTCAGGAAGGACTGGTTGTTGTTTTCTTGTCACCATGACTCTTGAAATTGATACTAGGCTAAGGGCAGCTCCTGATGGTCACCTAGATGCCATCTTCTCGTTTTCACTAACCTACTCGCGATACAACAATATCTAATCGTCGTGATAACTAAGAATTTCATTGATGTAATTTGAGTATGGAAGCTCTCATTCCGGTCGTTGTCTATCAGAGAAAGGTATCCCTGTATCGGTATAAAAGAAAGTGCTTTTTTGAAAATGAACTCACTGTTGGAGACTATGAATGTCGATAAAATGCGGCACGAAGATGTTAATGACATGGTCGCGCTAGTATAACTAAAGGACGAGTCTTGTTGTTGACGTGAGAACCACAAATTCGCTTGATGTGGATTATTTTCATGCCACGACTTTCCTCTTACTGCGCCTCTCTCTGTACAAGATTTCTTGACTTTCACAATGAATTTGATGTTTCGTCTTTTCTTGGCGCAATTGCATACACGATGATGTTGCTATTGCAGCTGAGTCAACCCGCTTTCCTTTCCTGTGCATATCAATGTGTTGTGTGTTTCTACGATCTTCGGAATAGAAACCATAAAATTTTAGATTAGTTTTCCATCATACTTTCATACTTACATAGTTGCTTCATATTTTTGAGATGAGAATCTCTTTTGAGATGAGATTGGGTGGCATCACGAGTCATAACAGGTTTCGGATTGGCGTTGCACTGGTTGACAAAGTCCATCATCATACTACAGAAACAACCCATTCTGCCTATCCCTATGCCATCTATGTGAACTTTATTTTCGACCACATATCTTGGTCTTGCCGTGCCCTGGACAGGAACAAGCACAAGCACAAGCACAAGCACATCATCGCAGTGAAACAACCACACCGCATGGGTTCGAGCCCGACGGTGTAGACACGATCTGTCGCTGCGACTATTGTGCTGTCGATGTTGTTCAGACCTTTACAAGACGGGGTTTCAAGAATACGCGTCAAGTTTTCTCTTCTCCCCCAGGAAACGTTTCTTGCTCTTCGTACATCGTTTCTACTTCTGGGGCAGCGCATATTATAATCGCATTACTACCTATTCCTAGTATCAATCCATATATGCTCTACCTGCTTTTTTTTTCTTTACAGATGCAGGATGTCAATCTAATGTAAATACCTGTGTCCACCACGACGGCTGCTTCATCCTCTGTGCTTATCCGGTCATGGTGGAGACGTGTGAGCCCGTCACCGCAGCGGACGTCGTGTTGGACAGCGCCTCGTCTGAAGCCCTTTCTGAGAAAGGCTTCGTCACAGATGCTTCTTCAGCTATACATTTGGGAACAAATAACAACAATTTATGCCAGTAAGTGTAAGTATCTAACTACGTCTAGTAGTTTTGCTTTGCCGGTTGTTCGGTACGACCACTTGAGACGCAATGATGAGGTTTGAGGATTGCTGTGCATCTTCAAACTCATCCGCACGCATACTACAGGGGATCGTCTTCTCAAGCAATACTGTAGAGATGTTGAAAGAGGACATCGGATACGAGATGGAGATGAATACTCGCAAGCACACTTCTAAATTATAACGACCACGCGCAGGAACGAAACGGCCCAACGAAGACTTTCGTCTGGACAACAGATGCCGGGATTTTGCCACTTGCAGTTGCAACTGAGCAGGCATCGCGACCGCAGGCTGTGGGCTTCGACGCGGTCTTCGGTGCACCATTTGAGTCAGCGTGCGCGAGTCAGGCAGACGACGTCATATGGGCGGACGATTTCTTTGCGGGGGTGTCAAAGCCTCTGGGGGCGCCGCCAGAGGGTACTTGTTATACTCGAAATGAAGTTTGTTCGGACGTGCCTCACTTTTTTGACGCTGGAGAGTAGTGGAAGAAACCGTTTTCCGCGACATATTGTTGTATGGCCATCGAACGTCACCCTTGCAAACAGAGCAATCAAAAGGCTGTTCAAGGACCTCTCCAACCTGAAGAGTATAACTTCTATGGAACACAAACATGCTATTGATACAGGATGAGCGCTTGAATGAATTATACGAGCGAGAAAAGCGTTCCAAAAATACTACCTGCTCAGCCCATTACCTGGCGGAAGCGTGTCTCCGAAGTGCCGCCGAAATAGCGAAGCTTCACGTGAGCGCAGCTCTAGCCTGCGGCTTCAATGGTGCAATTAGTACTGACCTAGTTCTGTCTCCTCTGCATCCGGCAATCGCAGAAGGTGCTGTGGCGAGTGTTGCTTTTGAACAACCTGGCCCTCAAGACGGCGCAGCTGCCTCATCATCGGGTCCGCATGTCTATTACGCGGCACCGCCATTATCGTCCAGTTGGAGCACGAGCATAACGGGTTTCCACTTCGATGCACGCGCGTTTCTACGCGCTCACGGGGAAATGCTTGCGTTCACTGAAATGATGAAAGCGCTAGATCAATGGATACTGAACGAAAATAGCACGCTACTAGCTTGCGGAGACGCTGATAGTAATCACGGCAGCTGCCCATTTCATTTTGTTATTCATTGTAAATATGAGCAGAATGAGTATGAGCCGGAACCGTAGCTCTTCCTTTCATCTGCATTTCAGATTCGAAAGCAAATTATGTCTTGGTGTGGCATCCGCTTGAAATAGAGATACGACGGCCGTTGAATGGAGATGATTCTTGGGGTATGCAGTTCTACTCATCTGGAGGCGCACCAACTTTTCTAGCTAGTACTTGTGACCACTGCGTCGACTCCTGACATGATTTACCAGATACACCAACATCGCCTGAAGATTTTTTACATCGCAAATTCTTTTTGAGACCGCAACCGGTTCCTTACTTCACCGGCTTATATGAGGGGGCTGGAGGCCTTTTGTCGGAATTCTCGCGAAAAGAGTTGTCGGCAAACGCGCTCGTCGCTGAGATTCTCAACTTGTTGTCCCGCAATTTGCCAAGGGCAACCGAGAAGGACGGCGACGGCGATGCTGCCTCTCTGGGGGGCGATGGGGCGGAACAATTGCAAGATACGAATGATAGAAGTATCAAGGGTGCATCGGCCACTATTATCGATACGGAGCGTGCAGCTGTTGTGGCCGCGTTGACAAACGTGCCCGGCGCAGCTGCTTTGGCAGACGTAAAAGAACAGATTGCCAAAAAGCAGCATGAGGTCGTTGACGCTCGTAGGGAGGTCGTGGAAGCTGAGAAAGCACTAGAGAATTGCAACCCCTACGAAGATGATGAGATCAAGCTTCGCCGCGTAGTTTCATGGAAAAAGGGCGCGATGGACATGCTCACGCAGCATTATGCGTTTTTGTCGTAAAAGTCGTTGTAAAATCCACCACCATTTTGATGATTTTCTACAGCGAGCTAGTATCCACAGCTTCATCTTCACGTTCACGTCGCTAAAATGAGTTCTAATGATTAGTCTCGGAGCTGCAAGAGCAGGAGAAAGTTGCAACCGAGAAAGTGAGCGCTGCGCGACGGCGCTTGGAGCTTCAGGCGCGCAACAGGACAGCGACTTCTGCGCCGGCACCTCGGAAAGCGTTTTCTCTTTTGTCCGATTTCTTGCTGTTTCATGAGCCCATTTCTGAAGCGGACAAGGCGGCGGTTCTTGCGGACGCCTCCGGCGACAGCCAAGCACCGTCGAGGAGCGCGTCCAAAGATTCAAGTACCATCGTTCCAGATTCTTACTTAGCCAAAGCTGTTGGTGATGACGTGAATGCGATTGGAGGAGGCGATTCTTCTTCCGTTGATAGCCTCCAAGATGACCACAGAAGGGCGAAATTCGTGCGCCAGCGCGCGTTCGTAAGGCAGGGTGTTTTCAATCGAGTGCCGTTCGTCGTTCGCTTGTTGCCAGGGGGCGAGGCACTGCGCGATCCAAAATCTTTCTTGGATGGCATCATGAACGGCGCCGTGGTCGTCCCATCGTCAGCGACCTATTCAAGATCGATGGGCGGTGCCCGCCAGCCCTCAAAAAGAGGCCCACAGAGTCTGCCTAAGCACGCAGTCGAGATCTCGTTCTCGCGGAAGGCGCCACAGCGGGCTCTCCTATCTGCCTGCATCAATCAGACGACTCTTGCAGCAGATGCGCCAGAGCAAGGCAAAGTGTATAAGCCACTTTGGTCTCATTGCGTTGCCCCTACGTTTTTAAACGACGCGGCTCTCGGCGGGGATGGTACAACAACTTCCGCTTACCTGTAGAATTTACTAGTCATTACAAACAAAGGTTGTCCTCCTTGTAGAAAACTTGAGTTCACATCCAATTCGTCTGCATAGATATGCCTAGATCTAGTGTCTTCCCGTCAGCCCATTCCGAAAAACGACAGGTCTTGAGGTCGAACCTGTAGAGCATTGGTTGATTTTGCGGTCCTCTGGTGGTTCGCTGCGTTTTCAAGTGGGTCTCTGCGAGAACGGGATGTTCTACGGAGTAAACTGTAACGCCCAGAGCTTTCTCAGCTATGCTCACAATCCGATGGAAGTTTCGGACTTGTTACTCGAAAGTGAGGCATTACAATGCCTGGGACTGCTTCCTGGATGTCTACAGGCTAATCTTTTGATGCGGGAATTGCTACAGTCATCGAGCAGCGATGAAACAAAAAGGTGTGACGGCTCTTCTTTTGAACCTCATGGTGGTCCTGGTCGTGAAGCATCATCAATAGCGCCTTCATCAAGTAAGAGGAAAAATGATGATACTGGGATATCACCACTTCCGTTACTAGCGATGTTGCAAGCGGCTCTATACTACGATGTGAAAATGTGGCCTGTATCCTTCTCTTCGCGTGCTTGGGGAGGCATGGCATCTCCGGTGCTACTGCATTGCATCCTAAAGAAGCTCCAGCTGCTGTCACCGGAGCACTCATACGAAAGTTATGATCGGAATACTACAAAGAAAATCTTCAAGAAAGTCTCTCATCTCGAAAAAGAACAGCCCTTTTGAACGATGGGAACAGTGACGGAGCTGTTGATCTCTACTGTGATGAATTTCCTATGTACACCTCTTTCTAAAAAATGGAGCATTTCCAGTTGTTATTGGAAACACTACGCAAGGTTCCGAATGACAGCGGCAGCAGCCTTCAAACGCATGTGGACCTGCTAAAGTTACGAGGAATGTTTTTGCGTGCGACGATTTCTAATTTTTCTCCCGCATCACGACCTATGCAAACTAGTGCTTTAAACTTTTGTTGAGACGTGAAGAAAACCTACTATGCTGGCAACTCGAGTGCTAGCTACTCGTCAACAAATCGTTTATATATCAGCAAAAAATGACCCATTTGAATGAAAATGAGAACCACCTCTCGGCATGTGCATGTCAGTGATTATTTGAGAATGCATAGCGTCTAGCTCTACCTCATCTTCTAATAAAACGAATGGAATTGTCGATCTTGCACTCGACTCCGAAACGGATGAAGCAGGTCACTGCAGAGGACTTACGGTATGCCATCGACACATATGAAACCATGGACCTTTGCGGAGCAACGAAGTAGAACAAAAAAACAGAGAAAGTGAATCAGACGAATTGTCCGTGATTTAATAGTACTTACTCGTTACAATAATATTGGTGTTGGTGCAGTAAACTCTGGAGTAAGCAGTAGAGTGTGTCTTCGTCGTGTACAGAATCCATGAAATATTCCACACTTCTTTATGTAGTAGAAAAAATCACCTAGAGGTAAAGGAGGCGTTATATGGCGGAGTAGCGAAAACGCCCGTCTACGAAAAAAAGAATTGTCATCAAATGATTAGACCACATGTTCGTACGACTTCGTTTCCAAAATTACTAACGAGCACCTCCAGGTTCAGTCTCTGAATTTTTCCACGGACCAAGAACACTGAGAAAGAAGCGCTGAGTAGACCTTGTGTTTTCACAACTGCCCCGATTCTGATTCGACAAGAGAGTCCAGGCAAAGGGAGAGAAGAAAGTAACTTTTGTGCGAAAATCTAGAGGAGGTTGAGACAGTCCGAGTCGCGAGATGAGATTTACTGAGGGTCAGAATATTATTGAAGATCAATAACTGATATTGTCCATGGTACTAGAAGGATTTTCCATTATGCGCACATAATTCATTGGCGCAGCTTATACCTCCCACCTGTGTTGTGCATTATCTGCTTTGTTTACCTGATTCATATTCGCAACGAAACCCATTGATTGTTATTGTACTAGCCTTTCGATGACCCGTCTCAGTTCGTGATGATAATGTGATCACAACAATTGAAGGCATCTGAGAGGTGTAGTCATATATTGCGTAACTACTGGGTAAGTGACTCGTGCAGCTGCCTGGACGCCAGTCAAACAGAAGCTGCGACTGTAGGTATGGTTGTAAGTCGCTTAAGTAGATAGTAGTAATTTATTATATCAAATTGATGGTAAAAGCGCAATATTCAAGAATGCCGTCGTTGTTTGAATAATGCCACAGCCGTCTCGTTGACTGCAGCTTGTGTCCCCAGCCGCGCCGTCTCGTCTCTGCATTTTAGTTGCCGGTGCAGCGACCTTGTCTCTCGCCATCAAGGGCCAAAAGTTTTGTTGCTTGTATCTACTGCAAGCTCTTGCCTGTTTGAGCAAAGGACAGGTTATTCCCTCTTGCTTCCTAATGCGCTAACACGGTCACTGAAATTTTGGACTCGCTGGAGAATACAGCACGATGGGCGCTGCCATCGGGCGTAAGCAGTTGCGGCAGGTGGCCATAGACGACAACGCAAATTATTTTCTTATGCCCTTCAGAAGTGCTAATGCATAGTGTCAGTAAACATGACTATTACTGACTCCAATACAACGACAACCGCAGAAGAGAACTCTTACTATACTACTTTTTACACAGGAGAGGTCATACTTAATTGTGCGATTCTTGATTTAGGTTTTGGGTTTTCCTGCATCCATCACTCTGAGGAAACACAAGCTAATAGACTAATGAAAATTTGTTCTCTCTCTCTTTCTAATCGTTGAGACACGCAGGAGCGCAAAGACATCGAGTGGAGGGACCGCCCGGACGCTGAAGTCGTAATAGGAGATTGCCGAAGTCCGGAATGGGAGCAAGCTGACTCTATAGTATTCTCGAGGCCTGCTGATTGGACACTGAATTATGAAAATGAAACCATTCATGGGCTTTGATATCTCCATAGGCTAGAAGGTTAGTCTTAGTGCTGATGTTCCTTTCCTCGTCTGTGCGCCTGTGTGAGCACGACGACTGGCTATAAATGATTTTGTTTCCATGTAGCACACTTTTATTCTGAATCTACTTGTACTTACAGCGATTCGCGATGTTCTTGATTCTAAGACGCGCACACAAGACAGGGTCGCTTTTTCTCGAAAGTGTATCGCTTTATCGGAACATGGAAAATAGACCAGAATTGCTTGTTTCTCCGATGGGACGGTCGAGACGGGCAGATGGATGTCCTGCGAGCGGACCGTATCGACATTGCTTACAGCAACCCGCAGACCAAAATTTACGAGCGACGACGAAAGAACATGTAAATGTAGTGCATGGATGTGTTGAGTAAGTTGGACTAGGTTCTTTCCGGTAAAAGTATACGAAGATCATACAAAAGAAAACAATGTTTGACTTCGTTCTTTTCTTCTGTGGAGGTAAAAACTAAGAAGACGTGTAGTATTCTGGGCATTTTGATCGTTTCCACTACTATCCTCTTTCTTTCATACGCTGACGCTGCGCGTGACTGAGCCGGATGTGGTGCCCTTTTGGTTTACGCCAGACTGTGTCTCAAAGCGTTTTGAACGAAGTGACGAGTCCTTGAAAAATTTCGAGTGTGGTGTCTGCTATTTCGAGTTGTGGAAGACCAAGGTAAGGCCATCTTTAACAAATAGGGACACTGACTTAGCTTCCACCTTGAAAGTCTTTGTCAAATGCAGGCCTGAATCTAAAAGTAAAGTTATAGCGTAGGATACGATAATCTGTACTCCGAGTCTGTCCATCTTCTAGGTCTCTACTTGTTGTTTCAAAAAGAAAGGAAGTAGAAGTACCTCCAGCATGCTGTATACGATCATGATCTTTTGATTAATAGCTCTAAGAGAGGCTGCGGCAATGCGTCGCTACACTCGCCGCGTATGCGAGCATTACGTCCACTACGAATGCGCAACTCACCTCTTAGATGAAGCGAGAACGGAACACGGTTAGAATGCCTATCTTTATTGTGGGTCATGCATGAGGTAGTGAGTTAAGTTTAGCTATGAGAATTTACCAAATCAAGGAGCAACGAACTGCTTATTAACTTTGTGTTCGATGTCTGACCATCGCAAGGACAGATTAATCGTCATCCACCTGTAGGTCGCAGCGAGGCGGAATGCCCGGTGTGTGGTGCGCGTTTTAACGAGGTGAAGGAAGTCCCGGATATCTTGAAGGACCCTCGCGCGTGGTTTCAAATTGTAGATGCGGATTACGGAGGCGAGCTGAATCGCGCGGAGGTGCTTAACGGTCTTGGTACAACCTTGCCGATCGCAAGAGAAAAGCTCGAAAACGCGATCGAGAACCACTGGCACGAGTGGGACCCGGATGGTACTCAAGAAAGACAACTGTAGAAGATCAAGGGGAAGTGAGCAGCTTAACATAGGTAAACTGGTCGTTGCTGTTGAGAAGTCTTATTTCGCTTTCCTTTACCTTTTTAGTGATAAAGTCCGGGAATTTCGAAGAAAATGCTATACCTTCCTTCTATGATGCTCACCTCTTGCTCCTTATCACGATATTTCGTATAATAATTCCACCTTTACTTAGTTGAGTTTGCTCCTTTTCTTACACACGGCCAGGTTCCGGCACTATCACCGCGCGCGAATTTATGCTTTCAGGGGTTGGGTTAAAGGATTACATCATTCGGCATATCAAAGACCTCGAGGCAAAAGGCATGGGCGCAGCGGCACTCGCAGACATTCCCGATCTGGACACACATCCATACGAGTGGTTTGAATACTGGGATGCGGATGGTTCCGGCACTTTGGAGCAGCACGAGTTGGTCTTACGAACAGTTTTTTATTATCCTTCTCTTGTGGCGTATCAAGTATTTTGAATGGCGCCAGTAATCCGTTGGCTTTTCCCCAGTATTTTTATAAAGATATCTTACTATTGAAATTGATGGCCCGGTCGTTTGGGGTTGGATGCGATCTCCAGTAGGGTTAGGCATGGTGAACCGGTGCCCTTGGTCATGGCAAGCGTGATGGCCTATTGGAGACGCGAGCACTTCCCCTTAAGGTGGACTGAACGCCTTAGAGCTGTCCAAATTAGTCCCACCGCTCCCGCGCCCCTATCATAAGGGTGGCGCCCTTTGCTCTTCTTGCTATTCCTTGATGCGTGACGCGATCAAGGATCCACGGATCGACTAAGAGCCCGTGGATCGATCAAGGGCCTACGGATCGACCGAAGGCCCACGGATCGCCCAAGGAGTCACGGATCGACCAAAGAACGGGGAAGCTTATCACCGAAGACATTCAGCAACAACAGCACGCAGCCAAGATCAAGATGATCAATCCAAGACTTTTGGATCAGACACCCACGCCCACCAGAAGAGCGCCATAAGTAGCGCACTCTAGTGGTAAAAGTGAAGACCTGGAAAAGTAGCCAAGTTACTTGCTGAAGTTAGTGATGCCGATGAATCGACTGGACGGCGTTGAACAAGCAGACCAGCGAACACCTCAAGGGCAGAAATTCTTTCACTTCACAAGAGTGCGCCAGTTCTGTGGCTGTGCGAGTGTCCAGATCAATCAAAACGCCAGGCCTTTTCCGCACGTTGTTGCGTGCTGCGTGGCGCTTGAAATTGAACCCAGACAACTCGCCCATCCCTGAAGCTCTAGGCGTGACGCGGTGGGTGTCACGCGTCACGCAACAGCTCTACGGCGTTGCGTAAGTCCCGCCCCCCCCTGGCGCTCTCCCGCCTTTGGGGCCTGGGGGTGGGACACCAAGGGCGGAAGCATCCCGTCGACGCTTTTGATTTACTTAATTAACATACGTAGGGTTGCGAGTTCGTCTTTCCTGCTTTGCCACTGACAGTTCATTACGAGAGATGAGTGTGAGTGCAGCGTCTCTGATTCTTTCCTTCTTGTCCAACTTGCTCCTCAAGCTCGAATATCATAATATCAGGGACCACTTTGGAGCACTTTCTCAACTCACATATATGTTACTAAATGATGTCTCTACACGTGCGATTCATCCACGACGTTGACCAGGTAGTTGCATGATCATTCTATTGCTTAAGTTAGAATACCTACAACGTAGGAAGGCAGGCCGTGCACCGGAACAAGGATTAGAGAGACTACTACAAACACGTCTAATGCTGCGGGCGTTCATTCGTACTTTCTGCGTGACAAATTGGGGAGAGCCCATATTGCGAAGGGCCTTCGATATGCGGAAACTAGCCGTCGTTGTCTGGAACGAGTTGGGCTTTCATCCACTAGACATTATGATGAAGCAAATTGAACTTCCCAAATCGGAACGCTATTTCTCTAATAGGTAATTTCGTGTGGTAAGGTAAAGGTCATCTTGGTTCAAGTTCAACAACAAGAACAGCCCACACGACTAGATGATAGATATTTGCCGACCGGGAAATTGGCTTACAAAACTGATGTCACATGCTCTAATGTCGGCATCGATTTCGAAACGTTTCTCGAACCCGACGGACTGGCGGATACCTTTATTCACAATCAGATTCACTTAAACGCTTTCGGCAGCGGCAGCGCAGGCTTCTAAGTCTAACTACTATTCTTGACTATTGGGGGTGGGTAGTGAATATCAATGCTGGATGATGTACATCATTTTCGTTACTGTCGGTGTCGATGATGTAGACATGGGCCTGAGAGGACCTAGTAGAACTAGGAAAATAAGCAGAGGAGATCCAGGAGAGTCGTAGGTCCAATCCGAATCGACTAACGTCTTCGCGAGTGTCTACTAATGCATCCAGGACTAGCACGAAAAAAGTAGGACGAACGGCAATCTAAAACTACGTTCTTACTCTACAGTCCGTAGCCATTTTGGCTCAAGGAATATATAGTACTCTCACAGGCTTTTGTATAAATGCGAGGTTGTGCTGCAAATCTTGATTGGCTTTTGCCCGTAAAACGGCGAAGGTTTAGGTCCAGCGACGCTCAAAGCACTAAATAAAATAACCGGTTAGTTTTTACCTCTCAACCTTAGGCTTATCCCATGATGCAACATATTCGAAGAACACGCCTTGAGTTGTAGTCATGATTTTATACTATGTATCATGACCTCCATGAGAATGAGTACTTGATGATGGAACACAATAATGTGAATGAAACCGAGACAGAATCCAGAGTCTTGGGGCAAACATCTCGCGGCAAGATACCGACGTAGAAGTAGATCCACGAATTAAACAATTTATTCTTACTATTTTTTCAGTTCTTCCGTATCGTCCTTACCCATAATTTACTATCACTATCATGGACAGTTTTTACATCTTCACCTACTGCTACAATCATTACCAGATTTCTAATACGATCATTCACTAGCATGACGAATTTATTGATTCATTATATATAAGTTCATGCCACCGACTATCCACTGTAATCAACATTCACTTAGAGCTCTCACGATATCAACAACACAATCCTGTATCTACTAGTTGGCTCCGTTCGTGGGAACAAATACAAGCCAAAATCTAGGGTGAATATCGATTATAGACCTTTGGAAAACTAGAGTAAATCGAGATACACATTGAGCACTTGCGCATGGAGTTGGGCGAAATCTTGTCATGAAATCAATGGCGATAGAAGCCATCATCTTTGAGTATCCTTATGTAGAAGCAAATGAGGGGACATCGACTAAATAGAGGTCATGATTGAAGCAGTGTTGAGTGGTGCTGTCATGAATAGGAGGAGTCTGGTTTTGGAACTACGCAGGTATTCGCATTTTAATATCTTCTGCATTCTACATTGCACCGACGTGCTATACCAGTAGGTGCAATATCTATTTTTGCTCCCGAAGTTATGATTATCAATCGCTTTGAATGGGGATGCACTTATGAAATAATGCCATATTGACGATGAAGAGTACAACCATTAGCGATTGTAAGCCTGAGTCTTGCTCTTCCTGTCGCAAGCGAATGTTGGGGGTGAGTGCTGCTCGCTGAAAGAAATATGGATGATGTGAACTTTTTCTTGTGTTGTTCCATGATGCCAAGCAGTATCTGCTTGATCGCATAAGTCAGACCACACCAGGAAAAATTGGTCATAATAGAAATTGTTGTTTTGGAGAAAGATGAATGCATAACTGTTGAAGGTGACGAGTGACTGTTTTGCAACGAGCGACCGTTTGTTCATCTGGCAGGATCTAGTACAAAGTTGTTCCCAAGGACGATCTTGTTCTAGAATGCGATACACTGATCCTGATGTGCTCCCAGCACCAAGTGCAAGGTGTGCTGGTGGGGGATGTGCGCTATGGCTTATATGATCTTCCTCGTGTGAAGACCGTGAAAAAGGAGCAGGTGTTCGGGAAACCAAAAAAGACTAAGAACAAGAACGGAACTCTGTCCAGAGGAAACAAATGCTCTGTAAAGCATGAGATTACGAGTAGATGAATCAATTCCGACGTGTCTTTTTATTGTCTGGCAGTGCTGAGAGAAGAGTCTGGTGCGCAATCTATGCAAACGGCTTAAACTGTTTTTGTCAGGTGGACTTGGTTGATTTCTTTATTTTACCCTTATTTCTTCAGATTGATGACTGAAGAGCAGGAGCCAGGTGCACCATCTCCTTCTGCTCTAATCAAATTAATTTAATCAGGTAAACAAACCTTCAAATCTGTTCAACAATTATCACTTTCAGCAGGATTGTCCTCATGTTGAAGAAAGTTAGTTTATGGTTCCCACCGCTTCGCCCATGATTTCTTCGTTATTTTTCGGCCCACTTGAATAGACTTTTGTAGTCGGTTGTGATGTAGAAACAATAAACTACAAACCACACATTTTTATATATACTCGCTCCTAGTAAGGTACCCTTGGCGTTGAGTACTTGATAAATCCTTGGGAGAAGTACGCAGAAGCATTCTGCTCTTCCTGCGCTCTTCATGATTTGTCTTTGATTGTGCAGTAGCTAGAACGCCAAGCAGGATTCGTTCACATATTCACGGACGCGTGCAGCTCTCGGCGTGCTAGAAGACTGAATCCCAATAGCGAAATCAATAGATGAGTTAGCGAACGAAGCGACATAAATTCTGTTGCGCGAACGACAATTTGTGATCCAGTAATGCATATTTGTCTCACTCAGAGTAGTTGCGATCGCCTTTAGCTTACAGACAGATTGAGTGCGGCAGCGTTCTCGACCATTCTTGGCGTGTTCCTCTGTATACAGATTCTTGTCAAAACGAATCATAATCCCACAGTTTAGATAGAAAAAAGTCAAAGAGGCATGCTCGCTAATGGATGTTATAGTACCTCCAATGAAAAGTGATTGAGTCAGGGTAATCCAGCTAATCTCTTGATATTTAGGAAGCCTTGGAATTTCAATTTTCTTGCTTTATGTCGTCGATTTCCCACCACAGGAGTCAATGGCAAAAGCGGTTGTTTCTAGGTAATTTTTTTGCTGACGCTGCCCTTTACCTATGGTTAATTCTTGGTTTCGACTACAACGAGACTTCCAATCTCCTGTATGGACTGGCTTCTTGCTGGGTAAGAAATAGGACATAAGAAGGTACTTAGAAGTACTATGATTATTTCTATTCGGCAGGCGTAGGCGTGCGCAAGAGACCGACGTCGCCGTCGCGACATATTTGGGTCACGTTTTAGTCTTCAAAGTACTTAGGAACAGCCAGATAAATACATCAAATTATAAGCCACTTTAACGACACTAGTAAATCATTTAAGAGTAAGTACTTAGATGATATTGAAATTTTAAAGTAGCATCTAAGTAGTTGTATGATAAATTTTAAGCTCGAATAAGATATTAGGCAACGGCAACTACTAGTTAGATATCAGAAGTCGATGATGTCCAAGGACGACGAGCAGCCGCAGAGCGGCAATCCTGCGGTGCAGAGTCTGCGAGATATTCAGCATCAGAGATGGTTGCAGCAGAAAAATTCAACTGCCGGCTCAGGAGGTCCTACAAATTCTTCTTCTAGTTCATCAGGGGGTGCTGCAGCTGCGCCGCCAGGAGATCGTGCTTCTAGCGGTGCAGGGGGTTCTTCCGGAGCCCCTGCGTCTGGAGCGAGTGCCGGCTCGGTATCCACTTCAGCCACGACTTCGTCGGATGGAAGAGTGTCTTCATCAAGCAGTTCTGGAGCGGGGACGGTTACACGAGGCGGATCATCTTCTATTAAGGCTAACATTATAATTGCATCTTGAGTTTTTGTACTTCGTTTAATAGATTCAGGAAATGGTGTTATTTTTGTAACAACCAGGGACAAGTATCATGATTTCAGTGGTTCCTTGTTCTTGATGCACATACAACTGAAAATGAGCAGCATCACTAGAACAAGCCATGGAGATCTAGATGCGTCCTGGACTCCTAGGAGCAGCAAGTATTTAGCGTGCAACAGGTTTTCTAACAACGGTTGGACAGCAAAATTTTCAGACCCCTAGCAGTACAAATGGATTCACAAACGAAATCTAATCATAGCACGTCAAATTCCGTGCGTAGCCCGAAGCGGAGCTCCCGGGAGTCTTTACCCCTGACGAAGCTGGAGAATCCGGATGCGCCATTCCTCCGGAAAGTTCATATTCTGCCACTCGGGATTGGCCAGCGCGTTCCCGACAATTTGCTTTCGTTTTTGAAACCGTGTCTCTCCAAATTCCGGCAACAAAAACGGATGCTGTACACGGGAATGGTCTTCGAGCATGAAGGAAAAGACTTCGTTGTCATGAAAACGGATCCAGAACCAAGAGACAACTTCGGCATACTCGGACCAGAAACTGAGTACTCTTCGCAATCGAGTTGAGAATCATGAATTTGGCTTATTCCTCACTCATCATCATTGTGAACAGGATATCATCTTGCAAAAAAGAAATGGTAGAATTATGAAATATCGAAATCCTGCTTCATAGTTCATACACGGTATTTTTTACTTTCACTGTGTTTTACTTCATATAGGTACTACTTTGCGGGCCCCCCCGTTGCGCGGTTCAAGCGCATCCAATTTTCGGCGTTGACAAATGTTTTACGGCGGGTTCCGGCGTCCTCATCTAGTACTAGTGCTACCGAAGAGGGCGAGGGGTCGTCTAGTGCTGCGCCGGCGGAAACGCTAGAAGTGGACGAAGATTTGCGGAGCTACACGACAGAGAAGCTCTTTCAAGAGTTGATTGCCCCTTACTTCCAGGCACACAGCGACAACGAAAAGCAAGGTGGAATATTCAAGTTGCTGAACGTAAACGAAACCATAACAATCAAGGGCGTGCAGTTCGTCGTGATGGCCACAGATCCACAAGCTAGTTATGGTACTTCTACCCTATCCATAACCATATTTTTTATAGCTGTAGAATTTTTTTCGTTATTTAACTACGGTACGAACTCTCGTGCTCTTTTTGCATAAAAGACCAACAAAGAAACCACCACTCGAGAGACAAGCAATACTTGATTGATTCCTTGTTAACATATTGATCTTGATACTGTTCGAGTAGCTCTCCTCCTCAGGAGGTACTACTGCACTGGTTGGCCTCACAAGTAGACAATAATTAATAGCTACACAAGAGGCACCATGACATGACGTTTTTCAAAAAGAAGACCCCGGCGGAAGCCAAGCTCATGGATTGACTCAAAATAATCACAATGTAAATTTGTCTCAGGTATTGTCGACAAAGAAACGCTGATATATGTAGATAAGGACGATACTCCAGAATACAAGCGAATACACATCGTGCCATTTCAAGACACACTGCCGAGGAGCTATCAGTACTTGAAATTTTGCTATCAGTATTTGATATTATGTTATTAGTACGTAGTAGTTTGTACTATGCATCAGATTCAGTATCACTGCGTCCCCTGTATCAACAAACACAACCTTTTGAGACACAGGAATTACATCTCCATTGGCCTTCATTTTGAAACTTGACGTTTTTGTTCTTGTATATTGGAGGTCGTCGTTAGCAGTTCTATGTATAGCCTATGGATACCCCAACTAGCGCAACATATTTTCATTTGATGTGTCTCAGGTATGACGTATTCAACGACTACTTGAAGCCATATTGCAAGGCTCATGTGAATCAGCGGTACCGCGTCAACGACGTATTTACGTACAACGCAGTGCAGTTCAAAGTCGTCTGTTGCGATCCGGAAGAGCTCGGTATAAAACTTCATTATGCTTTTTAAGGAGATCTTGATATACGTAAATATGATTAAATCTATGAAAAAAGATACACTTTAATTATGGTATGAGGTTAAGCTTGAGGCTGTTTGATCATCGCCACTGTTCATCAAATTGTCTAGAACTTCGATGCAAACTTAAAGTTGTCGTCGTAGATGCTAATTTGGTCGTGAATGATGGTTTTCCACGCCTGGATGCTACATGAATACTAGGTGGCACGAATAACGCACCTGGAACTGGCGCGAGAATAGGACGTAACACAACGGTCTACTGCGAAGGCGTACTGCATCCGCAGCTGCGAGACTTGCTGCCACCAGAGCTCGTTGCGCAGCTGGCATATCTGCCGCCAGGCCTGCAGATGCTTCTGTTAAGATTGCACAGATTCTACTTACAACTTAAATAAGAATAACTTCAAATCAACAGCTGGACGAGCTTGTTTTAACATGAGAAGTCTGATTGGGGTTCTTTTCCCAAATCTGAATCATAATGATTGAAATTGGATTTCTAGGCAAGTTGGCGGTCTGACTGTGCTGCTTATTCATCGAAGATATTAGAGGTTGTAGATCTATTCTTCAAACGAGTAGAACTAGAATGGATCAATATAATCAATCTTTCGCATGATAGATTTCGCCAACTTCTAATTCAGTTGAGCACGGACGCTGTTGGCGGCAACCAAGAACTCTTCGAGCGCTTGATGGAGGTCCAGGACATGCTCCAGCAGCGAAGAGGTATAGAGATTTAGTGAAGCACTCCTAGCAGTGAAAACAGATTATCGTTATTCGGTAGACTGGATATAAAGTTACCGCGGAAGCAATGATGATGACTCTATCATCGGACTAGCCCAGGCATAGTGAGCCGCAAAGAAGGCTAATATCGCTTAAATCTGATTTCTTGAAAGCAGGACACCAGTTATACGCGAGGAAACGATCTCGCTCAAAACGATGTTACTTATTTCTTTACACAAGGTATGAGCGAGGAAACGATCTCGAACGTGGAAAAGGTGACCATTGATCTGAACCAACTTCGCGAGGACGACGGCCAGCTAACTTGCATGGTTTGTCTCTGCGAGTTCGAAGATCAGGAGGAGGCGCGAAGGCTTCCCTGTAGGCATACGTTCCACGCTGGCTGCATCGACGAGTGGCTTCGAAGGAGTTGTGAGTGCCCAATCTGCAAGCACAACGTAGACCGCACGTTGCGCAATTACTGACGAAAGCGAACGCTTCGTTCATCTACATGTGGTTACTTATGCGAACGCAGCATGACAGCGTAAAGTGGCCAAGGCGCTTGCGGCCCGAGGTAGGCGTCGCTCGTCTTTTCTAGTTCAGCCTAGAAGACACAAAATAAATGAAGTCCTCACTAATTGATCTCAAAGAGAATACTCCAAGTTCCACCCTTCTGTTGCAGATCGATGCTCATCGGAATATATATGATTTGGGGCCCTGGATCATATATAGCTTTCTTAGAAGCAAAATGAATTGTTGGAAAAATGCGGTTGTAACATCTCCTGCAGGACGAGAGATGAAAATGATACTAAGCTCGATAATAAATGGATTTACACAACTTTTACATATAATTTCTCCTTCATCAATGACTGACGAAATCAGCACTTGCATTCATGCTCAAAGAGTGTGTCCGATGTAAGCAAGACAAGCAAGCCATGCGTCGAAGTGATTTACATGCGGATTTACAAAGTGCAACTGGCCTTTTCCAAAATTCACGAAACCATTTCTGTCAAGCGATAAATAATACAGTAGATTGATCATGCTAAACATCGTAAAATCGGACACTTGCGGTCACTTTTTGATGGGGAGCGGAGATGTGTTCGTCCTCAAAGTATCCACGCTACGTTGCAGAGGACATCGCTGCTGGGTAGATCTGTATCTGATCTCTCACGCAATCGATGCGTGTTGCATCCTGATCTGAGCGAGGCAAACAAAAATTATTTTCCGCTGGTGCCTATTCTCGATGAAAAATTTGACTTAAGGCAATCACGGTGGTCACATTCAAATCAAGTTACCAAAACAAAGATTATTCCAGAGAGCCACAAACACAATCAGAATCATGATGATTCTTTTACCGACAAAGGAGAAGCAGCTGGAATTGAGGAGTAGAAGTGTGGCTATTTGATAGAATTTTAGACCTGGGTGCCGGTTGTTTGTAATGCTCATTTGTAAACTTAGTACCAACGGCTGCCGCGGCGTAAGCAGGGTCGACCCTGCTCGTACTTACACAAGTTTCATGCCTCCAGAACAACAAAGCCTGGGCCCCAACGCACTGCGCTACCAGCCACGCTGCCGACCACCTTGAGGGCGAGCACAGTTGTGCAAAAATGTGGTGGGAAAAACGTAGACGGACAGGATGGGATGTCGAGATACAAACAGACGTTCGTTACATGAGAAAACAACAAAACAGATAAAGATAAAGATATGTACATTACAAACGTGAAGGTAACACACTGCCGTTGAAGCATTAAGATGAAGGAGACGCTAGAAAGCAGGACGATGCTGATCTACACCTGGCATAAAATAATCATCGATCTGACTATGAGTCTAAGCTACTCAATTAAGGACGCATCGACTTCGCACCGTGCTCAAGGATTGTGCTGCAGAGACATACACATTGACATTTAACATACCTAATCAACAAGGAAGAAATACAAATACGTCATCAATATCAATCAAGGAGGAACTGCCTTTCTGTGGAACAGATAGACGGCTATATCGACCGCTTCTGTACTAAATTCCGACTGTTGGAGTTGTTGTAAAAATGTCAGGACCTCCTGAAGAGCTGTTTATCTCTACCGTTGTTATAACAGAGGAGACTTGTAATACATCAGAGCCTTGACATTACAAAATCAAAGAAGAAGCGGTTTTCTGTAGTCCTCCGTGAAACAGAGGAGCAGTTTTTAGACGTGTGATTTCTCCCGAATTCGTGCACGTCTACATTGTACCTTTCACAGCTCGTGGTCGTACTACAATTACGAATGTCTCACAACCCCTAACACATACTTCTTTATTACAGCGGGAGACATTTAACAAAAACCCTAACTCTAATTGAAGCATTTCTCCCTCTACCCGGTACACGTAATTGTTTTGCTTCATCATGTCACCTCTACTTGTACTAATCCTTCACCAGCTGGTACAACACTTTCTTTGTAAATCGTAAGCGATGTCCAGGACATGGATTAGCACTAAAAACTCTTGCTCTTCTTTATTCGATTGCTTACTTGAAAATCATGCGAGGCTTGATCGATGTGGTGGATGAGTCAGATCGGCCAGCATCCTCGGAATGGAACAGGAATGACTGGGCACACAGAATGTCAGCCTAATCCAAGGCATTGAGTCACAACTGAGGTGAGATGTTGCGTATCATGTAAGTAGAAGACCAGCGCGAACTTAGCTTGTGCCCCCAATCAACGTTTTCTGCTCACCGTGGATGCTGCCATGATGAACACGAAAGTCACGGAATGTGAGACTTTCAGAAACCCAAAGCGGGAAGTATTCTTTTCGGAGGTCAGTACGTAGTGCATGACTATTCTAGTAATACAAATAGAATGGTAGACGCATGGATCTCTTGTTCGGGGTTTGGACCTGCAGGGTCTCTTGTTCGGGATTGCCTGAAAGAACTCAATCAGATCGAGTGCATCATTATCTTTATCCTCATACAACCACGACCACCTTCGTCATTTAGCACATATCTATTTCACATTTGGAGGGGCACCACCAGGAGGACAAAAAATGAGGGGTGCTTCCTCGCGCACCGCTGCCGTGGTGGTAGCAGCGTTTGCGTCTTGTTCGCCAGTTGCAAAGGGAGAGCGACCTATGGCAAAGGTTATCAAGCTGTTGAGGGATATGGGCAAGCAATTGGAAACGGAGAAAGCGGACGACGACGCGGTACACGAGCATTATCAGTGTTGGTGCAAGAAAGAAAATTAAGGCTATCGTAATATCCTTCATCCATTCGACTGAAATATCTTGGCAGAGTAACTAATGTAGCTCGATCGTCCTCGTATCATGAACCAACGATGGTAACAGGGACACCAGCTCGCATCGTCCTCGTATCCTAGCTGGGCGTCCAGGGTTGAGAAAGGCAGCCTCATAAGATGAATTGGCAACTAGCGAGATGCTCATGTTCAAGGTGCTCACGAATAATGAAAATTTTAGAGAGTTTCTAGTACTTCTAAGAAAAAGAAGCGAAGGACAATGTCGTCAAGCTCGAGTCCGCGAATATGGCAACGGCAAAGGCTTCAGCGGAGGCGTCTTTCGCAGAAGAGAAAGAAAAACGAGCTGTGCGAAATAAGGCGTACGACGACATGAACTCAAAGAAGACGTCACTCCAAGAGGTACTACAACATCATCTGCTTCAGTAGTTGTAGACGCACAACCACAAGGGTATAATACAAGCGGATACACTCAACGAATGTCAAGCTGGGATCGGCGCATGAAAATAGCAACTACTGTAGAAGATTGTGTCCAGTACAAACTTGCACGATTGAGGATCGCTAGGCGTAGAAGTAGAGGTGATACATAAATGATGGTTAAACTGTGGCCCATCGGAATCAGGGCCGCGGGCCTTTTTGTGGGGGTAAGGGTAGGAAATTTCCTTGGACTTCGATGTAGGTGCAAGAACAGTTCACCTATTGTCTCGTTGACTGTTTCGATTCCTGTCGCAACTGCACAAGACAAACATAGAAATTGTCCCTTCTCTAGGGGCAAGCACATTATTCAGTCACTCCTCGAAAATGTGCAGAATTAGTCCCGGGATGCGTTTGTGATTACTCCGTCTCGTATTAATCATTTCACCCACGACCAGACACGAGAGCGGTGTATGTCTGAAGCGAAGGAGGCGTCTGCAGAGGCACAGGAGTATGTGAAGACAATTACCGCATTGAAGTCGGCCTTGACTATACTTGGCGGACACAACAAGGGTCTCCTGCAGATGGACGCTCGCAAAAACGCACAGCTTCGTAAACTCGTCGATGATCTCCTCTTATGGCTATCGTTAAATTATTGGCTCTTGCAAGCGAATCAATGGGTAAGCATTCACTTTGCTCAAAATTCACGGTCTGCTAAATTTTTTCATAGAATTACCGGTCTTTACAAAATTTGGCGGCTGGGTGGACCGAACAAGCAAAGATAGTTGTAACGTTCGCCGCTTTGTCCACTTGACTAGCATCGCATAACGACAGCTGGAGAAATGCATTAACAGCGCTAATTCTGGACTCCTCGGTGATGGAAAAGCTTCAAGATACAAAGCCAGAACGGCTGCTCGAACTCCAGAGCCTTTTAACGTCTGCAGAGCCTAAAAGCGTTAGTTTTCTGCAGCAGCCGGTCTACTCTAGTTACAGCAGCCAGAGCGGAAGGATCTTCGGTGAGAGTTTACTTCAACATCATATAATATGAAAATGCCGGAGTGGTCATGATATGTGTTTCTGATCTTCCTTCTATGTACTAACAAGGACGTGAACAAGTTGCCTAAAGTTAAAGGAGTGCTTTTTCCATCTGCGGTAGTTCTCACCCACGCGGCTGTGTTAAAACACCATCGCAATAGGTTTTCGCACGTTCCTACTACAAGTGCTGTACAACAACAATGACAATCTCTCTCCTACCAGTGACAACAAATAGCGTTCTTGTTGGTTGTCTGAATACTTCTGGTGGAATGGCACGTAACAGCACTGAAAACAAAGGTATTCTTTCGCAGATGCTAGAGGAATTCGAGCGGGATTCGTCAGCGGCTGCAAAGAAGGAGGAAGAGCGTCAAAAGACATGCAAGTCCGTCATTAGGTCAACGCAAAGGGAAATATCTGCCTTGCAGACGACAGTCACGAATTTGGATGCTCGGCTCGGAGAATTGGTGCAAACGAATGCGGATGCCAAAGCGGATTACGCAGCAGCAGACGAAAAAGTCGAGCATGCTAAGGAATTCTTGGTACTTCATTCTAATAGAACAAATAAGTTGCACTGAAGTATACTATCCACTGTCTTTAAAGTTCCGGCTATGTTGAAGCCGAAAGCGACATTTTTTTAGAACGAAGTCGCTTGTTCTGGTTTGAAGCTTCATGCGTAACAAATGAAATCAAAAAAATCTAAATCTTGTCTACCTAAAGAGGTCTATGTGCTACGCAGTCATGATGATGATGATAAATATGACCTTTTTGATAGTTGCGAAATCCCTTGTTTCTTCACGTTTTTCCATGGAATTGTTGGTATCTTGTGCGGCTAACGAAAATATCACAGGACAAGCTAGCGTCGGAGTGTGCGCAGAATGAAAGCGACTATGCCTCCCGCACGAAGAGCCGCAACGAAGAGATGCTCGCCATAGAAGACACGATCAAAATCCTGGACAACGATGAGGCCTTCGAGGCCTTCGGAAAGAGTCTGTCTTTTTTGCAGACTCACACGGCGACTAAAACGCGGGACCAGGACGCCAAGAACGCAGCAATGTTCGCGCTGCGTCCCTTTGCCCAGCGCTCCGCGGATGCGTTTCTGATTCAGACCATGATAAAAGCTGCGGACAAGAGTAGCATGGGCAGGGTGATCGAAGCCATCAAAAAGCTGATCGCAAAGCTCAATGCGGAGCAGAAGGAGGAGGTTGTCTTCCGTGACACCTGCGTTGCCGACGTTGATGACATTGATGCCGAAATGCGGGTACTACACCATGAATATGACTTCACGGTTACAAATCGAATTTCCCATGCTCTATAGATTAACTGAGGACGAGTTGTTGCATATTGACTATAAGAATATGAATAAGCAATGGGTTCTTGAACTCGGTATCAAACAGCTTACCGAGATTCTGTTTGCCGATGTTCTCCTAGGTAAAGACGGCTTCCCGCGCGAAGAAAGAGAGTGAGGCCGGAGAGCTCGAAGCCAGCGTTGAAGCACTTACTGCGGCCCTGGACTCACTGAAGAAGTCTACTGAGGAGATGCAAGCCGACATTCAGGGTGCGAGTGAGCAGCGCGCCGAGGAAAACAAGGCCTTTGTCCAGGAGAAGCAAGAGCACGATGCGACCCAGGCGATTCTGATGAAGGCAATCAAGCGCATGCACCAGGTATACGGAACCACGAAGCAGTATGAGCAGGAAGGCATCGTAGCCGGCGAGGCTATGGTGCAACAGCCAGGAGCAGACGTGGTTCAGTTCTCTTCTACCGCAGACACGCCAGGCTCCGCACCGGTAGCGTTCACGAAAGGTAGTGCAACCGAGCAAAATGCCGGCGGCAAAAAGGTAGTGCTTACGTTTCTCGCTTAAGTGATGGAACGTGTTGAACTGACAGAAGAATCGAAAAAGAGGAGGCGTCTTTTTCTAAATTTATGATAACGTAGCTTTCCCCGCTATGACGATGAAATTCTTTTTCATCCAAAGAAATTCAAACACTGACTTCATTCGTGACTCCGCTTCTTCTAGGTGATCAAGCTGCTGGAAGATGTTATTGCGGATAGCGAGAAAGATGAAGCAGCCGCAGAGCAGGAGGAGGCTGATAGCCAGAGCGCGTACGACGACTTCGTGCGTAAGACGACGAACATGATCACGGCAAACAAGAAGGACGCTGCGCAGAAGACGGAACGCAAGGCCGCTGAGGAGATTGCGTTGGGTGATGCGAAGAGCACCGTCAAGTCGCTGGGTGACGCTCTATTCGATCTGACAGAGCAAAACAAGGATGTGCACGCCAAGTGCGACTTCGTGCTGGTGAACTTCACTAAGCGCCAGGCGTCCCGAACAGCGGAAGTCGAAGCGGCTCAGACCGCCATCCAATACCTGCAGGGAATGGCATAACCCGGAGATGAGCACTGTCTGGCGCTCGATATCCTCTCCTGCCACTTCTCTCTAAATTCAAATTTATGTCTTCTTCTCTTGTAGCTGCTGTTGCAAATTTAGATTGTATGCGTTGCATTTCCAGGCTCAAATTCTAGAAGCGATGCACACCATCCGTACTGTACAGAATGATAGAAAATTGCAAATCGTAGTGGCATATTCCTATTCGATTATGAGATCTTTGGCACATCATGAACCGATGCTTGTCATTCCTGGCTAGTGTATCACTCTGTGCTCACAGTGAGAGTATTGTAATGGCATTCTCGTATCATAGTTTTTTATTATCAATCTCGCCATTTTGGCGTGATGTTTTTAGAGAGGCACCCGCACGGTATTCAGTTTGAATTTCGATAAAAGATAAAATGAGCTAAGGCTGAACGTCGAGCCCGCGAGCCATGTAAAACGCTGTCATAATCCCTTCACAACAACTACGTATATCTAAAGATTTTGTTAGGCGAGTACATTTTGAAAAATGTGATGTATTTTTTTTTGTTAGGTTTAGGTCACATGGCAATGAGGGTGTGGTTTTATGGCACTTATGATTTCCGTGGTGTATGGTTTAATCAGGTTTAGGTCGATGCATTTACTTACTTTCGAGTTTTAGATTGCTGCTGTTCGTGATGCTGCGTACGAAAACTTTTTTCTGGTATGGCAATTTGGGTTTAGAAAGTGATAGATTCGTAGGGATGAATGGAGTAATGGAGCCGAACTTGTGTCGCATATCATAGAAATGTGAGCGGAAGAAAGCAGAGGTGCATTATTGTCATAATGATGACCATGTTATGCAAGGACTGGAGTACCGTTGTTGTGGCCTTTCTTGGCTAACCCTTGAACGCGAGGCTGGTGCTTCTGGTGTAGCATTGCTCAAGTAAATGACATAAAATTCGGTATGATCCACACCTTACGCAGCATGTAATTTCTGTTTGCTGCAAAATTCGGATCATGCTTTCTGTTGCTGCGCGCTTAGGAACAGTATGAATATCATGGAATTTTGTCTGTGTTTGTGACTCTACCTCTAACTCGCATGCTTCGGTGAAAGTAATCATTTGTGTTGATTGTATTCAGGTATAATGCGCAATCGGTATGCTTCGCATTTCCGCGCTTTGTTTATGGATTTGGGGCACAAGGTGTGGCAATTCGGGCAGCTCCTGGTGTAATGAGCTCTGTGTTTCCCTACCCCCATGCAATGGAGACACCAGCCCCGATAGATACGGCACGGTCCCGTAAGTCATGCTCTCTCGGACAGTTAAGTAGATTTATGTGATGAGCGGTGTTGTCAGATTTATGTGACGAACGGTGTTTGTAGAAATTTGTTTTTTTAGATGCGCTTCAAGAACACGTCGAACGTGCCTCGATTGATATCATGCAGCCAGTCCTTGGAAAAAGGCAACAATCACCGATCCTGTACAATTGATAGTACGTCTTTAGACGAGGCGCAGAAAAAGATGGCAACAAATCCAGGCACTGTTTTGAGCTGGCTAACGCCAACCGAGTGCAGCCTAGTCCCCGATGAGGCCTCTATAAGGTCTGGAACAGGATGCAATGCGCGCAGACGGCAGGATCTACGCTCTGGTGCAAGTGGCTCTGCAGAACATAAGCAGAGCAGACGACCAGCTGCAGCAGCGATACATCCTCCGAAGTCTGCCACTGGACATACGAGCGCCGTTCGAAATGGTAGAGCATCGACTAACACAGATAGAAGACACACTGGTCCAGGAGGATCGTCTGTGAAAATGCAGCACGGGGGCAGCGCGTCCTCTTCGGGGTCAAGCTTTTCGCAAGACAGGGATCCGCACTTCATTCCGGCGGCTGCTGTCGCTGCGGGTCGAGGTGGATTCCATTTTTATCCCGACATGCAGCATGTTAGAGCAAGCGGCTTCTCATCTCTGACGTCGTCTCTACCCGGCGGCGGAGGCAGTAAACGAGGCTCGGTAAACAAGCGTGACTCGGCGCCAGCTCGTGGAGGACGGCGCGTTCTCGGAGATAACGGAACGCTAGACTCCGAGGGATTCCTCGACGAAATTGAGGATCCCAGCCAAGTTGGACTCTCGCTCATGCAACAGAAGGCGTTACCGAAATCACCACCGGAGCGTGATGACGGACCCACGCGCATCTACGGCGCAGATGACGCCTTGTTGCAGCCAGAGGCGAATTTAGGACACTTCGACCAAGAGCGATACAGCCCACCAGATCCACAGAAGTACGATCCTGCCGATCTAGCAACACTGCGAAATCGGAATCGTGTAGAAGTCGAAAAGTTGAAAAGCTATTTTCAAGCACAGAAGGAACTAGCGATGGCGCCCGGAGGTTCAGGGGGGATCGGCGAAGCCTCTTCTGGCACGGCGGGAGGAGCGACGGCTGGTGCATCACCCGGCCAGGGGTCTGCAACCCTCGCGTCAGCTTCTCTTCTAGCCGCGCTAGACGCCGCAACGCTGGCGCGATATCGCGAAGAAGAAAGGATGATGGCACCGAGCGTCGGCGTACCGGGTGGCAGCATTCCTCGAATAGATGAAGACGGTGCAACAATGTTGGTGCCACCGAGCGTAAGCCTGCTGGGCTCACCGCCAGAAGCGGACATTGGGCCAAATGCAGCGCGTGGTTACCCGGTCCACCACGATCACAGCTTTGAAAATACGGTTGAACTCATTGCGTACAAATATGATCCGGAAGCCGGCGCGGACCCCCCAGACGCCATCCGCCGAGACATCATCGGCGGTGCGGTACAACCTTTTAATTTCATTTGAACGTGGTATCAGTCGGGTCCCACTGTAGTTTTTGGTTCTGTAATTACTTCACTGTGATGCAGTGGATTGTTGTCGAAATCAGTTAGCTTTCCATGACGGACTTCGGTAATTATTTCGATATTGTTCTGACAAGTTGTTGAATCTATACCCTCAGTTGAACGCGCACAGCGAGCGCGCGGAGTTGTGGATGGAGCACGCTGAGCGAGAGGGAATCGACCTCTTCGCTCGACCAGAAAGTGTGTATCAGAACAACAAGAAAGAAGGTGAGTTCTCCGTATTCCTGAAGGGGCATAGTCGTATGGGTGCCATGGCTGCCGTGGACCACGCGAACGCGACCATGTCCTCTAAGATGGCACGGATGCCGGTGATGCGGCCTGCTGTGATGCGGCAACTGCAGAAGCGATATTGCGAGAAGCAGTTCAGCCGCGCCCGCGTCGATCTGCACGAACGGCGGCAGGAGATGCGCGCTCTGAAGGTCATCAAGGAGGAGCTAACGGCGCATGGCCGCGCCGAGGTCGAGCGACTTCGTGACGAGCTCGAAGACGCAGAGGTGGAGGGAGAAAGCGAGCTGAATAACATGGCAAACGCAGGCGCTTGGACCGTACTTCAGGAACGCGACCGGAGCAGTCGGGCCAGCAGCGCTCGCGCATCCTCGTCAGCGCGAGGCGCAGGGAGCACCAGCGTAAGTCCCGCCAAGCCTTCAGGAGGCGGCATTGCTGCATCTGCTATGATGACAGCGAGTGGCGCAACTAGACATGTAGCCCTTCCTCGAAGAGCAGACGCGATTCATAGGGACGCTATGGGACAAGAAGATCCTGGCGATCCTACTGCGAATGCAGGGTTTTGGGGAGATGACCGTTTTTTTGGCGATAATTTTGAGGCGAAGGCGATGAATTGGAAAACGAGATATGGAGACGGCGGTGGAAACGGTGAAGATGGAATTCTCGACGATGAGGTGGAGGAGATCGTAATCGGGGATCCAGGTGGAGAAGGTGCCTTAGCACCAGAGCAGCGGCATCAATCAAACACGACGCGGCCCTCTCAGCAAGGTTCGTCAAAAGGTGTGAAACCTGGAACGCTTGTTGTATTCGGTGGATCGCCGGACAGCGGTCGCAAGAAGAAGAGGTGGGTGCCTCCAGGAGAAGACGGGGGCACTTCGAGCAGTGACGATGCTGGAACAATACGTCCGAGAGCGCGGCATCGTAAACACGACAGATCATCTGGTGCGCCAGCGAAAACGTTCGGCCCGGCAGGTGGTGGCGTTACGACTCAAGTAGGAAGTAGTGCGTCGAAGCCTTCTGGCGGGTCAAGCGTAGAGCGACAGCGGCCACAGTCCGCCGTAGTCCCGCGTGGCCCTAGCGAGCTCGGCTTTTCAGCTCGACCAACGTCAGCGTCGCGGCGGCCACGCAGTCTCTCGGCGCGATCGCGTTCCCCGGCGGGTGGAGGTAGGAATTTTCCGCAGAACAAGCAGCAACCGCGGCCAGCGCGGCCCGGCCGCCGGCAGCGCGGAGAAAATAACGGAACAAACCGGGAGGGCGGTGGCGAGAAAGAAGGACACGGTGGAAGGAGTGGGGGCATCTTAGGAGATAGCCCGTCTCCAGGTCGCGGCGGTCCCCCGGAGCCCTACGAAGTTGTTATGCTGCCAGACACTGGCCCGTTTCGCGATATCCTCGAAGAAGAGGAGGAAGGGCTCGTCGAGGAAGACGACGCTTCCATCGGTCAGGCGGAAGGTTATGAAGAACAAGAGAACGATCCGCAAATAACGGAGCTGGAGCAAGCGCAAGAGAATGATGCGCGTAAACCGCGGACCGCGGCGTCACCGTCGGTTACTCCAACCAAAAATCGCAGCGTTGTTTCCGGCACGACGCCGAAAAATAGTCGAAGTGCGGCAACGGCATCGGGAGAAAGCGGTTACTCGCCGCAGGTGCGCGGCGATCGGTACTCGGGCGGACCCACCGTGATCGCCACCAGCGGGCAATTGGAGCAGCTGCGGGAGGCACCAGACTTGCAGGCGCTGCGACCTGCGGTAACGCGCGGGCAGGTTGCCGAGCGGGAGGAAGTAGAAGATCGCCGTTTCGGCTACACCGCGATGCGGCGACGGATGAAGCTGTCGGCGAAGATGAAGATCCCAATGGTGGAGTTGCCGCAGCGGCCGCTGACTAGTGTGCCTCGGCTGGACCAGATGGTGAAGCCGCCGACGCCGAGGATTGTGGGGCGACGGTGCGGAAATGGCTATACCATGGACCCGGCAACCGGGAAGGAGTGGTTTGGGGAGCAACCAGAGTACGAGGAGCCTCCGCCGCTCACCGGCACGCACACGGACGGTTTTATCAATCCGCGGAAAGCGGCCTTGCCGGAACTGAAGGCGCGAGGCACTGGGGGTGTCGGAAAGAAATTCGAGTTGGTAACACCACTGCAGAAGCGCGAATGGGGCGACTACTTGCATTGTGCGCGCGCGGCGTTGGATCGGCGGACCGATAACCTGCGCGCGGAAGTGAAATACCACCGGGGCGCGATCGCTTTGCACCTGCGGAAGCGCGAGGAGAAGCTTCGGCGTGCCGTGGTCGAGCAGCGCGCTCTGGAAACCCGGCTGAAGAGTAAGGTGAATTCGGAGACCGGGAAGCTGCGCGCGAACGAGAGCGAGAAACAAGCGCAAGCTTACGAGGACGCGCGGAAGCAGCGGGAAGCAGCAGAAGAAAAACTTCGAAGTGAACAGGAGCGACTGCGCGATATGGAAGCCTATTTTAATCGCAACGAGAGGCTGCTGAGTATGCAATAGATCAACATTATGGGGTGCTCGTATAAAAGACGTTGACGTCATGTTGAAAGGAGCGTCGATATCCGAATGTTCTCCAACCTCAAAGCGTTTCTTATTTGCTATTGAAGTTGCTTTTCGTCACGACCTATGATCTCTTATGCCATGATTAATTATAATATAAATATGTATGGCGCTGAACTGAAGATTCCGAATAGCAAAGAGCTAGTGTTTTCCGCATTTCGTGGCATGGCCCGACCGATTCTACATTTGGTACAATAGGGTAGAACAGCTGCAAACATTGCGAGTTGAAAAACTCCATAAGAGAGTTGACCCATTTTTATGTTGCGCGTTTTGTTTTTCGTCAATGAGTTGGAAGAGTAAATCTAGATTTAGTGTGTCACGCTATACTTTTACTCGAGCTCGACGATCAAAAATGAAATAGAAATTATTATAGAACTTTTTTCTCCTGGAAAATTTTGTAAGCAGAGGTACAGATGCTGACAGTGTTTATAATTATGTTTTTTCTATTGGCTTGTACAACGACATCACAGTCAAACAATCGTTGTTCAGGGTATTTTCCAGTATGCTTAGGTATGAGCAGGTACTATGTCACAATGTCGACATCAATGATTTGTTACACTCTTATTTTTCTATTTTTTTGTCATTGTCATTTCACTCTCTCATCATTTTTGGAGTTTCGATGCACTTGAGTACTTATCTATTTACGGATTCTTTCTCTGAAATCCATTGTGTTGTTGTGATGCACTAAACGTGAGTTACCACGATTGTTGAGGGTGTAGGTCCCGCGACGCTCAAAGCGCACAAAGTAAATTAGCCGGCTAATTTCCCTCGATAGTTCGGAGGTCGTTCCTAACCCTACACTCGCACACGTTGAAGGTTTCGTTGTTACAACAAGGACTAGCGATCGTTCGGTGGGTGAGGAAATTTATATTGGACTTGCGTTAATGTCAAAAGCAGCAACTACTTGGCTACAAAGGTCAATCACATTTTAGTCACTACTTGGGTCTACGACCAACACCAAGCAAGAGTCCACGAACAGAAGTTGCAACTCTTCATGTTGTTCTTTTCAGATCGAAGATCGAGACCATGTCCAAGGACGATTGGTTGGTAGAATAAAAAAGATCCATGAGTCGAAGCGAACATGATCTCTCTTGATCTCCCCAGTCATCGTACAACTGCACCCCGTTTCACCGTTTCAGGCTCAGGCATTACTAGTGCAGCACATTATCAGAGTGAGCACAAGTGCACGACTTCCTTAGAAGTTCGAGATCAGCTACGACCGGATCGAGAATCATTACCCGTATAGTTCTTTACAGGTCCTGTGTCGGTGTCTCTGTCAACCATAGCAATGAGCATCGAAGATCAGACCACCTGAAGTGATGGGAGCTTTAAGCATCCATATCTAGCATATCATTTCTGACTACCAAAACCTTTTTGACAGGAGCTTAGGGGTGGGATTCACGGGAAATACTAAATTCGGAATACATAGCTAGCATACATATACTCAGGTGAAAGTAGCCGCTAGAGCAAGGAGGCACCACCGCCTTGAAACTTATTATAGCGAATTGCCTTATATTTCTATCTTGCGTGTTTAGTACTAACTATTCTAACTAGGGAGTTCCTTTTTTTTAACATTATTACACGTGGTGGACCCAAATAAAAGTTTTCCGGCAGTATCGCTTTAGACTGCACGCCTCTAGGGAAGATGTCGTCTTCATCGTCCTCTAGCACCTCTGCAGAGGCGATTACACTGCAGCTTGGGTCTGCTGCAAATTATGCTGGCGCTCATTTTTGGAACTTGGACGCGGCTAACTACGATGCGGAGGAGTCTGCCGATCGGCTTTATTTTGAGGCGCACGATGGTCGCTGGTTTCCCCGGTTGCTTGCTGTCGATGATAAAGGCGCCTGCGGGACACTGGATTGCGCGGATTTGAGTGGAGGTCGTGGAGAAGGCGGTGGTCCCGCCCAAAGCAGTAGTGCTACCGGGTGGGACAATCGTGGTGCAGGGTTATTTTCTGAAACACAACTTCTTCACATGGATTCGTTTCCAGTGCAGCGCATCGACCAGGAGCCGTTGCGACAGCATGAGTACAACCGTTATATGTTCCAGCAAGGTGATGGTGCGGACAATGGTGACTCTCAGTCTGACGTCGACTTGTCTGATGCCAATGAAGACGTGGCTGAGGATCTTCTCGAAGGGAACTATATTTCTGGTAGGCAGGAGAGGTTGCTTTTTGATGTGAGAGAACAAGCAGACAACGCTTCATCGAGAAGGCGTCGAAGAAGGGTTGAGGTTTTCGACGGAGACAGAGCAACGAGCGTAGCAAGGAGTCCCTCGTCGACTTGGGAAAGAGTGGAGGCTATTGGCAGTTCCGGTACTTTCACCCAAGAAACAACAAGTCGAAATTGTGGACGCCCGATCCGATTTTGGTCCGATTACTTGCAGCTTGACTACGCGCCACGCTGGACAGTCTTCGAGCGCCCTCAGTATGCGGCATCATCCACATCCTCTAGCCTGCCTTGTGCCACTTCGGGTTTCTCGCGGGATGAGATGACCGCACTGCAGGACGATTATTTGCGCAGACTTGTGGAGCGATGTGACCGTCTAGACACGGTGCACCTCGTGGCAGACGCGGGACGGGCAGAGTACGCCAATTTAGCTTTGGACTTAGCAGAATACTGTCGCCAGGAGCAGCCAAAAGTTTGCGTTGTCGGTTTCGAGACTTTTTGCCGTGAAGGTCTGGGGCAAGATTTAACTAGTAGCAGTGGTGGCGGGCAAGAACAAGATAACCGTGTTGATAAGAATATGCCAGAGGACGTCCACATAGGCGGGGGTGTGCAATTAGAGCATCGTTTTCACTGGCTTGACGTCGTTCGCGGTCGCTTTTACCAGCGAGCAAGGGAACAGGGCCTTCTCGACACTCTCTTTTCTTGTGAAGTTCCTTACGGATGTAAGAGTAAGACGGGAGGCTTATTCTTCGAGGAGACAGCCGATTTGGCTATGGCGATGCATTTAGCGAGAACCAGTTTTACCGGGAAGAAGTCGTATTTCACAGCACGCGAGTCGACTTTTTGGCGATCCTTTGAAAGTAGTTCTTCTTGGGCGAAGGAATTTTTTCTTGGGGCTGCCAACTCAGGAGAGCGAGCGCAGCTTCGTCCTGTGTCTTCTGACATTAGGTCCTTTTCTGGCTTTGCGAAATCTAGCGGGGAAATGTCTTCAACATCACGTCGAGCTTATCAACAGAGCAGCATAGGGGACAGTAGTTACAAGTTTCTTGAGTCACTCTGCACCTCATCTGCGAAATGTTTTGTGCCGGGGAAAACACATTTCAACGTTTTTCAACCACCGTTCGCGATTCTGAACCGCGGGACGCTGTCAACGGTTGGAACGCAGGATCCACTGGCGTTTTTAAACTCCTTTTCCTCCAACTCAAGCGGGACGGACGTACAGATACAGGAAGCGCAGAAGCGAGTAGGTGCGTTTCTGCGATCCGAGTTACGGCCTCTATATCTTCCGCGCTATCCCTGGCCGGGCTCCTCTCGCAGTGCGCAGCATCGTGATCAGGACGAGTTGTCTCCTTCACCAAGAAGAGAAAGAACACCACACACTTCGCAACCTTTGGAGGAAACTTCGGCGACGTTGATGTTTCGCGGGGCGAAACTTGAGAGTCTTAGTGTAAAGGAAAGCCTCAAACGCGTGCGACAATTTCCAGAAAGCGGTTTGGAGGCAGACGAGCTCGCTGAGGTTCGTGAATGGTGGAACAGACAGGACGAAGTGTAGGGCAAAAGGCACGTCTTCTCCAACAAGGAACGACATGTGCGTAGGACTGCAAGGTCTCAGAGCGTGAATTTCATCAAGTCAGCAGGATGCATACGCGTTCTTGCTATTGACGTCAGTATTTGCTCTCTCACTTCCAGTCCCAGGATACCCAGTGACGAAAAAGCGTGCCTAACGTAATAGGAATCAATCAATCAAAATCCTGTTATTCATGACAGCACTTCAACACCCAGATATATCTATGATCCCTCCTTGTAAAGATCAGCTGGCCGTATGTATCTTTTTCTGGATGGACCCAAACCCAATGTTCATAGAAACAACACATCTATTCCATTGAATAATCGATCACGTGCCTTGAGTGACATGGTATCGCAATCATAATCAATATACTGCTGTGTTCTGCGATTTGCTGACGAGGCGCGATCATCGATCCGCATTGGGAGGATGGAACGTCGTGCATGCAGGAGGTTCTGTCTATTGCTAGTGCCTGATCTTATTATGCATTCATTCTTTCCTACTAGAGGAAGTTTTTTCAGCTCGTTCCGGCGTTGTAAGGTTCCCTGAGTGAATAGAATAAAGACAGCTCAGAAGCTCGATTTGCTCACAGATTGTAGTGCCACTGACGACGATCGCAGACGCAGATCTTTTGCAAAAGTTTGTTGTGAAGATGGAATGAACGAGGCAGAAGTAATCGCCTGTAGAGAGACAACCATTTCAATTAGAGTTTTTATGGCCGCAGTTGGTACAGCATGTTTAAACGTGGATGTTGAGAATTCAGTGAACGAAGGACCTCCGTAGAAGTTCCTCGTCCAATTATATATAAGTAAAAATCTTCAGATCATACAGAGAAATTGAAATATGTTGATGCAGGAGGAGAATCATGAGCAGTGCAAAAGTGACAGCAAATGGTTGGCTGTAGGCGCGAAGGAGGTGGGAAGAGGTGCCGGAGCAGGAAGCTTTATTTCGAAGTATTTTTCGTCCGCATCAGCACGTGGTGCAAAAAGCAGGCAGTCGAGGGGCACCAGCGAACGGAGTTTCGAGGATGAAGAGGAGCAGAGGAGAGAACACGTGCAGTGGACTTCTAAGTCTGGCGAAGCTGGACACGCGACTACACCGAGGACACCTTTGGAAGAAAGCGCGGCCTTTTTTTTGCGGACAATGAGATACCAACCGTGGCCCGCATCTCGGCTACAGCGCACCTTTCCGGCGCCGATCGTCGAAACTGCTCGGGCAGTCATGAATATCTTCAGTTATGGCCACTGAGGAAGTCGAAGTACTTAAGTAAAGTGTTATAAAAACTTGGATCATGATTACACTAGTATGATACTTTAGCTTCAGACTACTTCTAACTAGATGAAGTCGCGTATTCTAGCTGCTGAGAAAAAAAAAAGAGAAACTTCAACTTGTAGCGATGCCATCAGATGGTGAATTTTTGCCGAAAATAATGATTATCTTAGTCGATTTCATTTGCGGCAGATTGGGACAGCAAGGACTAGGGATTTACACTCACACGAGCAAGAGCTATTGGAGCGATTCCGGTTGCAGGTGTGTGCGACCTATGCCGTAGAATCGGAGTTGCTGCTTTTACGAACCGCGTTGGCCGAGCTAGGATGGGTGATGCCCGGCGGATCGGAGCATGATGCACCGAAGATTTGCCATCCCCACAAGCTCCTGCTCCAAAGCAAGAACTGTGCCGTGATGTCCGCTTCGTCCACGCTCAAGGCGTTCGCTGATGGAAAAAACATCAATAATACTCTTGGTACTCCGTGTTCTCGGACGTATATCAGTCCAAACGCAGGGCCTCGTCCAGATAGTGTTGATCTTGAAAAAATCGACCGTTTCAACAAACGAACAAAAAGTGCAATGTTGTCAAGGAACACGACGCAAAGTTCTATCAAGGAAGACACCAATTCTGTCCGCGAGAATTTGATAAAAGCAATGACGCGCACGAACTTCGTATGCTAGTAAACAACAGGTAAGATGACCTACTTGTTCCCCTGGTTCCAACCCATTCCTGGTTTCCGTTTCATTCTAGATTCGATGCAGCTTGTACAAACAGTAACAGATCAAATAATGATGAGTGTCGACTTGAGAGTAGACACGGCAGGAAGAAACACAATTGTTCTTGATCCTTCTGATAACCGCAACTGCGCATTGTGTCGAAGATCGTGCGTTGAGGACTCTCTTTGTTGGAGAAGAATCCTAATCCTAGTCGTCATGTTGCGTCAAAAAAAAGAACAAGAAAGTAAAGTTCCTAGAAAATGTCAGAAAGTGAGAGGAAATGCTCAGTGATGGTAATCGACAACAAGAGGTGCTGTCCGAAGATGTGAAACGGCAATGAACCCATAAGAAAATTTTTGAGTGAATCCAAATCGGACAATACGAAAATTCCATCAATGGCGTTCCGCAACACGGTCAAATCGCCGTATGAAGAGAATTATGCAACACGTTGTTCATGCAACAACATCTTTGTTTTCGTGTCGTTTGATCTTTTGTAATGACGACAAATACGAAGTACCTGTATGATGGATCTTCTTGGTTCTTATATCTAAAAATTGAATGAAAAAATATGGATCGTCATCATTTTCGGTTGTACCTGTTGATGATGAGTAATATCTGCAGGTCGACTATGTTGGATAAAATTTCCTTTTGTTGTTCTGGTCATTCACAATTGTCTTGATCGGTTTTAATGATTCGTTTAAAAGCGAGCTTCGGCGCATGATTTTACTTACTTAGTTTCTACTAGTGCGTCAAGATATAATCATTGATTGAGTACTGAATTTTCTGATTGTCGTTATGCCATTTTCCCCAATATTGGCCCGCCTCTACTTTCTTTCCTGTTTCTTTCGCCTCATTGGCTCTTGTCCTTTCTTTTTTCCGCAAGCTGCATCGGTTAAAGCCTGCCCTCAACCGCCCTTGCTGTCGTGGTGATTCCTCCTGCCAGACTTTGCGGCTGGAGATGGCGACCCAGGCGCTCGCCAGAGAAGACGCGATCGCTAGCCATCAAATCAGCAATAGTCAAAACAAGAACGCACCGAGGAGACAAGTCAATGAGCTACCTCTTTAAAGGGAACGGCTTGACGTATTGCCTTTTGCGAACAACCCATCATTAATTATCTCTCTACGTTCGTTGCAGTTGCACTGGGACTTGCACTGAAACATGGTGGAGGACAAGCGATGATGATATCTGGACATTCTGAATATAATTGACTTTCATCAATCCTGAATACGAATAGTTGATGCAAAGCGTGGAGGTCCAGTAGTCTTGCAGTGAAGATGCTCTTTTGTTCACACCCGTTAGAAAAAGTTAAAGGTCTTTTGGAACAGCACTAGTGAATGAACAAAGAAGAAGAGGGAGGAGCAGCTAGTTCGCAAAAATTCCATTGTCGTTGTGAGCATTGACTGTTCGCAACTTGTGAAGCGTATGGATCTCTTTTTTGAGCGCGTGCCAGCTCTCAGAAAAACGATGTGGAAAACTCTGTAGATCCGCTTTGAAGATCGAGTACCGACGGTGTTGCGGATATCGAGCCTATCACGTATAGATACATAGGAAAGCCAAGTACTCACATCATCAGAAATTTTTTCACTAAGACGTTTTACTAGCGAACCTGAGTTTATGGATTCTGAGAGAACCTGAACTTAGTCAGCAGCTCAAGTTCTCGTCGATCTTCATTCCCAGGCTTATTTCACGTGAGAGGCAGAGACAGAGAATATCCATGTTCTTCTTATCGCACCGGGCGATGAAGGCTAGAGTGCCCCATTTCAACTTAACCGTGTGTGTTGATAATGGTAGCAATTAGTAGCGATGGAATGTCGACTTGACATCTAGAAATCTCCCGTCTTTATCAGGCCATCTAAAACTGATGGTTTATCTCACCAGCAGCACCATCTTCTAGTACTCCCCTGTCTCCTCTGGTTTTCACTTCTTTCTTTTCTCCCATATCTTGTTTAGTCACTTGAAGGAACAAGTACCAACCCTAAAGGTGCATGATCTGTCCCTAGGTTGTTGCAGTGCAGGGATGCGTCGCGTCCTTGCGGAGGAGTAGTTTCAACGACTCAAATGGTTTGAACTACAGGAGATCGTTTTTGATTTGCAGACACTGTGGTCTGTCTCTGTGTGATGGGAGAGATGAAGACAGGAGGCGCACGGTCCTCCGTCATTCTTCATCGTGTAAGAGAGGCCGCGTCGTCCATATTCGGTCTTGCTAATTACCACAGAGAAGGACGAGCTACCAAGGACAAGTAGCAGTGACGACATGTTCACGGAAACACAGTCGGAACACGCGCACAGGCAGTTTCTCTGAGTCTACGAACTTGAGAAGACGAAGTAGCTGTTGAAGTTGAGTCTTTATCTCAAATCCCCTGTGCACCTCCATCTTCATCTGCTCTCCATCATCTCATGTGAACGCACAATTTGAAGAAAAAGAAGCCGATGTCATCTCCAAGACGTTGAAAAAAGTGTGAGACTGAGACTAGTAGTAAGGTGGTGCGCCTGTGCTCTTGATTTCTCGTTCTACTCCTCTGGCGTAGAAGAGGAAGAACCTCTGACATCAACATGAACAAGTCGAGCGGCTGCTATCTTTTTCCCTTCTTTATTCCTAACGAAGAGAGATTCAGAGATGTACTTAGTTCAACATGCCCTGCCGTTTTTCTCATACTCGCAACGATGCGGAATCTCTGAACCGTTTAGTAGGCCAAAAAGCTCGCCGACGCCGTATGATTGAGTTTGTGTAGGTCTTGCTCAATCTCTTTCCTGGATCTTTCTGGTTTCCCCTTTTTGTGTGGTACTCACGCTTGTACTTTACCAAACTCTAATTAGTTCGAATAAGTTGTATTTCTCTCCCTGACTTTTTCTCTTACGTCGCAAAGAATTAAGGACGGTGAAGATCATATGAACAAATTATACATATTCCGCAGTGCAGGCAGGGGTGGTTGTATCGAATATTTTTACAGAGAACTGACTATGAGTGCGTCTATTGATGGGACATTCAGATTGTTGAATGAGATTGTGAGTTTCACTTACCTGTACTCAGCATTAACTGATTTCCAATCGTGCATAGGTCAAAGATTAACGTCTGTGTAGCCGACTTGATTGAAGAAATCAAAAACGTCTGGCATCGATTTTTGACCTAGAAGATTCGCGCGGCTACAAGCGAGATGCAGTTATTGACATGCTTTTAGATTCATCATTATTTTCTGGTGTTAGAGTTATTATGTATCTATAAAGTTAAAGATTGATCGTACTAGTGACAAGTTACAAAATATAACGTAAATTATAAAATAAAGAAAAGATGCCCGTGCTCCTCTCTTGATGGCGTGATAATACTTGGAACTGTCGTGTGCGAACGGGTTTCCCATTGGCGTCTGCCGAGAACAGCCGTGATTGGACGTCTATCCTCGTTGGAGACCCGTGATCCAGGTACGATTTGTTGGCACGCGCATACAAATATCGCACTGGCACGTCGTTGGTGCGCGTGGGTCGAGACTGCAGAATTATAGCGTCTGGTTCCGCGCACAACCAGATTGTGTTTTACGCTGTAGAGCTAGAGGACTCACTGCTGTACAACCCTTTCTGATTGCTAAATAAGAATGAGTGTCGAGAACGAACAACCCGGCTCTGTTTCAGAATCAGAGGAACTGGAGATGCCGCCTGGTACTACTTATTACTTATCAATTTTTATTCTTAGTTCAACAGGTCCGAGTACAAGTACCGGACAACTAGGAGATATTTGTAATTACCACATATTTATTAATTGAGGGTTTCTTCTATTTCTTTGCTTCGTTAGCGGCTGATCATATAATACGTAATTCGGTGCAAATGCAAATGGTAGAGGACCACTGACGAAAATTTGTTAGATATGTATCTATAAGGTGGCTTTAGCGATGAACACAAATTGTTTGTTGTTGGTTTTTAGCGCCGAACATGAATGAAAATTTAGAGTTAGTCACCTCAGCATAATGGAAATTTTGGACCAGTTGTAGTAATCTTCGTCGGTCATCATGCAATGCTAATTGATTAATCTTTGTTTAGGCCTATCATGTTGTACCTCTAACCTCTATATAGTGTTGGTATCTCTGATACAGGTTGGGATGGTGGCGCTGGAGCCGTAGCCGCGGTCGAAGAAGATGAAGACACGGAGCAAGAAGGCGAGCAGCCTGAAGGTGGAACTGAAAATGCTACTGCGAATGTCGTGCCACGGAATGACGCAGCCGAAGAAGATGGTGATGTGGACCTCAATGATGATGACCCAGAAGACGGCGACGTGGAGATGAACGGCGATGCCGGGGACGCTAATACGGAACAAGCTAGGAGAATAGAAGGCTCAGAAGCACCAGCAAAAAAGCCAGCTGCAGATACGAGTATGCAAAGTAGCGCAGACGGTAAGAAGGTCGAGGAGTCAGCCGTCGGGGGAATACCGAGTGCCCGTGACGGAGTTGACAAAAAAAGAGTGGCGGAGGCCCAGCCGGAGGGAGTGGCAGAAAAGATGCCAACTAACAGTGAAGATGCTGCAACGAAAAATGGGACGTCGAAAGCAGATCGCTCAGCAGCCTCAAGTCCGGCAACACAGATACTGCACCTGCCAGCGGGTTTCTCATTACCCGAGGGCCAGCAGCTTGCCATGCTATCAGATGGGAAGCTAGCGCTAGTTCCCGGCGGCGACGGTGCTGCGGCAGCGACCACCGCGGTGGAGACCAAGCCTCTTGAAGATGCCGATAGTAATAGAAGAGCAGGTGATGCTCCTGCTGGGGCCGATGCCATTGCTTCTGATACCGGTGACAAAACCGCAGCTGCTGGTCTAGAGACAGCGCCAAGTGGTCCGACGACTGTGGATGCGGTAGAGGACGTGACTATGGGCGACGCAGCTGCAGCAAATAGTGGAAAGCCATCAGCAGGGACTGTGATTGCACCAAATTCAAGTGACGGAGCGGCGGCATCTGATGCACTTGAGGACATAGAGATGAAGGCTGCTCCCGAATCTTCGAGCGTGGCCGCCCCTGATCAGGCAGCTGCGGAAGTCGTGTCTAGTGAAGCGACCGCGCCTGCCGGACTTGCAATATCATTGCCTGCATCAGGAGGAGCTGCAACCGCGCCTTCGGCCGTGGGAGCGACTGCGCCGGTTTCACCGCCGGAAGCGAAGGGGGCAGACACTACGGCCACTACCGCTTTTCCAGCGGAGGCTGAAGATCCGTACCTCGGTCTGGACGATGACGATGATGACGAAGACGATGAGGATGAAGAGAACGAGAATCCAATAACGCTGCAAGCCGATGACGAGGCAGAGTTGGATACAACAGTGCAGCCATACTCGCAATTTCCAAGAAGAGCAGCAGCCGCGTGGCCACCACCGGTCCTCAAGAGCGCAAAGGTACTTGTATCTACCATTTCCCAATGAATTTTTATCGTAGGATAAGACATCTAGAAAAATTCTTTTTCATGATCCGGCTGTGGGCGATTAGTTCATCCCACTAGTTCTTCTGATTTTTTTCGCCCGATTTCAATATTTGCAGTTGAGAGAAGTCGACCGATTAGATTCAATAAATTTCTTTTACAACAGGTGATGCGCGTGAATCCCTTCGATGAACCACGAGCGGAGAAGATGGAGTTTCTAGGTCGGTGGCGCGTAGTCTCTCAATCCGAGGCAGAGGGCGAGTACGATCCACTGGCTGAGGTTCCCGCCAGCAAGTCCTCACCCTCCTCCGCGAGGCCTCAATACCAAAAGGATGCTGCAGCTTCTTCTCCAACAACTGCATCTGGCATCAAAATGAACATCAATAGTAAGATTAACAGCAGTCGCCCGGGGCCGCAGTTTTCTAGTGTGTCCGTCCATGATAGGAAGGGTCCCTTTTTCAACAACAGCGTGCGTGATATTCCCTCCGGCGACAAGGGCATGGAAACCATGACCGCGCGGATTGAGAGCCAGTTTCCCGCTATCCGGTTCTTGAAACTGAGCACACTGCAAGAGAAACTGAAGTTGCTCATGACTCTTTTGCAGGAGAAGAAGGTGCAGCCGAAGTTGCTCATAACCGCGCTGTGGGGAACGTTGAAGAGTGACGAGCAGACGCACGTGGCCAAAAACCTTCCAGATTTGGCCAAGTATGCGACAGTTAAACCACGCCCACGCAAGCGTGAGCAAGCGAGTCCGCCCGGCGGCGCCGAGCCAGCGTCGAAACTGCAAAAAACCGCTTCAACCGGACCTCTAGGGGCAACTGCAGCAAGCGTTAAAAATATCGGAGGAGGAGCCGCAACTAGTGGTGGCGCTACGTCCTCTACAGGAGCATTCCCTAATGGAATCAAGCAAGGACAGGGTGGGTCTTCCCCAAGTGGCGCACCGCAAGCTAAAGCCGGGGCCGCAGCGAAAGCCGCTTCTTCTGCTGCCACAACATTTGTTGTTTCTGATCAAGCAGTTACGGCTTTGCGTGTTTCAAACCTTCCTGTCGGCGTCAAAGCGCAGGAGCTTGGATCTGTTTTTCACAATTATCAGGTATTTTTATGTAAGATAGGCACAGGAATATGTTCACAGAGATGAAGAACATCGAGCACCGTTGAATCTCCTACTGCGGCTCTACCTAACATTCATCTTCAAGACGTTGAAGAAAGTTGTTATCCTGTAATCATGCATCGCAAGAACAGAATCAGGTAATGATCTGCTGTATTACGAAAATATATCTTCCCCCATATCGCAATCTGCGTGATCATTTCTTTTTCTCGGCCAGGTTCTCGGAGTGAACATCAAGAAGAGTAAGAAGGGCGATCGTTATGTTGGCTTCGTACGTGTGGGGAACAGAGCACAAGCAACGTTAGCAACAAAAACCGAGATCAAATTTCGCGACCTCGTCCTCAAGATTGCAATCGACGAAGACCAAACGAGAATAGCACAAATGCAGAAGCAGCAAGCCCCGGGAGCGCCCGTAGGCAGCCCAGTCACCGGTGTGGCAAAAGCTGCGCCACCACCGAGCCCACCAGCCGGCAGGCCGCAGTTTAAGGACAAGCGGACTAGAGACGTAGAGGTACTAACACTTCTTTATGTATTAGACTCCACGGCTCAGGGGAGCGGCGCTCGGGGGGGCCGTGGATCCCCGGGCCCCTTTTGGAGGCGTCTGCCGGGGGTGGAAGGCTTCCAAAGGGGTCCAAGGGGCGTCCTCCGCTCCCTTCCAGCTGCCTGCATGTGCCCAACAGACTTCCTATTTGCTGGCCCCTCCCCGCAGCAGCAGGGTGCCGGGTGTGGAAGGCCTCCGAAGGCGGCAAAAGGCGCAAGGCTTGACCGCCTGAGCCGTGTGGCCTGTACCCTCCGGGCCCATGGTTATCGGCCTGCTTGCTCTTGCCGCGCATTTGATGAGGGCAACCCAGCAAGAGGGGCCAGGCCTCGAGACCCTGGCCGCCTTCGGCGGCCTTCTGCCCCGGAGACCTTCGGCCTGCGAGGGTTGGCAGAGGTCGGGACGCCTTTCGGGAACAACATGCAGAGAGGCGCGAGTGGGCGCTCGCTCCCAGTTTTGACGCCTTGCACTCCGAGAATCCGCGAAAAGCAGCGTGGAAACGAGCGCGCAAGCGCGACCTCAGGGCCATCCACAGGGGGCGCCATGCGTCCCCGTATCATATATATAAATCCAAACCTAACAGATGCAGCACGGGCAGACGTTTGTGCAGTTCTTTGGCCACAACTTGATGGACAAGGTCAAGATCAGTCAATCACTTACATCTGGGTTACAACTTTATAACAAATTAATATATATGTTTTCTCTCCTTGTTCGATATTCTCATCATCATGTGGGTGATATTGATTCTTGTCTTGTTTATCGCAGAGGATGCCTATCATCTTTCGTCATCGAATGCCTTACTTCAGGTCTGGGCCGATAGAGTACGATACGACGGGGGGATGCTTACAGTGCAAATGTCAGAATTGGGCATAGACGATAGCGTATTGGCAGAGTGGTGTGCCTGGTTCCCAAAAAGGCTTGCTGATCTAGAGAAACTGCATAAAGGTAAAGTTCGAAATACTGGTCTTAGAAAGTCCTAGGTTCATCTTATTATTATAATGAATAGATGTGCATCTTGTTTTACTTATGATCTTAGTTTTAATAGCTTGAGGTTTCTGCATCTAGCATCTTTACACTTTGTCATTCATCACTGCGGGTGTACTATTGATCGTTGGTGAAAGTTGACGTGTACATCTCTACGAAGATTCCCCTTTCTTGTTCAGGTAACATCAAAATGGCAGAGCTCGACTTCTCAAACAACAAGATAAAGGACGATGGCCTTGCTGCGCTTGTTGGGCTCTTTCGGAAGTACTTTATGTTGTTACTCGTCTGTGCTTGTCCTCTCACCTTTTGTGAATAGTAACGGTAAATGTGTCTTCCTCTTCACACTAAAAGTTATGTATGATTTTATCATTAGGACTAGGACCTCTTCCTCTTCTACATCTACACTATGATAACATAAGTAATGAATAACTCGAACTCGATTTATCACTCAGACACGAAGTCTCGATAAAGAATCTCAGTATGGGACAAAACGAGCTGACGGATCAGAGCTTGCGAGCATTGGGCGAATACATATTGGCAAATTCCGAAACTTTAGCAGTCTTGAGTCTAGAAAAGAACCATTTCACATCAAGAGGCTTGGTCTACCTTGCGCGGAAAGTCAAGATGTCGAACTTCTATCCAAAGTACTTATCAATCTTCTCTGCAGCGGCAGTTCTTAGCATCCTTGTTTGTTTGACGCATCTTCATCTACATTTTCCTGAGTGTTTACTCCAGGTTTTATGCGTGTCTCCAGTGACAAAATTACTTTTGATGTGTTAAGTACTTAGACTCATATTTATGATCATGCTCCTTTCAAGTTGCTCTGACACAATTTCAACAGGCTCGACAAGACTTTCTTCAAGTATCAGTCCTTGTGCATCGAGGTTCAGGGCAATGGCGGACTGGATACAAATGAGCTCTTTGCGTTACTTGCTGAGAGCGACATTTCATATTGCCAGCTTGAACGAGAGGCGAAGAACGGGACGAAGCGTGCGTGTCCGCTTTTGTATCTTCCCGGTTTGAACTTCGGCGTAGACGACGACGTGAGCAGCGCCTTGGGACCGGAGATGCTTGCCACGGTTTTCGGCAAAGAGGCGGCCGCAGGCGGGCCTCCCGGCATCCCTCCGACGATGCCACCACCGCCTGCAGTATCAGCCTCTTCAAGCGGGGGAACGAGCGTCCACGGAAGCGGCAACAGTACCCACGGCACTGGTGGGGGACACAACGGGAGCAACCACGGCGGCGCTGGATCATCATCAGGAGGAGGCTATCACGGATCGCATAATTCCTACAACAACGCATCTTCCGGTGGAGCCGGTGAAGGCAGCAGCAGTGGCCGTGGTGAGTCCTCATGGGGCAAGGGCAGCGGCAAAGGTACCTACGGTGGCAGCGGTCATCATCATCACTACTACTCTCACGGACACGGAGGTCCTTACCACCACTCTTCGTGGGGTGGCGGCTGGGGCAAAGGCAGCGACTCTTGGGGCAAAAGCAGCTCAAACTGGGCCGCATCGAGTGGAAAGGGAAAAGGCCGCACAGTGCGGATTACAGACCAAAAAGGTGGTGGGAAAAAGTACTAAGATGAAATAAGTCCTCGCGGCTTTGGGATGGCTACTTAAGTAGTTTGTCATTTTCTGCCACTTTCTTTTAGCAGATGAACCTCTGCGTTTGTAGGAGAACGAAGGTGATCTCCCCTCAAGTAGAAGCTCGAGAACAAATAATGTGGACGAGTCCGGGTTCGCGGCCGTCTGCAAGAGCTGCAAGATCAAGGTGAAGGTACTCAGCTGAGGATGTGGCAACCTGGTGTCGTCGACGTCGCTGCCGATGACTGCTGCAATTTTTCTCCAAGCTTTCCACATCGTAAACTACACTGCGCTTACCTTGAGATCAAATCATATACGGCCAAAAATGAATACGCGTTTAGGCTACCAAGAATAGAGAACCATTCAAACAAGACGCACCTCTGCAAACGCTACAGATTGATACTTGAGAATCGACCACTTGATGTCGATCCAATACTATTGTGTATAACAAGAAATTCGCAGGTGCTGGAACAAAGAAGGTTTTGTTTGGAGACACCACTGCTAGTGAGTAGGTGAAAGAGTTTAGGATGTACTTGTCTGTACTTCTTTGCATTAGTACCCGCTGTTAAAGAGACACCTTGTCCCACTTCTACCCGTCTGAATAGGCCTTGTCTTATTCTCCCAACTCCTGGATTTTTCAAACATCGCGCTGAGAAAATGAAAATAGGAAGAACAAATATAGATTTAGTAAACTACTCTTCAAAATGCGGGACTTTAGTTCTCGTGGGCCACTTCGTCCAAGTCTGTTCTGTAGTGATGTTGAGTTTTGATCTAAGTAACTAAAATTCTGGTACCTCCAGAAAGTCCAAGTCATCATCAGAACATCGACTTGACCGCTCTTGCTTGTTACTGAGAACTACATTAATGTGGATACACGTTCATCACGTGCTTGTCTTGTCTGTCCGAAACCGTTTGCATCTGTCTTGAGAGAGATGCTTCTGTTATGTCTGTCACTGTTTTCGCCAGATCGAGTGAGTGAGACAGTTACCAACGTCGTTGATCAAGTGAATGAGAGTTGAAATTCTGTCTTTGAGTTCCTTGTCTGCTCTGTCACCGAGGGATAAATCAAGAAAAGCATGAGCGGTTGCTGATTTCATCATGGTGCTCGTGCTGCGTCGCTTCAAAGTGGTGAGATATTAGCGTCGTGTTTGTAGTCTATGTTGGAAAGCAAAGACTCACAAGAAATTCCAGTGACTCCTTGTTGAAAGTGAAAAAATTCCTGATTAATATGATAGGAAAGTCAATCGACATTTTTCGGATTGCTACCCCTTTATCTGATCATCCCCAATCATACATCTGATTGTAGTTGTGTACTTCTGACCAGCCTTAGAAACTGTCTTTCATTAACCTATCGCTCGTTGGAAAGGTAGGCATGGGTTTTAGTTTTTTATCGTGAATCGTAATCGTCTCATCTTCACGGTGAGCGTTCGTTTTCTTCCCATCTTCAACAACACCCTAATCTTCACCCGATTTTCGATCATTTTCATTATCGTCATGACTCTTTCAGACTCCGCTGCTACTAGAGCTCGGAGACGGAGAGAATCGAGTTGAATAGGATGAAGGAACAAGAAGCTGAGACGTTTCGAAATCTCGATTTTGTGTCTCCTAGCACTCTGCCGAGTAACCGTACCAGTGGCAGAGCCAGTACAGCGGGTCGACCATCCAGTGCGTTAAACGGTGAGATGAAAAGTCCTCGCTCTCTATCCAAGCTTTCCTCGATTTCCGTCTCTAGTACTGCTAGCCTCAGTGCGAGTGGCAAAAAGAAGATCCTCAAGGTCCAGCAATTGCAACTGGGAGTGAAGAGCTACGCGCAGCGTCGACGAGATAGTGCGTCAAAGCTTTCGGCGAGCTTGCGCCTGGCAGGGGTAACGGAGGAGCAGCACGTGCACGCGGTAGAAGACCTTCACTTTGACAAAGAGCTTGCCACGCTCGGCCTAGGTTCCGACGCAGACGTTGCAGCGGTAGCCGAGCGTGTCTCTATCCTGGCACGCGAAAACTCACCAAACTCCTCTTCTACTCGAGCAAGCAGAAGCGCTTCTGGAAGAAGTAGTCGAAGAGTCAGCATAGGCTCAGGGCCAGGAGGTGCAACTAAAAGGCGTTCTTCTAGCATAGACATCATTCAAGAGGACATCAAAACAATCACGGAGTCATTTGCGCGTCGAGCGTCAAGAAGATCAGTGAACAGTAAAATATCTACCGTCTCACCGGGAGGGCGCGCTTCTGCGAGTATCCCTCGCAAATCGGTTCCTGAGCCACCGAGTACTTCGCAAATAGAAAACACCAGTCACAAGCAAGGGCTGAGCCGCCAAACGACTGGGGAAACAGAACCGTCGAAGGGTATCGTACAAGAGGAGGACGAAGTAGAAAGCAATAATAGAAGACAGCACGAAATACAACCGGAAGGTGAAGTAGCAGAAGTTGAGGTGTCTGTGGGCGGTCGCGAAGAAGATCGTGCTGAAGAAGAATTATCTGGTGAGAGCACTCGAGATCCACCTGCCAGAGCCAGCGTTTTCAGCCGGCTCTTTGGAAAGCGCAGTAGCAAACAGCAATCGCTGAAGCGTAAATTCACTGCTCCAGCGGACCGTCCGCTGCATAGCAAGATGAAGATGCATGCTTCTCCGACGGCACCGGTCGGGCGCGACTCGGTGACTCAAACCAAGAAAGATGCGGCTGGTAAGAGAGGTGCCAACTTCGAACATCAGGCCAGCATGGGCATGGCCCATCCCAGAGCCTCCACGCCGGCGTTGGCAAAGGGGGGGAACGCGAATAACCAGAAAGATGTAATAGTGCCGCTTTTACCCTTAGAGCGGCTCTCCTTTGTCGACGAGGACCTGATGCACAAGATTGCAGTGGTTGCCGGGCAACAGGCGGTCCAGTCGTACGCGAATCAAATCCAAGCGGATGACACAGCAACTCCCCGTCTCCCAGGTGGAACTACGGGCAACGGCACCACGAAAGGGATCAGCACGCTGATGACCCCACCACTCGTGAGCAGCCCTCGTGTGCCGACCATGAAGACGGAGGACGCGAGAATTGTGCGGCCCGCGAGAAAGCAGACGGATCATGAACCGGAGGACTTCTTCGCTGTTAGCTCGGCGCGAACGGATTCGTCTTCTGCGTCGACCGTGATGCATCCGGACAAACAGGATATGAACTTCGCTCCCCCCGCGCGGGAGCTAATCGACAACGTGGAGAGCGCGACGGAAGCGAACGGAAATATTACAAGTGTTGACAACTACGGCGATGGGCCTGCGGAAAAGCAAGAGGATGGAGAGGAAGAAGCGGGAGTTGCAGAACAGAGTGCCGCAAGCATTTTGCAAGACGAGGCGGGGCTACAAGCAGAAGACGGGCAGGCAACTTCCTTGCTGGCTTCCAGCGCTGGCGCCGGTGAGCAGAATGGGAGAACCGGACCTCCTCCTGTTCCTGCAGCCGGCTCCCCGCAAGAGACAGGGGGTGAGATCGTAGAAGGTGACGTGGAGTCGGAAAGAATGTTCGACGCAGTACGGGAGCATATGGCTGCTGCTCTTCGTGCCGAGCAGGAACAAGGGAAACTTACAAAAAAGACCGCAGCAGCGCCCAAGAAGAAGGGGACGACGGGCGCCGCACAGAATAAAGCGAAGGGGAGCAAAAAGGCTGCAGCTGGTGGAGGCGCTAGGCCTGCTCCGGGCCCGGCCAGTAAGAGCGGAAACAAGGCCACGAACAACAAGGCAGAATCGAGCATGATCAAGCCTAAAAGCAAGGTGGCTGCCGCAGCCTCAAAGGCTCTCACACTCACTCCTCGCGCTGTTGCCAAAAAGAACGCAGGCGGACCAGCTGCTGTTCCCGGCTCAGCAGCGGCGGCTAAGAAAAAGGCGACCCCCGCGCGGATGCGCCGCGACGGTTCTGCGGTAATCACGACTCCTCGTGGCGTCGATGCCGCGAGGACCGTGATTGACGGCAACGAGGACTTCGATACCGAAGTTCCGGACCCTCCGCCTCGGGCACCCCTCTACGCCCGCGCAGAAGGCGAGGCAGCGCCGCAAGCCTCGGGACAGCATCAGAAACAGCCAAACACACCTCGGTCAATCCAGAAGCTTGGGCTGCACAGTAGCTCCAAGCATCAACCACCTCGGGAACACCAAAAGGAGGGGGCAGAGCGTATGTCAGCGTTTTTGCATGCTGGCGGCCAGACCCTCAGCGCGCGCGACCGTGCAGGGGCGCCTTCCGAGCGGCCACAGAAGAAGCAAGATGAAGACGCGCCACCTCCAGCGACTGACGCTCCGGAGTGGAAACGTGCTAGCAAGCCGGTGAAGATCAAGAAGCAATTCCAAGAAAAGAAGGCGCTGGACAAGCCAGTGCGAATCTGGGTGAATATCATCATCAAGAACCGCGACGACGTGGTAAGAGAACTTCCTAATTTGTGTTGCGATTCGTAACCATTTTATTTTCTATGCATAGTTCATTTTTCTTTTTGCCGGTTATTTGGTGTTAGAAGTCAGTTTCCGATGATGGCAGAAACAGATCACTCCGAAAAGTCGCAATTTAATGGGAAAAGCCATCTCCCATTCTCAATTATACAGGCTGAGGCTCGCAAATTTTTGAATTGACAACATCTTGTCGTCTCGAAGTTACCAATGGCACGGAAGTTTTGCCCTCAAATTCATTCTCTCGTCCTCCTTGAGTCATCTTCTACTCGATAAACCGATGACAAGGCGATATCTCCACTCAATGATTTTATTTCTTTATCTATCAGGTGAAAGCGAAGGTCGCTGAGAAGCTGCCCAAGGGTGGGGTGGTCTTGCACTTGGGGATTACGCAGGCGATCGCCGGCAGTGCCGCAGCGCGTTTTGCCGCTGCCGACGCTGTGACCGCACCGGTGGTCAGCGGTCTGATTGACAAGTTACCGGACGCACTGGCACAGAAGGCAGGCATCCAGATCAAACTTGAGGGCCGTATGGTGCACGAGTTGCTCGGTGTACTCTCGCTGGAAGTGCAGGACGTGAACCCGTGTCAGATGACGGCCGTGGAGGCACCGGAGAAAGAGTCCTTTGTGGTCGCGATGGTGGGGGCGCTGATCAACCTGGAGATGGCGGCAGGTCTGGAAGGCCTGTGGGAAAAATTCATGGATAAAGCCAGGAATGGACTGATCAACAAGCTGGAAAAGCAGGTGCCGGACAATTTGCGCGACAATGGCGGCGTGGAAGCCTGCGTTATCTGCAAAACCGAGGAGGAGCAGGCCGATTGGGTGCTGGATTTCCTGGCCAAGACGAAGGGAGACCTGGAGGCCCAGGTAGAATTCGCAAACAAGGTGGAACGGGACCGGGCGGCGCAACGCGCCAAGGAGCTGCGGGACAAAGAAAAGTTGGAGCGCATGGCTGCCGCCTCGAAAGCGGCGAAAAGCAGCGTTCCCCAGTCCAGAAACCGCTAGATACGACTTGTTCGCGAAGATGCTAGTCCGCGCAGGACTAGCATTGATCGTAATCGATGGTAATCTCTTTTTCTCTACTTACTCAAGATGTTGAAATGCCAATGCGAAATCTTTTTCCTCTGTCAGTCTGAGGTTCGATTAGAAACTGATAGCTATGGCCCCTTCGGCGCACTTGCGCAGAGAGGCCGAGGCACGAGGATGTACTGCTCTTCATGATACATTGCAGAGTATTTTTTGACCATATCCTCACTTCAAATTTGACTTTTATAACGCTGGTCCTATCCGTAGAAGTAGTATAATTCTGTTAGTGGTTCGTGATGTAGACGCAGGCCATGATGATTTCACGCTTCGATCATGCAGAATAACGACATGAATACTTAGAATATACAGGAACACACGTAAATTATAAATGAATACTTACCTTATTTTCTGATTTTTTCTTCTTTTCTTAAAATGTTGCACTAAAGGTCATCTAAAAACGGACACTTTTCTCTTGTAGAAATCTAACGATGAAAAAACGTACTTAACTGAATAGTTGTTAATATTTATGAGAATGTATGTAGCCAATGAAGTCTGCTAGTTTTCCTGGCGGGCCCACACCTAACCTAGCCTATGCATATCTGGTAGCTTTGCGCTACATCCTCGTGAAAGAGTGAGATGTGTTGCTTCATAGTTTGCGGGTTGCTGAACTTTTCTCTTAGTACCGAACCTCAGTGGAATGGCCGCAAGCAGAATGGGGTACTGCCCACCCTCTGTGGATTCAACGCAGACGTTTTCGCGATTATAATTGAGCGATTGGGTGACTGATTGACAACAAGTATGATATATTCGCTCATCAATCTCGATGGGGATCTCAACGATGATCGGTATTCTCATCTCGGTCCTCCCTTAGTTTTTCGTATTTGGATTAAGATATGCGCCGACAAGGATGAATACACCGGTATCTTCCGCGGCAAAAATAGAAGTATGACCACTGCAGCTGAAGAGCATATAATGCACTTCGTTCAGGAAGAGCATCATGTTTGCGTTGGCGACCCACGCTTTCCGCCGTTCTCCTCATCAGCAGCTGTCTCGCCCCGTGCTTTACCTGGTGACTGCAGGTGTAGCGATCAGGTTTACGTGGTGGGCAACTGCGGATACGAAACCACCAAAGAGAAAGACTCAACATCAAGAAAGCCACGAACTATCCGATGGTTATACGTCTTTCTGGAACCTTGTTGCTACGCCCGCGAAAATTATCAGCCTCGTAGGACTTGGAGGCATTAATAGTCGACATCTTTTGTCACCCGAAGCTAGTACAACAATATCTTCGACGCAAGCGTCACAAGACCAAGAACTCACGGGTAAGAGAGGCACATCACACACTTGTAGAGGACATGATGCATCTTCTTCACCTGAAAGAGTATTTTCTCGCGAAGAGGACTCTCCTAACACACCAGAAAGAGAAACTGAATTGCAAGAGACAGACGCAGAGAGCAAGCATTACCTTGCGGCTGCGGAGAGGCGGCAACTCTTTTCGGGCCTGGCGTGGAGGTACGACTCGGCGATGACGTGGACGCATCGTCGGGTTCGGCGCGGTCATGTGGGCCTAATCAGGGACTATGCGCACGGCGACGTACTCGAGGTCGCCTGTGGGACTGGCATTTTCGCGAAGAACTACCTAGAAAACGGTCGCAAGCAGGAGAGTTCTTCTAAATTGAAGCATGATCATGTTGAAGGAGTTGACGATGGTCGGAACGGACAAGGAGCTTCAGGCTTAAGGCATTTGTTGTGCACATCAGACGTTTTCTTGAAAATCTCCTTGAAGATGTAGAGCTATGCTAAGATACTTTTCGTCTGTACCGTTGTAACAAGCGGTAGATTGTGGATGCTCATGAGAGGCCTTGTTGCTCTAAGAAAAACATGCGAGGAGGAGGACGGGCGATCATGCGGGGGAATCTCGAGTGTAACGATGGTCGACAGCTGTCGAGAAATGTTAGAGCGGGCGCATCTCCGTATTCACCAACTCTTCATCAACCAAGCCTCTACGTCTACAACTGGTAATGAGCAAGAGCTTGACTCGTCGAGTTTCATTCTGCGGAAGGCGAGCACCGAGAGACTGCCTTTTGCCGATAACAGCTTTGACACTCTAAGTCTAATTGTGCTCTCTTACCTCCTTGGACGTCAAATATCTTAGCCTATAGATTGATAGACATGCTCCTGTGTTAGTCGGAAGACAGACACACAGAACAAAAAATGTCGGCGGGGCAACTGTCGCTTATCAACAAGTACTTTCTTTCTAAGCGCTGTCGTCGATGTTCTAGGGATATGCAGCTACGATTCACCTGCTGCGGCACTGCGCGAGATGGGCCGTGTACTACGGCCGGGCGGATTTCTTCTGTTATCCGAGCATGGTGTTTCGGATTATCCTCTGGTGCAGTATGCGCAGAAGCACTTCTGGCAGCAAAACATGGACGAGCACGGTTGTGACAGCACCCTTTGCATCTTCGACGTCGTAAGGAACGCTTTGGGACTCGAGATGCAAGATAGCTCCGCTTCTTCGGCATGCACTGAACGAGCTAGAACTTGTTTTAGTGCACCATCAGTAGCGCCATCTCCAACAACACCATGCGGAGGTGACTGCGATCAAGATCATGACGGGATGAAGAAGAAGGATGGCTCAACAACGACACCCTCTAACGTCAGGGAAAAGGAATCACCTGCTGTGCGGGACGATGGCAAAGCTTGTTCCTTTACGGTTGTTTTCGAACAAAGGCGTGCTCTGGGCGCCTATTATCATATGATAATTCGCAAAGATCGCATCTGAGGAGTATTTTTTTACCTCGTGATCGGATGTTGCTGGTGAATGTTTTTCTGCTAGTCCATTTTACCTCAATTATTATGAATGCGATAAATTATACCTGTTGTTCTTGTTGTTTAAAAGGACATCTTCAGCGACAGCTGCATGGATGAAGGTTCCGATGTGGGTAAAACTAGGAAGCAAAATTGTCTGTGTTACCGCAGGAGATGTGACATCAAATTATATATTTGTTACTTATCATGGAAGAGGATCTAATTGTGATCCAAATCCAACCACGACAATTTTTTCAAGAATGACTGTGATCCGTGAACAGAAATGATTTCCTTTGATCTTTTAAGATTCTTGACAAGAATTGGAAAAGTAGAGCTAGAGCTTGAAAACAGAAAATATAAGATCCTATTCTGCTACTCTCTTGATGTGGAAATCTGAAAAGATCCTATGATGAAAACTGAGTTCTATCCGTGTTGCATAAATCTAAAAATCAACACGATGTGGCGATCCCAGACTATATGACATGGTTCCACCAGATCCTCTTCGTGACGATCACTTAAAATAGCGTAGAACAGCACCAGGATCACTTTAACATATAACAGAAAAGTTGAACAATATGATCTTCAAGATGAAGCGTACTCGTTTGTCGATAGAGGTTGCTGACAATAACAAGAAAGTACGATTCCGATCGATGATATTAAAGAACATTTATGTATTACATCTCACTCATAATGAGCAGTCTTTCTTTGCGAAAAAAGTAGGGGTAGTGATTTCGATTCAACTTTCTCAAGGAGTTTTTGGGAAAGATTGCACACATCAAAGCGTAGGACTTGAGTTGACGACATACGTTGCAGTAGCTCTGTCCCCCTTGGGGACCTTGCTGCAGATATTTTAGCGAAGATATACTAGTGCTGCTTTGCATTGATCTATCCTCATTTACATTTTCTTGCATTCCAAAATCGTTGCAATATGTGTTGAAGGAGTAATATTTTGATTTTATATTTTACTAGCTTCTTTTAATATAACTTTTTCGACGACTTCGACCATCACTTGTTCTTCATACATAAACATACACATCACATTGATTCACATTGTAAGTCCTTCTGCCGTCTCTTGAACGAGGAGTCTGCCGTCTCTTGAACGAGGAGAACAGACCGGGACGAAAATGACGTACAAGAATTCTTACCAAGCCAGCGAGGAGGAGGGCCAGCTCCTCTTGGAGAGTGAGCAATGGACGCAGGAGGATGCTATGGACCAAGTGAAGGTTGTCTCTGACAACTACAGAGCTCAGGTACTTCAACACATCTGTGAATGTGTTAGAAATACAGACTGCATGAAAATATATAACTTTCATCAAGTAAAGAAAGTGTATTCAGTTTCTTTTTCGAGATCGAGAGGTATCATAGACCTATAATTCTTATCCAAGATGAAGATCCATTCATACATGGACGTAATTAAACGTGATAAACAGTGCGCTCGCGAGCTTGATTCTGACCTGTCCGGGGATGACGAGCACGCGACAGAAGAGCTCAGCTATGAGGAGTACCATGAGAAAGTGGATGCAATCTACGAGAAAACTGACTGGAACGCGAAAGGCGACGAGCAGAAATTTCCGATGACATCCGTCGGAGCCATTTTCTCATTGCTGGCTTCGATCTTCGGTAAAATTACTATGATTGGACTTCTTGATTTGTATCACCCTCGTTCAGTTGGATGAAGAATATGATGATGATATTTAGGGGGTACTGAATATCGTCGTAGAGCACTACTTCATTAGACTACTACTTATTTGTTGAGTAAATGATGGAAATCGAAATGTATGATGTCCTACGCAATAATTGTCGAAAAAAGGTGTCGGAATTTTGGAGCAGCCAAAGATCATGCAGCAAGTTGGTTTCCTTACTGGAATCATTATCCTTTTGTTTTCGGTGTGGGTATCCCACATGGGCGGTTATTATCTGGGTATTGCAGCTCGCATGACAGGAAAGAAATCCTTGGGAGAAATCGCCAAAACAGCTGGAGGAGTGCTTGGATTGGTACATGAATTTCGCATCTTTGGATGTAGTTGCTTTTAGAAGTAGGTAGCACCAGGTTATAACTGATGGTTCGTTTTTGTTTTTTGATGAAGGTTCCTTTATTCAAGTACTTCTTACCCTGAAGGAAAACAGAATGCTTGAATCTTGACGGCGATGTTGAAAAGAACAAAATATTTTATGAAAAATCAGATTTTGAGCGTGTACTCCCTTTTGGGTTTGTGCATCCTCGCTTCCATCGGTTATGCTTGCTCCTGGTGGGCATACACCAGCGAGTTGTACGCGCGCATGGGTTTGATCGATATTGAGACAGCCCAGACTTCCAGCGGCTTTGCCAGTGTGCGGACGCTTGTGATCTCGGTTATGCTTGTGGTTCTCTTCCCGGTGTGCTGCCAGCGTGACCTCTCCGCGCTAGCCACCTTCTCCTTCGGTGCCGCGGGCGTCTATGTCGTGCTCGTTTTCCTGATGGCCTACTACTGGATCGCGGATTACCTCGCTGCAGACCCGATGCAGTGGGACGCGGATCTCCGCTACAAGTGGACCTTGGGTGAGCACAACAGCGTGCCTCTCGTGACCCCGACTGGTCAGGGACAATCCGCTTTTCACAGCATTAACCTGAACGCGAATGCTGGAGCAGGCTCTCTTGGTAAGGTTTGGGCGGACGCCAATGCCGAACGAGCCGCAGCGAAGGAGCCAGCAGCAATCGCAAGCGCCAATGAGAAGGTCGCCGCAGCGCGCAACCAGGTGGAGGGTGCCGTCGACGTGCTGAACCATCCGTGCCACGGTATGTTCGGCTTTGAGGCTTCCTGGTTCTTCGGAGGAAGTTTCCAGGCTCTCTTCATGGCGGTCGGACTGATGAACACCGCTTTCGCTTGTCACTTCTCGTGCGTCGATGTTTTCGGCAAAGAGATGCAAAAACCCACGAGAAAGAATATCAACTTCGTCATGGGCCTTTCCCTCGCCGTGACAGCCGTCATCTACGCTGGCTTTATGGCTATGGGATGGAACTACGCGCGCAAGTTCCAAGACATTTCTGTGACCCCAGTCAGTGAGGAAATCTCAGTGAACGTAGGCGGCGCGACCCAGAAGCAGACTGTCGCCACCTCCTATTCTGGTACTCCATCAAGGTGAATTCTCTTTGCTAGTACGTAGTGTATCTTCGAATGATCATAATGCTCGGACTACTTTGATTATAATATAATATATGTGTCCTCCTGATCAGCAATATCAACATCTTCAACATCTTCAACGCAACAGTTTTAACATCAGGGAAATCCGTAAAACTCAGAAGAGACTCAGGGAAGTCGTAGGACAATTCCGAACCGACTAACATCATCATAATACATGTGTCCATCTCCCGAAGATTATAATATATGTGTGAAGAGGATTGTAGAACAACACAGGTCGGCGCTGGTTCACTACGTCGTCGTGAAGTGGATTCAAAGTCTCGACGAAGTAGTGAGCCAGCGCTTCGGGAGATGGATCATTCGGAAGATCTGCACTCAGTCTCAGTGAACCAAAGAGTGTACTATTGTTGTACTAGGATGTTGATGCAGTAGAATAGGTTACTCTTAAGACTTTCTGAAATCCATCTTCGGAAGCATCTTGGACCTCCCGCGTAAGGGGGAAACGGATCCAGGATGACTTTCCAGATGGATTCCCGGAAGGTCCAACATTCAGTCAAATTCTCAGGTGTGTGCCAGCAGGGGGCTCAGGATGCTATCCTGAAGAACATGAAGAATCCTGACGACGAGTTTCAACCGACTTTGATTGCCGTTGCTCAGTTTGTTGTTTTTCTGGTGTTGTACTTGACTTACCCGCTGTTTATCAGCGCCGCGCGATCGACTATCCATGGTCTTCTCTGGCCAGACGAGAAGAGCGGATTTTTGAAGCACACTGCCGAAACTGGTGCTCTCTGCCTAATCACGTGGTTGGGTGCTGCAGTCATCCCGAAAGTTACGATTGTCCTCGCCTTCGCTGGCTGCGGTCCGGGATTGGCGCTCGTGTTGATCCTTCCCGGCTACATCATGCTTTGCTTGAACAGAAGCCTCCCCTGCTCCCACAAGGACCGCGTCATCCCCTGGGTGCTCGTCATCTTCGGTACTTGCGCAGATTTAGATTGAAAAGTATACGCGATTTGATTTCAGCTTGGTAATATAAGTAAGTAGTTTTCACCTTTTACCTCGTGATTTTAGCTAATTTGTGCAGGAAAAAATGGTCGTAACTCCCTGGTCGTCCTCTGAATTAAGTTACCTGGGAACAAAACCAAAAAATTATTGGCTTTCATCTTCGTTTTCTCTCATGCTCATCAAAGGTACCATTTTGTCTTTGGGTGGTATTATTCTGACCGTGATTTACGGTGCGGAATGGGACCGCGCAGCTAATGTGGATATGAGCCACGAAGCTGTGACTTACGCTAGACAGCCTCCGAAGCTGCAGATCACGCATGCAGCACCCGATGCTCCGAGCCAAGTTGTCAGTTTTTTTGAGATGACGTCACCAGCACAAGGAGCACCGGCACCGACCGGACCGCAAGACTCTGAAAAGCTCCGATGGTTCGAATGGAACAAGAACGGCAGCCGAGAAGATCCCACTGCCTGGACACTCACAGCAGAAGAAGTCACCAGAGCAGAAAAGGTAAACCACATTAATAAGTAGGTGGTACACTACATCAATATATAAATTAAAATTTAGATTGCCTATCTTCTATTGTATACCTAATATGAGAGCCACCAACTTTTGTTGAGCTCAACCTGAATTGGACGATATCGACTGCAACCGGCCCATTTTTTTCAGGTGAACCGGCACAAGGCATTGGCGGTCGCGAAGTCGTACTTCGAGGCGGTTAAGGCAAGAGACGCTGCTCAGACGGAAGTGAACGCCCCCGGGACCGACGCAGCTGCGAAAGCCAAGGCAGAGAAAAAGCTGGTAGCCGCTAAAATGACAGTGGAGCGCTCCTTAGCCAAGGCTAAGCAAGCGGTGTCTGTTGCGGAGCGGATCTATAAGCAGGACATCAAGGAACTCGAGGAGAAAGCGCGCACAGCTGGGGCCCAAGGATTGAGCCAGGAGCAAACCGCACGTCTCGCTCAAATGAAAGCATTTCGCACCAATTTCTGGGACCGGGAGACAAACGGCGAACTTCACAGTCTGAAGACCCAGGTAGAAGCTGCAGCACGAGCAACGCCTCAGCAGCCGCAACTCTGATCAACCATAGGCAAAACTTCTACTAGTTATACGACTACTACAACAACGAACAAGTAGTAGTAACTCAAGATCATTTACTTTTACATTTTCACATCGAGTAGAACCACTTTATCTCCACAAAGGCAGAACAAGAATTGGTCGCCATGATACAAAATAGGAGGTCAATGCCTTCAATAGGTGGTATGATTCATGTTACGACACGAGGCGTGGTCCATCTCCTCCATATATATTAAGTCAAGAGCAGGTCATGAAGCCAAAAGTTCTTGATGAGAAGACCTCATGATGTTCTTGTTTGCGGAGTCAACCTCTGATATCTCAAACAAGCAGTTGATGAAGTTGTTCCCGATGTGGTGATGGAAAGTGTTTTGGTACTAACTGGTGCTATAAAGATGTTTATTTAGAAGTAGAAGATGTGAGTCTCGAATGGTTGTCGTGGTCCTTAATTGCTCCTTCTGTATTCGACTACGACTTCTTAGAAAAGTCGGAATTTTAACATCTAGAACTAGCTCGCTTTAAAATGAGTAATACATGAAGCCTCAGTAACAAATGAATTGAAAATCTGATGATACGGAGGTTGATATTTATTAGATGAAGAACTCGCACCCTTGGTTTTGAGCCGAAGAGCACCCGGACCCGGAAGTTGAAAACGATATATTAAGTACATAATAAATATATATAATATACCGGTGCGAGGATTCAGGTTTATTATTTCTTCTTTTTTCTTTGTTGTATCTCCTATGTATGACAAAACCACACATAAAGATTAATTTTCTTCGCGTAACCCAATTTAAGTAGATGATGAAGATTTTCATCTTTGTCATTGTCACTTTCCCGTAATCATGGATTTAAGTTGCACCAGTGCACGATCTCGGCGTTGGACTAGGCTGTGTGGTTTCTAATAGGTAGAAGTCAAGCGGCGCGCACCTCAGAACTTAGAAGGAATTCAAATTACCTGAAATGTGTGTGCTGATTTTTTTCCTTCCGACATAAAGATAAAAGCAACTCATCCACAGATGCCTAAGGTCGGTGGATAGGGTTTTGGTCTGAGACGAATCGATTAGAGAATTTAGTAGATCATACATATTCACGCTGTCCGAGTCCGAGTGCCGTACGGAGCGGCAGTGGTGATCGTGATGAAGGAATGAATGAATGATCACTACTACTATGACAACCACGAGGTTTTATTGGGAAAGGCAAGATCGGCATTTCAGACACCACAAAAGTCATCGCTTCTACTTGATCAGAGCCACAGGTTGTTCTTTGTTTTGTCGTTTTGTGCTCAGAAGTAATGTGTTTTTAATGCCTGTCGTTGACTTCACTCAGATAATTTTCAACGTGGCCGGATCACATTTGTTCAACGACATCATAACTTTGGTAGAATGAAAGCATGCATATATAAATATGTAAGGCTGCAGGTGCGTCGGCACTGACTAGTTTCTTCGCACGCTAGAAGCATTTCTCGCCTTCTGAGGTCGAAGTCGTGGTCTCTTAAATGTTCAGTATTTTTGGTGTTCTGACGAGCCAGACTTTTCTTGGGCCGAACCCGAAGTCCAGAGCCGAACATGAGTAGGTGGAAGGCGAATTGTATTGCCTTCAGCGGTTGATAAGAGCAACCCAATGCGCATCAAATATCCTGTGTATATGCCGGGCCGGCGCATCGTCCGTGAAATGGAAGACTTCGCTGCGCCCACCCCAGCTGGTGCGCTGGCCCTTTTGTCGAAGCCTTTGAAATAGAAAAATTGAAATTGTTCTGCATGAAAAAACTAAAAGATTTATCTAAATGTTGTTTTGCAAGGAACTTTAAAACACTTGACACAGTAATAGTATGCATGCAGTAGGGGATCTGGCGTTTTATGGAAGAACCAGTTACATCCCAACATATAACTTAGTCTCGCGCTTGGAACGATGCAAATAGAAGTGGCTGGCATAAAGAACGATCGGTGATACCGAAGCGCGGCAGTTGACACCTTACCTTTGTCAATGACATGGACGATTTCTAAAGAGCAGCTGGTTTTTCTCACAGGAAGAGACATCATAACCAGCAGATAGAATATGAATGTAGAATAATAACTTCTCGTACCAGGTGATAACTGATAAGTGTGTGTGAAGTAAAGAAGTAAGCAGGTAGATGACATAAGCATAACTAGTACTAGAATAGTTTATAGACGGTGGGAAGGTGGGCATATCACTACTACCACTACTGCTACCTCCTAAAAGTTGCCGCTCCTTTTTTCTATGATGGACCATTCGTAACTACATCAATTTATTGCCTACGACTACAAGATTAATGAAGCAAACTGCTAATCAGCAAAGACAAAAATTGGTATGACCATGACCACGATCATCTGCGAATTCGGCGTGGGCCGGCGAAGGTTGGAATACTAAAGTTATACTTATATAAAGCGAAGACGTGGCGGCCCTTGTCTTCGACTTAGGCTCGATCGTAGACAACCTTGATTATAGAAGCATTTTACGTTTGCCGTTTAGCGCACGCGGAGGGTGCGAAAAGAAGCGGGATGCCTGCATCTGCAAGCTGCGACGGCAGACCTTCGGACATCATGAGCTCTGCGGCTAAAAAGTTGAACAACGGCATGGTGAAGGGCAATGTAGCTGGCGCGAGCGCTGCTTCATCAAAGTCGTCCAAGAAATCTTCACGTAGTGATGGTTTGGAGGGAGATAACGCATCCAACGCGAAGAAGCGAAGAATACACCAGGACTCAAACCAGGATAACAGAAAGGACGAAAGTATGGACAAATCGGGAGAGCAGGCCTCATCGATACCTGGAGGAGCAAAGAAAGTCACGATTTCGAAAGCTGAGCTGACAAACTTCTTTCAGTCGTGCGCTCATTATGATGCGACGTACGCTCCTTATGGTCTGGGTACGAAGCAACAAGCAATATGGGTTTTGACGCATTTTCGACCGGCCTTTCTAGACAATATGACGGCAGTTAAACTGCCGAATGGCTCAGGGGAAGGAATTGGTAGCGCGCCCATTCACCGTGACGAGAATCCGTATAAGGCAAAAGATGGACACCAGATGCATCAAGGAAGAGACGGACGAGCCACTGGTACCAATGTATCTGCATCATCTTTAACATCGGTGCGGACGAATAACAATGGCCTGCCTTCAATATCGGCTGTTGGCGCTGCCATTCGCTTGTTTCGGGAGGGGTCAGAGATTCCTTTCATCGCGCGATATCGGAAGGTACCCACAGAGCACATGGGAGAAGGCGCGCTTCGAATAGTGAAGCGGGCCTATACGTCCAGCGATGATTGCGAGCGAAGACGCGGGACGATTTTTCTCACGCTGCAGAAGAGACAAAAGCAGCATATCGCTGATGGTAGAGAGGGGTCGTTGTAGTCGTTGGTTTTTCCACCGCGGCTGCTGGCTAGAAGCTTGTGATAGTTTTTTTTCACTGCAGGATGGACTACCGAAACACCAATACAAGAACGCTGAGCTGATACTAACCTACTCACTTTTATGTAGAACTGTAACTGTCCAGCAGCGTTGCAAGTACTGTCTCGTCATCATGTGAATACTTTCACGAAGCTATTGCATTCTGTCGTACTAACTAGCCTCTCCCACCTCCTCCCACGATTGTACTGTCCGTAGGTACCAAGACTGGGATCGATAGACACGTGCTTGCAAGTGTGCGGAATGCGAGAAATCTCGAGGAGCTGGAGGAAATATACTCTCCATACAAGGATGGGCAGCAGACGATGGATAAAGCGGCTCGTGCGCGCGAGCTCGGTCTTCATGAGGTCGCCCTGGCCATGCTCCTCGAGGATGAGAGGCTTTCCCGACAATTGCTTCGAAACTACGAAATGAAGGCTAAGAAGTCACCAGGCGAGATGGTCGTTAGTGCCGACGAAGTCGAGGACCTCTCCGTATCGTTACTAGCAGATTGTCTCTATCTCGCTTCGTCGACATCGGCCGCGGCGGAGCAGCAGAGTGCAGGAGATGACGGGGGCCATCAGCGACGAATGGATGCGGCCCATCGGTTAGCACGATACACCACGTCGTTCACGGCGCCGGCGAAGAAAGCTTTGGCCTCAAACGGTACAAACGGCGCAGCATGCCAGCGCGCATCCAAGAGTAATAAAAAAGGTGTTGGAATAAAAGCGGATCATGCCGGCGCCGGTAAGCACAACAAAAAGGGGAGTGTTGATATTCCTGTGATCAAGAGCGACGCGAAGAAGAAGGATTGCGACGCACAGAGGTCGGTCGTGGATTCTAATTTTGTTGCCGCGGCAGAAAAATATCAGCGATACGGCGACCTGGAGAGAAGCATGCAGGGTTTGCGCGGGTATCAGTATCTAGCCATTCAGCGCGCGGTTGAGGCCAAAGTGCTGCGTGCCGCGTGGTCTTGGGGCAATAGCACTGAGTGGACCCTCTCCGAGCTCATTCTTATCGGCTACGAAACCGCATTGACGGAGCTACGGACAGTAGTGAATCCTGGTGCTCAGGGCAGTTCGAGTAGTCGGAGTAATTCGAGGACCATGCCTTCATCCGCAACATCCGGTGTCGTGCTGTCACACGCACAAGTTCATCAGAGCACTCGCTCCACGCTTGATAGTGATAGTGCTTTTCCTAAAATTCGGAAAAATAGGATAGCGACACTGAAGGATATCAGTCGGCGGGATTCATACTTGGATCAGGCTGTGAAGAGAGCTGCTGGAAGGCTGAAGCAAGTCCTGCAGAGGCACTGCGCACGTGAGTTGAAAGAGCGCGCTTTTGAGGAAGCACTGGCCCAGTTTCGCTTAAATTTATCCCAGAAACTTCTTACACCGCCAGCGCGACTGTGGGCCGGGAAATTTCTTGATAGCGTGTCCTCAGCGGCTGGAAGCCTTGATGCTGGCTCGTCTCTAGCTACCTCAAAACTGCAGTTCTTCTCGGGCTCTCCTAAAGGTAGACATGACGAGAAATCCGAGAAAAAAGACTCTTGCTTTGCGGCAAATAGTCGCTATATTCTGGCTCTAGATCCGGGCTTCAAGCAAGGCACAAAGGCTGCTATCGTAGATGCGGCGTCGGGGGGCGGCGTGGTCGAGACACGGACGCTGTTTATGCCGCGTGACGAAAGTGCGTTGCAGGACTTGCTGTTTGGCGCTCATCGACCAGCTATTGTGGCGCTTGGAAATGGCAAAGGCTCTCAGGAAATGGAAGAAGCGATTCGAAGGGTTGCAGCAACAAGTAATAGAAGACATCGACATGATGTTCATGTTGTTGAGCTCGACAGGACCAGGAGTACATCGAAATCCGGTCATGATCAACCATCGTCATCCAATAGTAAACAGGACGAAAAAAGTCGAAAACATGATTATGAAGCAGAAGATCCTAGTTTTCTTTTCTTCGTGTTGGATGAGACGGGCGCAAGCGTATATTCGGCCACAGAGCTGGCGTCGAAAGAACTGCCACACCTTGACGTTACGCACCGCTCAGCAGTGAGTCTTGCGCGGCGGGTGCTAGACCCTCTTGCAGAATTCTGCAAGATTCCACCTGCGTCCCTAGGCGTGGGCCAGTATCAGCACTCCTTACCTGAAAGGATGCTACAGGCGGAAGCGCAGCGTGCTTTCGAGGCTTGCATCGCGGAGGTCGGTGTAGATTTGAACACGTGCAGCGTTGAGCTACTCCAGTATGTTCCAGGTATTGGGCGTCAGCGAGCTGCCGACATCGTCGCGGCGAGAACGAAACATTTCAGGAGCAGTAGCAGCGGGAAAAATGGGACGAACCAGGCAGGGGCATTCTTTTATGCTACAATTAAAACAAAAGATAGAGACAGGCTTTTAGTCATATATATATATATAATATTTAGACGCAGCGCAAACAATTCTAAGAAAGTGTTTAATAATACCGGATAAGTGCGGTGGTGCTTTTACAGAGAACGTTCTGGTTCAGTTGTTTTATTAGCGAGGGAATGTTCAAATGATAAAGCTAAGCATAAAAGCATGCTCCATCACGTTCTGTAGCTGGAAACGCGTACTATATTATAATCTTCTACTCTAAGCAATCGAGTCCAAGGTCGATCTGATGAAAAAGGTAAAAGGTATCGGAGTCAAAATCTTTGAGCAGTGCAGTGGTTTTGTGTACGTAAGCGGTACAACAGCAGATGTAACTGACCGCACGCCACACATTCATCCTGATCAAGTTCCCGCAGTTCGCTTGTTACAAAAAATCTTTGGTGGTACAGACCTTCCGCACTTTGACAAAGCGAAACTGCCACAAGTGCTTCAGCAGTTAACCACGCCTTCTGGACAGGATGGCGAACACGAAAGTCAAGTCTTCCTGAATCTGCCGAAATCGTCTGGTCCAGTTGATGGCGGATCTTCTGTTTCTTCTGCTTGTGCGTCTAATCTAGTAGTTGTAGCGGAGAAGGAGACGGGCAAAGGAAAAAAGTCGGCTAGCACAAAGCCCATGAAGTCAGCCAGTGCTAGGTCGGGGGCTCCAAAGAAGGCTTCTCAAAAGTGTCAATTTGTTTTCGATTTGGCCACCCTGGAAGAGCTATGTCAGCAGCTAATTCCTCCAGAAAGAGGGGGACGAGCCGGCGTTGATCCTCGATGGAACCAGCCTCGACCGGTGCTTCGCGATCTCAGTTCGAGACATGGAAATGCTGCACAAGGGACCACCAATTTTGGTGCGTCATGTAGTAGAGGCAGGGGTTATAATAACAACTCGTACAACAACAACTCGAGTGGTGCAGCACCCAGTACTACTACTTCTAGTGGCGGAGCAGGAGTTGCTAGTTCTGGCATGACAACTGGTGCATCATCGATTCGTACGAGGAATGATGAAGGCGTCGGGTATAATTATACGAGGAGTACGAGGCCGGATTACGGTGACAGAAGTAACAAAAAGCGGGGAGATCCGCAGGATTTGCAAAGAGGGGACCCTCTTGAAGGAGTTGTGCGCAACGTTACACAATTTGGCGCATTCGTAGACGTGGGAGTCGGTAGTGACGGCCTCATCCACATCTCCAAGTTTCAGGGACGGTCTCTGCAAGTAAACGAGGTGCTGCAGGTAGAAGTAGAGAACGTCGAATGGAAAGGAGGCAAGTACAGGATCAGTCTTTTCCTGCCCTCCCCGTGACCAGAGGATGGCATTTGCTTTTCTTTGGCATCAGAATACAGATATGTGTCTGGCGCGGGGTGTTGCATGTGTCAGCACGTCGGATTCTAGAATCGATTCGTCATTAATCTTTTGTGACAATTGCCATTCATCAGTCACTGGCTCTGCGGTACATCAGAGAGTCCAGGAAGCTCGATCCCCACTTTCATGCGGAGATCCCCTTGATGTCATTTCGAACTACTGGTCAAGATATGCCTCGTTTCACAGGCATGTAAGAATTTCTTGTTGTTGTTGTTGTATCCAATTTGACGACTTGCGAATGAAGCTTTGTAATTGTACCGCCTACATAGGCAAGGATACATAGGAAGATGACGATGCACTGCAGTGCGTTTTGTATCTGAAAGATGCCTTCAGCATTCTTGACGCCATCAAACAGAAAGCAATATTGATAAAGGTTGGTCGAGTCTGCTCGATATACTTGTCGTGCTGCGGAATGTCATCTCTCAAAACAGAAAGGTGATCCGCACCGGACTAGTTGCATGCACTGAAAAATGAGACATGGAGTTCTAATAGTCTGTCATCCCAAGAAGAGTCTGTCAACCCAGAGTGTATCATCGAGATTGGTACGTGCATGCCTACTCCTAATTGAGCGTCCTTGTAATTGAGAGTCTTCGTTATCTAATGAATAGATGAGAATCTTCATCTTCTATGATCGACGAGAGAGCGAGAGCGAGACCCTGCTCCGATTTTTCTGTCCATGAGTTGAAGAATCTAAGAGGAGATCGGTTCTGTTGATCCAAGAGTGATGCGGAGAGATGAACATGGAGGTTGTAGCAGAGTATAGACTTGTTGATGAATCTGAGAGGTCCCATCGGTTCCGAGAAAAGATCATTTCCTCTGTCTTCCGATTGTTTCATATTGTGATCCGAAATTTCGTGTCTGCTTGAAATTGATGATCACTTGCATGTTGACCTTGACAAGATGAGGGAGTCCTTTATATTAATTAATTCATTTCATCTCACCATCCATCTCAGGTCCCCATGTCCAAGTCTCCGTTACCCTTTACCCCATATTGCCTGATTTTGAGTTGTACTCATTATCATTTTCTATGCTTAGGTACAGATGCAATTCGTTAATTAGAGCCTCATTGTTGCGGAAAATCTAAGCTAAGTAATCTACTGGTAGAGGCGGCCCTTGCTTGGTACTAGTAGAGGTTGTCCTTGTCAAGATTGCATACTGCGGAGCCTAGAGTAAGGCAGTAGGCTTCGGAAAGTAAATTTGTTTTTTTTTTCATTTTCGAATAAATCCTCATTCTGTTTCGGAGCGGTCACTTCGACAACTTAGCTTACCGATTCTCTCATATTTCATTGACAAATCGGATAATAACATATTAGACGTGCTGGAGTGAGCGCTACGAGAAGAGGGAGATCTCTTCTCGCTCGTTTGTTGTACTAGGGTACTTTTTCTAGGTACTTAGACTGGTTTGAAGCACTAGTACTGATGGCGTCTGGCTGAAACTGAGAAGGTGGCTCTGCCAGTGGCGCTTTGAGGTTGGTGAGAAGTATCAACCTCTTGAAGGCGATAAATGTCAGCACCAGGAGCAGGCGGCTTTCAGCAGGTAATACCTGGCGCTGCAAGTCCGGCTCCGCAGCAACAAAATTTTGGAGCTCAGCAACAGGGTTTGGGTACCCAACAACTTCCTCATCAACAACAAGTAGTACCGCAGGCGCAGCAAGTGGTGCAGCAACAAGTACCAACCACTACTGTGGTGCAGCAACCGCAGCTGACTGGACCGACCAGCACTCTACAACAGCCTAGGTCTAACCGGTACGACAATATCAACTCGAGACAGCGCACGCGGTTTGCAGAGGAACAGGGTAACAACGCTAGTGCGGTACCGCAACCCGGTGTCGGAGCGAATAACAACATGATGTACGGAGGTGGCGCCGGTGTGGTGCCCCAGCAGAACACGGGTGTTGTCCCGGTCGCGGGAGGGGGACTACAGCCGGGGGCAACTGCGACGCGGCGCAGTCGGCGCTCGCAGCAGTTACAATCCGGGGACACGGGTGGCGTGACGATGGGATCTATTGCTGGTGGGCAACAAGCAGGAATGATGTCCGACCCGAATAATAGTGGTTCAGAACGGCCTTCCCCACAACAGCAGTTCGAACAGCAGCAGCTGGCAATGCAACAACTCGGCCAGCAGCAGCAGCTGGCCATGCAACAGGCAGCGTCGCAGCAGCAAGCGGCTGCTGCTGCAGCAGCGTCGCAGCCTGGAGGAGCAGTTGCGCAGGCTTCAACTGCACAACAGCAGCAACAATTTGCGCAGATGCAGTCAGCAATGCAGATGCAGTCGGCCATGCCCCAGATGGCTCCGATCCCAGAGAACGTTCAGTTACCAGGCCAGCTTCCTCCAACAAGCTCAGAAAAAATGATGCCCATGATGCAAATGCCCATCCCACCAGGGCAGCAGGTCGTTCTCGCTCCCGGCGGCCAGCCCATGTTCATGCTCCACCAAGTTCAAGAACCCCCAAAACCACTGTACTTTCAACATTTTTTGGTGATTCCTACCAGTTGCTACTAGTGCAACTAGTTGTAGTAGTGCTAGTACTTGATATCATGCTCGAAATCTATGGTAGGTTTTTTCTGGGGGGAGATAATCATCCATGTCGCAAAAGAACTAAAATGTCATTTTCATCAGAGTTTCGTTTTTCTCCACCTCCCTACTCTCATATTATCAGATATAAGCGCGGTGAGAATTTAGCGAGATTGCAGGGTTTCATGCCAAAAATTTTGATGGATGAGATCCGCGTACACACGAATCGTTCCGTCGTCACAGTATCGCGGGCAGCTGCTGCCGAGTCAGAGTCTTTCTCAGTGAAGGAGATGATCACGGATAAATATTTAACGGTAAGGTTTGTTATGCTAACTACTTGATGGGTGTCACTTCTTAGGAAGCGTGTACTTCGTTCCAGGCGTTTATCATGATTTCGATAGTTGACGCAAAAATGCAAGTAGTGATGCTTTACCAGTGAGCAGCTTCAATGATATTAGATGAAATTTTTAGCTTCTTGACGGCCAATACTTAAAGCTAGATCATTGCCATTTTTTAGTGATGCCATGCTGTTCTCGTTCTACTCCACTTTTCTTAGTATACCTGGTGCTATCCTTAAAAAGAACAATTCCGCCACCAGATTATGTCCACATTGGGTTATATCGGAACGCTGTCATGGGCAAATAGAGGCTTCTGTATTCCAGCTTTGTTCTTCTACTTCCTCATCGCGGCTCGATGTGCGGTAGCAGTTCACATGGGTGAAGAGGAACCAGGCTACCGAGACGTGCTCAATACGTGTAAGGAGTGGGGCGAGCGAGGAAGTGACTACGTCCCAAGTATGCTCACATCTATTCTTCCTATCTTCCTGGTGGTGTTTTACGTCAACGCGGCGATCAAACGGTATTAGCATCTCCATAAATTTCGTCAATTATTATTCTTGGCGCAAACTTTTAACTTTTGCCGTGAAGCTAGCCCTTATTTAAGGATTGGTCCATATTTATAAGTTTGGTCCGAGGTTTATGTCCTTGTTGCAAATGCCTTTGTGCCTTTTTATGAAACGTGAATATGATAAGGCACTTTTAACTCTCTTTCCAAAGTCCTTCTCCTCTTTCCCTCCCGGTACTTTTTTGCTATCGGTCTCAAGTCAGTGCTTAGCTTTAGGCGAAAACTTCCACCCATTTGGCGCGCCGAGTACAAAGCACGCGACTCAGCGACACCCTTCCGGACGCGCTGGCCTCCCACATATAATTGCTTTCATTGTTCCCTTCGATGTGGCGCCAAGATTTTAATCTTCGTTTTATTCTGCTACTGGTGTGAATAAAGTCGTGTACTTATGTGTTTCATTCGCTTTCTTTCATATATATCTCATATTATGAGATTACTTTTTTTCCACCGTAGCAATCGTGATCAGATAGTTATTTACATCTTTTTTTTCCGCTACGAATCATATTCATGACATACTACCATCAGATACTACAAGATGTACGACGCGTGCCGCGAAATGAGCGACATCACAGATCAGGCCGTAGGTATTGCGCTCATTGATTTCCGAAAACATCCGGAGTGCATTAAGGAGCAAGTGCGATGCTTGCATCTAGCCCGTATGCTCGTGCTTCTTCACACTGCACGAGAAACCTATCCCGTAAAGAGCTTCTTCCTGCCCCTCTGCGAATGCTTCGGCGACAAGAGCCACGGCCTCCTCACGGCAGTCGAGCATCGGGTAAGCCCCTTGTTACAACGAGCTTGTCACATATTCATCCTTACTTTTTGAGTTTTTAAATACATAGCGTCGAAATTTAGAAAATAGTTGTCAATAGAAGTTTTCGCCCACACCCACAGGCAGATGAATGAGTTGCACTACTTCTTTGAACAAATACTTACCAATACTTGAATGAGCAGAGGAGCTAGAAGATCAGCTAACTTGACTTCTTGACGTGAAGTGACCAGCTAAGCGAAAAAGATTGTACAACCACCTGACTATGACGACCATTATTTAACATAACAGTTTATTTCTGGAGAAGGCTACTCGGAGCACTTGGCGCAGTATTTCGTAGTGAAAGCACTCAATGTCGTCCACGCGGGCACGCATAAGAGCCTCATTTCCCCACCTGGCTGCGCTGCGAGGACGATGCACCTCATGAAAATGATGTATTCATCTTCACTTCTACATCATCATGATTCTGCGTCCTTACGTTACTACTTGTCAGAAGTAGTTCTGCTTCTTCTTTTTTCATTTTGATTTGCTTGATCTTGACATACTTAGGATAGTAGTCGGCGATCTTTCCATTTCTTTGTAAGAGTATAGGCTTCATCTTGGTTCTTTTTTCTTGGACGCGTAATCGAATTCAATTGTGATAAGATTCGCGCCGCGCATAGGATGCTTCGTCCCCTAGGGAAGACGTTTCCTTCATAATAATTATCAAAATTAGTATCGGGCCCTTTACCTTTTTCCGAAGTGAAGCCTGGCATTAAGTAGTCCCGTCGACAGTTTCGGAATACTGATCTGGGCAACTCACCATGGCCGTGGTTCTTTTTCTAGTTTCGGACTTTCATAACATCATCAGGGACTCGTCACAACGAATCAAGAGCTTGGTATCGATGCAGTATCCGCCAACCTACACCTATTTGGTGTCGTCGACAGTCGGTACCATTTTTTTTGCTGGTTGTATACATCGTTATTAGAATAAGCAAGTAACTACAAGGTCTACTCATTTTTAGAGAAGGAACGATTATGGCTGTATGCTTCTGTATTCTTCAATCACCCGATCCTATCTTTCTTTCTTCACGAGCAAGAATGTTTATCACGGAACGATGACTACTAGTGACCATTCAACAACTGCCACCATAATACTCCACCTCTCTCCGATTTATTAGGTATTTCGTGTTTGCTGGAAATCGCGTTCGCCGGAACGCGAGTAGGGCTTCAGTGGAACACAATGATGTTTTGGGAGTCGTTCCTCATTACGTTTTCCCTTCTAGTCGCCCAGCAGGTGTGTCTCTTCGGTATCCTGGGTGTAGCCGGTGAGATGATCGACCCCTTCGGACGAGATATTCGCGATTTCCCAATCTTGCAGGTACTCAAAGCAAAAATAGCTTCTAGCTTTTGAATAAGAATAACAGCAGCGTGATAAGATGAAATCTAAGTTATAATCTACGATGTGCATGTTGAATAACAGCAACGACGTCCGTGATAAAATGAAAGTAGTGTCTTCCCCTGACAATTTTTGAAAACAGCAAGAGTAGTATCACTCGCATCAATCTCAATGTACATCCAGCAATTTTTGATCCGCAACAAAATCTCATCAGATGTGCGTGGCGCCGTTGCAGCATACGGTACAGTTGCTTTTTGAATACAAGGACCTACGAGACGACGAGGAAAGCAATGCGTATCAAGAAGAGCTCGGAATCGTACTGATACTAAAGTTTTTATTTAAAGTAGTTGTAATGATTATTTGTAATTCATATTCATCCGTTGTACTTAATACATACAACTTGGTTTATAACAGTCTCAGAGAGACAGAGTTTAGTGGCATCAACGTCAATTGACTTTACTGTGGATGATTTTTAGTGGCCTGGGTTAGCGGGAACACGGGCGTGCTTGCACAGTCTAGAGCTGGCCCGGGGTTTGTTTAGTTCCTCCGTTATCCAGCGCTGCCGCTCGTTAGACTCTCACTCGCAACCACTATCTACAGCACGAAAGCTGGCTGCCAAAGCCAGACGAGGACCTGCTTAACCGACACACGCGGCAGACGCAACGATTCAAGGAGTCGACGATGTTGAGTAGTGAAGAACTGGCCAAGGTGGATCCTACGCACCTCGGTGAGGCATATTCGCGCGAGGCTGTCCGTATACTAGAGAATCTCAAGCAGAAGATAAACAGCACTGACGACGAATGATTTCGCATGTACTTAGAACAGCAGATGAACTTCGTGTTTCTGCTACAAGTTCTCTTGGTTAACGATGCTTCAATCATTCTTCCAAAAGAAGATGAAATGTTATGTAACGAGAAATTAAAATATTCCACCTTATCAAAAATGTCCTTGTACAGAACATCCATCTTAATTAGTCATTGTTTATGATGTCATGTGGCATCTTACTTAGCATCAGTATGCAGCGCTCCTTTTTGCAGAAAATCAATAAAATAGTACATAAGTAGGCTTGGACACCGAACTTTTTACCAATAAAAGTTCTCGTTGACCCATGTTTCCTAGAAGAACTAGGCAGTCTAGAAGGTAAGGTTCTTGACCCCAGGTTATATCATGATTATGTCACTTGCTGAACAAAAAATTAAAAACACGTCAATGCCATTCAGTGAATGCTAATAGTACAGTACCACGTCGCTAGAGACGAAAGACGTTAATGCAGAGAAGCAGGTGCACACACATACGCAGTTACACGACGCGTTGAGGTGCGTCAGTACGAAGTTAGTACGCCTACAAAGGCAGTGCTCATTAGACACCATGTTGACTTACTTACTTGGTAAGCATAAGCTCGACGATGCTCTTGAGATACCAAACCAAGTAGTGCGAAGTATGCACCTGCACAGAGAGTTCCTGCAATCAAAGTATATGTAAGGCAAATTTCATTCCAAACTAATTCTTAGACAGAGTTGTGAGAAACGATCAGATAATATCTTCACGCAGAAGATCCGCTTGTGGTCTCAATCATGGGTTAGACGTAGATCTAGACGAAGAAGTGAGTTCGCTAGAGTCAACTTGCAGATAATTCCAACAATATTTATTTCATTATATTTATTTGTAATTTAATTTTGGTTGTAAGTACTTGCAATTTGAAAATTAAAATCAGTGTTGATTACAACAAAGTAGAGAAATCGTGTGTTGCGGAATATCCTCCACGTTCCTTGTTTACTTTATCAGAGTCATTGTCATTGATGTAAATCCGGTCCTCGTCGGTAATTTAACGGAATTGTCAACATGTTGCTTATTGCTAAGAATCGAGCTGTGAGCAAGAGCATTGCCCTCTACTTTTCTGGGTCACGACATCCAGAAGGAGAAATAGGACGACCGCGTATTTTGAATTATTCCAGTGTTCATGAAAGCAAGACCCAGTTCGTCCTGCAAGTCGTCTACTCTAACTTTTGCCGCACGTTTCTTTTCTCATTCAACGGCGGGCTGTGCCCCCTTCCCATAGTTTCTGTAATTCAACACTTCCTTTGTGTCCTCATCCTCAAGTTGAAAAAGGTGATTCATGCGCGATCAAACTCACCGCACTAAGCACTAGTAAGTACACGCTCTGACTTAGAATTTCGTGGTATGATGTCTGCAATAAGACACTCGACGCCCGACGAGAGGGTGAATCACAAACGGTTCTCACAAATGGCAGGTGCGTGTTGGTCGGTCAAACAAGATGAAGATCAAATTTCCCAGTAATTTTCCTTTTCCAGATCCCGATCCAGCTCGAGGGTGTCGTTCTTGTCATTTTCCTTTTCCTTTATTGTAGGTGTCGTTCTTGTCATTTTCCTAGTATTTGATGATGTCACAGTTGTTTATACTAGCTTCCAAGTATGATATGGGCTGTTAAGATGGATTACATATAGTAGACTACTTATGCGCATACTATCACATATTATTAGAAGCTTCCAAAATGAATGAATTACTAGTAATTGTGGCAAATATATAAGTAAAAGAAGTCCTAGGTTGCAAGCACGGCCTACTTATACTTAATTGATTCAAAGAAGCCACGACCAGGACCAGAAGAAGCAAAAAAAATGCCGGGTGGTAAGAAAAAGAAGAAGAACAAGATGAAGGGCAAGAGCGTGAAGAAGGGTGGTGTCGGCGTCGAAGGGAAGATGAACAAAATGAAGAACCTCAAAGGTGCGCAGCAAGGTCAGAACCAAACGCGAACGCGTGGTATTGGCTTGGGAAAAAAAGCGCGACGCTCGGCGCAGCTGGAAGTGATCAAGGAGCGCTTGATCAAAGAGTTTGGTGTAAGTCCTGCTGCTTTGCAAACCAACAAGGACATTTTCTTCGAGCGTGATCGTCGTATTCCCCCAAAGGAGAGGTATCCCGACGTCTCCGACGCTTTTGCGATGCGTTTACGGGAAGAGAAGCGGGCCGAACAGATGAAGGGAAACGGACCAAAATCGTCGAATATAGACCTCGCCAAAGCGAAGCTGGACGCCAAAGAAGCTGCAAGAGCTCAACACGCTGCGTTCAAACGGAAAAATCAGACACAAAATACTAAAAATAAGCAGCCCCAGCAAATCACGGTGGCAACGAAGCACATTCGCTTTGAAGACGAAGCGGCAATTTACGAAGTAAAAACATTTGTTGATGCCGCTCTCGCTGCTTTAGGGGTGTCAGAACGCGAAATCCAAGAGAGTCCCTACCGGGCCAAAACTTTGAGTGGCTCGCCGTTCAAAGATGGGAATAGAATGGGCGTAAGAGCTACCAACAGGAAAGTAGTAGTACCTGCAACAGCCTCTTCATCTTCATCATCAGCGGTCGTGCCGTGGTCCGCACTTCGAGTCCAGCGCAGAGTATCAGAAGATCACCACGCGCAGCACCTACAACAGAAGAAGCAACGTGGAGAACTGCAGAGCTACATGGGATTAACGGAAGAAAATGGCGACCACGATCTTCTGGAAGAACACGTCGAAGAGTTGGGCGAGGCCTCGTCCTCCTCGAGCAGTGATGACGACGTTGATGATGGCCAGGAAGATGAACATGATGAAGATGCTGGCGAGATTTTCGACGAAGATGACGACGTGAATGTTGATGAGGATGCTGCGGAGGAACAGGGCGATGACGACGAGGATGAGTCTCATCTGATTCAGCCGTTGTGCAGCACTTTTTTGGGAGTGAACAACGGGAATCCATTACATGCCACGTCAACTTCGCTTCTTCCTGGTCCTGGTTGTACGGGGGAGCGCGGAAGCAACTACGACCTCCACGAACCTCCACACGACCCTTTCGATACCGTGGACCGTTTTTCTTTTCCAGGAGAAGAAGTGGCGGGCTTCCTTGCAGAAGAATTAGGTCATGGCTTATCGGAGCCTTTTTACCGAGAGCCTTTTCCTGAGGAGAAGGACGAAGATGTGAATGTTAAAGCTGATGTAGAAGTTCTTCTTTTTGCATATCGAAGATATCATGTTGTTGATTCTGAGATTGAGTAACTCTCTCCTGCTGGAGGACTATGTATGATAAGTATCTCTAAGCATAAATAATGTTGACTATGTATGTTAGTGCGGTCTTTCGACGCTATAGTGTTTTGAAGATACCTTCTAATATGTGCTCCGAGAGAGAGCCTAAACTTGTTCAGGAGTCCTGAAGAAAACAATGATATCGTCATTATCATCTTCATCATCATGCTAAATTGAATGCGGAAGAGCCACCACAGAAGAGGCTGAAGCTGCGTCCTATCATGGCAGCGACCAGCGTTTCCGTCCGACCACTCGCGGAGCCTGCACTTGTGTCTGGAGCTGTATCGAAAGCGGGTAGTATTCGTCCATTTCCGACACACTTTTTTTCCAGCACAGGTGCGGAAGAAAACGTAAAGACTGCGACTGCTTCATCGACAACTTTGCGGTTTACTAGTCGTGCTCTTCGTGCCGTCCCAAGAACAGCATGGGACGCGCCGGCTTCTTCCTCAAAGAGAGAACCCGCATCTTCAGCAATTACGAGCTCTACTCACAATGGTCTAGTTGTCGCTGGCAGAAGTGGTCCAAGTGCCCCTGGTGTTCCTCCCATACGTAATGTCAACACAGCCACGGGAGTGACATTGAACAACATTTCGACGTCGAGTAACAACATGTTGGCGAGTGTGGACGATGATCCTAGAAGGGGACCCTCTTGGAAGGACATCATGAAGTTTAGTATCTACGACCCGAAGACGTACGATGTTCCGCGCAGTCAGCAAGCGGTTGCTCAAAAGCTGCACCACTGCCGACGGGTGCAGGCGGAGATAAGACTGAACCATTCCTCAGGGTATCTCCGAAGTGTCGAGAAGCGTCAAAACCTGCCAGCATTTCGCTTGCAGTCCTTGTTTCTTGAGGCATGTGCCACCTTTGATGTCGTGGTTCTATGCGGTGAGACTGGGTCAGGGAAAACAACGCAACTGCCGCAACTACTCATTTAAGCCGGCTCTCGGTAATTCATCTGGTGTTGTGAGGTCATATTCCCAACCGGAAGTAAGAGCTTTATGTAAGAATACTTCCTGTTGAACAACGACGCTCACAACTTGAAAAGAAATCCAAACAGGATTCATAGACCTCTGATTATCAATCATGCGCTCTACGAGTGACTACACCGACACCTAATCACTTGAATAGGTACGTTCTTAGGTGAGGATCACACCTTAATATGTTCAGCTTCAGCTCCAGGATGGTGAATGGTGGACAGCACTTCTAATGAGTGGAATACTACGAAAAGGAAACACTGTGGATGTCGAAGCCAGGCAATTATGCTGGCACATCAGCAGTCACTCGAGGGCTGATGAGTAGGAAGAAAAAGATTATTTGTACGCAGCCTCGACGAATTTCCGCCACGAGTGTCGCAGAGCGAGTTGCGTGGGAACGGAGCGAGCAGATCGGCGACCGGGTAGGGTACCAGGTTCGCTTCGACGTGCAGAAGGATAAAGATACGGCGCTTCTTTACTGCACGGTGGGGATTCTGCTACGCATGATGGAGACGGACCCTCTACTACAAGATATCGACTGCGTTATCGTAGACGAAGTGCACGAACGTAGTTTGGAAACGGACTTTCTCTTAAGACTACTGAAAACGCACGACCCTTAAGCATTTGTCAGTAGCGTCCTATTTATGCAGTTGTCATATTAGATTATATATATATTTTGCAGTTGGACGGCCACGGCTTTTTCTAGGTACTTATGTGAAGGTGAGTCCACCAGGTGGGATGCCTACTTTTTTACTTAGATGATTATGCTGCATTATATGAAGAGCACAGACATGAGCATGACATCATGCGTCCACATCAAAGGATACCAATGCGGTGCCTCTAATTCTCTTGCTTGTCTTGCGGGACGTGATGCGTATTCGAAATGCGGCAGCGATGACGCAAGAACGTGGACCCGCCAATACAAGAATCAAAGGTGCAACAAATGGAAAACAAGGAAAAACGGCGCCTCACGCGGAGTCGATGCAAATGGTGCAAAATTTGCGTCCGCTGCAAGTGGTACTGATGTCGGCAACCATCGAGGCGCAGGTTTTCATCAACTACTTCGGAAAGCACGTTTCCACTTTGTGCGAGATCCCTGGACAAACGGTGTATCCGATTAAGGAAATCTTTGCCGATGATCTTCTTAAAGAATTCATTACACCTTCTGTGGCCTCGAGCACAGCTGCTAGTGCAGGCAACGACCACCTCCAGGACCAGCAATATTAAGGCGACCGCGGACGCATTCTAGACAGCAATATGGCTATTTATGTCCGAAGACGAAAAGCAAAGCCAAGGATGCTCTCTAGGATGCGAAGGTGATAGATCTAACATGACCACGGCGCGGCAGGAGGCAACTACGACCATGCACGACTAGATCGGAACAATTTTCATTTTGCACAAAATCAAAGCTTTGGATCCAGAAGTACCACAGCAGCTACTGGCTTCGCAGGGCAGAGAGCGTTACGGATTATATTATTACATCATCGTCGTTCTCCGTTAATGTAGAAGTTCCCTCGTCCACCTCAGTCTTATATCAATATGTCTTATCATTTGATGATCACTATAGACACCCTCGACTACAACCGTTCTGCTAATTATTGGTTATCCCTCTGAGAAATGGGAAGACAGCAAAAGCGGTGTTTCAGAAAATCGTAATGATCGTGTTGCTTCATCTACTTCTAATAAGAAATGGCCCCTCATCTTCTACCTCCTCTTCGTCATCGTATCTGACGCCTCTCTCCAAGGAGTTACGCAATATTCCGCGGGTCGCCATTGAGAGTGGAGCTTTCTCGATAGAGAAATTTGATGCAGGGTTGATTGTGCGAACAATCGAGTACATAGCACGGGAGGTGGAACGCGGGGAGTACGTTGGGGCTATCCTCATCTTCGTGCCAGGTTGGAGGGAGATTCTCGATGTGGCTAAGGAGCTGGAACAGCTACAGAAAAGCTGCGAGAACGAAGCCCGAGGCCGCGGCGGAGGGCGTCGGGAGGGCGACAACTGCAGCAATGTAGACACTTCCAGTAGCCGCCATTGTTACTATAATTCATCGCCCCGTGCAGACAGTCGTGATCGCGTAACCAGTTTCGTGGGTCGACAAGAGCAACTCATGGACCACTTACTGCAGACAAGCTACAACTTTGACATCCTTCGTCTGCATTCGAGTGTGGAGAAACGTGAGCAGAATCGAATTTTTAGTCCGCCGCCGCGTGGAAAACGCAAAGTTATAATCGCCACGAATATTGCCGAAACTTCGATCACCGTCAGCGACGTGGTGCATGTAATCGACGCGGGTTTCCATCGGGCAATGAACTACTGTGTGGAAACCAATAGTTCCGCGTTGGAAACCCTCAGAGTGGCGAAATCAAATGTGCGGCAACGGCGCGGGCGGGCGGGCCGCTGCCGGCCCGGCAACTTTTTCGCGCTCTACACCCGAAGCCAGTATCTCGAAATGCGGGATCACGAGCAGCCGGAGATGTTGCGCACCCCAGTGGAGTCCACAGTGCTTCAGGTGAAAGCGATGAACTTACCTGGCGGCAGCGTTTCGAGCATTCTTAAGAAAGCCATAGCACCGCCGCACCCTCGAAGTGTTATCAATGCACTGGCACTTCTGGAGGCGTTGGGAGCAATTACCCGCAACAGCGATCCCTCTGCCCACGAAGGCCTAGCTGAGGCGAAGGGAGCTTCGTCTTCAGCGTTTCCGGTCATGAACAAGATGAATGATTCGGGAAGACGAGGTCACCCGAAGGGCGCAGTGAGCGGCACGGGCTTCGTGGCTTCAAGATCAAGCCTGTTGTCTTCTTCTGCTGCGACAATTAGCTCTCTCAGTCCGCGTGCTGTTTTTGAGACGGAAACACTGACCCCACTAGGACGGAAATTAGCAAACGTACCATTGCATCCGACCCTCGCGCGCCTCTATTTGATGGCCAACCTATTTTCCCGTGCCATGGGCTTTCCGCAGTTGAACGAGATGGCGATGGCAGCTACGATTGGTATGAGCGGCAAGAGTCCCTTCTACCGGCCCCCCGCACACCTTTGTGATGCTGCGCAGCGAGAACGCGAGCGGCAAAGTGAGGGGACGCATTCCGACCACCTTCATTTAGCGAAAGTCATCATGGATTTCCGCCCCCCGGTTGAGGAGAGCAGTGAGTCTTTTCCTGGTGAAAATCGATTTCACCAACAAGCAAGTCAACGCGTGACTGTGGAAAAGCGAATGCGACGCGATATGAACAGCTTGCACAAAGAAAAATTGCAAGATCGGCAGTACATGGATCACCGTTTTCTCGATTCCAGTGCTCTGGAGGGTGTACTGAATCTGATCGAAGAGTTGGAGATGAAAGCAGTTGAAGTGAAAATCAGCGACCAATCAACATTGTCTGCAACATCTGGTGCTCCTTTGCAGCAAGGTATGTCGAATGGTACTCGTGGTAAAAAATGGATGCAAAACTTCGGCATCCAGCTTTTTCCTGCAAGCTCTTGTGGTAGCGCGCTTGTGCCAACGGAGGACTCTCTAGGATACCGCAGATTTGGCATGGGCAGCCAAGCTGACCACGCAAGAACTGCGTTGGCTCGGGGAGAACGTGGGCTCGGTGAAGTACCCATGCACGTGGGTCACAGAATGGATTTCAGTATGATGGGATGCGGCAGCGCAGGGATCCTTACCCCTTCCGCGTTCGGTCAATCTCAAGCTCGCGCTGGGTTCGGCAGAGACGCTGCAACTACATCAGGGTCAAGTAGCATGCCCACAAAAGCTGTAGGACCAGTTGGAGCTGCCGCTGGTGGGAGCCGACGAGGTGGAACAACAGGTTGTCATCACGGAGAACACTTCTCGATGTCAACATCATCGTTGAACAACAGTCCTTCGGAGGACGTGTCCCGCGAGATCCAACTTATGAGGGCTATGCTTGCGGGTTGTCTCCCAATCGCAGCGGTGTCCGTGCCGGGGACAAAAGTGTTCCGATGCCTGGTCGACGGGGTCCGCTGTGATCTTCAGCGAGATACCATTCTGTCTTCGGCGGCAAAATGTTTAGTACAGCAAAAAAATCCCAGAACAAACACAGCGGGAGGAGATCTTCAACAAGGACGCAGTGGTACCAATTATTCGACTCCATTGCCTATTCCGATACCAAACTCATCTACTTCATCAGGAGATGCCTTATTTACTGGACTTGGACCACAGCACGCGGGAGGAGGAGCTATATCACAATGTCCACCGGCACTTACTTTTCTCGTTGCGTACTTTGAACGCACAGCGAGCATTTACCAAGACAAAAAAGAGGCCCGCCAGAAGGCCAGAGTTGCGGCGAAGGCTGTGGCTTCCGGTGTATCCCACATCGACGCCCACTTCAAGGCTTCAGCAGCCGCAAATGGCGAGGACGTGGAGGCCTATAGTGCGAGTCTCACGGCCTCTGTCGCGCAGCAACTAGTCTCCCGTGACAAGCCCCAGACACTTCGGGACTCCACGTTGCTCGCTGATGCAGTGCCTGCGCTGCTCCTCAACTGTCTCCTGCAAGTGCGAGAGACCGACACGCGAAGCTTCTCTCGTGACGGCAATGTAACTGATCTTATGAAAACGGGGACCAACGAGAACAATAGGACTAATAGAGGACGCGGAGCAGGTCAGCCCGATCACGGAACTGCAGCAAAAAACTACAGCAATATCGTCTGGGAGTTGCGTGGCGGTCTCTCCAGGCATGAAGATGGCCAATATCCGACATCGTCATCTACCTCAAGAGTTACAACATCAGTCGGGGCCATAAAGAAGGGTTCTGTTGCTGCGGCAGATAAACAAGAAGATGATGGGAGTGCGGCTTCGAGTGTCTTTTTGAGTTTCGCGTCCGCGGAGGTGGCCCTTGCTTTGGTGGATCTTCGTCCTCGGATCCTTACACTACTTGACAAATTGTTGGGTGCTTCAAGCCCTTCCCCGCACAATCCAAAGCAACAGTTCCTGACGCCGAGAACAGTGGACACATGTTCCCGTGCGATCGCCCGCATCGGAGTGCTATTTCTCGAGATGGCCACGGACTATCTTTACGGCAGCACCATGGACGCCGTTCAGAGCGAGTTTGGTGGAGCAGGTTTAGCGCTCGTGACCACTCCTTCAAAAAACTAACGACTCATCAGATTATTTAGTTTGGAAGATAATCACACTTACTCAGATCATAGAAAAACTTGGTGTGGGGAGTTTCTACCTTTGCTACTCCTGTGTTTAAGATGACTGGATCTTGTCCAGTTAAAAGTAGAAAAGTATTGACATGTTGTTGAGAGCGTCAGCAAGACAGCACGACTAGTAGATTTGACATTGAGCTCGATATCCTTTTGGATTTTGATGCTCGACGTCTGGAACTCATTTTATCTTAGGCACAACTCTATATGCATTTGCATTTCGAAGAAAGAAGCTGGTATTTCAGCTGGGTTGTGCCCTTAGTCCAAAACCTCTCCTCACGTATCATGGGTTTCCCGATACTTGACGATGCTTGTTTAGCGTAAGCAGGATGAGAATTGCAATATCATGAAAGCACTTCTCTGGACCGCTAGAGGGACTGTCTCGTCTTGCCAATACTAACGAGTGACTATCTGAGACGCACTGATGACGTTCTTTGTGGTACGTATTGCGACTCCTAGATAATACAAAGCGGGCGTGAACAAGGATGCGGCGATGAGGAGAAGCCTTCCTTTTACAACATGCGTGCCCCTTCTAATTGTCCCAATTGCAATTGACCGTGCAGGAAATTCTCTGTTTTCATCCGCCTTGCGTAATCGTGTGAGAGTTTACTCGTTCCTCCCATCGAGCAGATTCAAGAAGATGAAGGCATACGCGATGAAGAAGCATTGCGTTTGACTCGGATGAAGGTCAAGCTTCCCGAGCTTTCTTCTGTACTTAGGTTGTTGTTGTAGATCCCCTAAGTGCAACATGAGTTACAAAATAAGATCCCTATTATAAATCACCTCTGCTCACGTTCAGCGGTGTACTCGAAGGGAGTGAGAACCGCGTCAACATCCTGCGAAAAAAAGAAGCAAACAGAGACATGTAGATGTACAAAAAACATCCCGCATTGTACTTAGATGAAATACAACAAAGTAGAAATTGTAGACGTAGCCTGTTGTACTAAAACTTGTTCTTGAAAGAATCAAGTAGACGCAGAAGAGGATGTAGCATACGAGGAAATATAGCTCCCGACCACCTTTTTTTATGAGCTTGACTTCAACTTTGCATTGCACCAAAAATAGTGTAGTACTCCTACCTGATCACTGTGTAGGATGAAGACAAGAAAAATGGCGTCCGCAGCAGCTGCAGTAGACGAGGTGAGAACTTGTGAAGAAAGCCGTCCGCTGCTTTCGCAGGTGAGCGCTCCGCTGCTTTCAGAGGAAAGCGCAACAGGCCATGATATCGCACTTGGAGTTGTACCAGCATACAACGAGATCTCACGCAACGAAAGCTCACCTCGGTTGACGACGTTGCAGTGGTCAAAAAACCCGAAGACGGCGCGTTTCTGCGGTCATATTGCGCGCCCCTGTCCGACTCACTATACAAGAGGATCTTGCAGTCTTGTCGCGTCTTGCAGTCTTGTCGCGTCTTGCAGTCTTGTCTTCTCTTGCGGTCTTGTCTTCTCTTGCGGTCTTGTCTTGCAGTCTTGTCTTTGGCGTATAGGTCTGTCTTTTAGATTTGAGCCATAAGCGTGACCTGTGGGCTTGGCCTATAGGTCTGTCCTTCAGGTCTGCTCTATAGGTTTGCTCGATAGGTCTGCCATCTATGTTTGTCTTATTGTCCTCTAGGTCTGTCCCATAGGTCTGTCCCTCCTATAGGTCTGACGTATAGGTCTGGCTTATCGGTCTGTCTTATAGGTTTGCCGTATAGGTCCGTCCTCTAGGTCTGTCCTATAGCTAGGTCTGTCTGATAGGTCTGTCTTTTCGGTCTGCCCTATGGGTCTGTCCTATACGTCGTCGGTCTGTCTTATAGGTCTGTCCGATAGGTCTGTCTTATGGGTCTTTCCTATAGGCTTGTCCTATAGGTCTGTCTTATAGGTCCCGTCTGTCCTATAAGTCTTGTAGGTCTGTCCTATAGGTGTGTGACCTCCTGTAGGTGTATAGGTGTGTCTTATAGGTCCCGTCTGTCCTATGTATAGGTCTTGTAGGTCTGTCCTATACGTGTGTGACCTCCTGTAGGTGTGTCCCATAATGTGTCTTGTAGTCGTGTGTGGAGGTGTCTGTCTGTGTGTCTGTCTGTGTGTCTGTCTGTGTGTCTGTCTGTGTGTCTGTCTGTGTGTCTGTCTGTGTGTCTGTCTGTGTTTGTGTGTTTTTGTGTGTGTGTGTTTTTGTGTGTGTGTGTTTTTGTGTGTGTGTGTTTTTGTGTGTGTGTGTGTTTTTGTGTGTCTGTTTTTGCGTGTGTCTGTGTGTGTGTGTCCGTGTGTGTCTGTGTCTGTGTCTGTGTGTGCTTGGTCTGTTTGGTGCCTGGTCTTTTTGGTGCCTGGGTGGTCTGTTTGGTGCCTGGTCTGTTTGGCTTTGGTGTCTGGTGTGTTTGGCGTCTGGTCTGTTTGGTGTCTGGTGCGCTTGGTGTCTGGTGTGTTTGGCGTGTGGTGTGTTTGGTGTCTGGTGTGTTTGGTGTCTGGTGTGTTTGGTGTCTGGTGTGTTTGGTGTCTGGTGTGTTTGGTGTCTGGTGTGTTTGGTGTCTGGTGTGTTTGGTGTCTGGTGTGTTTGGTGTCTGGTGTGTTTGGTGTCTGGTGTGTTTGGTGTCTGGTGTGTTTGGTGTCTGGTGTGTTTGGTGTCTGGTGTGTTTGGTGTCTGGTGTGTTTGGTGTCTGGTGTGTTTGGTGTCTGGTGTGTTTGGTGTCTGGTGTGTTTGGTGTCTGGTGTGTTTGGTGTCTGGTGTGTTTGGTGTCTGGTGTGTTTGCTGTCTGGTGTGTTTGCTGTCTGGTGTGTTTGCTGTCTGGTGTGTTTGCTGTCTGGTGTGTTTGCTGTCTGGTGTGTTGTGGTGTATGTACTGGATGTTCTTGCAAAGTGCACAAGAATTATTCCTTACTAAGTATAATTTGAAAAGAGACCATGATCAGCACTTGATGTCTCTGCCTTTCAGATTCGTGTGATTGAGTTGTTTTCTTTGATATGCAACTGATTCGTTTTGAAGTGAATCTGTAGAAGCACCCCCCACCCTGCGTCCTAGCTAGGTCGTGAGGTGCATGTTCGATTTTTAGCTCAATTTTTAAGTTTGGTTGTAACTAAGTAATATCTAACGGTAACGCGTAGCGATAGCTATAAAGAGTAGTGTCCCTGCATGTTGTTGGCGTTGATCGATGTTGGTTGTAGTGGGTATCTGGTATTAAACGTCCCCGTGTGTGTGGAGGTGTACTGTACGTCTTACTCCTTTCGATTGAAGGAGTCGCTATGACAAGTGGACGCACACCAACAAGACGCAAGCAAAGTAATTCTAATTTATTTTTCTGACTGTCGTTTGGAAATAAATAAAAATATACATAATACACTCATCATACATCAATGAATGAGTGTGAAAGTCGTGAATTTGCACCAGTATTCGCTAAACTAGCTTTCGTTTCATCTCACCGGGACCTGTCTTATGATGACAAACAATGTTTCATCAGCCATTGTTAATCGAGGCAGATGAGAGCGCGGACAGACTGCGAAGATCGGCAGGGTGGGCATCTACGTTTCTCTGTCGTGCGAGATTAGAAAACAGTAATAAATACGATTGCAAGCGACATTCGCATGTTCTTGTAGATTTCGGTGAATTTTAAGTGATGCCTAATTTCAACACACTGGAGAGATGAAGAGAAGTGCTAGAACAAGTAACATTTCAGATTGTTGAGAGGTGAAAATATCGAGGAGACAGATTCATTATTTGTTATTTCGTGATTCTTGTGTGCCGGATCTAAAACTCAATTTATTTTCTTCTTGGTTGATTTCAAAGAAAGAATACTAACAAATAAAGACGAAAACGAAAATTGCGATTTTTGATACAACTAGCAGGACAGGAAATATGGGCAATTCGTCGTCCTCGCATGGAGCACCAGATCCGTCTGCGTCTCCAGTATCTGCCGCAGGCAAGAAGATATGCTGTGTGTGCAAGGATACCAAATCTGCTAGAGATGAATGCGTGGTGCGAAACGGCGAAACCCGCTGTCAGCAGTTTATCGAAGCGCATAACCGCTGTCTTCGCGCGGAAGGCTTCGATGTTCTCGACACAAAGCCAACGCCGGAAGCATAGAGAGTCACAGGCAGTGGCGCGGAGAAAATGGATTTGACATTTCAGGATAACCTGGAGTTGGTCAGGAGCGTTAATACTTGTCGCGTCTACTGTGCCTGACGCGAACGTCTTCACAACCAGTCACCTGCGACGGTATTTGTGGTTGTACATGATATCAATACTTCAAAGTAAATGCTCTGGACAAGTACAACAACTACCCTTTTCTTCCGTGAGAACCCACGCCTGTGGTCAGGATGAATCCGAATCGTTTTTCATTCCAGAAAGCTCATATTTTTTCTTCTCTACTTGGTGTAGAGGCGGTCTCAGCTGAATTAATTTTACCCGCTGCGCCGCATGAATCCTCGCGATTACATGCATGCCTGTTATTATGAAGATGCGCGCTATTTTCTAAGCAGCGATAAGGAATCCTATGGTTTGTCGATCGAGAAGGATCTCCAAATGACAGACCCCTGTTGGGCTTCGTGGTGGATGATCAGCCGCAGTGCGTAGTGATAGATTCAATATGCCTAGTACATCATATTACAACCAGAACGGACACTATAGAATGACAGTACATAGCGATGACATTGAGGTATGTTTTCCACATCGCCTAGCGAGCACAGGGACAGGAGACGACGTATTGCTCAGGCTGCTTACCAGATGTACCTACGGATCTTCACACTTTTGTTTTTTTTGATGCGCAGTTTTTGATGTTGAACGACAAGTGTTCTTGACATGATATTAGATTTTTCTAGTTGTGAACCATGACTTAGAAGTGACGAGAATCGAAAAATGTTGTAACGTCGGCACGCTGCGTTCTTTTTCTTGCGCTCAGGCTCCGTGCGAAACCGAACCGTAATCCGTACTAGACCCATAATTTGGTCCAACACTTTGGCCGCTGCCTTACGCTGGTCATCTTCCGCCGACCTACAAGCGAAAGAGGTCAAGTTGAAGGGGTGACGTTGTACTACTGAATAGCGTCACGACACGAGCACAGCCAGTGGTTACCGCCGACGTACGACTTGCAGTCTTCAAGAACGAAGATGTCGGGGGAACGATTGGACCTGCAACTGCATAAGCTGACTGACCGAACGTTGGCCTACACAAACCTCGTCTATGTGAATCCGAGTGACTTCAGTCAGCTTGCGGCAAGAGATCGTAGGCCAACGGTCTACGTTCTGGTCAAGGATTCTTATCCCTTTTCACTAGCAAGCCATCCAGATGTGCCAGCCGGGAAGATTTACCTTAGCAGTGTAATACAGATACACATCTTTTTGGTCTGACAGAGTCTGCTTTTCTCGTCTGACATACCTGCTACATATTTAGAAATGGGTATTTCGTACTCGTGTCTGGTGCTTCGCAAATATGAATATCATACCATTGTATGATGGAATGATTCGTTTTGTTACGCAGTGATGTGAAAAAATGGCTTCGAGTAACATAGATATAGTACGTCACATATCACGTCATGCAAATAAACTACAGCTCCAGCGAGACTTCGCGCAGATTCCTTTGGAAGCGGTGCTGCCAGTCGTCTCGTGGGCACCTAGTCCTGAAAATGAGCTTGCAACTGCTCGCGTGAACGTAGACGTGATTGGAGGTGCAAGCGGGTCCTCCAGCAAGCCTGAAGTGGACAGCAAAACGCTGCAAGAGTTGCTCTTGCAGAGTTTCAGAGGGCAACCGTTCTCGCGTGGGCAGATGTGCTGTGCGCAGTTGAAGCGGGAGGGACAGCCAACATTGGCGTTAAAGTTTACATTTGCCGATGTCGAAAACAAGTACGAAATCATGCGTGCGGCCCAAGGCAAGTCCCCTCGCAGTCGTAGTGGAAGCAGCGGGGCGCAACGGATAGCGGCAGTCCTTTCTCCTAGCAGTCTTGACAGCGTGGATTTCAAGAGCGGACCCTCGAACTCAATAAGCGTTTTGTCTAGTGACATGCGCAGACAGCAGGTTTTTAAGAAAGACTTCAACTTCGGAGCAATGGGCATAGGTGGACTTTCGCAGGAACTCGAGACCATCTTTCGCAAAGCCTTCGCGTCGCGACTCTACCCGCCAGCGCTGATCCGGCAACTCGGAATCAAGCACGTGCGAGGCATGATGCTCTACGGACCACCAGGAACAGGAAAAACTACAATAGCAAGGCAGCTGGGGAAATGCTTGGACGCGAGAGAGCCGATAGTGAAATCAGGACCAGAAATGCTAAACATGTAATTCTTGCTACAACTCTTACTTGATGATTTTTGAAGACTTAGATAGACTCGTCTGTCGTTTTTATGGCTCCGGCTCTGTCACTGATGCTGATGCTAGTACAAGATATCGTCAATTTACTTGCTACAACTAGCACCTTATGATTTTAATTCGAATTCTCATCGTGCAGGTATGTCGGAGAGGGCGAGAGGCAGATTCGTGAACTGTTTCAGGCGGCTGAGGAGGAGCAGACCAAGGAAGGCGAGAATAGCGAATTGCACATCATCATCATTGATGAGATCGACGCCATCTGTAAGCAGCGTGGCAGTTCGCGAGAGAGCAGCGGCTCTTTAGACTCTATGGTCAATCAGTTGTTAGCCAAGATTGACGGCGTGAATGCGTTGAACAATATTCTGCTAATAGGCATGACAAATCGTCTGGACATGATAGACGAAGCCCTTTTGCGACCAGGCCGATTGGAGGTGAAGATGGAAATCGGCTTGCCGAGCGAGGCTGGACGTCAGGAGATTTTGCATATTCACACCGGCGATATGCGGAAGAACAAACGCATTGCGTCGGATGTAGACCTGGTGGAGCTTGCGGGCATGACAAAGAACTACTCAGGTGCTGAGCTCGAGGGCGTTGTCCGGATGGCAGTGTCCTTCTCGTTGGCACGACAAATAGACTTCGACAATCTAGGAAAAGAGCTGTCGCAGGATGACATGAAGAACCTAGTTGTAACGCGCCAGGATTTCCTGCGCGGCGTACAGGAAGTAGTGCCAATATACGGTAACAAAGACGCGGATTTCAAGCGAACAATCGAGTTTGGCATGGTCGAGTACTCAAAAGCATTCACGCATCTCAGAAGAACCCTCAGGCTATTGATCGGCCAGGTACGTCTTCACACTCTTTGACTGAGTTTTAGTAATATATATGCAGCGGTCCAGGGTGAAGCTGGTTCAGGCTGGGACTCGCTCTGGTTCAGGCTGGAACGCTCGCAATTTTTTAGCTTGTTTTCGCTCCGATGCCACCCAGGCCGAGGGTTTTGCAATAGTATTTTATTCCGCCCCAAACCGGTCGAGGGGGGAAATTCTCCCATCCTGAACCAAGTCGCGGCCGCGATAATTATGCCAAAGGTTGCGAATGTTATGCGCTTACTTGGTGATAGACAGGAGACGGGCAACCCTCTGGAGGGAAAGCACAAGCTTGGGGGGCCTTTTGTTTAGGCACCTTGGTACCCCAGCAGGCTTGCCACGGTTGTGCCTTGAAGTCGGGGCGGCAGTGCCAAGGGAAGCGACTGGGAGCCCGTATTTACTGGCGACTGAGTGCCTCCGGGAGGCTCGCCGCAGCTTCCATCCCTAACCGGGGGCGAGCAGCCTGAGGCGGCAAGGAGACAAAGACGAGCACCGCTCGGCGGCGCTGGTCCGGCCGCTGGTGCAAGTTGTTGCGCCGTGTGGTCTCTGCTGTCTCGCTGGCTCTTCCACGACCAAAATCCAACCGCCAGCAATGAGGACGCGCCCCAAGCGCTGGAGGAAGTGCCCGCGCTTGAGGTTTGTCAGTCGCTCGGCGGTGGCTTCGCTGCGTGTGGCATTCCAACCATCGCGAACGGCAGCTTGCTGACGCTCTCAGATGTAGGGGGCGGGCCTCTGCTCCTCTTCGTTGTCATACTCATATTAGGGGTGCGGCCGCTTGTGGCTTTCCCTTGGTCGACTCTGCCGGCCAGGAGAGTCTTGCCGCGTCTTGAGATCCCCCCCCCAAAATTTTTATCGTCTTCAGATCTGCGACCAGCGTGCCGCTTGCGTGTCTCTGCCGTCTTTGTTTGCCTTGCCGTCTTTGCTTGCCTCTTCGCTTCTTTCTCGCGTTTAGTTTTGTACGCGCTCGCCCTTTTCTTGGTTCCTCCACCCTCCCATCCCTTGGGCCCTTTCGCTTCTGGCGCCCCCCTCTTCTTGTTCTCATCTCCCCTGTCTCTCCCGTCTTTCATCCCCTCCCCTGCTCTTCCGGCACTTCCCCCTCGTCCCCTTTTCTCCTCCGTCCACCGTTCTTGATCGCCTTGTCTGCCACCCATTCCTTCTTCTGGTTCTGATCTCGGCTTTCCACTCTGGCCCACTTTCCACTCTGGCCCACTTTCTTCTACTCTGGACCACTATCTCACCCCGGACCACTCCATATAATATTTATCTATTTCTACGAATAAATATAAAGTCGACGGACCTGTTGTTGATATGTTGACGTGTAATCCACTTGTTCGTCCTCATCACGATGCAAACTTAATATAATCAATAGAGTGTGTGTGTGAAGAGGACACTAGTAATAGTATGACATACGCATACGCAACTGCAGAATAAACTCTCTGTCTTTCCGACTTTTACTCTCTACTTGAACTCCCTGTCTCTGAAACCTCGTGTAACTCCACAAATTTTGGAAAACCATAGGTTCGAGGCAAGATCGATACAGTCCAGTCCCCGAGGTCAGGCCCGAAAGACCAAGTGGTAAAATCAGACGAAGCAACTGGCTTGCAACTTTCGAGTGTTTTACTTAGTGGAAACCCGAAGTCGGGGAAGACAGCGTTGGCGTGCCATCTCATCAAGGAGGCAAACTTCCCCTTTGTGCGGTTTCTCAGCGCTGAGAATTTCATCGGCATGGGCGAACTGTCCAAGATGAATTACATCAATAAAGTACTAGTGGTCGCTTCGTACGGCATATTGATCTTTTTTCGACTCAAGTAAAAGAGATGTGACGCTCTTGTCAGTATATATATAATGTTCTGTGTTTTCATCAATCCATCGACGGCATTCTGATCACCAATAAAGATTTACAAGCTCACTACTTTTACTCTGTACTCTCTCAGGTTTTCGAGGATGCGTACAAAACCGATATGTCGTGCGTTATTATCGACGACATTGAAGCTTTGATGGAGTATGTTCCTGTGGGGCAACGTTTCTCGAATACCGTGTTTCAGGGGTTGAAGCAGCTTATCAGTAAGAAGCCGACGGAAATCAACCGGCGAATGTTCATCTTCGCCACTACCAATGCTCCTGAATTCGTGCGGAACTTCGAATTGGATAGCAGCTTTAACTACAAGTTCGACGTTCCAGACCTGCAAAAACCAACTGAGAAGGAGGAAGTTCTAAAAATGCAGGCTGGATTCGATGAAGATCCAAAGGCGGTGAAAGAATGCGTCGAGGCCGCGAAAATCGACTTGGGTGTCAAGCGCCTCATTTTAAATGCAAAACTCGCGAAATTCAAGGCCGATACCGAGAACATAAATCTCGTGCAGGCTTTTCTTGAAACGCTCACGCTGGGTGGATATTGAGGCCAAGGTCTGTGAGTAGCAAGCCCTGCTGCCAAGGTTCGTACAAGTAAGTAATTACTACATGTTTACCATCCACCTGGCTCTACTTAACAATACTGCCACCCGCGCAACCCTATTAACCTCCTCACGATACATTGTGTCCCAATCTCAAGTGCGCTCCCACTTTCTGCTGATGCATGGTCGAGACAGGTCAAAGCATAACACCCGCCTGCTCAGATTAGTGCCCAGCAACACCAAACTCCACCAATTCTAATAGATTTCGTGCCGCATTCCAAGACGAAGTTTGAGAAGACGACAAGTCGGACACCATTCAATCGTCCTGTGCAATTCAGAAAAGATGTTTTACGCGTAAGCTCGGCAGCATGTCGATGCTGAAGTGAGAGAGAGAGAGACAGAGAGTCAATAGGAAGAGAGCGTCCCAAAAATGTCGTAGCTGCTACCGGCATTGTGTAACTCTCGAGAGATCATGAGCAGGGGCTCTTTTCCTCAACTAAAGGTAGTAGAAGTGCAGCACATATGGCGTTGCTTGTTGACAGTTGGAGAGGATATTTTCGGAGGCATTTTTTGTGCGGAAGAAGAAGAACGACCAACATAACTATTACTATTCACAGTGGCACCTTTTCAACTTCAGGATTGACACGTCCTAATTCGATATGAAGACAAAATTGAAGGACACTTGATAAAATCATAACGTATAGCAGATAAAAACATAGAAACCGTGCCGTCATCTAACCATCGTTTCATACATGAGTGGAGAGTGACATCAACTAGAAGTCAAAGAACCGCACAAAAACATTTTCGAGAATTTTACAATACTAGGAGTAGATAGAGATAGTACCACCTATTTGAATTTACATCAAGCAACATAATTGAAAAAGATGCCTCGAGTAGGTAAAGACAGGAATCCGCTCCTGCAGAAGGACGAAGTCGGGAGGGCGAAGAAATCTTGCTACGATCTACCAGAACAGCGGCATGCCTTCGGCAATGTCATGGGTAGTTCAAGATGAGAAGAGAGGAGGTCAACTACTCCCCACTTCATGTTTTCTCCGGTTCTTCTATCGTAAAACTTCTATGGATAGCATTGATTAGTGTGATCGACTTTTCTGATTCTGTTTCGGGTCCAAAACCAAAAGTGATGACGCAAGTACAACAGGTTGTGATCTCGAAGGAGCTGGGGAGGTGCTCAGATCATGGGTGCAACACCAGAGAAGCGTGCCAAAAGTGTCAAATAAAGTGGATTATGTAAAGCACAACAAGACAAAGATCGTAGCTAACGCACCACCATCTAAGGCGCAACGATCACCATCAGAGGGGCTCCGAACAGGGATGGTGCACGCATTTTTATTTTTTATTCTAAACTATGAGGTTTTGAAAATAGGTACAGGAAACTAGTACCTTTACGCTTATCCTTTCACGCAAAATAGGTACAGGAAACTAGATTCGTGCAGGTTTGTACTTCGGTGTTTCATGAGTATGAAACGGCATTGCTGGTGCACTTCATTGCAAGTAAGTAGGTTTACTGAGCAGGCGAGAGTGATCGTAGTAGCCAACTTGAATTCTTTTCATGTCGTGCAAAATAAGATTTTTGACTATCTAAGGATCAAAAGCTTATATATATATATAATTTGAATTTGTTTTATTTTGTACTAGCTCGGGGGAAGGCATCAAGGGCAGGTAGATGCCGGCCTTCTGCGCAGCAACCTAGAGGACACAGTTGAACAGAGGCCAAAAAGTGCGCGCAGGCGTTTTTTCGGTGTTTGTTAGTCCTTGGCGGTTGTCGTGGATCATTGGCCGGACCGGCCTCCCCGCTCTCTGTCAATATCGTGAATACTGTGGGGCAAAAGCCAAAAAGTGCGCGCGGGTGGTTTTTCGGTGTCTGTTAGTCTTTTGCCGCGGTTATCGTGGATCATTGGCCGGACCGGCCTCCCCGCTCTCTGTCAATATCGTGAATAGTGTGGGGCAAAAGCGAAAAAGTGCGCGCGGGTGGTTTTTCGGTGTCTGTTAGTCTTTTGCCGCGGTTATCGTGGATCATTCACCGGACTGGCCTCCCCTTTCTATGTTAAAAACGGGGGCGCAGCCAGTGGGGCAGAGGCCAAAAAGTGCGCGCGGGCGTTTTTTCGGTGTCTGTTAGTCTTTTGCCGCGGCTGTCGTGGGTCATTGGTCGGGCCGAGCTCCCCTTTCTATGTCAAAATCGGGGGCACAGTGGGGAGGAGCCAAAAAGTGCGCGCGGGTGGTTCTTCGGTGTCTGTTAGTCCCTTGGCTGCCGCGGTTGTCGTGGATCATTGGCCGGGCTGGCCTCCTTTGTCTGTGTCGAAACAAACCGGGAACGCGGTGGGGCAGAGGAGGCTAAAAAGTGCACGCGGGCGTTTTTTCGGTGTCTGTTCGTCTTTCTCTGCGGTCGTTGTCGTGGATCATTGGCCGGGCTGGCATCCCCTGTCGATGTCAAAAGCGGGAACACAGTGAGGGAGCAGGGGCCAAAGAGTGCGCGCGGGCGTTTTTTTCGGTGTCTGTTTAGCTTTAGCTTTAGTTAGTCCTTTGCGGCGGTTGTCGTGGATCATTGGCTGGACTGGCCTCCCCTTTCTATGTCAAAACCCGGAACACAGTGGGGGGGCAGGAGTCAAGAAATGCGCGCGGGCGGTCTTTCGGTGTCTGTCAGTCATTGCCTTTGGCGGTTGTCGTGGTTCATTGGCCGGAGCGGCTTCCCCTTTCTATGTCAAAGAAAATCGGGGGCGCAGTGGGGCAGAGGCTAAAAAGTGTGCGCCGGCGTTTTTTCGGTGCTTGTTGGTCCTTGGCGGTTGTCGTGGAGCATTGGCTGGGCTGGCTTCCCTTTTCTATGTCAAAATCGCGAACGCAGTGGGGCAGAGGCTGAAGAGTGCGCGTGGGTGTTTTTTCGTTGTCTGTGGGAAGATGGATGGAGTTGGTTGGGGCTGGTAGTTTGGAGATCACGTAGTGGCCCTTGGCTGGTGGTGGAAGGGTAAGCCAGGTGGGTTTGGCTTTGGGCTGGTAGTGATGACATGGATTTAGTGGGTTCGAACTGGTAGTCGCGCGGCCGGTTTAGTTTGTTTGGGCTAGTAGCCGCGGCCGGGTGGGTTTAGTGGCGTGGGGCTGGTAGAGGTAGTTAGGGCTAGAGGATGGGTTTAGTGGGTTGGAGCTGGTAGCGGGGAAATGGGCTTAGTGGGTTCGGGCGGATAGTGGAGAAATGGACTTATTGTGTGTTTCGGCTGGTAACGGGGATGGATTTAGTGGCATTGGGTTGGTAGTGGGGGGATAAACTTGATGGTGAGTTCGGCTTGGTAGTGGGGGAATAGCGTTAGTGGGTTTGGCTTTGGCCTGGTCATGGTGGCACGGATCCACTGGGTTCGGGCTGATAGTCGAGAGATTGGTTTAATGGGCTTACGCTGGTATTGGGAGGTTGGGTCTAATAGGTTAGGGCTGGTAGTTGGGGGATGGGTTTCGTGAGTTGGAGCTGGTATTGGGGTAGTGGATTTGGTGGGTTTTGGCGGGTAGTCGGTGTGGGGGCTTGGGTTTAGTGTGTTTCGGTTGCTGGCGGGAGAGTGGATTTAGTTTGTTTGGGGTGGTAGTGGGGGGGGGGGGTCGATTTAGTGGCTTTCGGCTGGTAGTGTGGAGATGGTGATGGATTTAGTGCGTTTGCGTTAGTAGTGGGAGGGTAGCTTACGTGGGTTCGTGCTGGTAGTGGGGGGATGGATTTAGTGGGTTTGAGCTGGTAAGGGGGGGCGGGGTGAATGTAGTAGGCTTCTGTTGGTAATGGGAGGATGGGTTTAGTGGCTTTTGGCTGGTAGCGGGAGGATTGATTTAGTGGATGCGGGCTGGTGGTTGTAAGGGCATTGGTTTAGCGGGTCTGGGCTGGTAGTGGAGAGGCGGACTTAGTGGGTTCGGGCTGGTACTGCGCGGATGGGTTTAGTGGGGTTGGGCTGGTGGTTTGGGGATTGGTAGTGGGGGAATGGGTTTAGTGGGTTCAGGCGGGTAGGTGGGGGATGAATTTAGTGTGTTTCGGCTGGTAACGGGAGGATGGATTTAGTGGGTTTGGGCTGGTAGTCGCGCGATGGGTGTAGTGGGTTGGGGCTGGTAGTGGGGAGATGGATTTAGTGGGTTGGGGCTGGTGGTGGGGAGATGGATTTAGTGGGTTCGGGCTGGTAGTTTGGGGATCAACAAAAATGGCCTGTGTCCGCTTTTTAATTTTCTTTATGATTTATTTGTTCTGTTAGATACCTCACACACAAACACCGCGTGGACGTTCTTCTCCTTCAGGCGTCAGCCTCAGCGAGTAGTAAAGCACCGGTTCGAGAGGCACGACCCGGATTCGGCAAGCCGACTAGGTGCTCTACGCCTATTGGCAAGGTGATAGGCAATCTATATGCAGTCGAGTACGAGAAACTGCGAGAGGAACAAGAGGAAAAGAACAACGGCACGAAGCCTCAGCGGGCAATTTATCACACAAAAGCATCAGAGGGACACCGCGCAGGAGCACAGAAGCGGATTCACGTGGAAGAAAAAGTGACTTTTCTGTCATGCTTCTTCGTTCAACATTTCATAATGCATTCAAACAAGATGAAGAACAACTACATGAATTTTCCTCAACATTAGCTAGAAAAGTACAACGTGATTCTGCATTACAACGATGTTGCTTTATTTCTGCAGCTCACATATTAATTTTCTCGAGGTACTTGATTTCATTTTCAACCTACATCAACTACATCCTCATCCATCTTCCAGGTAGCGCCGTTTGTTATGAAAAAATTTGCGAATGTTAAGCCATCTTTCGAACTACCGGGAAAAAGAAACGGACATGCTGGAACGCAGATGGTATTCAAAGAATCTTGATTTAGCAATCGTCGCCTTTCTAGAAGTAGTAGGAGATGAAGGTTATATTCTCTCTCTCTTTCTTCACTCTCTCGCCTTCTCCAATATTGCTACTAGTTCTGATATAACAGATACAGCAGGTGGATGCTAGCCCAGCGCGGGGAGGAGAGGAGGAGTGACAGCGATTGTAAAAGCGCTAACGAACTTTCGCGTATTCTCGTTGCATCCAGTCCCCTTTTTCTTTCTGTCCGTAATAGTATGTACGAGTACCAGTGGTCAACAATAAAGTGTCTGCCAATTTCTAGCACCAATTGTATGATGTTTCAGTAATATCATCAAGCTTTGAACTTCTCGCCAAGATTTCTTATCGATACTAGACTTCACTTGAGCGCCCGGTAGCACTCATCCCACTAGGGTCGTCCCCCTCCCACTAGGATCAATCCCGGCGCGATTCCGCTTCCCCGGCTCCTCCCCCGCCCGACAACCGTTCGGCGGCGTTGATCGTTGGAAAAAGAGCGGGGCGGGGGACGGCGTGCGGCCGTTGATTAAAACGGCACAGATCGAAGCCGTTGGCCTGTAGGTTTATTCTTCTTTCCTTTGGTGGGTTTGGGTTTGGCATCCTTTGCGTGCAAGTTGCAGCGTTCGGGCTTGCAACTTGTCAGGATTCCTCTGCTTGTGATACAATCAAAAACTTTGGATTGGAAATCTTTGAGACTCATTTTGCTTGGATATGGTCAAAAGCTTAGGGCGGGCCCGAAGTTTCAAATTTGAAGCTTTGAGACATGGAGGCGCCGCTGTTAGTCTTAAGTGTTTGGCCTTGGGCTTTTGGCTTTGAGCGTTCAGCTTCGGGCGCTCAGCTTAGAACCTTGAGTTTAGGGCTTTGGGTTTTGAGCTTTACGCTTTGAGTGTTCAATTTTGAGTTTTTCACTTGGAGGCTTCAGCTTTGAACTTTCAGGGGTGGGCTTTCAGCCTAAAGCGCTAAGCTTTAAACTTAATCTTTCGGCTTCCAATCTAGGGCGTTCAGCTTCGAGCGTTCAGACTTTCGGCTTTCAGCCTTGAGGCTGGGTGTAGGGCTTTAGCTGATAAAGCCAAAAGCTTGGGCCCTCTGTGCAAAGTTTTGAATTTTAAGGCCCACAAATTAAATCAAGTCGCAGCGTGCTCTCTTTTAATAAATGCTCGGCGTCGTGTCAGGGGTTCGTGTGCTGTGTTCATTGGTTAATTAGAAAAGGGACAGAGGCGTTTGCGCTTTTGGTTCAAGTGCTTCTGGTTCGGGTGTTTTTGGTTCGGTGTGTGTTGGGTTCGGATGTTGGAGGGGTCGCTGTTAATTTTTTATATTGCGCGTGAATATTCGAGTGCATATCTAAGGCTTTCGATAAAATTCTTAGTTATTCTGGGCATGTTTTTTTTTAAGTATAATTTTTGGGGCTCAAATCGTAAAAGTTGTGGCTTTCTTTCATAGATTTTAAATTTAATACGCAGAAGCCCAGTAGTTTAGTTTTTAGCTCAAATCGTAAAAGTTTTGACTTTATTCCGTAGGGCTTAAAGCTAATGCGATAGGTTCCTAAGTTCTTGAGTTTATAAGTTCTGGAGTTCCTAAGGTGTTCTTAAGTTCATAAGCTCCGGGGCTTCTAAGTTCTTGAGTTCAGAATTCCCTGAGTTCGTAAGTTCCTGGGTTCATAAGTTCTTGAGAGTTCGGGAGTTCCTAAGTTCTTGGGCTCTTGAGTTCTTAAGTTCGTGAGTTTATGACTTCGGGCGCTTGGGGTTCGGAAGTGGAAGAGTGAGAGTTTGGGGCTCGGGGGTGCAAGAGTGAGAGTTTGGCGGGATCATTGTTGTTTTTTAATTTAGCTCTTTGATATTCAGCGAACTTTTAGATTGCAACGAAAAGGATGGCAAAAGTTGAGATAAGCGACCTTTTCCTCTTTATTTTTATGGTTAAAAGAAACACTAACACGTCGTCAACATCAATCGTAATGTTTCTTATTGATCCTACTAGTCACAGTGTCGATCTCTCCTTCCTAGTTCTAGTTCCGCTATTACTGTAGCAGTCCCGGAGACCCCGACGACCGGGTTAAATAGAAACAATCTTCTGCCTTGAAATCAAACACCTTTTCAAATTGCCGTATACGAACAGAAAAGTTATTGCACAGATTCGAGTCTATCTTATCGACGCTAAAAAATGTCTTTTCGCAAAGAGCCGTGTGTACAGCAACGGCGAATTACGCAATCTTGCGAACCCCTCACTTAGTTGTAGTGTCAAATGAAAAGGAAAATGTGGCAATGTAGTTGCCCTGTGACAGTCATGATGATCGCGGCTAGAAGTAGCGGTAGCGGCATTAAGCTTGAAGACAAGTCGTCGCATGAGTACGGGGGTCTGCTACTCCATACCATGACATTATGTTTTTCTTCGTTCTTACTTAGATCGTTTACTAGTTTTCGTTCTACTAGCGTCCAATCGTCGTGGGCGTATCTATTGGTACGTATCAGTCGGTCAGACCAATCTATGTCGTTGTTGGATTCACCCGTCAGATGAGTTGCGCACCTTGAAAAAAAGACATAAAATCTGTAGCATGGATGCAAAAATAGAACTCGGTCCTCTTCAAGAAGAAGTGCTCCAGACATCGAAGCTGCAGTGGAGTGGATGGAGATCCGACGGAATGTATCAGAAATGGGGTGTGACTACAGAACGATTTCGAGTGCCTCCCCTTCACCCTAACCCATGCAAATCATGTATTTTCGTCGTTACATCCAATGGTCTCTTAGAAGATTTCTATGACTTTGAATATATGGGTGTACTGCAACATGTTGCTCATTATTGCTAATGCTGGTTTAACAAGTACACAAACAACTGTTGGAGTCTATAGTGGCGGCGGAAGCATAGGCGCTTTAAATGATCCAATGTATGTGATTGACTACCAAGAATACCAAACTGGTTAGAAGCAACCAAGCATCCATCGATCTAGACATGACTTACCCATCGTGAGACAGGTCAGTCCCGAGGCTGCCCCGACTGCGATTCGCCTGTGTTGCACTTGGATGGCCAGTCCTACTGCGGATCGAGTGGAGGCTGCCGCTGTGAGCTACTCGGACAGCAACAGCAGCGAATAGTGTTCTGTTGCTAGGTCAGAACTAGTAGTGATTCGCTGTCGAGACTTCGGCAAAGACCCCACGACTTGACACCTCGTGAGCTTTCCTCCAGAATTCGAACGTTTCGGAGCGCCTAGCAGGTACGAGAGGGCTCGATCCGCTAGCAGGCTAACAAACGTAGGAGCTGCCCGCAGACGTTGTTGTCTGATACTTCAAGCGGTTAGCCAGCCTGACGAAAGGCACCGCGCACGCCACCGCAAGAAAGAAGTTGGGCCCAAGCTTTACGGACTCCACGCGAGACGCGCAGAGCAGAGCAGCTGCCCTCCCTGGTGCGCATAAGTAGACGAGGCTTATAGCGCAGGAATAAACCCAACAAGCAGCGTTGAGTTCCAGCACTACTACAACGAGAGAAATAGTGAACAAGACGTTTACTACCAGTCTCAGTGACTCTCTGTTTCTCTTTTTTCTCGGCATCTTGAAGAAGGAATTACAGCAAGATGTCGCATCAAAGCTATCAGCGAAAATGGGCCGAGGCCATGCAGGAGTTGATGGAGCAAGTGCAGATCGAGTATCTGCCAGTGGAGAGCTCCGATTTTCAGGTATGAAAAACGATATGTTGCTCGTTGTACTACAAGTAAAACGACAAGAAGTTTCTATGTTATTCTAGAAGATGCTTCTTTGTCTTCCTATGTATGTAAACATGTATGTATGTTGCCTTGGCGATGGCCGTCTATTCGCCGGTTCCACTTTTACTATCAACATCCTCGATCCCAGGTCGACTTCAAGCATTTTGCGCTGTTGTATATCAAGTACCTGCAGATTTACAAGAAGCTGGAGGACTGCTACGACCAAATTATTCATCCGCAAAAGAGGAGGAGTATAAAGGAGGTACTTGAAACAGTCCTCGTGCGAATCCTGGAAGTGAAGCAACAGCTGATACACTTCAATCCTCGACCACAGAATCGGTTCGTGGCCTTGGATGAGGCGCTCACAAATTTCAAGCTGAATCCAGAGACAGTGGATTGGCACATACCACGTTACATGCGCGATGATAGGGACCGAGCAGATGAGATTGAGGTACAGACGACAACAGATAGCTACATTCATGTTGACTGAATATCCAGTGGGTTTTCGACGAAGCCCTAGATTATGTCATCTATCTAATAAATTGAAAATCGTGATTGAATCGATATCAAAGTTCAATCAGAACAACAACTACAACAACAACAACAACACCGCCATCGGCAGGTTAAAGGAGAGCGTCTTGACCACTGGTTGAAGGCATTCGGGATGTCAACTAGGGCGGATGACTTATGCGATCGGCGAGACCCTTTTCAGGTGGATTTGACTGTCGAGCACGCTATCAGGTTATTGCAGAAAAACGAGCGAGGAAGGATAGGCATCCAGCGAGCCATGATGATAGCGAACTTTCGAAAGGAGGCTCAGAAGAAAGAGCAAAGAAGCAAACAAGGATTGCCAGCGCAAGAAGAAATGAGCGAGAAGGTAAGTGGGTCGTTGCTACGTGGTATCTATATCCTAACAATTTAGTCTTTCTTTACAGGGAAGTCGACGAGCTGATGAGTGTATGTCGGAAATGCATGTTGATCATCTTGATTTAACCTTATGATGATCATGACTACGCCTATAGCACGATGAAGAAGTTTTTGCCTTGTTGCATATCTTTCAGAACTTTCTGTCCTCAGGTACTCCTTGAGAAGCAATCGCAGTGCGCGTCACTCATCGCCGCGCATTGGCGGAGAAAATTAGTGCAAAGAAAATTTCAACGGATGAAGGAGGAGGAGTTTGTTTTTCTAGGCATGGTTCTGCCATCGCAGACGGCAGCAGACAACCTGCACAACTCAGGCGTTGACCATGCGGCAATAGCGGAAGAAGTAAGACAAAAACGTAAGCGCCGGCAAGTAGATGCCGATAGTGACTATGACAATGCACTCCTAGACGAGCTTGAATGGGTGAAAAAGAAGAAAGGACCAGATATTAGAGCAGACCTCTTGGACGAGCGACGGCAGTTCCTAGTGGAATTCAGGAAAAAGAAGGGTAATTTTTATGTATGGTGATACCTACATCAGTGTAGACATGATATGGAGGATCGCTGACTATTAGCATAGGGAATCCAAGAAATTGAAGTACAGAAATGCCCGTTTTTCTATTTCATTGAGGTACCTTTCCGGCAAACATCGATGAGTTTTACAAGCGCTTTGACGCCCTAGACAAAGACGATGCAGCGGAAGGAGCGGCGGATGCAAAAGGCGGCAAAAAAGATGATAAGAAGAAAGACGACAAGAAGAAAGATGACAAAAAGAAGGATAAGAAAAAGGGTGGAAAGGACGAGCCAGAGGAAGGTAGTTCTCTGTAGTTCTTTGTTTTCTGTCGTTGTTGATAGAGAAATCATCAGATGATCTTCGACAATCTTGCCAGACAAGACAAGGCTCATCTTGAAGAACAACTAAAAGCTCTTTCTACGCATCATCTGAAATTACCAGGCAGTCGAAAAGCATTTACAGTGACATCTTGTTTTTTGACCTTAGAAATAGCGTATTTCTTTGAGCTAATACGAACCCACTGATTAATATTCTTCAGCTGAGGAGCACCAAGCAGGGCCAACTGCAATAGTCCAGAATTTTGTGGATTTGATCAACGATTATAGTGAAGTCTGGGAAGACAGGGAAGAAAGCCACAATTTCGACCAAAAGCACGATGCTGAATTGACCAGGAAATTAGTGTTTCCTATGGTCGAGGCCCGGTTAAGAGAACAGGTACTAGCTCAATAGTCCATTGAGTTTCCGTTTCGCTTTCGTCCATGAAATTGATTTCAGATCCTGTCAGAACGAGTTGCTGTTTCTTTCGCCGCTTTTACCTTTGATGTGGTCCCAGACCACGACGGACCATATTCGTGTCTTGAAAATTTAGACACGCGCACGCCAAACTTTCGATTGCTATTGCAGTAGCGATGAAATATCACTCGCTGACCCGTCCGCTGTATCAATCTAGCTAAACCTATACTCAGGTCGATGCGCAAATGCAAGAGGAGCTTATGAACCTCAAAGCAATGTACGATAAGGCGAAGAAGAAAAAAGAGAAGAAGAAAAAAGGAAAAAAGGGCAAAAAAGACAAGAAAGGAAAGCAGAAGAAATGGTACGTACAAGTTTATTTTGTCTAATGTACACGGTAAGTACTGATATTTATACGTAGTACGAGGCGAAATGTACACAAACACTTTCTTCAAGCTGAGTAGAAGGAAGATGATGTCCACCTTTCTTCATCTGTTCTGTTGTACTTGTAATGATTGAAGATGGAATTCGTAGCTGTTTCCCTTTTCCGATAAAGAACAAGAACTCATCACTAAAACCAGGTGTGTCGCAGTCGGCATGATTTCCAACGTGCAGGATTGTTATCCTGATTTGGTCGAGCAAGAGATGATAAAAAAGATCGATCCATGCACACTGTCCGACATAGTAGGGGAGTTTCAATATCTCGGTGCCTATCAACGAACGCAGGAGACCTACTGCCCGCCACCAAGTACAATTCATCAGATTTAGACGAGCTTCCAATCACTCTTGATGCAAACAAGACTTCTTGTTTAAATTGAATAGGCAAGCCAATCTTGTAGTTTTTCTTTTTGTCTACACCAGAATTATAAGAAAAATCGATTCATCTTTAGTACAATTGAAGTCTCCTTAGCGTACTAGATAAATCTCCAGGTATTCAGATGGTGAAGTCCTTGATAGTGGAGCACTGCATTTTGCCGCTTTCATCTCTGTCAATAAGACAAAAAATCCCTTATGCTGCAAGGAGTTTGCTTCTTTACGGGCCAAAGGGAAGCGGCAAGACAATGGTACTTGTTCTATGTGATTCCTTAATACTTGCATGAATTTCATGCCGAACGCAACACGATATTAAGTATACTCTTGTACTTGTAGCCTCTGAGAATTTGAATGTCGAGGTCACGCGGCTTGATTTTACTTGAGATTTATGATGAAGCCGCATGAACATCTTGTTCCAATGAATCCTACTCTCAGTTTGCCCGCTCAATCGCAACCGAGCTCGGCGCGACCTTTTTCGATATTTCTCCGAGCGTCATAGAAGGAAAATACACTATGGCTAAGACTGGTGCGGCGTTGCTCATATACAAAGTCTTCCTAGTGGCACAGGATTGCGCACCAAGTGTGGTCTACATCGACCAAATCGATCAGATCTTTCAAGCCACAAAAAAGAAGAAAGGTGCAGACGCAGATGCGCCAAGCAGAATAAAGAAGGATCTGATCGCAGCGATCAAACAAGTACATTTCTAAGCACCGTGCCTTGTTATTTACAACTTCAAGTGCATAGAAGTGATGATCCGTGAATCGAAGTAACTTACATCTTGAATGTTAAAAACAGAATGAAAGGCAGACTGTGAACACAACGCCGGTGTCTCTGCCTGTATCTATCTGTATCTCCTGTATCTAGACCTGTACTTATCTAAAATTGAAGTAGTTTCCCTCGATCGACCGACCCACATCCTACCCAGATCAAGACCGGGGCAGACAGTACAAATGGAGACCGCGTATTGTTTGTAGGGTGCACGAGCAAGCCACACGGCGAAGGCGTGGACGTCAAAGGACTGAAAGACATCTTCGATGAATTTGTCTACTTGTCCTTCCCAGACTACGGAAGTTCACTCAAGCTCTGGCGACACTTCATTTATGGAATTGAATTTCATTTTGAGGCCTTGATGATTGTACCTATCATTTCTATTGCAACACTTTGAATAGATACTTCTCATTTTAGTAATTTAAATTTAGATTTTCTTGAAAGATTCACATGGGCACCAGAAACAATCTCGTGTCAACAGAAAAGCCAACAACGTGGTTGAGTAGCGGTTTTTTTAGATGCCAACCACTCCAGCCAATCGCAAACCTACCTTTAATCTGATGAAAAGAAGGGCGTGACAGTGGACCCGATTAAGTTCAACATGAGCAATCTGGCCAAGGTCAGTGTCGGCTATGCCGCAGGCAGTGTGAAGCAAGCAGTGGATCGGGTTTTGACGACAAGGCGCGTTCAACAGCTGAACATGCGACCACTTGGCATGGGCGAGTTCCTAGGCCCCCTCTCGCGAACCTCCTACACCTGGCCAGAAGAGTGGCACGAAATGCGTGAATTCGACCACGTAATTACGGACGAAAAAGACCGCCGAGAACGAGCGCTCGCTGCAATGGCGGCTGCTGCGGGCTAGATAAGCGAGGGGAGGATGTTGTAGTTGCTCATTCTTATATGCAACGTTTTGGAGGATTACGAGAGGGTTTATCTCTCAAATCGTACATTCAAAAAAGTCCGCTTCTTTGACAATCGCGAGTCCCGTAAGAAAGTGTATGTTTTTGCCTAACCTGGAAATAATAGTTATCGATTGAGACTTTCTATTTCTTGTTGTTTTGTTTTGTTTATGTTTTCCGTTCGTTCCAATAAGGAAATTCTCGCAGCTTGTGCCGGGTAAGACATCACAAGACTGTAGTAGCTGAAATTGTTCCATTCTTGGGTGCTAATTATAAATATCCGTTCGAATTGACTTTCTCAAAATCATGGTCGATTATGAAGCTGAATTTCAAGAGCAAGATGCAAATTAAAATGATCGCAAATGAAAGACCAACGCTCAACTACGGTCTGCCATTTTTCGTGCCGACCAACAAGATACAGCAGACGGGGTTGTGGCATAATCTTAGTGCGGTTCTATTCATTAAAAGGCAATCAAGTAAAACACGGCACTTCTATTTACTATCCATCGTATGCACAGGCGGGACCGGAAGACGCTCCATAACGTCATTAGTAGAATGAATGCATCTACTGCAACCGCGTTGTCCCTGATCATGTTGTAATGTTCCATTACAACCTATTTGTAACGACATCCCCCAAGGAGACGCTTTGTTATGGTCCCCAATTCCTTTCAAATTTCCTACTAATGATCGTCTCGTCATTTTCTAAAGCTTGAGCACATCTTGTACTTCGTTGTACCACAAAAAAAAGGCACTGGTGTCGTGTTCCTTTCCTTATTGCTGGAGCGGGTCATGCGAACGAAAAATGGAAAATGAGTAGTCAGATGTTGAGCTTGAGATTTGAGAGAGCTCCCGCATTAGCGTCCATGTAGTACAGTAACAATAGTAATAACTCTCAAGGAGTTCGGCGAGCACCATATGGCTCCACTTTTTTACTCTTCTTCAATCACAATGAATTCTTGCTCTACAGCCACTTATTGCCAGTGTGAGTGTTGTGGTGCGGGCGGGTAAATACAACAATCTTCAAGTTCCTTAATTTGATTGTCTGTACTCTGTAGTAGTTACATTACAAGTACTAGACCCGAGCCGCTCGTCGTCGTTTGCTTGTGGATACTGATAAATATCATTCTTTCAGTGAGAAAAAATGGAGGACGAGTTACATGAAGTTCGCGAAAGGTTCTATATTGGTGCCCATGGTGCGGCTCTAGAACGCGCGCAGAGCACGCAGACACGTAATGACCTCACAGAAGCGGAGCGGAAAGGAATTGAGGCAAGATGGTACTATTTGATAGGTCCGACCACAACGACCGACGATTTATTTGCCTATCCGTAGCTCTACTTCTTCCTCTTTTTGCCTCATATCCGCGGACAGAGAAACTAACAAATAGTAGATCAAATAAGTAAATATGTTTGCACTATGTATCGGATGAGCTACGTCGATCCTCAATCACGATCTAATTCCTTTGATTCCAGTTACCTTTCCCTCGGAAAGTTTTCGCAGTTGAAAGACTTAAGAACAAGTCCGGAAGCGTCCCAAAGATGTTGTGCGCTATTTGCGATGTTTACGAAGGCAAAGGAGGCAACTCATAAGCAGAAAGCTTTCGCGGATTTAGTCGAACTAGCGAAAACTAGTAGAGATCAGACAGCGACGTATCTTGCAGCTTGCGCGCACGCAATTCAGGGAGAACCAGTAGAAGCAGTAAACCTTGTGCAGGCAAATGGTACTATTTTTGATCTGCTTCTGAAACTGTGATGTACGTACTTACTTTCTATTTCTAGTTTTTTTAGTAATGAAAGTAACGTACTAGGCACACCTCCAACTGTGACTGTGGCTATGTACTCCTAGCTTCCCGTCTACTCTACAAGGTTTATCAACCGCAGAGATGCAAGCTCTCACAACGCAGCTCTTGATCGCCATGAACAGGGTAGACTTAGCGCAAAAGCAACTAACTACCGTAACGAGCATTAGCGACGACCACGCAATTTCGAAGATGGCTGGTGCCATGGTCAATCTCGCCAGAGGTGACTTTCAAGAAGCATTTCTCCTCTACTGCGATGTGGAAGCACAGTATTATTATTCATAACTCGTTATTATGTACTATGTATTGGTTATTCATTCTTACTCGCCAGTAGCTAAGTAGTACAACTAGTAGAACAAGGAAGCAGATTTCTCGAATCTCGCGTCGACAGCTACGGAAGTGAGAGACTTGCTGTTTAGTAAGACTGACAACCAAGTACCTTGCTCGACACACACTTTAAACACCTGGCGAAGGTATGGTGATGATATCGCAGCGGTCCCGTCCAGCACCATATCAAATGGGAAGGCTGCAGCAAACATGCAGCGAGGCAATTTCTCCGAAGTACCCGAAGAACTACAAAAAATGCACGAAAGCTCACCAGGGGATCAAGATACACTGGTACTAGTTCTTACTTGTAATGGAACAAGTTGACTTTTATCTGAACAAAAACAATTCAACTTCTGGGAAAAAAAAACTTCTTTATCTTCATGTTTAAACAAACTAGTATAATCGATTGATATTCGTTCAGGTGAACATGTGCGCCACCAGTATCTACACGGGTAACGATGAGGATGCTGCAAAATACATAGCAACGCTCCGGAAAGTAGCGCCAGAACATGCAATTATTCGCAAACTTGACCATTTAGTGTCGAGTATCCAAAATTACAAGCCATAGTTCTTTCACTCCCCAAGGCAGATCCCTTTTCAAGCACCAGATGCTGTACCCTATCCAAGTTGTAAACTGGTGAGCACTCAGGTGCTTATTGTGCTTTACCCTAATCTTCAACATACCTCAACACGCATGCTGTGGTCTTCATCCCCACGATGACATGAGAGCACTTGAAACATATTGAGCCATGGATTCACGATGCGCTGGCTTCCTGTGCAAGGGCTTCACCGGAGTCCGATACGTTGAACATAGAATCCTATTCCGAGAATATTTGAATAAAAGATGACGCAGTTGTCTTGAATTCTTAAGGCGGCCTCCTGAAGAAAGGTTCGGAAGAAAGGTCGAATTGTCGGCTCTACTTTTGGTTCAGAACAGCACATTTGAATTTTTTCCGCCGCTCCATTACGGAGTAAGAAACCGACGAAAGTGTCATGTGAAGGAAAGAGAGAAAAGCAAGGTGGATTGGGCTCGTTTCAGGCTTACCTCATTATGCAAGAAGAGGAGTCATGTCGTTGCCCCATCGGGATAATTTGCAGGCATTCTTGAGACAAGTTTTGTTGTGTGTAGTCCGTATAATAAGGCGAAGAGGAGCACCACCAGATGAACTTGAACAGAACTTAAAAAGACGAACAGTAGAAAGTCAACGAGGTTTTTTTCGAGTACTTAGTGACTTCAGTATTGGAGCAGCCAGCGCTGTTGATTGAAAAAAAGCTCAAATGTGCCACGTACGATTAAGGCAGTTTTTGTCGCAGCGATCTCAATTACTACTTGTAGGGTAAGTTGTCTTTAAGCTAACGTTGTCTAGAACAAGGCAAAGAAGTCTGTCAGATAGAAAGACACGAAAAAACATGGGAGTACCAACCACGCCCCTTCTTGGGGTAGTGGCGCTCACGGCGATTACGGCCGTACACGCAGAGGTATTGCACATCAGCAGAATCGCTGTGAACGAAACTGCGCGTATCCGCCAATGCTTACAGTCTCCTTTCGTTATTTTACAGAACTATATCTGATTCTGACCAATGAATAGCAAAAGATTATCGATGCGTCCATCGTGCATGACATCTTTAATATTACGCCGTATTTCAAGTAGTAAAGGGATTATAAGTACGTATTTCTTTGTCTGTTGTAAGAAAGTATGTAGTCCAAAATGAATTTCAGAGTGTGGCGAACGCTTGGACTCGTTTCAAAGCGGAAGCCTCCTATTCGTCTGCGATCTCGGAACACAAGCTCAAGGGCGCCTTTTGCAGACAGAAAAGGACCAATGGGGTAGTACAAAATAAGACATGCATAAAGGGTCTCATAAATGCAAATGGCGCCATCTAATATCAAATAAAAATGAAAACCTGTTTCTGTTTCTCGTCTTGCTTCGATCGGTAGAAAATGACACTCATCATCTGCTTACAATCACATCCACCTCAGGTTTCTTGCACTACAAGCCGGGCGTGCCTATGATGGACGCAAAACCTAGCATTCCGGGCATGCACCGATACGTCGCATGTTATGGAGATCGTTCGGACGCGATTGCAGATCTTCTCGACGAGTGCAATGAGGATAATCGTGATTGCGCCTGTACTACTTGGATCTATTTTTAGCATTACCATTATTTCTAGTGCAACTTGCAAGTCGTCTGTTAATCCTTTATCACGTCTTCCATTTCTAGTCGCACTTGCAGTATGACTTCTACGTTGAGACAATCCTTCTTTGGAAATTCGATCATATACATATTCTTAAAAACTATAACAGCTTGCGGGAGAGCAGCAGAAATTTGTTATGGCGACTCGAATTCGTTCAAGGTCTCACAATTTTACGCTTCAGGCTGTGACACCGATTCCAACACGATGCGCGTCTCCCGTACTAAGAATTTCAATTTCTCAAGTTTTGACGATGACTTGGTTGTACCATAAAAAGTGGATAATTTAAGTTTAAGTCTTCTGGCGGTTTGCTTTCGGCAATAGGACTATAGCGAAGACAGTGTGTAAAAGTTTCTTGTTATGCTTTCGCTTTAGGAAGTTTTGTTTTCTGATAAGTGAACAGGCCAACGCCTAAACCACTAAGCCAACTGCGCAGTTCACTTATCAATCAAACTACCTAGGGTTCGAGTCCCGGTAATATCAAAAAAAGTGGCAGGGTCCAAAATACGCATCGAGGCCAAAGGGTGGGAGGCGTCTGATTGAGCGCGCTCCAGTGCACACACCCGCCACAGAATGAGCCAAGTCTGTAAGACGCAGCCACCGATGAGCCCGACATCGGCAAACTTGACCGGTCCCACCCAAGAAGGGGGGGGCCTGGCCACTGAGATCGCGAGAATGGCGGATGTCCAGTCCCCAACGAACCTGGCAGCCTAGTGATACCGGTTGCAAAAGAAAGGCGGTGACCCACCTAGCTACGGCAGGGGGTGCCTAGCGACAGAGATCGCGAGAAAGGCGGCCGAACCCACCCCGGTAGTTTGATTGATAAGTGAACAGGCAAACGCCTAAACCACTAAGCCAACTGCGCAGTTGGCTTAGTGGTTTAGGCGTTGGCCTGTTCACTTATCATTTTCCAACAATAGGGCCTTTTCTCGTCACTCCGTCACCAGGTCCTTTCAGCGAGCGACCCGAGAAACAGGCAGACGCCGCATTATTCACGTTCGTGCTTGACGAATTGAACAAGGAAAAGGGCGGTAAGCTAGCAGGAGGAAAAGGGTTCAATTCGGCGACAAAGGCGTCAGGCGGATATACAAAGAAGGGCGCTCCTGGGAAAGCGACTGATTAAGGCAAGCAGATAGAGCGCATCCTCAGCATCGTTCTCGCTTATTTTCCTAAGGGGAAAAGTAAGGCGGCAAGGGAGCTGTCAGGGATGCGAAAGACTTTCGCATAGCCCTAAATAGATGACAAAGAGGACAGCGGACTTCCGGCTACGATTGCTTCCTGGTGGAGCGATCTGTTTCCGAACGCAATGAGTGACTCGCCCAATGCGGTTGCTCGCACTGCGCACCACGGTGCCGATCATTCGACGACTGAGCCGGCGAAGGGCGGCAACAAAGCTGCAGAGCCTGCGCCGCCTCAAGCAGAGGATAGTGCGTCGTGGTGGTCGAGCTACCTCGCTGAAGCGCGCGGTGAGAAGACCTTGGTTCCGGTTCCGAATGCAGGCAAGAAGAAAGCAGCCCCTGCGCAATCGAAAGAAGAAGCTGCGGCTGCTCTGTCGAAGGAGTCGCCCAAGATGACAGCAGGTGCACAACCAGAGAAGGGAGGATCCTGGTGGACGGACCTGTTCGTCGAAACGCCATCGGCACCTGCGGCAAAAGCTGGATCAGCTGCTCCGAAGAAGCCTGTAGGTGAAAAATCAGTTGCTGCAGCACCGCCAGCCGCGAATGCTCCATGGTACTCTAACATCTTCGATGCTGAAAAACCATTCGCTCCGGCGATGAAGGCGGCCCCAGTACCGTCGAAGTCAGCAGCAACTACACTGAAGAAGGGCGCGCCGGTCCCTGCGGCCGCGGATAGCAAGGGGCCATGGTACACCAACATCTTCGATGCTGAGAAGCCAGCTACGAAGGCCGTCGCAGTACCGCCGAAGCCAGCAACAGCTGCACTGAAGATGGGCGCGCCGGCCCCTGCGGCCGCGGATAGCAAGGGGCCATGGTACACCAACATCTTCGATGCTGAGAAACCAGCGACGAAGGCCGTCGCAGTACCGCCGAAGCCAGTAGCAGTTGCACCGAAGAACAGCGCGCCGGTCCCTGCGGCCGCGGATAGAAAGGGACCATGGTACACCAACATCTTCGATGCTGAGAAACCAGCGACGAGGGCCGTCGCAGTACCGCCAAGGCCAGCAGCAGCTGCACCGAAGAAGGGCGCGCCGGCCCCAGCGGCCGCGGATAGAAAGGGACCATGGTACACCAACATCTTCGATGCTGAGAAACCAGCGACGAAGGCCGTCGCAGTACCGCCGAAGCCAGCAGCAGCTGCACCGAAGAAGGGCGCGCCGGCCCCTGCGGCCGCGGATAGAAAGGGACCATGGTACACCAACATCTTCGATGCTGAGAAACCAGCGACGAAGGCCGCACTAGTACCGCCGAAATCAGCAGCAGCTGCACCAAAGAAGGCTGCGCCGGCCCCTGCGGCCGCGGATAGCAAGGGACCATGGTACACCAACATCTTCGATGCTGAGAAACCAGCGACGAAGGCCGTCGCAGTACCGCCGAAGCCAGCAACAGTTGCACCGAAGAAGGGCGCGCCGGCTCCTGTGGCAGTGGATAGAAAGGGACCATGGTACACCAACATCTTCGACGTTGAGAAACCAGCGACGAGGGCCGTCGCAGTACCGCCCAAGCCAGCAGCAGCTGCACCGAAGAAGGGCGCGCCGGCCCCTGCGGCCGCGGATAGAAAGGGACTTTGGTACACCAACATCTTCGACGCAGAAAAGACCAGTAAGACATCCTCTGAGCCGTTCCTGCGTAAGGGCAAAAAGGGGAAGGCAAAGCAGGATGGCAAGGCACCACCTGCGGCCGACGTGCCATCCGGTCCAAGTGGCTGGTTCAGTAGCGTCCTTGACGCTGAGAAACCCGCAGCTCCGGCAACAGCGAAGGCGCCAGCGAAAGGTGACAGCAAAACCGCTGCTGCACCTACGGATGAATCGTCGAAGGGATCCACGCCGGGACCGTGGTGGTGGCCTGCGGTGCTCACCGGGAACAGTGTCGGCGGTAATAGCGACGAGCTGTTCGCCTAGATTGAGGTCCTTGTAGTTACGTACAATTATTGAACTAGTTGTAGAAGTTGTACTTTATCATTATCATTATCTCTAAGCTTAAAAATATCTTGCTGATTTGTTCCTGTTTCCAGTAGTAGAAGTTGATGATATGAAAATTTTCAGAATGGAAAAAGAAACAACAATTTTTGACTTTCGTATTTCAATGGGGACGTGAGTTTTCCTGACCGGGGCCGGGCTGAAGATGGGCTTGACGACACTAATCCACGGCATATTATGCGCTTTGATCCTCATCTTCATTTCGACAAAATTTGTGAGAAATCAGTGTGACGTACCCAGTGCAGCTCCTCCTTACTGTATGATACACGAAGTTCATGCAATAAACATCAATGTAGGAGAAGAGATATTCTCGATATGTTTTATCACTGCGATACATCTGTAATTAGAAGTAGCATCAATTATCCTACGATTAGCTTCACGACCGGCGATCAAAAGCCTGAAAAATTAACTCCACTACCTACCCTAGTTCATTTCTTTGTCCGTGCAGCTGCAGGCATGGTAACCCGGCTCTAACAGTGACCCGATGAGCTGAAAAAATAAACAGGATCATATTTATTGAAATTGATGGCGGCACAGTGCTACAGAGTCTTTTTTACTTTTCGTTTTTGCAAGTGATAGATCCCATGTAAGTACGGAATTTATGACCCGCTACAACAGTCAATAGGAATACCAGATGTCTTGAAAACTTGTAACATTCCGATTCGCATAGTAAAGCAAGAAATTCGGTCCACCACGAACAAAAAGGCAGCTGCAACGTCAAAGAAAACGTCGCGCTCTCGCTGTAAAAGTGACAATCGGACGACAAATTTTTTCTGTGCAGAAAAAGCAAGCCAATCGACGGCGCCGTATTTCGCATGTTTACTTCAATTGCTTTTTTCTGACGTTTCTAAAAGTGACGAGACGGAGAGACCGAGTGACGAGTCATAAAGAACGTGTCTCTGCATGAAATTCTGCGCGAACTGACTGGCGCAAATACGCGCCCAAGAAAGCGCTTGCACGATTACTGCTGCCCAACATTCTTATCTTAGATATTAACTTGACGTGACACTGATAGATAAAAAGATATGAAGATGGTTCGAGTTGGTTCTAAGCAGATCTCGAAACGTATTAAAGGCTCATCTTGTTTGTGACGTTGTATATCTGCAAGGCAATTTTCGAGAGATACAACTACAACTGAGAAAGAATGTCTGACTTCACCAAGGACGAATTCTGTGACGAACTTCGTGGTACCGACCACGAGTTTCGAAACATCGTGTCGACATCTTTTGAGGGGTTGCGAGCAGTCGAAGTGCGTACGGCAGGTTGCGACCATGTCTGGCAGAAGATTCAGGGTACAGAAGGTCCTATGCTTCGAGTTGAGAGCGGAAAGCGTTCCGGGCGTCGACTTCGGAGCGGGGAAGAGGACCACGTGTATGAATTTCGTAAGCAGAAGGGAACTATTACAATCCTCGCTATCCGGGGCGTCCGCTGGCAAACCGCTTAGTGAGTGTCGTGCCCTCGTTTGACGACTGACCTCGCGAGAGCGGGCATACCCTCTTCGAGGCACGACGAGAACGCGCTAGACATTCTGTACGTAGATGGTTCACCAGTAAATCCATCATCTGTAGTGCGGCGTGTCATACCCCTGCAGGTGTGCTGACTTGCTCCTGGGGCCCCGCTGTGTCGGGTTGCGTCTTAGCTGTTCTTAAAGTGTCGAATGTACGGCCCTTCCGATTGTTGTAGTCTTGTGGCCGATTGTACGGTCTTATGCGCCCCCAGTGTGTAAGTTATTGATCTTATGCTAGATTTGTATACTTAATTGATTAAAAGGGCGGTAGCATATAGTCCTATGGAAAAAAAAATCCCGCCCGCGCGTATCGGGCTACCGCGCTTCGCCCCCTGATTGATGGAAGGGCGTAGACCTGACCTTGCGGCCGCTTGTAGGCGCTTGGCGGCAGAACCACGGACGAGGGTTGCGATTGAACATCGACGAGGCCGATTACAATAGAGTCGCAGTTCCAGAGCGCCTGCCAAGCAGAGCACAGGCACGCTGGCACCTCGATACGACTCTCGCGCGTGGTGTAGAGGCCCCAGCCGTACCGGAAACTAAAAACCAGCGGCTCGCAACTACAGCACGTTGAAAAGCAAGCAAATAGCGCGTCGGCTTGTTCATCAGGACCAAAAGGAGCAGGGGTCGTGATCGACGAATCACATCAAATCTTAGAAGCCTGCGCCGGCACTGATGGTGATGAAAAATCTCAGATTCACGTGCATGATCTACCCAAACGTACGCACGTCGAGCTAACGGCATCCTCCTCCTCGCGACAACGAACAAGTCAAAGATACTGCGGGGAAGGGCTTCGCCGCCCTTTTTCTGGGGCCTGCGCAAATGAATGCTGCGATCACAGCAAAACGAAGGGAGTGGAGAAAAAGACTGCTGGCTCGAGACCAGAAGCTGGAGCTGGGCTCTCTGCGGCAGAAGCTGCGGTGCGACTACGAGAGTCTGTCGAAGCCGACAGGCCGCAGTGTCAACGAGTTGATTCGTCTTCACGAAGAGAACGAGAAAAAAACACTGCGCATGAGAGAGGCACGCGAAATAGGGTTCCGTGCGTGCGGCACTTTTCATTCAGCCCCAGAAATCACCGAGTACTTTGGTTGTCTTCCGCACGTGGCTACGCGAAATTGCAACGAACCACTCACCTCTGATGTTTCATGTTCATCTGAAAACGACATGAATATTCTTGACGTGGGCAAGGGCAAGGCGTTTCGCAGAATTGCAAAGCCTTCCCGCAACAGCCCGAAACACGCAAGTCGGGGAAAACTGCGGGAACAAAGAACGCTAGTTTGTAAGTTACGTCATCATGTAGTTTGTATTATGTCATGCAGACGCCTCCAATTCTTCACCTCTTCCATTCTACTGAGATTATTTTCATTTCGAATTATGCATAAGCCCAGTCACCCTTTCGGTTTCTGATGAGCTTATATGCTTTGGTCTAAGTAGTCTTACGTTGCTTCTTGTCACCTCATTTATATGAGGATTCAGGATAGCATCGCATAGTCTAGGGGCTGGCATGCTCGCCAGTAATAGACTCCATGGAACAATGGAAAGAAGGATATCAATAGATGCGCGCGAAAGTAGGGTGCAATATCCATAGTGTAGTAGGATGCAATTGCCTTTGCCATGGTGTAAGTAAGTAACACAAACTCCATGTAAAAGGAAGAAACTTCGAGACTACGACGCATGGGATGCCCAGGAGTACTCTGACATTGACGGAGGTGGCCTGTACAATCATGGCTCCTTCTGAGAAGCCGAAAGCCCAGAGGGTGACGAGGTATCAGACAAAGATCCCGAAAGAAGTCTTAGCCTCGGACTACATTTGCTGGGCGCAGAAACTCGTAGACTGAAAACGAAAAACCGTTCTTATGATCGTTGGCGCTACTTCCCGCCAAGAGCACGCGAAGATGGTAGTGCCACCGATACAACACCCGAGTCTTGCTCCGCTCGATCTGACTATTCCTCTCCTGAAGGAGAGGGAGGTATGGATGGGCCTGGCAACATGTTTGGATATCCTTACGGTGAATACGGTCGTTAGGAATCGCGAAAGCCTACTTTTTGCAAAAGTGAGATTGCTGATTTCAGACAAAGGAAACGACGAAAGCTCATATCGAAGAGCAAGAAAAGCCTCGTTTTCTGTTTCGGGGATATCCTGTCCGCAGAATTAGTCAAGAGAAAAATCACGCTTCCGGAAGAGGAGACGTTTTAGGATTCACCTGAGGACGAGGACGACGATGTTGTAAACAAGGAACCGGAAGTCGTGGATTCTCCAAGACCTATGCGGCGGTGCCTCGACGGCGGAGACATGATTCCACCTCCAGCCTTATCTTCAGAAAGAACATCGGGTGGCCTTCTTCTTGATGAACAAAATAACTGTGTGAGCAACATCTTGTCTCAAGCGTCTACTGCAGCGAAGATCGCAAAAAACACAGCGGACTCGGAGGCGCAGGCCAGAAAAAGCGTGAACAATTCAAAGGAGGTATGTACCTCATCAAAAACGAGATATCTCCGGTACGTCCCGGTGTCTGCGGGTGGTTCTACGTGCCCAAAATTCCCTTTGCTCATATACAAGGACACGACGCGCGCAGTCAGACTTGCTTGAGTTTGGTGCTCCCACGGCCGATATTGTCTCGCGTGTACCACGTCGCTTTCAAGAAGACGCCCAGTTGTTGCAGTCGAGCGAGGGACACAGTTGCACACGAGCAGCACAAGCTTTAAGGCTAGCCAAATTTTCACTAACCTCTTTGAAGCTGTGCCCACCCGAGTCAGTGCGACGGTCATTCTTGAAAATTTTGTCGGCGGTTTCGTAGTGAGGGGAAACGGGCAAGGCACCACTCATCAGCCTCTTCAAATCAAGAGCAGGACAACATTGATTTCTACTTACTCAAGAGTTGAATTTGCACTAAGGCTAGAAGCAACGCCTGCCGTTCGGGACGCGGCCGACGACACGAGTGCCTTTGTTCTGATATCAGCTTCCAACGGTGGTGCACAGCTACAGTTCATTTAAGTCAAATATTTCTGTGTTGCCGTCTGTGAAAAGTAGTCAACTTCGGTGTTTGTTTTCGATGATTTGGGTTCTTCAAAAACGCACTCAAGTACTCATTTTTTCATTGAGGGATTGTTGTTTGCAAAAGTCATTACGCATTGCTACGAAGAGAAGTTTTTTTGGACCTTCATGCGCGCGCAAATTTACTCCGCGCTGACACACATGAGATGCAGCCATGACATTCTCAAATGAAATGCGTAGCCCTTTTTGTGCAACGCCTGAGGCCACGAAATAGCGGCGATTTACTCTCTTCTGGGCGAGGTGGTGTTTGAATTCCGCGGCTGTAGTGAAGGACTCGGTCAGAATTGTATCTATATATAATCATTTGTGAAGTTCTGCCCGCAATACCCCAGAGAATTAGTAAGATTTTTAACGCCGCGCGTAGGTCAGCTCTCCATGTGACGGCGAAGCGCTAGAGACCCAGCAGGCGCGCTCAGCGGCCCCGCGTAAGAGAGTCCCAACTACGCAGGACCCCGCGCACGGGCTCAAGCGCCTGAGTTGCAAGGTCCACACGCCGCATCCTGCGCAGCAGTCGTCCTCTCGATCTCTTGCGAGAAAAGTGCAAAGATTTTACATTTCAAGCGCCGCAGTGTTTTTTCATGTAGAACCTCTTGGCCTGCATGCGCGTCGCCTTGTCCATTGCCCTAGCTGTTGCGCGCTCGCTAGCATGCTGTCGCCTCCACCCCTAATAAATTAAGTGGCCACACAAACCACCTCCCCGTCTCAGGTTTCCAGTGAAGGAGTCACAAGCAGGAAGAAAATGCGCGCACAGTTTGCACAGGTTTGCGCCGTACCTTATCTGGGGCGCTGTTGGTCTTTGTTTTCGCTGTGGTCTTTTCGTTTGGGTTGTGCTTTTGCGTCATTGCGTGTCCACCGTTTTCGAGTGGTCGACACCCGGGGCGGCAGCGCCATCGCCTCCTCATAAAGGATCAGACTTAGCCCCCTCGGTTGGGCCGTGATCGGTCCACCCTCTGGGAGTCTATTCACAGTTTACCGGGCTCATCGATGGCAGCTCGGCCCTGGGTGGACGCTGAGAGAGGAGATTGGAGCGCCTATGAATGATTTCCTTGGCCCGACGTGGCCCGAGGAAACTGGGCTTTCTTGCCGTGCTCACACGCTGACGATGGGAAACACGGCCCTGCTGCAGCGTCCCGCACCTTGTCGCCCGCAATCCTCCAAATTCGTCGCGGCGGCTTTCGTGATCCCGCAAGTACACTCCCACCCACTGGAGTGCCCCCGCCCTCTCCCGGTTGCCGGTCCGGCGTTCCGTCAACTGGCTGGCTGGCCGTTGTGAGTGTGGTTGGGCTCCCAGCTGTCGGCGTCGGGCTCCCGGCTTTCCGCGTCACGCTCACGCAAACAACGCCCAGCGCCGTGCCCCTCTCTAGTTTCCGCGCGTCACGCAAAGGTGTCACGCGTCACGCAACCCCATGCGCCGTTCGCTATGAAGCATTCACGCCCAGCCCAACCGCGAGCACAAAAAACATGCTAACTGCAAACGCCAACGAAGTGCGGACGCGTCTGGAATCTTGGGCGGCGCCGTTCGCACTACCCCTCGTCCGAGAGGGATATCGCGTCTGGCTGCCGCACTCTGATCACTTTGTGCAAGGTCTGCTAGACCTCTTCCAGCGGTCGCGCACAGGTGGAGTTGATGATTCTTCCCCGTCGCGCACAGAAGGAGAAGCAGGAAGTTCGACATTGGCTTGTGACGCGCACGACTTCGATGCGGCGATGCGCCTAGACGAGGGTGAGACATTGCATTTACGCCTGAAATGGGGCAGCTTCTACGACCTCTGGAAGCTGCCGTCGGTCGGCGCGTTCACGCTCGATCTGGTGACAGGTGAGATTGATTCCACCAGCACGACGGACCTCTTCGCAGAACAATTATTGGAGGGTGCTTGATCATGGTCGCCGTTGCCCGGGATGCCGTGGTGAGCGGGTGAGGGATGAAGGAAACGACATTAGGGGTGAAACTACAAACAAACGAACGAGAAGCAAAGATATACAGAGGGCTTTTGCTCCTAGGAAACAAGACATCGGTAAACTCAGACGAAGCGACGGCAGTTTAGTGCCCGTCTTCAGTTCATGTTGACAAGGCCGACACCTAAAGCTGTAGAAAGCAGGACGATGCAAAATGATTGAAACTGCGCCAGTACTGTTTTGAATCAAAAGTCGCACGATTATAAATGTAAAACGCATTATTTTTTGTGTTTACCTGGTCCCACACGCGAGTCTTCAAGTTCAAAATTTGCGACGTGTGGCAAAAGAGTGGGTCTTCGAGCTGGCAGCTAGTTGAAGTGAGCAGGTTCGGGGTTGAGATGAACTTCTGATATCAATCTTTTCGTTCTTGAGGCTGGGGGCCGATGAATGCTGTAAGAATATCAACAAGTCGTGTCAATGATTAGCTGATAAAAGTGGTGCGAAATAAGAAATAACTTGAAATAGTACCTTTGCAAACGCAAGCAGGATTTGTTATGAAATCCGCTTCCTGCACCACTCTCGGTTCCACGATCGTGGTTTGAAGAGATGATGCGCCGTCGTCGCCGGCCTTCTGGCTCCTATGCCACTGCTGTCGCTTCCGCGACCAGCGCCGCTGATTCGGATGTGTCAGGCAATGCTCGCGCTATGCTTTCCCACGAGGATCTTCTGGTTCTAAAATCCAAAATCGAGCAATTGCGCGCCGGCGCCAAGTTCCACTACCGCCAGGCAGAGTGGACCCTCGGGCTAACCCAACCACCCTCCCGTGCCCAGGAGGCCGCGATATCCGTCCTATCGGGTGCTATCCTCGTGTTCGCCCTTCTTCTGAACTCCGTGGCCGGGCCCGCCTTCTCGCCCCTCCTGAATCCCGAAAACAGCCACACCGCGTTTGCGTTCAACCTGCTCCTGGGACTCGTGTTCACGGTGGGGGCGCTATCCACGCTGTTTCTCACGTACATCACGGTTTGTTTGGCCATGGACAATGAATTGGGAGCCTGGCGGTCCATCCTGCGCTTCGAGCGACTGGTGGAGCCCTTCCTCTGGTTCACTGCGATCGCACAGTTTATGTGCATCGCAATGGGAATTTTGGCCAGCGCATACACTGCAGAGCAATACGAGACGAAGCAAAATGCTGAAAATCTTGCTGGTGGTGCTCAAGATGACAGCGCCGCCTGTGCTCGCACGTGGTCCTGGATCACTATCGGCGGAATGCTGTTTGTTATGTACGCCAAGTACATTCACTTTTACGTTTGGAGCACGCAGATCATGCCCATGCAAATGCGGCATTGGGCGATCTGGCTGGCGCCGTTCGCCCTGTACATGTTTCCATCGAACGCGCGGGACTGCGCGCGCATGGGGCCGCTGTACGCACGCATGATTGTGAAAAACGTGGCGACGTTTTACGGCTGGCGATTGTTCCCCTATGACGCGTTCTACTGGCCAGAGGTCGGGTACTTTTCGGCATCTTCGGCCGAGGAGAAACCAACGGAGGTTTCGAGTGCTGAATTCGAGCTGTGGAGGAGATGGCTGCGCGAACAAGGAAGCACTGTTTTTCATGTTGATGGGAAAGAGAATCACGCACATGCTCTACTTCATGAGGATGACGGTGCCCCATGCTTCTGGTACATGCCAACTGAGCACTTTGTGGACAAACACCAAATTGATCTGATCGCGGTTGCGCTGACGGACAATGATATTCGCGCCGGCGATCTCGCTGGTCTGGACACAACTTGCTGCTTGAGGATGATAGAGGAAGTGATTCCGCGAAACCTCGCTTCGATTGGCCAGAAAGTGAAGCTGGCGAGAATCCTCGGTTGTATATGAATTTTTTGAAATTGGAGGAAAAAGCTATGTATAACTAGCTCCTGTATAGTAATACGAATGCAGGAGTAAAGATCGCTTCTGCTTTTGAGCGTTTGCCTGCGGAGCCGTGACGTGTTATTGCAACAATTTTGTTTTTCAGAGTGATCTGTAGTCGTATTCGCCCCGAAGTGAGAATGCAATGGAAATGATAAGCGTGTCAAGATCGAGTCGTGTACGTGTACGAAAAAGTTCTGATGTCACTCAAACATCATGTAAATGTAACAAATACGATTAGAAATCGCGGTTGACGCCAGCACATGCATTTCTTTGCTCGTGAACCTCCAGTCTTGAGACAGCACAGCGTCGATGTGCAATTTAAGCCTTTCTAAAATGAGGACATCAACAACGTCAACAGTAAACGAATCTTCTACTGTACGAATACTTGTTACGATGAGCGAGCAAGTAAAATAAGAATCGCGCAGCAATGCAGGATAATTGCTCTCCCCTGAACAGTGAATCAACCGAGCAGTTGACCGCTGACGCTGAGGTGGAAAGGGGAGGCTCGTATCTCCAGATGAGCGGTCCTCGTTTGTAAAACATCAAAGTGTGTGGTACGCAGCCGTCGCCGGGCAAGACGGAGAAAGCAGGTAATGTAGGACCCCTTTCGCGACGGGCGACGCGATAATGAGAGGAGGAAAAAAGGGGTTCGGCAGTTCCTATTGCACCAGCAGCTGCTGAAAATAAGCGACAAGAAGAAGGGGTACCGCTTACGAAGGTCCACCTGCTTCATCTGAATGGCGACGAGTGGGTTGTCAAAGACGTGCCCGAGACCATCACTGTGCGCGAAGTTAAAAAGATATTTTGCGAGGACGCCAGGAACGCGCTGACGTCGTCCACGATCGTCTACCCCTGCTTACGGTGCCCCGAGACCGGGACCGTGCAAGAAAAAAGGTACGAGAGGTCCGACCTCATCGCCGACTGCACTTACTTCCCACCCGAGGTGCTGTGCTTCGTCGACGAGTAAAATAAGTCCATCCTCGAAGACTCCACCTTCATGTCGTCGTGCAATTTCACCGCGGGCGTGATGTTTCGGTCGGAGGCGATCTGACGAGAGGAACTGGCGAAACCGCTGCTGAACAAGCTGACGAATGGGAGCCCTTTTTGCAAGGTGTTACTGGAGTTGCGGCAATGGAACCTCGCGGAGTCGCGCCTGAAAGAGTGGGTGCAGGACTACTGCGAGAATTACTGGCCCGGGAAGTTGTTGTTAGCGGACGCGCTCGACTGGCAGTATTACGTGAACCTGTACTGCCTGATGGAAAAGGGGTGGATGGGGATCCTGCAGGAGCCCTCTGAGGACTTAGGGAACCTGATCGCGGGGGTCGTGCTGCAGAATTTTTCGGAGAAAAAACCGATCAGCATGCGGCCGCCCAGGAGGGGGAGGGAGCGAGCCAACACCAGGGCGGGGGCTGCGCCAGTCAACCGTGCCGGTGCAGTCGCTGTCAACATGGGGGCGGCACGAGTCAATCTCAATGTTGGAGTGGCCCAGGCCCACCTTGGAGTGCCTGACGCCAACGCGGGGGACGCGGGAGGTCCAGTGGTCAACCTAACAGTTTTACCAGTCGACGTTGTGGTCCACCCCGACGCAGGAGATCGAGTCGTGAACAAAGCAAGGCCAGTCACTGTCCGTCCAGTCAATAGAGCAGAACCCGTCAACGGGGCAGCACCAGTCAACTGGGCGGTACCAGTTGGCGGAGCAGCCGAGGTCGTCAATGCGGCACCACTTCATGTGGGTTGAGGCCCTCATCCCCGTACACTAGGCGCTCACCTGGACGTGGTTGCAGTTGCACTACGCAGGGCGGTGGTAATCAACGCTGGTCTAAACGTCACCCGAGCAGCGTTTCAAAATGGACCGGATCCAGTCACCCCTGGTCCGATGATCGACAGGGACAGGTGGCCGCCCCGCACCGATCCAGACAGCGCCGAAGCACGGAGGGTGCGCCAGCTCGTTGGGGATGGTGGCGGAGTTTTGTTGCCACAGACTCAGGAGCGCGTCCCAACTGGCGCAGCTTTCCGTGACCCTGTCCGGCTTTGCTGGAGAGCTTAGGATTCGGAGACAAATTTTGCACATTTTTTTGCCACGATGTCAATCCAATAAAAGAGATAACTGATTCATTGTCATACACACACTAGAACTAGACAGCCATGAAATGGAAAGACGGCCGCACTACAAGTAGGGTCGTGAGTGTCATTATCATGGTTCTGCGGTGGAATGATCCGCTCTTCTGCTGATCCAGAACCTGGTGCTGCTCAAGTCTTCAGCATAATCGGCGCGGATGTGAGCAGGGCAACATGTCTACTTGGGGTATCTCGAGGAAGCGACTGCGCACATCCAATATAGAAATGAGTATTCTGGGTGTTTCGCGTTTAAAAAAAGCCAAAAACCGCTATTCTGATCGAAATTGGGATTAGCCTTCTAACAAATTTTTCGTCTTTCTCCTTCTGAAAGATACTAGCACCACATATGAAAGTTGCACGTAGATACCACCAAGAAAGGGGGTAGATCAAAACTGCACAAAGATAGGCTCGGTGAAGAAAAGGTCCAAACACGACGTGCACCTCTTGTACCAGCCATTGTCATAGCACAAGGAAAATAAAATGTCTAGCTCGACACAGTCTATTTTGCGACTAGAGTCGCTTCGCGCGCGACGCACCAAAGATCTCTCTTCCGCAGCGGGAACGCCTCTATCGTCGACTAGTGCCGGGACTACAGCAGCAATAAGCTCTTCTCGTGGAGCTGCACAACCACAGCCCAGTGGTAAGAGTACTAAAACATTCGGTCGAAAACCGGAGCAGCTGAAGCAGGCTGTCAGTGCCGTACGCAATAGTAGAACACGGGCACGGACACCAGGCGCGGCAACGCCAACGACGCTAGGCAAAAGTGCGGGTACGGCTACAACAAGTGTGTCAGCCTCCCCGCAAGAGGATACAGCGACTTCTACCACGGATGAACCACTCGACGACAGGGCAGAGCGCATTTGCAGTAGAAAAACGTCAACGGCTCTGGACCATCTTGCTTTTGATGTTGGATCTCACGCGAAGAAGGCAAACGTTACCCCAGCAGCATCTTCAGACGAGACGATCGAACAACAACTTGAGGCATGGCTCAACCAATGCGAGGATGAAACACAAGACGCCGAAGCCTCCACTCGTCCTAAATCCTCTATGTCTAAGGCGGAGAGCAGCCCAGCGCAAGAGCAAGACGAAGAGTCACCAAAGAAAACTATATCCGAACAGTTAAGGGAGACGGGTTTCAGATTTAGTTTCGCATTGACCAAAAATGTTTTCATACGTCGCAACGTAACCAAGAAAATAGATAGAACGTCGCGTCGAGCATGCTGCTTGTCGGAAATTTGTTGACCGCAGGTCTAGTGGACCTCATTTACAGGGCTGTCAACAAGCTTTGCTGGTCATTCTATCGTCATTCTATTGAGGCAGCAGTGCTGCCGGATGTACTTCTAGTTCTAGGTTCTAGCCCTAACCGTTGCTGTCGACGTCGAACTAGCGCAACGGCAGGGTGCTCCTGGGCTTGCAGACGACGAAGGCGCGAACTCTGTTGTACAAGGAAATGGCACAGAAGCAGATACTGAAGCTTATTCTTCAACTTCAAGCCAACAAGAGACAATACAAAAGGATGCAGAGCCAGAGCAGGGGAGTGATCAATGCTCGGAAGTGAAGACGAAGACTCCTGTCGACGAGAGCTCTCAGCGACCAGCGTCGCACGTCTCTAACGTGCGTGGCAGTGATGAAGCAGACAGAAAATCCGGTGCAGCGAGCAGGCCAACACCAAGAAGGTACTCTTGCTCACCTAAAAATGTGCTTACTTTCTGTGGCATGCATGCAGATCTGGTTTTACAGTTACATTGATGTGTGAAAGTGAATTCAATTGTAACAAACAACCAGTTATGCGTCCTTTGTGGTGTTGCAACAATCATTCTTGTCAACATTCGTCCTGTACTTTTAGATCTGTAGCAGCGACTCCGACTCCGCTTCGGGAAGCCTTCAACTTTCGAACAGAACTGGCACGACTACCCCTCGATCGGCAAAAGCGCGTCACAAATGTGCAAGTGCTTGGATCTAGCGGAAATTTGGTGCACTTCGATATTCAAACACGCAGCTCTACAGTACAACACACGTCGATGACAGAAGAGGAGAGGAACGAGGACGAGGATGTATCTACTTCAGATACGAGTTCATCTTCGCCACGAAAAGCTAGTACTTCTTCTGCGAGTTTTGTGATGAGGATATCGCATTTGGAGGACTACCCAACGCGGATGGACTGTGTCAGTGTGCAGTCAGAAGGCGACACCGTGCCGTGTGCTGGTGTGCTTTTCCGCGTTTGGTCCTCGCTGCAACAGTCTATTAACGTGTATAACAGGGATGACTACGCAGCGCGTGTTGTCGACGCCCTTATCGATAAAAGTGACGCCGTTTACGGAATTCCTCGCTCACGGAATCAACGGCCGAATGAATCAGCATCGGCCGCTCCTGGCGTATCTGATCTGCATCTTCGGGGGAAGAAGAGCAAGAGTAGCAGCGTAAAAACTACGCTGAAGACAAAGCGACCGCCAGGGGCGGCAATACAAAAAACGGAACATTCAGAAGCAGCAGGCAAGGGAACGAAGAGTCGAGATTCCTCATCGACTTCCAGTTCTACGGCGACGCAGTCATCGTCCTCTTCTTCACAAAAAAAAAAATCGTCAGAATCTACGAGCAGCAAGAAATTGGAAGGAGAAAAAGACACGGCGTCGGATGAAGCGCAGTCGAGACAAACAAAGACTGCTCTTGAAGAGTGGCTCAGGACAGGCGAGTCCGGCGAGGATTTGACGCAAACCGTGAGTTCCCTGGCCGATTTGGAGTGGGCAGAACTACGAGCTATCATAGCAGCACGTGAAGCAGTGCACGAAGCGACCCATGAACGCTACGTCCCGCGACAAAGGCGCATATTCGACGACAGAGGCAACTTCATAGAAGATATCGAGAACTCATCGCACAAGACATTCGTTGATGGAAGGAGTGAAAAAGCAGACTTTGACAGGAGCGACGAAGGGGAGGTGGAGACTCCACCAGGGGGTGCAGAAGCCAGTCAATCTCTGTTAGAAACTAAGGAATCAGCAATAGACTAGGGAAGCAGCGTGCACTTAATATGTTCTTTGCCCCATTCCGACGACCCTGTTTTTGTTCTTGCAAAGCATCTAGGTAGAACAACTTCTACGCAGACGCCGCTGTGCGTAAAAATATCAGTTACGCACATTTATCAAGCACTTCTAGTTGTTAGACGTGCAAGCACGTGGCTTTTTTTACAACAGGTGGGGCCAGAGAATTCGACCGCGGTGTTCCGACAAAAGGAAAAAGGATAATAGAAGGCGAAACTCCGCTCAAGACGCAGACACTCGTAGCATCTCGCCAGTTCCGGCGCACGTCTTGTTGTGTATAGTGCTCAATAGTCACAGATAATGAAGCGACTAAGTACATCGCAACTACGATCAGGCTCAGCAATGTCGGTCATTGAATATAGAATATACGTCTCACCAGAAGCTCCTTAAGAGCAACTACTTGTTCATTCTAGATTACCATGACGGCCTGCCCATCCCCCCGGAAGAGTATACCTCGTCGAAATCGAGAATACTCGGCCCCGAACTTTACGGTCGCCGCACCCTTTTAGGCACTAGGATTGTGACTGTATCGATCTTCTTGCTTGTTTCTGTTCATTCATCTAAAGACTTCGTTGAATCTCTGCCAACGAGTTATTACCATGCGTTTACTTTTGGTATTAGCTGCGGCAAAGACAGGTGGGTCAGGGACTCGCTCTCGCTGTCGTCGAACTTGTTTGGTGTAATATTATTCATCGGTCTACCTACTTATTTCACCAGCAGCATGCTGTGCACATAAATATCCACGTTATTTCCACGGCAGCTACGAGCTCGAGCTGTAAAATGTACATGAACATAAACATCCTTCACGACATCTACCAATACCATATCGCTACTTCTCAAAGCAGGTGGATCATCAAGATGAGCCACTGCTTGGCGGCTCAAGAAGCAGGGAGACAGCTGGGCCTTGCGCTGGAAGGTGTGGGGGCTCCATACCACACGAAGTTCCACGTTGATGCCCCTGCCCCGCCCGTTCTACGGGTGAAGAAAGACAAGCCCAAGCCTGTCCCCGTCGTGCGTCGGCAATCGAATATGAATCAGACTAAGAAGAACAACCGGCCACAGACACAGTCGAAGCCCTCGTCCTCAGATGAGTGCCCTTCCGATGCCGGGGATGGCCAGACATCCTCGACCCATGGCGGATTCTCCAGCACGGAACAACAAAAACAACAGAAAGAATGTGACGAGTATGCGGAAAAGACGGCCGAGACGGAAGAAGAAGAAAAGGCGCCATTATGACAGAGCAATTTATAACACGAATGACGGCTGGCACGAATGGCACGGTTGGGACAACCCAACGAAGCCAAAAAGTGCCACGAATGGCACGGTTGGTAGAGGATGACAGGGCTCCACCGGTTGGCGCCCCTGGTGTTCCTTGGATAAGTGGTGGACCAGCATGCTGCCCCAGCCTCAAAGTGCCCAGCCGATCCACCGCGCCGCCGATGCGTGGGGGCGGGGACGCAGGCAAGCCGTGGCTTAGCTGGCGGGTCGGGTGTGTGGGTGTGGCGGAGCAAAAGCAAGGCGTCCGAAGGGCGCCCGGCTTGCGGAGGCTACTGAAGCGCAACGTCGTGGAGGGTGTGGGAGGTTGATCGCAGGGCGCCCGAAGGGCGCCCGTGGGGTTCCAAAAGGTATGCGTGCAGCATTCGGAAGAAGCGGCAACGCCGTGGGTGGAGCAACGCTGGAAAACGCAGGGCGCCCCGCTCTCGGAGGTCTGATAGGTCCACGAATGGCACGGATGGCGGAACAGATTGAAGCCCCGGACTGGATGCCTGCCATTCGTTCCACTCGTGCCATGCCAACCGGGACCCGGAACCCTAATAAACTGCTCTGCTAAATGATGCCGCGCTTCTTTTGAAATTGAAAAAGCGTGATCTACTCCGGGCTAGAAGTCAAAACTATTACTTATCGGCACGGAAAATAATAATATATGAAAGACCAAATAAAGAAAGAAAGTGACGAAGAAGAATTGCTCCATCCAGCGAGATGCAATTCTTAGATATTCTAAACAAAAGCGGAACGTCGTCCGAAAAGGAGCTGCAGGCTATGGCGAAGATGCGCATAGAGACGACGAAAGACGATCGCCTTGTCGGAGATGATATGAAATACGACTTCTTCGAGCTCTCACGAATTGACACAGCAAAAGCAATAGAAGAGTATGGCAGACGGCAAATTTTGCAAGAAGTCAAGGTGGATAGAAAAAAGGAGCACACAGTGGGCAAGTGGATGGAGGGTGTACGTGGTCGATTGGTGGACTATCCCCAAGTAGATCGTATGATAGCGCAGAAGAAACCAATTATAGTCAGCGTTTTTCTTGCGCAACAGTCTCGTCTTGATGCGCTGTTCCGGCGGCACATGAAGTTATGAAGCATGATGGCTATAGCTTCTATCTGTCATATTTGGAGAGCATCTTCGTGTCAACATATATTTGCTTTCACATGTACAATGATGCGATAAGAGAACTTGCAAGTGCAACTACAACAACACGTAAGCAATAAAACATTTTCATTTCATGGAATATGACCACTAGGACCGTTCCAAGTACTAAATAAAAGACTGTCGGCGCACGTATGATTTTGTGGTGGCTATCGTAAACGCTCAACGCCAGTAGGCTAGTATGGAAATGATCATGATCTTTGATGTGCACGCTAGGCACATGCCAAGAACTTCTCCTCCTCCTTGTGATTCAGAACTACTGTACATAAAAAAACGTAATATTTATATAATAGTGTTAGGCTTTTTTTGACCCATATCGGGTCGAGTTTCTCGGCTTGCTCGAGTTGCTCGGGTTGCCCATGGGAATTTTTTCGCTGCACCCTGCGGGCGCACCCCTGCCGAGGTGTTGAAGTAGAGAACAAGAACGCCCCACCAGGGTGGTGGGAGGGGCATTCACAACGGGAAGACAGCCAAGTCATGGCAGTCAGATGATTGCAAAAAACCCAACGCGGGGGCCCTGGGGGATGTTGCATGTACCACGCCAGCCCATCCAGCGGCGCACCAGTGTGAAACCAAGCCCACCGCTACCCACCCCCACATTAGCCCCCGCCGCATTTTCCTCCATGTCGCCGCCGCATCCTTCAGGGCCGCAAGCCGGTTACAAACCCAACCTGGCAAGAGCTCCTCACTCACCCCGCAACACAGCGGCGCGAAAACCCGGCCCCGACTCAAAACTCTGCACCCGCATCACAGGGGGGGGGCGAGGCACTTACTCCGCGCCACCGCGTCGCCAATATCGATCCCAAACAGAAGGAGGCAGCGCCCCCCCCCGCCTTCTTTTGCGAAGTAGGTCCCGAAGACGGCCCCCAGCATGCCGAGCAAGCACTTCCGCGCCCACGCCGCCCCGCTTCGCCCATTTTGATGGGCCGGGCTTCTTCTGGCAACTCGTTGCAACTCGTTCCAGAGTTGGAAAGCCTTCACCTCAGCAACTCGAGAAACCCGTGGCAACTCGCGCAACCCGTTACTTACCTTCCTCTAATATAAAAACGAGTATGTTATTGCTATTGCTCCTGAACCGCTCATATAATGCGCCTTGCGCGATTGAAGACTCCTCGCATTTTACTCGCTATTCTGCACGTGCTGATGCCGCGGAGGGGAAAGTCTTGCTATCGGAAGGGATTGGTGGCGATCGTCACAAGGCAGTACTAGACCGCGTTCTTGGAGCTCTCGATGTTCTAGTCGGTGACGCCACACTAGACGATATATTGCTAACTCAGGGCGTCGCAGAAAAGATTCAGCATTATGATGAAGAATTCGGAATTGGCAGTATGCAAGTTAGTTTAATAATTGCCAAACCAATCATGATCACCAACTACACTCCTCCTCGTTCCGACTTTTTACTAACGGTGGCAATTTATACACAGAGCTTATTACTCTAGTAATATTGTCAGAGTTTGAGTTTGAGTGCGAACAGTTTCACCTCGACCTCTTCTGTCGTTGTTAGTTTTCTTTGATTTTCAACTATTATCTTTTCTAGAAGACTCACGACGATGAAGATAATGCTCAAGTGAAGCTTAACTGATCTCCTCGATACGACTTAATACACTGATCAGATATGTTAGAGGAGAGAGCGAGCGCGACTTCTGGCCATTCAATTTCAAGTGAGAGCTACAACATTCTCGGCTATGTCAGTGTCTCAACTCGACCGCTATACATTCGAACTAAAGATTTTGATTTTGCATCTCCATGCTTTCTGCGAGAAGCGTGATGCCAATCGAGGATAGCCCTGCACCATCCAGCATATTAAGTCCTTTGATCTATTTCCTCCCGACAACAGGACACCCTGACTGCAACACCTTTGGTTTTGGCCCTAGAAAGGAGAGGACGAGGAGCAGCCCCTTCTTCAATCTGTCTCCACGCAGTCAGGACTCCGAATCCGAGGACGAATTTGATTCATCTGCTGTCGCAGACATCTGCTGTCGCAAACCGATGCCCATTCGAAACGGAATCCGAGGTCCTCGAAGTATGTCTCGTACTCGTTGTGTAGTTCTTTACTTACTTAGACTCATTCACCGCACTCAGCAAAGAAATATTTATTCTATAATTTGTACCATAACAAATAGAATGAAAATATTTCAGTACTTATTCGTGGTGAAGATGTCCTGCTTCGGCCCATATAACTAGAATATGGCGACAGCATACGATTACTTTTGCAGATGGTTACAAAGTGGCTTTTGAAAAAAGACATTAGCTATCTTCTGTAGCTAGTTGAGGTAGTTAAAATAGTTAGCAAGAGATGCCGCAGGGGAGAAGGCTGCAGTGCTGCTGGAGCACATGGAGGGCGAATCGCTCAGGGGCTTCGCAAGTGGTAGGAGTGGGTCCGAGGTTGCGACGGACTGGAGGGCGCTTCTCAGTGGAGCGCAATGCCGGGAATTCCGAGAGTAGCCTACCACTAGGCCTCCCGTTGAGGTCGTCTCATTGTTTCCCCTTGGACCCCCTCCAGACCCCCCCCCACCCGAAAAGTAATCATCTGCAAAGGATGCTTCCGATTACTTCTGAAAGTAATCGATAGCCTCGGGCTGGCTCAGATTGGCTTTGCATCCGGTTACATTTGAAAGTAATCGACATGACATTCCAAAGATCGGCACAAAATGAAACCCGAAAGAGAAGAAAGCGGCGAAGACGCGGAAGAGCCGAAAGGGAGGGAAATGTAGGCGAGTCCACAAGTGAGTAAAGCGCTAGCGTCCACCTTCTACTAAGTCTCGGCCTCAAGGGGTCTTGGACCTCTTCCGAAGCCCCTGATCCGTTCGTCCTGCTCTTCGTCCAGCAGCTTTGCAGCAATCTCCCCTGCGGCATTAGCCTATCTTAATCTTAACTATCTAGTTAAACTAAATTAAATAGTGAATGAAATTTTTTTAAAGTCGTTTTGTAACTGGATGCAAAAGTAATCGTATGCCAGCGCCATATAGAAGTAGTTGGTAATATTAGGCCTCGTCTTCTGTCCCTACAGCTGCAGCTGTACGCCAGAAACAGACTCTACGTTTCTCAATATTTCTTCAAACTACGGCGTCATAAGCTCGAGGTCGGCAACTAGTACAAGGCTTTGATTCAATTCTTATATTAGAGTAAGTAAAATATCGGGTTTCGAGTTACTCGAGTTGCAGCGAGTTGCTCGAGTTGCCGAAGCGAAGGGCTTCAATTCTTGAAGGAGTTGCCACGAGTTACCGGAAGCCATCCGCTTCACCGGAATGCGGCGCAGCAGGGCGGTATGAGCACGGTTGTGGCTGCGCGAAGTGAAGAAGTGGCTGCTTTTGTTGTTGCTCTCTCATGGGAGGGGGGGCCGGTTGTGAGGGGCTCCCCAGCGAGCCCTTCCGGCTTTTTTTCTTGTACGTAGCGCGTGGGCGCGCGTTCGAAGCACAGCCAGGCACTAAGGGGCCGACGGCCTCGCCTCGTTGTTGTTTTTGTTTGAGGGGAGAGGGTGTCGCTGTGGCTTGTCGTTGGGTCGGTGCCAGTCTCTCCCTTTTTTCTTCGGATGTGTTCGTGGCCAGTGAGTCCCTCTTGGGCCTGAGAGTGAGTTCCCGCCTGCTTTGGAGAGCGGCCCACTCAGCCGAGGAAGCAAGTAGAGAAGAGCACGCGGCGGATGCCTTGCGTGTTTGATCAAGTGGCTGGGAGGAGTTCCCGCGCTGAGGGTGGTCGCTCACTCTCGTCGTTGGTGCGCATTAAGAAGAAAACCAGGGATCGGAGGCATGTCGTGGAGTGTCCTACGCTCCTGCTAAGGTATCCCAACGTCTCACAAAGCTGCGCCCGAAGGGCGCCGCGCAAAAAATTACGGCGAGCAACTCGAGCAACCCGAGAAACTCGACCCGTGACGGGCCAAAAAATTCCTGACTCTATTATATATTGCTTTTGTTTTGTCGAATCAATCGTAGGTAGAGGATCATCAGCTTCGTCCGATCTGCCTCTAGCATGGATGCTGACGTCTTTTTGGCGCTCGCGTGGATGGAACGCCTTCGAAGAAGCAGCGATGGCAAAACGTAATCCAGAACCAGACAACGAGGTTACGGAGAGAGCAAGAAGCAAAGCCGACTGTGCTTCCAGCACGACGAGCACTTTACAATATCTCATGAAGGGCGGCCCGGCGCCAGAAGAACTGGGCATGGTGCTACATCTATTTCGCCCAAGCAAAGCGGAAAAATTCGCACAGTAAGTATGGGCAAGGATTCCTATGTGGCATAGACTATCGCTGGGTCAAACTGGGGCAGCTGCGCGTGCTACGCGACCTTCGTGATCGTACTTTCGTTTTCCCATCGAGCGAGCATAACAAGAAAAACGCACAGGGGTGCTACCGATCGTTATTTCACGAAGCAGCCGAAAAGTCGAAGACTCTATCCGCGACGGCGTCCACGTCTTTGACAACACCGGGTCGGTTCTCAACAAGTACAAAAGCATAAGGAAACGCCAGCACAGCCTCCCGTCAAGCGGTCGAGATGTCTATCGGGAAGAATGATAAGGAATTGCTCGCAGAATTAAAGATCACTGATCGCGAGCTCGTGCTTGTCGCCATTGACGCCGGCGGAGAAGTCACAATGCGTTGGTATCTCCACGAACTAGAAAAGAGGCCCCTGACTTCAGATGAGTTCAAAGCGCTGCAGGACAAACAAGCGAGAGATGACGTACTTTTAAACGCGTCGTCTCGGAACTTACAACCTGAAATATTCCGATCTGCAAATCTTTTATCATAAAGGCGGATGCCGATGAGTGTGAGTTTCAAACAATTCATGATGTGGTCTCGAGCTCAACACTGATTGTAAATATGCTCGATTTTCAAAATATTCTGTTTCTATTCATACATCGTACTCCACGTCTACCACCACCACGTAATGCACTGTACAACTCCGAATAGAGAACGTTCCAAGTTAGTTGCCATCAAGTAAGTAGCTCAGGTGTCTGAACCAGTGAGAGATGTTCTTTTTAGGTTGAAACCTGCCAATCTTCTCTTGCGCTCCATTGTTAACAACAGGAGGCGGAAGGGAATGAGGAAAAAGAAGAGCAAGCTGTAGCTGACGCTCAAGAGGACATAAAGATGAAAATGGAGAACAAGCAGTGGCTGCGCCGGCCGAAGGCGCAGTGGATGTGGAAGCCGAGGATGAGAATACCGCGGAAGCTATGGGCGAAGAAGGCAATTCGGGCGACGAGGACGGTGTGGGCGCTCAAGGTGGAGGTAGTGACAGGGAGGACGATAGCGCAAGATGGCGGTACAAGTTTATTTTGCCGCTTGCCTGCGCCGATTTTTGCCATTCTGCCAGCGCAGGCCTCTGGTGATGCTTACGCTATAGAGCAAGCGAAAACTGTACCTGGAGCAGGTGATGCATCACTATCACTTCCTTCATCAACATCACGGCCAGCGCCACCCGCTTCCTCCATCGCAAATGGCACTATTTCTCACGGTGGGGGTATGCAAAGAACGGTAACCAACAACAGTATGCGCATCACACTGGACTACGTTCGTCGAGCGTTCAGGCCGCGCCGTGCACTGCTTCTGCGAAACTCGAAGGTGACCGACTTTTCCTTCCTTGCCCCAAAACTTCCACGAAGAACCTTCGAATCGAGAGATGAACTCCGGACCTTTCTGCTTGAAGAAGTCGGCATACAGTATGAGCCTGCCCATAGCACCAACGATGAAGACACGCAGATCGCGCCGATCGGTGCATTTCCCCCAAACTCCGTGGATCAGAAGGGCGCGGGTTTTGGTGACCACTTTTTCCGTGGCGCTCTGGATCGCATATTTGCTTTTCATGTGAAAGAGAAAGAAGCGCACGCGCAGCGTAATGGAAACCCGTACTAGGCTATCTATACTAGAAATTTTGGAGGACATTCATCATGATAGCCGTAGGTAGGTAGTAGTTTTTTCCCAGTTCTTGTAGTATATCTCGAATCCTTCTATTGCGTTGAAGAATTACAGACAAGAAGAGATCAGATAACGACTTTTTTTACGTGTTCGTTCTTAGCGCGAATAACACCTATCTGCACCTGCTTGGTACCTCAGGTCCACAACGCCCGATGCCCGTGCGAACCGAGCGCAAGCAGCGGCTTCTGAGTCATCCATGAAGGAGAAGGTGGTGCCTTTCCTAATGTCGGCGGTATTTTTCATTCAGACGAGTAGCCGTCCCTACCATTCGCAGCAAAAAGGACCAGCGCCGGGCGACGATGAAGATGGAAAAATGGGTAGACGCAGGCTATCCAGCATGCATGATGTTGAAGAGAACATATGACCACATGGGCATGGCACATGCTCCGCATTTTTTCGCGACCGATCCACGTTGTTGCAGCGAGGACAAGGACACAAACGCTGAAGACACTTCGATATAGTCTTTGCTTTTTCATTCCAGCGAGGACTAGGCACAAGCTGTGACAGAATATTCTTAAAGACTTTTATCTCGTGCGGAGGTTTTTCAATCATAATCTCCTCGTTGTCTTTGACTTTATTCATTGTTGATATTTAACGTTTGTGTTTCCATCTTCTTCCAAAACACCACTTAGGGAAAGCTGAGAGCTTCTCAACCTCATCAACAAGTTCCTTAAGTCAACGCCTTACACCCTTTGGATTTAGTGTGATTGTTGATATTTAACGTTTGTGATTATCATGTAAAAATTGGTCATGTCCGTTTTCAGAAAACCACAGATTACAACTCGGTATGAAAATCACAGCACAAGGATTCATTTCCTGAAAATGCGTTACAATATATTCACAAACACGATTGAAGAAAGTAAAAATAATACATCTACAACTCGTATTTTTCCATAGACCTTTTTCGGCCGTCAATCAGGGTCTGTCTTCAACAACTCCGGGAACACTTCTCAGAAGTTCTGTTTATAGAAACCTTATAGACAACAATGAGAAATAACGCCAAGGTATTATCGCCGAACAGGTACAATCTGCTTCTGCTTCTGCACGACTGCGCTTCTTTACTATGCCTTCTCCGATCATATCTGCACTCGGCACGATACGACAAGCTGGTGTACATGAACAGATTAAGATAGCAGCACTACATCTGCCCCCCGGGTAACTTGCGTATCCATCCTGGTTCTATTTTGCGTCGATAAAGCGAACTCATGGCTCTCCTCTCCGCTAGCAAGTCCTGGCGAATGGCTTCGTACTCTTGTTTTGCTACATCCTCCGCTGCTGTGTATTGACGTAGCCATCTGGACCGCGTCTCCCTCTGTCTCGCTTCGAGCTCTGTTGAGGGCAACAAACTTGATAAGTATCGGTAAGTTGACCGAGACTGTCTGTCACTGTTTGCAAGTCGCGTTACGAATGAAGGTAAGATGAAGTACGCAGTATCATAGCGCAATAAAAATGGGTCTTTTTATGCTTGAACTATTAACAACAAGCCAAATCCAGGAATAGTTGTACCTGCTCCGATAGGCTCTTTCAAGGGCACAAGTAATCCCCGACTGCATTTTTGAGCGTGCCGTAAAACGTCTGCTACTTCGTGATCATACGGCACAAAGTCAAAGCTGAAGGGTATATTTAATAATGAAGGGTTTGGCTACGTCGACGAGAACGAAATCCGAAGTCTAAAACCAAAGTCAACACAAAATGCATAGTGCAACAAGAACTAAAAGGCATGGAAGTGTACTTGCGCTGCAGTTTTTGCATCCAATCGGAGTTGCCCCGAAGATCGCTCTGCTGCAGGACTTTCGCGTAATTTGCGCGCTCCGCACCCGCAGTGAGAGGTCGTCGCAATGCATTGCCGTAGATGGGCGGGGAATACGTGACCGGATTCCGGTCTCCGAATTGCGTCGGCACGTCGTGGGACACTCGTTGCAAGACCGAGCCCGTGTTGACGACCCCAGACGATCCCAAGCCCACCGCTACCTGATTCGCAAAGTGAGCCGCGCTGTTATGACAGCTCGCGCTACGCGGTCTCATTCGACTTGCAGGAGCTGCTCCGGCGGTTGCCGGGCGAGGACCACCTCTACTGCCATTGGCCATAGCCGCTTCATCCTTGTTTCCGAAAATGCCGACATTCGAGCCCGCTTTGGCTAGTTGGGCCGCCCTAAGCGCTCCATGATCCACGTATGCCGCGCGAGACTCACTCGTGGGTGGAGCCGCGAGCTTTACGACGCGTTTTCGCGGCGCTGTTTGTAGACGTTGGGAACCCAGTAACATCTCGTCGACGGCAGCAAACAAGAAACAACGCGCGAGGACGGCTGCAGTGGACAGTATATTATTTTGCTTGCTAAGAGGGTAAACTACTTTAAGCAACTATGTATAGTTCTACTAGTTGCGAGAGAAAGTCTTCTGACCACCTAAAATGATACTACTCAACAGAGATTACGCGCAAAGAAAAGGAAAACACGCGCAATATCAACAGAAATTGCAATTCTAACTTTCAAAGAAGAAGGAGAAATACTAGCATCTAGGAACTAAACCTACTAGTCCTACCTAGTCGCTATAATTTCCAAAGATACAACATTAACAATTTTTACTTTAAGGATCATGGAAGTAGAAGTTTGCTATGGACAGGAAGGTTATCATTCGACAAATCAAAATGGGATCCGCCCGCCTACTGCCTCGCGATTATCTTATGTGACCTATCTTCGCTAAGTAGCTGTGGAGTGATGGGGAAAACGAAATAAAGCTTCATCACTTATAAATATATTTACGAATATGATGCCTGTGCACTCGCTTTGCCAAGCCACAGCATCAACTCGGAGGGGTGCGGTTCGCTCTTGCATCACAGAAATCCCTGGTGCTGGTGGCCTCATTAACACAGACGATGCACTCCATTTAGCGAAGACTGAAGACCATCTTGAAATTCGCCGCATCTTGAGATTAACGCTTAAGTTGTAGATGCCTCGTTTTCATTTCTCTGAGAACAACAACAGATCACATGCTGACTCTCTCTATTGGCAAGAACCCGGACTGAACTGATACTGAGCGAAATGTCCTCAAGTGCACTCGCAACAGAATACACATTTTTTGCTCATTGCTAACCGAGGATGCTTGTATTCCAATAGGTTATCATCAACACTACATTTAAGATGTGGTCTCATCGCTGGCACGTACGTAACGTACTGGCTATCTTCAAAAGCTGTTATAACGCAAAACCAGTGGCACTCGAACCAAGATCCTGTGAGACCTAGTGCTTGTCCGATCTGTACATGTTACCAACAAGTAGAGCAACGGAGATGCTGAACTGGCTGAAGAAAATCCTGCAGCGCGGGTTGGCTGGTAGATTTTCATCCTGTAGTCCTTAGAGTGCTCAGCAATTTCGATACCTCATGAAGCGCACTGTCACTCGAAGCAAAAACACGGACAATATGCAATGAATAAAGCTCCTGTCGTATGAACTACGATTGCGACAAAGAGCCTCATTATTCATCGGATAAAAAAGTTGTTTGTAAAACAGAAGAGCCCTGCGGATAAAAAGAACGACTCCAACAGCGGCAATCGATGTTCAAGCTTCCCTTTCTGCTACCGCTCCCGTTCAGAGTAAGGAGTTGTTACACTGTCACGGAAGACAGCTCCTACGTACTTGTACACAAACAGAAGCCAGTCTTGTGCACAAACAATAACGGCGAATCCTCCGCACAACGGGAAACCACAGCTAGGCACGCGTGCAAACGTAAAGAACAAGTTGTAGTAACTAAAGAGGATTGCCTAAATAAAAACTGAGTCAGCTTTTGCTTCCCCGTTCTAGCACATTTTTACCCAGAATCGTGAGCACTACTCGATCGACGTAAACAATTTCAATTATTTTTAGCAGCATCGGGATGACGAGCATGAGCATGCTGAGCCATTGGAGACGTTAGACACCGTTTTTCGACAGAAGGGTAGTACGTGTATTACTTCTCTAGTACGTCGTTATCTAGTCGCGTTTGACTTCGTCTTCTTTCTGAATTTACGCATCACTTCCTTCAGTTTCGGCGGCTCCTCGCCGTGATCCGGATAGGGATGGAGAACCTGCTCCAAGCCCGTCATGCGACGGGTGATTGCGCGACTGAGCATGTCGCAACTAGCATTCAGTTCCTCCAGTATGGAACCCCCAACCTTCTCAATGTCGCCTTCGAGTTTCGTCTGGAGCGCGATGAGATACGTGCGGTCTTCCGCCCAGATCTGCCGAAGGAGAAACAAGTTTTGAAATAATTCCCCACTTCTTGTTCGATTCCATCGCAGGAAATACGCTCCGCCCCCGATAACGTCTTGCGCCCATCGCGGTGGTGCCACGTTGGCGCCCGCAACGGCGAGGGGGTCGCCGGAAACTGCTACCTGGTCCGGCGTCGTTAATACAAAAAATATTTATAAGTAATTGAGTGTCCAGAATCCATCTGCATGGGTTGACTCCAACAATGAAAACAAAGCAGGATATTGCCTCGATGCAGCACCCCGGGGAAATTTATATTGTCAGCTCTTGCTTACTACAATTGACAAATTGCCTTTTCTGTAACTATCTGACTGTGTATATGAATGTATAACAGAGCAGTTTAGAGCACGCATGGAGTAGTATGGGGTGCATGGAGCGCAGACCCATAAGGGACGCAAGAAGCGCCCCCTTTAGCTCCATGCAAGCCCATGCGATCCATGCCATGCGAGCTGGCAAACCTTACGAATTACTCTGGTATAAGTCTGTGCATCTAAAAAGGCTGTTAGTGTACGTCAGTGAAGGCGCGGAGTCTGGATGCCGTTTCGTTGTCGAGTTTTTCTTGTGGGACTCCGTAATTCAGGAAACGACAATTGCGGCCGACACAATCCTCTACCCGGTATCCTGTAAGACGCTCGAATCCCTTGCTTACTGCAACTAAAGGACAGTCTTCTAATGACGGATCCGCGATACAGACGGAAAATTCTTGCATACCTGCGTGTACGTGTCTGTAGTTTTTGAGCTTGAGGTCATGGCATTGCATTATTTAATATTACTTTCCGATTTGAAAATTAACCAAAACCAAGAAGATATAACGCGTTCCGGTTCATCATCGTCTTGTTATTTTCAGATACCCATGCTGCCTTTGCCATTCTTGAGATTGCTTCCAGCGGATTTTAAGACCTCGTCGCAGACACTCTGAAGTTGCTCCGAAACTCGCGATATTTTCTGTCGCCAAGGATCGGGAAATTCCAAGTAGAAAACACCAACTGTGACGTCGTCGTGGACGTCTCGCCTATCGCCTGGAGTTAAGGACTCGTACTCTTTCGCGGAGAGACCCAATTCCTGGAAGATCATGAAATTCAAATTCATAACGCATTGCATTCCAGGGAAGGTTGAAGGGCCTGACTCGTCGATGCTCGTCTGCAGGTCACCCGCTAAAAGTGCTCTTCAAAAAAAATTTCCTGCTTATAACAGAGTAGTTTATAGCGCGCGTGGTGCATGGAGTAGCATGGAGGGCAGAGCTTTAAGGGGCGCAAGAAGCTCCCCCTTTAGCTCCATGCTACTCCATGTGATCCATGCACTCCATGCCATGCGAGCGGTGAAACCTTATAAATTGCTCTGTTATAATTTCACGCCACCAGACTTCTCAGACGAGTCAGACTTTCGTTGTAATTACCTCCAATGCTCGGAGTTTGGCTGCCTCAGTGAGGGCACCCGCTGCGAGCTCGGGATTCCCTGCGGCGCGTGCGACTTCGACAATCTCGTCGTCAGATAGTAAGTCATAGAGGCCATCGCTCGCCACAATCACAAATTCGTCACCCGCTTCACGTGGGACAATCCTCACCTCCGGCGCCGCTGTGATGTATGGTCCCTTGCTGAAATCTGCTCCGTTCACAACAGGCTGGTTGAAATGGTGTTGCGTTCATGATTCGGAGCTCTGAGCCTGTTGCCGTTGCCCACGCGCATTTCATTTTTGAATCGCAGAAACAGATGGAACAAAGACAAAGTAATATTTATTATAAATATAATAAAGATAAATATCTTCTAGTAGACTGCTGGCTCTTGATCTTACTAGAGGACGAGCCTACGTAGCATCCATCTTCGTCTAGTACATCATTTGAGAGCCACAAAATTTGTAAGTGATTATACCCTCGCATAGACGCTTTTGCTGCCTGAGCCGGGGAAGCTACCTAGAGTAATGTTAAGGTCTGCAGATTTGAGAGCGAAATCCCCGAAGGCTCGTGTGGGTTGCAGAACGCCTTTGACATAGCACGCGGTCTCGATTTTCTCCAACCCGGGTCCAGGCCTCTCGTATAACTGCATAAAGGTTTTATTTACTCTGTCAAAAAAGAACTGCTGCAAGCAAAAATTCGTGCTATGTTTGTGATATAATATTCGTCTAGGCTTGCTCTTCCTTCGTAAAATAAAAACAATGATATCAAAGTTAGTTCTTAGGTTGGTACCCTAGACGTTGCGGGATCTTTCCAAGCGTGGACGCATTGCACAAGGTCTTTCTCGTTCGGACGTTCCTGCCGCAGCCTCTCCCTTTCCTCCGGCATATTCAAATTGTGAAGGCGGCTGAGAGGAACAGCTTTGCCTCCGCGACACAGCAGTGCCTTGCAGTCGCCGGCGTTGGCTACAACGTAATGTCCATCTGTGATGGCACACGTAATCACACAGGCGCCAAGTCGCACAAAACGATCAAAACCGAGCTGCACTGAAGCACACGTTAGATGAAGCAGGATGTGAAGGGGGAGCATCTTCTTGTGCTCCACGAACATGAAATTTTGGATTTCATCCCTGTCATTATTGTTTCGTGCAGCGGTTCGTCTAGGTGTAAGTGCGCGTTTTTTTCGTCATGTCAAGACAATCGCAACATGTTGCTTCGTTTTTTCACGATACGAAGTGTGTGACTCAACAGCACACATCTTTCGAGATGCTGAGGATGTACCACTTCTAGCCGTAAAGATATTCTCGCCTTCAACGTCTCGTCAGCTTCGTTGTAAGCCTCCGTCAGCACGCGACCAATCCCTTGAGCATCAACCGCGGTCGGCACAATAGAATCAAACTGATTCGTCGAAAGAAATGCGAGATTTCTTCAATGTGATGTAAATTTGCCGTAACGACTCGGATTTCATCTTGCTAAACTAAAAAGCGCTGCAACTTCATCACAAATTTTACTAGACTAGCTACTCGATATTGCTTATCGACCAAATACAACAACTACAACATCCAGGACCAAGTGGTTAATTTTACTTGTATTGCCCCTGCATCAGCGACAGGTGTGGACTCTCCAGGCGAGCCTTTTTTTCCCAGACCGAAGAAGTAGCCGCCTTTCTCTTCGCTGTCAGATGTGATATTGTGGGGAGAGAAGTAGCTCCCCGATTTTCCTCGTGCATCTTCGCCGAACATGCGTTTCCGCACTTGCTGGAGCAGCTCTCGTTCTAAAAAGTGCGCCACCTGCCAGCCGCCGTGCCCGTCGATTACTGAAACGAAAAACACGCTAGACCCGTTTGCGTACAGTTCGTCAAAGGCGTAGCGGTCCTCGCAAAAGGTGTTGCCCTCCAGCTGCGAGAGCCCGAGCCGCATGGAGTTGAAAGCTCCCTGGACCTTTGAGCGCGCAGGCGGACGACCAAACGCAGCGTTCCACTGGCGCTCATACCTCGGCTTCCGACGATCTGCACTCTTCATGCGGATCTGGTTGCCCCCGCGCATCACCCCGCCACCCGGGTCGCACAAGATGATGCGTCGCCCCCCGAACCACGGAAGGTTCCGGCTGCGCAGTCGCTGCGAGAAAGTGCTCATACGTCTTGGGGAAGAGCTTCCACCTGAAGAAGCAGAACAAGACCCGTCACCGACGCGTGAAGAAGACGACGCCGCTGGCGAAGACGAGGAAATTGAAGACGCCGCGGCAGTGGTGGATCGGTGGTCGCCGCTTCGCAGCTCTTGATAAGGCAATAAAGCTTTCCCACCTGCGTTGCGACCACAGTTTGGTGGTCCTATTCCTGATCCCCAATTGTAGGACGATCGTAGAGTCCCCCGTATTTTTGCCATGGAAGCGCTTGACATTGAGCTAACGTCACGTGCGGAAACGCGTCGTGCATTATACGCGCGGTGTCGCGAGGCTCTGTGATTTCGAAATAACCCGGATGACGGGTTGGTTGATGAGCGACACGAAGAGGCCACATTCCGTCGCTGACTTGGTGCCGAGCCTCCCTGCTGCTCTAAAACAGTAGTTGTAGAGGGAGACCCCGCAGGAGGCACCTCACCACACGCTGCCGGTCCAAACGCTGCAACCCCCAAGCTCCGTGCCCCTGAGCGCAATCGAAGGAGCATATTCATGGTGTTCACTTTACATCTTCTTCTTCTTCATCGGAAAATTAGTTTGTACTAAGTTGAGTACGACTACGATGCAAAAAACTTGATCTGAAATTACTCAACACTGAACTTTGATCGAAGATGAGATTGAGAACCAGTAAATACGGCGCATTATTTTCTTTGTGACCTCTTAGACATAAAACTTTGTTCGCGTAACAAAAAATGTTGTATGTGCTTCCAAAGAATCATTTCGTTTCAGCTACTCCTCTCTAGTAGTCTAGTTATTCTTGGACGAGGTCTTGTTTCCGTGTCCGAAGAGAGCGGTCTATCTTCACGCTCTCTTTTTCATTTATCTTTTTCGGACACATGGAGACGGAGGCGAAAGAATAAATTATTTTCACCGACCTACAGATGAGGAAATTCCAAGTAGAAAACACATCCTTGGCCCCCAATTGCATAGAGGAACAGCTTTGCCTCCGCGAAGAGCACTTTCAGCGCCCATTTGTAGGTCGGTGATGCCGTCTATGCTATGCAATACAGATGGGGGCCAAGGTAATCACACCGGCGGCAAGTCGCACAGAATGAGGAACAAAAGCTAAGCCATTGCTTCCTCAAGCACAGGAATATGTTCTTTCTTTGTCGTCATCTTGTTCAACAAGATGACGTTGAAGTTAGTACCACTACCATGCGCATCTACAACTCGGACTAGAGGACCTCCTGATCCAATAACCGATGTCCGTAACAGAAAAATCGCAAAGCCCTCCGCCTCTTATCTTTCAGTCATCTCTCGCTGGTATCGGATTCTACGCTTCGGCCCGACGAAGTCACGAGCCCTCAATCAAGTCGCTTTTCCTTTGCTCATGGCCATCGTACCCTGACCACACCCCTCAGCATTGCGGACGACCATTATCAGCTACAGCTTCACCTTCAGAATCGTTAACTTCCAGTACTTCATCAACACCGTCTCATATATTTTATACGATGTTGATATTCATCGGTATGTTTATTTATTATATATAAGATGAAAACACGCCTGCTTGGTGCCTGGCTCCAGGTTCATGCGCAGTTTCTTGTCGTTGCAAACGGCTTTCTGGAGCCGAGGAAGCATCCATTATCGTCGAAATGACCCTCCTACCGCGAGACGCGAAAAATCTATCATCATCTATCATATGCGTTGATATTCATTGATGAAGCCACTTTAGGTACATTGCTATATTAACATGCCTTAGTCATCCATGTGAAGAAATAAGAACAAGACCAAGAACTGGTCTTATTGTATATGGAAAAGTACTCTAAAATTTTTGCTGCGGTCATCAACTTGATCGGGCAATGACAAATCATATACGGTCGCGGTTGCCAACGTCCGAGATGAAGCATGCGCCACTACTACAAGAAGCCTATACACTTGTATAATCATATTTTTATTGATGATACGATTACTAAAATAATCAATGAATATATTTTCCCTCAAGGATGACAGCAAACCACTATTTTCCTTCCCCGGTGATGTAGCATGCAATCTTCGCCATCTTCGGCCTCTTGACACTATCCCATGCTATGAACAATTATCAGGGCGAATAGCAGCCGAGACAAAAGAAAACAAAAAATAAGGAATCATATATAAACTCGATCTTCATCTTATATCGATATAATATAAGACATCTGCGTAAAAGGGCTCCAAGCAGCACAACGCGCGCGCAGACGCGCCTCCTGACCCCTGTTGACGCGACTGCACGGTTATGGCAAGAACGGCTCATCCTCCAAATTTCGGGATGCGCTTCAAAATGTAGAAACGCAGGAACTACAGGAACGAGGAACCCTCCCTCTTCCCGCGAGTCGCCTCTGCTCTCTACTCTGGACAAGGGCGAACGAAGATTGTCACTGTCGTTCTTACTTTCCCTACCCGCAACTGAAGACGCATCCCGCACCCTCGCTCTGCATAGAGGGCATCGCGATGAAATGATTCGAGAACGGCTCTTGGATACTTACACTCTGCGTGAAACGCATGACCACAAGCCACCACGCGTTGACGGCCGGGGTCATCAGGGTCGAGTGCTTCACGACAGATGCAACATGCACATTCATTATCTTGCTCTTGCTGCCCGTCCCCACCACGAATCGTTCTCAGCTGGAGTGGGTCCGCGGTCGACGCCGAATCGACCTCCTCCGGCTCAGTAACAGTGATGGGATCGCCTCGTGGAAGAATAAGCTCCGCGTCTTCTCGACGTTCTGGCGAGAGAACAAGTCCATCCAACAGCAGGTTATGATACCGGGGTCTTCCGTCCTCAAACTCATGATCCGCGCGGAGATCGTTTGGCATAGGTAGCTCTACGCGTTGTCCGTCTTCTCGTGGAATGGTGCCTACAGTGATGACCCCGAGCGGGGTAGAGGTGCTGAGGAGCGGGCGGATCGCATCAGGGTCAGCGTGGTGCTTAGCGCAACGAGTACGAGAGGAAGAGGACCTAAGGGTAATTGCGGAGGCGCACGAAGATCTGCGATACGAAAGGATTCCCTCTACGACATGCCTAACGAAATAGCCTCTAAATGCCATGTGGAGGACGAAAGGCTTCATCTTCGTGAATCAATTTTTAGGTATCGAGATTTGAATTCTTTATAAATATTCTTGTATCTGTCGGTCTCCTACTTTCGTTTGATTTCTCCTGCGTATCTATTCATTCGAGAAAGATGTTGCAGCAAAGAAATGGAGTATCCGCCCTTGTTCTTTCGGCATCGGCTTCCTCGTCCTTAACCCTAACTTACTGTCACTCGTGCTACCACAACAGATAATATTAGAAAAACCTAAACGGAAACGCTGGAACTTGACATTGACTACGAAAAGAAAGAAATTTGACTCCTCTCATTCTCAATTACAGTAGAAAACTTTTATTGGGTACAAGAAAAGAGCGGAAACATCCAAATTTCTTGGCTGGGAAAGGAAAGAAAGAAGCACTTTCACAAGCAGACGCGACCAAAAATCTTGGCGACTGATAGGTATGCTGCGAACATTAACCTATGAGCAAGAGCCTGTTTGAAGCGACAAGAAGAAGCAGATTTATGACGCTGCGTCCGATATTCTTGCATTCAAATACGGAATATCCATACAGATTTACATGTAAGCTTTTTCGGTTTCACTTCTTCGGTTATCAACGCACCAGCACCGATGGGCCTGGTCGCAGAGGAGTCTTCACGCAGCACGACAGCGAACAGATGTATTGCAAAAAGGATGGTGCACAGATCTCTCGTGCTTGCCTGGCTCTGTCTCCTGCTAGCATCTGTCGACCGAGGAGCAGCTGTATCGGATCCAATGTTTCGGGCAGGGCGAGCGCATGGAGAACCAGCACGTGCAAAATAGGAACAATGGAATCACAATTGGGTCACTTCAATTTCTTACGACCAGCAGATAGTGGCGCTAGAGGTCATCAGCGGATGTGGAAATCCCTAGCGTTGAACAATCGCCAGTGTCCTCGACTCTAGTCGTTCATCATGGTGGATTGTAAAAAAGTGGGTCTGACAGAAATGAAAATGGTGCTGAGTGCGCGGGTACACCATGCGCTTACTTGTCATTTCAGCTGATGGGTGTGGGCCAAAACATCTTGACTCGGAATGAGTCTGCAGGTGCCGATGGACCTTGCCAAATGTCACATTACTTGCGCCACCGTCAATTTCGTCGAGGTGAGTTGCCGTCCTTTAGTTTCGTTTTGTGATCACAAATCGCAACTGCTTCTACCAGAAACCTCGTCATGATCAACGTCCTACTACCCCGACACATTTCTTTTAGTACTCCGATTCATTTAATGTAAGTAAGTACTAGTTTTTACGTCTCATTACGATTTACGCCTCTTCTGCTTCCATGACGAAACAAAACCAGGCAGCATTATCACGAAGCATTCCGACAGGGCCGTTGCCGTAGTCCGCAACGCGTTCATTACCACCAGCATTAGGATTCGCCTCCACTCCCCAACAAAAGCCAAGCTTTGAAGAGGACGAGAAAATTGATGACGTCAGTTTCATACAAGAGGTCGAGCGCGTCCGATTGTTCATGACCCTAGAAGATGATGTAGAAGATGTTGCTTCATCTGAATTGTTTTGTTCTTCTACTTCTTGCTGTGCAACAGACCCGAAGCGTTCTTCGATAGTTTCCTTGTCGTGCTCCACCTCGTCGATTGAGTACCCTGTGATCACGATCGGCAGGTGCTTTGGCAACACCTCGAAGGTGTCTAGCCAAGAGTCGTAGCCCCATATGCCGGCATTGAAGGCAAAGGCACAGTCAAAAGCGGTCAACGGCACGTACTCGTGTTCGTCCTCTCCCACGCGAAGGACCAACGCCTCTTCATCGCCTTTTTGCGTGGTGCACATGACAGAATACAACAAGTCGTGCAAAAGACCGCGCTTCCACACAAATGCCATCTCCACTTGTTCTCGGCTAGCCTCCTGCTCCACTACAACGGGAACTGGGGGCTCTGTAGTTTCTGTACCTGAGGCAGATCGCGTTCGATTCATACTGGTGCACGCGTTCTCCGACCCTGGCGGTGACGAAGTTGCAGGGGGCAAGAGCGAGGCAGCAGAAGTTATATTTTTAGAAACTGAAGGTGACATAGTTGTACTGCTCGTTGTCGTAGAGTTTGAAGTACGCGTATATCTCTCTTGCTCGTCCTGTACTTTCTGCTCGGCGGACGTGCTCGAGGTAGCACTTGTGCTAAGTCTTTCTTTCCCTCTTTCCGTGGTCGCACTTATACTAGTGCTAGAAGTAGGAGTTATATAATTTGTAGCTGTTTTAGTATCATTCCCTCCCAAAGAAGTTGAAGGAGAAGAGCCTTCTAATGATGACGTTGGCGCAGAGGAAAATGCAAGTCGTTCGTCATCTAGGATCTCCAACTCGTGATGGTCAGGAGGTGTAATTTCTCTCACAACATTTGTTGGGGTTGTATTTTCCTGTTCTACTTTCAGTTTACTTTGCGCAGCCGCTTCAATACTTGATGGACTGCTTGTCTGAAGATAAAGACCATTCCCTGTTAGCAAATAGCTCACCTGTTTCGTATTGTTGTTGAGGTTGCCTCCCTGAGTCTGTCCCTTAGTACGAGTTGAAGGTGTAGTAGTGTCCTCTAGTATCGTAAATTTGTTGTCAATCTTAAAGGTGCCTGACCACCAAGGCGCTTTGCGACTCCCATCGGCTACTTGCTGGGTCGTGTTCATAAACTTGAAGGCATGTCGCTTCACACGTGAAAGATTGCGAGGCACATTAGGACCCACAAACATGAGCTCCACCTTGGCCGTGCTCCCCCGTGCGTGCCCGTTGTCGAACAGTTTTTGCCCCAACGCCCGAAAGACTCGCTTCACTTCCGGAATGGTACTGCCCTCACCCGTCCCGTCAGCCCCCAGAATGAGAATGCGGAGCCCCTCTTCAGCCGTCTTCTCGTGACAACAAGTAGTTGGATTATTCGGCGAGTGGACCCGAGAGGCCGATGATGTTGACCCACCACGACTAGATATCGACCCAGACGAGGTAGCACTCGGTGTCATCTGTTCTTGGTCCTTCCTTCTAAACCTGCTGCCAGGGCTGTCACCTCTTTGAGATGAAGAAGATGCGGGTAATTCTTGAGGTTGTTGTCGTTGTTCTAGATCTGCATGATCTTCATGTTGGAAGTTATTCTCAGTCTTCCCGACGTCATCTTGTTGATGTTGGGGGTCCTTAATTATTCCTAGGCGTGTTAGTGCCTCATAGATTGTTTCTACGCGTGAAGTTTGATCTAGGTCATACCGCACAGGTAAAGCAGTCATTGCCCCTCGCAGTGGCGTCTGCAGGGAAATCTCCGCGCAGGCACTTGCTGCAGCCGCTACATCATTTTGTTGCACGTGGGATTCACTGGCTATTCGGGCTCCACCTCCGTTTTGGTCGCTAAAAACTGGGTTTTTCTCAGCGCTGTACTTCTTGTCGGCCACGGAACATAACCCGTGGTCAGGGGTTAGCAGCATCATAGCTACAGCATCTTCGGTGCGCTTATTCACATCTGATCCGACCACCATTTTTTAGTTGCGAACAGAAAAACAAAAATAGAAGTTAAAGTGATTGCAAAGAGCCGTCAGCAGAACGAGATGAAGTGGAAAACTACCTAGTGGAGTACCAAAAGAACAATGATAATGCCACTAGTTCATCTAGGTACAGTTTCTGTTTCAAGCTACTTACTATAATTTAGGCATTACTTAGCAGAAGAGTTACTGTCGCTGTCGCCGAGAAATCCTGCTGTGTGTTCACGTGGTAAAGCTTCATGCATGAATTGTGAGTACTTTGAGTTCCGAGCAAGTTTTCGTGAAGCTGTTGTAGTTGTCGATACCTACGGAAACGGATACAATAGCGACTGTGCTAAGTCTATCGAGGTGCCTCGCTGTGAAGACCGTTGACTCACTTAAAGCGTAGTTGTAAGTATCTCCATGATCAAGATCTTGTCCGCATTGCCCAAAGTAGATTACTGATCTGTTATACTTTTTACCACACGATAATGAGCGTCCTCTGACTCTGTTACATGTCGGGCATGAGTTAGCAACTAGACAGATATAGATAAGACTACGAGGCAAGCTCGCAAGTCCCAAGTCTTCACCAAACTAGCGACGCGCGGCTGGTTCAGAATGGACTATCGGGGACGCCCCTCATGGCTGAGCAAGCGGGCTGGCCCTGGCTGTCGCTGTCTTGTGGTTCAGGTAGCGAGCTGGCTTTGGCTAAGCTAGCGAGCTGGAGAGGCGGGCCATGGCAAAGCTAGCAAGGTGGCCATGGCCAAGCTAGCCAGCAAGTTGGCTATGGCTACGAACGCATTGCTGAGCTAGGTCGCGCAAAGGAAGCAGCTACCAAGCTAGTTATGGCTGAGCAGCTAGCTTGCTAGTTAAATAGGGCCGAGCAGCCACCTAGTGAGCCCGCGTCGCTAGCTATGGCGCAGCGGCTAGCAAGCTAGCTATGACTAAGCAGCCAGCAAGTTAGCTATGGCTAAGCAGCTAGCTAGATAGCTATGGCCAAGCAGCTACGCTACCCTGCTAGCTAGCTAGCTAGCTATGGCTAAGCAGCTAGCAGGCAAGCTATGGCTAAGCAGCTAGCAGGCTAGCTACGGCTAACCTAGCCAGGTAGCTACGGGTAAGGGGTAAGCATGCAAGCATGCTAGCTAGGGCTAAGCAGCTAGCAAGCTGGCCATGCCTATTAAGCTAGCAAGCTAAGGCCCTTGCGGGGTGGGAGTGGCCCTTCAGGGAGAGTCTATTATTGGCCTAAGTTTATAACAGCTTTGCCTTATTTAACGAACCTCCTTAAGGAGAATTTTTTGCCTTAACTAAGGAAAGTTATAGCGACTTTTTGTAATAGAAATTCTTTAAGGGAATCAATTTTCTTAAGGAAGGCGCTTAATAAATAAGGCAGACTCTTAAGGTAAGATTTGAGAAAAGTTGCCTATCCAATAGATAAAGATACTAATATAGGTTCCAGGGCTCAGGGCTAAAGGCCCCCCCTGATCTAGGGAGGCGGCCGGCGGGGGGCCTCTAGCCCCGGGCCCTTTTTTCGGAGGACGGCCAGGCGGGAAGGCCGCCAAGCGCCCCCCTCCGCTCCCTCGCGGCTTCTTGCATGTACCCTACAGAAGCTAAATCCTTGAGGCCGTTCAAGCACCGACGGCCGGGGGTGGAAGGCTTCCAGAGGCGGCAAAGGTGGCAGGGCTTGACCCCCTTGCCATGTTGCATGTACCCCACAGACTTCCATCGTGCTGGCTCCTCACTGGGGGAGTTTCCCGAGGGGTGGGAGGCGTCTGAGGGCAGCAGGTGGCCAGGCTTGTCCCCCTTCCCCGTGATGCATGTACCCGACAGAACCCTGCCGGGCACGCCTTGCCCCCACCCCTCCTCGCCTTTGGTCCTCGACCTCCCTGGGCGTTTGGTGGCGGCTGACGCGACCGAGCCACCAATTGGGGGGATGAGGGCAACCCAGCAAACGGGGCCAAGCCTCGCGACCGTGCCCGCCTTCTAACCCCGGAGGCCTTCCCCTTGATAGGGTCCAAGAGGGGGGACGCCTGTAGGGTACACGCGGAGAGCCGCAAGAGGGCGCCGGCTCCGCCTTCTGAGGCCTTCGCCCCCGGGAATCTTCACACCACCGCGGAAAAAAGGGCGCGCCGGCGTCACCGCAGCTCCATCCACAGGGGGGGCTCCCTCCCTGATACATATATACATATTATATCTGAGCGATATCAAAGCGTCGCTGATGACACAATCATTCATCTTCGTGTCAAGCAACAAGGAAAAAACGATTTGAAACGCGGGTGTAAAAAACAGCTTTCCTGTTTGGAAAAATTCTGATAATTCGAGCGTTTTGGGTAGTACAACAGAAAGTGGTAGTGCTGCGAAGGTAAGAGATTTCTTGCGACGCGATTGGCGCAATCACCTTGTTCTGATTCAGTTTTCCTTTTCTGTGAATGGTCAGATCCGCGGGTTTGATCTAGATGTACTACTTCGAGGTAGACTCCGGGTTTCGGGTATAACTGTTGCTAATGCTGATCCTTGTAAAGGCAGAGGGTCTACCTAAGTAGCCACTGAATAGTGTACGACTCACAGAATGACAGATCTATGTAAGAACTGCTGCATCATCGTGTGACGCTTATACATATATCCATTGTGCTGGGAATCCCAATCGTCCCATGCTTGTACTAGTTGTAGTACTTTTAAATTTCAGCGTCTACATGCTTGCTGGCTTGAATGTTTCCCCTGCCAAAGACCAGATTTTCCAAGAACCGGTAAGCCTGTCTTGCGCTCGCTTTCGTATCCGCAGTGATCGTTGTCACAAAATCCACATACGACGCTCGCGTGGCTGGCGACAAAAAGCAGAGCAGCACCAGCATCGCCGAGAGGACCACGAAGAGACTCAGTTTCGGACGGTTCAGTCGCACATCCAGCAGGGTCGCGCCGTAATAAGCTACGAGAAAACCGGCGAACACCAGTGCGAGATCCAGGTATGAGTATTGCCTCAGCGTTTCGACGACATCGCGGAACAACGAGACGCCGGGAGCAAACAAAAAGCCACCGTCGAGACGGAAAGACTCAGAAAAGTCCTCGAAAGTCAAACTCCCTTGCTCCAACTGCATGTAGAGTTCCTGCACGCTCTTCTCAGCGTCCGCCTCCGTCGCAGCCGCGAATCCTCTGATGCGCTTGGCGTCGAGATCAATGAGCAGAAAGCGACGACTTGAGCTCGATGAGGTGTCCGTAGTACCATCTTGCTCAGCACCAGCCTCTGCCGAGGATGAAGACGGAAAGAAGAACTTGTTGAGCAATTCCGTAAATGCGTATTTGGCTCGCGGAGGTCGGCCAGCAACCCATTCTGCGAAGGAATCTGGAGCAACATTGATCTTCGCGCGCTGGATAAAGAAGACATCATCTTCGTCGCCACCGGCAACGGCGCTAAGACTATCCTCATCAGACGATCCGTCCTCATCGTCGTTCTTTCCCTTACTCGTTGACGGCTTCTGTCCTCCTGGCGTGGTCTTGGAATTGGCTCGTGCAAAGATATCGTCAATCGTTCCGGCAGCCGTTGCGCCATACACCTCCCGCAGGTATTCGCGGCGCTCACGAGCCAGGAGTTCGCCCATGCGCTGGTCTTTCTCCGCTGCGTGCTGTCCACCCAGAAACGACGCCGGTGCCGAGTCCACCTCGACGAGGCAGTAGATACGGTACTGCGAATTGCTGCGACACAGCAACTCCACGTTGGTGACGTCCAGATACGGGGCCAAAAACTCTGCCTGAAAGCTGTAGAGGGCTCGATCGAGCAAGTCAGCTTTGATGGCCGTATTCGGAAAGGTGACGACTTTTTCCGCCACCCAGGACACATCCACGCCGTTTTCCTCTGCGGTTCCCAGCACCGCTATTGTCGGCAACTGGAGGTTCAACTGTCTATCGTCCGATTTCGCGGGCAGCAAGTCTTTCACCGCGTCCGCGAGGTCCGCGTCCGCCTTGAGCACTTCGGCCTTGACCACCGCGATTTGGAAGAGCCGGCTCCACTGAATGGCTGCTCGCTTCAGTGCGAGAGAAGCCCTTTTCGTTCCCACCATAGTCAGCAGCAACTTTCGGCGCTTCGACGGTGCGGCTTCGCTGCCCGGCGAGCCCACAAACGCCTGGAAATCCGCTAAACTCTGCACGCGGAACAGCGCGCTCACGGGCACGTGAGAGGTGATCCACCGCTGCAGCTTGTCCGGAGTCGCCCGCTGCGCCGCGAACGTGGGGACTGCCTCTGCGGACAGTGACGGAGCGTAAAGAAAAACAACAGGGTGCACGCGAGCGGCAATGGGCAACTGCGTGATGAGCTCCTGTTGTTCGTGAGCATGCACACGTCCGAAATGGACCGCTTCAGCTAGATTGCTGTTCGACACCACCTCCTCCCAGTGTTGGTGGAAATTTCGACAGTTCTTGTCCGCCTCCGTGAACGTCTGAATGACCCAGACGCCGTTGGAATCCAGCACCTTCTCCCGCCAGTTCTGTTTTGTCAGCGTCACAGCGGCGGACGGGAGCGACTCCAAGTCCACGGCAGATGTCTGATCGTACATGCGCCGCTTGCTTTTATCGCCCAAAGTCTCGTAGGCACGCGAAATCTGATTTGGAAGGTCGATGAAATGGAAACGATATTTATCAATCTGCTTGCGTTCTTGACGAATACTTTCATAAAAGCGTTTCTAGTGATGCTTTCAGGCTAGCCGCAGCGAGTCGCTAGTAAAAATTTAAATTATACATAGGGTATAGAGAGTTGTCCTAGTTGTTCCAGATGGTGCACTCGAGCCTGAAGTGGTCCAGATGCAGTGCAACACGAAGTGGTCGACCGCTCCGCGTTATCGCCTTGAAGAAGAAATAATGAGACTAACTAGCTATTAACAAGACCCCCAAAGTGTGTGCTTTTGCCCATAGCGTCCCACCCCCCAGGCTAGTAAAAAAAGTAGAAGTAGCTTTAGTTTACCTTGGCGAATTTGTTGGCACACTCTTCGCAGTTCAGATTTTTGTCCGGATGCCAACGGAGTGCCAGTTTCTTGTAGCCTTTCTTCAGGTCAATTTCTGAGACACCCTTCGAGACGCCTAGTATTGCGTAGAAATCTTCTTCGTCACTGGATCGTTTTGGTCCGTCCCCGACGTTGAAGGACTCTTCGCCTGCTTTTAGAACACCGAGAAAAACCATGACGACGGCGATAAGAAGAATCTGAAAAATCTGTCCACCACAGAGGCCTCGCGAAGATACTTCCTCTCCTTTGCTGGAGCTTGATGATCCACTACTTCGCTTAGCACTACTTTTAGTACTTCCGCCGGACAAGACGCGCCGCTCTATTTCGTCCAAATCTTCCTCTTCCTCACTGTCGTCATTATCGTCGTTCACTTTATTTCGCTGTTTCTTTCCATTACGAGAAGATTTAGTGCTCACTTCAGCCTTAGTCCACTCGCCGTCTGAGTCACCGTCGGACTGTGATAGCAGATCTTCAACTTCCGGCCCCTCGTAGACCTGTTTCTCTCGCTTAGCTTTCAGCTTAGCTTGCAAAATACTACGCATTTCCTCGCGGATCTTGCTCACTGTATATATATGGGTATTTTCGTATCATCGATGACGACGAGCAACTAAAACCAACACGAACATAACGACGCAGAGAAATAGTGATGGTTGTAGCTATGTTGAGTTAAAACATTCTCGGGTTAGAGAATTCATCGCCTATCTACCAGCATGAGAAAGTTGATTTTCTCTTACCTCTCGCAGGATCACCCGATTTGAGAAAAGCGTCGAGTTTCTTCTTTCGGCGAGCTCTTTGATCTTCGAGCCTTTTCCTCGCCTCTTTCTCTGCTTTCTTTTTGTCCCCGACGTCATCATACGCGGTGCTCTTTATTTTCCCGCTGCTCGAGCCCCCACCGGCAAGGTCCTCCCATGGAGCTCCGGCCAGAGCATCGGGATCGACAGTTCCCATCTCCGAGTCCGATACCTCATCAGCTTCAGTCGGCGACTTCTTGCCGCGCACCCGTGGGCCACGTGCCTTGGCCCCTCGTGGCATTTTATTTCCAAACTTTATATATTTAGTGCTAAAAGCTAGAACTACTTCGTCTTTTGACCATGAAAATTCAGGAGGATGTGGATGGACGATGTATCAAGAAAGATTACAACTGCCGAAGGAAATCAGATTGATTGTATCACAGTATCTATTGAGTTATGCGACGTGAACAAAACTAAAGGATGAAGATGTATGTATGACAACAACAAAAAATAAAAACCACTCCGAAACACTGATTACCCGTATTTGTTTTTTGAAATAATCCTTTTCCTTCATCATGCAACAAAGCGAAACAGAAAACTATCATCACCATCAGTTAGGAGAACCAACATAAAAATCTCCATGCGGATTGAATTTCTCAGGATCCTTGCACGTTCCATTGTTTCTCTTAGGGGATCTTTGTCATACCAGAGTCATTACTTGATGAGATCTTGTTGCCTCTTCGCGGGAGGAGTCACTAGCTACCCTAAGCTTGCTCCGAGCATCACTTCTAGTGCGCGATAATGATGTAACGCAAAGCTACAAGAACTGCATGAAAGCCAGATCTCACACAGTCCTCCCTTAATGATTCTCGAACACACAAAACTTGTCTAAGCGATCGAGTTCAGAACAAACACCTTCGAAAACTTGCTCATTTCTCTCCAACTTCCAAGAGGGCTACCGATGCGACTCTTCATCTCTACGTAAAACGTGTCGGTAGACGATGGATATGTCTAGAAGTCAATTACAAGCTGTGCTCATGCGAAGATCAATTCTAGCGCGAAAATCTTAGCTAACCAGCGTGCTTGAGTCTGGTCCTTCCGTCGTTCGGAAGGTCGTACCAAGGTGGCTTACTGAGACAGCAGATGTGGATCTCACGTCTGACTTGCTGAGCTAGAAACGTTTCCGCCGAGCCATCCTCGTCCACAGGAAATTTAGTGTCATCATAACTGCCAGCGGCGAGCCACGTAGTTCCAGGCTGGTCGTCGTAGACGATAGTCAAGCTTGTTCCGCATATTGCGCACGAGTGTCGACTGCCCCATGACGACGTCCGTTGTAGAAGCAACGGCCACGTTGTGCTGGACGACGATATTTTACTAGTGGAAGACGAAGATGTGCTGGATGTAGTCCCGATAGAAGTAGGCGCCTGCTCTCCCACATATCCCGGTCCCACCTCTGGCAATGCAACATGCCATCTTAGATATCGGTCCTCGATGGGCGCCCATGTTTGACATGCTCCCCCAGACATTTTGCGACACCATGAGCAATAGCAATGCTGGAGCTCAGAAGGAAAACGGGTACAGGAGTAGCGACACGCTCCGCAGTAGCACCCACCCGTAGCCTTTGCGTCATCGCGATTTCTACTTCCCAGCCTCGTCAAGATTGTGCTGCTGGCTTTGCCTGCCTCTTCTGGGCTAGATGAGAAGGCATGCTTCTTTTTCCTAACAAGTGACTTCTGGAGTCGAACACCATCCGCCGACACTCCGTGCCCTGGAAAAATGTGCGCTCCCGGCTCCTGAACGATTGAAATATCACTTTCAGGCAATCTTGCTAACAATTGACTTTCATCTTCTTTGCCATGTCGACGATCGTTGCTAGAGGAACTCGTCGTTGCTCTCGTATTGTTGACGCTGGCGTCAAGGCTTGCAGTTTCCTCTGTTTTTAACGAAGCCAGATTCCGTCCGTGAAAATCAGTAGCTACTGTCGTCGTTTTTCGACACCCTTTGTCCTCTAGAAGACCAGCAGAGAGAAAAAAGCGGTTCTCCTCTTCACCCTTGACCAGCATACCCAAGTTTGAATGGCACGTCTTGCAAACCCACCGCTCCACTGGATTCGAGACTGTAGTTATGAGGCCCTCATCTCGATGCCTATGACCGTCACCTGAAGAAGAGCTGGCTGCTTGAAAAGGGTTCCTGGATGCGTCTGCTAAAAAGGCTGCCGCACGAGCAAGGAAAGAGCCCGTCTCCTGTCCAGCACTAACGTCTTCCCTTCTCGACGACGTAGAAGAGGCGGTAACAAGCTCAGAGCTGCATTGCGAAGGAACTCGGAGAATGTCGTCCCAACTGTTGGTAGTGAGCAGCAGCGTGCATCTCAGCTCTAGAGCTGGAGAGAGGAACGCTGCCCAGGGCGCCGCGGCATGTCTACGACAGCTCCCACAGTGGCAATTCGATATGCTTAACTCTCCTTCGTTTTGCGGCGCGTGGTCTACGGCAAACACGTGAGTTCCGCACTTGCAAGACGCACGTAAATCCATTGCTGGAGCAGTCGCTTCTTTTGCTTGTGACGTTGACGGAGCGGAGATTTGAAGACGACGTCCATGTATTGCTGCTTCCTCCGAAGTCCCCATCACAGACTTCTTTTTCCGTCTCGTAAGCGAAGCTCCGCTTGTGCTAAAGCATGGGCCAATCTCAGAGCTGTCCTCTTTTCCTTTTCCTCTTCGGTTATCAACACTAGGGCGCGCCGCGCTTACGAGCCGCGTCGTCCATGAAAGACAAGGGCGTCCGAGAATCGCCACGGCCCTGCGCCTGCCGCAAAACGAAAACATTTTTTGTCTTGAACATCATTATATATATGATCGTCGTTTGAGGATGTCAACTTTGATCATTATGATCATGCCTGCTCCTGTTGATATTACAGTATCCGTCGAAAGATATCAAAGCATGAACCCTGCTGGTGTCGTGGAACGAGTTACAAAAATTTCAATTTATTTAGAGTGGCTAACTAGAACTAAGACTACCTTCCATCTTATCACGCAAAGCCAACATGCAACCCATGAACCGGAGAGGTGACACATCAAACTACGTTCACACTCAAAATGAGAAATGAGTACTAATTTGAATTTGAAAAAGGATGAAATACAAATAAATATGCAGGAATTATTCAGGCTCCAAGTTAGCCCTTCTCTTGGTGCTGGTTCGTTTAATCTCTTTGGGTTCATGAAACTAACATAGAATATCGAGGGGGGGTCAATACTCGTCCTAGCTGCATCTCTTTCTTTCGCAGGTTGCTGTAATGAACTATTTGGCGCTGCAACATGTTAGTATTACGACACTCGACAGAAGAAACAGACTTCACCTAGAGCATCGCATGGTGCATGCCATTCGACTAATAGCGATTGGCGGTGGTGTATGCTTACCGCATTGCGAAAGCGAAAGTCGTCAAATGACACTAAAATATGAAAAAATTATGTCCCAGACCACGTCGGATAGTACAAACGACGTAATATCCCAAGAGTTGACCTTTTCGTCACAAATGACTTTGAAGTAAGTAGGTCTCTTTGTTTGCGCAAATTGAGAAGACAAATTACACGTGCAAGAAAGATCATAGTCTTAGGTCTTCATCAGGATGATTCTTTCTGAAGAGGTAAAGATTTCGCTTCAGTGCGTGCTTTCTTCCTGGACCGAAGTGAGTATGAATTGTTTGTACATTTCCAAATCTGTCGTCCTTACAAAGCATATTTTTGAACTCCTCAGGCAGGATTTGTAACTGGTTGATCTTGTGGTCATCATCAAGCTGCCTCAAATCCTCATTGTGTTTACTTAGTGCCTGGCGTCGCGCCACAACAGCTGAGACTTCGGTGTCGTACGAATCGTTGCTGATCTTCATACCGTCCTTTGCAACATCGTCCAAGTTGGCAATTTCGATACTCGATTTCGAGGACGTTGCTGTCCCACGACCCCCGGCCTTACTTTTTATTCGTTTTGGCCGTCGCTGAAAGCCATAGCCAGCTGCTTTCCGAGCTTTTGCATTGAAATACTCGGATATAGGGTGGTACTCAAGCACCAAAATGCCGCCAGGCCGCAAAACGCGATATACTCGATCAAACAAAACCCGCAAACCCTCATCTCCTCGCTGCAGATGCACATACTTGGTCACGGAAAACAACAAGATCGTGTCGTACGGACCCCCTGCTGAATTGCTCATAGGTCTTCCTATTCCACCACTGATTGATAGACGAACAGAAATGCTTCGTCTACAACGCTCTGGCCATTGCTGTGCTTCTGCTGCGCGCAAACGGGCTTCCTCCACTGAAGTCTCCGCCGTGAAGTCCTCCGTTCGAAACTCCATATTGTACGGAAAATCGTAATCTGAGCCCCGACGAATCAGCATAACTTCAGCTTGTTTGGCCTTGGCTCTTGGAGCCGTTGTACTCTTGTTTTGCTCGATCTCAGTTGTCGATCTCTCTGGCACAACGGCCATAGGCAACATTTCTTCGACCAGCCATGGCTTCTGAACAACGTTAATCACGCCCCGCGTCTCCACAAGCACTCGTGGATAGGTCGCATTCTCTGCGAGGGCGCTCTTTGCTTCAGCGTCAGGGCCCCGCTGCTGTCGAAGATTCTCAAATATATCGTCTTTGAAAGCCTGAACAAGCGCCGGTCCAGCGCCACATAGGTTTCCAGACTTAAGCAAGTCCTCTGACGGTCGGGGAAATACTCCTGGCGCTATTGCTGGTGGCGTTGCTCCATCAGTGTCCTTCAGCGCCTTCTCCACTCGCTGTCGTTTTGTTGCGCGATTCTCTTCTGCATTCGGTTCTCGCGCTTCAGCACCCGCTCTCCCCTCAGGCTGTGGCACTCCAGCGGCTGACGAAGAGCTGCGCGCTGCTGCCGCTGCGCGTCTCTCTTGTAGCACCTTCTTGAGTCCTAATGAAGCAAAAAAATCCCGTCCAGCAAAACGCTTCTGCTCGCCTCCTTCTTCTTCTTTGCTCTCATCTGATGCGTGGCCCTGCTTCGCAGCACCGAGTTTTTCTTCTTCGTTTCCGGTAGTTGCAACACGTTTGTCTTCGTTAATCGTTAAAACACGTGGCATTTTCAAGGGACCCCCTTCACCATGCTGGAAAATATCCACTTCGTCCAGTTTTCGCTTTCCTCCGGTCGTTTTTGAAAGCTCATCTGGCAGCCCTGCATCCTCATAAAAGGAAAGTCCATTCTGCTTGACGCTTCGCAGCGTTTTCAGTGCCGTCTTGATAGAATTCAAGTCCAAGTCGAGGCCCGTCACGCTCTTCGCGTTGCAAAAAGCTGCAAGCGCGAACACGCAGTTTCCTTGCCCGCACCCTATGTCCAGCACCGCTTTCCCAAAAAATAGGTCTTGAGCAATGTACGCCTCCGCAGACGTCCCCCCAGCGCAATGTTCTAACAAAGCCAAAATCCGAGAATCAATCCTCTGGAATCGCTCCCGACGTTTATGATACTGAGTGTCGAAGTTCCCATGCGAAAAAAGCGACTTCAGCTCTCTGACGTACGCGCCAGGTAGAGGCTTGCGCTGCCGCATAAGTTTTGCATTGTTTGACAACGTCAGACCGGCGGCTTCTGAAAAAGTTTCTGCGCCTGGCGCAATAGTTCTCTTGGCGTGTTTGTCCCTTTCAAATGCACTTCTAGAACCTGGTGCGAAAGCAGCTCCATTTTTTCCAGTAGTCAAAAAAAGAGACGTTGCAGTTGAACTTTTAGATGCAGTCCCAAGTTGTTCTTGTTGATCTTGAGGACCGAGCATATTTCTGTTTCCTCCACTTGGTGCACCTCTACTCGCTCCTACCTGATCTCCTGTCAATTTACTTTCGTCGTGCGGCGCAACCTGCCATAAAGGCGGCCGCTTATTTCTCCGTGCTCCCGCCTTACCGCCGCGTCGGCGTCTATTTCCTGTCTGGTGGCGCTTTTTAGCGCTTGCCGTGCCATTCCGCTCCGTAACTTCTTGGTTCACAACCACATCCTCGGAGAAGCTTTCGTGCCCGCTTCCAGTTCGGCTGATCGTCCGAACAGGTTTCGAAATATTCTTCCCTTGCTCTTCTACCGTACTGGCGAGTGGCTTGCGATTTAAAGCCGTCGTGACATTGTTCGTAGCTTTTTTTGATTGGCCTCGAGCGCTAGTAAAGTCTTGTTGAGACCCTCGACGCTGAAGACTTCCAGCTCTAGAGCCATGCTTCGCCGTAGACTCAAAATTACTGCTGCGAACTAGACCTCCTCCTAGCGTGCCACCTTTGCCTGTCTTGTTTCCAAAAATTGTTGCAGGTGGTGATCCATGAGGCTTCCCAAATGGAGTGCCCTTCGCGGCTGAGCTTATCCATTGCGCATAAGTACTAGCGCCACCGCCGTGGAACCCACCGGCCCCTTTGCTTCCGAAAAATCCTTGCGGAAAAGTTGATGTCTTCATGTTGATTGACGTTGACGTACTCACGGGTGGTCTTGTGGGTGTCGCGGTCGAAGCATAATCGGCAGGCGGGAGCGGAGGAATACCCGCTCCATGCGACACCCCGATGTTTCCCTTACGCTGTTGCCCTGGGACACTCGGAGGATGAGGAGGCGGCAAAAAACTCACAAACGGAGAACTCTTGGCACTGGTCGCCGCATCTCGTCCGGTTTTATTTCTGGCCCTAGCATCGTCTCTAAACCGGATCACAGGCGAGTCTGCCACTGATATCGGACTAGGAATCACGACTTCCCTAGGAGTATTAGGTCCAGCTGGAGGCATTGGTATCCTCTGGAGCCCAGCAACGGGCAATGGTGGCCGTCCGCCACTTGGTGGTCGGGGAGGCAAAGGCGGCCGCCCAGAGGAAGACGAGCCAGAAGATGAGAATGAAGAGGCGGACGACATTTTTAGACTCTAGGACAGCGTGGAGCAAAACCTATTTCCTAATAATTACACGAATAAAAGCCCGCCAGGCTTGTGAGAAAGGTTAAAAGCTCCAATTTTATTCGACGATCTACGAGTTAGTACAGACTCCGTACTCACGACAATCTGAAGACTTCTTCTAGATTATTTGAGGTAACTCGCGATGGCGATTACATCCAGAAGCTGCTGAAAAAGGATCCTTGTTTAGTTCCAGATCACTTACCACTCGGGTTTACAACTTGAAACATATATAAATAAGCAACACGGCCAGGATAAATGAAGGAGAGCAAGGTCAAAACATGAAGTTTCCGACACTCTTAGCTCGAAAACTACAAAAGACGAAGACGTCCAAAGATGTGACTCCATACCAGTCTGTTCGTCTACAAGCTTGCCCAGCAACGCGGATCACAATCACACGCCTATCTCCATTTTCTCACAACTTCACTAAAAGACCCAACACACCGAGATGGATCCGCGTCACCGGCGTTGCGCTGTGATTTTCAATCTGGTTCTGGTAGCCAGAGTTGCAATCTCTTTATTGAACTTCATTGGATGACGCTGACGCACGCTACCTACGTCGAGTACCACCAAATTTGTTACAACGTCAACCAATGCGATCACAATCTGACATAACTGTCTGTACAGACTGGCTACAATCACCAACTAAATTCATATCGTTCCCCTTGCCCTTGTTGAAGTGAAATCCTAACATCAGCAATATCCCACAGTCTTCTTGTGCAATTGTGATGGCGATACCATTCTCCAAAGCATACTATGCTCTACTCTAAATGACCCACCACTAGTACATTCAGTTTTTGGCGCCCACATATTTATCAAGGCGCACACTTGTACGTCCACTAGCGAGTACATTCGGCCCTGGAAGTGGTAGTACATTTCAAATCATGTATCACTTTGTTTAGAAATCTCAATTACTACCTGTGCATTTTCATATCCTTATTGTTGCAAGAGGTAACAAGACACCTGGTCAAGCGTTCACATGAGTTGTAGCTATATGCAAGCATAGACAGAAAAAAAGTTCACAAAACATATAACGGCAGACTGACTACAACGAGCAAGTTGTAACAAAAAGGAAAATAGCGCATGATTAAGATTCAGAATTCCTACTAAAATAGAGCACTTCAGCACTCAGGAAATCTATCATAGTTACATTAAATGCAGAGGCGTAGGGCGATACCTGTTGTACTTGCTAGAAGTACGAAGACAAAAAGGACTTAAAGTAGTTTATTTCAGTCGATTTACATTTTGTTGTTACACTGCATCCCAGAAGATACGACGACATATCTCCTGAGTATAACTACGTGCACATTCAATTTGTGACGATGAAAGATTGAACTACGAATGCGTTTTTTACATCAAGATTGCATTTTTGCTAGAAGATCCTTGGGGTGAACACTCTCGGAGTGTTTTGTCTGCGATAGTAGAGCGCCGCAGCGTGATTTGATGCAGCAACGTGGTAGGACGGGACAGAATGGACTACCGCGTTATTCTTTAGGTTCGCGGCGCTCTTGATATTCTTCGCGCCTGCTGCAGCGTCTTGCCTCCTTCCGAGGGGTCGTCGGGGTGACGGGCGTCCGGGGATATAGTGGTCCACGCCGCCAGCTCTCTGAAGTCCTGCTACTCCACCTTGATTGCCGCCTTCATCTTCAGCGCCCATTTTCTGGTTCATCTTATGCGCGTTCATTCCTGGTTTGCTTATGATAGATGAAGGATTTTGAAGTTCTCCCTTCTGGCTCTGATCGATATCATTCTTGATTTTTACGTTATCTTGTTTACTGGCACCACTGTTGACGCTGTTTCTCGCAACATTCGAATTGCTTGAACTACTGCTGCCACCATTTCTCAAGCGGTTGTACCGCTCAAGGTTCTCACCCTCTAGTTGGACTTGTAATCCTGCTGCACCTCCTGTAGCTACTCCGGAGGACCCCTCCTTCATACTCTTGTCATGTTCTGCCGAAGCGGTCCCTCCTCCAGCCTGATCCGCGCCAAGACGTGGGGTGACAACGACAGGATCTGATTGATCGTCCTTGGCATTGTTCTCCTTGATATTACTTGCACGAGCAGAGGAGTCTCGATCACCTCCTCGAGCTGAAACTGCATCTTTATTTACTACATGATTGACATTAGCTGGATTCTTGTTGTTGTCATTTGCTCCAGTTCCGGGATTCTGATCTTTTGCTCCAGTTCCAGGAGAAGAAGAAGCTCCAGCAGTACGGATCCTCGAAATTCGTACAGCATGCTTCAACCAAACACCAGGCTTTGCGTCGATTTGAATATCACCGCTTCCTAGCTCTAAATCAATCACCTTCGTGCGTATCCACTGCTGGTGAGTTTCGCTCCAGTATTCGACCATCTGAAAGAGTCAGCAATTAAGAGCGTCATAATCATAATGGGACATTGAAACATGAAGAACAAGAAGATTAGACTTTCTTTGTTTTGCTTGTGACGATAACTGACATCGAAAAGATGCCGCCTTTCATATCTTATTCTTCATGAATAGTAAGAGTGTGGGTGTCCTTAGGATAAACATGAATTTACTAGTTGAGTGCCTGTCCTCTTCGATAGAATTGTGGCGGCGCATTCTCCTTGTCGGCAGATGATTGGGCATTCCCCCTTTGTTCACCATCGTCGATAGCACATCCCCGACCAAGCTCTAGCTGTTGGGCTTCCGTCGCAAAAAGAGGCCGAAACAACTGTTGTCGTTGAATTGTGGATAATGGGACTCTTGCTCCAACATAGCCCTAGACTTCCTGATCCTCCTAATTTCATTGATTTTCGTCAGGTTTTTTTCGGATTTCACGCCACAAATGATCATGCTGTTACAACTTTAACTTTCTCTTTTTCAAATGTCTCAACCTTCTTACCAGCTCCTCACTTCCGGGTCGTTGTCGGGGATCCTTGGAGAACATGAGTTGCACGATGCTTCGAAGCGATGTCGAATAGAACGCTGGCAACGCTGGGACCGGATGCTCTTGAATCTTGCGACACAAAGCATGTACGTCTGGCGCGTCGAAGGGCACCTTCTAACAGTGGTGGCTTTTACAGTTGCGGCATGTGACAATTGGATGCTTGAAGATGCAAAAGCAGATCATTGTAATTAGCGGTAGATGCAGAAAAACTAGAAGATGAATGTGTTTGTTAGTGCATCACAGCAATAGTCCCAGCTAGAAGTAGAAAGCGCATTTTTACCTTGAGCACCATGAGCTCGTACGCCAGACAGCCCAATGACCATACATCGGCGTTGAAAGAATATTCTCTGCCGCCACAAATTTCCGGTGGAATGTAGTATGGTGTCCCTATTTGTGTTTTCGCATGCCCCAGCGTCGAATGTAAGCACTTTGACACTGTTGTTGAAGATCACAGAGAATTTTCTGAAGATCATATTACTCTGAGTTGGAGTAGTAGATCCACGTGAGTTGGTAGGAAATCTGCGCACGACCAGGTGAAACTGAAATCTATTTAATCGGCATATTAATTGATTCTTTTACGGATTTCCGTGTTAGATAGACAATACCTCCGAAGTCACCCATTTTGAGCGTCATGTGGTCTGTGAGGAAGAAGTTGGAGCTCTTGACGTCTCTGTGCACTATGTGCTTCCCATGCAAGTATCGCAGTGCTAGCAGTATCTGCGTCAGCCACGATATGATCTGCCGTTCAGGGAATTTTCTGCGTCTCTCGTTTTGCTTCCTGATGTAGCGGCCGAGGTCGCCTCTAGGACAGAAATCCATCGCAAGAAGAAACCACCCATGCGAAATGACAGAACCGTGATACTTGATAATGTAAGGATGCGACAAAGTCGAAAGCAGTCGTGCTGGTGCATGGTAATTAAGTATTGTGCCCGTGAGGACGTCCAGGTGCCGCTTGGCTTTGATGTAGGTGCATGCACATCACCGATACGTACTAAAGCATGATGCAGTCACTTCAGTTTGAATATCTGAGACGAGAGAGAAATCAAAATCAATTTGTCAGCACAAGGAAGGTCAAGAATTAATCCGATTTAGTAGAGAGCAAGTCGTACAAGTGAGAGCAATGAGTACCTTCTTCCATGACCTGTTGTCTTTCTTTTGAGGTCATGGAGCTCACGTCGATCATTTTACAGACCAGTTGCTGTCCCTGCTCAGTTTCCCCTTGCTTCTGCCCTCCGGCACCATGATTGTCACCCGGAGACGACGCCTTATTGTTACCAACGCTGACGCTGCTGTTAGGCTGACAGAGATAGACGGCTCCGAAGGATCCCTTTCCGATTTTGCGTAAGGCTGTGTAACCTTGTCGCCGCAAATACATTTCGATCGGTTCCGCACCGTTGCCCACATTTCGACTCGGCCTGCGCATTTTTTTCACGCTGTTTTGATCCTCTCGTCGGAATGCTACCGCCGCGCACAACACACACCGAACACAGCAGGACAGTGACTAACGCTGAAAAATAGACTGAAGAATTAAATAAAATGTAGCAGGAGTTTCAAGCGTTTCTCGTGATTGTCGAAGGGTTTCCCGTTTCTCGTTCTCTCATGACCGCTCGTAGACTTGGTTCCCTTGCACCTCAAAGATGGAGTTTCAGAAGTGTCATACTTTCTGTAGCAGCTGGTTCTTTTCTGTGCTCGGTGGAAGATGTTTCCACCAATCCACTGCAAAAGAAAGTTGGTGGCTGTTGACTCCACCTGTATCAACAACAAGAACAAGACTGATGAAATTTTAGATTGAGAGTTTCTTGCCACGTCAGTAGGCGCCGCCCGATCATCTCCTTCGATGGCAGAGGTCCCACGCGCGTCAGCTTCGCCCATTCTGCTCACCAAGCACAGCGCATCTCCCGCAAAGCGTTGCGGCGCGTCTCTGTGTCCCGACTGGGGCCACGCGGGTACGGTAGTGCCCGCCTTTCCTCTCAGAGGTTACGGCATCTCGGCACACCAGGGGCGGGGTTTTTGGCCTCTCAGAGGCATTTGCTTCCTTCCCACCAGGGGCGGCGTTCGTCATAAACTCTATCCTTAGTTGTAGACATTGCCATTCCTATGTGAGTACAACTAACAAGTCTTCGAAAAAGGAAAATTATTTGTTAGAGCTTTTCATTTTCTACACAACAATATAATAGCTTGTGCATTTACCGAAGTGGTTGAGAGATGATTGGGTCTTGACTCTTCGATATCAAAAAAAGTCGAGAGTCCCAGGCTTCATTGATGGTTTCGATGGAATCACTTTCTTGGCTAGGTGGTCTTCTAGTAAACGAACAGAAATGGAATATTGACGAATAGAAAAGCTCCTGCTTGCTACCGCGGTCTACATTTTTTCAAACGAATGGGAATAAATGCTCTGGACGATGTTGTGATGATTGAATGGTGTGATAATATCGACAATGGAATTGCCACAAATGATATACTTGTTACCTCTGTCTGGGTCTTCTGCTCTTCGAATTGTCTACTTCGCACTTAGATTATGGTTAAGATGTTGCTGATAGTTGGATGAGATACTACAAGTGGTCGAATGACCATGCGGTGTGTAGAACCAATGTGGAATAACTGTCTTAGTCAAGACTTATCGACCCGATTGTTTTCAAATCAAACCGCAGTGGTGTTACGGTGCTGGAACTGCTTTGAAGACTGTAGCTGCTTGTCCAAGATTCGTGCGCGGCACCTTTTTCAGCTGAAGTTTACTCTCACGCGAAGCGATTAGGTGACAGCCATCAGCAAGGTCCAGACGTACCTCCACTTGGGTAATTCGTGCGGAGTGGTCAACACGACAGTGATCGCATTCCTGCAATGTGCATTAGAAAGCCGAGTGTGGAATCTGTAATTAAAGAGAACTAGTGTTGGAACCACCGTAGAGAAACAGTGTTGCAACTCTATGTATCCTCTCCTGTACAACACCCAGAGCTAGACTACATCAAGAAGATGATAGATCATAAACGAAATCTCGGATAGCGTGAGCTTGTCGCTTCAAATCGCCCAGGCGCTGCGTCTGTCCGGGAGCAATGACAATTTCAGCAGAGACGCAATTGGACCCTAGTGGAGGCAAGAAATGTACGTCAATGTGCTGCACCACTGCGCCAGTGTGCCACGCTACTCGCCGCTCTAGCTGCGCTGTTAGCTCTTTTACGCTGTATGACACTGTAGTTGTAGGTGTTGTCCCTACTTCATTTTGTAAATCGACTGTGGAAGCTGCCGCATCTCGTAGTCGGATTTCGTCGGCGAAAGGTGTTGCGGGATCTCGCAATATCGTTGGATCAGGGCTCGATGATTCCTGATTCTGTACTGCCGTCGTTGGTGACGAAGAGAAAATCATGTTGTATCCTGGTCTTCTGGTATTCTCTCGATCAACAGCAGCGGACGCGGAGTGTGGCGATCCGTTCGAAGTCTCCGTACTAACAGAAGGACTGACCGACCGGGCATTTGCTGCAAGCTCATCCACGACACTATGCTCTTCTTCCGCATTAGCTGTCATTATGGAAAACTTTGTTCTCTCGCCACCACGCGATGGCTCCATAGCCATACAGTCAAAGGTGCAGTCTACTTCAACCACGTCTTCTACTTTGTCTTTGATGTCCTGTTTTACGACTTGCGAAAGGTGCTGGAACCCACTAAGTGTTAACCGCGGATTCACAGTCACCTCAAGATCCACGAAGAGTGAATTTCCAGCTTTCCGTGCGTTCACCGATCTGACACCTAGGACATCTTCGCTTGCCTTTAGGGCCACAACTGTTAATTTTCCTCGCATGTCGTCCGACAGGGCATCACGGTCAGCCAGCGCAGCTACGGACTCTCGCATCATCTCAGCGCCCTGACGGAACACCATAACCGCCACGAGGAGCCCACCCAGAGGATCGCACAACGGAAAGTCCAAATAAGCGCCAGCGATGCCAACACCAGCAACGCCAGAAGTCATTGCGTCAGACCGGTGATGCCACGCATTAGCGATCACAACCGGCGACCGTTTTCGGTGTCCGATTTCCAGTGTCCGTCGATAAAGAGCCTCCTTAACGCCAAAGCTGATCAACACGGCAACCATCGCGAGTGGCGCATCTTCCGGGCGAACCACCATCGCGAGAGTGTTGACGGCCTGTGAAGATGCCTCCGCCGACGTACCATCAACAGTTGTGAGGAGGTCAGCCGACAAATCTGAAGTTGCTGCACCGTTCTGCGAAATGCCATTCCCGCCTGGTGGCCAGACGGAACCAGATAAGGCCGTAAAGAGGTAAGACTGTTCCAGTTTCGGCCGCGCTAACTGAATTAAGGTCTCTAGCGCCTCGCGACCAATGCCGAGCCCTGCAGCGCAAATGAACGCCGAAACCGATAAAGTCCCCACTTGCTCATACCGCATGTAGCCATAGGGATGCCCTTTGTCAGGTGGACGATCGACAAACCGAATCGTTATAATTGTCACCGCGTCCGACAGCAAGTCGCTGAGGCTGTGGACCGCGTCCGCAATGAGAGAGCTCGAGTTGGTCACGACGCCGAGTCCGCCTTTCACACCCGCCAACAGTAGGTTGCAGCCTGCGCCGAGCCAGGTAATTTCTACCGCTGAATTATCCGGGGACTGGTCCTCCGGTGCACAGGGCCCTAACTGACTGCTAGATGTGCGAACGAGTTTCGGTTCTGGAATAGAGTTGCTACTTCTAAGAATTTCGCTTAACGTAGGAGTTGAAGGTGATGATGCATTCTCTGGTGACGTGCTACTTGACGAAGGTGTCCTGCCTATAGTATGATCTGTACTAGATTCCGCTTTTCCGACTGCCAGCGATTCGTTCGGGCTCTTCACTTTTTTCCGAAAAATTCCAAGGCGTTCGCTGGTGCTGCTTCTCGCGGCGGAGCCGCTCTCTACCGCACCTGCATTGCCATTAGTTGTGCCACTGCTCAGCGTCCTCCTGACCCTGAGTGGCGATGAGATACTACTATTAATCTGTCTTGTTTTGCTTCTCGTCGAGCTGGTTGATGGACTCAGCAATCTAGCAGGTGATCTTTTTACTGGGATGCTCATGCTCCTCGTTTGCTGCATCCAGTGCGCCCTGCGTGATCCGCCATGGTCACTGCTGAACGCCCCGCTGGATACTGGGTACGTCGATGTTCCTCCGACACCTTGAGAGCTGCTGGCTCGCCCCTCTTGAAACAATGCCAAAAAGGGACACTGCGATCCACCCGCGACCCGGCCACCCGACGTGGCCAGGAATCTCATTTGTTTTTTGAGGATCCGCCTAAGTACCTAGTAATACTGTGTGTGGTACTCAAATAGTCCTCAGATGATAAGAAAGTATCTGCTAGTACTGAAAAAATAGAAATAGTAGAACCGACTAGATATAAATTAGAATAGATAGATGTATGCGAGACCGCGAACAGTGATCATTCGGAAGTATCCAATGAAGCCACTTTACGCACGCATCTCCATCCTAGGCTACCTACTTGTTGTCTATTTGCGACGTGCGGCCGACCGGGAGGTGTCCACGCACCCTCGCGAAGAGCTCTCTCGTTCCCTGAACAGCTCGTCGTCTTCTCGTCGTTGCTTTGTTTCCAGTGTTTCAATTTCTGAATCATCAAACATAATAGCCTCACTTCTCTCCAACACATGACCGGATCAAGCTCGTTGGTCGGTGTTGTTTTGTAGTTGTTTGTTGTTAGGCTCTCCTTTTATTCTTCGTATTTCTAGAACAGGAACACAACATCCAATAATAAGTTTTTTTATCACTGTTCTCAGCGCGTAGGTTACTCCTTGCACGCAACACGTGCTCACGAGTGAATCTTCGCAGTGACAAATCTGAGCAAATATTGCTAGGAAAATATGCCTGGCGTTCTCGTTGAAGCAAGGATTAGGATTAGGATTCAGTCCGCCGTCCACAGTTTTACCTGCATACTCGAGCGGAAGCAAAGGTATTCATGTTCATCTTCGCTAACGAAATTCGTAACTTCTATACAGATGAATGCCACGGGAGTGTCCCGATTTTTCATATATTTCTTAAAGATGCTACGCAAATATCACGACAACAGCATCGTTCCAGAGCATTAGTATGTGCATATAAGCTAGTTTATGACAACAATTAACCTATTCATTCCAAGTGCTTCACATTCACTCGATGCAAACTACGGTACGAATCAGCGACCACGATGAAATTAATATAGAGCGGAATCATGATGATACAGGGACTATGTTGATGGCCCTCAACCTCATTCTTCCACCTCATAGCTGCATTTAGTAAATTTCAAATAATAAAAGTTGAAAAAGACTAAGTCTCTCTGCTTGATTCTTGTTTTCTGTGCTTGAAGATATTTTTTTCACGAATGAATCGAATAATATTTCTGTGACCTGCAACGGTCAAACGAGAAAACGCTTTTTTTGGCTATGTTCTCAAATAATACGTGTAGGTTGGCCTTTTTGATCTATACACCATGCTTATGGCGTCCATTTTCTTAGTTAGTTACAGTTTACTCTTACAATGTAGATGCATACCCTGATTTCAGCTTCAATGTTGTGTCGTCGACGTCCCAGAAATAACATTTACTATTCTGTGCATGTTGTGAAACTCGTAGTTCTACTACTGCGGTTCATGTTCATGATTGTTTGACAATCCGCAATCAGCAATGGCTGCATTTTCAAAAAGATCTTCTTCTTGATCGTGTAGCATAACATCTCCACAAGTACATGTTGCAATCGACTCATGTTCTTCTTTCTTAAATATATCCGTATATCTAGGAGCTAGAAAAAAATAGAAGTAAAAGTAGCTGCAGTCATTATCATCAGTGCGTAAGCTTGTTTAACTCATCATTTAAACACCATCAATATTCAGATTCCCAATTCATTCGGGGTCTATCCCCATCGATCGCTGCAAGGCTGAGAGTCGAAAAGCTGCTTCCCTTCCATTATCTTTTCTGCTTCCATCTGAGGAGTTGGGGTGCAGGGTTCATAAATCGCAGACGGAGACATCAACTTGAATGAAGGACTACATGCAAAACCATTATTTTCTATCATCCCTGCTAGAACCATAAAAAAATCATGTCAACTCACAAGTAGCTTTTACCTCTGCTAGGAGATCAGTGAGTTGCGGCATTCTCTCTGGGGCCTCCTTTGTCGGTACCTCGACTATCTTGTAGGTGCCACGAACGTGGTAGAGAATGGCATACCACAGTGGCAGAGTGAGAGCGACAAACACTAGTCCGACGAAAAAGAGTCCGTGAACCCAGAGCCACCAGTTCAGAAGGGTCTGCCCAACAGGAAGCACTGGCGTATCCGTGGATGGCACAGATGAAAACTACTACAGAATGCGCACTACTTATCACCTGACTAAAAATTCTGTGCATGATATTTCCTGCTCTTGTTTGCATGAAGGCTACAGGATCACGACTTTTATCTACGCAGTTCGTCTTCGCTAGCTGACTTCTAACTTAGGGAATAAACTGCAGAGACTGCCTTGATGTTCAAACACTGTTCGTAGATTCTCCTCTAAACCTGTAAATTAGTATGATACAAGATACTCCTTATCTTCTAACATAGCGCAATCGTAAGGTGAAGTTGGGAAAGTAGCGATCCACGAACCGCAGAGAGGCGAGGTACTCGTGGCCTTCCGTTTCAGTCGTATGCATATACATGACGAGACAGAACACGCCAAGATTTAGACAACAATCTCACGAAGCAGAAAGTTTTGTATTACTTGGCACTACAGTGCTGTATTACAAGTGCTTCTCCTCAAATTAAAAAGCGTGAACATCAAGCACGGAAAATACTGATTCAACTAACATTGCAAATAGAGGGATCTGGAACTCAAGTTTCACCTTCCATAAAACGAGAAACACCGAGGCGTTCCAGAGGGATTCGATTTTGTAGGTTCCCCGCATCGAAAAATCGTACAGATTAGTATGGGCTGGAACATATTGACAACAACTTCGTTGCCCAACGACGTCTCAAAACTGGCAATTTAACCATGGGTACCGCTTGATTTTCGCCTATGATACTAAGTTGGACTTCTACCACATGCTCATGTAGATTCAACTAAGTACTTAGAAACATTATACCAGAACCAACTTTCTCTTCCGCCATAAAGTAGACGAGAAACAGCCACATGTCCCTCGCCCAAAACTCGTTCTCACCCCCGGTTCGTCTCCGGAACTCTGCTCGCAAGTGGTCTCCGTCAATCACTTCTTCTGGCACCATTTCAATCGCCGCAGCAAGCTCACATTAGAACTCTTATTGACAGAAGGCCCAAGAAAGAAGTGTGGCGTTTGTCTTCATCTTGTTTGACAAGCAAGAAGACCCTTTATTTTTATTTAGCGTTAGCCGTAATTAGCGTTTTTACTGTCTGGGGGATATGGATGGGACAGCGTCACTACGGACCCGTCGTCGCTGGAGCTTTGAGGCACTACCGCTCTGTCCTCCTGGTTAGCCGCGACATGAGCAGCAGAGGGCCTTCGAGATTCGAACAATGGAGCAATTGGTCCTGAAGGTCTTGCTGGTAGCGGGGCTCGGTGACGTGCTGTATGTTCAGCCGCCTGATGAGGTCTGTCGTTCAGCTGTAGCGAGCCCCGATGTAAAATCCCTTCGCTGGTCACAAATGCGGCCGGTTCAGAGCGACGAGTCCTAGCTGCGTGATGCGCTTCATGTCCGTCAGGTGGGTCCGAATAGTGTAAAACCACACTCGCAGATGTCCTCTGATGTCCACTTACCACGCTTCTATCGGAAGACCTCGAAATGGAACTCGATTCCCGCCTGAGCGGTGCCAGTGTTGACGCCTGATTTCCTCCATGATGAGCCGCCTCGTCCACAGAACTTTCGTCCAGCGAAACAGTCCGGTCCCTCCCCTTGCCCTTGAGACGCTGTTCCTGATTTATTAGAACGAAGACGAACCAACCCTGAACCTGAAGTACTCGTTTCTAGTCTCTAATGTACTAGATCCAACTCAGATGAAATTGAATAAATGTAATATGAGCAAGAGTAAGTCAACTTTGTTCAAAGATTCATAGATTATTATAGTATTACTGAATAGTAGCACGAGTCTTAACAGAATCAAGCGGGCTTTGTGAACCTTTTCTGAGCGTTCTAGGTGACGCAAGCGCCATGATATGACAAATCGACCGAAAAAGACATAAAAAGCAGCCAGCGTGCAATAAATCCGGGCCCACCTAGGAGAATTGCGAAGTGGCAAAAATGTAGTGTTCACATCAAAAAGTTTTTTCAAAAAATATCTCAAATCCACATTCATAGTGATTGTGATAGATCCAACTCAACAGGAGCTCACTTCCTTCTACGATGTGATCTTGAACGAAAAAAAGACAAACAGACCACCCGCCATGCACCACAATTTCGCATCATGTCAGTGTAAAAAAACAAGAAAAAACCAAAGTGGCACTAGAAGTACAGAGCTGCTTGATTGGTTGCCGCGCGACACGGGCAGTCATTGTAGAAAACGAGCTGCGCGTAGAGACCGTAAATGTACCATCCTACTGCGATGTATAGGACTCCAACCGCAATAAATATCACCACATACGTGAAGAATGTCTCGAGACCTCCGCCAAATGCTCTGAGATAGCGCTTCCACCTCGGTTGCTTTCCCGCGGTTTCCGTTTTCCCAGGCGATCCCGGATCACCTCCACCCTCATGTGCCAAGAGCGGTTTCCTTTCGCCGCAGCTCTTCTTAAAGAAGATTGATAGTATTACACTCACACTTTACGAATTACGATCTACCTTTAGTACGTGGTTTCATCATCAATGCATCTCAAATGGTCTTCAGTAACCCTCGTCAAGATTTACATACTTAATTAGATCTTACAATCAATGTCAATCTGCATCAACGGTACTGTAATGTGATTCGATTCCGTAGAACTAATCTTCTCTTATACTTACTCAATTGTATTTCGTAGTCTTCACCATCCATAGCGACAGAAGTCATTTCTTCTCGATCCCGCTTTGAACGTGAATCGTTCCCCGACAATTCATCGTCATCGTCGTCGTAGGAAATGACACAAATTTCCGGCGCATCCGCCTCACCCTCGCCTTCAACTCTGTTCTTGGGGTTCGGTTGATTCCCGCCGAGCCTCCCGGAAAACGAAGTGAGTGAAGCTCGTCCTGGCAAACTGCCTGAGTTTGACGGAACGCGCTCTCCCATCACAGACATTGATCTTCCTCGCACAGGATGCTGCACCTCAGCCCTCGAAAGTTCTTCAGAGCTCAACTTCATATCGGCTACAGCACTGCTCCTGCTGCCGTGCATTACGACTGAACTTCCGCGCAGTGGCGCTGCCGGACGTAGCGCGTCCTCGTCCTCGAGTCGTGCATCTTCGGTGTAGCTGTTTCTCGTCATAGACTTCCTCAGGTCAACCACTGGCTCGTTCTCATGTAGCACTGTTGCATGCGACTTTCTGTGTTCTATATTTTCATGCTGCTCCACAGCCGGCTCCTTGCTTGATGGTTCCAGCAACCTGCTGAAGGAACCCCGCGCTCGCATCCAGAAGTATTCAAACATGCGCGTGTACAGCGCCAGCAAGGGCGATCCGCGGAAACGCAGAGTGACGAACCCGCCGTAGTATTGAGGCTCCACTTGCCCCAAAGGTCCCACCGCTAAGTGCATGCTAGGCGTCTTCGGTTTTACCATCAGTTCCATCTCGGCTCGGGTCTTTTCGGCTGCGGCATCTGAATCAATGTTCTCGCTTCCTTCATCCCCTTCACTCCTAGTTTGTTCTACACCAGCTCCCAGATTCGTCTTCACTACCCTATCCGCGGTCTTGTCCCCACGCTCTTGTAACGAGATAATTCTATCATGGAAATCGGATTCGTCCCCCTCATCAAGTAACTGATCGGCCGCTTCGCCTTCAGACGCCGGCCCAACAGGTCGTGCCTGTAAAAGTAGAGGTAACCTACAACATAAGCTTCAGCTTATATAATTAGATACTCGATGCGGAGATGTATGTTTGGTCACCAGGTACTAAAACTATTTACAACCTAATTTTCACAATCACACGCCTAAAAGTAAATGGAAACAGGCAGAGATTCCCCAACAGATGAAAAGAATCACAATAAGCATCACGGCAAGCAATATTACGGTATTAAAATCAAAGAAGTGTGATCCAACATGTCGTGGGCTCAATATGTCGTCAACATGATGAATTTAATTAGAAGTAGGAAGTACAACGAGTACCAGGTGTGCGGAACGTGATTGCTCTTGCCAGCTTTGGAAACCCGACCCTGAAGGCTGGCTGAGTGAGGAAGCCGACTGCGAGTTGGAATCTGGCAAGCCTCCGGAGACATGCGGCGGCATAAAGGACTGCTTTTCCTGTGGGACGTCGCTCTCGTTGACCTGGCTCGAAGAGGACGACGACGCACTGTTTGGGTTTGCCCGGTCACCGAATGCCGACCCAAATGAAGAAGAAGATGCCGCTTTGCCTGGGGCTGTCATCATCGGGTCGCCTGAGATTGAGCGTGCGCTCGAAGGGCCTGAAGACGACACGCCGTGCGGCAACAGGGCGTGAGCCTCATCGTGATGTCCGCGCCATCGCGCAGAACTGGAGCTCGAGCCGCCATCTGACGAGACACCGTGGGGCAACAACGCATGCCCGTCATCATTGTGGCCTCGCCACTTCTCAGCGCTAGAGCTCGAGCCACCGTCTGATGAAACACCGTGGGGCAGGAGTGCAAAAGTCTCGTCATCATGCCCATGCCATTGATCTAGTACTTCTATAATTGCGCGCGAGCCTACGTTTGACGCAGCACCGTGGGACAACTGAGCAGTGGCTTTCCCCTCAGTCTTGTCTTGCTCTGAGTTCGGCGACGACGCTGCGTCTGACGAAGAAACGCGGTGGGGCAGCAATGCGTGAGCCTCGTCTCCATGGCCGTGCCACTGTTCTGCGTTTGAGGCCGAGTCTCCATCTGATGAAACACCATGGGGAATTAACGCGTGACCATCCTCATCATGGCCACGCCACTTCTCTGCGCTAGAGCTCGAAGCCGCATCGGAGGAAGCCCCGTGCGGCAGCATCGCGTGAGCCTCGTCTGCATGGCCGTGCCACTGCTCTGGGTTTGAGGCCGAGCCTGCATCTGATGAAACACCATGGGGAATTAATGCGTGACCATCCTCATCATGGCCACGCCACTTCTCTGCGCTAGAGCTCGAAGCCGCATCGGACGAAGCCCCGTGCGGCAGCATCGCGTGAGCCTCGTCTGCATGGCCGTGCCACTGCTCTGGGTTTGAGGCCGAGCCTGCATCTGATGAAACACCATGGGGAATTAATGCGTGACCATCCTCATCATGGCCACGCCACTTCTCTGCGCTAGAGCTCGAAGCCGCATCGGACGAAGCCCCGTGCGGCAGCATCGCGTGAGCCTCGTCTGCATGGCCGTGCCACTGCTCTGGGTTTGAGGCCGAGCCTGCATCTGATGAAACACCATGGGGAATTAATGCGTGACCATCCTCATCATGGCCACGCCACTTCTCTGCGCTAGAGCTCGAAGCCGCATCGGACGAAGCCCCGTGCGGCAGCATCGCGTGAGCCTCGTCTGCATGGCCGTGCCACTGCTCTGGGTTTGAGGCCGAGCCTGCATCTGATGAAACACCATGGGGAATTAATGCGTGACCATCCTCATCATGGCCACGCCACTTCTCTGCGCTAGAGCTCGAAGCCGCATCGGACGAAGCCCCGTGCGGCAGCATCGCGTGAGCCTCGTCTGCATGGCCGTGCCACTGCTCTGGGTTTGAGGCCGAGCCTGCATCTGATGAAACACCATGGGGAATTAATGCGTGACCATCCTCATCATGGCCACGCCACTTCTCTGCGCTAGAGCTCGAAGCCGCATCGGACGACGCCCCGTGCGGCAGCACCGCGTGAGCCTCATCTCCATGGCCGTGCCAGTGCTCTGCGGCTGAGGCCGAGCCTTCATCCGACGAAACACCATGAGGAATTAATGCATGCCCGTCATCATCGTGACCTCGCCACTTCTCTGCGCTAGAGCTCGAAGCCGCGTCGGATGAAGCCCCGTGCGGCAGCAGTGCAAAAGCCTCGTCATCATGTCCATGCCAATGATCTAGTACTTCTACAATTGAACGCGAGCCAACGTTTGACGCAGCACCGTGGAACAACTGAGCCGTGGCTTTCCCCTCGGTCTTGTCTTGGTCTGAGTTCAGCGACGACGCTGCATCTGACGAAGAAACGCCGTGGGGCAGCACCGCGTGCGCCTCATCGTCGTCACCATGCCACTCCTCTGCCTTTGCCCCTGGGCCTGCATCTGATGTGCCACCCCCGCGTAGCAACTCTGCAAGGACCTCGTTATCGCCAGCCGGATCTGCTTCTGCGCTCGACGAAGACGATGACGCTGCCTCTGACGAAGAAACACCATGCGGCAGCAATGCGTGTGCCTCATCGTCGCGACCATGCCACTCCTCTGCCTTTGCAGCCGAACCCGTGCCTGATTGCTCTGCGCCAGAAGAGAGGGTTGAAGCAGGCTGCTTTCTGGAGCTAGACGCGACCGAGCCATCGTTTCCCGACGCTCCGCCCGATGAGGATCCGCCACGATCCTTTGCACTACTGGTCACGAGAGGCTTGTCACGATCGCCTGCGACACTCTGACTCCTCGAACCTGCTGCACTTTGACTCTTCGACGATGACGCCGACGACGCCGGCCGAGATCCGGAGCCTTGTGGTGGATCCGCCTCGCGCCCGCGCTGACCTCTTCCACTCGACGCTGACGCAGAGTTGTCATCGTCGCGGCGCGCAGACTCTCCACCCGGGTTCTCGGTGGACGACGACGACGACGAAGAGGCGCTACCTGACTCACCGCCAGCCCGCTTCTTGTTGGGGCTTGCCTTCCCCTTCTTTTTCGCCATCTAATTGTGAGTCACCATGATGAGCTAAATCTTCACATGTCTAAATACCTAACTGCAAAGCGGAGGAGCCCCTAGCCCATCTCCTTAATTGAAGTTACTTCACGCTGGTGCAATTTCTCTCCAACTGCGTATCGTGATTCAACACCAGAATCCATTGGTAATTTTTTCGAGCTTACAACTAAGCTTCTCTCGGTGATACACTGCCTTCGTTTCTAGCTTTTTTTGTCGAACCCTGCAGTTCATCTCAACTCCGAAAATGTGGCAGAAGAGCCTCTTTTAACATTTCTCGTATTCTAACAAACCGACTGTGCACGGAACTGCATCAACAATAATATGGAATGATCACTACTTTTCCCTTTTATCTACTGACTTTGCACTTCCATTCTCTCGGAGCTGAAACGTCTCAGCTGCCCCTCTCAAACAATACGCTCAGGAGCTTCTTCAGACTAACTCACTCACATCCATAATAAAGGTTCGTAAGCACAACTTTCGTGTAGCATTCGAATTTGTGCGAGCACTTCGATCACATCAACACTTCATGGGACACGGCATAATATGTATGAGTATCATTGCTGCGTTACCAGATGGCTTTGTTGAAGTGATATGACCAGGTGTGCTGTTCGTGGGGACCATAGCGGATCTATATATTGACCATAAGCGGGAGTCAAGTGGGTAGTTAGAAGCATGAAACCTACGCTTGCTTCTTTTTTCTCTTGAAAGAGATGGGCTTTCGCAATCCACCCCAAAATCCTGTATTACTGCTATCACCAGTAGTTACAGTATTTGCATCTTTCTCTACAGCAGCAGGACCTGTCGAAGAAGTAGAGCTCGAATTTTCGTTCCTTGTAGTTTTGCTATCATCTGTCCCTTCAGACACTCCCTTATCTGAAGAAGAGGCAGAAGTTTGTAAAGGCACAACTAGCGACTCGAAACCTTTCGTAGTCAGCGCAGCGTCAAAGGCTTCAGCCATTCCGCCACGGAGCTCGCAAGGGACCCCGCTGACCTGATCTGGCTTGTCTCTAAGAAAACGTCGCACATCTTGCACAATCGATTCCGTAGTGAAGTTTTCAGTCACGGCCACTGTCGCATCATCGAGGTTCAAAACTGCGTGCCACCATCCTTTCGGCACGAAAACCATCTCTCCTGGGCCACAAACACCTTCGCGAGCTCGACTTGATGTGGATGTTTGGTGTAGAGCACCTTTTGATGCGTTCGGGATAGCGGAAGCAACCTTTCTTCTCTTGTTATTTCCAACTGGTCCTCCAGCATCTGCATAATGTAGTCTTCGAAACTCGTCGTAGAACTGCAGCAGCCATTCGAAGAGACTCACGGGCTGGCACACCTCCGCTCCGTCCTCGCTTTGCATCACGCCTGGTGGCGCCACTTCCGGTGGGAGGAAAAACCACTTTTTGCGTCCAGAAAGAGTCAGATTGACTGCTGACGTGAGATTGGGGTCTTTGTGCCATTTGGAGCCGCTACGCCGATTCCCAACTAACAGCCACCTATTGTCAGGTCGATAAACACCGCCATTTAACAGGTCGAAAAGGTCTGTGTAAAGAGGAACACTCTTGTTCCCATTATTGACGTCATTTCCATTCTTTGAGCAGACATCTCCTTCTCCAGAAATTTCCACACGCACCCGCATGGCTTGTCCTGAAGCCACTCTTTGCAATTCTGGGCATTTTGCGTCTAGATGCTTGTCAAACACGAACAATGGCGTCTCGTCTGTAACTATGTGATCTGCATAACCCTTCCACTGACCCAAGTTTGTCTCCACACCGCCACAGATAAAACGTTTATCTTTGTGCGTTTCGAAAAACGGAGACGCATCGAAAGTAGAAATAAAGGCATCTTTTTTGTTCAATGTTGGTATTGTTGATGCCTCCTGCTGCTCTGCAACATTACTATAGACAGGTCGTTTTCCGTCACATCCAGCAGCAGTTTTCTTAGAAGTTCGAGCTTCAACATCATCCCCATTTTCACCTCGCCGCACTGCACCTCCAACAGGTGTATTAAGTAACAACGGGCAGTCTTCCAGGATAAACGGCTCGTTCCCTTGAAAAAGAGACACGATTGTACTCTCACTAGTTAGGTCGCCAAATTTCACCCGCTTCATGTTCTCCGTCGCCAGCCACTCTGGCCGCATACTTATACTTGCACAAAACTGCGGCTGGTAGAGCAAATCCGAATACAAAGGCTCCTGCGCAAATTTAACGTCTAAAGGGCTTGCTCCGCCCATCCCTTCTGCTGAAGCCGCTTCTGTGGCTGTTCCGCTGCTCTCACGAAATGTTGCCATCGGGGAGGCATCGGAACCATCTCCGGGAGAGCCAGCATTGTTCGTTGGTGAATCAGTCTCCATAAATGACGCGTCGGCGTCTCCTGATACATCGCCGATGCAATCCGTGGTCAAGGTCTTTTGAGGCCGCTCTTTGTCCTTCACACTTGGCGATTTGTGCGCAGCAGACGCGGCTAACACCGTCTCTCGCCACGACGCCCGCCAACAGTCAGCACCTGGCCATTTGGGATTGCAAATGAGCTGGTCGTGACCGAAGTTGCGCCATGGATCCTCATTCCCATGAATGTAACGGAAAAACAAGCTAGACGCGCCGGCTAATGGCATCAGGTCAGACAGGGATAAAAATCCCTTGTCAAAAAGCAGGTCTAGTAAAAGCTTTTCGGGCAGTCGCGCAAACAGCGGTCCCAGACCTTGTATTTTTCTGCGCCGGTACGCGGGCACATCGTCTTCTTCGAAAAACAGGTTTCCCCCAGGCTTGAGGTTCCATCGCGCATAAGCAGCCTGTGCGCGGGTCACCAGACTGAGGCAGGATTCCTCCGCATGCTCCACCTCCGCTGATTTCGTTGTCGTAGAGCTTTGCTCTGTTTGAGTCCGATTGTCCTCTTCAGCCATCTTCTTGATCTTGTGGAGTCTTGCGACGGAATACTACACCTACTCGCGTGCAAGCAAGTGGAAAAATTAAAAATGGGAGATGAGCGGTAGAAACGAGGAGAGACAAGGCGGGGAAGATGCCTAGCAAGATACTCGTTAAGTCACAAAGCAACAATTATGATGCCTAGATGAGAGCTTCATCCATTTGTTACCTATTTGTACGAAGTTCTCACTAAATTTACGCATCGCTCGAGTGCCGCAATGCCTGAAGGTGAAGACGAGTCATTTTTCAATTCATGTAGTAGACATTCTGGGATTTGCTAAAATGATTTGACATGCTATTGCCTAGTCCACGATCTGCTTATACGCAAGGATTGCTACAACGCCTTTCCACGACGGCAGGGATCCTGTTGACCCTCGGGCTTTTTTAGAATCGCGATTTCCTCTCAGGATCTCTTTTGATCCTAAAGCCGAAGAAGAACCAATCAATTTTTCTACACTTTCGGGATCTAGATGAAGACCGCACCTTCATGATCATGATGAACGCTACATTCCACTGCAACAACAGCCCAAAGTGACCGGACACGGACGCCATTCTCAATAATTTGATGAATTAGTAGAGGCAAACCATGTCGACGCGAAATCTTTTCACGTTCTCTGTTTTTATTCTGTTGCGTTCTTCGTTGAAACGACGGGATGCACAATGTCCAATTATTCTTTAGATCTACGTACGAGAGTCAACAAATGCAAAAAATTTTTTGGTTTCCTATTACCTTTTTGGCATACTCTCTACTCGACGACTTCCCTTTCTAGACTCAGCGAGCACGCATGATATGATTGTGATAAAGGGGCTGTCTTTATTGCATGATGCATCTATACTGGTGTGATTCCACCACAAACTAGATACTCAGAACTGTACAACCAAGTGAAAACTTTTTGGTGACGGTAAAGTGCACCTCTATACCCGATGCACTGGGTGATTGCAAATGCAATCAAACTGTAAGATGGCTACGACATAACCTGGTCAGCACGATCTGTACAGTATCTCTCTAACATGGGTCGCGATCAGATAACTAGATGCTTTATGATGGGATCTATGTCTACCAGCACTAACGCAAGATAACAGTCTTCAACTAATGGTAACATAATGTTGCAAAGATATGTGAAATGGAAACTAGAATGTTGTTGGTTATCCAATGCATTTTTATGTACAAATCTCGAAGTTTCAGTTCTCTTTTCTCTATTTTCCTCCGACGTAAGTCGCGCGTGCTGCCTTGCGCATAAGCAGTACCTTGCTGGAGGAATTAGCGTTAGGCGTTTCTCCGCGTGCTGACGTCGGAAGCGCTGCGCCCCCGCGGCTAACGCGCGTTCCGTGGGTTGATACTCCCGCCTCCCCTTTCATTTCCGCATTTGTTCCTTGCAGATGCTGCCCTTGCTGCCGGCCGCTCCCTTGCTGATGCCGACGACGGTCTTCACCATGCTCTATTTGTCCACTTTTGTTAGTTGTAAGCCCATCGTCAACAGCTCCTGGAGGACCAGCAGACCTATTCCCGTCCTTGGTCGGACCACTACTGGCACTGGGTGCCTCGTTGTGAACAATCCAATGCCAGAGAGCTTCCGCTTGGATGAGGATCTGCGTCTTCTGCTGGGCCCGATGCTTCGCCTTCTCTCCGGCTTTCGGATCTATAAGCGCCAATTTCGAGAGCCCGCATGTTGTAATAGCCACATATTCCAACTGTCTTTGCAGGAGATCCGCTTGGTCGGCTGTGATGAACAACGATGCGGAAACTTGTAGAGGTAGAGGAGAGCAACAACAACAACAAGTACAAGGGACCGCCGAGGATTCACCCCCAGCGAACGGAATAGTACAGTACCGATTACATTTCTACAAGCCGTTCCTAACGGTTTTTAGCATCCTTCTGCCCGGCTGTTCTTCTGTCCAACTATCCTTCTGCCCAGCTGTCCTTCTGTCCAGCTGTCCTTCTGTCCACCTGTCCTTCTGGCCAGCTGTCCTTCTGTCCAGCGAGCTGTTCCTCTGTCCAGCTGTCCTTCTGTGTGTCCAGCTGGGCAGCCTCTGTCGAGATGTCCAGCTGTCCCCCTGTCCTCGGTGTCCCCTCTGTCCTCGGTGTGGTCCCCTCTGTCCTCGGTGTGGTCCCCTCTGTCCTCGGTGTGGTCCCCTCTGTCCTCGGTTTGGTCCCCTCTGTCCTCGGTTTGGTCCCCTCTTTCCTCGATGTCCCTCTGTCCCCTCTGTCTTCGGTGTCTTCTCTGTCCTCGGTGTCCCCTCTGTCCTCGTTGTCCCTCGCTCTGTCCTCGGTGTGCCCTCTGTCCTCGGTGTGCCCTCTGTCCTCGGTGTCCTCTCTGTCCTCGGTGTCCCCTCTGTCCTCGTTGTCCCTCACTCTCTCCTCGGTGTCCCTCTGTCCTCTTTGTCCCTCTGTCCCCTCTGTCTTCGGTGTCCTCTCTGTCCTCAGTGTCCCCTCTGTCCTCGGCGTCCCCTCTGTCCTCGGCGTCCCCTCTGTCCTCGGCGTCCCCTCTGTCCTCGGCGTCCCCTCTGTCCTCGTTGTCCCTCGCTCTGTCCTCTGTCCTGGGTGTGCCCTCTGTCCTCGGTGTTCTCTCTGTCCTCGGTGTCCCCTCTGTCCTCGTTGTCCCTCACTCTCTCCTCGGTGTCCCTCTGTCCTCGTTGTCCCTCTGTCCTCGTTGTCCCTCTGTCCTCGGTGTCCCCTCTGTCCGCGGTGTCCCCTCTGTCCTCGGTGTCCCCTGTGTCCTCGGTGTCCCCTCTGTCTTCGGTGTCCCCCATTTTCTCTCTCTCTTTCGCTGTGCGTTTCCATGTGCCCACGCGGCCAGATTTGTCCGCGTGTTTCTGGTTGTCTCTGGGGAGCGTGTCGGGCTGTGAGGCTTTGCCGCGGCCCTCTCTTTGGGATCCTCTTCTCCCCTCCTTCTGATAGTGAAACAGGACTGGGGTCGCCTTTTTCCTTTGTGTCGTTGTTGTTGCACTTTTGATGCTCGAAAATCACCAAACACCTCTAGGATCCGCCGAGTGGGTGGCAATCCTCGGGGGTCCGAAGTACAACGATGCTGTTGGATCGTTCACTTCATCTTCACGCCGCAAAAAACACAATTTGAATAGAGATAGATACGTCACAATCGTGAAAAACATTTTTTCTTCAGGCCAGGAGCATATGAAAGAGCACGCAGCATTTATTTTATCAATACCAAGTTTCCTGGTGTCCCCAACTGGTGCTTTCGTACTCCCCATGATATTCATGTCAACTTTATCGGCTTTCTCACACAACACTTCCTTTAGCTCCTCGATTTGCGCGTCGTAAATTCTGTAGCCCAAGACTCGCTCCGCTTCCGTATTCAGATAATGTTCTACCTTCTCAGCATAAAAATCGAGCTTCTCCCGCATGTCGACCAATGATGCCGTAGCCGTCTCTCGGTCCATGCACTTATCCAGACGAGCCTGCAATTGCGCTAGGTCGTCGAGAGTTAGACCAAGATTGCTTGTCAGACTTATCTTTCGTGTAGAAGTATGTTATTTGACATGACGTGTTTTGGAGAGACTACAGCATCCTGGGCAAAAGGATCTTCTCCATTCTCCACAGTGATTCCGACTGGTTGACCCACATGAGATCTAAATCTATCCCATAACTTTGACATGGAATCCAGAAGCGTTCGATCGATTCGAGCCAGAGCTTCACTGTAAGTCCTGCTCTGCGTCTCAAGATCTGTTGTTCGCTGTGCTCCAGTCTCTAGGGACAAGCGAAGTTCAGCAGTATCACGATCTACAGTAGACCGATCCGCGAGGAGCAACATGCGGGCTGAAATTTCGTCGACTTCGCGCACGCAACTGTCCAGCCGCTCGGATCGGCTCTCCGTCTCTTAGAAGAGAATTGGTTTTCTTTGGAGGAAGGGGCCCTTCGCAAAATGTCCCTATTCTTTCGCAAAAAGTTGATGCTCACGATGTACTAACACATAGACATATCTTACTCAGATCAACATGGGTGGCAGTAAGTACGTACATCTGTGACAAACTGTGACAAAATCTCAGCCTTAGTCTCCCGCAACTAGCGCGGCCAGCTGCTTCTCTGATTCGCCGAGCTGACTTGATGCATGTTCCTCGAACCGCTCCACCTCTCGTTCCAGGGCCTGCAGATTGGTAGACAGCATCCCGATGGTCTCCTCTGTAGGTCCTTTTCGAGCGAAATGATCGTCCAGGTTTCCGCGAATTTCAGCTGCGACGTCATCAACATAGCTGTGCAGGTTCTTTTTCGTGCAGAAAGTCTCTGCTTTCTCCTCCTGTATACGCAGCAATTGCAGTAATCGTTCGCTTTGCTCACGCCGCGTGTAGTCCTGAACGAGCGTGAGATTGACGGCTTGCAGGTCCTGCTTCGTCGCGAGACTCATATTTTTCGCTTCCAGTGCAGCGAACTCACCGATACCAACCTGTTGTTAATCGTCTTTCTGGTAATACGACTCTGGTCTTTGATTGTAATTTCACAAACAGGAGCAGCCGTTCTACTACTACTAGGTCGGGCCGCCATGATGCGATATGAAATGCACAACACAAACGAAGAGACATCAGAAGCCGTACATTTGATTAACCTCAGAAGAAGTACCTTCTCTTTTATTTCGCGTCCCAGTGCGTCAACCAAGTTATCCTGTAATGCTTTCTCGCGTTCGAGAAAGTCCACTTTTCTTTCAAGGGCCAAGCACCGTGCTTTTGTCTGATCCAACTCCGCGCCAACGGCTGCCAAGGTGGCAGCACGTTCTTCGCCGACTTGCCGCAAATCCTCGAGGCGCTGGTGTATTGGAGCCGCCACATGCACATACAAGAGCTGCCACTTGATCGCCTGAATCTCACCCGCTAAACTAATTCTAAAGAAATTTCAAATGCTGAGGTGAAAGGAGTAATAGTTGCACGTGGTTCCGGACTTTTACCACGTGTACTACACTTGGTGCTACTACTTACTCTTGTTACAACTGATCATCCAGTTAGCATTAAGAACTTTCTTCTCGCGAGCCGAGACTCATCAGAATTATTCTCACGTTGAAGTCATAGCTCCAAATCGCGAGTCTCATCAAATCATAGCTGAAGTCATAGCTCCAAATCACGTTCCCGGCTTTCCATGGATCGCCGATCTACTTCAGCCCTTGCCTGCAGGCTGTCCTGCTCTCCCACTTGCTGTTTGACGAGCACAACCTCCTGCTGCACCTGTTGTAACTGGTCCATGATTGAGCGGGTCACTGCTTCCAAGTTACTGAACGAGATGAGGCTTTCCGGGTCCACACCGGGGGGAGCGACATGCTGGGAAGCATGTTGACCATGCGCACCTGACCCGGCAAACGAGGGGGGGGAATTCGATGAACCGTGTGGATACATTTTTTCTCAACTAGTGCTTGATGCTATAGTTGAATGTAGTAGCGTGCTTCACTCTAGTATTTGCTCATTCTACGCAATCAAAAATGCTAATGCTACCTATTCCTGTTGTAAGTAGCCCTGCAATTTTCAACACTATCAGATCGACATCAAACAGATGAAATCAGTGATGACAGAAGAAATATTCTCTCATGCATCCTTCTTTCTGTAGTATCTCCAAATCGGCACTTCCGATTCCTGAAACCGATTGCATTGGACCGCCTATCGCTAACAAACGGGAACTGTGAGCTGTAAAAAGAACAAAGGCTTGAGCTTCTTTCTTTTCAAGGATGAAATACTGTTGACATTTCTGTCAACAAGAAGCGGTCTTAAAAGATGGATTAACAAAAGGGGCCGCGGTTCCTATCACGGGGCACGGAAAGGGGAACGAGGGGACGAGATCGTATCAGCAAATGAGTTTTTCTAGCGCCAATTGGTTTATGGGTGGCACAATCCTAATTCAAAAGTGTGCCATGATCTATAGAAGAACAAGGGTTACTCGCCCAGGTTGGAATCAGTTGCCGAGGAGCAGGTACGACTGCAACATGTTTGCCTCTTCTAGTTTCCGCCGAGGCGATGCCCTCTACCAGTGAAGACTCCATTTTTCGTACTAGAAGTACTAGTTGTAGCGTTCGCACTTCGTCGCCACTCTCCGCTTGACGACTCTGACTGCGGTTGGGTTCCATCATCCGCTGGAGTCCCGCTCCACCATGATTCGAGGGGCCCAAACCAAGAACCCTCTCGACCTTCTTCGGAAACATTTGCTTCATTCTGTGCTGCCTCTTGCGGCGTTCTGGTAGTGTTGCCCACACTTGCAGTTCCACCACTCATCGACAAGCCGGTCTGTGATGGCCTTGCAGATTCTCTTTGACTATTTCTTTGCCGGACCGTTGTGGAGCTTGAAGGACTGCCATCACCAAGGACATAGCTTCCACCCTGAATGCCAGCTTTTGGAGCGCTGCTGGTGCTTGAAGAATTTGCATTCTCTTGGTTCCTCGCTATCCGCGCGTCCTCCTTCGCTCTACAGTCTTCGCATAGAAAGTCACTATAAGCTTCTACCGTGTCGCAAATTGTGTCGCTCGCGGCCGCGCCTGCCATGCTGCCACCCACAGCGCCTCCGATCGCTCCAGCGAGTGCCCCAACCATCGTGCCCACACCTGGGAAAACCGCGGTTCCGGCAGCAGCCCCTACCATAGATCCACCATATGAGCTCGCCAGCGAGCCACCAAGACTGGCGCCGGTCCGATAGGCGCCACGGTTCTCCACCGCATCAGGCAGTCGCTTTCCACACTGCGCACAAACTTTGACCTGATGCGAAACGGTCACTTGCTGCTGGACCGTCATATAGCGGACACCAGAGGAAGACGGCGATGACATTCTATCTTTTGTCTTCTTTAGAGGAAAGGTAGGTGAAGGTGAAATGTCGAGATTAACGAATGGGCGCAATGGATTAGCCGAGACAGTAAAAAACTAGAGAATGAAATTGTTACTTCTCTAAAAAAAGTAGGCATCGATCAAAATAGAGGGGAACATATCATGGAACTCTCGTTTGGATACGACAAAAAGTCGCGTTTGGATAACTGTATGTATGTTTTGAAAAACTCAAAAAGAGACAAGCCAAGGATTTGTACGAAAAATCTAACTAACAAATAAACTCCGCTGCAACTTTTGAAATGAAGAGCTAAACTATGTATCCATGGGACAAAGGAAAGGAACAAGCCTACAGAATAGTACAGCCAACGATTTCTCGGGTTGCGAGAGAAAACAGCCTGCTTGTAGGTCGAAGTAGAGGATCTGATGGGAGTTTCAAAATTTCTCAATACACTACAGGATCCATTTTTCCACACATTAACATCCTCGTTTTTAGGAACAAGAGTCAATCGGGATCACTTAATCGGAACTTCATAAGTTGATCTTCATCGTCACTCTGGGCTCTCAAAATCGATGAATCAAAAGAGAGACCGATTGACAGGATAAGAGGATCTTTGTAAGGTCAAGGCCATTTGAGAACAACAAGGATCTTGCTTAGTGAAAACTTACTCTCTTCATCTGCTCTGCTCGTTTACTTTCTGCTCTCGAGAAAAAGACAATCGACACTCATTCATTCACTCATTCATTCATTCAGTGCTCGCAAAAAGATTTTTTTTTGTTTTTTTTTTTGAGTTAGGACTACATGCCGCCGCCCTTTTAATCACTTATACATGTCTGTTTCATAATTAAACAATTTACATACTGGGGGAGCATAGGGCCGTACATTCGGCCGAAAAGTCTACAACTATCGGATCTACGTTTCTCGCGATGAGAGCATATATTTACCCAGCGAGAAGCCTAAAGCACGACGGCCAGGCAGCTAAAACTACCAAACGATTAAGCACGACGGCAACCGTTGCGAAAGATCTACTGCGATAAAATAGCAACCATGATGGACTCTGTCTGATTTACCCCGAAGACACAACACTACACCCTGAGAATCGAACACGTGATACGCTAGATCATTGGAGAGACCTCATCTAACTCTAATGAACACTATCACAACGTTCGCCCAGCCAAAAGTCCGTAAGCAGAAGCAACTGCTTGCTGTATATTTTGTTAGTCATCTCACAACCTTTCCTTTCATTCCTACGAACTTTTTCAACATGTTTCTCGGAAACAGGGATGCTCTCCTCGATCCTTGAAGATTCCGAAAATAGTTTAGTGTTCCACCTTCCGTGTGTTGTGCTTCAACTCTTGTTCGATCATATCAACTTACCAAGATAGACAGCAGAATACAGTTTGCGCATAGCTCAGCCTTGAGATCTTCTGCCCTGGTTACAGTATGATGTGGACACTCGCAGATGGATCTATCGAACTCTAACTGCTTTCCAAACATTTAATCATACAAGATTGAAGTATTTTCGTATCTAGTAGCTCCCAAGCCACAATACTACAGACCGACTCATGCATTTATATACAGTGTATCGCGATTGATTTTTTTCACTTTTTGCATTGCAATTTTACTTTCTTCGAATTACTAATTATGGTTGATATATAATATTCACTAAATTACTACGGAGTGTTTTGCACAAATGTGCGACTACTTGCAATAGATTAAGCTTTGAGATGTGTTTCATAAATCAGTAGATGGAATTTGAATCAGGTGTGGTGAAAGAATATGGATTTTGATTTTGAAATACTTACATTTGGAAATTATGGAGGAGTGAGTGCTATTTTGTTTTCTATGCCAGATTGGTAATGATTAATTCTATGTAGTTTCTAATTTTTACAATTTTTTCAAATTATATGTGGATGATATGTTTGTATGATTTGATAGCTGGCAATACGAATATGTGTTTCACGAACTATGCCAAGACAGAGTCCTTTTGACGCAACAGAGGGATACAACAAGTTTGAATTACTGTGCACGACTCTCTAGGCCAGACAACAGCGCTGGGAGAGTCTTTGCTGAAACCTGCAACGCAGGACCTCAGCCAACCAAAGTATGTACTCGAGACAGAGAGGACAGAGTTCTTTCTTGTTGAAGACGAAACGCTAGTGCCGATAACATTTACATTGATTAGTTACAATTTCTATGACAGTTAGATTGGTACTAAGTAATAGGTGCTTAAAACTTTGAAGATTAGATCCTCTTGCTGCTCGTCATCAAAAATGTTACAGGCGGCTCGGTATATGTAATTCTGTGCATGCCATATTGACGATGATAATCATACCTGAAATTATACGAAAAAGTAAATACAGAAAGTCGAGATAATCGATGAAAAATTCAGAATTGCTCTTCCAAAATTTCCAAAGTATACATGCTTTTCCAGTTTGTGCTCATAGTGCCAAGCTAATGTGGTCAGAAGTTTCAACAGCGACATACAGGTATAACGTCTAAGCGTACTCCATTACTCCGACAATACAACCATTCATGTTGCTGTTGAAACGTCAGACACATTCTCATATCTACTATCTAGCTTACTCTAAGCCAATTGCCTAGAATTCCCGAGCGGTAAGCCACTAATCTTTGCCGTAGCGCGCCGCCCTGCGTTGTTTCAAATCCGCCAAGCGGTCGTGCAACTGACCGATCTGAGAGCGCTGATCGTGCCAGAATCTGTAGACACGGTCCATTTCTGCTTTCAACGCTGGGTTCGGTCGTTGGCCTGTCGACATTATTTTGAAGATGCGACTGCAGAACTTAATTTCCAGTGAGTCAGTGAGAAAGCTCCAGGGTAGAGAGCGCCGAGTATGATTCCATGAAATATAAATAAAGTGCCATTCTTCATAAATATCAAGTCATTGTCATGTGGTCATTGCCAGAACTTACTAAGTAAGATATACAAGTGCTTCTCAGTCAAAGGAAGTAACAATAAGGAGAGAAGCAGCTTTCAAAAACCTTTAGAATTAAAAGTTGATACAGTAGTTATGAAGTGCATTCTCCGGCCAATACTCGGCTTTGTCTTCGGCATCCGGAGGGCACTTAAACTGATGCATTTTCTCAATTTCGTAATTCAGGTATGAAGCAAACACCGGATCACCTGACGCGTTTTTATGGCGAGAAATGTACAAAAGCTGTAAGAAGTCGCTAGGTATCTCTTTTTTGTTTACTAGTAAAAGGTCAACAACTACAAATGAAGTGGATCGGAAATCAAGCAGTCGTGGAAGATTGAAGATGAAGTATAGATACATTTTTCCACCCGCAAAAAGAAAGAGTTGTCTTTCCGCATTACGCCTAGCGGAATTCCCTGCTCGGCACTAAATGTTATCGACCCAAGCGCCATCTTTTTGCTTTTTGGCGCCAAGGTAGGCACAGGATCCGGCATAATTTTCGTTGTTACCTGGTGGTCTGTCCCATATAGCATTTCTTGATTGAAGAACTAGAAAAATTGTCTCTCTTAGTTTCTTAGATTGTTGACAAGAATTTTACTCAAATACGGATGGCAAATCGTAATATGGATATTACCAGATGATGCTCGTCGGTTTCCTCGGCTGAAGAAGAATCACTGTGCGTTGTCGTTGAGATATCATGACTAGGCTGTCTGTGGGCCTCATAGCCACACCCAGATTGCTTGCCATACTGCGGATGCGGCAAATAGTAGCTGAAAAGGAAGATGATCGTGGAGTATAAAATATTTCTGATGGAAATTATTACGACTGAAGATTAAGACTCAGTGAGCTAAGCGATAAAACACCCGAAAGCGAAAAATTTGGACTGGAAAGTAAAGTATAAAAAATTACTCTTTTTGTGAAGGTCTGCGCTCTGCAACTTGATGCTGGTGAACCGCTTGCACGGCATTGTATGTTTCGTCTACATGACTGCCCGCAACATAGTAGTCTCGTGGATCACGGTGGTGTCCGCGAGTATTATTGTGTGCCCCATCCAGGTGAACGGGCCGACTAGCATCCTTGTTGTTCTGTCCCTTGTTCGAAGAACCTAGACAACAAAGTGAGGATCGAATTACCCATCAATAAATGAATGGCATGTATTGGAAGCAGGTACTTCCTTGTAGTTCCGGGACGAGACACAAAACGTTGCAAAAGAAACTACAAAGGAATACAACTAGTAGCAATATTGAAATATTTAGAAGCGTGAAATCATAGACGATCAGTTTTCCTAAGCAATGAATTTAAGGGGCAATTTCAAATTGAGGGAACGAGTTCTTGTCTGCAATAAATATTTTGCATGAAGGTATAAGCCTAAGACTCAGAGAGAAAACGAGCCGGTTGCTTTACTTAAGTATGTGCTTTAAGCATCGCTGGACCTAAACCTTTACCCTTTTAAAAAAAGGCGAAAGCCAATCAAGATTTGCAGCCCATCTCTTTCGTATCCTAAGGGATAAAAAACATATCACTTCCTGATGTTATGGGAGGAGGTGAAGTATTTACTTCTCATATGTTTTCGTTTCATAAAAAAGCCTGTAAAGTAGCCAGGTTTGCAATAAACTAGATTGATGTTTTCCTATAAAGTACCCTTGTCTGCAACAAATAAAAGACAATCTAGTACTGCTGCTTCGTCGCTGCGTAAGGCACGGCACCCGCATCATCTTGTCTGTCCTCGATTTCGGGTTAAAAGACTTCTTGTCCCCGACGGGTGCTGTTCCAGACCACGAGACGAGGGAGAGGTCTCTCTTTAGGACCGTCGTGAACCTCGTGAGCCGCGGCTTCTAGTTCAAGTTGTGTTTGTTGTAATAATCGAAAATATAAATTTGATTGTGCAGGAGTTCATTGATTTCTAAGTACAGAATAATTGACTTTATATCGTTTTTGTAGTAACGGAAGCCACAAGGTGGTCGTCGTCGTCGAAAAGAATCTACGTCTTGGTCTTACTACACCGCTCTCGTCCCATACATAATCATACTATGTAAATGTGCTATGAATATCCACAAAGGCTGCGGTTTAGCACACGAGGAATGTATCATCAGCTTCTTGTTTACTCTTCAGAAACGATGATGCTACGTACTAGACCAATAGCAAACTAGAATCTCTGAGAGAGATCTATCTTCGTATACTGATGAGCTCCAACTTCTCTTGTAGGTACTCCTAGCTTTCGCTTCTTCATAAACCGTTACCTACTACAGCTCGCCGTGTCACACCTAAAACGAAACCTCTGTTGTCCACCTCACGTTAATACCTTCTTAATAAATAAAAGAAACTGTTCTTTGAAGTAGTTTAACACTTTACTACAAGAGTGGTGGATGGCTGTCGTAAATATGGTGATGCCACCAAAATAGTACAAAGAAAAAACTTCCAACGAGAACCCGGAAGCATATAAACCCCACCTATGTATTTGGAGATATTTTTCATTCACGAATGATACTCGGCAAGAATTGAATCCCATAAGAAGATCCAGCTGCGGGAGCAGGAAATGTATATAAGGTCAATAAACCTGCAATGAATATATATAAAAGAGTGGAAATCTTTGTCTCTGAACTACAGTCCTCAGATACATATGGACGCTGACAGAGGATGGGTTGAAACTTGATGGACGAGGACTACTATGAAGTCAAATCACTGAACAATTTCGAACAGTCATATAGAAGGTTCAGAGAGGGAGTTGCAGAGGTAAAGGGGACACCTTTCATGGCCGTAGCGGTTCTTTATGTAGTCGGTCGCATATCCTAGCAACCGATTCAGGAAGGGCATTGCGCCATCCTGCTCTGACCGAGACCTTATGTACTCAAACAGGCGACCGATAACCAAGAACCGATGACTTGTTCTCGTCACGGACAAATCCCACTAGATTACAATTACTTACGATTGCAAGTCTTTCGACGTCTTTTTTGTATCGCGAGCGTATGCTGAAAGAGCAGAGCATGGAGGGATGGATCGTGACCGATTATGAAAGCGAGTCTTTCCTTTCTGCAACAGACGACTCGTATGTATTTGAAGAACACATGTCATTGTTCGTTGCGCCGATGCTCACAACGAACAGTCGCGCTCGGCGGTAGAGAATGATCTTTCATTTTTGTAGATTTAAAAAGCTTCATCAACTTTGGTATTTTTTCACTTAGAACTTCATTCATCTAGTATCTATATCCTCCAGTAAATGACTTCTTCGCGTTTAAATTGTCAATCAAGCAACTCCTAGTCAATAACATCATCTTCTAATTTGAGTAAGTAGCAGACTCCTCTTGAATATGAATGTACCTTTATTATGTACATGCAGGTCCTCATTGAAGGAAATCAAAACATTTAAGCTCGACTAGTCAACGATAAATGGCTGGGCACCATCAGAAACAACTTCTAGGGGCACAGCAATAAAAAAGATCAGAACGATAATTTGTCTTAATACTTCATGATCTCCACTGTACATAATCTTCGGAAGGGACTTTGTCCTTGGACTCGATCTAGTATGCTTTTCGTGCAATTACGGTCTGTCCAAGATCAAGAGTTCGGCTACTTCTCTTGCCGGCGTCTTCCTCACAATCCTGCCATTCTGGCTGATGGTGCAGGCTCAATTGAGGACATCTTTCAACCTTCTCTTCTGCTTGCTCAAAATACTGCACCTGCAGCTTTGGCATGCTAGTTCTTAGTATAGTAGAATCATGAATCAAGTAGATATTTAGAATGGTTCGTAGCAAGTTCCTTGTTGTGCATCTACATCACACATCAGTTATCACGCAAGGACTTTAGGTATCTATTATGTGATCTACTTCGCAATTGTCTTTAGGTTAGGCTTAGGATATACTTATATATAAAATAATCTGTCACTTTTCAACAGCGCACCCAGTTCAAGGCTCTTTTTTTGTTGCCTACTTGTCTACAAGTCCACCAGCATTTATTTACGTGGCTTGAACCGGGAGCGTGGCCCGAACCTACAAGCAAAAAGAAGTACAAGGGCGTGGCCTGCCTTGCAGAAGGATAAACATCGTTCATTAGTGCACGAACACGCTGAAAATTCTCATAATACTTACTGTGCAACAATAAGACAAACTTTTTTGGCAGAAGTTGAAGAAGTTCAGGAAAGAATGATAAAATGCAATACATTTTTGTATTTTTTTGAAGACAGTTATATTTTTACTGTAGAAGCGGGTATGTTGAGAGTGGATAACCCTCATATTAGTTACCACGTGATGTTCATTTGTAGTGAACGAAGTTCACAAGCAGACATTCTTCATTTATTTTGGCAAAGAAAGACAGAATGAAAAAGCACCAGCTATACGTCCAGCGAAGTGAGCATTGCGCAGCCACGCTTAACCCAGTGCTTCGGTGCGTCGAACGTGGGAATGCGCATGGCCATAACAAAGTTCGTGCTGTGGCCGGTAGTACTGAGCACACCTCTCCTGGTTGAAACTTTGTAGACGGGGCAGCTGTAGAAGTAGAAGTCGTGGAGCTCGTCCTTCTTACACGGTGTAATGTGGATCATCGGCACACCCGTAAAGAGAACTTTCGGCTCCGACTCCGCTAGACCCCACTTATCCCAATCCCAGCGAGCACCCTCGAGAAACAGCCCATACGTGTACACTCCGTCCGCTGTTGTAGTCGAAACAAATGAAAATAATTATAATCATGAAAAGTCTAGTATAAATATGTAAATGTACACAGCAGGGGATATAAATAAAGGACGGTGACTGTCGAAGATTTCATGATAGTTGGCTTCCAAGCGCGAAGTACCTGGTGGCGATTTCGGTTTCTGCTCCTTCGGATAGTAGAAGTCGAAAGTAAGCGTGTCAATTGGGATGACGTATTTTCGCGCAAAGTTCTGCGCAGCACCAGTGGTGAATGCTTGTGTGAAAAAGATACCAGAAATCCAGAACAGCGCTGGCTTGCCCTTGTCGATCCACGTCTGGTAGAACTTGAAACGCTCGAGCAAGTCGCTGACATAGCCACCTAGCGGCTTCAGAGACGGATACGAAGCCGCCAGCCACATGGCTGGAGTGTTGCTTAGAGAAAGCGCTCTTCATTAACTCATTAATTTCCCTAATCAGGCAACCTGACTCACATTTTATGCATGGTTTATTTAGGCAGTACTCGACTCTACTTATGTTAAAACTTCGTCTGTGACTATCAAGTACACTTACAAATAAACAAGACGTCGCGAAGATGGAAAAGCCGAATCAATTGCCTTCCCTTGGAGATGTATAAGTTTGAAGATGGGAATAGAACTACATCGAGGAGCACCTTCACTCAATGAATAAATGGGTATTTCAGATGATCGGACTATGAAAGACTAGCCTTAACTTTCCATCGAACATGTTGAAGAATGCTTCCTCCAGTTGCGCAGACAGCAAGGCCAAACCCTTGAGTGCCTTCAGAATTTCTCGCAATGAATCCCGAATCACGTTGCCCAGCTTGTTGTAACGCGTGACCTCTTGGAACAGTACTGTGTTCATACTCTCCTCGTACATCACCGGATACTTCTCCTGTACCGAAGGGACGTTCCAGGGCTTCGGCAACCGGCCAAGGATATCATTCGCGACGTCGCGCACTAGGTCCTCGGGTCCTGCACCGCCGCCACCAGAGGCCTGACCAACGGTCTTGAGCAAATCGCTCATCATCTGATAGGTCTCACCTTGTTCCTTCGTCAAGTTCGCATTTTCGTGAAAACCGAAGACGCCGGGTGGAGTAACTGTAGTACAGAATAATTTATAAGCTTTCGTGGCGTGCATGGCATGGAGTGCATGGATCACATGGAGTAGCATGGAGTGGCAAGAATCTTGCCAGCCCCCACTTCTACTCCATGCACCCCATGCGTGAAAATTTTGCGGGGTGCCCTTCGGGCACCCCTTTGCCCGAGACTCGTCCGCTGCAGCCCTGTACTGCAACGATGAGACGATGGAGCGGTCGACTCGAGGACGAAGCACCACGCCCACACTGGCCGGCAGTCCGGGCTTGCTGCTACATAGGTCTAGGCGCCCTGACACACATTGCTGCCCCTGATGGTCGTTGCCAGGTACTTCGGTGCCCGAAAATTTCGGCAAAGGGCCCAGCAAGTCGCATCCTCGGGGGGTTCACTCCTCTTCCGGAGCAAGCCTTGCTACGGCTGCACCGCTCTAGGCAACCACACGGGGCTGACCCATGCAAAAAGTTGAAGAGGGGGGCTGTGTATGTGTGTCCCAGGGCTCAACCAGGGAGCAATACCCATCCCCGACCTAGGAAGGCGAGGGGGGAACCTCTCAGCCCCGGCGGGACCCCTTTTGGCGGGGTCTGCCGGGCTGAAGGGGCGCCTTTCCTGCATGTACCCCGCAGAACCGGAGGCCGGGGGGGCTCGTCGAAGGCCGGGCTCTCAAGCGGGAACGGCCCGAGGCTCACAGTGACGTCCCCTACTGGGTCCGCAACCATAGAAAGCGGACAGGCGAGGGGGGAGGGCCTCTCAGTCCTGGGCCGCTTTTGCGTTGCTCCGCTGCTCCATCGATCGACAGGAGGGGAGCGGCTGACGGCAGAGGCTAGCGCGCCACCTCGTGCTCCATGCACTCCATGCGTGACACGCGGCCACCCCATGCACTCCATGCGTGGGAGTGGCGCAAGTGCTCCATGCACTCCATGCCACTCCATGCACCATGCGTGCTATAAACTAGTAGTTCATCATTGTGGTAACACTAAGAATTATCATGAGATTATTACAAGTGAAATTAATATCGCGATTTAGTGTGCCTGATGCACATCTTCATCAATCTAGTTTGACTCCAATATGACAAATCTGTGGCAGTGATTACTGAACGAAAAATCTCGTCCCTGCAGAGTGAAAGTTCTCATACTTATTCACAAGTGACCAAATGTGACAGCAATAGCAAAAGCAACCTACTCCAGATACTACAATTAATTTTTTTTACCAAGCGGCAGCCCCCTAATGTGTTGCGTAACACTGTCCCACTCTTCCTCCTCGCAGAGCTTGTAGGCCGCTTCGCCGGCCATACGGTACTCGCTGTCGAAGATGCTGCCGTCGAAGTAGTCACGCAGCAGCGTCATGATGAGAATGCGGTCGTTACCGTCCGTGACTCGACCACCATAGTTGCATTCTCCCGTCATGTACGTGATTGCCTTGAATGGCATCTCTGCCTGCTCGTCAATAAACATCTTCAGCTGCATCACACTTATCCTCAAGTCGTTTTCCGTGAACTCGTAGGGAATATTCCACCCCAGCGGGCCAAACAGCTTCCTCTCCTGACACACGGCATGGAAGAAACAAAGTCCGAAGAGCAACCGCTTAAACTCACGAGGTTTCTTGCAGCCCTCATAGAATTCCGGGTTTGAGATGGGATCCATCAAATACGAACCAGTAAGGTTGGAACGGAGACCTGGATCGAACACGTCGATAGATGCAAGATTTCGTGAGAACACTATAAGAAGTGCTGAAGTGAGTGGATTTCTTCATATGGAGGTAGCTTTTTCCATCTTTCAGACCATCCAGGCTCCTCCGTTATACATTTTTAAGGGGAAAAGAGGGCGCCGGCATGGTCTTGTTAATAATGGTAAAAACTCCATCCATACATACATTACGAATACTTGCGAGAATGCAGAGAAAGCAAAAAACCAAAAAGTACCTTTCGGCGCCTCATTTGTCATCTTGAGACCGTTTTGTAAAATTGTGACCGGGAACTGTGCACTCGGATATGACGTCAGCCACAGTCGGTATTCTTTATGTATCTTTCGGATATCCTGCTGGTCCAGAATTTTCTCGAGTTTTGGCATCCAACTCGTTGCCAAGTGACAATTCTGCAAGAGAACCCAGCCGCCGTCCTTTTTCCCATCGATCATCAGCTTCTCCGCTTTGGGCCCTTGTCCCTGCCCGAGCGAGATCGCCTGGATTTCTTTGCCGCGTTCCACAGCAAACTTGTCCAGCGCTGCTTTCGGATCACTACCGGGAGAGAGGACGAATACTAACGGAATGCCGTTGTTGCTATCAGCGTACGAACCTTCGAGGTCAAACGGCGGCGGATTCACGAAGTCCTCGCCGAGTTGCGCCGCCACGTAGAGCATGATCGCTGGCACCAGACGATCCGGTCGGAAGGCGCGCAAGAACATCAGCTCCTCGAAATCATCGAAGCCTGCGAGGGTTTTTGGCTTCAGCTCCTGCAATTTTTGGAGTGGCTCCGTCGCATCGTAGGCCACTTTCATCAAGTCTAGCTCATCGGCGAACTTTTGATCAACCCCCTCAAATTTCTCTGCAACCTTTCCGAGCTTGAAGACCTCGGCCCACGTCCGTACGGGAATCCACTCTGCGGGCTTTTCCGGTGCCTGCTCCATACTAACGCCACCGGTGAGCAGATATCGGTAATTGTTCATGTCGATGAGCCCATCGGAAAGGAACAACCGCGCACACAGCAAAAACGAAAACAGAAGTTTGTGCCTGAAAGCCAAGGAGTTACTTCAACATTGAGGACTTGTTTTTTTAAAATGATCTCTCTGCCGTCCTTTGAACTTAGCAATCTGATCATAGATATGCGCCTCTAATAAATATTAATACGACTCTTATTCAGATTCATCACTTCATCTATACATAACAACTCGACGGTGACACCAGAGAGATGTTAGAAGGAGATTCAAATTTCCATTGATTCATAGTCTTTATCGACTCTAATATTGAGTAGCAACTATCACACAGACGGCACGACGAATATACCTTTCGAAGAGACTCCTACAGATATTGCGATAAAGGTTTAAGCGGAAAAAGTCGTTGATGTTTGCGATGCGGTCGCTGAGCTCGGGTGCTTTTTCGGCACGCTCGATGGAACTCAGGAAGAGCTGCACGTAAAACGGCAGACTGTATTGGTACATAGGATCGATGCTGGCCAGATCCTGGATACAGAAAAACATGACGGCTGCCTTGAAAGCGACTGGCACGTAGCTAACACGCGCTTCATCGATCTTGATTTCCGTAGCAGCAGCCACTTCTTGTTTCGCAGCAATATCGTTTGACACGACCTTAGACTCTTTCATGATGTTGATGGCACTTTCGTCCTCCAAAATATTACCCTGGGACTCAGACAGCACGCGCAAAATTTCGTTCTCGCACTCTTCGAGTTTCTTTTTGTTCGCCGCGCCTTCGAGCACAAGCTTCTCTTTTTCTTCGGCTAGATCCGGTCGCTCTTCCTTCACCACAAAGTTCAGAATCTGGTCTTGCAATCCCACTAACGTGATCATGAAGTTCAACAAAGTCACCTTCACTGCCACGTCAGGCAAGTAGTGCGGGTTCCGCAGCTTCGTTGTCATGTAGAAGAAGAAGTCTTTGCTATATTCGATAATACTCTCACCCAACTTGATCATGGTCATGCCGCCCTTCTTGAAGGTTTGCTTTAGCAGTACCGGCTCTACTGCGGGATCCGTGTCTTCGCCTACGTTCTCGATTAAGAAAGGATTCCCGAATTGGATGCTCGTCTCCAGCTTTCGGAGGTAGTCGCCGTCTGTAAATTTTGCCACTGCAATCTTGCGGTCAGCCTCCAACTTCTTGATCCACTTGTTAGCCTGTCCCTGCGGGTCAATCGCGAGTGGCCACCTGCGCGCCTTATCAAGAACAATCGCGTTCTCGATTGAGAAACTGTCATTAGGAAGCCCACAGATGGTCCAATGCCGGATCTTCACCGGCTGACCGAGAATCTGGTTTCAAACGTATGTATGATGAACAAATGACATTGACAACTCATGCTAATTGATTACATCTTCATACGCAGAAAAATAACGACGGCTCTAACCACCACAGCGACACATCTTTTTGTCTATCTGTTTTACAATGGGACACCTCTAGTGGTATACATTTGCTTACACCAGCAGCGTCGATGATCATACCAAAGAGCCAAAATCATACCGTTTGCGGTGAAAATATGATCGTTCTTAAAATCCAAAATTATACCGTTTGTAGCGAAAATTGCTCGCTGCCTGGTATCTCCTTGCTTTTTGTGATCGACACCCAGCTGGTCAGTGCCTCGTCGCGGAACTCTGGTGTGAACGCCCCCAGGTAGGCGATGAGACCACTGCTGACAATGACGTCACCGGTCAAATTCACATAATCGACAGCCAGATTCGCACTGTTTTCGGTCCAGCGGGTTTTCTCACCACCAAGCGAAGAAATAAGCTGTTCTGCGCGAATCAACTTTTTCTCGCACAGATCGACTTGATAAGCCAGATTATCCTGCTCCGCCTTCAACCCGTTCAGCTGGTCTTCGAGGGCCTGCAGCTTATCAACAATTTTCTTCAGTTCCGCCTGTTTCACTTCCAGCTTGGCCATCACCGCTTTGAACTCTCCCTCGGCGACCGCTAGTCTCGCTTTTTTCGGCGCGATCTGCACAAATTTTAGAACGGTCTCCATGACAAAAGAATAAATATGCTGAGAGTCCCACTCAGGAGTAAGTAAGTAGGTATTCGTGTGTCGCTCCCTCCGCATGGATAAGAAATCTGGGAACAAAAGTTCACAGATCCTAAACCCATCGGTAGCTCTACAAAGTTAGTTCATGATGCTACTATCTAAGCGCGCGAAACCACATCAAAATTATTCAGCAGAATGGTCATGTAAATGAAGGGAAGTACATCTTTCGCTACGCGGTCGTAGGTAACCATCGCGCGTACCCACATGCAGACTCCTGTTGCCGCTTTGGACACTTTCTCGAGACGTGCAATCTGGAAATCCTCGTCTTCAATCATAGTTCCAACTTTCGCTACGACCTTCGGGTCCATGTTGTCTTTGTCATAAGCCCGCAAAGAATCTAAGAACTTGGAATCCGAGATCATTTTCACGATACTAGGCCAATAATTCATCACCATCTTACCGTCTGGACCGGGCTCCCTATTGTGGTGGAAAGAGAAAGAGAGAATACCCTGTTGATTGTGGTGTAAAGAGAAGCCAGGGGATAGAAAGAGAAATGGGCGTGCTGCAGGTGAGCTGTGCACCACAAACTAGCATTGAGATTGAGCGTGAACGTGAATCATTTCTACTTTGTGATCTAGTAACTTTAAATCGTTGACATAATTTGTAAGAATCATGGCACTTCTGATACTACTACTAACAGGCCAGATGAATAAAGTACCTGACGGCCGTGATGTTTTTCATGATACAGACCGCTGTGAGCACGAGCTTAACCGGACTTGGTGGATTCTTCATTGCTTTGATTTCCGTGATATCCTTCGAAGTGAGTGTGTCGAGTGCTTTCAGGGCACTATTAAGCGCTGGCATTGCTTCTGCCAAACCAGCCTCGCACTCCACTTTGATAGCGTTCGCAGCCTCTGCGGCTTCGTTCGCAACGGCCTCATCCGCCGCAACAACAACCTTCACTTTTTCGGCTTCCTCAGTCTCCTTCCCGACGACGATCATCAACTCGCCCACCTCCTTATTCTTCTTGATCAGCTGAGGCTGCAACGCAATCAATTCCTGCTTCATACCTTCGACAGATTCCTCCGTCTGCACCAATTTCGTCAAACCGACATCATACTTATTCTTCAAATCGGAAACCTGTTCAGTAGTAAGGGGGTCAACATTTTTGGACTCGGCATGATCTTCAACCGACGATACAACAGATTGACATCAACTTCCTGCATTTGCCCATGCGTGACTATGATATCCGTGTTTATTCTTGAGCATGGAGTTTTATACTGCCACATATAAGAAAAAGGGCCAGGTCAGGTTGGAGGTTGCGTAGCATGCAACCCAAGTGGCCACAAGATCCTGGGTCGAGATCAACGACACCTGATGCAGGTAGAATCGATCAAGGAGTACCTGTTTCCGTTTTTCGCCTAGCAGGGTCTTAAATGTCGCGATGAGCTCCAGAAATGAAGTTGGGGTTGCATAGTACATCCGCTTTAGTTCGTCCTTGAATCTTACCGCTAGTTTGGTGGATTCTGCGTGAAAGACGCTGCACATCTCCACACAGCTATCGCATGTCTTCTCGTCCATCTTTTCCTCTTTCAGAAACCTATCCGCGACTGCGATTAGCGCATCTGCCGGCCACTCGGTGAACCAGTCAATGACGCAGCAACTCACTAAACTAGGAAACTGGCGCAGTCGGGAGCGCCAGCTGTCACCGATAGGCGAGAAACAGAGCACAATCTTCATCAGCGTTCGCACACGCGCTATGAAATAGGCGTACAGCTCCGCAGGCGCACCGGAGAGGCATTTGCCTTCCTGTTTGGCTGCAGGCCGCACTAGCTCGCACAGATTCATTCTTTCGTCGGCCGCGAACAGGTTTGGCACTTCACCACTGTTGAGCAAGTTGTTGATATCTTCTACGAAACCTTCATCTTTGATCTGCGAATCGGTGAACAGGAACACTGTGCTGTCACCTTTTCCGCCAGCATTTGTCAACAGCTTCTTGATGTCCTCCCGGAAGGCTAGCAGGTCATAGCCCTTCGCGATTTCGATTTGGAATATCGTGTAGTCGGCGAGGAAGGAGGCAAGCTTCGTGCAACTTTGTCGTCCACTACCACCGACGCCGACAAGTAGAGCGTTACCACCAGGAGTGCGTGCCACGCGAGCAACTCGACTCAAGTGCTCCAACATGTACAAGAAGCACACCTGATGAAAATAGAAGCGACAAACCATCACCGATTATGAGTAGGAGGGAAAATTCCCAAAATAATCGCTGCTACAACGTAGAATGAATCTACTAACATCTAGAGAAAAGACGAAGCATCATGATCATACCAAATTCATCTTGTTCGTTGTCATGTTGTTGTATTCGTCAAGATGCGCCTCGACGGTGGACTGCAACTCTTCGAAATTCATGCATTCCCTGTATGGCCTCTTCGGAGCGGCTGGAGGACTCAGCATATCGCCAAATATCATATACCTTGTATGTTAAGCAGAGATAGTATGCAATGAAGCAACTGAAAATGTCCTTTTTGAAGCGAAAATGTCATTCTTACATCCATGCGTGCCTATCACTATCAAGCAAGTACTTACATTCAAATAAAGTCTTGGTCTCCCTCATGTCAGGATTGTAAAAAGTTGTACCTAAGTTCGCCGATGGTGTTGACCTTTTTGTCGTCGTTTCTATCATATGGCTTCATCACTTCGTCAAAGGCTTTGCCGTAGGTTCTCTTCGTGATTTCCCTTATCTCGTTGAGCATCCAGACGCGGTCCTCTTCTATTATGAGACGATCGCCGAGAATACGCCAACACTCGTGCACCCATAGACGAATGCAACGGTTACCTGCATCTTCGCCGAAGCCATCTTTGTCCATCTGCAGAAAACCAAGTATAATCTTCGCGAAATCTCGAAGATTAAAAGTGTAGTGGACTTTCAAGGGAGTTGGTAATAGGTTCGCTAGTGCCGCTTTGTACATCTCCAGTGTCGCCAGAACTATTTTCTTGGCGTTGCCGGTAACCTCGCCTGGGTATCTGGTAAAAATTTGTCATGATTCATATCTATCCCAAAGCCACCTCATTGTCTTTCAGCCATAGGAATGGATGTGGATCACAATCGCCGATGAAAAGCTTCGACAAAAAAGTGTTTGAAACAACAAGAGATATCATAGCATTGACATTAGATTATAGTACCCTTCCACGCCGAACTTCCAGTCCACGATAGTTTGGAAGATTTTGGTCATGTTTTCGTCGTCCAGATTCGGGAAACCTACTAAGAGGAAGTGACTGGCAAATCGCGGCGTAATGAAGGTACGACCACCACCCGGCAGACCCATCGCTGCGAACATGATGCAATCGACTATTCCACGGAAGGGATGCGTCGAATCTTTGCGATCGTACCAACCTCCGTTTGGCGGATAAGCAATTTTGTCGATCATCTGGCGCAAGATCTCGATTGGCGGCTGCGCTCCGTACTTCTCCTTCACCGGCATATTCAAGTCGTCAACCATAATCAAGGCTTTTCGGTTCATCGCGGGCCCAAAGACGCCCTTACGTCGGCGGTCCAACTTCGCGTCGATCAAGTCTTGCGCTTGCGAACAGCGTGACTTCGCGGAGAACCCGATAAAGATCGGCATGTATGCATCCTTGTCCATAGCCAACAATTGCTGCTCCATGTACGCGGTCTTACCCGTACCCGTTGGACCGCAGAAGAGCAGCTTGATTTCGTGCTTGATGCAATGCCGGATCACGTACTGGTAGCGAATGCTGTCGGTCGTCTGAATCAGCAGCGTGTGTGGCTGCGCCGTATTAGGGATCACCTGGTCCGGCACCGTCTCGGTCCAGCTTTTCCAGCTCAAGCTGTCCATGTCCCAGACGTAGTCGAAAACAACACCCCGATCCGGCAGCGGTGGATTCACTTTCTTAAACGCTTTCACATCGTCGACCTGAGAAGTACTTATTTCAATTGTCCTTACTTAAATCAAAAACGGCCGCATTATGCAGTTGTTCTAGACGATAGTGGATTAGTTAATCTTTATTAGGTCCATAAATAACGACCGCATTATTTATCTTTCCTTCGTAGTGAGTATCATCAAATGTCAGTTTCCTTTCCTCGTCTTCGAGCTTCCGCGATATGTTACTAGATTTTTACCTGATTCGCCAATAGTTTCTGCAGGAATTTCGAAAAGAGCGCTTTGGACTCGGTGTTGCATGCCGCTCCGCAAGAGAACGTCACTGCAAAGATGGCATAGCAATCAATCATGGTGATGATATTTTTCGAGGCAATCTCGGTGGCTGAAATGTTGCTCTCGTTCTTCACGAAGTTTTCATGCTCTAGCGCATCGCGAATCAAGCTCATGTACAACAGACAGAAGCTCTGTACCAAGTTTTGGTCGAGACTCGGAGACACCACTTGGCACGAGGATTTTACGTACCTGATGCAGGGCCCAAGCAGCCAGTTGGTCATCTCGATCACCTCGCTGCTCTCGGCGTCGGTCATGAAGTCTGGCAAGCCTTGGGCAATGAACTTGTCCACCAAGTGCTGAAAGCCCATCAAATGGGGTTCGCAGTAGACCATTCCGTTTCGCGATATCGTGGCCGGTGAAGCCACTTCCACATCCATGGGCTCGATCACGACGCGCATATTCGCACTCATCGCGATGATTTCTCCGCTAGTAAGGCACAACTTCTTGTTCTCGTCCATTACCGTGTTCATGTCCTCGATCCAGATCGCGTCCACCGGTCCATCGAAGACGAGCCACTTCCTCTCGTCCGTTTGGTTACGCGCAAATTCACGGAAAAGCACCGGCACAACACCATCGGTCCACTCGTGACTCACCTCATCGAAGCACCCGTAGAGATCTCTCGGTGGAATGCTCTTCGCGTTGAGACGCAGTTGGTGCACGATCTCACCCGGGTGCATGTCGCCACTCTTTGCCAAATCGGTCAGAGCTTTCTGCAGGGACAAAACCTGCGTGGTCTTGCCGGAATACGGCAAACCGACAATCATCAGCGAGTGCCGCACAATGTGCGTCTCGTAGAACTGGATAACTTTCGTCAGAAAGTACTCGTCCGGCTTGCAAGCGTCCTTCTGCAAGTGATAACTAACGGCGTCGATCAACTTCGAGTAGTCAGGTACGGGGAGTTCGACGCCAGGAAAGAGATCGCTCTTGATACCGCCAAATAGTGGCACGTCAAACGCTAAGAACTTTGCCAAGTTCACGTCATTGATGGACTGCAACATCAACACCGATTCGCTCTCCCCAGCGCGCTTACGCTTCAAGTTACCTTGTTTTATTTTCCACGATGTATCTGTGTCCGTAGTAAAACATGGACTGACCGAGTCCGTCGGGCTCCTCTGGGTCGAGTCAGTCCAAAAATTCAGGTGAGTGCGAATCTAGCTTTGATACCCCATTAAAATGAATCTCGATCTTCAATTATCCAAAGTCTAAACAATCATCACAGGTGCAAACAGTTGGCGTGCGTTGCCTGCGAGTAGAGGTTGTAATAGCTATGTATGATTACCTGCTGCCACGAGCACGGAAAAGACAGCACGCATACCATAATCGTAGTGCACTTGGCTGGAGAGCTGTTCGGAACAGAGTTTGTAGGTCGTCACAATCTTCTGCGCCAACGAACGAGAATCTTCGTAACCATAGGCGTAGAGTTTGATCTCGGCAATCATCGCGTAGTCTGGAACCATCATCGCCACCGTTCGGAACAGGGCCTTGAGGTTATCCGGCAACTCAGCGCGCCCTGCGTAACCAGGGTTCATCGTGATGAAACTGTTCGCAGTCCACTTGATTGGCAGATAAGTGCCCTCGAAGTCGAAGTGCGTCTTGCGTGCCTTAATCGCGTTCTGGATACTCATGATCTGCTGTGCAACCACTGACAGCACCTCCACGTCGATACGATTGAATTCATCAAAGCACGCCCACCCTCCGGAGGCCGCGAGACCTTTGAAGAATTTACCCATCGCAATGTAGTCCAGGCCATCGGAGCAGTTGAACACCACACAAAATCGTGCCAGACCCTTCGCCAAATCCTTCACCGTTTCCGTCTTTCCCGTTCCGGCCGGGCCCTCAGGCGCCGCACCATACCCTAAGTGCAAAGCACCGCAGCACGTACGGTAGCACCTATCGGTCAGTGGCGTAACCACCAGACGGGAGCTATTCCCGAGGTACTCGTACGCATATCCCAAGTGCGAATTACTGATTCGCACAAAGATATCCGGTCGATCTGCCCGATCGGCATTTGGTTCTGCGAAGTAGCGTAACTGCACCAACCAATCGAAATCGTTTGGCGACGCAATGCCCAGGTCGTACAACTGATCCACTGTATCCTGATTGTGCACGTAGATGACGATCAGCGCTTCTAGGGTGCAACGAACGACCTTGGAGACGTCACCACGCACCAGGTCGATAATCTCCTTCAGGATGTCTTTCATAAACTTACCGTAGTCAACAAAAAACTCGTTGCCCTTCTCTGCGAGTCCATTCTGAATGTCCTGTGTCCAGTACATGTTGAACACACCGATCACCGTCATACCTTTGATTTGTGAAAGTCAATAAAACGGATTGGTCCATCATGTTGATGAGTGTGATCACATTACTCTTTATCGTCGGGATCGAGAAACTCAATCTTGTTCCGTACATACGCCTAGTATCACCAAAGACTGAAAATCTTGCTCTTCAGCAAAAGTTACCAGGCCAGAGCTGCAGCCACTCGGAAAACTTTTTCGTTGGGTAATCATCTTTGGAAGCGAATGTGACGGCACGAATGGCAGCACACATCGCATCCTCCAACTCGACCAGCCAAATTTCAACATTTCCTCGCGCCTTGGCCGGATCCACAAAGAAAGGCTTCAGTTTGCCGTCTACGGATCCGGTCTTGTCCTTGTCCTCGTGCTTGTTCAGTGGTACCACCTCCTTTTCGGAGGCGACTATTTGCGTAATGCGCTTCTTATCGTCGAACGTGCAGGATTGGATTCCCTCAAAGCACTTCTTTAAGTGCGGCTGGATTTTAGTGGGATCCTTTGTCTCGGACAATATCTCCAACAAATTGTCGTTCGACAAGAAAAAGAAACGCGGAAAATACAAACGCTTAGTCTCGAGGTAGTCATTCAGACCCTTCTGCACGTCTTCTAAATTCTGGTGGCACGCGTTCAGTCGTTCCAATAAACCTGTTTGCAGTTTTAACGAGTGATATGCCATGACGGAATGAAATAAACCTCCATGGCGATAATGTATCGATCTCCATACAACTGTCGATTCCAAATAAAGCATCACCATTATGCTGTTAATTCCTCAAACGAAAAGCTATTCAATCAGAAGTGATTAAGTACCCTCTATGCGGAATACTGTTGTCGCAGGTGGATCTGCTAAACATTCCTCTAGTATCTCCCGCCATGTCTTATCTACTTCCTTGAATTTCCTGCCCTCGACCGGCATCTGCTTCATGATATCCTCGGACGAAAAAATAGGTTCCAAGTACAACCACACGGACTGCACTTTCAACCAGATATCGATGATATCCTGAACTGTGATAAGGAATTCTTCCCAGTCCTTCATGCGTTCCGCGAAGAACTTTGCGAACGGCGAGCCCTTCATTGTCTGCACCTTAATAATGTGGTCATCCAACAAGGACTGCACAGCCTCCACCGTATTACCCGCAAGAAGAAATTAGAGGAGAAGGAATCAAACAATACTCGTCGAAATCAAGGACATGAGACGCGACGAGCTTTGGTGTATATATTTTTGTAGATCGATGTACTTCTAGTTTTCCACGAACATAGCTTCCTCCATTAGCATGCTACAATGACTAAACTTTTATACAATCTCATAATATGCACATAAAGACTAGAGCTGTTCCACTCAAGTATTTAATAACCTCTACCAAATGAATCTTCGTTTTTGTATCATAAATGTAGGTTCCGGTGTCCTTCCACGGCTTGAATTCTGCAATGAGTGGTGCCCACTCTTCCTCCTGAGTGTCGAGACTCTTCTCGATCTGAAATTCTTTTGATGCGCTTTCTGAGATATCCTCCAAATCTTTGACAAATTTCTCGATCTCCATGTCCATCACTCGCGTCAGCGTCCAGCTGTTGTCCGGTTCGATCGTAAAACCGACTACGCCCGAAATCTTCTCCCAGTGACGCTCTTTCAGACCCTTGTTGCACAGCGCTGTCAATACAGGCACCTTCTCTTTGAAAAAGTCCAGCTCTTCCTTGATTTTCTTCGCGACTTCGAACGGTCCCTCTGCTTTTTGGTCGCCGTCTTTGAACAAAGCTTGGAGTTTGTAGGCTGTTCGCCACATTTTAGCGGCGTCGCCTTCTGCAGTTTCCGCATCGATCTGAAACAAAGGCCCCTTGAACCACTGTCCGTACTGCTTGTTGTGATCGCGGCACGTCATCCACAGGTTCTCGAACGGCTCTAGCTTCTGCTTCATCGTACCCAGAAGCTCGAACTCGGTAATATCCCAACCTGTGGAAGGTGAAGATGGGTAAGACCATAAACATCATTTTGTTTATGCTTATCAACTCCATCTTTCTACAGCAATTTTTAATCACTCCAGGACCAAGCTGGGAATTCAGGTCGGCCGCACCTGACTAGTGAACGGCACCGGTGATCATCGAAAAATCAACGAATTCTATCTACTCATGGAAACTTCTACGTACCTAGCATATCCTCTTTATTTGCGATTTCCTCAGCCTTTTCGTCGACTTGCACGAAGAGGTCCTTGACAAGCTGGATTTTCTCGAGATATTCGTCGCATTGTCGGATATTTCCGTATTCTTTGAACTTGTCGACCTTTTTGTCCACACTTTCGAGCCATTCCTGGAACTTCGTGCGTTCCCGCAGGAAACTGTCTTCGATGTTGTCGCGCTCGTTGTCCAGCTCCTGCTGTCGCTCATTCAGACGGTCTGTTGATGTTTGGTGTGCGTGTGGTGAGGATTTCGTTGTTGCGCAAAAAAACGTGGAACATAGATGTGATAGGGATGCGAAAACGAAAGAAATGTAGTAACAAACCTCCATCTCTAGTGACATACTATGTCGGGGACTCACGCAGTACATCAGGAGTGAGAAACAGAAGTTACATACAACATCATTCTAATGACCATTTCTAATCACTCATCTTCTCATAATCTTCCTTTCATATTCTAGTACCTGTATACTTTACCCACCTAGAGGACTCGTACAAAGCGCGGTAGTCGCCAGCACTCATTGGAGCCTCTAAGCGGATCACGAGTTCCATCCACTCGCGGATGTCAGTGTATTCTTGAAGCAGGATAGGAACATCGATCCTTCGGAACTCATCCAAATCGGTTTCAATCTCGGTTAAGCCCTCCTCTGTCGTTGCTTTCCGACTGAGCCGGCTCTCAATAAACTCGAAACGCTTTTGCAGCTTGCTGTTCTTATCCGTGATCTTGGACACCATCGATTCCAGCAAGGTGTCGATGCACGTCTTGCAGGACTGACACAGCAAGTCATTGATCTCGCGGCAATCCAGGGTGATCATGCGCATGCGAATCTGGCCTGGGAAAGCGTGCTGCAGCTGATGCATGGCGTCTCGCAGCTTAGTCACGTACTCCTCGTAGTCATCGCGACTCTTCCGCGGGGGTTCGGGTGCTTTCTTCTCCTCTTTCTTGCCAGCAGCTTTATCTGCTGCCGCCTTTTTCATCGCGAGCACTTCGACCTCGAAATAGAAGCCCTTCAGATCCATCTCGACGAAAGGCTGCGTAACACGCTGCGATTCGCCCAGGAGGAAGAGGAAGCTGTCGTACAAATGGATGGCATCCCGGACGTTCGCGATGTTCAGAGAGATGACTTCCTCAATCCTGTGCAGCTGGATCTGGATGTCGCTCTCCTCTAGCAACACCGGAAGCAGGCAGCGCTCTGTCGGCGACTCCGCGATCTGCACATCGGGTCGCTGCATGCTGTTCAAACACAAAACCATCTCGCGGAAGACACGAATCAGCTTGTCGTGCACACTCTCCAAAGGGTTGCGGAACTTAATGGCATCGCCCTTCACGTCAGCAGTCAATTTGTTGAGCAAGAAGGAGTCCTCCCAGGCGTCGTCGTCCGTCAGAGACAGCACCTGATTCACTGTCAGCGGCGTGCCGTTACCGAAACGCTCCAAGAACGTGACGTATTCCGCCAATGACCGCTGCACGCAGTGCCGCAAGTGCAGCGAGCACAGCACCGCTACGCTATCGTGAAACAGGTCCAGCTTCGTCACAGGTGCTGGCGGTGCGCCACCAGCCTCTCCGGCCACCAGGATAGCCTCTTCGCGCCTGTGTGGGTGTCCCAAAGACCGCTCTTCTAGCTCTCCGTTGTGCTCGATTTCCTCCCTCACGATGCCTAAAACCCTCAAATTCCAGTCCTCCGCGAACTTCTTCACGATGAGATCGCGGAAGCGCTCCTGCCCGAGGCGGAAGGCTTCGACGTCGCTCAGAACGCCACGCTTTGGAAGATCTACGAAGACTAGCTCCGAGTAGTCAGCATGAAACATTTCTAGGAGTTCGCGGCTCGCTTGCGTGTTTCCCACGAACACGTCGAGCAGCTGCATGCGCTCGAGCTCCTCCCACTCGGACAGCAAAGTTTTGCCCGTCTCTTCGTCGATGCCGAAGGTAGAGGCTATCTCGAGCGGGAACTGTGACATTTAATTCAATAATTGTAATGATGTCAAGACAAATCTCGCCGTCCTGTCAGATTGCCGCGACCTATGTATATAAGACGCAAAGCCAGACGGTCCCCCCCCTCCTCCCCCCCCTGTGGTCTCGTGGTCTGTGGTGGCGCGCGCGCGCTTTTTCACGCGGATTCTAGTGATGGAAGGCCTCAAAACTTGGCGCGGGCCTCCCCTTGGGCCTCTCAGCGCGTTCCGAAGAGACCTCCTGGCCTCTGCTGACCCTCGCAGGCGGGAGGTTTCCGGGGTAAAAGGCCACCGAAGGCGGCCACGGTCGCAAAAGCAAGCAAGCCGATTACCAAGGGCCCGGAGGGTATAGGCGGCACAGCTCAGGGGGTCCAGCCCCTCGCCTTTTGCCGCCTTCGGAGGCCTCCCGCTGTCGGCGCACTGCTGCGGCGGCGGAGCCTAGCGGATGCCCCTAGGGCACAAGCCGGCACCTGGACGGGGCGCAGGCGGTCCCTTGGGCCCCTTTTGAAGCCTCCCACCATCACCAGGAGCCAAGCAGCTGGAAGGGAGCGGAGAGGGAGATCACTGGGACCCCTTTCGAGGCCCTCCCCCCCCCGCAGACGCCTTAAAAAGGGGCCCAGGGCGCCCGCCCCCCCCCGCTGCGGGGGGGGCGTCGCTCCGCGCCCTGGAGCATAAATATAAGCCTTCAGGCCCAGGGCTGGAGGCCCCCCCTCCGGGCCCCATTTCTCAAGGGACTGCCGGGCAAAAAGGCTTCCAAGCGACCACTTCGCGCCCTCGCGGCTACTTGCGTCTGCGTGTACCCTACAGAACCCAAAGAAACCCCTGAGGCCGTTCAAGCACCGACGGCCGGGGGCGGAGGGCTTCCGAAGGCGGCAAGGCTTGACCCCCTTGCCGTGTTGCATGCAGCCTACAGACCTCCCGCGCGCGGGCTCCTCACTGGGGGAGTTTCTTGGGAAGTGGAAGGCCTCCGAGGGCAGCAGGTGGCAAGGCTTGACCCCTTTCGCCGTGCTGCATGTATCCGACAGAACCCAGGCGGGCACGCCTTGCCCCCACTCCTCCTCGCCTTTGGTCCTCAACCCCCCGGGCGTTTGGCGGCAGCGCCACTGGCGCTGCCGCCAATTGGGGGGATGCGGGCCAAAGGGGTCAGGCCTCGCGACCGTGGACGCCGAAATAGGGCCCAAGAGTCGGGACGCCTGTGGGCTACACGCCCCGAGCCGCAAGGGGGCTCCGGCTCCGCCTTTTGAGACCTTCGCCCCCGGGAATGCTTGCACGTCACCACCGCGGAAAAAAGGGCGCGCCGACGCCGCCGCCGCTCCATCCACAGGAGAGGGGCCTCCCTTCCTGGTACATAAAAATAGCTCACCCACGAAATTTGCCCCCCCAGAAATCACAACACCGACTATGCTAATGCTACCATGACTGAGGCCATACCTCAAAATGGCAACAACAGAACCATCGAGGATACCTTCATATATCTCCAGTCTCCCCACGGATCCACTAGCTGGGGAAATATGAGCACCGCAGTGCGCTGTCTAGTGCTTTCGTCGAGGAGGCAGTAGTTGCACACCGCGCGCTTTACCGCGCTGTAATACTCTCCTAGGAGCTCATCTTGAAGCGACTTGACTAGTTTCTTGTCGCTGGCAGTAAGGAGAGAATTCCCCACAAGCAGCTTGGTGTTATCCAGCCATTGCTGGTTGTAGGGAGAAATCGTCGCGTCTGGAATGCTGTCCACGTAGTACTTGTATCGCATTAGCGTGCACAAAAAGTCCTTCCGTGTTAAAGTACCAGCTTCCTCGACGTCAAGAGCAATTGGGCTACCTGTTGATCATAGTCATTGTTTCATATGGTGCGAAAGTCGGAGCATGCTCTTTGACCTAAGTAATGAACATTCGGGTGGTATTTTTGACTTGATCCTTGATCATCTATCAAAAATTGTATGAAGGGTTTTGTAAGCAAATACTACCTTCTTCTATGAATATGCCGAGCTGCTTTTCCCAGAATTGAACGCTTTCGTCATTTCGCAGGAAATTTTGGTGAATTTCGGAAAAATTTTTCGCGAGGTCGTGTTTCGCGAGATTATGTGCCCGGTCTACGCGCCATTCTAGACTACTACTTGATATGTCAGGATTTTTTTCTGGATCCAACTTGAGCAATCCCGCTAAAGGACTATAATTTATGCCTATGTTGCCGCTGATAGCGCCTTTCTGCAGCTCCTGCCTTGCTGGCGCACATCGCGTCCGCGAAAAAGCGTCTAACAAGTCTGGGAACTGAGAACTCCCAGAAGCAACTTGCTTCATTCGAGGGGCCTCGTCCTTGTGGAAGCGGCCCTCGTCCAGAGTATCCTGGACTCTTCCAGGCAAGCCTCCGCCTTCTAAAAATACTCGCTCTAATTCCTCTCGCCGCAGGCGCAGACCCGGGGACGATGGAGAACTGGAGGTGAGAAAAGTGTTTCTTCTAACGCCAACGGACGAAACACGTAGAGGAAGATTCCGACAAAATAATGTATGTAGTGCCATACTTCAACAAAAACAAAATGTCTTCTACAACTTCGATCAAATATAATAAAATATGTTACCCTTCTTCCTCGTCTTCTTCCGGTATCGAAGCCGCCTTCTCCGCTGCCGGCGCTGGGACTGCCGCGGGTGCGGTGAATGCGGACACTGGGAGCTTTCGGCTGAGCGAGCTTTGTATCGTGAACTTTGGCTTCTGTAAAAAGTCGTAAGCCTCAAAAACCACTCGTCGCTGTTCGTCGCACTTTATCTTTCCTAATGGCGCAAGGTCTAAAAATACCGTCGCGTGCGTGTTGCACGCCCAGGGAACGGTATCGAGCACGAACTCGTGTACCATGTCCACGAAATCGGCCGGCAGACCTGTCAAGAATGTTCTTCCAAGTAACATCATCTCAGTGCGACTTAGATGGTTACTCTCTACTATCGGCAAGACGAAACAGTTCCTCAAGCGGTCCAGACAGACCACGCAGAAGACTTAGAATCTCGGGCAGTTCAAGATTCGATCAAGAGCACGACATGATCATTCATGTAGATAGATACATAGTTAGACAAAGAGGAGGGAGCAATATCCTTTACCAGGCAGCAACTTGTGTATCTTCGATTTTTGGTACTTGGAGACTGGACCCGAGATGAGTGGCGGTGCACGAAAAGCATGGTCTTCAGAAAAGTTCTCCGCATCGAAGGCGACTTCGCAACTGCTCGGCGCCACGGCACCTGAGCTGCTGCTTGCTGCGCGCGTGTGTATGAACCGTCCCAAAGTTGGGACGTGGAGCGCCGCGCCCGGCTCTTGTAGGTCGTGACATACTCCGGTCCATACTGCTAAAAAAATCTTGTAAACATTTTCCGCCGAACACAGCGCAACGTACTCCACCCTGGTAAAATAGGACGTAGTGCACTTAGATGGAAGTTTGTTGATGTTGAACAGTAACAAGATTCAACATGCTCAACCTAGTGTCAACGGCATGCATTGTTTCCTACATACAGAAAGAAAACGCTTGTAACTAAGCCAAAAATACTCTTTATCTGGTGCCAGCTGGTCGGCATATATTCGCGCTAGCGTCCGTCGGCCGACCTCTTCGAGACATGTATCGGTTCGGAAGGGCTTCGGCCGCAGCGTTGCCGGCTTGCGCAAGTTCGAGCTCGACGACGTCGAGCCGCCGCCGCCGCCCGTCATGCTTCTTGACTTCTCTTGCTTTAAGGATTTGGAATCCTCCCAGCAACAACAAATATTTTTTGGGAGGACATCCTTGTCGTGGTCTTCAGCATCAAAAATGTACCGCAGCTACTTTCTCTTTCAGAGCAGAAGCAATTTTGAACCTATCAATCTTCCTCTATCTAATGACACAAAAACCTGCATCAAACATTCTCCGTTTTCTTGCGTGCACCGATATTGACATCGAGGTCCAATATTCCGAATTTCAACGTTCGAGTGCAGCAAAGTCGAAAACCCTGTTTCAGCCCTCTTTTCTGTTTTTTTTCCAAAACGCCTTTGCTTTGTTTTGTAAATCGACACGTATACTGCAGAAACGAGCTCTGACACTATGACTAGCTCAGTTAGTTTATACAGTATGATGATGAGAGGACTAGATTGTAGCTCGTTTAGTAGACTAACCCCTGCACTAAAAATTCCAATTAGAGAAGAGTGGATTGAGTTGAGAGGGTGGGGATTTGGTTGGAGGTCCTGGAAAGCTATAAATTTTTTAACCGATGAAGTGGAGGGTGTATAAAATATAAATATATCTATATCTACAATATTCGCCGGCTTCAAAGGCAAATGGATAAACACCTGCCGATGCAGAAACAAGAGCTTGAACTTGTTATTCATAAAAACACGACTCTATAATCTTCTCTATTTTCTTTTCCGGGATTCCCGTTCGCATCAAGTTTTCTAGGACCCTGCGGCTTCCCTAGTGTGCTGTAGTCAACGACGGTCGGTCTACTGCCGACCCCCTTGGCGACTGCTTTTTCGGAGGCTCCATCAGCAGGCTCCTCGCCGATCAATGCGGGCAGCGGCGCTTCATCGTGCCCGACGCGGATGCACTGAGTTTGAGACCCCATACTCAGTTCAGTGGAGTCGACGAATCCAGGAGTCTCCACACGAAGGCACACTTCGCGCTTCGGGTCCATACCCGTGCCGACGATGACAGAGGCTGACAAGTCACCGGATGCAGAAGGGTTACCATCGGATAAGGTATCAGCCTCCTGAGCTTCACCTACCTCGCCCCCCACTTCGTCAAAGTCTTCGATATCTTCGATGTGGCCAACATGAAGAAGCTCTGGATCCTCCTCCACCTGCTTACATTGAAACGCACCCAATTTTCCTGGCGAAGTTTGTGAGAGGCCAAGAAGCTCCTCAATTATACGGACTTCCTTTGTAGCTTCTGTGGGTTTGGCAGTGCCATCTTCTTTTGCTACTTTCATCTCTGACGTGGCACCAACATTGCCCATCGTTGTCTTCTTGATATCTTCCGCTGCTTTCGTTCCCTGTTTGGAAGATTTTCCCGCATGTTCTTCGGCATAAATCCTTTCGGGCTTCACCTTCGCAGTCGCGCCGACATTCTCTTTGGATAAGGCTGCTTCAGGTTTCGTTGCCGGTTTGGGAGACTCGAATGCACCGAGGAAAAACGGGTCGTAGGCCTTCTGTAGGCGCTGCTGCAAAGGATGCGCCGTGGCCATCTGTGGCATGTGGCAGCACTTATACCACGAACCCTTACCTTTATCGAAGAAGAAGCTGATACCCTGGAAAATCGGTCGCAGTTTCCGCAGCGCAAGCTCAACCGCTTTTGCCGCGGCACCACTAGCTGCACCGGCCGCATCTAGTGGGTTCCCACCTTTGTCCGGCAGCGGAACCTCTCTTACGCCACTCGCGTGCATTTCGTTCAAGCACTCCCGATCCGATGGTAATTGCTCAACCATGCGCCGGCGCAGCCACAACTCCCTCACTGCGCTGCACACATCTAGCCTCGAATCAAGCCAGTCCCGCAGCTTCTGCTTGCGCTCCTCCGTCAGTGCCGGTGCTGAGGCTGGCCGCACGCGCGGCGGAGAACCCAGTACAGACGGGCCGCCTGCTTTGTGTGTACCAAAGTCATACACAGTTACAGCAGCGCCACCTGCTGTCTCTCCAACTCCATTAGCCCCACAGAGGCCTCCAGCAGTGGCATTCGGTCCACGCGCCTGTGCCATCAATGCGTCGTAAGCATCTCGAATCTCCGGTGGTGGGGCGCAATCCAAATAGAAGGACGTAGCGCAGCGATGCTGCGCGGTCCACGAAAAATGTGCCACATCACGCAAATTCATCCCCACCGTCCTCATTCACAGTCAGATCAATTTTGTACAGAAAAAACGAGTCACCATTTCTACACGTCATCCACACGATAATCTAAATTTACGTAAACGGATCCCTTTGATAGTGCAAGGAAAACCTTTTATCTTGCTGTATGGACAAAAAAGGTTGATGTTCTAAGACATGTGGCCACGGGGATTTATCAACATACCTCTTCTCAACATTCAATATGAGGTGGATCCGACCGGTTCACCGAATGGGACACGTCGTCAAACTTTTAACTTCTCAAGACTCACGTTTTCGCTACCGACTTCTTTTGGAGAACAGGAGGTGTGTCACTCATGCTACCTTCGCATTTTCGTCTCGACAAACGACTATACCAACTACCGACCGGCTCGAAGCGACCACCGAACCGAGAGGAGGAGCTGGCACGATAGATTAGTACAAAATGCCATTTCATCACAACGGACCCGAAGAATAACAAGCCGAAATCGACAGAAAGTGTAGTTAGATGTGTTTGCGGCCGCAACTCCATGGCATCCGATACCTGTGTTAGCATCTGACTCTGGAGCAGAACACAACGAAGTGCTGGTGCAATTAAAAATTCGAGTACGCCGTTCTTGTATCTGATCCAATGAAGAGGCTCCAAGCTATGGATGTATCTTCTAGATGGCCCGGCTCCTCCTTTCAGAATAGGGGATCGTGATCTAAGAATTACAATAAATATCCATTCAAACAACGGATCGAATAGGATTCGTTGCAAGTGTGCGTTTGGGTCTCTTTGCCAAAAAATTGTGAAACTCCCACCGGCAAAAAACAGTCATTTTTGATTGTTCGAAAAATTAGGAGAAGGAGAAGAACCAGACACAGGTTCACTTCATTTCTTCTACACGCGATCCGACTTTGCAGTAATGCGATCGATAACTACTAACACAATAATCCCACTTGACCTAAATATGACATAAAGTTTTCTACCACATTTTGATTTTGAATACAGATTTACCCAACTATATCTCATTGCCGAAGAAGTTTCTACGAGGGGGAAAAAGCCTACGATTTTCGAGGAGAAAATCGTATTTACCGACCTTCTTCTTGTTCCACTAGAACACGAAGGCGACCTGATTAATTCAACATGATCATAATTAATATAACAGCATAATTATAAATCAACATGTTTATGCTAGGTGGGAACAACAACAATATAGATTAATTACAAGTTATGCGAGGTGCCGGGAAGGGATGCATCATGGTGTGTCAGCGATTTGGACTCATCCATTTGAATACCCTTGTTCATCTGATAATCTAAGGATATTTTGTTCATCATTCTTTATTTTTCCACTGCCGACAATCGTCTTATTTCGCGAACAACTTTGGTGACTGACACTTACAAAGTGTGACATTTAAGCTTAACCTGTATCTGATTCTTGGTGAGACATAAACTGTAAACCGTAAAAATTGTAAGTAATTGACGACGATCGAAAAATGAGTTTCAACAAAACCAATACTCGGAGCTGGCGCCTCGAAATCGGTGTCTGCGATATATTTCCTCCACGGCGAGGACCGCATAGAAATCCGAGCCGATGAAGTTACGCCTTTGTGACGACTTTGAACCCAAACGAGGGCGTCTTCAGCACACTATTCGTATCCTTCAGGTCCACGCACGTTGCGAGCCTGAAAGGAATTTTAGTTAATCAATTCTCTTTCCTGTGCTTCAAGTACAAGTGAGTTAGGTAGATTGTCTCGCGGACTACACAAGAGACCCCCGTTAGCAGTCCTGTATTTTCTATAAGAGGACCAAAACATTCAACAGGATAAAGTCACAGACGAAAAAGAGAACCGCATCGCATCGTGTAGTATGGTATAAGTACTGGTACTCTCCAGTTTGTAATAAGTACAATAAGCTCAGGTTCGGCGAGACATCCTTCTTCAGGCAGCATTGGACATGGCCAACATTGTTTGCCCGAACCTTCACTTGATGCGCCTTGTCATACTGATGGCTAACACCCATTGTCAACGGAAAGCCTGTTGTATCGTGCGTATGTGCATGCGGGTAAAATTTGGATTTGAAATATGATGAGAACGTTAGAGTTTGATTGGGCAGAAAAACTCGACACCATATAAATTCGTTCATTGAAATTGAGAAACCGAACAAGAGCTTAAATTTGAAGTTCATCACGGTCCAACATTCAATGTATAGTACTCTTGCTGTTTCCTGCGGATGCAACGACTTCGACAACAGCCGTCGTTTTGCTATCAACCTTCAAAGCATGGTTGAGCACGCATTTCTTTTTTGAGCTCACACCAAGCACAGTCGTTCCCATTTGACTGGAATAAGAAAGACCGCAATTGTATGCGAAAAGCGCGGGATTCAGGTCCTTTGCATTGCCCTGAAAAAACGGTAAGAGCCAGAACATGTTAATGGATTGTGTGCTGCGACAAAAACTCAATTGCGAGGATACTTTTCTGCGGCAACTCCTTTTATTCATGCAATTAATAGCCTTTCATACTCATAGTACTTACAGGTAAATAGTCCAAAGCAATGTGCTCTGTTGTACTTAACTGTATTTCACCATTTTCGCATCCTGTTATTCAGAAGACTGGATGCTTGATAAGAGCTAGTGGTCTGCTTACCTTCAAGTCGCCGGCAATCTTGAGTCCCTTTAAGTATTCTGATGCGTCAAACGAAAACGACTTCTTGAAGAGACCAGTGCCAAAGTTGGTCTTTAGATTCATCATCATTGGTCCGTAGGTAACATCCGCTCCGACCACATAGAATGGCACTCCCTCGCCCTTCTCTTCATACCTGGATGGTCAACCACAGTGAAAATTTGACGTCCACATCGTATTTTTTTGCATCAGACACGTAAAACGCACTTGTTATTCGACGAACGTATCCTCATCTTGTTCGGTAACTTTTTTCATTTAATAACACGCGCACAAGTAGGAAGAGTAGATTGATGGATATAACACGAAGCAAACATGGGTTAACTAATCTTGAGCAGTACTTTCCAAACAGGAAGAGGCCCGGGCAGTGCTTGACCTTACAAAAAACATCCCACTTGCTCGTATCCTTCTTGTATCGTGCGACGAGCTCTTTATCTTCAAATTTGCAGCTTACCTTGTCGACGACGTCCGACGTCTTGAAGGTGTAGGTCGAGGAGCCGAACTTGAGACCTGTGTTAACAACTTGCTGATATATCAGATCGATAAAAGAGGTTAGAGAAGTACTACGTAGATCAAGCTCTGTCGCGATCGAATGCACTCCTGCAATCTATAATACCCATTTAATGTACTATCAACCAATTTCAATCCACCTCTAGATAGAGTTCATGTTCTTAAATGGTACATGGCTCCGGAAAGGCGAGTCCCTTGCCTACCGCAGGAAAGCCGTCAAGAACTGCCTTCTTATCCTTGAAAAGCCCCTTAAAGAGGGAACCCTTGTAGACGCCATCTGGGGCGTCGGTCTCTGCGAATTTTACACTCGAGCCTTTCATTTTTCCTGTCCTTTATCACTTCTCACAATAAAACTGACAAATTACTATAAATAGGGATCAACTTGCTATGTTGATCCGACCTTTGCTAAAAGAGCTCAACACGTGATTGCGCGGTTTGAAACAACTACGAGAAGGAGCTGGTCTTTTCACTCAAATTGCATTCAGTTCCTTGTCCTATCACAAGAAACGAACAACCGAGACAAAGACAAACTAACTCGACCTTTTATTACCTTTACAACAAGAAGCTATCATACGCTAAAACAAGACGACTCAGTCTAGTTACACAAGGGGATCCAGAAAATGGGACTCACAAAACTATAGAATACTGAATCGAAGATGAGCGAACAGGACGGGCTCCTGCAGGGGGCGTCAACATGGATCAAACAAAGATACATATTTATAATAACAGCATAAGTAACATTTCCCATGCACTTCCGTATTTGAATACATGATTGTCCACTTCGTAGCACCTGGGTGAAAACATACAACACATCTGTTTGCAGCAGTCGCAACCCGTTTTGTTCGATACACACTTTTGCTCGTTGTAAAGATAAGCAGAAGTTACAACAATCTCGTAAGCTTATGAATATCATGTCCTCGTCCACCTCTTTTATTTTGAATTCCAACACCATCTCCACTCTCCTGCTCTTTTTGACCAACCCCTTTGATGTCTACCTTTGACCTCCTACAGTTTTGAATACCTAAATTCGCTATATCTCCGCAGTCGTTCACTGACCATCTGAAGCTACCGACTCATCGCAAAAAAAGAAAAATTCGCGCTGAGGCGTCTCATTATAGGTTGTGGATAGAACACTGTGCATAGAGCGTCATGATTCCTGCCGCGGCGCCTGTGTCGCGACCGAACATGGAGTTGCTGAAAAAAAAAGTCATCCTGTGGCAGAACTGAGCTGGTACAACTTCATTCCTGTTCGAGGATTACAATATGATGAACTGCGGTTTTTTAAAAGAGGAAAAAGCACAATACATGACGAGTTGCTTTGTTCATCTCCAGCGTCCTGGGGACACTGTTCTAGAGGCTGTGCTACTGAAGGGTCTTCAGCAGCATCGCAACTTGCTTGGCAGGTGCTTCATGAAAACGTCACAAGGTAGAACTATGTATCTGCTTTGTGCTCCTTTCTTCTTGTAAGTCAGGAGATATGGCATCGGACGTTGAATCGCAAGCGGTTCATCACCGTAACCGTTCGTCTTTTCACATAAATAAAACTTTGAGCACGACCATGACATTATTATATCATAAAACATAAAAACTGATTTTGTCAGTACAGTACAATCTCTGAAGCAGGAATGCAAAACGAATCAAAGCATTTCATGCTTGCAGAGGATTGTGCTCCGCGTCTCCTCACATGATATGTGCTCGATTATGCTGCGGCTTCTGCTCCGCTGATTCCTACCTTTGCGAACTAGTGTCTTAATTAAAATGGTGATATGTCTCCATTACATAGGTGGGAGGCCCTTCTGCGACGCCGAGATGATCTGCAGAACTGCAGACCCGATAACGACGAAGAGAAAAAATGCCAGCACAAAGGGCCCGACACGGAAGGAGGTCTTGGTCTTTTCACGGTCCGTGACAGGGACATTGCCTCGGTGGCGGATGTTGCGAGCGAACCTGGATTTTGTAAGTTTCGAATTCAAGCTGATGCAGATGTTTCGATTGACACAGATTGAGATGTAGAAGTGCTACACAAAAGTTTTTTTTTGTGCCAGCAGTAAAGTATGTCATTCTAGTTGCAAGAGAAAGGATAAGCAATTAAAAGATCATAAAGGTCAGTACGCGTCGCTCTTCAGTTTGGTCTTGCGAGTGGTCGTCATTTTTTTTGCTTCGGAGGTGGAGTTTCCGAAAAGGGATTGTGGCACAAAAAGAGATCAAAAGTGTACTCTATCGCAAACGAAGCTATCTACGTCGTGAAGGGAGGTGTCCTGAAGAATCCGCGATAGCGAGGGTGACTGTTTGTCAGAGAAATAGCACATTATCAAATATATCTTTTCCTTTCAGCACAGCGACAGCGCATATGATCATTGCCATGACAGAGCCAAACGTGCCATTGCAATTGAGACAATAATTGTCATGATCGATTATTTCCGCCAGCATTTAAAGCGTCGTCATAGATTTCATTACGATATAACTCATTCGCACCAAATTCCAATTGTAGATCCAAGCTGATCATCGTAGTCAAGCACTTACTGGGATCTTTGTATCGAAAGTCGCGCGCTTGTGTTGAGATTATGAATACTTTCCCTGTCCTAGTAGACTTTATGCAGTTTTATTTTGCGCAATCCTTACTAGACAGCTCGCTTGCCGCCTCCCGGTGACCATGCTAATTCATCATTCTCGCGCACTATGGTGATCGTGATCAAGAATTTTCTTCCAGAATACTGATTCTGAATAGCTGAAAATAACATCGTGTGAACCACTTTTAGGTTCTTACGCTCCAACGTCTTTACTCACTTCGCTCCTTCGAAGGGACTAAAAATTTTCACGGCAACCACTCATGTTGATAACAAACTGGCAACGACAACTGCTTAATTCGATCATCGAGTAGATCAAAAAACACAAACACCAAACAAATACAAGGTAGACAATGAATATCAAAGTATTTCAACTAACACGAGTTTTGCTATGTTCCCTATTCCAAATACTGAATGGTTCATGGCTCCCACAAGCGATTTCTAATTGGACAGCTGAGGGTCGGCGCTCCCCGTATCGCCTCGTCCGCTAAAGGTTCCGCCTCCGCGGATAGTAATAGTATCACTCACTTTTCTACCGAAGACTCCGCCGCTGGTCTCATTCTCATCCAACAGCGTCCCGCGGTGCCGGAAATCAAAAAGCGATATTCTCAGTGCGCCAATTTGTATTCTGAGCCATCGAAATCGAGGAAGGCTAGCCCAGTCAGATACTCTGCCAACTCCGACTCTGTGAAGACGTAGCGTGGTCGTTCCCGATTCAAAAACAGTTTCAAGAAGCTGTGTATCCTGCTCAAGGAAAGTGTCGTGTAGTTTTTGAGCATCGTCCTGACGAAATTCTGCATCATCTGTTCGACCGCTTCCGCTTCTGCCTGGTCTGCTGAGGGTTCCTGAGTTCCAGCTGCTCTCGGAGGAAACAGCGCTGCGCCACGGCGGTGGCGAGCAGCCAACGCAGTGTGTCGAGCATGGGCAGGATGCTGTCGATGCACGCCTCCTCTAGAAGAGGAAAGGCCGCTGACACCAGCCCTACTACTGGATGAATGTGGCGGTCTTGGTCCTTGGAATCGGCCACCGCTTGGTGGCCCCGCTCCCCGTGTCGGAGGCGCAAACGCATGATTTCCTCCGCTCCGGTTTCCACTTTTGTGCTCGACTCCACTACTAGAACCTTCCAGCGGGCTCTCTGGATTGCCAAATAGCGTGGACGCTTGCGGAGGTCCTGGTCGGAAACTGTCACTTAAATGGAAGATAGCTGGCAAACCCGCGCCCGGGCTGGGTGATTCGGCAATCACACCTTTGGCAACCCAAAACCGCACAGCCTGTCTGATCATTTCCACATATGAAGCTCCCCCTCGATCGTCGTCTAGATGCGCAACTAGCTCGGATATCGTCCATCTTGCTCTTGTTGTGCTTGGATTGTTTGAAGATGCATCCTGTGATCTGTTCTTACTGCCTCCATCGCAACTTCTGGCGTCTCCAGGAAATCCCCGAGGACAGGATCCAGAACTGCATGCAGAGGAGGCAGCGTTCGTCACATCCGCTTTCCTGTGAACATTCTCAGAAGTTTCACCCTGGCCAACACTCGACGTCACTGAAGATTCCTCTTGCAGGACTGCGACCCCACAGTCCATTCTTGCGTCTGAGTTACCTGCGTTTCGCGACCCTTCAGCAGCTTTCGACGACGCTCCCGCAACGGAATCGGCTGATTCTTGTTCCGCTTCCTCTTCATCAGCCGACGCGAAGGAAAGCAAAACCGTCGCTTGCAAGGGTGTTACTTGTTCGAAACTGCATGTCTCACCCCCTAGCTCGACTTCAAGCTTCAGTGTACCCACGGACCTCCGCCAATTCAATTTCCGCGTGCTTCGGGCTTCTGAATATCGCTCTGCAAATCGATCCAGAGCGCGCTGCATGACTCCCGGAAGCCGGAACTGGTGCGTCTCCTCTCCCAGCCGGTCCACGGGCCAAAAATGATGCGACACAATGATGGGCTGCACGTCCGCGAGTTCGATTTCGCTCGTCAAATTCGGCTCACAGGAGAATGTTCGTGCGCAAATATTATTTGTAGTTGTGAAGTTGTTCTCCTTGTCCTGCTTACCATCCGAAGCCACCCTGCAAAAGGTCGCAGATGCCGTCGCTTCCCCAGGCAGCGTCAACTGTGGCCGACTAGAGAGCGTTGGAGTGATCAGAGACCGCGTTCGCGGTGCGTCCAAAGGCGTGAACAACGGTGGCAACGCAGGAGAGGGCTGGGCCCCTCCAAGTTGCGCCGGTACCAAACTCCCACTGGAGACAGCAGGCGTCGGCGCAAACCCAGATCCAAAGTTCATTGGCATTGGCGAATCCTCCTCAATCATCTCCATCTGCGTAGGCGGCTCTTGCTGCGTGAAGACAGTACCACTAACACTACCGCCAGTGGCAAGCCCCTGCTGGTGAAAGGGTCTTAGTGCTCGTGTGCCGGTGGCGCTTGTTGTATTACCTGTAATAAGCGACGCAGGATCCAAACCCGCGGGAGGACTCGACTGGCCGCCGATCTGCGTGCCTTGCGTCGCAAATGCTTGCGAGGCTTGCGTATTCAACTGTTGTCGACCCTGGACGTGGTTGTAAATGCGCCGCGAATCTTGCAGGTCCGAAAGCATGACGTCAGCAGTCTGCAGTAGACCCTCACCGAAGCGTGTTTTCAAAACTTCCAAGTTTTGCCGCTCTCTGCTAGTGTCGTACGAAGTCAGTGTCAGCAACCTTTCAGCGAGAATCTCCTTATACTGCCGGACAAAAAGCTCCTTGGAACCATAGATCGACGCCAGGAGGAAAAACTGAGAAAGAGGAATTCAGCAAAGATGATGATGATTCCTTAGAGACTTAAGCACTTCAAAACAATGAGTAGCTCAATCCTTCCTCTACTCTCGCTCCTCTCGCGCAATGATTTAATCATCCTTGTCATACTTTACTTCCATCAACATTTAAAAGAAGAAGAATGCAAAAAACAATGGTGCAAATAAATCGAAATAGTCGTAGCGCAAAGCAATTACCGTTGTACTAGACAACAACTGTTGCTGTAGCCTATTGAGTTGGGAATGAAAAATACCGAAGAAGATGATATTAACGTTGCAAAAAAACTATCGAAAAGTCAGAACCTCCGGAGACTGGCATAGATATGTGTGCTAAGACTAAATTCAAATTCTTTGATTCCAGAAATTACCAAGTCCTTTTTCCGCTGAGTGACGTTCGTCGTTGCGTTTGTTGAGATGTCGTTGAGTGGCTGCGGGGCCCAGGACTCTGGGTCATCTTCATCCTCGCTGTACTCAAACTCAAGATCGTTCATCACGTCTGTTGTGGAGACCGTTTCAGTACACAGAAACTCCTCTTGCAGTGGCCCACCTTCTTCGGTCAAAGCAGAAACGACACAGCGAAGCGTGTCACGCCGCTTTCGCAGGTACTCCTGGATAGGCCGCGAGACAGCGTCTAACAGGACACTGCTACCCGAAATGTCGATTCTGTGCATGTGATAGGAAAGGGAATTGAAGACCGTTCCACGCCTTAGCATGCTGTACCGTTCAAATTCTCAATCAAAGAAATGATTAACGCTACAGTATGCCGCATCCTTTCCTAGAGGTAAAAGTACGTTTTGATTGCCTTGACAATTTTGCAGTAAGCCAAAATGATTCGCTTTGTGTCCACGCCAGGCTTCAGCAGCCGTTTGAGACAGGCCTTGTGCAAGGCCTGGACAAGGCCGTCCCGGTAGCGTGGCGCGTAGACACTCCTTAAATCTTGCAGCGCTCCCTCTGACTCTGGATACAACTTGACAATATCGAAACTAGCGGCACTGCGAGCGGCAGCGAAAGAGTCAAGGAAGATCCGAAGGCATGTTCGCGCGCGCTGCAGCCATTCCAATTCGCTAACGAAGTTTTCTAGTGCTATGACTTGGAGAGCTGAGCACATCTGGTTCGCACTTTCTCCACGCAATTCATTTCGCTTGAGGCTCCCTAAGAAAGGAACTGCTCGAGACAGCCATCGGGATGCAAAGTCGAGTACTTCGCCTTTCCTCCTGTTGGGTGCAACACCATTCGAAGAGGTCCCGTCCATACAGAGTTCCATCGTCAGGCGAGATCGCAGGTCTGCAAGGGATCTCAGTGGAGATTCGCTCAAGCATGCTCCCGAGTCCGGTACCAGCGCTGCTCCCTCACAAACCTCACCAAAAAGGGGCAACGGATGAGATGCTGCGACAGGACCCAATCGTGAACAGAGTCGTAACCACGGTAGCAGTTTAAGTCGGACATCTGCTGCGCAGAAATCCTCGAGTAACCGAGTCTCGAAATCCTGTGCGCCTGGCCGCACAATGGCCTCGCTTCGTGCTCGCATCTCCCGGTCAAGAAGCATGTCCCAGAGTCCTCCTAGACCGAGATCGCGCAGGGCGGTCTGAAGTTCCAAGGCCTCAACGCACCGAGCAGCACCCACTGAGGAAAGTAGCCTGTCGCTGGTTTGTCGTGCGTAGTTTGCGTCTGCGGTCAGGTCCACCAAGCGTACCTCAAAATAGGGTGATGCATCGTTGCAGCATGTCGCCTGAGAGGTAGACGGTTCAACTTGTAATAAACTGAGCTTAGCAGGCTGGCTTTCAATTGACGTCAGAGACGGAAGAACGTCCCGTAAAATCTGGTGCGACATTTCAAGACCCGGAACCGTCCACCACCACTCATTGCATTCAGTGAATTGGTCTGTACTAGATGCTGCGGTGTCTCCTCCATGATCCGACATTACGCAATCGCCTCCTGCTCTGGCAATGCCTTGTTCTCTCTCGTGAAGTGATCTGTGCATACGAGCAATCGTCCTGGAGACTGACGAAACAAATTGTGACCGCGCATCGTCTTCGAGTCCGAAGAACCAATCGCCTGCAACGCGAAGCGCGTCCTCGACCCGCACTTGCCATGCTCCATCGGCATGGCTTGCGAGTACTCTACGGAAAATAAGCGCCAGCTCCTCCTGTGCATGCTCCTCTTCGCTTGGCTCAACTCGATGTGGTCTTGATGTCACAGTATTCTCAGATTTGCTTTCCCTTAGCAAAATACTGAGGGAGGCCGCGCAGACTTTCTTATACGTCGCCACGGCTCTCAAATGTCTCCCTATCGTGGAGGCACCAGGACCGCGGGTCTTATCTGATCCAAACCCAATGGCGTCCAAGTCCTTCCACAGCGTCTTCTCCACCCGCTGAAGGAATTTGCCACGAATATACAGTCTGGCGCGAGCGTCTGCCGGCTGCACCAACTGCTGGGCCACCACAGCTGCGTCGGCGTCCGAGCAAGAGAATCCTCGACCCGCGATGCACCGGTAGGGACCATAGGCGTAGCGCAACTCCTCATCTTCTTGCGTCGTAGAACTACGGACCGTTTTCTTTGGGTTTACTGCACACACAAGAGGCTGACTCATCAACATCATTTGCACATCCAAACCACAGGCATGAATGTATCAAAAAATATCACAAGGATATAAAGTGGGTTTGTTCTGTGAAACATAGGAATGCTTAGCTTACACATGATCTCACCAGCCTTTCTGAAGCTGAAGGCTATCACATATTCATATTTCTCTGCCAGTGCGCAAGAGTAAGTAGGCAGCAGCTTGCGGAGCAGGAGCTTCGCTGTTAGACGAGATTAGTTCTGGGGGTGAACCGATGTTGGAGCACCACAATGTGCAGGAACAAGAACGGCTGCTTAGCACTCAAATTTTCGGTGACTTTGACGCAGGATGTTCTTCGAAAAGCCTGCAGTAGAGCATGTGGGCACCGCCGTGTAACAAGACGTCTCTCAGAAATATAGCTTCAGTTCAAAATCCAACTTGAGCCGTCAATGACGAACTTTGCTTCGAATTTCATGACAAGTATTTTTCAAACAAGATGCCCCTGAGCATTGACTGGAAAAAACAAAAGGAACCGAGCGCTAATCCGATTTCTTTATTAAGCCATGTAAAAACATAATTCGAATACGACGACCAGATTCAACGACCACCCTGTTTGCATCACCAGACGAAATTTGGTAGCACAGCCAGTGTGACTATCGGATACTGGATAGGTTCTGTCCACTACGTCAACTAATATTCTGTTCACCACGAGCACAGCTGGAAAAAAACTTTGACGGCTTCCACTTATGCGGCCTCGTCTCCGTCACACGGCACGATCTTATACGATTGAAACGTCTCAAAGCCTGCAGGGGCGCCCTCATCGCCCGGCTTCAGAGATTGGCACGTATCTGGTGGCATACTAGTATCACAGGCTCCAATTTCGACGGTTTTGTAGTCTTCGCAGTCGTTCAAAAGATACACGATCGCCTTGTTACCTTTTGTTGGCGGGGATGGGATACAATCGTAACAACAGAGACGATTGAAAGAGTTCGAGTTTTTGGATGAACTACCGACTTAGTCAAAGTGAGGAGTAGAGAATGCTGCGAAATTCTGCCCTCAAATGTAAATGTGCTTTCTATTAGGATGATGCAATGATTAGTACAACACAAAAAACCATCACAACCGCCCACCCATTCCGACGAGGCTTGAGACCATATTATAGGCTTAGAATTGCTTTCTCATTCATTGAATCGATTTTCTAAAAATCAAAAACCCGCTCGCAAGAAAAATTGGACACGTTTCTAAAATCTACAACACTCGGCGACCGATAATTTACTGAAAGAGCTTCTACTACTAGCGAAATCTACTTCAGTACTTGTTCCACATACTTCGACGCGCGGCTCCGTCTTGGATGCAACAGTCTCCGGTGGGATCGTAATACACTCGTCCACGACGCCGCCTGCTGCGCGTCCGAAAACCTCCTTGTCAGAAAACTTAACCTGTTATGTATGTTAGAAGCAAGAAACTTTTGTACTGTGAAGATGGATCAAAAACCGTGCTCACCGAACCAGGATACGCCTCACTTTCCACAGCCTCTTCCTTTCAGTATAAATATCGCAAACATCCTCTCATTGATACAACGATTACGTACTTTAGATCCTGAAAACAACGAATGCTCTTCACCAAAAGTATGTAAAATACCGACGGATCAAATCCCTGCTTTTTCATGAGCAAACCGGATGCACCAAGGACGCAGGTTGAAAGAGCGGCGAATCGCACCATCTTTATTGTTTGACGTTTATCTCAAGACCGGAAGTTATTTTAGATAAACTTACCTTATTAAACCACGGGACTGGATATTTCTGACTAAGTGCGGACTTCGCTTCTCTCTGCTCTTCTTACGTGTCTCGCTCGATCGGTCTTTTTCACCTTCTTTGTAGAACCGAGCAATATCTGTCGGTCCACTTCACAGCCACACACATGCGACAACACGCTTATATATAACAAAATCATCAGGCCCATAAGACGATAACCACATCGGCAATCCAGGGGCGAACAGTTGAACACCAATGATAATTCTATCAACAATGACAGTCGCCACAATTCCTGTCGGCGGAATTTCGACGGCCTCCTTTTCCCCAGAAAAAAAGGACCAAATTTACAACACCGATGAATTCGTATATCTTGGTGTCGTGTTTGACGATAGTGCGCTTGGTATCGAAAACTTTGTGAAAATTTATGGAGGGAAAATGTGGATTCGGTTGCTTGGCAGTGACATCGGAAACACGCACAAAGTGATTTTGAAAGCAAAAAATATAAACAGTTGCGAAAAACCTACTCACTTCACTCTCTATGTTATATCGAAAACGCGGCGTGCAGAGGCTCTAACCAGTCGGACGAAAGCTCACTTTCCAAAATAAGTCTGCGCAAGTCGCTTTCGAATTCCACTGCGAGATTCCCTCTGGGACCAGTGTAACGCCGCAAAAGCACTGTGAATTTTGCTTTTGCAGACGGCTCCGCAGCCGTATTGCTTACGTCCTCCGAGCTTTTAAGTGACTTCTCGCGGACATTCTGCTCAAGTGCGAAAAGGTTCTTAGCGATTGCGAGGAAGGATTCTTGGTAGTCAGCCTCCGCTTCCTTTATTTCGGCTGTAAAATTACTGGCTTCGTGTGGGCTTTCGCGCTGCTTGTAGAAGAAAAATAGACTCTCCACCAAACGCCTCATCAGCATGTCGACCATGTTCCATTCTCCGGAGTCGTCGTAGCGCAAAGCTTCAAGAATCATAGCAGCCGGAGCAATCTTGTAGATGTACCTATCGAGTAAATCGATTGATGATTTCGTTGACTGGGGTCTCCTCCCGTCAACATCACCGAGCCAAAAAATCAATGAATAAATACAATATGCGAAAAAGAAACACAAAAGCAATTACACACTTGAAGACAAAAAGGGTGTCGTACAAGTGTTCCAGCGCCAGCTCCAGTCGCACCGGATTGTGCTGCCAGATATCGAGAACAACGGTAATGAAGCGCAGCGGCAGTGCAAACTTGGCGAAAAGGTGTCTGTGGAGTTCCATAAGCTTTGTTGCGTGTGTAGGCGTTTTCGACCCCTTTTGGAGAAAGCAGTAACAAAGCATGTCAAAAAGCTCCTCTTTTCCCCACTTCTCAGACTTCCCATCTTCGTCGGCGTGCTTCTCATGATACCTGGTGAAGATCAAGATGAAATGATTTAGCGATGCAAACATCACCATCCTCGGGTACTGAACGGTAAGAGTAACATCAAACTGTTTTCAAATCATGCAACACACCAGTAAAGGTCAATAAAAGGCAGAGTAAAATTCCTGATTTTTCGTCGGAAAGGAGTACCCAATGGGATACTGCACTTTAGAGCGGCCGCGCACAATTGTCGTTGCTGTGAATCTCTCGTTTTTATGGTTCTTGTCTGGTCGCCGGGATTTCTTCGTGCCGATTACTTTTAAAAGCGTTTTTTCTAGAAGCTCCGGGTTCGCGTTTTTGATCTGCACTAGCTCATGAAATTTTTGGTACTCGGGACAGGGGGGACAGACATCATCCCGTTTAGTCCAGTCGGCCACAGCATAGGGATTAACCACATCCACATCCCTCGGAAGAAATCTCAACAGAACCTGATGACCGTAAGAGGAGAGAGAGAGATCTTACTTCTTTTCTTGAACATAGATCGATCTTGCACTTCAACAAATATTTGCTTCTATGCAATTATACTGAACTTTCACAGGAAGATCCATGTCATCACAGCCGCATTTCACTTTTCATGCGGATCCCCATCTTCGAGTAAATCGGATCTGTGGATACCAATCAACGATATCCACGGCTTCTTGCCGGTAGGTAGAGGTGCAAATCAGAATGAGCGATAAGATTTTGCTCAACATCGACCTCGTGGGCTCCGATGAAACACGGATCTTGATTAACATCATAATAATTGCACCTCTGGCATGACCGTCAAGCAAACATGGAACAACTCGAATTGCGACCTTTGTTGGGATAAACAACCAGAGAACAATCTGCACTTTTGAGTAAGCAATTTGATCTTCACAAAATTTCGTCTGCCGTATCCAAAGAAACCTCATTCGAAAATTCTTACCCGCCTTCGATCCGCGTCAAGGACAGCTGCGACTTCCTTCTTGAAGCTCATGCGCACCACCCGCCGCAGCACTTGTCGCGTGAACCGCTGTGCAAGGTTGTCACCCGCATTCCTCTTGCCACCGGAAGGTCGGCTCTGACCGCCGTCGCCTTCACCGCCGTCACTTCTTGCGTGCCCACAAAGATCCAAGGCCTTCGTGAGGACGCGACACCGCGTCTCTAATTCCCCCTGCGTGCAGTAAAACCCCACAGTGTCTTCCAGACGCTCCCGCACTTCTGCGTCTAGGTGTCGGCGACATATGAGTCGCAGGAGCATGTCGTGATACACCTCCTCGCATGGGAGTTGTAACTCACAAACGATGTCCGCCAACTTGTGATACAGCACTACACTATGCAATGGAGGGAAAGGGAGGGAGAATAAACTAGTCTTCAGAATTGTCCAGACCAGGCAGATGTCCTCTTGTGGGGAGCCGTCCAGTATGGATAGCTTGAGCAAGTTCTGGGCTGCCAACAACAGATCCTCCTTGAAATTCAGGATGATGCCCAAGAAATACTCCTCCGCAAAGTACTGCGTTACCTCTGACGCAGCACTGCGAATGTAGTTGGTATGGCGGAACTCAGAATGCTCGGGGTCCTCCTCGATTTCCCGAAAGTCTAGATGCTTATTGTCAAAAATCTGCTGTAGTGGGAGCCACATGGGAACCTGCAATTGGAGTATTTTACAACGTCTGCCATGCCTCGCATATATGATACAGGGACGCACGGCGCCCCCCCCCGCCGTGGATGGCCCCGCGGTGACGCTCGCGCGCTCTTTTCCGCGCTGCTTTTCGCGAAGTCTCGGGGTGGAAAACGTCAAACCTGGGCGTCCCCTTGCGCCTCTCAGCAAGTTCCCTAGCGACCTCCTGGCCTCTGCTGACCCTCGCAAGCTGGAGGCCTCCGGGGTAGAAGGCCGCCGAAGGCGGCCACGGTCTCAAGAGCAAGCGAGCCGATGACCAAGGGCCCGGAGGGCACATGCCACACGGCTCAAGGGGTCCAGCCTTGCGCCTTTTGCCGCCTTCGGAGGCCTTCCACACCGGGCGCACTGCTGCGGCGGCGAAGCACATAGGAGGCCTGCAGGGTACGCGCAGGCAGCTGGAAGGGAGCGCATGAGGCCTCTCGGGCCCCTTTTGAAGCCTTACACTTCCACAACCGGCGCACTGCTGCGGTGGCGAAGCACGTAGGAGGTCGGTAGGGTACACGCAGGCAGCTGGAAGGGAGCGGAGGAGGCCCCTTGGACCCCTTTTGCAGCCTTCCACCCCCGGCAGACGCCTTCAAAAGGGGTCCGGGGATCCACGCCCCCCCCCCTACGCTCCGGGGGGCGCTCCCCTGAACCCTGAAACATATGTAAAAAATCGATAAACTTTCACCTACAAAGGAAAAACGGTTTCTATGTGCTTATGAAAATATCATGGATGACCGAAAATGACTTGCCTGTGTTCGCATTTTAACACAGACACCACAACCGTAATTATTAAGCCCACCTGAAAGTGCATGCTGCGCTCTATCAACCCTCTGCCTTTCGCTGTGCTCCTCATCGCCGCTATGATAGGCAACGGACCCCACGGAACCGCTTTCTTGAACTTGTCGTAAGTAATCAAGGGCCTCTTGACTGCTGCACAGTCTAAGTGGCTTTTCGCGTGCAACATTTCATACAGAAATTCCAGCTTGCTCTTCTGCTTCGCGAGTCGCGCAGTCGAAGAGCTGCTACTACGATTCCCGGTAATCACACCACTCTCAGTTGTGGTTGTCATAGAACTGCCGTTTGCTTCGGTTTTCTGGCTCCCGTCAACCGGATCACGGACACCGCAATGGAGTATATCCAACGCCTGATTGCGTGGGATATCACCCTGGACTTTTGCGAGCAAGGCCTTAATGTCCTCGTCGCAGCTCTCTTGCAGATCCTTTGTCAGGTACGGGATGGACTGCAAGCAGGCGTAAACCGGGAACTGCATGCCCTGGCGTTCGGACGCAGCACCGAAACCAGGACTGTTTTCTGATCCTTGACCAATATTCTTATCTCGTGGTCCACCATTGGCTTGTTCTTGCCTCTGTCGCCGCTCTTCTCGCTCTCTACGACTGAACTCGACATTTTCGCTCGCCGCCAAGTCCAAAATGTCATGCAGAACCTTGAAATACTCGCTTTCCTTGAGCACCTTGCATGACACCAGTTCTGCATAAAATTTGAGTATCGTGCACGTCACTGTGAAATCGCCTGTGTGCAGCGCGACCGTGAGCGCAAACGAGAACTTCTCAAACACATCCTTGACGAATAGTTGTTGCTTGCCGCGATCATGGATGACGCCTAGAAACGTTGCGTAAACGTGGCTCTTGTGGGGCAAGCACGTCACGCACTCGTAAAACACTTCGAGGAGCTCACGCGCAACGCTCTGCAAGCTGTCCTCCAGCTGCCCGTAGAGTGTTTTTACCTTCGCTCCATCGAATTTCTTCTCATCGCCAAGCGTGATCAGCTTTTCACGAATCACCTTGCGAGCCTGTTCCATCTTGCTGTAACGAATACTAGAAAAAGATATTCATCGGAGGATACTGCACAAATGGCTTCTTTGCAAGAGCCCAGAAAAATGGTGAACTTTGTGTTCGACAAAAACCACGGCAAGAGTAAACAAAAACACAAACTTACATCGTCAAATCGAATTGGAAAATGGACGTTACCGCTTGTTTCCTGTTGAGATGATTCGCCGCCAAAAGTTTCTGTTTTTGCAAGATGAACTGAGTAGGAGATGAATGCCCAAAACAAATTTAGTACCTCAAAAATATTCACTGTCTTTTCCAGCGACACAACCGATCCATGTAGTAGGTGGAAAATTTGATAGGATTCTGCAGAATGGATAAGACTCACGGGACCGCCTTGAAGATTCTGAACCAAAATATCCTTGCGTAAGGTAAACCTGACCAACAAGTAATTCTTCTGTCTAGGTTTCCCTGTCGCGAAGAACAACCGTGCTCATGTTCCTCTTGTACCCTTTCAATAGGTCCAACTATTTTATTCGAGTACATGCTCTGGATTTGGTAAAATTCTGCATTTCAAAGTAGACCGCATCTCCGCAAGCAGAGGATTTAGCTTTGAGTGCTGCCTATCAAAGTCCTTTTTATCGTGTGCTAAATTTCCATCCCCTGGGTCAACACTACTAGCATCTGTTCTTATCGCAGTAGCATGACTGCGTACATGATCAGGTGATAAAGGTTCATCCGATGTAGAATTGTAATTGCCAGATTCAATATTTCTGGCGTTTGATGACAACAGGAAAGACGGTGCTACTTCGCATTCGCCCATGCAAATAGCATCTTCAATTTCGCAACTTTTCTCAATTTCATCTTCATCTGAATTTGAATCATCTGACTCTTCACAGCCTCTCCTTGTAGCAAGCATTTGTTTCAATTCAGGCATGAGGACCTTGCAACTCTCCTTGCGAGCTTTGATTCCGGTAACCGAAAACATAGCGTCATGTGCAGCCATCAAATCAGTTCCGTCAGCACCACGTCCCTCGAAATTGGCACTTGAATGAGTCCTCTTGCTACCCCGATCTGTGTAGAAGGTCACATTATGACTCTCGTCGCTTTGACTACAGGTAGTTCCATTGGTCTCCGAATCCTGTGGTGGAGCAGTACCAGCGTCGGCTAGTCCATCGAGTGTGTTCTTTCGTCGGCGTTCGTACCCAGTCGTTTGTTCCCATGCTTGTATGAACGCTCTTGCCCGCTCCAACTGCTTTTTTCCCAATTCTAGGTTACCAGACCTGAGACCAGCCAAAAGCAGCTCTCCCTCAAATTCCAGGCGGGACACCTCTACTGCGTTAGAGGTGCTTTTCCAGTAAAGACCACGTTGCGCGAGTAGAAGGTTTTTTAAGTTACTGGGGGTGTTGTCGGCTTCTTGCAGAACTGGCGCCAACCCCCGATCTGCGTCCAATAAACGCTGCAAAGATTGAGATCCGCTCTGCAAACGACGCTGCAAACTTGATAGAGTCCACCACAAAACACAGCCGGAACGCAAGTCGGCAATCGAACGAAGCAGCGATTCTAATTGCGCCCACAAAGACGTGATTGAGGGCAGCTCACCAAACACGCGGTTGCGAAACAGCGTTTTTATAGTGCCTTTACTAATCACTTCCGATATTACTGGTATCTCGCTGTTACTCGAAATCTGCTGCTGTCCAAGTAAAAACTTTCGACCAAAAGGTGTCCTTTTGATCCGAGTTCCAGGCAGTATACGCGCAATCTCCAAACGGGCAAGATATTCTAACTTCACGTAGACCTTCCAGAAAGAGGCAATTTTGTTTTGCAACGCATTCCAGTCGCCCTCGAAACATTTCTGCGTCGTGTGAGACAGCGCAGCCTCTTTGCCTTCATCTACGGCCAGCCGGCGCCACGCATGGTTCACCGCTGCGCAGGTACTGTTGAGTTCACGTGCAACCGCCACACAGAACACGCCGTGATCGCTTCCAACTGCGCGCGTCGTTGCTTCCATCTTATCGGCAAACGGCAACCCCTGGGAACAAAGGTTCACCTCGCGCACCCATCGTGCACAGCGTCGTGCTATATTCACGTAGTTTTGCGCTGCCTCTGATAAACCGTACAACGCAGAGCAAACGTAAGAGCGGAAAAAATTGTCTTCATCTTCATGGTCGTCGTTCGCGTTACTCCTAAAGCCATCGACAATTATTTCTTCTCCGCTGTTTGAGACATCTCCCCTTTTCGGCGTAGTCTCCTGTGTCTGCGTTGTCTCCCTCTTCATGACGAGTTCGAACTCCCCTCCATGAAGATCTGCATTTCCCTCCACTGCATCCTGAAAGACAAGATTTCCCAGAGACGCACTCGGCGTAAATTCCGCTGCTGTATCGAGACTCACCTCATCCCACCAGTCGGTCGTCATTCTTTTCACATGCTAACGAATACACGCTGAAACGATTACGAGTGATTATCGTCACTGGGAAGTAACTTCTAGGGATTCAAGAGCATGTAGGAGCACGATTAAACATTGGAGACAAACAGTCTTCAGATTTCGACTTACGGTATTTCGATTTCGGCGGCCAAAAAAATGCATGATTGGTTTTCTAACTTGTAAAAATGCACATCGCGACCTTGTAAGACAGTTGTAGTGGCATCTCCCGCAGTTGCGATTTTCGCTATAGGTACAGTTTTATGTATACAGAGATGTCCTCGTAAACATTGTAGCATTTCCACACGTAGGAACACTCACACACCAAGCGCATTATTCAAGCGCGTGTCTCTTGTACAATAAAATGTCCGTTGTCAATTATGATAGCCGATTTCTGAGTTCAGTGAATGTAAATAGCTTGCTGCGCGCAACATCTTGAAGCTTTTAAGTTCCAGCATTCTTTTCTGGCAGAGCTAAGTCTGACATAGGACACTCAACATCGAGTAGTGTTTTTCATGACTGTATAATTCGGAAAAAAACGATACCAGGAAGGAATCTATGTTCTTGAATACACCTAACAATTGGTATACATAAATCTTCTCGTGAATAGAAATCATCTAATTATAAAAAACGGGAATTTATCTTTCTCTATATGCTTTACAATCAGCAATGAATGACTGTACCCCCTCGCTAGGTCTACTAATTCAATTTTCTATCGTGGTCCTCACAAATTACGGATGGAAGTTAGATATACACTGGGGACACAGCATCATAATTGCCCGTGATAGAAGGAAGTGTGAACAGGATTTTGCGTATATTAGAGCTGAAAACAATTCATTTCTTGCCTACATTTCTCCCAATCCTAAGCGGGTACTAGGGAGAAATGACTTGTAGAAATGAAATATATTGAGCCTTAAGCATAATAGAAAGCCGATGAGCAGTTGATTCCCGGTCGAAAACGTATTCATTACTGCCTTCATAAATGAAGTCGCACTCGCTTCCATTTCCAGGTAGCCATTGTTACTTTACCCCAGAAATGTGTACAACGGTCCGCTAAATGCTTAAGTTACTTATACATAGATACTTTGTTCTTTTCTCTGCGATGCTCTGTGGTTTTAACCCCAGCACCTCCACATCAGGTGCTATGACGACGACGCAATTGACAGGGATATCATTCATCACCGCTGTATCATCCGGCCAAATGTTGCCGCTTGTTCGCACAAACTTCACATTCTCCGGATGAGTACGGTGCGATTGTTGAGTACGTGGCGCTCCTTTGCCTTCCCTCGCCTTGGTGCCGCGGCCTTGATGATTTTCTGTTTACCGTCTTTCGTTCTGCCTCTGTGTATGACGCCATTTCACTTCTTCTGGCAGCACTCTTGTTTCAATGTCTTCCAGCAACTTCTTTACTTTTCCCAACCCGGTTTCGTTAAAGAAAGTGCCGTCGAAGGGTTTGGTAGCTCTCCACAAGGCGACATCCCCAACGTTCTGTTTCAAAATCTGAAGGACCGCTTCCTCCTCGTCCCTGTTCTGAGCCTGATCTCGCATGAGCGCATGCTGTGCATGGCCGCGTACGATCGCGATGGCCGGCGTCTCGCGAGAGAGAAAGAAGGGAGGCCAAAAAGCTTCAGGGGCGTTTGATATTTCTATCCCAGGAGTTCGGCTCCGGTTTCGTGATCGCTGTTGAATATCTTCTACCATCTTTTCTGCCTCTAACGGTCGGAGGTGCAGTTCCGAACCCTTTTTTTGTCTGCATCCGTTTCCAAAATCGCGGTTAGCCAAAGTCGCAGCGTGCAGCACTATATTTGGCGAAATTTGGCTGAGAGCAACATTTGACTCGAGCTCATCTGGTCATAATGCGGCCACAACGCTTCTCGGAAAAAGCCCCTTGTCGAAATCGAGCGTCGGCACTTTGACGATCTCTTGTTGCAAAAAATACTCTGGGACATTTTCAACCTTCCACTTCCGCTCGCCTCATTGCGGGTCATATTTATATATAGGGACCATCTGTTTCTTCCTTTGCTGTATTCGAATCTGCTTCCTCCACCCAGTCGCGCTTTTGGCGAAGCCAACACGCTTCAGTCGCCTTATCAAAACTCGCCATCGCAAACGGTCTGCTAAGCGCACTGGGGATGTAGGTAAGAGCTCAGGTTTTCGAAAAACTAGCATTTTCATAGAGCCCAACATCTCGGTGCACAAGCGACGGCCAGCCTAGCTTCCCCCATTTTTTCCACGGGCCTGGCTTTTTCAGAAGGTCGTCACAAAAGCCTTCGGCAAGCGTTTCTAGAATAGTAGAAGAACTTGTCTCTGACGGCGCTGCAGCTCCACAATATTTCTCGTGCTCGCCTGCAATAGAAATCACCCCGACGAAAGGCAACAGAAAAGGCTCGGAGAAATGATTTTTGCTCCAAGTGTTCACGTCCCCAAGTGAGAAAGGATCCTTCTCTCCACTCGGCATATTCGTTACAATTCGTGCCGCGCGCCTCCATATTTTCTCCAAAAACGGCTTGGAATAAGCACCCAGGTTCGGCCAAGAAGCGCCCACCTCGTTCTTATCTAAAACAAACAGCTTCTTCGCTGCTTCCATAAGCTTCTTCTCTCTAAGGTACAACCTTACCCTTCCGGCTCCGTCTCCTTCAGCGTGTTCTGGTAAAGTCTCTGTTGCAAATATCTCATTGAATTTAGTCGGGAACAGACTGGCGTTACTGTCTAAAAAAACCGCTTGCACCACCCACAGTGGTAATTTTCCTGCTTCCCCCTTCGCCAACGCATCAGTAGCGATTTCTCCCCCAAACTGCACTGTCATGAAGGAACTTTTCGTCGTTGTTTTCGCCGATAATCCGGGCCGGGCGGTCCCTGCTCCACCAGCGTTCTTACTTCGCAAAGAGTTTGTTGTTGGCGTCCCTTGCACAAATAGAGCAACAGCATATTCGTCTTTCGGTGCGCGCAGTGCGTCCAAGGAGAAGCGGCGCAAACCTTTGGTAACAATCTTTTGCAATGGTAAATGGCCCAACGCGGATTCGGTTTCTTGAAACTTCGTTAAAAATCTTGCCAGAAGGTTCTTCAAAGCATCCTTTTGTGCTTGCACTTGCGCAATCGTTTCAGCTGCCGCCAAACCTGATCAAGCTCCCTCTCAAAGTTATTTTCCAGTTTGTCGACTTCTCCCAACGCTTTCTTTCGGTTTTTGGGGTTCGGATCGGATCGCAGCGGGAGCTTCTTTCTGGCTGCAACATTTCGTTGGTAATTCTTCTTTCGAACTGTTTTTGCCAGTCCTGGCTGCCGGACTTTTCCAGATTCCTTGCTCGGTAAATCAAAACTAGCGATCTTGGCGGAAGTTTTTCTGCAGGCTCAAACACTTCCTCTAGGAGAGGCTGCAGGTCCTGATCGCTATCAGCATCATCTCCATCTTCCTGCAGTGAAATACTGCTCTGCTCATTTCCACTTTGCTGTTGCACTGCCTTAGTGAAAGGCGCGAGCAAGCTCCGTGCCCGCTTCAAGCTCTCTGGTGCAGCAACGTAATTCTCCACCAAAAAACGCAAAGGCATTTGCAGCTCGTGAACCATTTCCATCCATTTCTTCTGCACCTTTATTACATTCTGGTGGTTATCGTTTTTCCCACCGTGCGCCGCGTTGTGCGGGCACTTGCAGATCGTTTTGCTTTAGCACTCCTTACTGGAGCACATACACACCGCCTCGTAGACGTGTCGCGTCTCTATCGAAGTTCTCAGCGCAGACAGAGACTCCAAGGGCTTCTTCAGTTTCGGTGCGTTTCAAATATCTTTATTTGATTTCTTAGCGGTTTCCGAAGATTCTGCCAAATGTTTTTGAAGCCGAGAAACACGCTCTTGAAGGCGTGTTGCCGCTGTTGCGCTTGAAGGCGAGGTCTGGTGCACTTGCTGTCCATCAGCGTGGTTAGATGCCGCTACAACATGCCAAACTTCTTGCAGCAAGCCCTCGGCTTCATCCATCGCGAAGCTGCGAAGCTCTTCACCGTCCGCAGCTGCTGCCCGGTTGTGCGAGTTGAGCTTTCCTTCGTGTTCCCCTCGACGTTTCTCCTTAAGTAAAACCGCAAGGGCGTCATCGGTAGCTTTGTGCACTTTCTCCCAGGTGCTGCTTTCGTGCTCCTGCAGGAAGCGTCCAGTTTTCTTGTCGTCTGTGAAAGCTTCCAGTACGTAAGCGTACTTCTTCTTCTCCTCTTCTCGGTACTCTCTGCGGAGCCTATTGCAATCCGCGCGAGCCACGGCGACATGCACGTTGAGGATAGATCCGGAAAACAAAACTGAAAAGATGACTGCAGTTGGAGCTGTAAGTACAAGCTGGTGTCTGCCCCATAACCCCGCTGCAGGATACACTCGACTACGGGTTGTAGTTGTCATTGTGATATTTTCGAACCAAGAAATACGGATGAAGCCAATGACAATGTATGCTGCGCAGCTGATATCAATATGAAGCTCTGAGTGACTGGGGGCGTCAATCGTTTTCTGAAAAAATGCGACTACGAGATAACGCAATGCAGAATGATGTTTTTAGAGTGAAATACACGAAGATACGGATATCGACATGGGCATACGAATCGCCCCAAGTAAGTATAAAGGGCTAGGATTACTTATTATAACGATCAGAAGGAAGACTGAAGCGGGACGCAAGATAGCGGAAAAAAGAAAACTGCTTTCCAGGAAGCCCAAAATACCTTTAAGTAATACGAATGCTTGCATTTCTTAGTAAAAAACCTCGTGAGATCTCGTGCAGCTGCGCCGATGATTTTACATTGGAGGGACATCTTCACAGAGGGAAGTGCAACTCAAGGAAATATAGAATCGAAACGGAGAGCGTATAACCGCTGTATGATCAGCACAAGACCTCCTCTTGGAGATCGGATCGTTGTATAATGATCGAATTTTTGACACTCTAGCATTGGACCTATCTTTGGATCGGTTCGTAGCTTAATCTTGATGGACAAAAATCATTGGTCCTTGCTTCACGAACGCGTAGAACTCTATCTCTCTCTCTCTCTCCGACTCTGTTTTTCGAGTGATTAATTTTGACATCAGACCTGCATTCCACCAGTCGTGAGACCAAGACTCCTGATCTTCATCTGCAGCAGCCACCCCAGGAAAAGCACAACAGACGTCGATGATATCTATTTCAGGTGTTCGACGGACACAGAGAACGACCGAGCCCCTGGACTGCAGGAATACAAATCACGTCGTGAGCAGAAACGAATGGCATCTCACTTGCCCGCGAGTTTCATCCTTACTATAGTGGTCCTAGTTACAAATTTCGACTTGATGTACTAGGAAGCACTTTTATCCAGCAATGCATAAGAAACACACAGCCCTACAAATCACTCAGCCACGTCGTGTCATACCCACTACGAGTGACGAAATACCCATGCAGCGGTGAGTCTACCTCCACTGCATTAAAGCCATTCTGAATTGGTAAGAAAAAGATAAGAGTTGCAGGCATGAATAGCGGACACAGAAAGATTGAAGATATGCAAACATATGATAATTGTAGGTGTTCGAGAAAAATGTCATCTTCATCAAAATAGCAAATATATCATTATCGTTTGTAGAAGAGCATTGTATCATCATGGGAGAAACAACGAACCTGAATTTGTGCAGATACGCGAAAAAATAGTAAAGCGCGCCATCAAGAGTTCGACTATCGAAGACGCAGTCACACAAAATCTGCCTTGTTCGTTTTCAGTAGCCACCAACTCCGCATCGTTGCTCCTTTTTCGCCATTTCCTTGCAAACATCTACGAGCTAGTCCAGGTCGACATAACCAGCCATAATTTGCAGCAGCTCCTTAGGATTAGACTTAACTAAAATCCATCTGAAAATAAGTACTTCCTTTGTTTTGGGAAACCTAAGCTTTAACATGCTGCGAAACGTGGACTTTGAAAGGAAAAGGTGCGCGCCTTAATAACGTGTTAAGCATAAGATCAGTGCCAGGACATTATAGGCTTGAGTAATGTTTTTGGGAAAAGAGAGATAGGTGTGAATGAGACAGAGACAAGCGCGCCTTAATAAGATTTGAAGCAGAGAGAACATTGCAAAAGAACGTACTCCGACACCTACTGCTCAACTAAGTAATTCTAGAGGCGCGTCTTAATAATTTCACGAGTCTTGGACTCGCGATCGCCTATTATTGCCGTGCTTGTTCGCAGATTCACGAGAGATTTAGAGTCAGCTTTTAGTCATCTCGACCCCCCTCATCTGAACCCCTGGCTCCTGCCTTCTTTTACGTGAGAATACAAAGCAAAATAAAAAAGGGGACCAAGATGCCAAGAAAGATGGATAAAAGCTGGCCATAGGTGAAGCCCTGATCACAACCTCTCCGTTGTCAATCATTTTCTGCGGGTAGTCTCCTCTCGGCGCAGCACTCATAAAACGCCGGGAGGCGACAATTTCAAGCGAGCACTGGACTGAGAGATGAAAAGAAGCGCCTCATAATTGAAAAAGACCACCTTCCGGATCACCATCAGAGTCAAGCTCCTGCACTGCTGCATCCAATTCCTCTACGCTGGGATAGTAGTTGTTCTGGAAACGCGGAGGAGATCTTGGGAAAGCCCACAACCCGTAGCACTTGACTCCCTTGCTTTCTCGGCGCAGTCCGCCACCGGGGAACGGGTCCCGAGAATATTCGGTCACAGTCAGTGGCCGAATGAACACCGTGCACCCTCTGAAAATGTTAGAGGTAGGTTGTTGGTGTTCGTTTTGAACGATATCTTTGATCTTTTCTTTTCAAGAAACTCAAACAAAAATAACGGCAAAAAACAGAAACACCAAGAGCAAACCCGTAAATATATACTCTTCGAGAATTAATAACTGCGGCGCACAGACTTTTTTTAGAAGGCTTAGCTTGATGGTAGTGCTAACTTCGAGCATTATGTCTCACATTCCCCCCTATCTCTACAGTCGTCAGAAATAATTCCGAGAAAACCCAGAAAAATGGCCCTTAAGTTTTGCCGCATCCCAACGAATGGGAGGACGACATCTTGTAGATGCATGCGCAGATCTCCTCCGGCTGTAGCTCGCGGCTGTAAATCAGGAGCTGCCATGGCTTGCTTGTTTTTTTAGTAGAAAGTATGGCTCTTTCTTTGATCATGAAAATGGTTGCCTTTTGACCATTAAAATATTGGTATCTGTAGGAATCAACAATGAATCACAATCACACCAGAGTCAAACTGTGTCTGACACTCCTGCACAGTCGTTGAATGTAGCACACAATAGTTAGATCCATTCGATTGATACCACTTCATCGGCGATTTTCATTGGATTTGTCATTGGTTCAGCTTCAGATGTCATCACCATTTCTTCTACGGATGTACCACACTGTGGCAGCTTATCATGTGAGGCAGCGAAATTGCAGATAGAGACAAAGAGCATCATACCGGTTTCGAAAAACAATGTCAGAAACTCCCATGCATCATGCACATACCAGTTCTGTGACAACGCATGGATTCAAATACTAAATGCTACTGCAAGTGACAAGCACTGTCTCGACCTCCAAGTTGTCGTTCATTATACTTCATCACAGAGTGGGCAGTGAACTTGCACAAGATCATGCTGCATCTCTAAAGTTGAAAATCTAAATCGCCAAATTTGTTTCTATAAGTCAAAATGTTCATTGTCATTTCAATCATACCAAAGTATGTATTAGAAAAGGCTGTGCATTTCCACTATACAAAATAGCAACTACAACTCTACAAGCACAGATTGGCACTTGCCATTGAACCTTGGTTCCTCAGCTGTTTGCCCTTGGGCTTCGTGGCGGCCTTTCCTGTTAACGAGGCTGCTGACGCAGATCTGCGAAAGTCCGGTTGTGACGGAGGAGCCTCCGCAACGACGGGTACCGGCTGTTGTGAAGGTGCTGGTATCTGCTGTATCGGCGACGGCTGTTTCTGCACGGCCACTGCGGGAGGGCTTCGCGCTTGCTGTTGCTGTAGCATCGACGGTGGTGGCTGCTGGTAAGCGGGTGCTGGTTGTTGGTAAGCGGGTGGTGGTGGCGGTTGGTGATAAGCAGGTGCTTGTTGCTGGTAAGCGGGCGCCGCTTGCTGCTGATAAACAGGTGGCGGTAAGGGTGGTCTCGCATGCATCGGCGGTGGCGCAGGTTGTGGTGTCTGATCTAAATTCACTGGGATTGAATACGTTGGTTGATAATTTGATTGTTGCGCAACAGGTCCTCCTCGCAAAGGCGTATGGTAGTAGGCAGCACGCGCCATAGGTGTTACTTCCTGCGGTGGCACTGTCGGTCCTGAGGCATCTGAAGATAGCGGCACGGGTAGAGAGGCTGACCTAGGTTCAGCCTGGGTATTTGCTTCTGCTGCAAACCTGCTCGGTTCCAATCGCGAAGCATCTCCTGGAGGCAATGATGGCCTGCGCGCCGCCGGTGACTGACCAAAAGAGATGCCACCAACAGTTGCGCTTGCGGCTGAATTACGTTGATGATGTAGGCCACTCGTTATTCTATTCGAAGACACTTCTCCTCGCGCGTTACTATCTTGTAATCTTGGCGGTTGTGCACCGAGCCCACCTGGTGGTGAACAACTTGTTTCGCCAGCTAGACAGAGATTCTCTGATCGAAAAGCGTTTCGATCAAAACGCCCCCCGCGTTGCCTGCAGTGTTTTTCGAACGCGTCCATCCACGTCATAGACAAAGACAAAACTTCGGCATGGATAAGGCGAAAACTCGTTGGATCCAATCTCGCCATGTCCTCAAAGAAGCGAGGAGCCACACTTGAATCTACCAGTGGATTTTTCGTGAAGAGGACTGGCTTTACCGCAGCAACTGCTTTGCTCTCCGACGCGTCTGCACCTAAGATCGAATCTGAATTAGCAGCACGGTTCAAAAGCGCCTTGCGGATAGCTGCAACCTGCTCCCTTGAGGCATGCTTGTTCATTCCCGTGAACGCGAACTCGTCGTCATCATCGTTATCTTCTGCTCTTGCTGCTACCACTCCCAATCCTCCGCCCCCTGGCAACTCCTCAGTTTTGCTTCGCAGGTACACGTTTTTGACAATACAACTTGATGACGCCAGCGACGCCTCCACGCGCAGATTGGCCGCAACAAATTGCGGTATCACCACGTCGTTCTGGAGACAGCGGAGAAATTCCAGACTAGCCTTTGTCAAATCTTCGGCAATGTCGTGTCCAGGCAGATCGAAGCCTCCGAACATCTTGCGCACTTTTCGTCGCAAAAACGTCAGCGTCCACAGATGCGCGTACACACCTGGCGCGATGGCTAGGCCGATTTCGGTTTGTTGAAAGTCCCAAAGCGCTCGCTCTATACTTTCCAGACCCATTACGGCACCCGCAGCCCACATGGGCGGGAAATCGCCCTCTTCTTCAGCGAGCCGCCCCCCGTGTAATATCCTCTCGTGGGCGGGGCTTGTGAAACGATCCCGCCGGCTCTGGTCTCCTAGCTTGCGCACCGTGGATATCTCCGACATAGAGTCGTCCCAGAATGCGCAGAACTTCTGATTGTCTTTTCGTCGTCCTTTCGGCGGCACGAGCGACCTCCGTGGTAGCCAAATGGGCCGGCCCTCCCAGGTCAGCGGCTGTCCGCCGCGGCCTTTACTCCCTGGTCGCGAGGACGACGAAGGCGTAGTGCCCGCTCGCGCAAAAGACGCATTTGCTGAACTCCCACGCGGCTTGCTGCCTGGGCGCGGCAGACTCTTCAGAAAGTCGTAGGGAAATTCCAGGGGCTTTCCGGTCTTTTCATCAATCGCGCAGTCTAGACCAGGAAGCTGCGGCGGCCATCCGATTTCTGCAAGTGGATATAGTAACGCGTTGCAGCCCGCAACGACATTCAACATCGGCAGGGTGAGCACATCATCAAGAGACATGCGCGAACCGTGGAGCCAGCGTTCACCCTTCTTCTTTTTGTACGCCTCGTCCATCTCCACCCACAATTGGGTCGCCCGTTTTGCGAGTCCTGGAATGTCGACCTTGCGCTGTCGATCGAGTCCTTCAAGCTTCTTCATCACCTCCGCTCTCTTCGCATTTAGCTCGTGTAACTTTTTTTTTTGTATACTTGTCTACAAGTGCTCTGACTTGAAACGGGGGCGTGGCCCGGACCTACGAACTAGGAGAAGAGCAGGGACGTGGCCTGCCTTGTTGAAAAGCTAGTGCGGGTTCACAGAACCGCTTATCTAAGCGCACATAAACCGTGATGAACCAAGGAGGAGAACATTAACAAAACACTAAACTAAGTATAACAAAAACCATGCGAGATTGGTGCACGGATCGGCAGGAAACTACGAATAAATAACACCCATAAGATCACGCATGGATCTTGCTGCGGGGAGACGTGGTCCCCGACAGCCAAAAGTGCACAAAAGATAATTGAAGACACTCCTACCGTCCATGAAAATTAAACAAGTTACCGTCCATGAAAGTTCGGCGGAACGACTCGCTAGCTGATCATCCTCGTCATCACTCTGTGACTCCGTGCGCTTGCCGTTGGCTCCCTCGTCGGAACCGGCGACAGTACTTGTGTCCTTTTTCTTGCCGTTCTTCTCACTGAGACTTAGTCTGCGATCAATGATCACCCGCTCCTCCTCCACCGTCTCGATTTCAGCGTCCAGGCCTCCTAGTTCAGCCATGGCTTCGGGCGCCTGCACAGCGACAACACTACTCTTCACGCACATCATAAGATTTGGAAGTAGCGAACCCATTATGAAATTCGGCAGCTCGAGGCCACCTGGCCTTAGCAGGTGTAGATGCCTGTACTTATCGTGGAACGCCTCTGGCACCGGAGCGGCAGGTGGCGGCTTCTCACTCTCTGGAGACTTTTCTGCTACTGCCGGCTTCTCCGTTGGTGCAGCGCCGCTAGAAGTCGCCTTTGCAGTATCGGAAGTCGGCTCCCGTTTATTCGCTGCTACACCTGCTGGTGCGTCTATCGACTCGGCAGGCGCTTCTCCTGATTTCTTATCGGCTGGCGCCGGTCCTGAAGGTTTATTCGCTTTGTCGTCTGCTACTTTCTCTTTCCCTTCCTCTTTTTTTGGCGTGCCTGTCCTCGATTCTGCTGAAGGAGTGCCTGATGACCGCTTGCCGGCAGAGGAAGGACGACTTCGAATCCCACAGCTCTCGACGACAGGACTCGCATCATCCTCCGCATCGTTGTTTGTTTCCGATGTATCCATCTTTGCATCCGATGCAGATTTATCGGTGACAGATGTCGAATCCGCTGTAACACTCTCGGGCTTCCGCTCACTATCGTCAGCATCCGCCTTCTTTGTCGGCGCTTCACTTGCATCCCCACTTTTCGCTGCCGGTGGACCATCTGCACGGGTCGTGTCTGCCCTGGCAACATCCTGCTCTTTTTTCCCCTCTTGTTGCTTCTCTGCTGCCGGTGCGCGAGAACTGCTTTCACCCTTACTAGTTGCTGGTGCTGCCGTGGGGGTTTCAGCAGATTTTTCGTCGGCAGCATTCTCTTCTGCAGGTAGAGGCGGATGCCTCTCAAGATAGAGGCGCTCGACCTCCGCAGCGTTAGGAAGCTCGAGATAGCGTCGCAGGTGACTCTCGCCAAACTCGCTTACCAGTAGTTTAACCACATCGACAGACTCTTCAAGATACGTACCATTGTACAAAATTGCCGGTGTCGTTCCGGCTTTACCCAACTTGGTGAAAAACGCTGGTTTGTGCTCCATATCGACGATAATACACTGGTGTGGGATACGCGCTGCCTTTAGCATGGCATCAACGACAGAAGAGACGGAGCAAGACTTAGTCAGAAGTCCATTCTCTGCTCCGAGAATCCCCAAATTTTTTTCTGCAAAGCACCCATCTGCACGCTGTTGTGGCGCACCTGATGGAGCGTCTGGATCTATTACGGCGTAGCTCGTGTCGTAAGGATGAAACTTGCCCCGAAGATCACCGCCGCAAAACAAGTACACGACATTTGGAAGTGGTGTCTCGATACAAGGCGGTACGTAAGCTGGATCAGTCTGGTGCAGAACGTAGAAATCCGCCTCTACTTGAGCCAGCGATGTTGCTGCAGGGCGCGGAAGCACCCGCATACAGCCTGCTGTGTGCTGTAGATCTTGGGATATCCACTTGTTTCCATGTGCAGGCTGGCTTCCAACCCCGCCAGAATTCGCTTTCAATTTTGGGAGGACACTGCCGATGCTGGAAACTGATGAACCTCCATGGTATGCATCGTCCTCGATACCGAGATTGCGACTCTGCACGACCGCGCTGCCTATTGCCACCCCAAAATCCGCTTTCACTGCCTGTTGCGCATGCTCCGCTATCGCTGTTATCGATGATCTCCGCGCGTCCACCTGGTCGTTCTGCGCAAAATCTTGAGGTACCCCCGGCGCCACATAGTGTTGCTGAACAGGCACGTTCTGGGCGACAAGGAGCGGAGGCATCGGGACCATTCCAGACTGGCCACTAGCTCCGCCGTAGGCCCCGCCCATCCCCATGTCCTCTGGCGACGTTGCTATGGCGAAGTGCTGTGGCTCGGCTGGTGCACCACTCCCCTCAGCTTGCAATCGTGGGTGAAAAGTCGCACCCGGCGGCTGGTGTCCTCCAAATTGAAGTGTGACAGCGTTGACGTGCAACGGCTCTATGGTTTTTGCCACATCAGCTACGGCCAGAAAGGCAGAGGTAGTCGACCCCGAACTTCCGTTCATCTTGTCCTCAATCGGAGGAGAATCATCTACAAGTGCCTCTACTGCTTCCTCCTCTTCCTCTTCGCTGATTTCTATCTCTGTGAAGTCACCTATCTTGTCGAAATTCGCAAACACGCGCTTCTTGCCCGTTTTCTCGTCAATGACGGACTCCATCGTGTCTGCGAATCGCAGCCGCCCAAACATGATGTCATCCCGAAAATACCTATGCGCCGATGATATCTCGTCATGGTAGACACCGTCGCGGCCGACAAAAGTGAGGGACAATGCAAAATCCGCGTTGCTTGCTAAGCTTTCCATGAACTCCTGAGAAATATCTATAAGCGGCGAATCTTCCGTGATCACGTGCTCCACAACACAAACAGCTGTCACCACCGGAATCTCAGTAACCTTTGCAGGATGAGTGTCTTTTTCCTCTGTTGCATAATTTGCGTCTAATAATCTGGAGGTAGATTGCAAGAACAAGACGACGCTTCTGCTTACAGATTATATATGACTCAGGGCCGAACGGCCCCCCCCCTCCCCCCCCCTGTGGTCTGGTCTGTGGTGGCGCGCCCGCGCGCTTTTCCGCGCGGATTTTTCACGAATTCTAGTGGTGGAAGGCCTCAAAACTTGGCGCCTTCCTCCCCTTGGGCCTCTCAGCGTGTTCCTTAGGGCCACGGTCGCAGGCAAGCCGATGACCAAGGGCCCGGAGGGTTCAAGCGGCACGGCTCAGGGGGTCCAGCCCTTCGCCTTTTGCCGTCTTCGG